TTACTATACTAGTGCTAATAATTATAGACCCTAATTAATCTTATTAAATTAAGATTAATATCTTAGAATAGGTAGTAGGAATAGTTTTAATATAGAAAGATAAGAATTATAAACTTTATCTAATTATATTTAATAAAAGGAAGCTTAGTAGCATAAAAAGAAACTACCTAATATAAGAGAAGAAGCTACTTATAATAAAAGAAGCCCTTTAGAGATAGGACTATTATATTAATAATAGAAAGATAATAATAGTAATAACTAATTATAAGAGCCTTTAATATTTTATAAATATAACTAAGTATTTAAAGTAGCTTACCTAGTGGGTAGAAGAATTCTAAAGTTATAATTTAGAAATCTATTATTAAAAAAATAGTAAAGTAATAGTACTAGATATAATTAGCTAATATCTTAACTTTATAAAAAAAGGGCTAGATAATATTACTAAAAGAACTTTACTTAATATACTAGAAGTATAGAAGATAGTAGAGATAAGATATTTTAAAAGCCTAAATAATATAATACTATAATAGAATACCTAGAGCTATAGGTCTTACTATAAGATAAAAGGAAGTAAGAGCTTATACTAATAATAGCCCTATTTTTTAAACTAAAAAAAGAGGTATTATACCTCTTACTAAATTAAATTATAGATAGATAATACCTAGGAGGATGATTTATATATTACTAGAAATTAATTTATATTATAGATATTAGGGATGCCTTATACCTAGAGATTCTATTCTAAAGAGACTTCCTATAAGAAATATATAGAGAATATAGCTATATAGGCTACCTAGCATTACTAGGAGCTATTAGAACTTAAGCTTAGTAGCCTTCTTTATAATATAATATCTAAGCTATAGTTAAGGAATACTTAAATTATTAAATATTATAAGAATTAAAGAAACACCTTAAATAGGAATAGTAATACTATATAGTAAAGAAAGATATCTAGCCTTTTAAATACTAGGGTGTTAACCTTATTAGATACTTATTAATAATATTAAATAGTAATAAATAGATTATTACTGCTATTAACTATATAATAGGATGGGTTATTATAAAAGCTATTCTATATACTATAAATAAAATAATAATAAAGTTCCTATATAAAGAGATATTTACTTAGTATGATACCTTTAATAAGATAATATTAGATAATAGTATAAACCTTCTGTTATATATAGTAGAGATCTTTATAAAAATCTTAAAAGTAAAATATTATATAATAATACTAAACCACCCCTATATAAATAGAAAGAATAAAAACCTTAATAGACTCCTGGGATAAATACTCATAAAATATTTAATAGGGAAACTAATATAGCTATAGGATAAATATCTTTATCTAGCTATATTTATAGCATAAATATATACCTATATAAATATTAGTAAAAGCCTCTTCTACCTACTATATAGGATTAAACTAAGATTATTAGCAGATATAAGAGAACCTATAAAGAAAAATAATTATAATAGGCTTATAAGAGTAATATATACATAAGTATTAATAAATAAGAAGCTATTAAAATATATAATTAAGAGAGGGATAATCTAAGATTTATAAGTAAAAAAAAATTATCTTAAGGAGGGTTAATAAGTCTTTATATAAAATAAGAGCCCTTAGAAGTTTAAGAGTAAGTAGTTTAAATTATATAAGGTAATTAAGGCCTACCCCTTAGAATATATATATTATAGGAACTAGGTAGATATACCCTAAAGAACCTTATTAATAGATAGAGACTAGTAGAAGTAGAGGTAAGAGATAATCTATAATATCTATAAATATTAGTAAGCCTTAATATTAGGCTATAAAAAGTAGGTTTATTAATCTCTAATCTAATTAAAATATAAAAGATACTTAATAAGACTAACCCTCTAATACTATTATATAAAGAACTATTATAGCATATGGTAGAAGGATATAATAAGTAAAAATATTTAGGAGAAAGTTTATAATAAGTAGGGGAGGGATTAGAGATATAATATAAAATAAGTAAGTAAAAAACTTAATATATTAGTAAATAAAAATTAGTAAGGAATAGCCACCTTATATAATAATAAATAGAGTTACTAGAGCTATAGAATAATAAAGACTTAACTATTTTAGATAATAAGAACTAAGAGAGAATTTAAAGTAATAATTTAAAATTAATACCTTAAAAGAACACTAGAGAGATAGATTTTAAAGAATTATTTATAGTTATAATACCTCCTTATTAGGAGTAAATAGAGTAGTATAAAGGTAATATATTTATATAAGTAGATTAGAAAATAGTATTATACTAGAATTACTTTTCTAAGAAGAAGAAAAGGAATTATAGACTAGTAGATTTCACTAATTATAAAAGAAAACTAATTATAATAAGATATTAAGAATTATATTAATTAACTAAAGTAATAAATAATTACTAATTAAAAGTTTAAGTTAAACTTTATATTAAGAACCCTATAAGATAAGGCCTTAGCTAACTAGAATAAATTATTATTATTACTAGGAGGAGGTGCTAATTCCTCTAGGTAAGTCTTAATATAATAAGTAAATACCTAAAGATCCTAAAGAACTATAGAAAGATTATAATAATTACCCTAGTTAATATAACTTACTAGCTAGGGAATATAAACTCTATTAAAAGGATTTTTATAACTAAATAATAATAAAGAAGAATAATACCTAATAGGGCTCCTCTTTAGGGCTACTAATAAGGTACTTACTAAAATATAAGAAGGAGTTATTATAATAAAACTAATCTAAGAGAGAGAGAGAGTTAATCTAATTAAATTATTCTAAATAAAAGAGAGAGTTATTAAAGAAGAACTAATCTAAAAATAAAATAAAGTTACTATAATAGAATAATATCCCTTAGCTAGACTAATTACTACTACTATAGAATATTTTAAAGAAAGATAATACTTCTTAGCTAGAGCCTTCTTTACTATAGGAGAAGAGTCTTTACTATAAGAAATACTAGATAGACCTATCTTTACTATAGGAGAAGAATCTTTACTATAAAAAATACTAAAAGAATCTATCTTTATAGTAAGAGAATTAATATTACCTTCTATACTAGACTATATATACTTATTATTATTTAGAGAACCTTTACTAATACTATTATCTAACTTCTTACTATAATCACTAGTTACTACTACTAGCTTAGTAGGCTAATTATATAATTTATTATTATAATTAATAAGGAAACTAAGACCACTAGCTTAAATAATAAATCTATAAGAGTAAAAAAGATTAGTAACTATAGATAAAAAATATTTACTAAGGAGAATATATACTTATTAAGAGTATTAGAATCTTATATATAAAAGTCCTATATATAGAATAAATATACTAATTCCTAATTACTCTAAGTATAGTTAGCATAGGACCTCTAAAAAAATATAAATCTATTATAACTAGGAGTAGAGATACATCCCCTAAAGGGACTCTTATCTAAAGAATAATTACTATAAGCTAATATATAATTATAAGATATATCTTACTATTAGAGAATAGTAGCTAATATATAACCTAAATAAGTATATTCCTTTATATCTAGCTTCTCCTTCTTATTAAATTTCTAGGTAATTAAGTAAATAATATCCATCATCTTTAATATACTTTTATTAGGTTTATTAAGATAAGCTTCTACTACTAATAAGAGATAATTACTAAAGCTAAGAAGAATATTTACTAAACTTACTAGAAGTAACTATATTCTTCTAATAGATAAGATAGTCTTTATCTTTCTTTTATAGAGTATCTATATTTACTAAGTATAAGAAGAATATAAAAGATTAATATATAAAGAAAGAGACTTACTAAAAGAGAGATAGTAATTAATATAATAAAAAGAAAGATAATTATAGGAGGAGAAAAGAGAAAGAGAAATATAAGAGATAAAAAAAATAAGTAAGATAAAGTAGAGTTATTTAAAATTAAAATAAATAATATATAATCTTACCTCCTCTCTATTATAATAACTATACTAGTAACCCTACTTACTAAGTAATCTAATACTACCCTCTAAGTAATCTAATATTACTTACTAAGTATAATCTAATATTACTTACTAAGTATAATTTAATACTACTTACTAAAATATAATTTAATATTACTTACTAAAGATAAATCTAATCCTACTTACTATATGTAATATTACTCCCTTAAACTATAAGGATCTTTTAGTAAGAAGCTAGATAACCTACTAAGGATAGGCTTTACCTTAAGTAGGGGAGGATATAATATTAGTAAATAAATATTATAAATAGATTAATAATTATTAAGGTTAACTTTAGGTTACTAAGGTTAACCTAAGAAATCTCTATAATATCTATAACTTATCTTTTAGATAGATAGCCAGTAGCTAGGTATAAATAGAAGATCTTACCCCAGGTAAGTGAAGAGGCATTAGCCCAGCCTATTTCTCTTCACCCCTGGTGATACTACCTTACCCTTAGTACTACCATAAGTATATACCTAGTATATACTAGAAAACTTTTATAAAAATATTATTTTTATGAAACTATAGTATATTTTATCCCTAAGGGCTAAAAGTTAGCTAAGGTTAGAAAAGTTTTTTCTATAGGGAATCTAAAAAGCTGGCCAAGGTTAGGTTGGGCAAAATTTTTCTAACCTTAGCCAGCTCTTCTTGGCCAAAATTTTCTAACCTTGGTCAACTGTAAGCCCCTTATGTGCTACTTTACATGACTGCAAAATACCCCTAATTCTAAATGTAGCCATGCAATCTCATGATAATTGTCAATTCTGGAAGTGAAAATGAGTTCTTATCACTAATATATGTCAAATTTGACATGGAGAATTTTCATTGAACATACATAATGCCTCAAGGCTATATACCATGCTTTAGGTACTAAATGGCCATCAATAGTGTATATATGTCACTGACATGCACTCAGCTCTCTCATTTGAAGTTCTATATCCTACTAGCTAGCTATTAATCTACTTGTATTCGAGTCTGTTCGTTTGATATAGAGAAGCTGCTTTATCCCGCCACGCCCCAGATATCCGCGATCTTCTTACTGAGAACCTTCCCCATCTTCTTCCGGCCAACCAACGTCTTAGTCCGTTCAAAGACCAAATCGTCTCGATCCTTGGGGTCCAGCTTCTCGAACGCTTCGATGAATTCCCGCGGGGTGGGCCACCGCTTCTGGATCTCAAGGGCCTTGTCACCTGTGACGCCTCTCGTGCACATCAACATCTTCAGGTACACGTCGCGAAGGGACAGGATGTCGGATTTTGACGTTAGCGCGGAGAAGGTCGAGAATGTGACAGCGTAGGTTATGGAAGGGTTTTGCGCTCGGAGACGCTCGAGCGTGGTTAGGTATGACTCGGCAGAGGAGAGCTGTCGGCTCGGGATTAGGCGGAGGGTGTGTGTCGGGGGCGAGAAGCAGTACATTTTCTGCAGGAGGGATGTCATGCGAGCGAGATAGCGGATTGTGTCGTCGAGGTTTTTCGTCTGCTTGACAAAGTAGCCGTTGACGACCTGCGTCGAGGCGATGGCCGAGGCGACCATTTCCTGGTATTTGATGGTGGAGGGATTGCCCATGTCCTGGAGGACGGCGGCGTATTCTTCGATGAGGTAGATCACGTTCTTGATCCCGGAGCGACGGAGACGGAATTTCTGCTCGTGGAAGCGCCCGTCTTTGATGGAGCCGATCAGGTCGTCCAGTCTCTTCCGTTCTACGATCCAGTCAAGCATCGCTTCGTTGCATTCCTCCCCGTACTGGAAGAGGAACGATGGGTCATTGCATCTGGCAACCCACATCGCATCGCCCAGCTCAAGCGCACGAACTTCAGGGGTGATGCCCTTCTTGCTCAGCTCATTGGCAATATAGTCTCGGTCTTTGGATGATCGGACTTCGCGCGTGTCCAGTACCAGCTGAACCGTGAAACTGTTGGCGGGGAGAGTGATGGGTTCTATTCGGGAGTCATCAAATGGTTTCTGAGTCTGGATTTGGTCGTGAATCTGGATATCCTCGTCATCTGCACAGGCTTCATCACGGAGGAAATCGGGAGCAGCTAAGCCATGGTCCCTACGGCGTACACCGGCGTTGGTATCCTCTCCGTTCTCGCTAAATTGCTCCATCGCAATTGTAGTCTGCCCTGGTCAGATTCTTGTTTCGATTGCGCTAATGGTGTCTTACCGATCGATGCCTGAACGTCAGTGTGCTCTGTTCTGATCCTGGCAAGGTCTTCATGATCCTCTTCGCAACTTCCCAGCCTTCCTCCGTCAAAGCGTATTTCCGAAGCGGGCGTCCGTGGTCGTATACAAGTTCCTTCTGCATGAGGGTTTTCATCGAACTCCAAGCCGTGTAGAACTTGGATGCGTCGGGAGGCACAGTGAAGGAGTTGTCACAATGAGGCTGCGCCTTCTCAATCAACTGAGCCTTTGTCAAGCCTTGGGAGGCATTCTCGTCAAGGGTTGCTAGACCCAAGAGCAGCGCATAAGGACCGGACCGGAGACTGGGCACGTATGGCTTCGCTTTTCGTTGTTTCTTCGCTGGTTGACTATCTGGATCCCCTCCGTCGGATTGCCTCTTATTTGCTGCTGCCTTCTGAGGATGTTCAGGCATCGGCAGGCCATTTTCCTCACAATACGCCTTTAGTCTGTCCGTTAAGCGATCACATAGCTTGGGTCCAAGTCCGTTGAGTTGCTGTGCCTCAGACGGATGCTGGAACACCAGTGGACAGGCTTTCATCGACTCATAAGCCTTTTTGTACCTGAAGTGATTGAGTCTCAGTAACTCCATGAACACCACTGAGACCATGCGTACTCACACAGTGACCCCTTTGCTGCCACGCTCGCGAGCCTGGTCTAGCCATTCTTTGAGCCATCCCAATAGCAAGGGATTCGCACAGGTGTCGTCCATGCTTTCTTCCATTCACGGACGGCCCTGACCATCTATCATGATCTTGCACATAAAATGAGGTCCGTGTGAGGCTGTGGTAGTAGAGCTTCCCATAGCAACTACATCGATTGAAGTATCAACGCGTTTTCTCTGTACTCGACGCGTATTTCCTCTTTTGGCAAGATTGGACAAAAGTGGCTTCGGTCTGTGGCACAGTCGTCACGTGATACGTATCACATCATCAGTCAGCATACCCTGGCTTATCATGTGACAGGGGTTCCAGGAACAAAGTCTACTATTGTATACAAATAATTCCACTTCTTTATCGTTGGGATGTGAAGCTTCCTGAAATTAGCTGACATCACCTCTGGTCATCTCACTACGATCATCAACTTACGCTTCGACATCAGCGTCCCAGAGAGCCTCTTGTCCGATGAGAATGGCCGACGAGAGACGAGCAACTTCAGTGGTTCATCAAAGACTCCAGCAAGATAAACTGGAGAAGATGACGTCGATGGTCCCCGCAACAGGCAAAGCTCAGCATCGGCAGACATAAAGGTCGAAGTGCACATCCATGATGTAAATAGGTTCTTCTTGATAGAACACAAACTGTCCTTCATTTCAGTTGCTCTTTGGTTTCGTGTCATACGACAATGTCTGATGCACCAGAGTCGCTTCGGGCTCCCTTGCAGGAGCTCGACAAGAGTCTCATGAAAGACGAGATATCTCATGATGATCTTGGGCCGACTGACAGTCATATTCTATCCCAGGTAGAGCCTGAGGAGGAGGCCAAGGGACTTGCGCAGAAAGCCGGAGTCACCAATAAGGTCTCAGACATTGGCTGGGGGGAGTCCGATGAGATCGAGGAGCGGATAGTGACAGGATTGTCCAACGAGGACCTCTGGATGCTGATCAGGCGTTTTAACAAGGTAAGCCTGCCTTGAGAGCGTAGAAAGATCAATAATCCTGACATGGCACAGCAAATATATTGTGTGAAAGCTGTGCCCAACGCCCCGTTACAGAGACTAGATCTCAATCGCGCGGAAGATGAGAACTTCTCTCCAGATAAGCTACGTGCTACTTTGGAACGATTCTACACGACTGTAATTATTGGCTTGACGAATTTTGTCAAGCACATTGCCAGGCTCCGTTCATGGAGAGAGCCTCGGCGGACTTCGGCGTTTTGTGCGGTATGCTGAGCCGAACAATCTCGTCCGCGGTCAATCGGAGACTAACCTATTGCCACAGGTGTACTTTACAGCCTGGCTTTTGGACTTCCTCGTCCCGGCCTTCTTTGGTACACTTCTCCTTCTTGTTGTCTGCCCCAAATCTCGAAAACTGCTTTTTCCACCTGCGCCAATCGCCTTGGTTGACACTGCTACCGGTGGAGTACAAAAGCCGAAAGCAGGCGTGCTCGGCTCGCATAACAGCGTGACTGGAGCTCCCGAGAAGTTCAAAGGTGAAGCAGCTGAACAAGAAGCCAGTAATCTGATCGCCAGCGTTGCTACAGTTGCGGTGGGAAGCGCCGCCGGCAAACACGACCAGGGAACTCCTGAGGACGCTCCTATGGAGTCATCGGTCCCCGACGCAATGGACATGGTTTCCAAGACCGCAGACGCGCAAGCTGCTGCCGCCGGCGAGGTGCCGGCCGATTCCCACGACAAAACTAGACAACCCATGAGGGATACGGTATTGAATGCGGCCAACCAGTCGATGCGGGTGCTCAGTGACGTCGTTGATACTTATGAGCGGCTTGGCAAGTAAGCTATCCCTAGATGTGGACGTATGATATGGCTCCATACTCACTAGCTATAGTGCCCTTTCACCAGTTCCCCCTTTCTCTGCTACGACCCCCTGTTTACGGCTATCGGGTGTGCTCGTATCCGGGCTCTTAGCATCCTTGTTGACACCGAGCTACGTTTTCATCAAGCTCAGTACCTTTTTTGTCGGACTTGGCTTCTTTGGAGATCCGATCCTCCAGCGTGCAATGGTGTACATGAACCACGAATTCCCGCATTGGCAGAGAATCCTGGAACTGCAAAAGTAACGCGCGAACGAATCTAAAGATACTGTGATGCAATTTGCTAACAATCCTCTAGCTCCCTTCTGAAGGGCATTCCCACCAACGCTCAGCTCACCCTGACCCTCCTCCGCATCGGCGAAGCCAACGACGCGCCTTTGCCGCCTCCCCCCTCAAGCTCTCTCCACAAAGCGCCGTCGAGTGCCGCCTCGCTCAACCATGAACAACTGACTCTCGGGGCGACCGAGGAGGAGATCGACCGCGCCGCAGCACCCGCGCCAGGCTCACAGCCCCCGGAAGCGCCAACGGCTGCCGAGCCACCGAAGAAGAAGAACCTCGGCTCCCGAATCATCGGCTTCTTCAAGGGCTCCACGGCGACCGGAATCGAAACGAAGCTGGCGGTCGATCGCGTCCGCGCACACGCGGGCTCCAACCAAGCCAAGAACCACCTCGGCATCCTCCGCAAAAAAGGCGAGGAGACCCTGCCCTACGGCCCCGTCGAGTTCGATGCCAGATACAAGGGCAAACACGGTACGGTAGTCATCGACTCCACCCAGAAACCGCCACTGCTGTACTTCACGACCGACCCCAGCGTGGTGCAGGGCGACTACAGGCTGGAGAGCCGGAAGAAGGGCACCGTGCTCTTTTCCATCCCCGTGACGGAGATCCACGAGATGCGCAAGATCGGCGGCATGGGCTGGAAGGGCAAGCTGGTTGCGGGCTGGGCTGTTGGCGGCAAGGAGGTCGTGGATGGTCTGGTTATCACGGGGACGCGGCTGGATGAGGCGTATCAGCTGACGGCGTTGACCACGCGGAATGAGCTGTTTAATCGTCTGGTTGCCATTGATGGACAGGTTTGGGAAAGCTTCTGATGATCGACATGGTACATGTGCTGAAACAAACCCAGGTATGGAAATAAGAACTTCGTCCAAGATCTAGATCCAATCTAGAGGCCGAAGGAGACAGGACGGAGGAAAGCTGGGAGGATGAGATGATATATTATCATATGCTAACGACTTGATGCCTGTTCGTTTTCTCATGCATTTTGACTTTATCTCGAGAACTGTATATTTTCATTTATCTCATTGGTATAACGACCCCGTCTAGGGGAATGTACAAAAAATCTAGAAATACAACAGAATGGTATATTCTATATTAACAAGAAAAAAAATAAAATAAAATAAATCAAATCAAATCAAAGTAGACTCGTCCATCACTGCTTCGCCACCTCCTGCTCATAGTACTCCCTCACGGCCTGCTCGAAGGACGAGTCGCGCTTGAAGCCCAAGGCAATGGCCTGCGAATTATCGAAGCGCGTCGGCCACGAGTCCAGGATTGGGCGGAGCGTGGGGTCTTCCTTCTCCGTCAGCAGCGCCAGCTTGTCCTTGCCGCCGACCTTCTCCAACGCATCCATCATCTCCTGGACGGTGACACAGATGCCGGGCACATTGATCGAGCGGATGTGAGGCGGCACAGCGTCAGCGGCGAGCGTGAGGGTGAGGAGAAGGTTCTGGACGAGCGTGCCGGGCGAGCACAGCCAGGACTTGAACGAGCGGTTCTCGACGGGGATGACGCACTCCTGGCCGGCGAGCGGCTCGCGGATCATGCCGGAGAGGAAGGACGAGGCGGCGGCGGTGGGTAGGCCCGGGCGCACGGAGATGGTGGGGAAGCGGAGGGTGAAGCCGGTGATGAAGCCGCGGCGGGTGTACTCGTTGACGAGGGTTTCGCAGATGAGCTTCTCTGCGCCGTAGGAGCCCTGCGGGGTGGGGATGACGGAGTCGTCGACGACGTCGGGGAGCGGGCGGCCGTAGACGGCCTGGCTGGAGGAATAGATGAAGCGGACGCCGGGGCAGGTTCTACGCAGGGCCTCGAGGAGGGTGCGGGTGGCGTCGACGTTGACGCTCATGCCTAGGTCGAAGTTGGCTTCGGAGCCCGAGGACATGATGCCGTGGAAGGCGAAGACGGCGTCCAGCGACTTGTTGACCACCTTCTCGGCGCCGGCGAGAAGATCGGCCTTGATGGTTCTGGCATTCTGGGGGTTCTTGACGCCCTTTGGCACGGGGGGCTCGTTGATATCGGTCAAGATGACATGGTGCGAGGGATCGTCGAGCAACTCCTTGGCGAGCAATTGGCCGATGAACCCGGCGGCACCTGTGATGAGAATCTGCATCTTTGACCTGTGAGTAGACGTTACGCTTGAGATGTGAGTGTGACAGTCTATAGACTCCCCTGAAGGGACACACCGGCGCTTTTGAAGTAGTCTACCCCATGGTGGGGAGGTCTCCGCATTCGCATCAAATCCGAGATTGTTCTGTTCTCCGCAGCCGGACTTGAGCCGGTGAGATGGAGATGATGAGACGATGGTACGATGGTACGATGATACGATGATTAGAGGTGGTGTAGGCGATAAACCAGATCAGCATCGACCCGGGGACGTCTGGAGCGTGGAATTAGTTTCTCCAGGGCCAGAAATGTCTGGAAAGGGTGAGCATGAAGCTCACAAAGCGAAAGGCTTTGGCGGATGGATCCACGCGCACTGCATGACTAGGTTGGGGAAGGGGGATTGTCGGAATGGCAGTCATTGTCACTCGAAAGAAAGATATCCAGAGCCTAATGAGATGAGAGTCGTGCTGGTTGGGTTCGTGAGTACGTTGGAAAGGTCAGTGGTGTGCTGGTGTTTGTAGATATTTGGCCTAGGTTGGACCCCATATTGGCGTACAGCAAGTAACTTTCTGGCTATGTTGGATTCGACACTCAGAGGAGATGAAGATAACAATGTCTATAGTAGTATTATGAGATACGAGTTAGTAGCAATTGGCCTGAGCTCCTGCTATCTAGATATCCTTTTCTACTGATGCTTCTCTCTCTCTCTCTCTCTCTCTCTCTTTTCAAGCGGGGTCATTCATCCCACGTTCTCCGGCTTTTCTCCCCCACTGTTTGTTTCTTCTTTTCTCTCCTCCTCCCCGTATGGGCCGTGTCTGTATTCTGTACTCTGTCAATGCCTCACTCACTCACTCACTCACTCACTTAATAATATTATTATTATTCCAATAATGAACCATCTTTGCATTGTCTAATTCAACAAGCACGTCACCTTCCCCCCCCCACAATAATCTTCCCCTCCCAAGACTTCGTCGCTTCGCTGCATATCGCAATTCCACGCCGGTTGGTCGCATAGTGCCGGAGCATCCCCGATCACTTGTCGCAAAGTCGCAAGTCGACACAAACTAATTTGATCATCCTCATGAATCGTTCAGACCTCAAGCGCTCGTCTTCTGAAGTCGGGCTGGAGGGTCCTCGCAGATATGATCGCGGGTCCTCCGTACTCGATAATCGACCTCCTCCTCCGAGGATCTCCAAGGCTCGGGCTTGTGAGTAGTTTTTCTTTCTTCTTTTTCTGATTTATTTGACGTTTCCCAGGGTTCCCCTGAATGAGCGCCAGAAGTGGAAGAACGACAATGCGGATTTCGAACTAACGTCGGAAAACTGCAGGTGCGGAGTGCAAACGACACAAGATCAAATGCGAGTTCAAAGCAGGCGAAACGAGTTGCACTAAATGCTCAAGAAGCGGCGTCAAATGCGTGGTCAATGACTTCTCACAAAAGTTCGTGGACGACGATGGGATGTATGTATGATCTACTATCAGGGATCGATACTCTGTCTCGGTCACCGTGCCTGTTCGTCCTAATCCCTTCACTCTTAGATGGAAATCCCAGGCAGCGTCTGCGATCCACCAGCTCCAGGCGGCCGTAGGAGACCTTTTGCGGCGGAGTGGCCTTTCAGACCTCTCTACATACGGCGCGGGTGAAAATCAAATCGGACCCAGTCCTGTCGCATCCCATCATAACGGACTTGGCGCCTCGATAGACGGACCGCAAGCGAGTCCAGGTCAGAACGGCCCCGGCGCTTTGTTGGATGTGACTCGAGAACCCTCGCAAGAACCAGATCTCCAGGGTCCAGAGCTGGTCCCAGCTCCTATGCGCAGCCTTTACGAGGTCACCAAACTGCGGAATCTACGAAATAATCCCGTAGAAAAGCCGAGGCTAACGCTACTGGAGGAGGACTTCATCTCGCGGGGACTGATCTCCCTCCATGAAGCCGAGGAACTCTTCGCATACTTTAGTCGGACGATGAACCAGCTCTTGTGGGGAGGGATTATCCTTGTGCATCGGGATCTCACTTCGGTTCGAAGAGCATCTACCCTGCTGTCTGCGGCCGTTCTGACCGTCGCGGCGCTTCACATTCCCAATCGCACGGAGACGCTAAATCGATGTTACAACGAATATGTGTCGCTTGTATCCAGCATGTCCCTGACGCGAAGCCATACTCTAGACGACATCCGTGGTCTGTGTGTCGGCGCCTTCTGGTTGTCAGAGCTTAGCTGGAAGCTCTCCGGACATGCGGTGCGTATAGCGACAGAGCTGGGCCTCCACCAGAGTTATCAACGGATGATCCGTGGGCACAATGAGCAATATGAGCGCGCGCAATTGTGGTACCTTCTGTATGTCTGCGATCATCATTTCAGCATTGCGTATGGCCGACCGCCCGTCATCCACGAGGACGTATCGCTCAAGAATTATGAGACCTTCCTCCAATCACCCATGGTCGTTCCGGGCGATATTCGACTATTGGCGCAAGCCGCCCTGTTCATGATCCTTACGGAGGCCTATCGGATGTTTGGAAGCGACACAGAGCAAGCGCTTACCGAAGAGGACTTTGGCCAGCTACGAATCTACAACGTTGCGGTTGATCAATGGCGCCTACTGTGGCAACCACGGTCAGGTAAGTCTCCTCATGGGTGGTTTTCGAACGACCGTTCTGACCTTTTTCTTCTTTTTCGGTTTCTTTTGCAGCGGATAGCCCCTACGTCAGGACATATCCTTCCAAGGGAGTGGTGCTTCATTATCACTTTGCCAAATTTCAACTGAACTCGCTGTCTCTACGTGGGCTCTCGCCGACGAATACACCGGTCTTCTCCATGGACCGCAAAGAGTCAGCCAATATCGCGATCTCGTCCGCGGTGGCCTGCCTCAATATGGTCCTGGAGGAGCAGGATATCCGCGATGCCATTGTGGGCGTGCCCATCTTCACCCATACCATGGTCACTTTCTCCGCCGTGTTTTTGCTCAAGGTGGCCGTGAACTGGAATTCAGCCTACCTTAGCATTGACGGCCGTCTGGTGCGCCGTCTGGTGGAGCGGGTCATTGAGCTGATGAACTGCGTTTCCGCGGGCGAAAGACATCTGACACGACACATTGCGCGCGGTCTGAGTAAGATGTTAGAGCGGTTCGATTCCTGGGAGAATGCGTGGCAGACCGGTCGGCTCGTCCACGCTGGGGGGGGCCTCGTTGGAGAGTCGGGGCCTGACCATCGACAAGACGGGGGGGATGTCCCAGGTGGTGCGAATGCGATGGCACAGGGCTTCCCGCCGCCGGATCTAATCTACGATATGGTCGGGACGTATGGCTTTGGGTTGGATGAGAACTTCTTGGACCCCAGCATGGCCAATTTTGAGTTTCTGGCGCAATGATTCTTTTTTCCCCTCGTTCTCGTGTGATACCCTGGAAGACGGGATTCCGATGTTTCATACATATACACCTATATAGTATATACATATATAAATCCCTCTCAGCCTTCAAGATCAGAGACTGTCTATTGTCATTTGTCAGATTGAATGATCAGATGTGATGTGAGACAAGATGAAGTCTGAACCCCTGCATGACGCTTCTCCCCGTTGTCTGTGTAGAGAGAGTTCAATCCACGTTAGATCCCGAGAAAGCACCTGCTGGTCATTTTGGTCATGGTTGGTAAGATTACTTACCGTACATGCGCAGAGTTTCCTGACATCATCATTATTCCTTGCTGATGCCGATGGGGTCTCATGCCACGCACTCTGCTCTATATACGCACGGCCAGGGCCAAGGGCATCCCGGATGAGTGCCTTGTGTGCGCTCTGAATTTCTGTTCAACAATTGCTTCTCTCCCCTGTATAACACTTGACTTGAATTTTGATCAATGAACCAGTTGTTTTTGACCATCAGGATAAAACCAATGAGACAACGATTGACGTGAATCTTCATTGACAGCCTCAGGAGAAGCCATCCATCCTGTGTTTGTGCCGAAAGTCACAAAAGACCAGATTAACTCTCACACTAAGGCCACTGCTATCATTGCCACTAATGTACACGCACTGGTGACTATCTCCATTGGCCAGATGTCTTTTATCCACTGCCTGGGCCTTAAGGCCAACAACTCGTCACATACTCTGTCCTCCAAGCTCACTCCCTCCCTCTCTCTATTTCTTTCCCTCTCTCCATCTCTCTCTTCTCTCTCTCTCGCTCTCTCTCTCTTTTGTACTTGTGCGCTCTCCTTCCTCTCGGCTCAATAGCTGGGCTACGCTATACTCATCCCATGTCTCTGCCACTTGCTGACCCGCAAGTTCGCAACTTTGTTTCCCATATGCGGCCTTTTCTCCCTCCCTGTCGCTGAAGTAATGCTCTCCATTCCGTTGCCCCCCCTCTCTCCCCCCTTCCTGGCCCGGTCCTAAAGGCTGTGGGAGTGTGGTACATACGTCCCCCCCCCCCAATCTTGAGTCTGATTCTGGTTTTACTTCCACTGTCCTTCTGCAACTTAGCCCCCGTAGTCGAGCTGAGCTACCTTCCCTAGGATCCTTAGAATTCTCCCCCTACCCTACCTACCCTACCCTGTCCTGTGTCCTGTCTTGCGCCCTGTCTCTTCCTCTATAATTTCCTGCTTCCCCCTCTCTCCCGCCCACACTTACTCCTACCATTCTCTCCTTCGTCCGTTCCTGTCCCATCTGAAGTGAAGGCCCTGCTACCTATACTTGGGACCTTCCTTTGTATCTATACATAAACTACCTCAACCCATTGATACCGATTTTTACTCTCTCTTTCTCTCACGCGCCTTTGCGCTCTGATACCTCAATCACACCCCTTCTAGTTCCGCCATGACCACCCGTAAGAGAAAGCAGGAAGCCGAGGAGGAGGAGCTCGTCGCGCTTCCCAGCGACGAGAGTGAGGAGGAGGAAGAGTAAGTCGATGCTCCCCCATTCCCTTTCCTCATGTAGTGCGTCCATTTCCCATACTGTGCGCGTTTGCGACTACGCCGGCGCCGGGAGGGACCGCGGAGGGTGTCATCGCATCTTAGCTATCAGCAATGCGGATGAATGCATTCTTGCTTCAACGGATCAGCGTGTCGCTCCCACCCCCCCCTTTGGTCAAGTGATTCATTTAATTGTCGCAAGATCGATGGAGCTGACTGACTGACCGTCCCTTCGCTTGACCAGATACGAGAGCTCCAACGTAGACGAGAGCGAAGACGAAAACGGTAGCGACGAAGAAGGCAGCGAAGAAGACGAGTTCGAAGAGGAAGAGGAAGAGGAAGAGGAGAAACCGGCAAAGGAGAAAGGTACACCACCCTCCCTACCTCCCTCTGCCTCTGCTGATAACTTGTGCTAACACTCTGCTTCTCCTAGAACCACCCACCAAGAGACGCAAGACAGCCGCTGCAGCCGAAGCCGAAACCGAAGAGGTCAAGGACGAGGGCAAGAAAGACGTAATCGAGAAGACCAACGGCAGCCGGAACGGCAACGGCGTCGCCAAGCAGAACGAGGACGAGGAGGAAGACGGCGAGGGTGAGTTAGAAGAAGAAGAGGAAGAGGAGGAGGAAGAAGAGGAGGAGCCCGAGGAGACGGCCAAGACCAGCGGTCCTGCTGCGGCGGCCGTCAAGGCAAAGGGGAACGTCGTTCCCAAGGAGCCGGAGGTTGATGTCGGGGCGGAGGAGAATGAAGAGTAACTTCGTTTCCCCTTCTGCTCTAGGTAATGAGTATTCCCGCTGTATCTTGGACGGGATGGGGATGTCTTGATATGATATGTAATCGAACGCGATGAAGTTTTTTTTTTTGCTCTTTCCATCTAATGCAAGTGTGCGGATTCTGGTTAAGAGTCATCTTGGTCGCTAATGTTTGAAGATGACATGTGGATGACAATAAGTCTACTCCTGCAGAACCTGGTGATAGATATACTTCAATTCATTAAGAGTTGAATATGTGCGCATAGGCAAATGGTATGAATGCAGAATAGGATATCCATCACACAGAAAATGAAAAGAACAGAACAGAAAACAACCGCTGTCCGGTCAATCAGCCCTAAGAGAAAGGAAGGAATCACTAGGCGGGGGATCAATTTCGCTATACGTGATGAATAAGGAGAAGACTACAAGAACAGGTCACCCTCATTATATTGTTAGGGAAAAGGCCGTTGTCGTGTTCAGCCGTCGCTTCCGCTGCTGCGGAACGTCGCGCACAGCTGGCAGTATTGGTGTGTGAGGTCGAGAACAGGCTGCGGCAAGTTCGTCGCCTGCACGATGCTGCGCACCTTGACGGCGCCTTCGTCCTCGATGAGCTTGCGGATCAGGTACAGGAGCTGGGGCGAGAACTATCGGATGGTCAGTTTGGAGGCTGGATCTGGGATCAAATGGAAAGACAAGACAAGACGTACCTCGGAGTACCAGCGGTACTGCCAGGCGATGAGCCGGATCAAGGCGCCCAACATGCCCCGGGTGTCGTGCCGCTTCTCGTACATCTTCAGGACCCCGCGCATGGCTTTGGGCGAGAAGCGGATAGACAGGCAATGCTGGTAGGCCTCGATCGCCTCATCAAAGTGATGCAGTCGCTCCGCGAGTTCACCCAGGATCTCCCACTCGGTCGCCGATTTCTTGTACTCGATTGCCTGCTGGCGGAATTGGGCCATTTCCGTGCGCCAGATGGTATAGATCCGGAGGTCTTCGTACAGAACCATAAAAAGATTATCCAACCAGCGCTCACACAAGCGTTTATTTCTAAACTGTGCGTATGAAGTATGCGACGGATCGGGCTGGAAATTATCAGCAATCGCAACACGGGGGAAAAATAAGGTAAGGAACCGAATGCTCACATCGTCGTTGCCCGACTTGACCACTTCTGATGCCATTGACTGCTCTGGTTTCTCGATAGAACTTTCAACCTGTTCATGGCTATCGTCATCGCCGTTGGTGGCCTTCTCCACCGTGCTAGTTTCCTCGTCGCTACCCGAGCCATCCTCGTGTTCACCATTACCGTTGGTCTCTTTGCTTAAAGCCTCATCCACAGAGCTAGTGCGACCGGCTTTTGGCGCAGGGTGCTGGCGCTCAACCCGGTATTCCTCTTCCATAACGAAAACCTCACTACGGATCTTGAGAAGCTGGTCCCAGCCAATCGCCGAGGCGATCTTCGTCAGGAGATTGTAGGCCTTCAGGAAGGTTCCCTGGTAGGCCGCAGCGTGCAATTTGCGCAGAGACGGGTGAACGTAGTCGTGGGGATCTCCTTGTTTCGGTTGGCCCTCATCAATTTCGTCTAATATACTTTCCGCAAGGATGGGAAGCATGATCCGCGATGGTTGAGGCATCCGCGGCGTGTCCTTATCCTGGTAAGTAAACATGGGACATGAGTTCAGGGTGAGTAGAGCCAAATCCCACTGTTCGAGCGAGACATATACTTCGGCAAGCCGCGCCCATGTACTGAACTCGCTGGGCGCAGCCGTTACCGCTCGTTTCGCGCACTCCAGGGCCAGCTCTCCTTCTCCCTTGTCCATACAGAACGCTGCCTGACAGTCGAGTAATGAATAGTCCATCGGTACGTCCTGAAGAGCATCGTACATCAACCGCACAGCCTGTACTTCCTCGTCTGCCATCAAGAGAACCCTGGCCAGCAGCGACGAAACCTCGACGTCGCGGGTTCGGAGTTTCTCGAAGAGGTTGACTCCTGAGGTGTAACGGCCGGTTGTTTGGATGTACTTGAGAAGACCAGAGGTGAGGTGATTGCTGACAGTGTTCGGTACTTGCGTTTCGGGGTCGGAGCTGAGTTGTCTCCCTACATAAACCAAGTCAGCTTGAGCCTGTGAGTATAGGTTTACTGGGAGACGTACCAAGGAAGAAGAGCCTCTCCGCAGCTTCCAGAAACTTGTGCTCCATCTCCGTATTGGTGACTGGGTTGAATCGCCGCACGCCAACAATCTTCCGAATGGCATCACCGCTACCGTCGTCCGCATAAGAGTACGCCCTCAGAACACCACACAGGAAAGTCTCGAGCCATAGTGCGTCGGTAGCAACACGCTTATCGCCCCGCTCATCGATGCAATAGCTCTCCAGACTCCCGGGAATCTTCACCTCGACACGCATATCCAGATGGGAAAAGGCATTGTAGCAGCTAATTGATGTCAGTGCCACAACTCAATTGAACTCATCACCGAGCTCCTAACCAGTAGATGCCAGAAACCACTTTGTGTGTTTTATCGAGCGGCGAGAAGGTCAGCGTATTGACATATGCGGCCAAGCTGGCGGAGGACGAGGCATCGATTCCGGTGACGTGATGATAAACTCCGGTCTATATCCATTGCGGCCTTATCAGTCTGTTCCAATTGTATACTGCAATCCCCATTCTCTATCCACTAAGCAAGAGAGTCGCCGTAGCTGCTAAAACGTACCTGGTGGGTTGCGTTGGTCTTTGATTTCTTGACCAAGTATACCAAGTCTGGAGGACCTAATTCTCGCAAATTCTGAAGCGACTCCGTTCGCGCATCGACCGCAGCATAGATATCCTCCTCCTCGAATATCCTAAAGACAATAAAGGGGTCAGTCACAGCTCAATGGCGGGGACCGAGGACGATGCTGGTAAATAGCAAGCAAGCCCTCTCCTCAGGAACACGTAAACTGAGGGGGCAAAGGGAAACAACGTACTCAGGAACAGCTGGCGCAACCATGGCGCATGAAGAAGCGCAGTGGCTTTCTCGATGGAGCCAGACAATGAAAAGAAACCTGCAGCTTGACGACCGCTCAGAGACGAATGGCGCAGGAATCACAGATGAGCTGCAGGTCCGATGGGTTTGGTTTAATCTTCGAGCGTCGTAATCTGTAACAAAAAGCACGGTTGTTTCCCGTATTATTACGGAGTACAAGTCGGTGCCTGGACCGGCATCCTCAGGCATCAACGCTATGCTTCTTCGGGTAATCTGAATCCCTGGGAACGCGTGATGCGTGTCGCCAATCAAATCGCGATGCTGGCAAGGTCAGGTGTGAGCCGGACTTCATTCATCGGTCTTTTACTATCCCAGCTTCATCTCTGGAAGGCCTTCACATCTGCTTTCCGAAGTCAGCTTGAGATGTTGTCTACCGCGGCTGGATTACCACCGGTGTCAGGGAGCTTTTCGCCGGCGAAATAGACCGCCATCATGTCGAGTTGGGTGGCGTTGAACATCGAGCCCGACGAGGCCATCGAAGAAGAGATTGATGATACCAAGGAAATTCAGATCGAAGAAGCTCTCAAGCTATATCAGAATGCCTTAAAACTGCATTCACAGGGGCCGCAGTTCTACCCCCAAGCCGCAGAGGCTTATGAAGCCCTCCTTAATTCCGAGATCTTCAAATATCCTGAATCACTTTCCGATTACAAGAGATCTGCATTGCAAGACGTCGAGGCGAGTTTCGCGGAAGCCCCCGATGATATCGCCCCAGGGTCCGCAGAGTCATTTGTGGAATTCAACGTCAGCGACTCAACGTCAAGCACTCTGTTGCAGACAATCTATTTGTCCTATAAGAACTATGGGCAATACACCCTGGATTCTCTGCAAGCTTTCCTACAGAATAACCCTCAGACGCCCGATAATGTCAAAGAAATTTTGACCCAAGTCGGTGAGCGCACCCGGGCTGCATTGGCATCCTTTGCCGAAGCTCTGGAGCGAGATGACACTGATCTCAATCTCTGGAGACGGGGCGCGAGGCTAGGTAGCGCTCTGCAGAGCTTCAGGTTAGCTCGCTTCTGTCTGGAGAGCGTTTTGGCAGACGATGAAAATCGCCTGGAAGTTCGTACGGACCAGTTAGGCTTGGACGAGACGTTCGCAGAAGGTAGACTTCGGGAAACACTCCAGACGCTCAACGATCGGCTATCTGTATCTCAGGTTCCGCTAAAGAAACCGAAGAAGGCTCTTCTCAAGTTTCTCGAACGACAAAAGGATCCATACCCCTATCTTCCCAACCTTCCCGATGACCTGAACGATGAGAATTCCACCAGGAATCCGCTTGCTCTCCATGGCTCCCACCAGGATCTAGCGCCCTCATCTCATACGTGGACTGCTGTCGGTGACTCGGTCCTTCAAGCTCTGGCAGATACGGATGATGCCGTGGCTGGCTTCGCACCCGGTACCTCCATCAGCTTCTCCTTGCCAGACGTCGACCCTGAAGCCCAATCGTTGACGACCGCAGAGGAAGATAACCTCCCATCCTCCCATTCCCAAGATGTCGAACTTTATTCCACCCAAGTCCAAGATTTCGAAAGGTCTGCAAACTATGATGGAGCGGTAGCGCCCACGACTCCTGTTAAAGTCCAGGTCCCTGGGCCAACCTCAGAGCAGGCTGATGACCAATCTTCCGTTGACCAACACCTCGAGAAGCAGCTATTGGAGTCGTTGGAAAATCAATCTGCGAGACAACATGACGAACTTACTGCGCAAGAGGCCCCGAATCGCGACGAAGTTGAACCCCACCCAGCAAGCGCTGGCCGGAAGAGATCATCTGCGTCTGCTGCCAACGACGACTACCAAGCGGAACCCACTAGGACTAAAAGCAGAAGAACTCGTTTGCGCGAATCGAATGCGGAGGCATCGTTGCAATCCGATGAAGTTCCATTCGATCAAACGAAGTACTTTGAGGATCGCCTGCAAGTTTACATCGAGGCTGATGAGTGGATGTTTGCAACTGCGAGACCTCTTCTATCTAAAATCGGTGTTGAGGAGCTGGAAAACATCGATGAGTTGAGAAAGTTGAATTGTTCCAGCTTGAAAATCGCATCAGACGATACGAATGATTCGCCCATGTCAGCCGAACAAGTACTCCGCCGGGATTTGGGCGACATTGTTAAGAGTTGGGACGAGGCAAAATCTCAGGCAATCTTACAAGATGATAACACAGCCAATGTTCGGGACATGAAAGCCATGGATAGGTCTGGATTGGCCATTTTTCTAGACCATTCGAGAAAATCAATCCGAAAGCCGGGGTCGAAACCCACCTTTACCGGAGATCGGGAATTATTCACGTTCCTCAAGGGGATCAACGAAGAAAAGCTCAATCTTCATGAAGTAGCGTTCGCTTGGCTCAAATGTCTCTTAATGCCAGGGTACGGACAACTTGCGCCGAAACCCTCAAGAAAAGGCATACCTGCAGAGTCAACGTATGTTGCCTTTCAATGGCCAGGCGCACTCAAGGAGAATGTGGTAAAGATGTCGATTCACGATGATGAATACATCCATAAAAGAGCATCCGAACATGTACAGGAAACAGAAGATCAGATACTCCGCCATGCTTCTGGTTCTCCATTCAAATATTCGCATGAGCATCTTGCCTATATGGAGATGATCCAAACGATCTTTGAGATTCATCTTGAAGTCTACGCCTCCATCAACAATCCGAACAGCGAGGTTGATCAGAAAACAAGGGTCCTACAAAAAGATCGTCTAATGAGATGGAGCATGCTAGCGCGGACAGCTCTGACCCATTACTTGGATTATAGTTCATCAAGCAAAAACAAACAATACATGACCATCATTCGTCATCTGTGGGCGTCGACGTATCATTCGAATATGGAGCCGGATGTTCATCGAGAACATGTGCTGTTGTGCCTTCACGAGCTGAAGGAGGTCCTGATTCGTTCAAACATTCCAGTGATTTATCTTGTGAACAACGCTATCATGCCTGAGTTGTCAGCTGCGGCTATCGACCAGGAACTTTCGAAGTTGAACTCTATGGATTTCTTCATGAAGATTTTCAGCCCTGCTTCAGAGGATCCCGTTGAACTCATTGAAACTATTGAACCGATTCTTGAGCCCTCATCTGTTGAGATCATGGAAGAGGAAAATCCAGACCATACAGAGGTTGCACCGTCAAATTCACAACTAGCGGAGATGCGCTCGTTTCTAGACCGAGGGGACGCTACGCTGCGGCTGTTTCTGTGGCGAAGACTCCAGGATGCTTATCAGGCAATTGACTACCCACCCAAGGTAGTTTCCTGCCATCTACGCTGTGTCGAGACGATAATCAAAGAGCTTCTCAGCCCTTCGCATCTTGAAGAGCCTCTGGATCATCGCGAGGTCACATTGATCCGATGGCTTAAATCCCTGGGAAACATTTTGATCAAGCTGGTAACACTTGTGCTTCAGCAACCTGACAAGGCGTATGAGTGTCTCGATATGGCTCATCTCAAATCGTCGATGTCGTCTTTGGCCGTCTTGATGAACCTTTTACATAGCTTTGTGCTCTACGAAGATTCAGTACGTGTGGGCCAAACACCATCCCCCTCTGTGCGTGGCGCTTTATCCAAATCTCTGGAGAACTTTAGAGAAAAACTGCGAGAGATGGTCGTTCGCTGTTGGATTCTTCAGTATACTCTCCTCAAGGAAGCAATCGCCCAAAACCATGACCTCTTTGAGAACCCCCTTGAGGATCGCATCCTTCTCTTGCGTTCAGTACACAATGCGCTTGGCGCTCGCAAGATGTGCAAACGCTCCTCCAAGCAATTCCTCAAGCTGATGAAAGCTGAACTCTTTAGCATGGAAAGCAAGGAAGACTACGAGTATGACATTTGTCAAATCCTTCAGGATCTCTACGGTGTCAACTTATCTCCTTCCGGAATTCTCCTTTATGACCATGAGTGTCCACCAGAGAAGCTGGACCGTGCAACGGCTATCATGATGATTGAGTTTGTTATGAAGTTAGCCAAACGCATGAGCATCAAGGACCTGTCAAAGTCAGAATTGAAGTCCACTATTGAAAAGATACAGCAAGCGATTGGCACAACGAAATCACCACCACCCCTCACATACAATAAACGTATCCTTTCCGCTTACCTGAAGTCACCGCTCAACCCAACAGACATTTTTCGCGCTGTCAGGGGCGTCGCGGATCTCTCGTTAATCCCAGTATCCACGGAGAGTGCGGCTATTGCCCAGAATGGATGGTTTTTCCTCTTGGGGCATGCGGCATTGACAAAGTTTCGCTCTCAAAAGCGCTTGAATCCAGTTCCTACTACCGACCTGGACGATGCCGTCAGTTACTTCAGACAGGATCTGGAGCACGGTACAGGAAGATGGGAATCGTGGTACCGGCTGGCCCAGACATACGATTCGAAGTTAGAGGAGGATATTACATGGTCTGCAGACAAAATTAACAACAACCGGACAGAACTGGTAACATGGCAGCGGAATGCAATCCATTGTTACGCAATGGCCATTGCGACGGCCAAAAGGAACGCGGACCCGACTGCGGAAACTCGAGGGATTCTATCTGAGCTCTATACGGATTTTGGTATCCGTCTGTACTCGTCTTCGCGTGAACCCTTATCCATGAGCGCCTTCAGCCTGTCCGATTATACTCGCCCTTTCAGCAATGAAGAAAGCCAGCAAATGTATCAAGGACAACCTTTCAGAGAGATGAGGTTGTACTCTGTGTGGAATCTGGCGAGCTACCTTCTGAAGCGCGCAACCATCGACAAACCGAAGAGTTGGATGTGAGTTCTCAGCATTCCAGTATCAAGTACATTTCTAACGAATCAGGAACCATTACATGTTAAGCAAGTGCCTTTGGAAAATGTTTAGCTGTGATGATGCTGTCCGGGGCAATTCCAAGCGTATCAGTCTCGACGATTTCTTAGATTCGCTTCTTGACGCCATCGACACTCTTCCTCAGCGCAAGGATTCACGCTCGGATCCTATCTTCGAACCTCATTACAAATTGGTCTCTATCATCCACAAACTAGTTGAGCGAGGCACACTGACGGTAAATTTGAGCACTATTTCTCTTTACTTATTTACTAACTATCCTCTTAGCCCGCCGAAGGCAGCAAGACCCTATTGGCAACCCCATTAGCTCGGAAGGTGTCACCCCCTGAAGACAAGGCAGGCTGGAAGCCTTATATTATGGAAGTGCTTCGACGCCTGAAACATGCGGACAAGTCGAATTGGCATCACCGCATGGCGGTTAGGGTAAGAACATTCTACGCTTGAGGGCATGCAAGTGCACTAACCATGCTCAGGCTGCGCATATCACCTACGATGACAGCAAGGATGCTGCCTCCGCGGCAGCAGCCAAAGGCGAACTCACTCAGCAAATATTTACAAAGACAATGACAATCCAGGTCTGGAAACCCGAGTTCGAGCGGCCTGGTAGGCATTTCGTCTATACAACCCGATATGTTTACTTCTTTGTGAATCTCCTTGACCAGCTCGATGATCGCGTGAACCTGGACCAGCTCCTGCGCCGAGTGCGAAAGAAGCAAGGCGATTTCATCAACCACCCGAAATTGTGGGAGGACGTCTGCCTCACTTATGCGAGAGTCATACGCCGAGCAGGCAGCATCAGCGAAGGGCATGAGGAGCAGGTATTCAAACCGATCGGATGGGAAGAATTCGTCGCCAACACAGCCCGCCTGGAGAATCTCCCGCAGCTCGCCCCGGACAGCTCCATCCTCCTGGAACTGCTGCGGGACGCCATCGAGCTGAAGAAACTCAACAACAACCTCATGAAGGTCTCCCTGCTCGAAGACCTGATCGCCGATCTGTACTCGCGCCTCTACGAAATCAACATGCCCCAGGTCCTCGAGCAAGCCAACGAAGAAAATAAGGGGAAGATGAAAGTCGACCACCTCCTCATGACCAGCGACGGCGCCGCCGACACCCCAACCCCACCAAACTCAGCGCCTGCCTCCGAAGCCCCAGCACCCCGCGGCCGCACCAAGGGCATCGCCCGGCGCGACATCCAAAAACGCGCCGAAACCATCGTCAACCGCAAACTCGCCCCGCGCGCCCTGACCACGAAGACGCCCGCGCTCACAGAGGCCGAGCCGGCCGCGCCCTCCGAGCCGGCCGCATCGACCACAAAAAAACCTCTCAAGCGCGAAGATCTCGGAGCGGGCCCGCAGAGCGACATCCCCCACAGTATACAAGATAGCGCTGACGACGAGAGCGAGCTCAGCGAGATCGACGATGAAAAGTTGTCCAAGCTCGCTTTGGAGCGCAAGCTGCTATTTCCGAATCTGCGGGATCGGCTCTCGCCGGACCCGGAGTCTGAAATGTCCGTACCTGCCAGCGTTGATGGGGATATAGCAGACGAGGCAGGCGATGGGGATGCCGATCTAGGTGATGGTGATGGTGATGAAGGTGAAGGTGAAGGGGATGGTGACGTCGAAGGTGATGGAGAAGAAGGCGAGGAGGGTGTAGAGGCCGAGGGTGACGAGGCAGATCCCGAAGAAGATGAGGAGCTGGATGGGGACGAGGAGGACAACGGCGACGAGTGCGACAATCTGCAAGATATGGAAGATGCAGGAGAAGATCCCGAGGCCACCGAAATGCATGAAAAAGAGCATGCTTCCGAGCCTGAGCCGATGGAGACTTGACTGCATATCTCGACTGATACCAATGTCTGCGTTTCGGTACTTGTTTTTGGATATATTGAAGGTTTCATCATTCTCGGACAATTTTATGGGCTAATGGGTCTCTATAATCAATTTCTCAAGTCCGTGTCAACAGGCGTTAGGAAATATGTATCAAGCTATCATATCATGTACATTAGGCAAATAAAAAATACGTAATTATGAAGGTGACTGAATCCGTCAAACTCCCGAAGCATCCCCAAACGCCATCTAAATTAAGCCAAGATATCCAGTCTTTGGTATCGTGCAGAAAAGAGTAACAATCGCTAAATCGACAGCTTACCAGGCTCCAAGATCTTCTTCAGGGGCCAGATCCCATTTTCTTGTTGCCATCTTTCTCTGCTTCTTGCCGGGAGACGAGGATCCTGATGCGGCAGGCGAAAACATGCCATCAGCTAGTTTAAGTTGATCCATACGACGAAGTGCACTTTCGATGTCACTCTCACGACCCAGCAGGTTGGAGCTGTGAGAAGAATCCAGAGCATTCTTGGATTTCGGCTTCTTGGTGGGTGATCGGCCCATGAGTTCGCGTTCCAACGCAGCAATTCTACTTCGTAGCTGGTCGTTTTCAAATCCCAGTTCTTCAACCTTCTGGTCATTGGTTGGGTCTGGATCTTCGTAGACTGAGTACAACGTTTAGCCTGGCGTCCATTGACTACGAATTAGATGTTCCACTTACTCTGAAATCCCCGAGACAACAGCTCGATTTTCTTGTCAAGATGCTCATCGTTGCGGCCAGTCTAAGTTTGTTAGTAAGGCCCTGATACAATTGAGATTTTATTCCTACCTGTTCATCCCACGCGCTCTGCCATCTCTTTCTTTCCTCTTCCATTCTTTCGTCCATTTCAGCCCAGCATTCCTCACGTACGTCCTGTTCGATGAGCAGGCACTTCTCTTCACTCGATTTCAGCCGCATCTCGAGTTCCGCTCTCACAATCTCTTCCTCTGCAAGTCGCAAGGCCAGTGTTTCGTTTTCAGCGGTCAGTCTGCTAACTTCGGCGACGGCTTTTTCGAGTTCTTCATGAGTGATCAAATTGGGTGAGTTGCGTCCACTAGCTGCTCTGCATGAGCCCAGAGTGCTTGATAAGATAGATTCGGTGACCGAGGGCACGCGAGGCACAGTCACTTCCCGAGCCAAGGCCGAATACCGGAGAATCTGAGAAGTAGCGTTGTAATCGCCCAGGGGATCAGCGGTGACGATCATGATTGCTTTCTGAGGGGGACGATTGAGGCCGAGCGTCTGAGTAGAAGAGGGAAATGAGTTTGAAAATAGCAGCTCTGTGAGCTTGCATTGCCGGAAAGGTACCAGGGCAGTCTACTTAGGTCAGCAGGGATTAGAGGAACAGATCAAGTTGATGTAACCAACCTTTCCTTCTTGAATTTCGCTTTGCATCTGCAAGCACTGTCCCAAGTACATCAGACTTTCGTTGATTTTGCCGGCCTCAGCCAATGTGGACCCAGCTGTTTTCGCAGTTCTCGCCCGCTCAGAACCTACAGTCGTCTGGTTAAGATGGATGGATAAAGGAAGGTTCGATGACTTACCAGCAAGATCTGCAACAGTGAGAGTGCTTCCAATCCAGGTCTCTTCGCCTGTCCTCTTATTCCTCATTCTTCTTTTGACCTCAAGACAAAAGAACCCATGACTCCTTGAACTAACACTATTCGCGCTAGTACCAGTGACCTTACGTTCGGTAAGTCCGACTTCCAGCACCGCCAAGGCTTCTTCGTAGGTGCTGCAGGCAATCTTCCGTAGTCCGGCAACAACCTTTCTGTCCGGGGATCCTTCAGTTGACTTGTACAGGAGGGGCCTGCGACGATCTTTTTGGGTTCCTGCTCCTTGACGCGACATGGCACTTCCCTGGCCGGGCACTATGGCAGGCGATAGGAGGTCAAAGATACGGTCGTTGTACACCTCATACATCGAGACCAGAACAACGTATTCAGAGTTGTGGTTCAACTCCACAGTTAAATGGCTGACGTCTGGCAGGCGAGGCAGAGCGCTGGGTCGGTGAGGCATATTCCGGCGGGGAAATACGAGAGCGGGGGACGGTTCCTGAATTGATTCAAGTGATGGTTTAGCTTGGCTATACGGGGAATCAACTGATGGGGCGTATGGGGATGCTAGAGGGGAGCGAAGGACGATTTGTCCGATCCTCTCCTTGAAGAGAGTCGTTGGACCAACAGGGAAAACACGCTGTGATTTTGGGGGAGCAACTCCCTTGGGAGTTTTCTGGGGAGACCTGGGACCAATAAAGGCTTGGGGGCAGCGCTTCGGGGTGATGGATGGATATAAAACTGGGACTCCTCGTATCGCGAGTAGAGACATGGGATTCCGTACCGTCATCGGTGTCTGAGCTCTAGAGGAACTCATAGGAGTCTGTGCTCGAGAGTTTCTTCCGCGATCACCGTTCCAATCTCCGTAAACTGCTTCAAGGAACGTTGGGGCAGTGAACATCTGCGCTTCCGAAGCATCTGATGCGATCACCGAGGATAAGAGTACGGGGCTAATGGCGTTGTCGGGGGGTTTGATTGTTGAATCCAGGGACCGGAAAATCACATCGAGACTCATCTGCGTCATACCTCTCTGGGTCTTAGACCCTAGAATTGTATGGCTCTATATCCAAACGCTGTTAGCAGCGCCTTTCTAAAGTCACAATGCAACGTTATCTGCTCCGTACCTTTCCACTCCCCGTCACGCCCAACGTAGCAACCAGTCCATCTCTACCTTCAAGCAAAACACCTCTGACCAAACCGTCTAATCCAGTATCCTCGAACACAGTCAACTGGGAAGCGGACTCTTCGAAGACCTTGGTGAAACCGAATTTCTCGACCGCCCGCTTTCTGGTATCATTAGGTGGTTGCAGAATGATGTTTGTCGGTACATGTGTCGCGGACGAATCTCCAGATTCGATATTGTTGCTCTGGTCCTCTGGCGTGTCAATCACCAGGCAGCGTTCAGCATCCTGCTGCTGTGTGTATGGTGGGCGAAGACGCAAGAAAACCTGGAAAAGGGACGATTGGCCCGGCTTTGTCGTCGTGCTCATGATGTCGGAGCTCTTATATGTGCCGGCAGGGTCGAATGTCGAGCTGGATACTTTGACGATGATGAGCTGAACGTCTGGATGCTGTCCCTAATCAAAAGTCAGGATACAGTGCTTTCCCAATTGGGCTAGTATGTCGTCGTCCGGACAACGGTCCCAAAAAGGGAAGGCGCCCGTTGATGCCAGTTCTATGAGGCTGCAACACACGCATTCCCCATTATTCTGGCCGTACATCATGAATGACTGCATCTTCCTGTTGACTATTTCCTTCTACCATGGCTATGTGGAATGAATCGTCATGAGCAGGCATGTTAAGTTTACGTGTTTGCCATCCATCCGCCTGGACTGACTGTTAATCACTGATCTACAGGCTCACAGCCCACACCACAACTGTTCAGCCTTGCTCGTACTCGGCTAACGCCGAATCAGCGTTCATCCAAACCAATGGTCTAGCCACTTACGGGAAAATACGATCGTGTCTCGCAGGAGCACGGGGTAGAAAGCCAGGAGAATGACTCTGACGGGATAATTCCATGTGGACCAACCTCGTTTCGCCGTCCAAAGCGTCCTACAATCTATGAAAGAAGCCGTTCTTGGCGCGCAGTTCTCAAGCGCATAGGGATTCGCTGATTGAAGGTGGAATGGACGAATATTTGGATTTTGTGATCCAGATATTCGGGCACCACTGCGCCTTCGCCAGTCCCTCTACCGACTGGCGATCTCGGACTGAATGCGGAGGCTGAACTTGTCTCGACAAGGTTTCGATCCTGCAGACACCTTTTCGGTGCTATGCTTGTTTGAGTAACTCGTTTTCGGTAGAGAGCCTTGCGCTCTGGATAGAACCAAAGGAGAAGCATGGAGCCATGGCTGTCAAGGTATATATACTGCCTCTGCGGCGCATGTCAGAAGATGAAGCTTGATCATCGTCAATTCTACAAGTGCTCAAGACACGTTTACATCGCAGCACCGTCTTTTCATCTTGGATAACTACGCATATTGTATTTGTGATATCTGCGAATTCAACATGCTTGAAGCAAGATCGGCATACGGTACGATCAAACCCATCCAGACTTATTTAGTTTACTCTTTTGACTGTGGTCTAGAAGAAGGAAGCTTCTGGTATTACGCACCGAACAAGGGTGCTCCTATAGCTTTTGCTATCTTATTCGCTGCATCGGGCCTCATCCACATCTACCAGTGCTGGTACGGTCTTTCTCTCTCATCTGTCATATCCCAGTGACTTATTTCTCGTCAACAGCAAATACAGGTCGTGGAAGGTGACCGGGATGTTACCCTGGTCAGCTCTACTCTTCACAGCTGGTTTTGTTATGCGGGCTATTGGCGCTTGGGGCCAATGGGACAATCTCGGTATATTCATTGCCAGTACTGTTTTACTGCTGGCTGGGCCGTGAGTTGCTTCTAGTCTGCATCTAGCTTGTGATGTGCTTTGTCCGTGATGTCTAACTCTGGTTCTTAGACCTGTCTACGAGGGAGCCAACTTCTTTACTCTGGGCCGTATTCTCTATTATATCCCCTACCATTCACCGATTCATCCTGGTCGAGTGTTCACCACTTTCGTTGCCATAAGTGTTGTGATTGAGGTGATCACAGCCAATGGAGCAGCACTGCTGGCTAACACGGACAATCCTATCAGCAAGCAAAATACAGGCAAGGCTCTGCTCAAGGCTGCTCTGATCCTTCAAATTGCGTTGATGGCGGGATTTGTGGCTCTTGCCAGCAAATTCCACTACAACTGTCACCGTGGCGGAGTTCTGAACGGCAAGGTCAAACGTGCGTTGTGTGTTCTCTACGGTAGCTGCGCGCTGATAACTATTCGAACCATTTACCGGACCGTGGAGTACTTCACGGCTGCCAGTCTCAATATATCCAACGCTGCTGACATAAGCCCTGTTTTGAAAGACGAGTGGTTCTTTTGGGTTTTCGAGGCTGCAGTGATGTTCACGAACACCACGTTGCTCAATGTCTTTCCTCCTATGCGATGGCTGCCTCGCTCCAACAAGGTCTACCTTGCGCAGGATGGGGTGACCGAAATCGAAGGTCCTGGCTATGATGACTATCGTCCATTCTTGCTCACTATGTTCGATCCCTTCGATTTGGTTGGTCTCGTCACTAAGAGAGGGAAGAAGGAGAAGTTTTGGGATCTACAGAAAGTGGAATCACATTCAAGCATCAAGCAGCCAACCTCTACTACTCAAGTTTGAGATGACCTTTGCTTTCGCTTAGTTTCCCCCTTTTCATTTTGAGTTCATGTTCTTTTTGTTTTGTGGAGAATTTCATAGACTTTGCTTCTCTTCTACTTGATAGATCGATTTGTACGGAGTATACCACGATTATTGCCCGTTATAATATATTGTTTCTAATGTGCACTACGGTCCATGATCTCCCAATAAAAGTAGAGATAGTTCCTGAGAATACAAGACAAAAAAAACTATCTCCAATATATTATCAATTTCTAAATGCAAAGCATGTAAAAGCTCATTCTAATTATGGGCTGCCGGCAATGTGATTGTTGTTCCTCTCTCCAAGAAGTTGCTGCAGCTCCCGCAAAGCCAAGAGGCTCGAACCACATGGCCTTTTGGCTCTGACAAAACAATCAAGAACTCCCTTCCATCTCAGTCTCAGTTACGCAACCACCGGCAAGAGGTTGCGAACTCTTTTCATTGGGATTAATAAACGGAAGACAATATTCACTCGACATTGGAAAAAATTCTTGATTTCTTTTGTTCTCGTGGCTTTTACTAGCTACCTAGCCTCCAACCGCCGCAGAACCTCCGAAGCTCCCTCCATCTAAGTCACAAAACACATCACCACCATGCTGTCCTTTCTATCGTCGAACCTGTCGAGCACACGGCAGTCCCTCGCGCAAGTCCTGAACTTCGCCTTGGTCCTATCCACAGCGTTCATGCTGTGGAAGGGCCTCTCGGTGTTCACGTCAGTATCCGTTCCCGGCAGGAATCCAGTCGAGCCAGACCCTCCTTCGCTGAACGCTAACCCATAATTCTCCTGGCGTTCACAGTGCAAGCTCCTCGCCGATTGTCGTGGTGTTGTCCGGCTCTATGGAGCCCGCGTTCCAGAGAGGCGATCTGCTGTTCCTGTGGAATCGCAGCCCGCGGGCCGAACTGGGCGAAATCGTCGTGTACAATGTCCGGGGCAAGGATATCCCGATCGTGCATCGCGTGGTGCGCACGTTCCCCGAGGTCGAAGGCAAGGCGAAGAAGGTGAAGGAGATTACCGGGTATGGTTTTTCTCAACCGTTCCTTCGTTGTTTTGGCGCATGGGGGCGCGGGCGGCGTTTTGAAGTTTATTTGCAATGGACGTGTGCGACTGACGCCGTGGCGGCACTTTGTGGAAAACAGGACCTCGTCGATTCCTCCCAATATGCTCCTCACCAAGGGCGACAACAACGTGGCCGACGACACCGAGCTGTACGCTAAGAACCAGGACTTTCTACACCGCGAGGAGGATATTGTCGGCAGTGTGCGTGGGTACATGCCCATGGTGGGCTACGTGACCATCATGCTGAGTGAGCATCCGTGGCTCAAGACAGTGTTGCTTGGGATCATGGGGTTGATGGTTATACTGCAGAGGGAACAATAGAGGGTGCTGTAGGAGTCTACCGAATGAGAATGCCATCCATCGATATCATTGAACCGGGCTTATAATTTGGCTTTGGCGGCAAGAGTGCGAATGAAGATGTGTGTCTCTTCTAGCTGGATAAATGTAGTAGGGCATATCCAAAGTGAGTCGTTGCTGTCGATGCAAAGCGACCCCGAGATCGCTGTCACACGGACGATTGAGGCCGAGGCTGCAAGAACCACAACCACCAATGAACTTAAGCGATGCGTCGTGCTTGATATGCATGCAATTCTACAAGAGAAAGCGTATCTACATAGTAAATCTGTCGAAAAGAATACTCCAATGAGATCGGCCATCCATCAATTCAGCTTCCCATATGCGATTCCAGAGCTGACGTCGAAGCAGCGCCAAACCCACTATGTACCAGTATGTAATTGCTCCACCCCGCCTCCTCGTCACGGCCCCGCCTTGGGAGCTCGGTTGGAGCTCGCGCATATCTCCCAACGGACTGTATCTATCTATTGCTTCTGCCTGGAGTGTTCGATCTGGACGCGATCTGGTTGCAAGTCAAGATCTAGACTGTATTTTTCTGGCCTCGTGCTTCTTGAAATTCTCATTCCCGTCTGAGTGAAGACCGTCATCATGGGCAGCCAGAAACGGATCGCAAAGGTGAGATCGAGATCGAAGATCGCTCTCTAGTCATGATACTCTATGGAGTATGAACAGAACTGACGAAGTGCAGGAGCTCGCCGAGCTCATGGAGTCGCCCCCCGCCGGGATCTCCGTGCAGCTGGCCGACGAGTCCAATCTCTACGAATGGAAAGTCTACATGGAAGGGCCCGAGGGGTCACCATACCACGTACGTCTCTTTCTTTCACCTACAGCCTACACCCACAGTCACACACACACACACTCCCCTTCCACGGTCCACCCGCCATATCGAAGTACCCATTGCTAACAACCTTCCCTTCCCACGGGAACCTCACACAGAACGGCAAATTCCTCGTCAAGCTCACCCTCCCCACCGAATACCCGTTCAAGCCGCCGACGGTCTCGTTCGCGACCAAGATCTACCACCCCAACGTCACCAACGACGACAAGGGCAGCATGTGTCTGGGGATGCTGCGGCCGGACGAGTGGAAGCCTAGCTCGCGGATCGCGGCCGTGCTGCAGTTTGCGCGGCAGCTGCTCGACGAGCCCATGCCGGACGATGCGGTCGAGGGCCGCATCGCAGAGCAGTATAAGAACGACCGGCCGCGGTATGAGGAGATCGCGAGGGAGTGGACGAGGAAGTTTGCGACGGAGGAGAAGGCGTGATGCGGCGGGGGGTGGTGTTAAGGAGATCCGGATACCTACGGCTTGTTGCTTCCCCCCCCTCTCTGGGTTGTTTACGAGGGATGGGGGCTAGATGGGGTGGATTGCATGGCCCTCGATATGTCGCATGAAAGGCTCGAGGGTATCCGAGGGGACTTGTTGCGCCCATGGGAACTTTGGTCGTGGGCTGTGGTTGATTGACTGATCATTTCATGGCCGGTATGCCCCTTTTTGGACTCTGTCGACCACCCCACCTCATCCCATTTCAGTACAACACGGAGAGACCTTGATGATACAATACCCCTGCGTCGAAGCATCTGACGCTTATGATATTGCAAAAGACATTCCACGAATGCCAGGATTCTCTCGCAGGTAGAGAAAACATACAAGCAAACAGCTCAAAGAGGGCGTGCTCTTGGTGAATTCGTAAATCGCACGCGCCCACTCCAGGGAGTTAGAAGAAAGAAGATAGGAGCGAGGGCATTGTTCGCCAAGTCTCGCTACGATGAAATGTGATGAGTATTCAGGTAGGCCGCCACAACCTGTCATGTCAGCACTCAGCACAGACAGAATACAAAAAGGTTTACTGCACTACAGCTTGCGGGGGACTTCGATAGATATCACATGTCGGATGCACTCTCTATCGCCATTCTGCCTACAGACCCGGTATCAGAAAACAAGGCTCGGTACTCCAGATGATATGAAGCAGTTGTTGGGAATTAGAGGGGAATAAGAACAAACAATTTCTAGCACCGCTGGAGTGCTTATATCATCGAGCACTGCGCCTCGGGGCTGGATTACAGTGTGGGATACTACGCAGAGGCTACGGAGTCGACTACTACATAGTTTTTCTCGTACTATGTAGATCATGATTTCGAGCGGTGTTTCACTTGGGAGCCAGCGTGCTCTCTTCTTTCCTATTGCTCATCAAATTATCAAATCGGGTAGCAGGGCCGTCCGTCGTCCGTGGTCCGTCTTCGAGCTTCCGGTTTCTGCCAACGTCCAACGTCCAACGTCCAACGTCCAACCCATCGTCCAACGGAAATGAAGATGATCACAAAGGAAGAAGACAAAGAAAGCTAACGGTTCGTGGAGAACGGATTAGCCGAGCGGCCGACGCAAGGGTACGTCACATTTTCCAAGCTGGAATCGGACACGGCTCAAGAGTCAAGAGTCATGGGCATGGACCTGGGAGATGGGATCAACAATAGAATGGAATTTCTGGAATCCGGTCTCCCCAGAACCAGGACCAGAACGGGTCAACGGTGGACGGTGGAGTTGGACACCGAGAATGTCAATGATCGATTTTTCTTGGACAGCCAAGAGCGGATCTGGCTCTGTTGGGAGTGGGACTTGGGTCGTCCCTTAACTCTCTTAGTCCCTTTTGATGAGGCGGTGGATCTGTGGAGCATGTACGGACTACGGAGTAACTGGTTAGTCTACATAACTACATTATTATTGTTTAGTCTGTGGTTTCCGTACTTTGGAATGGTCACTCAAGTTGTCTCTAGCTAACTAACTATCTAGTGGAAGATGAAACGAAGAAATGAGTCAGCCGGGCCTAGAAGGTAAAGACTACCGTGTCCGTAGCCCGTAGGCGCTTCCAAGTAACTAACCGCCGCTGGGGTCGTTAGTGAACTTTGTGATTACGGAGTATACGGAGTAGGCGTAACGCTCTTGGGCGTTGGGACCCTACTCAGGATCTAATTAGTTGTGATCAATCAGGTTTCTGTATCTACCAAAACTTAAATCTTTTCCTCCAAACCCAAAGGACTACTGTAGTAAGACTGTTGAGAGTTTGAGAGAGTGAGACTTGAGCATATGGACTCTACCCATGGCGTATGGACACTATGGAATACTCCGTACTGCATTGGATTCTGCACCATGGTCTAGGGGAATGATGCAATGGAAATGTCAGATTGACTGACTCCAGGCGGAACGGCACGCCAGATGAACCCTGGAAGCTGTTTGGCCACAGTCAGCCTGCATATGAGCCACTATTGGATGCATGATCTGTCATACAGTCTTACTCCGTACTCACAGGGGAGGAGAGTACATAGTAGATAGTAGGAGACCGCCATGCATGATGATGCATCTGAATTTTGAATTCTGCATGAGAATGATAGAGAGGAACCTAGTCTAGTCTTCTCTGTAGTAGTGTAGTCTATCTATCTAACAAGGATAATAATGTATCTACATAAACTAGTAGTACTATCCCTACTGATATCATGTCATCGTCACTGGAATGAATGCCTCGTATTAACGTGAAACAATCTCAAGGCCATTATTTGTGTCATTCAATTTCAAAAAACCAACCAAAAAACCAGGTTATTTTTGAATTCGCCCCCACAGAAGCGCAACAAGAAAGCGAAAAACATAAAAAAACCACCATCAATACCGGCGCTAGACCTGAAATCGACGGTTTAGTTTGGACCTCAGTCTTTTTTCCCCTTTTCGGTTTTTTCCCGTTGAAACAGCAGCAGCAGCAGCAGCAGAAGAAGAGGAAGAAGAGGAAGAAGAAGAAGAAGAACACCAAGCAAAGAATAATCAGAATAATAATCAGAATCATAAGACAGGAAAAATCTAGATTCTTTGCCTGTTAGACTAAACGCTGCTACTACTACTACTACTACTACTAACTACTACTCCTACCTTACTAAACTGGCGGATCTCATCTCATCTCATCCCATTTCATCGAAATCTACTTTTCCCTTTTCTTTCCTTTTCCTTCCTCTCTACCCCCTTCTCCCCCAAGTTCGGGTCTCTCTTTTTTTTCCCTTTCCCTGTCTTTCTCTTTTGGAGATTGAGTCTCCAGTTCTCGAACCTCTGGTAGGATCCTGTGGCTTTTCTCGTTCTCTCTTTGATGGACTGATATCACGTCTGGCGTGGGTGTTTGGAGCCTCTCTTCCTTATGATTATTCCTTGTCATTGACGCTCTTTTTCCTGTCCCGCCTTTTTACGGTAATCCCGAGACATTACGACCAGTTGATCTTCGACGCAGCGCAACACACACACACTCCCATTGACAGCTCCTATCACTACTACTACTACTACTACTACTACTACTACTACTACTACTACTACTACTACTACTACTCCTACTACTACTATCCTTACTGTTATTGTCTCTGACCTTGCCGCTCGTTATCATTAACCACCACGGAACTCGGTCCTTCGGTCTTTCTCCTGTATCCGTATCTCCAGTTACCCTTCGAACCTCCCCACCGTGTGGTAATTGCCACCCAATTCGCCGTTCGACCGCTGCAGCCTTACAACAAATGTTCAACGAGAACTGGGTTCTATTCTCGTGGCCATGGTCACAGAACATGGAGAGTTTCGATATCCCCCTCGACAGGCCGAGCATGTCATCCCCGGTCGTCGCAGAGTCCCTCATCCTTTACGACTCGATCCTCTGAGAATCCATCCCCCCGACATTCGACCTTCTACTGCCGGTGGCATTCCCCGGTCACAGTCGCCTCTTCTCCCTCCGGTTCCCCATCCTCCTCGAAAAGAATCTGCATATACCCGCCCGGACGATCCGTTCCTGCGCCCGCTCTCACCGCAGATCGGCCTCGGTGATGACTTTGTTCTGCGACGACCACCATATCGCAGTCCGACCTTCCCCCGATCGCCCTCCCCGAATCTCCCGCCGTACGAAGATGATTTCCGCCGTCCGAATTACCGAAGAGGCCCTCCCCCGGGACGGCCCGGGTTGCGAATCTCCATGTCCACCTCCCAGATGAACAGCAGACGCCCGAGGGCGCATCATCCCCACGATCGCCGTCCAAATCCAAATGATTCTCCGTCCCGAGGACTGGCCTTGCCCCGCTTCAATGGGAATGGGTCTCCTGATGCCTATGGGGACGATGCGTTTCGGTCGAGCATCAATTCCGCCATAACGTCGCGGTCGAGCATAGAGCACGCGAGCGGAACGGAGCGGAGCAGTGTCCTGACGAAAAGTAGCTCCATTACCGATCTGTCGCCGGATACACCCGATGGCCCGGACGACAAGGATGGCGGGATGAGCGTCGAGGATGCCATCGCCATGTACCTAGACGGTTTCAGCGATGTGACGGAGGAGCCAGCCTCTCCAGGCCTCGGGGACGAGAGCAAATTGAGACCGATCAGTCCCCGTCCGCCGACAGATCTGACCTTCGACCACGGACATAGCTCTGATGAGCAATCGCCTGATCTGATCCCATCTGATCACCTCCCACCAGTGCCGCAACATCTCCCGGATCTGAATCCCGTCGACGGGAAGCTCCAGGATGAGCCGGTTTTAGGGGAAACGAGCGACGAGGCGCAGCCTCCGGAAGAGTGTCTTGCTCCGAAGTCGCCGGGTCGATGTTCGGCTATTGAACATGTCGAGAAGAAGGTTCTCCTCCCTGGTGTGGTACCGCCTCCGTTGATGCCGGGAAACGACCTTCGGGACCGCTACGGATTCCGCAAAGTCACCCACTATGTGACTCTGGCACAGTACGAAGCGTGGAATGGACCTTATGCGGAGTTGGTGGCGAATCGGCGAAACAAGTGGATGGAGTTGCTGAAGGAGAACGGCCTTCCCACCAAGGATCCGACCGTGTTTCCGCCAAGGACGAACAAGGTGAAACGCTTTGTGCGCAAAGGCATCCCATCTGAGTTCCGCGGGGCCGCCTGGTTCTGGTACGCGGGGGGATACGACCTCCTCAAGCAGAATCCGGGGCTGTACGACCGACTTGTCAAGCAAGCGATGGAGTCCCCCAACAATGATGACAAGGAGCATATCGAGCGCGATCTGCATCGGACTTTTCCGGACAACCTGCACTTCAAGCCCGAGTCCGTCGAGCAGACCATCTTGGAGGCTCGCTCCGGTAGCAGCAATCCCAAGTACACCTCCGTCACGGTGGAGACGCAGATGATCCAGTCCCTGCGGCGGGTTCTGTACGCCTTTGCCCTGCACAACCCGAAAGTGGGCTACACGCAATCCCTCAACTTCATCACCGGCATGCTCCTCCTCTTTCTCCCCGAGGAGAAAGCGTTTTGGATGCTGCACATTGTGACTTCGGTCTATCTCCCGGGTACGCACGAGATCAGCCTGGAAGGCGCCAACATCGATCTGTGGATTCTCATGGTCCTGCTGAAGGAGTCGCTACCGCACATCTACAACAAAATTTCGGGGACGGGGGGCCGGTCTAAGAGCCCCGCGTTGACGGTGGACTCTCGGCTTCCGGACATCACTTTGGGCCTCACCAACTGGCTCATGTCGGTCTTCATCGGCAGCCTCCCGCTGGAGACCACGCTGCGGGTGTGGGATGTGTTTTTCTACGAAGGATCGAAGACGTTCTTCCGCGTGTCGCTGGCCATCTTCAAGGCTAGCGAAAAGGATATTCTAGCCGTGTCCGACCCCATGGAAGTGTTCCAAGTGGTGCAGACGGTCCCGAAAAAGCTGTTAGATGCCAATGCGCTGTTGGATGATTCCTTCGTCCGACGACACCGCGTCGGACAAGGGCGGATCGAGGAGTTACGAGCGTCGCGGCGGGCAGCGGTGCGGCAGGAGAAGCTGCGACGGTCCCTGGCCATCAGCAAGGGTCAACTCCAAGCTGCCACGGATGAGTGGCCGACCACACGGTCCCGCGCTCCGATTCCTGGACTGGAGCGCAGTCTGGCGGATTCCTGGCGGCACATGAAGCAGCACGCTTTTCGATGACGGTAGCCGCTAGCCACTGGTGATTTTCCGCTTGGCCATTCGGATTCGCTTATCTATTAACTACTCCATACCCACTTAATGTTTTATCATTATCTAATCCCCTGATCGCTACGACCTTGGCACGGCATCCATCCGCCCCTCCACACCGAGGCATGCAGGTCCTTGAGCGAGATTTCTCATCTGAGGCCGACACTGTACATACTGCATCGTCGCACTGCATCGGTGCACTGCGTCTATCACGGCGTATTTTCTCCCTTTTCTTTCTCTCTCTCTCTCTCTCTCTCTCTCTCTCTTCTTAATTTCTGTACATACATCTTGAGCATTGTCTATGAAGTGATTGAACATGCATGAAACTGGATAGACCAAAGTACCTGACTGAAAATTCTCGAGGTAATCACTCCGTAGTTTGTGTAAGGCTCAAATACTGGAATCTGGGAGCTCTTGGACTCTTGGCCCTCAAGAATTGGTCTCTTCCTACGATCGTGATTCGTAGCCGCCTGGGAGTCTTGGACTCTTGGCTCTGTGATCGTCCTGGCAATCTCTATCATCATGACGCGCTCTTGTGCACCTCTATCTGGCGCCCAGTGCCACCAAGACACCGACTATTCAGTTTGTCTAGCATCATCCTAGGCTTCTAGCAGTTAGTGCTGGGCTCCGTGATTCAATGTGCATCGAATCGATCGTCGATTGTCCCCATCAGACCCAGTTTAGCACTCGCAATGACCGCATCCGGATGAACTCCATCTTTAGTCTTGGGTAACTGGAACTCAGGTCTCAGGGCCTTCAATTCAGCACGTCTAAACTAAAAGTCATCCCATCATGGATCTGATTCTTGGATGGGGCTCCCTTTTTTTCCCTTTTTTTCCCTTTTTTTTTTTTTTTTTTCCCCCCCTGGCTACAAGTGCATCCCCTGCTTGGCTGTGGGTGACACAAATTGACGAGATTCGCTTTCCTCCCTCGCTTTCTCTCTCTGCCTCTGCCTCTCTTTTTCTTCTCCTTCTGTCCTCCCCTTGATCTATTGTATTCTCTCTCACGGTCGCTCCATAATATGCCATTATGAGTGGACAGGCAGCGGACTATTACAACCCCCAGCAGCAGCCTTATGGCGGCCCCAAGCCTGGGGTACCGCAGCAGCAGCAGCCCGTCTACCACGATAACTACAATAATGTCACCTATAATAATAACAATAATAATTACAACGGGAATCCTGCCAATGCTGGAAACAACAACGGGTACAACTACGATCCCAATTATCGACCAGCTCCGGAGCCCAAGCCGCCTGGGGGTCCTCCGCCGACGTACAACCAGGCTGTCTATGGGTTTGACGAGGCGTTCAAGATCGAGAAGCCCAAGTACAATGATATCTGGGCGGGTCTTCTGGTGAGTCGGTTTGTAGGGCTTAAATCGGAGGATGTTGCTGACACTCCCCGCTAGTTCATCGCGACTTTCCTTGGATACGTCGCGGTGTCGGGTGTGACCATCCACCGCTACTCCAAGTACAAGGGTTTCAATGGCGACGGCATCTACGACTCGGCGAACGACATCTCTCTGAACACTAACACGCTCATTCTCTTGCTCTTTGTGCTCTGTGTAGCGCTCGGATTCTCGTATGCCTACTTTCTGGGCGCGCGCTACTTCTCGAAACTCTTCATCTGGGTCACGGGGATTCTGAACATCGTCTTCGCGCTGGCAACGGGCATCTACTATATCGCGCGCAAGCAGTATGGTGGTGGGATCGTGTTCCTGGTGTTTGGGGTCTTCGCGATCATCTGCTTCATCAGCTGGATCCCGCGCATCCCCTTTACGGCGCTCATGCTGCAGACGGCGATCGACGTGTCGCGCAAGTACGGGCACATGTTTATCGTGAGCACGATCGGCGGGCTCGTGGCCGTGGCGTTCGCGGCCTGGTTCTCCGTGACGCTGGTCTCGATCTACGTCGCGTACGAGCCGGCCAGCACGCCCGGCGCGACCAACCCGTCGTGCAGCGAGGGCGGGTGCAGCCGCGCGCGCGTCATCGGGCTCGTCGTCTACATCACCTTCGCCATGTACTGGTTCAGCGAGTGGGTGAAGAACACGGTGCACACGACCATCGCGGGCGTCTACGGCTCGTGGTACTTCTTCAGCCAGTCGCCGCAGGGGATGCCGAAGGGGGCGACGCGCGGGGCCTTCCGGCGCGCAACCACCTACTCGTTCGGCAGCATCAGCTTCGGCAGCCTGATCATCGCGCTCGTCAACATGCTGCGGCAGGCGTGCTCCGTCGCGCAGCGCAACGAGGCCAGCCAGGGCAGCGTCGTCGGCAGCATCATGTTCTGGATCCTCGGCTGCTTCATCGCCCTGCTCGACTGGCTCGTCACCCTCTTCAACCGCTACGCCTTCTGCCACATCGCCCTCTACGGCAAGCCCTACATCCCCGCCGCAAAGGACACCTGGACCATGATGCGCGACCGCGGCATCGACGCCCTCGTCACCGACTGCCTCATCGGCCCCGTCCTCACCATGGGCTCCGTCTTCGTCTCCTACGTCTGCGCCCTCCTCGCCTACCTCTACCTGCAATTCACCCGCCCGTCCTACAACGCCGACGGCAACTTCACCGCCGTCATCATGGCCTTTGCCTTCGTCATCGGCCTCCAGATCTGCCAGATCTTCATGACCCCCGTCAGCAGCGGCATCGAAACCATCTTCGTCGCTATGGCCTGGGACCCCCAGGTCATGATCCGCGATCATCCCGACCTCTACCACCGCTTGGTGCAGGTGTATCCGCGCGTCCAGCAGGCCATCCATGCGTAGTCCTTTTTTTTTTTTTTTTTTTTTCGTTGTTGTTCTTCTCTGGATCTGGACCCCCCGAGGGCTGATGCTATGCTGGTTTGAAATGGGTGGATATGTGGATATTTGTCATGTTAAAACGTACGGAGTAATGCCATCAAGATAATTCATAATATACCTTATATTAATCAATACCCCCTCCCCCCCTTTCCTTAACAATACTCCCTCGAACTCATCAAGTCCCGATATCTAGGTCCCGACAGGTTTGCCCATTATCCAAGACCCTAACCCTACCACACGCTATCAACAAAGCCAATAAATTCAACACCCCGAAAACGCCAACGCTATCGCCGTCCACATACTGATCCGCATCCTAATCTCATAACACATAACACATAACAAACAAACAAACAAACGACAGCAGCAACAGAAGAAGAAAAAGAAAGGGGGGTATATCCTCAAAACCTCTCACTCGTCACACACCGACTCACCCCCACCAACACCCACGCCACAATCTTCACCGCCACCGTCAACGTCCCCACCACCATCTTCAACCCCCAGAACAACAGCCGCAGCATACCCCTCGTCGCGCCGGGTAGGTTTCCGTCTTCTCCTGCGCCGTTGTCGGAGTCGCCGTGCGCGCGCCCCGACCCGCGGCCGTATTTCTCGAGGTCGAACTGCTCGAGCACGATCTGTTTGTTCTTGCGGCGTTTAGGCTTGGATTTGGATTTGGATTTGGAATTGGGTTTGGAGCGGGCCCACGGCCAGAATGAGCGTTTGCCGGGTAGTTCCGACGATGACGACGAGGAGGAGGATTTGACGGCTGCGATGAGGCCATTTGCTGTCTCTGCGTCTTCGCGCTCCGCGAGAGTTGTGATGAGCGGGCCGGTGAAGAGGGCTGGGCGGGCGGTGGGTGTGGGGAGCTGCGCGGACGGCTGGGCGGGGTTGTAGAGGTGCATGTCTGCAAGGACGGGGTTGGTGCGTTCATCTGAGGCGGCGACGGCGAGGAGGGCGGCGACGAGGGAGTCGACGGCGTACAGGGACGGGATGGAGGAGGTGATGGCCGTCGCGGAGATGGAGAGGGTCATTGTGGCGAGGTCGAGGGCGGCGAGGGGCTCGTCGGCGTCGGCGTCGGTGAGCGGGAGCGTGGAGGTGCGCGGCGAGGCGGCCTGCGTGGCGCCCTCGACTGCGTTGGCGGAGAGGGGCGTCGTGACTAGGATCGTGGGTAATTGCCGGCTGCTGGGGTCCTTGGATGGTGCTGAGACGGTGATGTGGAGGATTCCTGCATACTTGGAGCGGACGGGTGAGAGCGGGATGCCTGCGGCGCCGATGAGGGCCGGGGGTTGCTGCTTGCAGTGGGATGGGTGCTGGAGCTCGTAGAGGCGTTTCTCGTTGTTCCAGAGGAGGCGGCAGGATTCCTGGGCTGCTGCGCGCTCGAGAGCGTTGCCTTCGACCTCGACGGCTTGGGTGGGGGATAGGTGGTGTTGCTTGACCAGTTCCTCCGCTTCGTCGATGGCCAGCATCGCTGCCAGTCGGGAGAACAGGAGGGTCACGAGGCCGTCGCTCGGCGGTAGGCGACGGCCTCGGTCTTCCAGCTTCAGCATCATCACGGGGACGCCGCTGTTCGGCTTCAGGGGGTGTGCCCGGGCAATGGACAGCTCATCCGTTGAATAGGTCTGCATCGTATAGAACGGTGCCTGTGGTTCCCCGAATGTGAACGTGGCATGGTCCACCCTATGCGTGTCAGTTTCGTCTGGAGTGGTAAATGTGCGACTCGTCGGGGCCATCTTACTTGTTCAGACGCAGATTGAATGTTCCGAGGGCATTCTGCGCTCTTTGTCCGTTGGCAACCTCCCACAGACCCTTCAGTTGTGCCGCAGAAGAATACTGCACCTCCAGCGGCTCCAGCGCGTCCGTCGGGAAGTTCAATACACTCGCGGGAACAGTCTTAGGCCCGAGGGCACGATCGATCTCCGGCGCTGGCGTCAACGTCAGACCACGGGGGTTGTGACGGCTCCGAGGCGGGTTGGTTGGCTGGGGATAGTATTGTTGCTGACTGAGCGGCACATGGGGATTGTATCGAGGAAATATTGATTTCATGGGAACCGTCGGCGTCTCCGACGGCTGGGGAGACTTCTGACGGGCAAAGTGCCGGTCTGGTTTGCTTTCCGGCGATGACGAGCCTGCTCTGTCTGGTCCAATTCGCGGGGTCGAATCATATAGTGACTCGGACTCGGGCTCGCATATCGTTTCCGGCACGGTGGCCCCAGGCCTCTGGGAGAGGTATGCCTTTGGAGGTGGTCGGACGTTGTTTGTATCTTCGATTATCTGCAGGAGCACCGCCTCTGTCTGAGAGCTTTTGAGTTCCTCCAGAGGAATCGGGCTCGGGGGCTTTGGATTCAAAGCCAGCTTCCTGTTTCGGTTACGAAACGGATTCTTAGAGCCTCTGCCTTCGGGAGAAGGGGGAGGGAAGAGCTGGAATTGACTCATGTCGTTTTGACTCGAAAACAATCGTAATCACCAGGCCAAAATAGTAGGAGTAGAAGATAGTCGAACAACTGGCTATTCAACACTGGACTCAGTCTGCTCTATTGTCAATGCCAAAGGCTCCGGAGAGACCAGCAATGCCAGACTCTCTTTCTCTCTCTTACAAGCAGTTTGAGATAGCAAGTCTTGCAGGAAAAAAAGAAGCATGAGCCTGCAGAAACGCAACAGCGAAGCAGCAATGACATATAGTCCCTCCCTCATCCCTCTCAGCCCTCGTGGGTCCGACAGCCGCCCGAAAACCCATTGTACCGGAGCGTCAAGGGTCTGCAATGTGAGAGGCCCCAGCTAGTGTGAAGAAAAGGCACTGTCCTGCAGAATGTCTTGGTGGGATGTGGTGGGCGCTTAGGACGACAGCCTCGCCGGACAGACTGATTGGCTGCACCTCTGGGGTGACTCGTGTCGCGGCGCTTCGACAGAGCATCATTTGCTTGGCAATACCCGTCGACATGCAAAGGGATCGGTGTCACGGAGGATAGACTCTCGCGTGGTCATATGAAGAAGAAGGGATGTTGCTGGGGAATTCGACGATTCGTCAGGGGAGATGCTCGTCGGCTCGGTGTTTTTCGTCACAATTGGTTTCTTCTTGCGAGATTATCAGTAAATAGCCAGTAAGGAAGATGGAACAGACCTGTGGCATGCTGATATCACAATGGCCGTGCCCAAAGGATGGCAGATTGTGCCAGTCATGAGCAAATCCAGGGTGTTGTTTTGGCAATGAAGCTGTCCCTAAGCTCCACAGCCACAAGCCAAGCGTGTACCCTTAAACGATGCTTTTTAATAATCATCCCATAATGACGCCATAGAATACATGTATGCTGGAAAGAAACGTCTATATGTACAAGTCATGATAATTTACAGATTCAGTGACCGTGCTCAGAATGATCGTCCTCCATCACCTGATCACGCACTGTATGCGTCAAAGCCTCAGCCATCGCAATTGCGCCCTCCATATTCCCCTTGTTATACAAGAACAAGCCCTGCAGAGCAGCCGCGCTTGTGCACTTCGATCGGTCGGCCTTGAAGCCCTTCTCGTCTTCTATAAGACCAAGATCCTGTAGCCGATCGAGGAATGCCTGCCGATATGACCCCGTTGTATCGAGGTCACCGTAGAATCTGTCCCACAAACAGCACACCTGGTAGCGAGTCACTTCACCTAGACGGACCGTCATATCCACTCGGCCGGGCCGAACTAAGGCTTCATCAAGTCGTTCAACATGGTTCGTTGTGAGAAAGATGATCCGCTCCTCGGCACTCGCTACACCGTCCAGGGCATTAAGTAGACCCGAGAATGTCACATTGGCGCCGCGATACCCATCTGTGTCGGTTTGGCGCCGGTTCGAAAACGCAGCATCCACGTCTTCCAATAAGACAAGAGTCCGATTCGGCACAATAGTAAGTAGGTGGTTGAGGCGGTCGTCCGTTAGCCCTCGCTCGCTCAGGTTCAGGATAGCAATGTCATAATCCAGCTCTCCAGCAAGAGCCTGGATAAAAGAGCTCTTTCCCGTACCAGGCGGCCCGTACAACAGGTAACCACGCCTGTAAGGGATTCCCCGTTCATGATACCATTTCCCACTTTCCACAAAGTCCTTCACATCTTCAACAATCCGTTCCTTGACACCTTCGTCAAGGATAACCGAGTCCAATGGACGCTTGCGCCGTGGTTGCCCAAAAAGTTTCCATTCCGTGCCCCAGCTGTTGTAGATAGAAGTCTTCCCTTCGTGTGACTTGGCCGCATAGGCATGGGCCTCTGTGAAAAGTTCCTCAAAAATATGCCGATGAGAATAGAGCGTGGTGAGCGTGATGGTCTCCCACGGTCGCCCGGTTTGTAGATCCTGCGATTTAGACTCCCGCATCCGGTTGACAAAGATAAATGCGTTTTTGTAACGCAAAACGTGTCGCCCCGGGCCAGGAACCAGTGAGAAGTGTGTATGTATCGCGCCGTTTGAATGTTCCACTTTCTGTGTCTGTATCGACAGATGACGCATTCCCGGTGTCAATTTCTGAAGGATGCTTTCCATGAAGCCAGTCCGGCTGGCTGCTGAGCGGGCTGCATTGAGTTGCGACTGTTGGTAAAGGGTCATCCAATGAAGGAACCACGGGTAGGAATCGTCTTTGATGCTAATTTCGACATCCACCAGCATGCGGCGACGAAGGAGGGCGGCACCATGTCGAAGACCCTTCTGGGCGAGACTCAATCCAGCTCCGAGCCCAGCAAGACCAAACCCCTAGAGTTGGAAGCAAACGGTTAGTCGATGCCCTATTTATCCTGAGACGTCCATTTTATGCAATCATACCGCTGTGAAGAACGGGTTGCTGGACAGTTGGGAAAAGAGGCTTCCATCACCGGTTGGCTGCCCCGCCGCCTGAATCGCATCTTTCTTTTGCTGCAGAATCAGATCACCAGGCGAGGGCAGCCCTGCATCAGTTATTGGGCCATTTGTCTCCATACCAATCTATGGAGATAAACTTCGAGACTGCCACTCAGATGGTTGCGCATCTCAAGAATGTCCAAAGCCGCCTGAGATCGGAGTTACGACGGGCCGAGCTGTGCCCGTATCCCCGGGTGTGTCTCGTCTGGGCTTGGAGAAGATCGAAAGTTTCCTTTGTAACGACCCATGGATGGTGTCTCTAAATCGTGTAAAATAAGCTCATATGATGAGATCGAGCTGGCAGATAGGCATAGCCACTAGATAATACCTGAGTTTAAAGGTCGAAAATTGAAAGGTTTACATGATCGCAAAAGAGCTTGATGACAACAGAGCTTATTACCCGGCGATAGCGGAGTTAGCGCACAGTCAGACATGGTATATCCCTCCCCCCAAGTCAGATTCTTTCTTTCAACACCAGGACATTGATCTCGTCGTCATTAGGAGCAGCCGGGGCTGACATGAGAGTCGTATTTTTGGAACATATGTGATATTGTCACAAGGTTGCGTGTTGTACAGCTGAAGAACCTATTCTGGAACAATCCCTAGCCTCGGCTGGCACTATATAAACGGGCTGATGCACATAAGCCAGGCCTATATTTACGGAAAATGCGTTCATTCTTTCGACGACTATTCGGCTTTCGCCAACACGACCACAGCTTTTCGAGTTTAGCTATGAAGCGCAACATGAGCTCTTCGACCGCTGCGATTCTCTACGCCATCACGGTGACTACACCTCCCGCTTCACCAGAGCCTGACGATGCACAGAAGAAGAGCCATCATCTAAAGGGCGGGTTCACAAACCCCTGGGAGTATGCAGTTCCGATCAAGAGGGTCTACCACTGCTAATACGATCGAACAGCTCCTGGAGACCGATCAAACCTACTATCGCTGTCGATATTCTTTCGTGAGTCGCCTATGGCATATACTTCCATTCGGTCAACTCTGACAGTCACCTCTTTTGCGCATGTCAGTCGGCACGTAACAGGAAAAGCGAACAAGCCTGATACCACTCCACCAACCGTCCCCGTCCGCAAACCGGAATTCTTACCGAGCCGGGAAACACAGAAGCTGCGGGCTACGTGGCTAGGTCACGCCTGCTACTACGTTGAGTTTCCTGGAGGCTTGCGGGTTTTGTTCGATCCCGTGTTCGAGGATCGTTGCTCACCTTTCTCATGGCTCGGCCCGAAACGTTATACTGAGAGGCCTTGTGATATCAAGGATATCCCTATCATCGATGCAGTTGTTATCTCTCACAACCATTACGATCATTTGTCTTATCCTACCATCAAGGAGATAGCTGAGCGTCATCCGAATTGCCAGTTCTTCGCGCCTCTGGGTAACAAGGAATGGTTCAAATGTTCAGGGATTGATAAGGTGACCGAGATGGACTGGTGGGAAGAACGGGACATGGTTCTCTCTCCTGCAGAACCAAGCACAAAAGTCGAGGAAGCAACAGATGACCTGGCGTCGAAGAAGGCGGATATCAAAGCTCGCCTTGGTTGCCTACCGTGTCAGCATACCAGTAATAGAGGACTCCTAGATCGACAGAAGACATTGTGGTCCTCGTGGTACGTTGAATCTGGCGGCCACAAGGTCTATTTCGCTGGGTATGTCAAAAATCCCTGCTACGTCTACTCATCATCTTCTTATCACTTCCGAGACTTACCTTTTTCCCTAGTGACACTGGATATCGTGCTGTACCCGAACTCCCAGATGATGTAGATGACCACGCTGCTGAGTACGAATACCCTTCCTGCCCTGCCTTCAAACAAGTTGGCGAGTTCCGCGGACCATTCGACCTGGGGTTGATTCCAATTGGAGCCTACGCGCCTCGGTGGATCATGAGCCCAATGCATGCAGATCCCCACGACGCTGTCGAAATTTTCAAAGACACACGCTGCAAACGAGCCGTTGCCATCCACTGGGGTACCTGGGTGCTCACCGAAGAAGATGTTCTCGAGCCTCCGAGGAAACTGAAGGAGGCATTGAAGAAACATGGAATACCTGAAGACGGAATATTTGACGTTTGTGATATTGGTGAGAGCCGAGAGTATTAATTTCAGCTTTTTGGATATATTTTGCCTTCATATGCAAATAATTGGGCGAACTTTGCGGTGTTGCCCTGGCTTCTTGAATATGTATTTTGGAATACTTGTATATCAGTCAATCAACAATCGCCTACAATCTAATGTTATATACCATTGAGTCAGTTTTCTGGATCAGCTGATTGCCGTTGGACTTCAATAGACACTATCTATGTCTCCTGCAGCGATAAGGTATGATGAGATGGAAGCAGTGTCACCAAATCTGACCTGTCTGCTGTCGTTGCTGAACTCTGGTTAGAGTCTGCAGCCACGAGATGCAATTTCAAAACTTAGTACAATAGGGAATAAAACTAGAAGATTGTTCCATGTGAAGTGATACATCTGTCCCATAGAGTCCCATCCTACCAGCAGTTGTATGATACTCACTCTAAGCCCATTTCAACATTTCAATAACGATGCTCAACCATCTGTTCTTCGATCTAATGGTAAGATCTAGAAAACAAAGAGCACAAACATTGAATAGAGACAAGTATTAATGGTGATACCAGAGTATTCCCTTCGCTGCACCTGATGCCTAAGAATATTTGCAAGTATCGTAAATACTCTTTGGAGCATACCACCATCAGGTTCCCTCAACAAAAGACTTCCTCTTGCACCTCATCATATTTTATTATCGCCTTCACAGAAAGGTCTCAAACTCATTACTCCATCCATCATGCCATACTACTTCACCCCGGATCCCAATCAGCTGGGAAATATTATGCACTACAACAACAATGCGATGCAATCAAGCAGTTATCAGCAACCATCGGAAGCCGAAGATTACACGACCGAGGACGAAGAAGAAGTCGTCTACGAGCTGGACGAGCGCGCCATGGCTTGTCTCCCAGAACGTCTCCGGGAGATCATGCGCGAAATCCATCGGGAGCGCCTAGAACGAGTGCAAAGAGAGAATCCAGACTTCGAGTACCGCAGAGCATCGAGTCGTCAAAATGACCATGCGGAGCGATGGCTCGAGAACGTCGTCGTTCGGCTCATGGAGAGTCAGTCGGCGCCGCGTCCAGTGTTTCACACCATGGCAGACGCGCTTCCTATACACGGAGCTTTGAGTAGCTATCAACCCCAAGCTGCTGTCGAGCCACAACATGCATACAACAACATGGTTCCCGACCATGAACAGTTTTACCCGCGAGTGACGGTTACAGAACTGTCTCACAATCGCGACAATTCCGAGAATGATATCCAAGTGGAACATGATTCCACCCCGGTTCAAGAGGAGCCCACCGAGATCAGGGAGCCAACGGAGCCAATGGAGGACATGCATCGGCCTCCTCCCGCGAACAGGACTCGACTTGGGGACAAGACCCCGAAGAAGAAGCCGACTGATTCGAAGTGTCGCAGGAGGCGATCGTCCATGGTTCTAGAAATGCGCAGTCGACTTCAAAAGAAGGTTGGGAAAGTGAGCAGGTTCTTCAAGAGTATAGTTTGATCTGCAGTGCATTGCACTGATCAACCTTTAATCCCAATTCTGATCATTCTTGACTATTTTTCGGGAATACAGCACAGCACGGTTCTTTGTATGATATCAAGACTTGGCCATCATGTTCTGGAGTTAAGAATGCTGTTTGATAGACGAAGTGATACATAATGACATAATGCTGTCATGTTTACAATGAAGCTTCCAAAGAGCAGGAAGATGCCTGTTATCCATGAATTGAGACAAATTTGCAACACAGTATTCAGTATCTAAAGGCGATTTCCCCCTCGTAGATCGTGTTGGTGTGCTTGATAGCTCAGGGGGGGATGATAGAGCGCTAAGCTAAAAGTAGATTAGAGGCGGTGAGCTTCAATCCCACTTCGCCGTGTGCTGGAAATTTGACGGTGGAATGCGGGCACAACTCCACGTCTCCAAACTGAGCAGGTTCATCATCTGGCTGCTTCATAGTATCTGACAGAGACACTGCTTCCTGTCTTTCTGCCAATCTTTGTCCATCGGACCTTCATTCCCCGAAGCAACCCCAAACCACCGCCAACATGCAGGCCCCAGTGGTGGTGATGAGTATGTTATCCCATCAGCTCTACCTAACGCTCCATTCAGACCGCTAACGAAGATGATAGACACCAATACTGGTGACAGGCAGGTCGGCCGCAAGGCACAGCTTTCCAATATCACCGCCGCGAAGACGTACGTGAAACCCCTTGACCGGATATATCTTTCTCGGTGCTAATATGGGGACCCTTTTGCAGCGTTGCGGATATCATTCGGTCGTGTCTTGGTCCCAAGGCTATGTTGAAGATGCTTTTGGATCCTATGGGAGGTATCGTTTTGACCAACGACGGTCATGCTATTCTGCGTGAGATCGAGGTGTCGCACCCCGCCGCCAAGAGCATGATTGAGCTCAGTCGCACCCAGGATGAGGAGGTCGGAGATGGAACTACCACTGTGATCATCTTAGGTGATTGTCCCTTATCACGCATCTCGGGTGAAGTTACTGACAGCTCGTAGCCGGTGAAATGCTGGCCCAGGCCCTTCCTCAGCTCGAGCGCAACATCCACCCTGTCGTAATCATTCAGGCCTTCAAGCGTGCTTTGGCGGATGCACTGGCCATTGTGGAGGAGGTTTCGCTACCCGTGGATATTGACGACGACAAGGCGATGTATACGTTGATCCAGTCTTCTATTGGCACAAAGTTCGTTTCTCGGTGGTCGGAATTGATGTGCAACCTTGCCCTGAAGGCGGTCCGGACTGTCTCGTTCGATGTCGGTGGCGGAAAGAGAGAGGTCGACATCAAGCGGTATGCTCGTATCGAAAAGATTCCCGGCGGACAGATCGAAGACAGCGAGGTTATTGATGGTGTGATGATCAACAAGGACATTACACACCCTAAGATGCGGAGAAGGATAGAGAACCCTCGAATCATCCTGCTCGATTGCCCGTTGGAATATAAGAAGGGCGAGTCTCAGACAAACATCGAGATCACTAAGGAGGATGACTGGAACCGTATTCTCGAGATTGAGGAGGAGCAAGTCAAGCACATGTGTGATGCCATTCTGGCCTTGAAACCCGACATTGTTTTTACTGAGAAGGGTGTCTCAGGTAAGACTTTTGTGAAATTCCCTGTCCGCTATTGATTACTGATATGCTGCTCTTATAGATCTCGCTCAGCACTTCTTGATGAAGGCCAACGTGACAGCTATCCGCCGAGTAAGAAAGACGGACAACAACCGTATCGCCAGAGCTACCGGTGCCACAATTGTGAACCGTGTCGATGACCTCCAGGAGTCCGATGTGGGAACGCAATGCGGACTTTTCGAGATTGAGAAGATTGGCGATGAATACTTCACCTTCCTTAGGAAATGCCAGAACCCCAAGGCATGCACGATTCTGCTGCGCGGTCCTTCCAAGGACATTCTGAACGAGATTGAGCGCAACCTCCAGGATGCCATGTCCGTTGCCAGAAACGTTATTTTCCACCCACGACTGTGCCCCGGTGGTGGAGCCATCGAGATGGCAGTGTCAGTCAGACTGAGCCAGCTGGCAAAGTCTATCGAAGGTGTCCAGCAGTGGCCCTACAAGGCCGTGGCCGACGCCATGGAAGTCATTCCTCGCACATTAGCACAGAACGCCGGCGCCAGCCCTATCCGTGTTCTTACTCGCTTGAGAGCCAAGCACGTTGAGGGCCAGTACACATGGGGTCTCGATGGAGATTCGGGTAACCTGGTCGACATGAAGGAATACGGCGTCTGGGAGCCCGAGGCGGTCAAGCTTCAGAGCATCAAGACAGCAGTCGAGGTAGGCTGAATATCTTTCCCTTTGCCAAGGTGCATCCAGCTAACATCTTTCATAGTCCGCATGCCTTCTGCTCCGTGTTGATGACATCTGCAGCGCCAAGTCCGCGCAACAGGCCGGTGCTAATATGGGTGGTGGAGAGGAATAGGCGATACAATTATTCTGGAATAAAAATGCGTAAATAATGCTACACGATCAACTCTGATTCTGTATGACTATCCTACTAGTCCTTTAAAAAACAATTACATGGGTATCTTACACCTTAGAAAGCAACGCATCCGCCTAGTCCTCGTGAATGATCACGCCAGGTGTCTCAACAGACACATCAGGCCCGTCTCCTGCGGTAATTTGATCTTCCTCCTCCCTCCGCCTGTTCTCTATGCGCCTGAATGCCTCATCAACCGCCATCCCATCCGGTCCCCTCTTGACGCTCGGAGCGTCCTTATTGCCCCCATTATTCCCCTCGTTGTTGTTGCTCTTCTTCTTTACTGCATTCCTCTTTTCCCTCCTCCTCCGGTTCTTCTGGGTCTTCTCCTCATCCCTCCGCCTGGCTTCTTCAATCTTTTGCTTCCACGCCTGATCCTCCTTTTCCTTCTCCACCTCGCTATTCATCATGCGGAGACGCTCGTATTCCCTCCGGCGACTCGCCTTGTAAACGTGGAACTCGCCAGAGCCCGCACCGGCCGAGGAACCTTGGACATTGGCAACGATTTCCGGCGGGGGAGCCAGCGACGAGCTTGTCCGTTGCTTTGACGGGTCTGGCAGTCGGACTTCCTTGTTCGGATCGCGGAAGAGATGCTCGATTTGCGACGCTTGTTCGCTGTGCGGGGTGACTGCGCGACGCTTGACGGGTCTTTTGCTGCGCGGGTCGGCGCTGGTAGGAATGGACTCGGGGCCGGGTTCGGACATGTTTGGTTATTGGGAGGTGTGATATCTCGGAAAAGCGAAGAGGGGATAGAGCGCGTAGACTCTTTTGGTAGTGAATGAAGAGGGCCTGGCGGACGGAATGGCGCAGGAAGAGGTTGGTTGATTCGGATTCTGACGTAGCTTGTGTGTATTCGGACTTTTTAGGTGGAAGATGACGTCCGGTGTCCTGAGACAAAACTCAATTTCCCAGAGCTGTGCCTGAAAAGTGAATGATCGAGATCAGAAGGGTGTCTTGAAGCTGGTGGTGAGGTTCGAATAAAGTCAAAGCGGTGAGGTTGATGAATTGTGCTTTTGGTTCATTTTCTTATCAGTTCTCGGATAGATTTGTCTGTTGGTCTGGACAGTTACCCCTCTATATTGAAGCTGTGAAGTATACAGTTCAGCTGGAGATAAGTTTGAATGAAGGGTAGTGCTGATACTATTATAGTCTAGATTCTAAATATCATATCTTTCAGTGAATAAGACAAGTAATTAGTTAGTAAACCATATATCAGTGAATTATCATTACTCTGCCTAAGGCCAGGTAGTGCATGTGATGGCCTCAGGTATCCTTTGTCGATTGTTTTCCCTGACCTTGAATACTTCTCTCTTGTTTACTGCTTCATTCTCACCACCCTCTCTAATATCTTCTTACCTCTCTTTATTTCTCTTACTTGCCTGTAAATCTTCAAATCTAAGCCTTATGTCAATCTAACCTTATCTTGATTCTTCACTATTGTTACAATCTTCATTCATATCGATACATCTTTACCTGCATGCACTCTCATAAGGCCTCACCATGGCATCGATACCAGCTGCTGAGGCACCTAAAGGAAGTGACAGCAAGGTCAGCAATTCCTTTGAGGCTCTAGCGCTAAATTAATAAGGATGTCTAGCTTGACCTACACGACCTTTGTCGTTTGAAATCAAAGCCCTCTCTGGTAGGGAGTGTTGAAGTAAGTAAACATTCTGAACTCCTATATCCTACATGGTCTAACTCAGTCATCCTAGAGGACTCATCACGATGTAGGTGATGCTAGTATACTTGCTTGATTGCCGTGATCATCGTTAACTGACAGGATGTGTGTTCTATCAAAAGATTGATAGCCATAGCCCCCTGGAAGATGTCATGATTGTTTCGTACTCTTCCGTACCCGAAAAAGATCTGTACGAGTTTCTGCAAAGTGGCGTGGTATGTAACTCACAAGCTCTGACGTGATTTGACAGCTAATCTTCCAAAGCCGCCTAGGGGCTATGTTTACATCACCTTCGCCGAGCCATCGCAAGGAAGCTCTCTTGTGCACGAGGATGATCTTGATCTTGTCGATCGGGCAATAGGCACTGGTGAAATTGTCAAACGCGATCTTAACGACACTTTCAGTGGTACAGCAATTGAGGCAACCATTACATGTACTCTCGAGCCTGTTGCATTCCGAACGACCGACCCCGTGACAGGAGAGGACGGACCGCTGAGATTCACAGAGCCAGCCGTCAAACGCCGCAATTCGCCAGAAATCCAGGACGACCACTTGGCTCCGCCGCTGCTTTATGATATTCCCGTGACAGAACTGACAAACTACGAGGAATTCTCTGAAGGAGATTACATTGTTTATGAACAGAAGCTGGGCATGGTGCGGGAAGTTGAGCGCGATGCAATCTTGCTTCTCCATGATCAGAAACCTGTCTCACCTCTGGACCCCTTTGCCCTGCAACTGCCCATTTCCGTCGGGACCGAAAGGGTTGTGTCATGGCCGGAAAACCAGAGCGCCATGAGGTCATACCCTCTACCCAATGGCGACTATCTTTGGACTGTTGAATCGGAGTCCGTCTTTCCGGGGCAATATACGCTGACGTCTCCGACGAACTTGAGCCGGAGAGATTGGAGTTCGGATTTGGCCTCTAATTTTCAACCAGAGGGTCATATCCTAGCGACTCCTGCCGTGAGCTTCCACGTCGATTGGCTCTGCCCCAATCCCTTTTCTACGGGGCCGCCGCACAGTGATAGCAACAATGATGTTCTCCGTGCGTCCGTGCTGCAGGGCAAAGCAATGAGATGCGACTTTAGCCGGTTTCCAACGGAGGGATTGAATGAGAAGACAGTCCGATCAGATACATGGGCCGAGCTCAATCCCGGGGATAGGGTTCGCTTCAGAAACCCAACCGATGCCACCTCCAAATACAACCACAAGCAGATACCCACTGACCAGTCCTTCGGCCATGATATCAATATCTTTCGCGTTGTGTCCACTCAAACGCAGGTTACTGTTCAATGGCAGGATCTCAGTATCACAACCCAGCCTGCTACTTCCTTGCACAAATTCACCACATTTGGTGATGAGGTCTGGCCGGGGAACATTGTTATTTTGGCTGAGAGCCTTGCGGGACCTCAGACTTCCTGTAGCCGCCATGAGATACGTCGTGCTCAGAAGGTCGGTATAGTGCAAGCAGTTAACAGCGCAGAGAGGGTGGCGTCCGTCCGCTGGTATAAAAACCCAGATGTCGAACTGCTCCACAGAGGAAACATGCTGAAGCCTGGTTTTACCCTGGGTGAGCTTGATGAAACTGTCACACAGGTGTCTGTCTATGAGCTCTGCTCATTTCCTGCTTTGAGTAAAGGCCCGGGCGATTTAGTGCTCCTCGCTCCAGAGACAGTCCATCAATCATCCTTGCCGCCAAAGGGCATCGAACCACCTGGCATTACAGGGCCTTGCTTATCCAGCTACCTGTATCCGATATCTTTTCTCGAGATTGGAATGTATCTTGAATCCATGAAACTGACCCTCGTTGAATCGTCGGGGTTCAAAAACGGAACCACAATCGATACAGCCCCTTTGCCTCCGCGAGGTACCCTTCAGGATGACTACAATAGGCAATCCACTTGTAACTTTGTGGGTAACATTCTTTCTATGGACATCAATGGCACAGTTACAGTTCGACTTGTCGGCCGCAACGCTTGCAGAGATATTTGTGTGCCGATGGAAAAGATACTCATGGTCATCGACGAGGATTATGACGAGGTGCCTCCCTTGCCCATCCCACCAGTCGGCGGCATAACCAATTTCCCTGGACTGGCCCCGTTGTTTCCCGGTTACATGTTTGACTTACCTGGTGTACCTCCTTGGGCTATGGATCCTCTGTTCACCGGTCCTGGCTTACCTGCCTGGGCTCAAACCCCATCTCTGTTCAATCGGACATATGAATATGAGGGTGGGGAGCGACTGGATAATGATGCTAACGATGACCAATGGATGACCGAAGATGATTCTGAGGGAGACGAGGAATCCAGCTTTGAAGAGGACAGTGACCTTGAAAGCGAGGAACACGCAGTGCTCGGTCAAGAGGAGCTTGTGGCACCCGAGGTTACAGAGGTCAAGATTACGAGTGTACCTGGCGACGATCAGAAGATGGCAGTCGATAACCCCCACAGTCATACCCAAGAGACGCATGGGGCTGGTGGGCCTTCTTCGCGCTCATCTTCCTTTCCATCCGAGTGTCCTCCTGGATTTATGATTCTGGAGAGTGATCCCCCTGTCGATCACCACTTTCTTGCAAGAGCCCCAGCAAGAGGAACGGGACTGCGAATGAGCCGTATTCGAAAGGAGTATGAGATCTTGCAGTCAGCGCTGCCATCTGGTATCTTCGTTCGAACCTGGGAATCTCGAATGGATCTCTTGCGTGTTTTGATCATTGGTCCTCAAGGCACGCCATATGAGCATGCTCCGTTTGTGATTGACTTTCAGTTTCCTGAAGATTACCCCAACAAGCCCCCGGTTTCCTTCTTCCACTCGTGGACCAATGGACAGAGTAGGGTCAATCCTAATCTGTATGAAGATGGACGTATCTGTCTCAGCATCTTGGGGACTTGGCCTACAAAGAACCCTGAAGAAAGTTGGTCGCCAACCAGCTCCACTGCACTGCAGATCCTGGTATCGATCATGGGCCTTGTGCTGGTGAAGAATCCTTTTTATAGTATGCTATACCGTGCCCTCGATAGGAAATGCCATTCACTAACCGTTCTTACAGATGAAGCTGGCTACGAAATGCTGGCTGCAGACGACAACCGTCATGTTGAGTCCGTGCAGTACACCGAGAAAGCATATTTGACAGCTCGGAACTTCATTAAGCACGCAATAGAACATTCAGTTGCTGGTCTGGAGGATGTTGTGACATGGAACTATCTAGCGGGTCTTGGGCAGGAGGACGACAAGTCCAGTTATCCTCGACTGCTGCGCCGAGCCATTGACTCTGCCCTCGAGCTGATCGAGCATCACAACAATACCTCTGCTGAAGACAAGCTAGATGAAGGCCACGCGGCGGCGCCATTTGTGTCCCGTCTCAGTCTGGGGGCAGTAGTCATGCTCCGGAGACGTGTGACTGAATTTGAGAACATTGCATCGGCACATATGGGCAGCAATTCTTCTTGAGTACGCGCCGATTGTATGCATTTTTGAGACTAAGTGGATATCACGGAATCGTCCTTCCTATCGAGCGGAATTGTAGGGTCAGGACAATAGCGATGTCTCTCAAGAACTGAGTCATGCTTTCGGCTTGGAAGGTTGTTATTGGCAGGTTATTGTGGCCATGATCTTTGAGCTTGACGTTGCTTAGTCCCAGCCAACGGTTTGATTGTCGATGCATGTGAGGACAATTTCGTGTTCCATAGTCTACTATTGGCGTACAAGGCCTGATATGTAAATGCACTCAGACATTTTGGAATCCAAATCGCTCCAGAAGACGTAGAAGTAAGACATCATGTATGTAGAGATGCAGGCTTGGATTTCACGGCAAAACTCTTATAAGTTGGACATATGGTCACAGTCGCCAGAAGAATCTAACAAGATCCAACTCTCTGTTTCCCATATCTCTTACTACTTATCCATCCCGATATCCTTGGTGAAAATTGCTGTTGGAGTTGCCCAAGTAGACCAGCAGCTGCGGTGTTGGTCTTTGAGGCGTTCCGTCCGTTCTTCCCACCCCCAAGCAAGAATCTCCGTCATCACATCTCTCCTCCACGGTTCGCATCGCTCCCGTTCCATCGATGCTGCTGGCAGTATTTCTGGTTCTCGGGATATTCGAAGATATTCATTCTATTTGTATGAGCTTTTGACAATTGTTTTGTGTTGAAGACGCTACCTACTCCTTCTGTTTTTTCCCGTCGTTTTACAGGTGCTTTGGTCGCGCAAACCGCGTCATTGTCTGTCAATCCTTGAGAAAATGGGGACTTATCGGCTGGGTAAGGCATTTCCCTCTTATCTTTTCTTGTATTTCTGTTTCTGTCTCTTTGTCTAGATGGCGTTGGTTGTCTGGATGAACGGGGTTGTCTGATGTCCTATTGTTATCATCCATGTGGCTGGGGAGTCCCTATACGTCAACTGCCACACCATCGTTTGTTTCCTCCCAAGTGTTTCTATTATTGCTTTTCAGGGGCATAGATCATCTTCTATGCGACCTTTTCCTCCGTCATCAATGCCCACCGTACACCCCAAGCTCATCCATTAAAAAAAAAAAAAAACTAATGTCAAGCAGAAGCTGCCTCCACCGGCCGAGCCGGCTGCCAGAACAAAGAATGCAAAGACGAGAAGATCAAGATCGGCAAAGGCGAGCTCCGTCTAGGCACCTGGGTCGACACCGAGCGGTTCCAGAGCTTCTTTTGGAGACACTGGTGAGTCTGCCCTTCCCTGTTGAGTTCCATTCAATCCTGGACTGACGATTGTGCGACAGGGGCTGTGTCACGCCCAAGATCATTGGTAATCTCAATGAGTCCGTTGAGGAGATGAGTGGGGATGCGAAAGACCTCAATACCCTAGATGGCTTTGAGGATCTTCCTTCTGAGTACCAGGAGAAGGTCCGCAAGGCTCTGGAACAGGGCCATGTTGATGATGAGGATTGGAAAGGGGTATGTGAATTTTTTCTTACTTTTTTCTGCCTCGCTTGGTGGCTTTCTTTCTGTTTGACTTGCGATTGGGATGGCTGATGATCCTAGGATGTCGAAATGAACCGGCCCGGCAAGACGGGTTTCCGCAAGCGCGCTACCAAGAAGAAGGCTGACGAAGAAGAGGTATTCACTCCTTCCATGACAGTGTTTTTATTTTCGGTACTAACGCCGAACAAACAGGAAGAGACAGCATCCGAGAAGGAGAAACAGAAGGCCCCCAAGACCAAGAAACGGGCCCGCGCAGAGACCGAAAACGAAAAGACCGACGACAATGCCCCCACGCCAAAGGCCAAGAGGGCCAAAAAGGGCGGCCGCGTCAAGCAGGAAAGCGACCACGAGGATGAGCATGGATCCGACGACACCGAGGTCGAGTACAAGCCGAGACCGACCAGACGAGGCCGCTCCGGGAAGATCGCCGCAGAGGAGAAACCAGCCCCGGCGCCTGAGAAACCGGCTGCGAAGCGGCAGCGGAAGTCGGTGGGTGAGGATGGCGATGCGGAGGCTGAACCCGTTCAGGAGAAGCCCAAGCGTGGACGCAGGAAGAAGATGGCCTAGTCTATCTCGTGGCACTCGAGCTCGTATGCCATGCGCTTATATTTGTTTGAGGGTTCTGAGGTTCGTGGCTCGCTTGTGGTTTCTCTAACAATACTTTGTGAGTGCTGCGATGATATTTCCGAGGGGCCCAGGTGCAGCAGTCATTTCTTTCATCGATGTGCTTGTCTTACTAGTCCGTTGAGTATCTGTAGTATTCATACTTTCAAAATCACTTGTCTTGTTCACAGCGGCCATGCCATGATGTCGTTGAGCTTTCCGAGTATGTTCAGTAACCCTACAAGCTACAACCTACTGTACATTGGAGAAGACGTGAGGCGGCCAAATCTCTCATTTCCTAGATAATGATCATTCTCCCATCATATTCAAAAGAGTCAATGCACCTCAGACAGTCGAAACCTCGCGCTTCATATCGATCAATCTGGAGCTAACTATGCGCAGTCAAGGGCGGACCCTTGTAACAGAAGTCGGTTCAAGGAGTGACATAAAACTTGAGAAAACAAATATCAAGTCAGGCACGCCAATCGGCATTAAAAAGCGGTATTATGTGGTGGCTTCAACCACAATGGCGGCCGACCTCGGTAGAAGCGAAGACTGACGCTCAATGAGGATCAGTGGGACAGTTTAGTTCATTCTGGCAATTAGGCAGTCTACTTAGATGTGTGGCATGAGACCAAGTTTCATGATTCGTAGGTGCTAGAATCATGAGGAAAGTCTGAGGCGGTCGTTCATTGCTGGCTAGATGGTGGAACGACTGGTCATTCAATAGAGTCAAGATAGACAGAAGGGTAAGGAAACTCACCTGATCGCCTCGAGGTCATCCATATGATTACACATTGCAACGAACAAATCGAAGTAGAACCTGTGGCCCATTTCCATATCAGACTGCATCGTCCCACTGCTCTTGAAGATATGGCGGGCGCGGATCATCATCGTCAGGTAATGAGCGCGCAGTCGGGACTCCGCGCCTGGCGTATTGTCATAGGCATACCGAGCAGATCTGAGGACCACTTCGACGGGAATCCCCCTCTGCAGCCCTTGCTTGCGAAGAGCAAGTTTCTTGAGTGCCTCTAGGCCGTATCGCTCGGCAGCACAGTAGACAACGGTATCCCGGAGGACTATACCATCAACCGCGGAGAGAAAGATGACCGCGCGGCCGCTGGAGGTATCGCCGTCCTGTGTGCCCTCGAGTCTGAAGGACTTTTGGCCTTTGCTGCGCAAGAGGCGGGGGGAATAGTCGCCCTTGTAGAGGAACTCAAGGACACAGGACAGAATTTCTGGTTCTCTGTAAGAGTTAGCGTGGATTAGAGAGATGCTGCAGAGGCTGCCTGCACTTACTCGTCGGGCAAGCCGATCACCTTGTCTCCTTCATCACCAGCGAACTGGTCCCTTAGCACAGCATAGAAGAAAGGAGAGCGGAATAGAACATCCTCATGAGCTACGAAGACACGCCGATCCGGACCCACAAGTAGTGTGACTATAGGACTCGTGCGAGAGCTGTAGATATTATGGTCAGCTATGTCCTTGGTCTGTTTCGCTGGAGCGAATCAATATGACAGAATATAGCAATGGGGCTGCAGAATGATGCAGATGATGCAGCGAGGGCATACATATCACTTACGCTTTCGGAGACGGGCGATCTGGACGCTCTCTTCCCTGCTCCTTCACCTTTGAATATCCCTTGTACATCTTTTCGATGGACCGGAAGGACTTTTCCACCCGATCCTTGGATACAAAAGAGGGTTTGGCCGTCATGATGCTAGCGTTACCATCCAGCAACTTCAGCAGATGCAATACCAGCGACAGCCAGGTGAAGACACAAAGGAGGGACAGAAGAAACCAGAGCAGCGAAAACGAACGGAAGAACTTGTCTATAGAAAGGAGCGACGCTGCCGAATCATGCCAGCCGCATGTGGGGAGTCCTGGAAGCCGTTCCAAGAAGTGTATCTTCTGGTAGGCGTGAGTCTTCATGGAGAAGACAGACCATACTAGAAGAAGAACACAATCCTGGGGAACGGACTTAGCATCCGAGAATCTACAGGAAATTCACGTAGCGAGGATAGTCGACTCTGGGGAGCGTAAGAAGAAGGGAAAGGAAGAGGGCAAGCTGAGGCAGAAGCGCTGAGAGACCGGGTTCACGTGAGGGCTAGCAACTGACAGGGATTACAGTGCAGGCTACAGTGTATGATAGCATAGTTGGTTAGTGGAGGAATAGCTAGTTTATGGAGTTATAGGGAGACCTACACTATAGACTTTGGTTCGGATTGAATACATACTGTTGGTTATTGAGCATTCTAATTATCGCAAACTATACTTACAGAATTGCTGGGCTTCCTAATCATGAATTGTGCATTTGTGCTGTAGTATATATCATGCTATAAGATGACGCAACCTTAGCACGGAGCTACAGAGACTATGGAAGGGGGTTTCCTGTCATTGGACATCTTGAATTAACATCAGAACTTGCAGACGGATTTAGATAGCTTACAGAAATTCTGTTACATCTGTTGAAGTTTGACTGACCTCCAATATCTCGACCATACAGTGTACACTGGATCGACCACCGGCCACACATATCATAACATGTGGCTGGGATCCACCAACTTGGCAATGTGGCAGTGCAAAAAGCCCTAATCGCTAACCCTAATCAGTCTAGTTCCAGTGGCTCGTGCGGGGATCTCACATGACGATCATGGATGCCTTGGGCAGTGATATCATCGCCTGAACAGCCACTGATCCAACCAACTTCAAGAACGCATATTGCATACATCGGGGAGCGTTGACATGACAGCTACTTCTCTCATGTGCACGCCATCAAGATAGACTGTCTACTACTTACACTACGAGTTTTGCTGGTCTGGAATTCCATCACAGTGGCGATTAGGGTTTCCAAGTGTCTTAGAGATATTACGGGAGTACTTAGTCCCCCTCCCTTTGTTGCGCTTACCGGGCGTACCTTGCTTCCCAATTTGCCTGGCGACTCACGCAACAACCGTGTCAATGCTCCCCTTTCGCCCAGCCATCTTGATACTCTCTTAAAAGGCTCGAGGCGCTCTTGAGGAACCAAATTTGTACATTTAGTCAACGCACACGAAGAGACGTCTTAAGCGCCAACGTATCAAAATGCAACGCCTGAGTTTTATGCAGAATTGGCGACGCCCTTCCCAGGCCGAACAGTCACACGACCCGGTTCTAACGACCGACGACGAACAGTTCCTACAGACTATTACCTCTCAGCATACAGAGGGGGAATCAACATTGGCCGCGAAGACAGACGAAAATGTTCGACCGTCAGTTGACGCTGTTAGCGCCGAAGCGGAGAATGTTCCGGTACCGGTTTCACCCATCGAGGAATTTGGGAAAGAACTAGGAGAGGAAGAGCGCAAGGCGAGCGAGAAGGCCGATATACCTCGGCGAAATTCGCAGTTTTCCAAAGCAGAGAGCGCGTCTTCCCCTGAGAAGAAGGGAGCCTGGAGTTGGCTGCGCAGAAGAGGCACGATTTGGAAGAAGAAGGTATGGCTGTTTGAATTTTCGATGCCTTCCAGTCAACGTGATGGAGGAATGCTTACAGTTGATTTCTATGATACAGGGCAAGGAACCGGCCATCGATGAGCACAACAATTCACAAACCCCTCCATCCTCCGAACCCACCGACACCAAGGAAGCAGAACAAGAGGCGGAAGACATGACGGACATCTTAGAGCGTCTCAACCTAGCGGCGGATAACAATACTGTATTTTCTATGGGGGCGGAAACTCAAGAGCTTCTGCGCAAGTTCACTCTCATCTTCAAGGATCTCATAAATGGCGTACCTACCGCTTACCACGACCTGGAAATGCTGCTGAGCAATGGCAACAATCAGCTGCAGCAGACATATTCACAATTGCCAAGTTTCCTACAGAAACTGATTGAGAAACTGCCTGAGAAATGGACCGAGACCCTCGCTCCAGAGGTGCTCGCTGCGGCTACCGCGAAAGCCAGTCAAAGCGGTCTCAATGTTGAGAACGTGGGCAAGGCAGCAGCGGCAGCGAAGAAGATGGGCATTAAGGTCCCAAGTTTGAAGGAATTGGTTGGGAAGCCCGCGGCCATTGTGGGCATGCTGCGGTCCATCATGGCGTTCTTGAGAGCACGCTTCCCTGCCATTCTCGGAATGAATGTGCTCTGGTCGTTAGCTTTGTCCAGTAAGTTTTCAGATCGAGGCGCTTTGTCACTTAGTACGTCCAGGTTCGCTGATCAGGATATTCTATGCAGTCCTTCTGTTTGTCCTCTGGTATTGTCACAAGCGTGGCCGAGAGGTGCGCCTGGAGAATGAGCGCATCGTGACCGAGGAGGAGATCAACAAGCTGAATGAGGAGTCCCCGGAAGAAAGGATCCGTGCTACAGAGACGCTTGTTACTACGGCGCCTTCAGGGGCTTCTGCTGCTGAAGTCCGCCAAGGCGTCAAGGAAGCGCAGGAAACCCGAGCAACGGCGACTGCTGCCGCGGAGGGGGACCAGGACGGGAGCACAATGACATCCCCCGTGAAGCCAGCCAGGTCCAAATCAATCCTGAATATTTGGACCAGGTCCCAAACCGCTCCAACACCCAAGATCGAACCTTATCCTGGGACATGATGCAAGGTGTCCTAGCGTTTTGGCTTTGTTTTTTTTGTTTTTGTTTCCACGGTTCCAGATTGCCCATTACCCATTACCCATTACCCATTTTTTTGATACCACTTGCTCGGGATGATCGGATAAGTTAGTCATGCAATTGCTATGATAATGATGATGATGATGATTGAAGAATCAGACGTTGAAATTGGCCACCTGTTGTCTCTGAAGTAGTCCGAATGATAGCTACTAAGGTAACTAACTAGGCAGACTAAGTCGTGCCATAGTCTATCGAAGATCACGAGCCACGGTTGTGGATCGGACCGGCTGGCAAAAAAAAACGGACGACCCGATCCCGAAGTGGCAAGCTCTGGATGTTTCTAGTTCCTTACGTATTCTACATTGCTTCCTTAGTAGACTATCACTATGCACTATCTACTCTGTAATCCTGGGTACTTACCCAGGATTACAGAGTAGACAGATAGTGGCATATAGTATATACAAACGATGTCCTCAGACTTGGATCATCCTGACATGCTCTCCGATCAGCATGGCAGAGATCGGCTCTAAACCACGTAGTCCTTGAGATCGCAAAGTCTTTTTTAAATCGTGGCGATGCATGAGGACTGAGGAGAGAATCCGAGCGGAACGGCCGAATGGGAAAAATTGGCTACTGCGGGGTGCAGCAGGTACATTGACCAATGAGGAGTGGAGAGTTGTGTCGATCGTGAGTAAGCACCGGCATGAGTCCAGTGGGTACCTACAGAGTATTCCATCATATTAGTAGGAGGAGTTAATAGTAACTACCTAGTTAACTTACCTAGTACTCTGTAAGTAACTAGGTAGTATTGAGGTGCTAATAATGTTTCTTGAATTTGGTAATAAAAGCATCATCAATATCTCATACTTACAGAGTAGTGAGGAGATACATACACTCGGGGAAACCAGATGATTATGATGGAGGTTGTGAGGATATTCGGTCTTCACGTGTCAACCACCTCATCTACGGAGTAACTAAGGCAGATATGATCTATAAATTGCAGCCAGCTGTCTCAACCTTTACCGCTCTATTACAGCCAATAACACCCCTCCTGCATCATGCATGTTGAGCCGACAGCGGCAGGATACCTCGACAACTTAGGCGTCTTTGGTATCAACTCACCCTCTTACATTTCAAACGAAACACGGAGCACCATCTCATCTTTCTCTCTCGGGGAATACCCACTTACCTAGTCAATTTACAGAGTAAATAGTTACTGTAATTACCTACAGACAGTACTGAGGTCTGAGGTACCTGACTGAAGAGGCGTTTATCGCCACCGGTGGAGATGAGGAGGACAGTCTTCCGCATCTGACTGGGAGGAGAGAGTAGAAAAGAACAGTTTACTAGTATTACTTGACGACGTTAGAGACTCCATCTCCATCGACTAGTTTACATTACTCCATAGGGCGAAAAGTGGTATTTTTCCCTCTTGACTGGAGACTAAGGTCCAAAAAGGCAGCATTCGAGACTACCTAGGTACCTAGGAGGATTGAGCCCTTTTGTTGATTGTGGTTGGCGCGCGGTATCTTGGCCACTGCTGCTGTTGGGAGCCAATCCACGGAGTATTGTTGTGGTCGGGGATTTCCAGTTGCATGAGTACTACCTACCTTACAGAGCAATAACAAAAATGTGTCTAGACTGTGGTCAAAATGAAGAATGGTGGATGATCATTTGGAATGTCCGATGTGATAGATCCTTTCTGTAGCTAAAAGGGGAGGGGGGAAGTTGGGAACATGCAACATGGAACTATGGAGGGGTCAATGATGCTGTTCTGCATAGGACACGGATCTTAGAAGGTCCCTGGCTTTTGGAGGCGTTTCTCGGCCGTCGATAGTACGAGGAAGACAGCCTGTAGCCAACGAGACGTATTGCTTGAATGGGATTGCTTTTTCCCCCCCCTCTCATAGTCAAACCCCCTCTCTCAACGACAAGAATGTCACTTTGGATTCTTCAGTACTGTCAAGAAATAGTAGATATTGTCGATAATACTTCCCACAAGTCATGATGACTGACTTCGGTTGACCTCGAATGTCCCGACAATGAGTCACCCAATCCGTTAGCCCACTTTCCATCTCGAATAGCAAGAGATTATTGGACGGGAACAGTGCCATGGCCATGACCAGGTCATGATATTTGCAGTTGATTACTATAGTACCGATTACCTATGTGTTGGCTGCAGTCCTTAGGATTCCCAAGGTCGCGTGTACATCTGCAGATTAAGGTACCCGACCTGGCACTTCTCCAGTGCCTTACTAGGTAGGTATCATCTACCATGCCTTCAATTCATTCCAGATGATGTTCCCAGCACCGTCCTTGCTCCCTCTGACACAAAAGAATCTCTTGACTGATTCATCCAATGACTCAAGACTATTCATCTTTGACTCGATTGTTGATGATAGTACTATCTATCTATCTATCTATTTATCTATTACTGTGTACTCCATAGGTACTCCGGTAGGTACAGAGCAAACATCCATGAATCCTAAGTGATACTGTTTCATCATCTTCACCCGCATTCCCTGCAGTATGATTGGCTCCTGCGTAATTAGAAGATCTCCATACTGGCAAAAAAATGAGGGAAAAAAAAAAAAAAAGGAAAATGCGGTGAGTTGAGGTTGTCCAATGGGGAGCTACCAAAGTCAAGCTTGCAACCAATCAATCAATGATAATGGTAAACCCGGTAATTACCGCCCCACAGTGGTTGGAAAAATGGACCCGCCCCTAAGTCTCCGTTCGAGGCTGTTCTCTGCTGGTAAAGACCCGTAAAAACCGTAAAGAATAAAATCTGCACTGCCTGTCAAGACTCAAGATGCCAGCGAAAGACTGTAGGTAACAGCCTGTAGTGACGGTAACATACAACGGGACGAAACATCCTACTACTACTAGGTACTTACTACTTAGTACAGCCTTCTCTCTCTTTTCCCCTTCCTCTGATCACTTCAATCCACCCCTCATCTTCCTCTTCCCAACCATCACAGCCAACGTCGCAGTTTTCGACTTCTTTTTTTAAAACCCCATTCATCTGCATCCTTATATCAGATTTCGTACAAGTTTCACTGCCAGAATGGCTTTCGTTGAGCTGTAGATTCCTCACTGGGGGGCATCTCCTGTGCTCCCCAGTCCAGCAGCTCCGAGTAGACTCCCAATTCGAACTTGAACGATAATCTGTTTTCTCTTTCGACGCAATCCGTGAGAAGCGTCGAAATTGCCTCTCAGCACATTCCTAGACGAAGCACTTTTGAACGTCCGTCGAGGACTTTGAGGTGCTTTTGTGCTCAGCGAAAAAGTCTTCTCTCTCCTCTCCCTCCTCTCCCTTGTCGCCCGTCATCCTTCATCGACCTACGCCTCTCCATTCTTCTTTTACGATAACGAATCAAACTGTTCCTTCCTGACACGACATCTGATGAATTGACGGTCGAAAAAAAAAATCTTCTCTCTTGACTCGTGTCTTGCGATCCCTCGACTCCTCCATCCACTGGAGTCTCTGACGCTTCTAGCCCACTAGAACGGGTATCAAACTTTCTCAACAACCAAAAGCCTGCCGAAACTCAGATCTCATACAAACAATTAAAAAATAAGAAAGAACCCCTCCTCAACCAGAATTGACACAATTCTATTGTTATCGACACAATGCTTCAAGTCGAACCCCACCGATCACCCAGGGGTGTTGCCAAGGATAGGCGTCCATCCAGTGTCCTGCAGCACATTGACCACAAGGCTGCCGGTCCATCTTCGCGGCGGTCCAACAAGTCTCTCCCTCTTGCTTCCTACAAGACCAGTCACAAGCGCAGAGCCTCTACCTCGTCGGTCTCCAGTGTCTCCTCGGTATCATCGATCGAGGCCCTCAGCGACGACACGAACGATTCAGAAGAGGATGCCGATGATGAAAAAGAACAACCAGGGGCCCGTGGCCCGTCCTACGGCCGCCGTGATAAGGGCCGTAAGGCGGGTCTGAAGTCGACGAGTCGGAAGCGCGTGAGACTGTCCGACGACGACGGCTACGCTGGCCTTAGCAGTGACGAAAGCGAATCCGAAGGAAGCTCGGATGATGTCTACGCTGCTGTCGACGATATCAGTGATGGAGATGACGAAGATCAAGACGTTGAAATACTGGAGGAGTTGCTGATCGTCGAGTCCGAAGATGAGCATGAAGTTGGCGACGTGTTCAAGAACCCTTCCACTGTCACGGAACACGAATGGTCTGGGACTAATACCTTCGACGACCACATGCTTCTCTCGGCTGCCTCGTTCTTCGATGAGGACCAGCTGTACAGTGCCATGGAAACCTTTGGCGAGACTGACTTCGCCAGCGAAGTTGCTGCGGAGACACCGATTCCGCGCCGTGTTCATTTCCAGGAAGACTCCGACTCCTCGTCGGATAGTGACTCCCACACGGATGATGAAATTCCCAGTGATTTCCTTCAACAGGACAGCCTCGATCCTCAGCTGCGCCGTATGATTGAGAACGACAATGAAAATGTTGTCAGCCGCCGTCGCCAGTCCGACGAACTGTTCGCCGAGTCGGACTATGGCCATTCAAATATATACCATGTCGAGTCTGACGCCGTCTCCGAGGAATCGGAGTCCAGCGGCTACGAGAGTATGAGAGTGCCTGATGCTGTTATTCTTGGAACCCCCCTGCTGACCCCTTTGAAGCCGATGATGGTGATACCACAGATGAAGACCTTCCACCTCCCGCAACAATCACCCACCCTCGTTCCATTCTCCGCCGCGATTCATCCGCCTCCCTGACTCCTGTCGCCGAGAGCAAGAACACTCCTCCCGTACGTCGACGTGGCCCGATCCTGGGAACCTTTGTTGCCGATCCCCACAAGCCAGTAGCCTTGGTTGACTGCACTGGCAAGCATCTTGTGATCATCCCTGCGTATGCCTCATCTCGCCATGATTGGCTTGAGTCCGCGACCAACAGCATCTGCGGCACTGCCAACAATAGCCCCCGGGCCACCACAATGCACCTCATCGACGAGAGTGATACTGATGCTCTGGGATCGCCAAACCGCCATGATCTTAGCCCCATGCTGGCCTCCAGTGCTAATCTTATGATGACTGCTCTGGGCAATGACATTGCCCCGGGGGGTCAGGTCATGGGCCCTCCCGAGGCATTCTACCCGTCTCGTGATTTTGCCATCGATAGCTCTTTCGAGGACGATGACGAGGATGATCCGGAGTCTGCTCTAAACGTCGAGGACTTTATCGACTTCGGAGACGGCTCGTCCGATGAGGAGATGGGCAAGATGTTTGATGACGCCCTCGCTTCACCGATGGCCACCACTACCATGGCGGCCCCCACCGGCACTCCCACACCGAATCGCGGGGGAGAGTCGCAGCAGGCCAGCAGTGCGGAACGCTTCTTGAATCACCTGGACCGTGGCATTGTGACCGCTTTCCGTCGGAACCACAACAGGTACCAAGCATTGCTGCGTCTGCCCCAGCACCGCGAATTCATGCCCGCTAATTCCCCGTCGCGACCTGCGAGCGTCTTCCGACACGCCAAGCATGCTGATCAGCGCACTCCTACTCGGAAGCGTAAGGCTGGCGGTTATGCTGGGGGAGAGGCGGTCCGACGAAAGCTCATGGACGCCCAGCGGCGTACGCAAATCCCCTTCTAAAATGGGAATGGAACGCAATCCTTTTTGCAAGTCTAATGAATTACGACATAAGAGCATTTGGACAATATTTCTGTTATGACTACCGTCTGTGTGAGCAGCATTAGACTTGGTCAGTCTGTCCGGCTGATCATTTAGACCTCTTGTGGCTCTATTCGCATGGAGACCTGAAAGTTGATCGACCTAGCGAGTCAGATACTGTTTCTCATGCATTTGAGTGCGATGATGGTTATTGGTGGCCACCAGCGAGCCCAAAGTTGATGCCGCTTTGTCATGGTGTCTGGGTTCATTCTGATCTGAAGACAATTCTTCATGGATTGAGACTTTCTCAATCATCTTATCTGGGTTTCATGTTTTTCAATTGGCGCAGGCAAATACCTCATGGATCACGGAGTTGCTGTCACCTTTTTTTCCATCTTCTGAATTTTTCTTGTCATTTTCTCCTTCCTAGCCCATGATGTTTCATCCGTCATGTGAGAGTCATATACTAGCAATTCAAAAACAGTTCTAAAAGTTTTAAGACGTGCCTATCCCTGGATGATATATACTCAAGAAACTGTAGCTCTATTTAGTCTCAAACCAGAGGCAAGCTTTCCAGTCTGGATACTCACGGATGCAACCCCATGCTTGTTCAGCAACAAACAACAAACACAGAAGATCCTTAGGTAACGCGTCGTCCTCTGTATTTCATTCCCACCCACCCGAAGCATCCTCCCCACCGGGGACCTGCGGCAGCCCGTCCGAGTCTCCAGCTTCAATGTTTGCACCAAGCATCGTGTGACAGTGCCAAGCGCACCGGCCACAATCGTCGAGACTCGAGGCGCCGCCTGATTCTAAGCCAGGGGTAGACAGTAGGAGTAAAGACCTACGGATAAACACCCCCTAAGGGCCATCTATGACTCTCTTCATCTGAATGAACCGGTCGATAGGCGGTCGGGGTGGAGTAGACGAGGTCTGACTGCCGCATTGAGCTTTCAGTAGGGGCTGGACTAGCGAGCATAAGCGAGGTAGGGTAGCATGAGTGCTGAATCGAAACCAGAATCAGACAGTCGGAATGGGAATAGGATAGAGTAGCTAGTATTCTATCTATCTGTCATTGCGGGTTTGACAACTAGACTGGTCTAACCGAGCTATACTCTGTATACAAAGACTCATAGTCGTCGGTGGATTGACGCGGCGGCCATTCGTGCATCCGTCCGTGTGTCTGGTGGCGCTGGGCACGAAGCAGGTATTGCGATTGCTGCTAAGTACTAGTAGACTAGCAGCGAGTAGTAACGCTTAGACGATGATACGTAGCTCAAGGACAAGGACAAGATGATCTGGGTAGTTCGTCCGCCATCCACAAGCGTTGTTGTCCTTGGACTCTGTGTTCTCAGTTATCAACTTCCGAGGTCCTGACATTGTGGCATGGCATGACTATGTCAATTGTCAATAGTAACAAACCGGACAACTAGATATATTTTAATCTCCACCGCGTGGGTTCTTCTGCTTGACGAACGGCGGCTAGATCGCACCACAGACCACACACGGCGAACATGGATCTTCTGGGTTAGTGGCCGGCTGGGCCGGGGACGGTAGTATGTTCGAGGTAAAGAGATGTTCTTCCACAGTTTGAGTTTGGTTCATATCTCGTGGCTCATGGGATCAGGGAGGGGATAAATATAGTAATCGGGGACGCCATTGGGGAGGAGGATGAGACTCGGGGAGTTTCAGCGAGACGCCAAACATTTGGGTTCGTCGGGCTAGCGATATGGGTTGTGTGGTTGCAGTGTCGACTGGATGGAGAACTAGAGTAGTATCCTGTTTTTGTTTGTTGCGAGAGAAAGAGAGAGAGAGAGTATTCTAGTTTGTGAACAGGTAGGGAGTAGACTCGATAGAGAAAATAGACTATGTTTCAACTTGATGCTGTTGGACTTGTTTGTCCAGGTGACACCAGCGGCGAACTTCTCAGGGGTTTTTACATTCTTCCCTCTTCTCTCCATCTCGCCCATTACCATCAGCATCTCCATCTCATCCAGTCTTGTATCAACAGAAATGATTTCATCCTCGTTAATCCTTTCTTTTCCCGTAGTCGTTCTATTTCCATCTTCGTCAGGACAATTAGCGCCGTAACTTGACTCTGCAGGATATGCGGCGCTGCAGATGCGGCGCCTGTTGGCTGGTTAGACAGACAGACAATCCTCGTCCATTGTCTGCAACAGGGGCGCCCATCCCATTGGCTCTGATGATGCTGGGATCATTTGGCAACCTAAAAAAGACAATGCAGCGAAGGAATCAGACCCTAGTCTATCTAGTTTCTACCCGAGTCCAGGCGACGGAGTAGAAAGGTAGGATAGGAACTGCTGTCCAAAACTCCAAGCTCTAGAGGCTGGAACTGGCGCCCCGCAGTCGCCGGCATTCTCGCTGCTCGCTTCCATTACCAAAAAACGATGAAAGAGGACTAGTCGAGGTATGTGAGCGCGCCTCAAGATTTAGTCTGTTTGAAGTTGTGAACTTGAATATAGAACTGACTTTAGTAGCATTCTAAGACAGTTTGACCCTCGGACAGGGGAACGGGGTCTTCAGACCTCGACCTGAACAGGCCGTGATTGGTGATCCCTTCGCGCTTCCTAATCGCTGTCGGCTCTGTTCCTGCACGAGCTAGCGGCTCCCATTTCTTCTTCGTTCGGTTCATTGGCCCCAGACGGCGGTTCCACAGTCATCACTCAATACCCTTTGTTTCACCACCTTGGCAGCTCCTCCAGGCACGGTCTGCCAGATGGTTGTTGTGGTGTTGCATTGTCTCCATGGACTGAAAAGAGGCGTTCCTCAGAATGTCTTACCTGCGTTTTCGGGGCTCTGTGCTTGACAAAGATGCTCCGCACGGCGCGCTATGAATGGTCCCTTCTCGATGGTCCATTGTCATAGGTCCTTTGTCCCTATTCATGGATCATACTGCATCAATTGTGTTCCAAGAATTATGCTTGCACCCCCTCAAGACCTGTAGAGGGCTTGTGGTGCATCTCACAGACATGGACCCTGCCGCCTGCTTTTAAAAGAGCCCAGTGTCCCACCTCTACCTCAGGGTCAAAATTGTCATTCTTCTGTTGTTGTCCTGCCTTCTCTTTTTTGCCTTGCCTTGGCTTTGGCCCAAGTTGACCTTCGCTTTCTTCTCTTTGTTCTCTTATTCTCATTGTATACACACTGGTCCTAGAGATCAGCCTCCCCGCCTTCCTCGGATTCACTCTTTGTTCCTTCGGGGCCATTCTTCCTCAATCTATCCATAGACTCGGCTCTCTTGTTGTTGTCGCTGGTGTACGATATCAATCATAGAGTTTCCTTCTATCTCGTTCTCTTCAGCTCAACATTACTTCGACCTTCTCTTCTGACTCTCATTCCAACTTCCACTGCATACTACATTGATTCGAACTCAAGATGAAGGCCGTGTCTGTCACGCTCGTCTCCCTCTTTGCCGCCGCTCAGGCCACTGGCTCGGTATGTGTCTCTCCATTGACTTGTTTGTTGCTTGTGTGTATATTGACTGGCCTGTGTCGTATAGTGGTGGGGCACCGATAGATGCTTTCCCAACCCGGATAACACCGACAACGAGTGCACTGATCACCAGAGGGGTGGTTTCGACTGGTCTGGCCTCGGCCTGGGACAGTTCTCTTTCTACGGAGGCTTTGAATTCTCTGGTTTCAGCTGCACAGACGGCTTCGGCGCTTCTGGAAAGCGCAGCTTTGGCGTGAGTCTAGGACTATATCCTCGACTACTTGAATGACAGTCTGCTAATGCACCTCTTTAGGGTAAATCCATTGAAGGCAAGCTCTCCTCCGCCCCTAAGATCTCCTGCGGGAAGGAGCAAAAGGGGTTCTCCATCAGCAACTTCTACCTCTCCACTTCCAAGGAGACCGATGTTCACATCGTTTATGGCATGCCTGACGGCTCGAGCTGCCGGCACGTCGCCTCTTGCTCCCCCGAGGGTGGCAAGTTCTCCAACGACCAATGTGGTGGTGCCACCTCCGTCACCTTCGAGCTGCCCGAGGGTCACGATGATGACTGCGACGTGGGTGTCCACACTATCGAGTTTGACTGCTCCCCTGGCAAGCCCACCGCAACTCCCAGTGTTCCATCGTTGCCGTCTTCGTCCGGCGTCAGCCTTGTCTCGTCTACGCCTGCTATCCCCGACACTACCACTCCTGTCATTCCCACTAGTGTTCCTGCTTCGTCCGGTGGTGTCACGTCGTCATCTGCAGCTATCACGACGCCTGGCCCAGTCACCACTCCTACCAAGTGGACCACTTCGACAGTGTACACTACCAGTGAAATCACCATCACCAGCTGTGCTCCCACGGTGACCAACTGCCCTGCCAATTCGGTCACTGTCGTCACCTCCACCATTGCAGTGTCGACCACGATCTGCCCCGTCACTGCCACCGAGACTGCTCCTTCAGAAACGGCCCCAGCGGAAACCGGCCCTTCTGAGACTGAGCCTTCCGAGACTGGTCCTTCTGAGACTGCTCCAGCTGAAACTGGACCTTCTGAGACTGCTCCTTCTGCGACTGGACCTTCTGCGACTGGACCTTCTGCGACTGGACCTTCTGCGACTGGACCTTCTGCGACTGGACCTTCTGCGACTGGACCTTCTGAGACTGCTCCTTCTGCGACTGCTCCTTCTACGACTGCTCCTTCTACGACTAGACCTTCTACGACTAGACCTTCTAAGACTACTCCTTCTACGACTAGACCTTCTACGACTGGACCTTCTGAGACTGCTCCTTCTGCGACTGGACCTTCTGCGACTGCTCCTTCAGAGACCGCCCCTTCAGAGACCGCCCCTTCAGCAACTGGTCCCTCGCACACTGCCCCTGCGGAAAGCACCCCAGTTGGAAGCTCTCCAGTTGAGCCCAGTTCTTCATCTCCGGCTGGCTCCACCCCGGTCATCACCTCTCCGGCCGTCACTGCCCCATCCAGCACTGCCCCTGCGATCACTGGAGACATCACTACCACCGTGGTGACGTACGAGACGGTGACCACTTGCCCCGTGACTGAGACCATCACCACCAGCGGCACTGTGACAACTTCGACATACAGCACTGTCTCTACTGTCACTCTGACCTCCACTTCTACCATCTGCACGGCTTGCGAGGCCAGCAGCACTCCTGGTCCTACCTCCGTTTCTCCTGTCACTGGAACTGTCCCTGAGGATTCTACCACGACCATTGTGACCTATGAGACCGTGACTACCTGCCCGGTGACGAAGACTATCACCTCCGATGGCGCTGTGACCACCTCAACCTTCAGCACAGTCTCGACCGTCACTCTGACCTCGACCACCACTATTTGCACTCGCTGCACGGCGGGAAGTACCCATCTTCCCTCGGGCCAGTCTCCAGTCACCGCGACAGAGTCCAGTGGTGCACCCTCCGTGACCGCTACTCCGTCGTCCGCCCCTTCTGCTCCTTGCCCTAACGTTGTGCCCAAGTGTATCAACACCTGGCTCAGCCTTCTTCCCAAATGCGACTCCAACAGCGACGCCAGCTGCTTCTGCCCATCCTCCGACTTCACCAACAAGGTCATTTCTTGCGTCCAGGCATGGGGAGCGTCCCAGGCCGAGGTCCAGGCTGCTCTGTCCTACTTCACCGGTATCTGCGCCGCCTTCGTGCCCCAGAACCCGGGCATCGTGACTGCCATCCCTACCACCATCACCCTGGTGCCCACCGTTGCTCCTACCCACGCGCCCAACCCCACCGGTGCCGACGCAGTCACCCCGCACCCCACCGGTGCCGGCTCCGTCACCGTCCCTCCAGCAGCACCCGTCACCACCATCACGTACTCCTCGTACACTGTGACGGTGCCCCAGGTCGTCTTCACCACCGCTACTGGCGGCGCGTCCACCACCGTTGGCCTGATCCCCGGTGCCCCCACCAGCGTCTCGCCGGGTGGCACGACCCGGATCCCCAACCCCTGGCTGTCGTCCTCCACGCTGGCGACCTACACAGGAACCCGCACGGGCACTCCCACGCCGACGGCATCTATCATTCTCTCCAATACCGCCTCCTCGGGCACGGTCTCGAGCGGCCTGCTGGCTCTTGCCGTTGCGGCACTCTTTGGCGCTCTCTACTAATCTTCCTGGAGGAAAAGATCGTTTCTCTCCTACCCTTTATGTATCCAACTTGTTTCATTTCTACGCCTGTTTCTTACTCTTGTTCCGCCAGAAAGATATAATCATCGCTGATAAATAATATGTATTCCGCTCCTTTATGCACTTAGGATAATACAACACAATGATATTTTAGAAGAGACGATTCGCTAGACCTTATGACATGACCACTGCAGGCTGCTGCTGCTGCTGCTGCTGCTACCCTCCAATAAACCACAATTGCGATTCCTACCTAGAACCCCACATTCTCCTCCCACGGCGCCTGCGCCTGCAGATAACTCACTCCATGCACATAGCGACTCAGCATCGGCTCCTCATCAATGGCACAATGCGGCCGACTATCGCGGCCCTTGAACCAGCCCAGCGCGTAGCGCTTGTTCTTCGCGGCCAGCAGCTCCTGCATGCGGGCGTTGGAGTAGCGCTCTGTGCCGACGAAGTCGTCGAGCATGCGCGAGTGGTGCACGAAGGCCAGGATGGAGGCGATGGTGGCGGGCTGGCGGGGCATGAAGGGGGTTCTGTGGCGGAGGAAGACGAGGAAGGCGACGGCGATGAGGACGGCGACGATGACGATGGAGAGGACGGAGGAGGCGATGAAGGAGCGCGGGGACTCGGTGCCGGCCTTGAGGGCGAGCGAGGCGAGCGTGATGGTGAGGATGTCTGCGAGGATGGAGCCGGTGCCGACGAGGGCGACGAGCGAGTGGCCGTTGAGCAGGGCTTGGGCGGGAAGGAGGCCGTAGGGGGTGCCTCGGTAGTCGAGGGTGAGGGTTTGGGAGGCCGGGGCGGGCCCGGTGGCGAGGGTGCGGAAGGGGTGTAGGAGCTTGACGTCGAACTCGAGCGTGGTCCAGAGTTGTTTGATGGAGGTGGCGAGGAGGATGGGGAGCCAGGGGAGTTTGCGGGCGATGATGTTGAGGTTTGTGAAGGCGATGGCGGGGATGAAGGGGAGGAAGACGGCCATGGAGATCATGAAGGCCATTAGGAAAGGGGGGCGGAGGAGGATGGGGTTTGGGTTGGGTGGTTTGAGCGGCTTGTCGGTTCGAATGGAGGTTTCGTTCTTGGTGTATTCGCCTTGCCAGATGGTAGATTTGTAGAGGATGTAGCGGCGATGGCGGAGCTTCTCGTGGATATCGTCGTGAAGGGCCTCGTCCATGCCGTCAAAGTCGCGGAGGATGTGCGATTTGGTGGCCATGGCTGCGATGCCAGCGACGCCATGCGGATCGCTAAGGAGGCCGGATTTGCGGCGCAGCTGAATCAGGAGAACGATGGAGAACAGGGCGACGAGGATGAGGCAGACCGTCACGAGGCGCGACCAGACGGCTTTGATGCGGATGAAGTATCTGAAGTCGTCAGGGCAGTTTGTTCCTGGGTCGTCATTGCACTTCGGGTTCTCGACAGAATCGATGCTGGGGGATTGCAAGGAGGGCGCAGCAGTGGTAGCTAGGATACTGGCCACGGACGAGACAAAAACCGCCCAATGTTTGTACTTGAAAGCCTTGATCGGTACCGTGTACGACCACAGGGTGGCATAGTCGAGGTTGAGACTCTGTGCAGCAGTGCTTCCCGTAGGTTGTGACAGCTGGTAGTATGGCTCCAGTCGCTTGACCTCAAAGTCGGTTATCTGCCATAAAACACCATATGCGACCATGACCATGGTGGGTAAATACTTCCAGCAGAAGAAGAGCAATGTTGATATCTCGTCAACGTCGTTGAAATTAACCAGACCCCGCCCTTCTTTCTCCAGTCGGTGTGATCTCTGGTACAAATATTCCTGCACGCCAGCCAGCACGAGAGATACTACCGTCAACATCGCGATGTAATAGCTCTTAAGGGAGAACGGCTTCCAGTCAGGCTGCTCTGGGTCCGTTGGAAAGAAAAAGCTCCGATGGACAAGATTGGTCCCTGCCTTTTTCAGTCTGGCAGGGTCGGGCTCCTCTTCTTCTGGTGTACCTCCGTGTCCTTCCAGAGAGCTCAGATCCACCGCAGGTGAAAGCTCTCTCACAGATACAATCATGTTCGTCTCATCAGCTAGTCTCTGTCCATATTCCCGCAGGCTTGCTGAGCGAGAAACCCGATCAGTCCTTGGAGTCAACGGCACAGCGAGGTTCGGGGCTGGTGATAGCATTCCAGAAGCCTCAGTCTCAGCCGGCGGTGATTCTGAGCTCTGTGAGGAAGCCGGCTCACTCGCTGGTGGACATGGCTCTACATTATTGTGTGGGCGGAGGGACGGTCCCTCAAGAAAGGAGATATCCACAAGACACACTTCCTCTTTGCGAAGCTCATCCAGTTCGTGTAAGCGGCTATACCGGTCCTGTTTTGGTGTGAAAGCCCCTGCGAAAGTCGGGGATCGAATTGACGACAATCGATGCAATATAGACGGCCTCAAGTCATTGGAAAATCTGGCTGATCGACGTTGATGGTCGTGGCCTCTGTAGGCCGTATCAACAGCTCGTGAGCCTGGGACAAGAGTTGCTCTTCTCATGAGGGAGGATCCGTCAGAATCGGGACTGGGAAGAAGATTGCTCGCCGAAGAAGCCCTGTGTCCTTCGCCTAATGATATGTTTGGTCATAGTTACTTCTGAGGGCAAAGAGGTTGGGTTGCTTACTCTGGTGCCGTCTGGGCTTGGATACAGGAGCACCTTTAGTTGACGCTTCTGTGACAGCGAACGATATATTGTTCGCCATCTCTGTTTCAAGAGAGGGGATAGTCTCTGGAGCCTGCAACGAAGGCCGTCGCATGAAGATGTGTTTCTAGAGGGCCAGATCCCGAATTCGAGCCTCGGGCGATCGCGCCTAACTCGAAAAAGAGTTGGATAGAGGAAGGATAGCCGGGAAGCTGCGCGGCTCTATGTCACCATGCGGCTGAGTTGATAATTGAACATTGCGAGAGAGGGCAAAACATAGCGCGAGATCAACCAGCCTCTAAGGGTCATTCGTATAAGCCACACCTCGGAAGTCGCAACATGGGTATGACCATTAAGCGCCAGGAGGATAACGCCGCATCTTGTTGGGGCTCTGGCTTCAAGAAAGAGACCTGATAGGCTGCCACCGGCGTCTTGATGCTATATATTACTTGACGATGTTCAGCATTCTCCTGTGAATTGTGAGTTAGCGTAGTCACCCTCGTTGGCGCTGGGGATAGGGGGGAGGTTCACCTTTGACTTGTCAAGGAAACCAGCTCACATTCGTCATCAGGACATTTGTTGAAGCTTCGAAGGATCATTTCTGTATGGTCAACTGCCAGGGATTAGATCAGAGATAGAGAAAGGTGTATGAGTTGGAAGTTCGGTGACAGGGAAAGAGGGTGTTGAAGGAAGAAAGCCGACAGTCCGCTGTCGTTGGGAGATGCTCTACGTACTGCTTTGCTTTATTCATCTCAACCCAGCACAGCCTCCAACTTACATCACTTTTCCTGACATGGAACTCCTTATCAATTTGTGGTTCAGACTCTGAATATGTACTATCGATTCCGCAGCCGGACATGCCACAATAATGCTCTTCACCCAAGTCTTGAATGACCTCTGCTGCTGTCGCGCGACCCTGGGTGCCCGCCGAGGAAGACGCGCTGCTTGTAGGCGAAACGGTTGGCAACTCTCCTTCCCACCCGGTAGACGGTCCACCAGTCGCAGTAGGAATATTCGAGAGTATAAATCGCCAAATATATGCTCAGACATGACGCTTCACACCTGATGACGTCCCTTTCGACGTCCCCTCCTTCCTGGTCCCGATATACCAATCCCGAATCGGGTGACTAGAATGGCAGTTCTTGACATATTCCCTATTCAAGGCCTTGCCCGGGAGCATCAAGTCCAACGGACCTTTGACTTCCCCACGTCGGAGCTCACGATCTTAAATCCTAACTCCGACAGGAGAGATTGGGTCTTAAAAGGGAGCATTGGTCGACATCGGCCTCCAACCCCCCTATGTATGACTACCAACACTCATCACGATACATCTTCCCATCTAACGATATCGGCTCACGCTCAATCATGGCAATCCTTCTGACTGGGGGCACGGGCAAAACATCGATCCGAGTAGCGCGCTTCCTCCACAATGAAAATATCCCCTTCGTACTGGCTTCCCGTCGTGGCCAGTCCGCTGCTCCTCCGGACATGCCGGCGGTCAAGTTCAACTGGCTAGAGAAGGATACCTGGCGCATTCCATTCGACTACAAGTTTGCCAATGATCAGGTAATCTCCGCCATCTATCTGATGGAACCACAGGCGCCGGAGCCATGGAAGCCCTTGAATGAGTTCATCGACTACGCGCGGGAGAAGCATGGCGTCCGTCGCTTCGTCCTCGTGGCTGGTAGCTCGGCCGAATGTGGGAAGCCGGGCATGGGCATGGTTTGGCAACATTTTCTGGACAGACAGGTGGATTATTGTATGCTTCGGCCGAGTTGGTTTATGGGTTAGTAGCGAGAGAGGGCTTGTCGGAAATCTTTTTTTCTCGTGGAAGGCATCGTGCTGATGTTTGCTCGCTGGTCAGAGAATCTAACTGAGGATGGTCCGCGCCAACTCATCCGTGATCAAGGCAAGATCTATACGGCCTGCGGGCAGGGCAAAATCCCGTTCGTCAGCGCTACGGATATCGCGGCCGTCGCCTATCGCGCTCTGACGGATCCCGACTCACACAACTGTGACCACCGGGTGCTGGGACCCGAGCTCTTGACGTACGACGACATTGCCGAGAAGCTAAGCAGTGTCCTGGGGCGAACGATCGAGCACGTCAAACTTTCAGGAGAATCGCGGTACCCCCTAGGGACTGATAAACGCGGGGGTCTCCCAGTACTATGCGGGCTTCTTGACAAAGCTGGAGGTTGCGGCCTCGACTGGGTTCGAGACACGGGAGAATGATTGAAGTTGAAAAAGTTACTGGGCGACCTCCGAGGTCCTTCGATCTCTTTGCGCAGGAGAATCGGTCGGCGTGGGTTCCAGAGGACAAATGATCCCTTTTCCTCGCAGTCGGCAAATGTGTAGTGTAAACACTTTTGGTACAGTCAACCCTGCTAGAGCCTGAGAATCCACGTCTTTTCCACTCAGTAGATGGAGAAACTGTCTGACACGAAGTCGAACCTTGAGCCCAGATGATAATAATCATACTCTGTCACTCACCAAGGATGTGAGGCCTGGCCGATATCTGTGTCTGTCCGTCTCAATCATCGAGCAGAGGGGCAGGCTGTATACGGAAAGAATGGTGATTTTGTAGATGTGTTCTAGGCAGCTAGCTACCAACCACAACCGAACCCCAAAGGACTAGCTAGCATTATTCGGTGATAGTCAACCAGTGAACTTCAAAAAAGAATCAAAAACATACAACAGCTAGGATTCGCTGGTGGTCACCCACCCAACTACTAACTGGCCGGCGTGTGGCTTAAGTACGGCTGAGCGGACGGGAAGCCCTGTTTTCCACACCCTGTGGTCGTATGTACTTGGTAGAGACGGAGTGAGACATATAGACATAACTGGCATTGATATAAGAACTCGAGTCTGGTGCATTTCTATTATGAAACTACCCCTTTCTGCAGAGGTTGGACAACATCCACTTCGGCTTGGAGCCCCTCGAAGCCCCCCATTGTATCAGATGAAGGGGTATCCATCCTCTGTACCGTGCAACGGCCCACCCAATCATCCCAATTCCTCAATTCCTCCCATCCAACGCAAACCCTCTACGATGGCCACTTCCGAAACACATCCGCGATATGGTCTAACGGCGCCGTCAGCAGCCCCACGGCAGTCTCGAAGGGTGGCGCGGACGGCGCGGACGGATGGCTGCGCGACGGCACGAATATCTTGGTCCGGTTGAGCGACTGCGACAGGCCCACGCTCTCTTCCTCGGATAGGGCGCTGTCCAGCCGCGGGATATCCTCTGCCTCCTCGCTCATCATGTGTTCTTTCAGATCGGCCATGAGCGACGTGAGGGTGGGCAGGAAGCGCGGGTCGGTGGATTTGAGGTCCTGGAAGAGTTTGAGCCGTTCTTTGACCTGGGTGTGGATGTGTATGTGTTAGCTGCCCGCTCTCCGAGCTTTTTGTAAGAGTCAGGCGGGAGAGGGAGGATATACAGTTTGATGTTCCGCACGGTCCCGGTCCGCCATCTCCTTGCCGCCATCGAGATACTTCTCCATCGCCGGGTAGACGACGAGTTCCTCTGCCACGGCGTGGCGGGCGAGCTCCCAGACGAACTGGTTCTGGCACTTTGTTGCGTCGTCGGGCTCGGTGGCCTTGAGTAGCAGCTCGTAGAAGGAGGTGATTTCGCGGTGGTCGTGCTTGATGGTGTCGAGGATGCGGAATTTCGGGGCCGCCGCCCAGTCGGAGAAGGCCTGCACTTGGTCGGTGAGGTTGCCGCGCAGGATGTGAGGCTCGAAGATGCTGTCGTCGGTGGTGGGTTTTCGTCCGTGTGTTGCGGCCATGATTCTTGCGAGGGTGTGGCGGAGCAGTCGTCTTGGGCGTCGTGGAGGGCGGGGGGGGAGGGGGTAATTGGAGAGATGGGGGAGGTTGGTGATGAGCTGGTGGTGCTCGTGGTTCGTTTCGGAAGACGGCTCCTTTGCTGGACAGCATCATGAAGACGTGTAGTCGAGGGTTTGTATGTGTATCCATGGTTTCCATCCATCGTCATCATCTCATGCGCCAAGCAGCCATCATTCAGTCAAAACAAACCGCTTCATTACTAGGTAGGCTAATATCGTATCTATCAATTCAAGAAAAAGAAAAAAGAAAAAAAAAAGATAACCCAAGCATCAGGGCCACCTCGTTCTATCCCAACACCAACGCCCTCACCTCAATACTCTCCCTCGCCCTAGCCCCCTCCGGCGTCCTCGGATCCCAAAACGCAGAATGCGGCACCCTCTCCGCAACCCCGGGCTCGGTATCCGAGCACTTGAGCAACAACCGCTCATCGCCCTGCACCCCCGACAGATACATCCACTCCTGCTTCGGGTTATACCGCACACCCATGGTCTCCCCAGTGCGGCCAGGATACCGATGCTCCACAGCCACCAGATCGGCCTCGTTATCGACCGACGGCGCCGCCGCAAACGCCAGCGGCGCGGACTGCACGGCGCCGTTCAGCGGCCGCCAGACGTTGATGATGCGCGCGCGCTCCTCGCCGCGCAGCACACGGTCCGCCTCCTCGGGGTGCGTGGCGGCGAGGTGCAGGCGCACGCGCTCGCGCGCGGCGCGCCGCGTCTGGTCGACGTGGGCTTTGTTGACGGGCTGGCGCGGCGCGCTGGGCGATTGCCGCCGGATGGTGTGGTCGAAGAGGATGACGCGGCGTGCGCCGGGGACGTGCGTGAGCAGCAGCTGCGTGACTTCCGGGTAGTAGAGGCGCTTGACCTCGTCGTCGGAGTCGAAGGTCGTGTAGCTGGTCGCGGTGGGGATGTGCTGCAGGACTTGGAAGGCGTGCTTGTCGAGCGTGTAGTCTGCTTCGTGGCCGCGGATGTCGGTTAGGCCCACTTTGTGCGTGGCATCGCCGTAGTTAGTGCGTGGGACGCCAGCTGGGGGCTCCTCGACGTAGTTGTAGGGGTTGGAGCCATCGGCGGGGGGTTCGTAGAAGCTGAGTTCGACCTCCACGGGGCCGCGGGGGATGTAGTCTGCGGTGGTTGTGGTGGTGGTGGTGGTGGTAGTGGTAGTGGTAGTCGACATGATGAACTCTTGAGCTGTGATATGCGATGAATCTGTTGACACCACTACCAGCACCTGGCTCTCTTCTTCCTCTTATACTCCTCGCGATACACCCAACGTAGATGTAACTGCATTCTGCATCCATTTGTCATCACGAGTGGCTCAAAACAGCCAAACATCCCCAGATAATGGCGTGCGCTCCAGTGCAGCCAATCACGACAGTCAAAAGCATCGAACAGTCTCCACTGTCATGCAAAACGAACCAATCAAATGCCCAAATATTGACGTCATGCAACAATTTCTAATCCGGTATCCCTTGACGGGGATGTGATTGGCTGCTGGGCATCACCCGAATTAATCACTCGTTGTTCTCATAAGCAACGGAGACATTTGGAGAAAGACCAGCAGTTGTTCTGAAGTGACAGTGAAGGTCAGAGTGGAAGAATCGGAGAGAATGCCATTGAATAATCAAGACAAACAAGCAGCGGAGTAATGTACAGCAAGCCATATCCAGAATAATGGTAAGATGATGTGATGCGTCAATCCAAGTCAGTCACCAGCAGTCGAGAGACGATGTTCAACCCGCCAATCTCGTGCAATAAACACCCTAGAAGAAATAGCAGAATAGACAAGATGGAGTGGAAGGCATAGGTCACTGTCGAGAGTTGGGTATGACCACATGCACTGGAGCAGCCCTAATAATATCCAACAAGTTCAGCCAGAAACGCCCAAACATGATATGATGTTCATCATGTCTCCATGTACCCCATACACCGATCAAGAACCGTAGACAACACCAGACAAAGGAAACCAGACCGGCTATGATTTGGTCTTCTTGGTGCGCTCGTAGCTGAGTAACTCCACGTCCCGACCGTTCGCCTTGAGCGGGTACAGGTGCATCCCCATGTCCACGGGGAAGTCGGGATGCAGCAGACTGAACCGGTTGGGATCCTGGGGCACGCCGTCAATCTCCGGCGGTGGCCTCTCGACCAGCAGCTCGATCAGGCTCTTGTCCACCCAGCCGGCCGACTTGTTGTGCAGGCGTTCCAGACGCAGGCAGTCATCCTCCACCTCTTCGTTCATGAGGGGCGGTAGCGGCGGGGCATTGCTGTTTGGCCTGGCGTGGTAATTGGCCAGAACGTTGTAGGGGAGATTGGGACGAACTGCGGGCTTGTCCGATAGCTCGGCCAGCGCGTTGAGCGCATGGTTGCCGTGCGTCCGCGTGGAGCGCGTGGCGTGGTAGTTTTGACTGGCGGTGCGCACCATGTCGGCGGTTGGGGTGCCATTGTCCTCCTGGCCCGTACCGTCGCCCGTGCCCGAGCCATCTTCCGCATCGGTGTTATTCCCGCCCGTCGCGGTGCCAGACGGCTGGTCCGCCCGTTTGGAGGTGGAGAAGAAATGCACCGTGGCAACATGGGCCTGGTTGGCGTGCGCACTGAGTTCCTTCTCCGTGAAGAGGGTGTGAATGGAATATGACGGCGCGTGTTGCTTCTCGGCCACCTGGGCCTTGGCCCGCTCGGCCGGGTTCGCGTCCCGCACGGGGGAACCAACATCGTCCTCGGGAGCCTTTCTCTTCCGCTTGTTGAACTCCGACACAATGCCATTGCCCAGCTCGTCCAGATCCACCCGGTGCCGGGTGTGACGGGTCTTGCGGTTGCCGTGGATGCCCCCGGGGCTGGCCGGGTTGGTAATGCTGAACTGGTTGGGATGAAGAAGCAAGGCATTGGTATCGGCGATATCCAGCTGTTCCTTCTCCCGCATCAGCCTCGCCTTCTTCCCGGAAATCGTCTGGACCAGCCGTTCCCGCAGAGTAGAGGAGAGGTTGTTGTATTCCTCGCCGGCGAAATGGACCCGAAAGGCGTATTCCCGCTGATACCGTTCTAGATTATTATTATGGCGATGCTGAATTCGTTAGCCAACGATCACAAATAAAAAAAATAAAAAAAAAAAAACAAAAAATACTCACCACAAGCGCCGCCAACTCCGCATCCCTCGCCTCCTTCACCTGATTCACCTCCTGCACAAACCGCGAATACCACATCCCACCCAGACTCGCCATCTCCTTCGCAAACGCGCCCCCACCGATCGTCTTCTCGATCAGCCGCGCAATGTCCTCCGCGCTGTCCGGCAGCGGGCCCGGCACGTACGGGTCCGCGTTGTTGATGAGCGTCATGTCGCACTGCAGGGCGTGCAGCTGCTGCCGGAATTGCGTGTCGCGGTTCTGGCTGAACGTCGCCGTGAGGTCGTGCAGGCGGTCCTGGAGCGCGCTGCGGCGCTTGTCTCGTTTCGAGAGCGGCGCGTTCGCCGGTGGGCTGGCGGACCGGCCGCGCGAGTGCAGGCTGTTGGCCATTGTCTGACTGGCGCCGCCGGTGGCGGGTGATACCGGTGCTGGGGAGTATGCCATGACCAGGCCCGGAGAGGGGGAGAGTGAGAGTAAGTGAGGATCTGATCTCAGGGTTGTTGGAGATGTGGGCTAGGCAGTGGAGGATGAAAATTTGACGGACGAGACAAAGTTTAGGAAACGGGGAAAGTTTGCTATGAAGAAATAATTGCCTGCATAAGTACAGGGCCAACAACCGAGACCTTCAAAATCGAAATTGGTGCTTGCTGTGGGAGAAGAAGAACAGTGATGAGGAGTTACTAGTATCCTGGCGATTGGAGAAGAAAGCGGGAATCTGGCGCACGCCCGATTCGGAATAGCCTCGCGGACATTGTTGACCGCCCGATATGTCCTGTCACACCACGAATTTTTAATATTATTCTGAGGGTAAAAACCTTACATGATTGAGGTCTCAAAAGCCTCAACGAGCAAGCACTACCTATTCGCTATTTGAATCCTCATCAGTAGCTACTTCACATGTTCCACACAGTCAATCAATGTATCATTGCGCAGCAATTATACACAAAAAGGTATTCATACAGGATAAGTCGTTCTAGGGTGCTGCGAAGCTCAACCTAAGCCACCAGCCGGCCCATCGGAGATTCATCTCATTTCCATAAAATCAAAAGTAGAACAACCCCCGGGTATTGTTATCCAACCAAGCCAAGCAATGCACGGTATATGTTTCCAGACATGTCTCAATGCAAGACTTCATATCAGAGCCATAACAACCACAAACGCCCCTATGTCCACCTGAGTCCGTTTCTTTTTCTTCGCTCATGGTGGTAAAGCCAGTTCAAAGCCAAAAAAACAAAACGCATAAATGAAAGCAAAAGATCTATGAGACGATGCATTGGTTTGCATCTTAGTGTGACCGACGGATCACGAACACTCCGAGCTCGACCCCGTCGTGGGGTTCGCTCTCTTCGCCGTAGGGCCGCCTGCGGATGCCATCGAGAATCTCGCCCAACAACATGGCAGACGTGACCTCCTTGTCGGGAGCCAAGATATAAGGATGAGCGATGTTCGACGCGGCTTTGGAAACCGGGAGACGACGGCCGTTCTGCCAGTAGAGGCTGAGCACTTCCTTCATCCGAGCTTTTTCTTGGTGGATGTACCACTCGGCCCAGAGGTTGCGATCGAGATGGGCGCTCCCTTTCCTGGCATCGACGATAGTAAACTCAGAAGAGGAAGAGGAGCTCAACGCACGGCATAATTCGGAGAGATTATGTCTCATGGTGTCAAAATCCTCCATGTGGGAGACGGAAGAAAGTTTGCCTAGGTACCGACCAATGTCCGTCGATAGCTCGTTGACTACGACGAGCTGCCGAAGCAACGGATCCAGAATGGGTCCTAGGTACTGGGACTTAAAGGCCGAGCCTCCCCTGCGGGTGGGGTAGATGAAAAGCAGCGAGCCACCATCGGGAGAGAGCTCTGAAAGCCGGTCGACCAGGAAAGATGGGCGGTGAGGGGAGAACAGGTCGCGGTATTCCTGGGGCGACGATGGTGGAATATATCGCTCCAGGACGGAGATATGTACGGAGTGGGGTGGGACAATCGGCATCGGGAAGTGCGAAGCCTTGGTTTGGATAGGACCACGGAAGTCGTGGTAAGCGGAAACTACCGCGGCACTGGAGAAAACGGTGGAGTTAAAATAGTCGTTGCCAGGGAGCATACAGCGCGGCGTCCCTGGGGGTGACGAGGGGAGATTTGTGAGGCTGAACTGCTCGGGGACTGCGTGGGTGACGTTGATGTAGGGCGACTGGCCCTGCCGACGCCGGTTTTGGATGACATGAACAAGCGAGGTGAAAACGCCCTCGGTGGTCCTGTTTGGTGTGGGCGTTTCGGAGGTGTATGGGTAGGGGAGCGTCTGAGAGACGATCTTAACGGGTTCACCGCGGGCATTCGAAAATGGCAGCGATGATACTTATTGAAGGATTCCGAGTCAGCCGCTGTGGGGGGAAAAAAAACATGAATGGTTGCATCCATCTATCAACTTACCAGTCGATTCGATGGAACTCTCCAGCCATGAATCATGGTCGCAATCCATATCGCCTCCAGGCGAGTTGCGGCTTCCGTCTGAACTGGGAGGAGAAGAATTCGAGAGGCCATCTGAGGGACTGCCTAGACCGTCGGAAGCGGTTCCCCGCGGCGAATTATCCATATTTGGGCCTTCATCCATGGGTATTGGCGCGGGGTTGCGGTTCATGTGAGAGTCGAACAGGAGCATCTTGGAATTCGAGTTCCACAGCACGTGCTCGTCGTCTTCCGGGGGTGTCGGAGGAAGCGTTGCAGGGTAGTCACTCTGAGGACAATCCTTCGACGAGGTGTCCCAGATAACGGAGGTGACGGGGGATGTATGGACGGTTTGTGGGTTCGAGACGGAGGTTGTAGTGAGACGAAGACGGGGTTCAACGGAGTGGGTGCGAGATTCGACCCGACTAGAAGATTTCGAAGAGAGGCCAAGGTTCTCGAATGGCGGGAGATGAAGCGAGACGTTGCTTCTGGAGAGGAAACGCGAGACACTGGACGGTTTGGTGAGCAGGGATCCTTGAGATGCTCGTCGCTTGAGCCGGCCGGAGCCTCCGCTCTGGCGAGCCGTGGAGAACTGCTCCTGCACGAGAGAAACCGGACTTGTTTGCTGGTTGTCGAATGAATTTAAGAGTCTTTGCTGCGATGAACCGGCTTCCCAGGAGGCATTTGATGAAGTTGATGACGTTGGCGAACGCATGCCCGAGCTGTCTTGCATCCCAGAAGTAGACCACACCATTCCATCACACTGTGTCTGATACATTCAGTCTGGTTGTTTAGGTGAGAGGAGTATCGTTCGTTCGACAGGGGAGGTAGGCGTCGGTCGCCGTGATCGCGGAGAAGACGGAGTCCAGGCCTGGAGATTTGGAATATAATCCCTGCTAGATGTAATGTGTTGAGATCACGACGAGGAGGTTGGTTGAGGATTGGTATAGCTCTTGGGAGGGATGGGATGGGATGGACAGTAGAGTTGGGAGAGAGGGGGGTGGGAAGAGAAATTAGAGAGGAGGATAGGAAGGGAGGGGGAGAAAGTAAGCGGAGGGTAAACGTAGGTGAAGTTGATGATGGATGACAATGAAGGATAAAAAAAAAAGAACGGAAGGGAAGGAAAGAGGAAAGAAGAGGAAGAGGAAGAAGAAAGAATGGGAGCAGATTATTGCTTGCTGCTATACTACTACGACTCCTACTACCATTTTCTTTCTACTACTATGGAAGTAAGAGTTAATGACGCTGGGACATGGAAGAAGGGCCAGACCCAGACACATCAGCCAGAGACCAGATTTCCAGTCAAGTGTTCCAGTATTATTCCTCAGTACGGAGTACCCAGGTACCTAGGTGAGTACCTTAGTACCAGGTCGTAGTAATGATTATGCGTATTGCGTACTGTATGTACCGAAAGACATCTCGGGCTGCGAACTTTTTCCACCCGCGTTCTAGACCGGGCGGGCTTGGCCTGATTGGGGAGTCCATGACACGAGGACGTCCGGGTTGGTCCAGTCACAGCTGGTGCAATTAATTAAACCGTCCATCCATTAAATTTAATTATGTATTTGCATTATTGGGGTGATTTTACCTGGTTCCCTTCTATGCATAAATCTCTCTCCAAACCAGACTATTTTGGGGATCCTTTTGGAATTGTTAAAAAAAAAAAAAAAAAAAAAAAATTGTTGGAAAGAAAAGAAACAATCAATACCTATGAAGGTATTGAATAGATGTCCATAACTACCTTAGATATCTCTACAACATAGATTTCTTCCTTTGGCTGATGGTCCTCTGGATTGACCGCAAAAGCAAGTATCCCCCAGCTTTGGTCGCAGCCCAGACGCCTTCCGACCTGTCTAGGCCTCCTATAGTAACCGATAGTGAGGGTCCCAGAGTCCCAGAGTCCCCAGTGGGATTCATTATTAGTTTATTACATTTCCATCTTACCACAACTGTACCAAGGATGTACTATGTACAGTAGGTAGGTACTCATCTTACACGGACCTTTTTTTTTTTTTTTTGCCTCCCAGTCCCAGAGCTGGGACCCACCGCAGAGCCACATCAATCACAAGAAATGGATCGATGGGGGCAGCCCCAGTATTGGATGGGTAGATTTGGGATTATTTGGCATTTGGCATTTGGGTAAGCAAGTTAATTATCTCGAGAAACTGGAAATGAAGCAACCAACCCATAGAAAAAGAGAGTGTCTGGAATAGATGAGTTGGAGAATTTGATTTCAATATCATAGGTGATATAGGTATGCTCCCATCCAGGGATTAAACCTGCCTGATGTTGCATGATCATCTTCATTTCTCCAGAATCATTTTATCTACTCCGTACTTGGATTATAACTCTCTGACTCTGAGGGATATCTGCTGAATGATTGACGGACTAACTATCGAAAAGTATCTGCAAGTCAGCTCTGGATCTCCTTTCCACTGATCGGCATCACCCTCGCCTTATCATCAGGGCTTGAGTCTTTCGAAGGAAGCTGTGTCTTGTCTTGAAACTATCTGATCTCGATCGTCAGTCCTCTGTTCGATAAATCCAAGACTAAAAAAGAGTCGGAAAAGTCGTACCACTGTACTTGCTGCTTGCTCATCAACTACGGAGTATCCAGAACTACGTAGATATGAAATGTGCCTGACAGAACCAGAGCACTTACCCAAAGCAACCCGCTTAGCCTGGTGCTATAGAGGCCGGAATCCAAGGTGGTTGACGTCGAGACTTCGGATATCGGGCTTCAGACTTGTACTTCCTAGACGCTGGAAGGTAGTATCCGTCCGGCAGTCAGCTGATAGAACCAAATTTAATGTTAATGTGAATACTGAATCATACTCCGTCGTAGTCAAATGCAAATTCCCTTTATTTCCCCTTATAGTCTATCTACACAGTACTACTCCGTACATACCCAGACGACTCCTACAGAGAACAAAGTTAACAGCCCAGGTTCCGAGCAGGCTACCGCTTCCGGTCTAGACCCCTCCCTGCTCTGTGCTGCCGACCAGATCCGCTGTATGTAATTCTTTGCTTCATACTAGGTAGATATTTACCGAGTAGGTTCATCTCTTGGATTCTGGGCTCTGCTACGACGTGACTAGAACCTCCTTATGGAGTAAAATAGTAGATAGGCAGCTCAGGTGATAGTTCTGTCTGTTTGTCCACTATTGTACATCTGGATCTTTTTCCTCTTTGCTGAGCCTAGATTGGGCCATCACGGAACTTCACCCCTTCCCCAAAATTACTGTTCACTGTACAGTGTACACCTACCTATACACCTATACAATTACCAGATGAAAGTATGAACAAGTAACAACAGTCTAGGCTCACAAAGATACTCTTCTAGATGTCTCTACGAGATCTCCTACTTACTTACTTCGGTAATTCTTTAGATAACCCGATAATCCCTACTCCGCAGTCTATCAACTACCGTAACTATCCCCATTCTCCGGTACCTTAGTCTAGGTAGGGTACTCTAGGTAAAATACCAAAATATCTCATCTCTATCTCCGACTCTCTCCCGTGTTCGCTACCTATTCCTAGGTCAGTCAGTTCACTCTTTCCCCCCCCTCCCCTCGTCGTCCGTCGCCCGTCGCCCGCCGCCCGTCGGTAATACAGAAATCTCCTCTTCGGGCATCGTGCAGCTGCATTAGCGGCATCTGGCTGGGCATTGCTACTTTGCCAGTGCCAGTCATCCATTGCCCTTGGGCTTTTGAAAACCACAGCAGACAGACAGACAGACAGACAGACAGACAGGTAGTCACGGGTGACGGGTGACGAGTGACGGGCCACGATATAATATGCTTTAGCTATCTAACTCCAAGACTGATAGGTATTACCTAGGTATGAAGTATTGGTATCGGTGGATGTTACGTACGAGTCCGACCGATACTTTATGCTCGATGTCCAAAGGAAGAGTTACCAGTTACCTACCTGTGCAGTGTGCACAATTCTTCTATTTTGTCTTGGCGGGTAGAGAAATGCCATTGATCAGGCGACCGGGATAGGCAAAGTACGGAGTATGTATTAGTAGCTCTGATGGGAATTTTTTTTTATTTATTTATTTTTTTCAACTGACAAGTTACAACCGGGCAAACCAAGTTCGGTGCCCAGTACTTACCTACCTACCTACCTACCTACCTACTTGCGTGTTTTGATTTGGTTTGTGCAGTGCGCTGTGATGGACCGGGCAGATTTGTGGGCAAATGTGCATGATTATTGAGAGTGGAATCGCTCCGGTTTGGGATCTGGACTGTAGGCTGTAGTAGACTCTTGGCTCTAAGGCTACACTAGAGAGTACTTACTAGGTACTTACTGTGCATGAGGCTGGTGCTGGTGCTGGTGCTGGTGCTGGTGCTGGTGCTGGTGCTGGTGCTGGTGCTTGGTTGGTTGATTGATTGATGGATTCAGGGTCTGCCCAGTGCCCGTTGATTGTACTTTGTGTGACGGCGGTGGATGTCCATGTCGAACGTCTAGAACGTACTTGTTACTTCGGCTTCGTTCTAGATCTCAACGACAAGACAGGAGAAGGGCACAACTATGGTGGATGTGTATGCATCAATTGGTTTTGGTCCATGTAAGCAGCATATGCAAAAATAAATCATCTCATCAGAAGTATGTACTATCAAGAAGGATTCATGCTCCTGCTGTCAAACCCATCGTATTACTCCATACAAAACCGCTGTAATAATATCCTCAATCTTCAGTCCACAATTTCAATCCCCCCTTGCTTCGTCGTTGCCGCTTAATCCGGCGTCCACGGCATCGTGATCCTGGTGCATGGAATGACGTCGCAGTACACTTCGTGCGAGGCTTGACCCAGTCTCTCTAAAACTGCTCTCGAGCCAAGCCCTCAACGCCATCTGACTCTTCCTCCGCTGCGAAATGAGGCAGCCTAATCGGTCTCGGCATTCGGTAATGCCAAGCTCCATGGACAGCACGCTGCACTTTCCCTTCCGGGAAGCCAAGCTACATAGTTGTTGCTCGACTGGGACATTTAGAGTCCAGGGCCCCGGACGCGGTCGCGTTGGCGATGGTCATCATCTGACTGGCGGCCCAACCTGGGGAAGCTCAGGAGCGACCAGCTGGGTTAAGCGAACCGAGCGGGATCGCGGAGGGCCGAGACTCTGAAAGACCCTTGCCAGGTTGATTGGCATGGTCAAGGGTTGCCAATAGTCACCTGATTAGAAGGGTGGAAGAAAAACCAAAACAAAAAAAAGGTATCTTCTGGAGATGGTCTAAGACGTCATGGTTCTTCTCCGAAACTCGGCGTTACTGCGCGTGTGAAATCGCTGGGGTCGCTCAGTATAGCGGGATTGCAGGCAGCGATTGGGGGTGACTTTGGTCTGGCACTTGTGCTCCTCGACAGTCATGTGTTTCCGGGCCAGATTGGCCGATCGCATGGTGCCCGAGTGAACCGGCGGTTGTTGCGTTAGGTCACACTGGACATGGGCAGAGACGTTGTACAGCGTCTGAGATTGCAGGCTTTGACGCTCCACCATGGCAGAGAGTTCTAGACATTGCACGACCAGCTGTTTAACGCCGTCGGTCAACGTGCATGCGCGGTGCTCAATGTCCGGCCAAAAGTCGCTGCCCCAGAACGGATCCTCGCGAACCGCGCGTTCCAGCGTCTCGAACCAAAAGTCGAAACTCGGCAGCTGTTTCTTCGCGTTGAGCAGATTCAGCCCTTGCAAGTCATCCGACAGCAGGCATGCCACGGCAACGAATCGGATCGTCGGCTCCGAATTCAGGACATGCAGGACAATGCACGCGGAGCAGCGTTCGGTCAGATACCAATCGTGCTCTTCGCGGAGGATACATTGCAGCCAGGCATAGGCACTGCGCGCCTCGCCCCTGAACGCGCGCTCAGGGTCCGCCGACTTAGTCGGGGACAGCACACTGGCCGCGACGCGCGAAGCCTGGTGGTGGAGGAAAAACAAGGGGAGAAGCAAAGTGTGGATGATATCGCGATGGAGACGAAACTCCTCCTGATCTTGATTGGAGCAGGAATGGCGATGAAACGAGCAGAAGCTGTGAGAAAATCTCCAAGGTCAGTCCATCCTCCCCATAGTCTGCATCAGATAGGGAGATCAACAAAAACCTCTCAGGGCTCCATACCTAGGGGCATCCATTCCCACTTCCTGACGTCTCAGGTTCTCCCGAATGGCCTTGAAGGCATCGTTGCGATCCAACTTCTCCCAGTCCTTGTCCGAGATTCGAAACGGCGAGACGATGGGGCTGTTGTTCGACATGGCTGTTAGTTGGTGGGCTGGATCCCAAGCCGCGCGTCTGTTTTTTTTTTTTTTTCGACAGCGATGCCTTGTGATGTTGTTGGTCAACAGATGTCACGGGTGACAGGCTGGAGATTGTGGGTTATGGTTGATTGTCTGGACTCTCTGGAGAAGAATAATGACTCTGGGGGGTGATTGTTGGATGACGTCTGTCGCGAGTAATCCGGGAGACTAGGAATCCCGACCAATCAAGCAATAAGATGGAGGCAGACGAAGTGATGAGAACACGACAAGATGGAGAGGAAGAACCACGGATGGCATCGTCTGGTTTCCAGTTTTTTTTTTTTTTTTTTTGTTGTTGTTCTTGTTTGTGTTTCTAATTAGATAGGGTTGTTGACGTGGATGGGAGAGCGATGCCGGCTAAGGTTTTTAAGAAGAGATAATGGAGTCACCGGGAGGGAAATAATCGAAGGTAAAAAAAAAAAAAAAATGGATAGTGGGAAGCAGGAGATGAAACAATTCACCAGCGATCCAAAGACTCGGTCGTTGTAGACTAATTAAAGGAGCAATTAAGATGCGCACCACGAAGAGCAAATCCGGATGCGGACAAGGGGTCGGAACGTCATCCACGCAAGCTGCGAGGGTGATCGTCGAGTGTCGGAAATGAGAGTCGTATGAAACCAGTCGTTTAGTTGAGGATGCACTATGGATCGAGGATGAGACTAGTTCACTAGACTCACTGGGAGGAGTCTAGTAGTAGAACAACTGAGGTTGATAGAAGAGACACCAAAGAAGGAGAGGGAAAAGGGGAAAAGGGGGCTCCTTTTCAGTTTCCAGTGCGGGCAAGCGGGGGAAACTGCACTATTGAAGACGATCGGATAATATTAGATATCTCGATGGTTATCATTTAATCCCTCTTTCTACTTTCTATGAACATTTACATACTACTCCGTCGTTCTCTCCATTCAGGGAAGGCCTGAATCCGATTTCAGAGTTCAATCGAATCTGAATGCATTCCACTCCATTCCGAATTCGAAGCCCAAACCCTGCAGTTTCTTGATTTTACGACGGAGGAGATAACTTGCGACCCAACAGACAAGTTCGATGCTAAGACCCAGCCAAACAGATCATCACAATGAGAGAGCCACGTACCATCGCCCGCGGTCTCGATCCCTCGCCAAGAGCCCATAATAGCAATTGTATGGAGAGTGGGTTGTTAAATCCCGCCCACCGTTGGTCTAAAGGGACTAAAGAGGGTCATCTGTCTCATTTGCGCCAGTGCTCGAGAGCCACCGGAACGGATGGCAAGATGCGACTTTATCTACAGATTGCGAATTACGAGCAGACTTGAGACTTGAGAGTTGAGGGAGTGAGGGAAAAGGGGGGCCTGACTCGAACGTAGATAGAGATGATGAGGGGGGTGATGGGACTTGGACCAGGCAATTCTTTGTGATGATCCTACCAAGTTTTCTGTTCTAATAGTATTGTTCTGAGTTTTGAGTTGATGCATGCAGTAGTAGTAGTAGTAGTAGTAGTAGTAGTAGTAGTAGATGAGAGAAGTCCATGCTCCATGCTCCAGACTCTATCCCATCCCTCATCTGTGCATAAAAAAAGACCCTGAGGATTGGCTGCAGCCCTATCGCATTTCGTGGAGGATGGAGGGGTAATTAATAATAATAATGCTGACAGCCTAACAGCCTCAGTGCCTGACCTTATGGCTATGCCAAACCTGAAACTTCAGGCATTCTTTGAGATTGAAATGCCTCAGGCATCACTGTGTCTCGCATGATCTTGAATGCCTGAATGCCTGAATGCCTGAATGCCTGGCTGCCTGGCTGCCTGGATAATGACCTCCATCGACAGTCAATCAACACTGTAGAAGTCTTATAGCCCAACCCTCAGATATTCACATTCATGAATCTTCCGTAATCTAAATGCCTCTCATGAATATTATTTCCCCCCTGCAACACCCCTGATTCCCCAGTCGTCCCCTACATTCCTCCTGTCAAGGTAACCAACCATTCATCCCTTCAGATCCAATCCCCGTGGCGGAATCTTGACGGCTGAAATAAACTATAGATGATAGCCATAGATTGCATCCCATCCAGGGCACACAAGCAATGCCATTGACGTCAATTTCTCCCGGCTGGGAATGCATGTCTCCTGAAGGAATCCAGTTCAGCATGGTTGAATTAGCCAGTCACCGGGATAGCTTCCCAGGATGACTTTGACTCCCAAATTATATGAAGAGCCCTTCTGACCTCTGTTGTCATGTCGTTCATCATTGTCGCTCCGTTCAAATCTTCCACAACTGCCAAAAAAAGAGGCGGTTGAGCTGAGCTCCTTCCTCACTGCGCCCTCCTTCCTTCCTCCTTCCTGATCGGGACTCAACCATCACTTGAGCCTCACTTCTCTCTCTCCCTCTCTGTCTCCCATTTCCCCTTCCAATCCTCCTCTCTGCCCTTCTCGCAGTATCCACCAAGACCCCTGTGCAGCAATAGCCACATATACTTCTATCCTGAAAGTTACATCTCAAGCTCCACTATCTGCAGTACACATCAATATGCGCTATTCTTCGCTCTCCTTGCCTGCATTCTCACTGCTGCTGCTGCTACCTACAGCAGTCAGTGCCATCCAGACCCTCTCAGCGGTTGGCTCAAAGTTCTTCTACGAAAATGGCACCCAGTACTTCATGAAAGGTACAAAGCACACAACCCACCTTGTGGTTCTTTGCTTCAGTTACACTGACACCGCCTCGATCCTCAGGCATTGCTTACCAGCTCGTTCCTGACGACCCTCTGATCGATACGGAACAATGCGAGCGCGATATCTCCCTCATGGCACAACTGGGCACGAACGCAATCCGTGTCTATCATGTTGATCCCAGTGCAAATCACGATGGATGCATGACTGCTCTTGCCGCAGCTGGCATCTATCTGTTTGTTGATCTGGACACTTTCGAAACCCAGATTGAACAGGTTAGTCCCTGCACCCTTGAATCTCGAAAAGAAGAACCATTGTTGACTGTCGCAGAATGATCCCCACTGGAATCAAACCCAGTTTGATCGCTTCAAGGAAGTTTTGGATGAGTTTCAAAAGTACGAGAACACCGCCGGGGTGTTTGTCGGAAATGAAATCCTCACCACCAAAGGCGGCTCAGCGGCTGCCCCTTACCTTCTGGCTGCAGCTCGGGACATCAAAAGCTACCGCGACGAGAAGAACTACCGGAACATCCCCGTCGGATATTCTGCAGCTGACATCGCTGAATTGCGTCCCATGCTGCAGAACTATCTGGCCTGTGCAGAGGACCCGGATGAGCGTCTAGACTTCTATGCCCTGAACGCCTACGAGTGGTGTGGAGTCTCCTCGTATGCTCAGTCGGGCTACAGAGAACTTCAGAAGAATGCAACTGGCTACCCCATCCCCATCTTCTTCTCTGAAACGGGCTGTAACGCCGCTCCTCCACGGACCTTTGAGGACCAAGCTGCGATTTTTGGTGACTATATGTCAGATACGTGGTCCGGCTCCATGGTCTACGAGTGGATTCAAGAAGTCAACCACTACGGCTTGATCACATATGGCCCTCCCGCCCCAGGAGTCAATACGCCAGACAAGCTTGTCTATGATGGTTTCACCCGCAAAGGTGTCCCAACGCCCGTGGCTCCCGATTTCCACAATCTCAAGTCCCAATGGGCCACCCTGTCTCCCACTGGTGTCGCACTCTCTGATTACATTGAGACCACTTCCACCATCACACCCCCCGCCTGTCCTGCCTACACCGCAGGTGCATGGGAAGTCGGTCCCAACTCCCCTCTCCCCACTTTGGGTCAGACACACCACAAGGCCGGCACGAAAGTTCACGTTACCAGTGTGAGCGGCCCTAACACCTGGACAGTCTCCAATGCTAGGGTCACCATGTCATCCCCCTCGCCCTCTGTTCGCTTGGCCACAAGCAGTGCCGCGAGATCGCTTGCTGCCCCACGGCTGGATGGTTCGGGTTACCTCGCGGGTGCATCCAAGTTCATCTGCCTGCTGGTGGGACTGGTGGCGGCCTGGCTATGAAGATATGATGCGTTCCGACTTTATGATTTATGACTAGCATCAGAGAAGGTGGCTGTGTGCTTGTAGGGTTGTGCTACATTGGGAATTCTTTTGATGTCAACTTAGATCCAGGTTGCCGACGTTTTGTGACACTATCAATATGAACATGAGTACCGGATGCCGTGTCGAACAACAAATCCTATTCCAAGCTCTTAGCGTGTTTCCCTCCCGTGGGTTCAAAATTACTCTAGCACATGCGTAGGCACATTCTTCATCCAAGTATGGCCGATTCGGCTAGGCACTGCGAGGATAGAAGAATAGGTCTTTCATATGCTGTAACATTAACCTGGGCCATAACGTGCTATTCCATAATCCCTCGTAACCGATCACACTTCTCCAGGAGGAAATTATAACTGTAAAGTAACAGCCTGTGAGTGTGATATTTGTCTTGTAAAGGTATAGCACAGGACGAGAGGAAAGAAAGTGGTCGCTCAGACATACCACCCATAAAAAGAAGCATAGATCGGTGGTATACCAGGAGGAAAGAAGAGGATGAAGTAAACGCTAAGTTACAGAGAAAGAAGAAGAAAACAGTATGGTTTAATGTATGATCAAGAAGAAAAAAACGCACTCCGTAGACGAAGGCTTTGAGTGACACAGAGCATCGGGACGACGAGCCCGATTTCATCCATCTGATATGGCGATCCCGTATCCTTGGAAAGATTCCTCGGCGGCAGCTGGGCCTGTACGCCCGTCAGGCGTCCACCAGGGATTTCGGTGTGAAGATGAGGGCGCGGTATATGCGTTGCCTTTTCGGTCCGAGTCGCTGCTCGCTGCGTAGGTGTCTATCCAGTCAGTATATCCGGCGCAGCCCGTCTCTGGTGGCGAAGAGCACGGTGTAATGGGGGCCATGGGCTGAGTCAAGACGGGAGTATTGGGGGATGCACGGGGCAAGGCGGTATTGGATAATGCAGGCGCGCGGAAGTGGAGCTTGGATGTGCAGTGCGGTGTCACCGCGTCCCCGATTTGGCGGATTGCTTCGACGAAGCGGCTCTCGACCCGTGCGGCTGAGGGCCGATTGCCGGGTTCTTTGTGCAGCATACACCTCACTACGGTCAGCATGGGCTCGATGGCGCGGAAGACGGGATCCGACCGTTTTCGCGCATCGCTGTCCAGCAAGGCAATCCACGAACTGACCTGTCCGATATTCCGGTCAAGGTGGAAGGAGCAGTCGGCAACGCCGCCACCACGCCCGGGGGTCCTGTTCTTTGCGCCTCGGTGGTGTGCAAACGCAGAGATCTTACGCTTGCAGAGGTGCGTGAGGATGTCGAGGGTCACCGCGCCCAGGGAGAAGATGTCTGACGCTTCGGGGTTGGTCTGGCGCGATTGCCAAGTCTGAACCACTGCGGCGTTGGAGTGGGTGCCCGGCAGGCGTACCGGGTGGAGGGTCATAGCGGCGGAGTGGTCTGACGAGCCGGACGAATTGGACGAGGTTATGGAAGGAGTATATAGAATTGGTCGTCTGACTGACGTGACAGCGCGCTTGCGTGTACTTCCGCCGCTGGAGCCAGATGAAGACGACGAGAATCCAAAAGAGAAACGGCTTGGAGAATCAGATCGGCCCCCAATGCGGATCACGGTGCCGTGAGAGGCGACAGATTCAGCTCGTATACTTTCCGCGCTGTGGTCTATTGAATCCTCGTTTCTGGGGGTCCTGGATGCGAACAGGCCCAGTTTTCCACCGTGGGTCGGTTGTCTTCGACCGGTGCGGCCTCCAGAGGGAAGGGCTGTTCGGGCTGGAGCATTATCATGCACAATAGCAGAACGCACCCAGCGCTCCGGAGCCCCGTACTGATAAGATTCCACATCATCTATCTTGACTGGAGGTAATAAAGTATCGAGTGCCTCGAATTGGCCAAGGAAGATTCGGTATTCCGAGTCAATGAGAATGTTGGAGGGACGTATGGCTCCATGGACCTGGCTGTGGGCATGCAACCATGATAGACCATCAGCTAGACAATGCGGCCAGTCAATCAAGATCCGGCGGCGGTGATCTTTTGGTAGTCGTTTGAAGGAGTGAGGCACCTCATTGAGGAAGGACATGAGCGTACGATCGTATATACCAGAGAAAAGAATGTACATCATATCATCAACAAAGTAGGAAGCGTAGATTGAAAAAACATGATCGTGAGAAAATCTTCGGAGCGAGCGAATCTCCTCGAGAACCTCCTCCTCTTCAAAGAAATGCGGCGCGCCTCCGATGGTGACGTGAGTTCGCAGGTAAACCCTGCACGCAGCACCGGCCAGGACGATTTTCTCCACTCCCTCTCGAGCAAGAGCAGTCTCGCTGGGTAGGATTTCGACCGGAACACCTTCATTCTCAGTATACTTGATATGGTCTCCTTGTTTGAGGCCGCGAACGAGAAAGCGCCATTGAGCGTGGAAGAACTTGGCATCCAGGGTTGGATCATCGCCATCTGCTGAGAGCTTCAGGCGATCAACGCTGTGAGCTGCAATAGGTAGATCCACATCGTCGAACGATTCGTCGACCAACGAGAATACTCGCTCGGGAATACCAATATCCACTAAGATCAGGAATAGTCTGCCAGCCTTGCTGAGAATCCAGTCGAGATAGGTCTCGTCGGTGAGGCCTTCTCCCCAGGGCAAGGGAGCAACGAGACGGGGTAAGAGGTGGGACGGTAAGTGGTCGAAGACATACTCTGAACACAGTGTGGCTTGGATCCTATCCTCAGGCCACCAAAGTGACGTTATTAGCGACATTGCATAGGCATGGCGAACCGAACCGCTGGGGAATGAGAATCTCCCAAGAGCAGAATGGGTATCTGATATAACGCACAAGGAGTTGCCAATACAGTTGGAGGGAAGGAATCCTAAGGTCAGCCCGGAGCCAATAGAACTCTAAGTTCTTATTGAATATAATTGAGTAGCGTCAGTAGGTAGATATATTCCTGCAATAATATGAATGCCCTTGCAGCTGTCAGCGGGAATTGCGGAGTCCTGTCATATTTCCGGACGACATTGAACAGGGAGGGAAATAATACGAATGATAATGTGGAAAACTCTAGTTAATGAGCAGAAAGACGAATCACCAATAAGCACGAGGCTTATCTGGCACCCAGCAAGGGACATATCAAGGCTTCATTGGAAGACATCGTCCAGATGGTAGTTCATGCTGGGACCCAAATAATGGGTGGGATGAGAAATGGACTGAGATAAATGAGAAGAAGGTAGCCAACGAGGAGCCGAGGCTGGATGACAACCAGAGTAGGTCAAGAACATATCACAGAATACGAAAAAAGCAAAGGTCCAGTATCTCGTGGGGAGGGGACATAGACACCCCAAGGATTGGTGACAGTGGCAGTGGAGACTGGAGATAACGACTGAGTGAAGCCATCGTAATTGTCTCGGATCACTGGCATCGAGTCAGTTGGAGGGGCCCAGGAGATGACTTCTGGGCCCATTATTGAGACTAATCAAGGACCATTATTTGGATAGTTTGGTGTTGATGGAATGGGTGGATGAGGCTGTTTGTAGTTAAGTTGATGTTGATGAAGTTGATCCAGTCGATGTTGCGAGAAGGGAAAACGTGATTTGTCGATGCCTGGAAGATGGCCTTAATATTGGGGCACACACCTGAACCCCCCATCTACTAGATATTTATTTCCTATCCGTATGATGAAAAAAAAAATAATGGGTTTGTTGGATGTATGAAAGGTGTTGTCCCATCTCTATCTACTCTGTAATTACTACCACGATAATAATATTGAACTCTGTTCACAAGAATGGGATCAATGGTCCATGTCATAGTACGTAGTAGGTTGGTGAATGGTGATACTAGATAACTACAGGATTAGACAACGATATATCTCTCATATCATATCACATAGAAACCGGGAGCTTATCAGTTGCCAGTCCGAGTTCTCATTAGTCGTCAAGATAAGACACATCAGTCCATACTAATTGGGTCCTTTGATATGAGTCCAATCTCATGCATCTCATTCCAAGGACTTTCATTGTTGGACTATTTGTAATAATAATACCATGGAGAAATCACCTCAAGATGAGGGAGACTGGGAATCTTTTCTGTCAAGCCATCTGTGTGTCCAACAACAGCTTGAGCTGCGATCATGCATATCCAGCTGTCTCCTTGAGATCTTTTCAAGAGGATACGGACTCTTCATAAACGAGGCAAAATGAATCTCCGAGCAAGGGGTAAACCAGTGGATGTGACGCCTCTTGCTGTAGAACTGAGGTTTCATGTTTGAGCCGTTCCACCCTTCAGTCTTCCCGTTCCCCATCCTATTTCACTTGATTGATGCGGTCACTAACTCGAGAGATCATTGTCAGGGCAGGGAGGCTGAGGAAGATAGCTTCGGGAACATGGAATTGTTCGACATCCAGCCTGTGCGGTACATATTCATTCGAGGTGCTCACGGAACCCTCCGAACAGCGAGCGTTTTCCAATCCTCCTCCCACTTTGGACCTTTCCAAATTCTTGAGAAGAACTAGATCCGTGTCTGTCTTGCAGTCATAGGAACTCCCCATCAATGACAGGGGCCGAAAATGATCTGTGATGCTCTCCTTGTTCGGGGCGGATGATCGTGGGCTTCGAGAGCTAGGGATGATACTTCCTTCCTGTCTAACTCATTAGCTGAGTATTCCTGGAGACTTGTACATACTGCTCTGCCGGGCGGCTGGACAGGGATTGAAGTGAGCTGGCAACGCCTATCAAAGGGTGGCGTCAAGAGCCAGGTACTAGTTCAAAGCCTCCATAAAACAAAAAAAAAAAAAAAAAAATGAGAGATACCAGAAGGGTCAAAAGTGCATTTGATAATGACACTTGAAGAAGAATGAGTAGAAGTGATGCACGTGGGCCATATTCAGCGGTTAGTAAACAGTCACACCGAGAAAAAAGATAGTGCATGACATTCAACACTATAGCCATAGCATACAACATGGACCTTCAGACTCTCAGTCCAGCCTTCGTTTCCTTCAACGACCAGCCAGCTAGTTAGACCTACTCCTCTCTTTTATGTGATCCACTCCTTCTCAACCGCTTCAATCGGCTCTGACTCCGCCTCGGATCCCGTTCCTCCTCCCCAGACCGCCGCCGACTCCAAGCCTTGCGGAAATGCTGCTGCTCGTCACCCTGTTGTTTCGCCCGGTGATGCAGGAATTCCTCGTGCGCTTCTTTCTCTTCCAGAAGCACCTTGATCTGTGTTGAAGAGGGAACGAGTCGAACGAGATCCCTCGTTAGTAATCAGACCCCCCCAGGGAAGAAAAAAAAACAAAAAACAAAATATATGTATGAATCATTCTCTCATGTTTCAGGCATATATTAATGCAGTAGGTCAACCCACATATTCCAACCACAGCTCCTGCTCCGAACTCCACGCCTTCTGACATCGCGCCAACTCCTGCTCTGCGATCGCCAGCTCGCGCTCCTGCGCTATCGTCCACCGCGCCGATGCTCGATCCGCGATACTTGTCCAGCTGACGACGCGCACCAGCCGCCGTTTGCTGCTACTGCTGCTGTTGTTGCTGCTGCTGCCGCTGCCTGCATCCACGCTCACCGCTAGATGGGGGTCGGCGTACAGGCCCATGTCGACGTCCGTGTCCTCGCCGAGAGAGGAGACGTCGTCCTCGTCGTCATGGTCGGGCATCCCTGCCCCGGCTGTGCAGTAGGGTCCCGAGGGGGGAAGGCTGTGACTGTGATCGACTGATTTGCCCTTCCCTGGGAGTGATCGCTCGGCCCGCTTAAGGAGGAACGTCAGGCGGAAGACGCACTTGACGGTTTGGCCCATGCCCATCTTGACAAAAAAAAAAGATAGGTATATATCGGATTTGTCCCAGGTCAGGATCAAGCGGATCAGAAGGAGGAGGATGAGAGATCGCGAAGGTGCGAAATGGAACTCTCTCAAATGTTGTTTAGAATTATCTTCCCTGTCCCTGCCGCGATGGCGTCTACACACCCCCTCTATTTATATCCATTCCGGATTCATCCTCTTCATTCAAGGAGTGAATCCGAACCCTCCCCGATAATTCGAGAACTCGCGATACTGACCACTGAGCAGCGCTGATTCCCACACTGCACAACAAGTCACATACCACAACCAGTCCAGTCAGGCCTGAGTAGAGAAAACAACAATGAAAAAAAAGAACGAAAAAAACGAAAACCCTTACCCCCAACACACATCATCAGGCCTCGAAAACAAGGCTAACCATTTCTCTCTCCGCCTCTGTTTGGCTGGATTTCCCCAGACCCGCAGCTCAGTCAAACCCCCAATGCGACTCCCCCCAATCACGACCGGCTGCGGTCTCGTCGCCGCGTCAGTCTAGATCTTCTCAGACTACAGAGCAGGACACAGAGCAAAGTTCAGTGTTCACATGCCAACTCAAGGCGCTGCATCACTGCAGGCATGAAGCGTGGCAGGCTGGGAACAGCGGACCGGCTGCCGTACAAAGGAACAGGTCACGGTACGGGAGTACAACTTCCCTCCATGTCCTATTTTAGACCCAGACTAGAAGCATCATGGAAGATATCGGAATACCCTTCAGTATACAGGTCGAATTCCAGGTACAGATTTGGGAATCCAACGCATGGGTAACACCCATGATGGTCAACGTTGCGGCTGCTTTATGGTGATCAACTCGTTGACCCGCACGCCACTCCAAACAGGGCAACGGGGCTGCTTAGTTCTACCAACCAAGCAGAGAATAAGTTCAAGAGGAGAAAAAAAGGTAGGATGGCAAAAACCACATACATCGCATTGTCCAATGGTCACCGTCCAGTAGAGGTAGACACCAAGAAAGATATAGACAAATAACAGTCATCGAAATATCATATCTGAACAGCTGACTCCCTCAAAAGCCCAATCGAATCAAAATGCTTCCTGACAAACGAGACTAAAAGACGGGGGGGAATCGTGCATCAAACAAAACACTAGATGAACAATGAAGAAACCAAAAGAAAAGACGTCCAATTCAGAACCCAACCGACGGCCTTATTCGATCATTGGCTTACCAAGCCCGTGATAGCCCGACGAATATGTAAAGCCCCCCAAAAAGCAGATCAGAAGTCCTTGACGAGTCTCCTGCACGGCAGAAAGGCAGGATACCAATCGGCTCGTGGGATCATCGACATACGTCGCCAAGACCGGGGGTGGTAGACCGAGTGTTCCAGACGGACGGTCACCAGCGCCGCGTTAGGAAGGTGAGACGGTGAGACCGCGTATCTCCTTGCCTGCCGACTGCCTCGTCACGCTTCCCCGGTCTCCATTTCTTCCCTGATCTGCTCGCCAATGATAATGCTGATCAGTCTTCGGTGCATGTCTGCCTCTGTCCAGCCAATCTGGCCCGTGCCACCCGCCTGCAGGTCGCCACGAGCCAGCTCGTGCACAAATCGGTCAATTATAGCGAATTGCGTCTCCGTGACGCGCACTCCATGTCTGCCGTCCGACGTCCAAATCCAGTCGCCGATGATATCAGAACGTCCAGGGGCTGAGTAGTAGGGGAACCGCTCCGGATGTCGTTTTGATAGCCGGTAAAGACGACGGAGAAGAATGTAGTGCTCGTCGCTGAAATAGCCAGAGACGGCGAGCGGGAAATGAGGTTCATACGCCTCGGCCGCGACTTGTTCTTCTTCTGCCTCTTCTTCCTCCTCCGGCGAAGCTTGTCGATCTTCAATAGGTCGAGCAACGTCGGAAGCAGGTGATGTCGGCTCGTAGTGGTCCTGTTCAATAGACTGCAGCTTCCTTGGCGTTTCATCCAGTCCTTCGAGACGCTCTTGATCATCGAGGTGTGTCCCCACGTCTTTGGTTGATCTGACGTCAGGCACTTCCTCGTTCTCAACCCTTTCCGAGAAATCCTCGCTCGCAAGACCATTAGCTGGCGCAATCGCATTCCGTTTTGGGGCTTTCAGCCACCCTGGCGTCAGACTAGTGATTTTTCGGAACCAGGATGATGCTTGGACATCCCCGTCGGCAGTTCGAGTCTGTGCAGGTGTGAGCGAATTTCCTTCGTGCACGGACACGTCGTCGGCTAGCGCGGTAGCTGACATATTGCCATCTTCACTCTCTTGCTCAATTTGATGGGCACGTTGCCTCTCACTCTCGTGCCTTGTCGTCGGATCTATCTGAAATGTATCATCATCCGAAATTCTGTTGGGGCTTGACTCGAGATAGATGTCGGACACGTGCTCATCGTCTTCAGAGCCATGGCCCTCCAAGGCTTCTCGTTGAGACTCCGGACTCGAGCGATGCTGCTTTGGCGATTGTTCATTTGCGCTTTTGGCTGGGCTGCTCTGCCCATAATAATGACGGATGTGGCGTGGCGTCTCCTCCCCACGAAGCACTGTAGAAAGATCTACCGCCTGTTCACGGAGTCGCTTGACTCGCGAATGGCCCAAGAACGGGACCTTGTCGTTCGTGTGGGTCCATGGGGCGGGAGAGAAGGTTCCTCGATATTCACCTGCTGCTTGGCTTGAGCTGCTTTTTAATGGGCTGGATTGTTGTCCTACTTCGATATCTTGGATGTCGTGGTCGTTCTGAAATGTTGACGAATGATGGGAGAGATTGCTATGGTCTCTTGCTTCTTGTTGCCAGATATCCTCGTACCCCTCTTCTTCATCTCCATTCTCGTACATGGCTTGCACATTACTATCAAGATGCGCTTCTGGCTGTTCGTCCGGCAAGCCATCTTCCTCATCAGGCTCGCTCCCATATTCGTAGCCATTGTCATCCACTTCAGGACTCTGCGGGCCAGCTGCGTCGCTATCAACCACAATGACTTGACTCGTGCTGGCCATCTGAATCTCTCGACTGACAGCTTCCCTCTCCCTTTGCCATTCCTCCAGACGCCGTTTCATTTCCGTACTTGGAGTATCCTTGATGGGAGCTTCGTGGATTTCTTGCTGTGGCGTCTCGGTGAATATTGTGCCGCGTTTCCCCTTCAAATTTGCTTCAACCGACATCGTCCGCCTGGCTTGTTCGATCTCCGCTTTCCTTCGCCTCTTTGCAAGTTCTTGGGCAAGCCCCAAGCCTGCGCGCAATTCACGTCTTATCCTGGGATTGAAGTCACTGAACAGTAGCTCCAGGCGTCTTCTTGGCCCTTCAAGACTCGAAATTTGCTCTCTTAAGTCAGGGGTTCCGGGCGTAGGGACAGGTGCACCTTCATAAGGACGCCGAAGGGCACCTTCCAGAACTATACCTGCGCGAATGATTTTGACCCACCTTACGATGGGGTTTCTCATCCTGGTAGCACGGGATGTAGGCGTCGGGGCAGGTGAGACAGCAGGGGTGGGCTGCTTCTGTTCGGTGAATCTCGAGCCTCCGCTAGATGAGGGTCGTGGTTCGGGCTCAGTTGATCGCACAGGAGCACGAGCCGCAGTCTTTTCTGTCGAATTTGGTCCGATTTCCGTCGCTGGATCTGGAGATTTTTGTTTATTATGCAGGTTCAATGTCGACACCTTGCGCTTCGATCTTTGTCCAATTGCGATTTTCTCGCGCTCCAAAAAAGGTTTGAGGGCACTCTGGGCTGTCTGCGAGTTAATGCTCAGGCCGTGTTGTTTGACCGATGGTAGTGTATCCAATGAGACCATGCTGAATCCTTCGCTTTCCATAATAGAATCAAACTCCCTGTGTTCGTCCGTCGGATCGTTTGCAACACCATGGGCGTTGTGATCAGGGCCCGCCTCCATAACAGGAGCCTCTGCTTCAAACTGAACGGGTCGATCATCATCGTCTAAAGACGATGATGTTGGGCTTGGGTAAGAGCGTGGTGGCCTTGGTGTGTGGCCTGCATGTAGCGTGTTATCCGGCGAAAATATCTGGCTCTCCCGTGACGGTGACGGCATTTTAGACGGGGTAGATTGCGGCTCTCCCTCCTGGTTATTTCCATAGATTTGATCTATAAGAGTAACATCCGGTGTCTCGTAAGTGCGCTCGTGGTTGATTCGCGGGGTGTTTCCATCCCACGCACTCGCACCGGGACGCTCCTCGTCGCCACCATTCTCAAAGGTGTCGACGGCCATGAAGTCTTCCGGCAGAGCGTCATCATCAGAATCAGCGTCACCAGCAAGATTCAACGGACTCCAGCGCGGTTCAGGTTCGGGTTCGGGTTCGGGTTCAGGCTCGACAAGATTAGCCGCATTGTCGTCCACGATATCAGTAGCCGGTTCGCCGCTATCCACCAGATTCTCATCGACAGGCTGTTTCCGTGGCCGACCTCGTTTTCTCTTCTGTCCACTTGTGCCTCCCGGACCCGGTGTGTGTCCAGGACTGCCTGCTGCGGGCGCCGCGTCCTCTGCTTGTATATCCGATTTCCGTGGGCGTCCCCGGCGTCTTCTCGGTGTCTGATCCGCATAGTCTTCGGCGTCTTTCAGTGGGATCTTGGTCGTCGTGCTTGTTGACGGTCTCAGCCGCTTGCGCGATGGACTCCCTTGATTCATTTCCTCGTCTTGTGTGGCCTCAAGTGTTACTCGAATTCTCCACGGGCTCAGGTTCCCGTCCCCTAGTGTCTTATCCGGAGATAACGATTGCTGTTGGACATTTAGCCTTCTCGACGGAGACGCTGGAAGAAGAACATCGCCGAGTTGAATCGAGTGAGCGCTCTTGGCAGGACTGAAGTTGATGCGCGGCCGCTTTCCCTTGCCCGTCCGCGGGGTCTGGAGAAGCTTGAAATTTGCGGGCGACATGAAGCTTTGACGACCGGAAAACGGTCTGATCGGGGACGATATTAGATATTCGACGTCGCCAGGGGGCCCAAGAATGTCGGGTGAAGAACTGGGGCTGGAGCTCTGCGAAATCATTGCGACAGGCAGTAAACAGTGCGGTGAGTGGAGAGGGGCGATCCTGCTCCAGATCGCGTCGTCGCGCAACAAAAGTGATTGGGTTGAAGGAATTCGCGACGCGATCAGACAATCGGAAACTTCATGGTTGATGCGATGGCCTGTCTTCTCACCAAGTCTGGACTCTGACAATATGAGCCCGCTGATCCAACATAAACAAGTCTCCCGATCTGGCAGGCCGAGAGTCCGGGCCGACTCCAAAGGAGGGCAATACGCGTCGGGCTTATGTAAGCGGGAGAATATTATTCCTTCCGGTCCCATCTGGCCAGATTGTATCACGTGACTGGTTGAGATGAGGCACCTGTAACTGTAAGAGATGCACTCTGAAACCGTCTGGTTGGTCCGCCATGATGAGAAAGAGCTCAGCAAACCAGATTATGTCTAGCCCCTCATGTTGACGCCCACCGTTTGTTAATAAGACAATACAACCATCAGTCACTACTACAGATGCACACCTTCTGTTCGTACTATCCAGCAGTCAGCTCTGGAAACGGGAAAGAATACGGAGTAAGAAAATGATCGACAAGCCTTCTTTCCCTTCCCCGCAAATATCCCCCACCGGAGATGCCTATCTGGGCCTAGCGTGGTATCCGAGATCCGACCACGCGATTTTTGCCTCGTCGCCTTGTGGCCTGGTTGACCTCAGGCAGCACTAGCCTGAGCCATCGTCAACTTTGTGGACCGAGCAACATTGCTTGTCTCTCGCTTGGACATCAAGCCGTCATCTTCGGAGAAATTTTGTGTTCCTTTCATCTACAGTGTGGAGTCGTTTTGAGCATACACATCCAGGTCATTCACTCAATACCCCAGACACCGCAAAGTTACCCCTTAGTGCACTCATACTGGAACCGTCCAGCCTGTTGACAATACGCATAGTGACTGCATGCGGCACGAAACCCCTGCACATCCCCAACCACTGACTGAGCATTGCAATACAATTGGAGCTTGCCGTCGATTCCGTCTTTGCTCGGTTAATTTACGAGTCGTATCGGCAAATCAACAGTGAACAGGGAGGAGGGTCATCGCAGTCACCCCAGCTTCTTGCTAGCGTCCTGTGCTTTGTTTTCCCCGCTCGCTGGTCAGAGGTGCCGTCATGAGGTGAATGGAAGCTAAAGGCTAGTGACGTTGGTATTTATTTGTTGATTATGGTTTATTTTCCAATACTTAATCGACGCTCATCTCATCTCCGTGGCTGTTTTCGTTCTGTGCTGTGTCCTGCTCGGATAACTCCTCGTGTCCTGCTTGTATACTTTGCTATCTTCCTCACTGTCACCATTCTCCTGGGGCTCAAGATGCATGTCAAGCATTATCTCTCTGCCGTCCTGTATGGGTTGCCAGTCCTAGCCCAGAACTCACAATCATCGCATGCCTCGTCAGCCAGCGCTTCTCCTGCCGACCCCTTCAAGGTCTATACCATCAGCGCAGAGAACATCACGGCTAAATTCATTCCATACGGAGCACGCTTGATCTCTCTGCTCGTTCCTGACCGCGACGGCAAAGATCAGGATGTCGTCATTGGCTATGATGATCCAAAGGAATATCTCAACGACACTGAAACGGTGCACACCTTCTTCGGTGCCGTTGTTGGCCGGTATGCCAATCGGATCAAGAACGGCACGTTCACCATCGGTTCATCCGAATATCATGTGCCGAAAAACGAGAATCACGGAGTCGACACCCTTCATGGTGGCAATGTGGGCTATGATCAACAGAACTGGACTGTCACGGCGCACTCCAAGTCAGCTGTGACGTTCACTCTGCTCGATCAGGGCCTGGAGAAATTCCCTGGGGACGTCATTACCCACGCTACCTACAGCGTCGACACGACCGTCACCCCCGAGAACCCGCAAGGTCTCCCCCAGCTGACCACCAAACTGGTCTCCCTGGCCCTCACGGAGGCGACCCCCATCATGCTCTCCAACCACATTTATTGGAACCTGAACGCCTTCAAGGCCCCCAACGTCCTCAATGACACCTTCCTGCAACTCCCGCTATCCAACCGCATCATCGCCACAGACAGCATTCTGATCCCCAACGGCACCATCCTCGGCGTCGACAGCGCCTTCAACGGCGCTGCAGACTTTACCACCGGCAAATTCATCGGCCGCGACCTCGAGGATAGCCACGGCATGTGCGGCCTCGGCTGCACAGGCTATGACACCTGCTTCCTCGTGGACCGGCCCCCTCAATACGCCGCCCCGAACTCGCTCGTCCCCATCGTACGCATGAACTCTAGCGCAACGGGCATCAGCATGGAAGTCTCGGCCAACATGCCCGCGCTGCAGATCTATACCTGCGACAACGCCCAGATGGACTACGTCGCCATCAAGCCGTCGCAGGAGAAACGCAACAAGGAAGAGGGCAAGGAGGGCGCGAAGAACGTCATGCAGTATGGTTGCGTGGTCATTGAGCCCGAGGGCTGGGTCGATGGTATCAACCATCCTGAATGGGGACAGCTGTCGGAGCAGATCTTCTCGCCTGCTGATGGGCCTGCGATCAACTGGGCCACTTACAAGTTCGGCACTGTCTAAATTCCAGGCTGGTTTTTTTTTTTTTTTTTTTTTTTTTGCGTCTTGGTAGTGGTGGTGGCCGGAATTCGATGTCCATTCCTAATTCACTCATAGCACCTCTATAGCTGTTCCTTGTGAGCCATGTACATAATATTACCCGTCAAAGCATTCATTGAGTCGGCCTTCACGTAGTAATCATAATTCCAGCAAGACCGAATCAGCAAAACTATGGTACAGAAATATAAGCTCAAAACTAAATGGCAAAGCCATCATATTCTAAATGGGTATCATATGGGAGATCAATCCACCGCTATTCTGATGAAATATCTCAAGCCTTCACGACCTGCAGGGTATGCGTAAAACCAACGGGTACAGAACAATTGTCTTTGATGCTTCACCCCCAGCCTGCTAATGTCCAGCTCGATCGATCTCCTCCCGACCGCAGACCAGAACGCCGGTCTGGAGCGTGGGCATATTCCAAGTCCCGGGTCGCGCCAGCAAGACCATGTTGAAGATACTTCTCCCGCTCGACCTCGACCTGTCCCCTGATCTTCAGGCTCGCCACCAGGCTAGCTCCAGCCCAGGGGCCGAGTGACTCCACCTCGCGCAGTACGCCTTGCACCTGGGGTTTCAAATCCTTATCTTTATTGTTGCGCCGTAGCTTCTGCTCGACAAAATCCACCTCCTCTTCGGGTTCGCCGCCCCCTCGAGGGCGAGTATCAGGGTTGGTCAGAGGTTCCGAGGGCGGCGCAGCAGAGTCTTCGCTATCATTCCCGGAAGTTGCCTGTTTCTGGGACCGCAAGGCCAGCCGTTTTTGCCCTGCCTTAAGGGACGCCTCACCTCGAACAGGATCCCAACCATACATCTTGACCATGGCTGACACCTCGTTGAGTACTCGCCTCCGGATTCCGGGTATCTGAGAGCCTCCACCGACAAAAACAATTCGTGACATACAGGTACCACGAATATCAGGCGGTAAAGCTAAAAGCGTAAGGTACACCAACAGGGGTATGGCTTTCTCCTCGTCGTCCACATCACGCTCCGTTACCCCCTTGGCAAAGAAAACCTTCTCCACTGGCTCGGAGAGTTTGCCGAAAGGAAGATCGATGTATGCCGAGCCGGGCTTCGACGGAGATGGAATAGAGACTATTCTATCGCTGATTGAGTCAGACGGCTGGGAGGTTGGCTGTTCGTCTTCCGAAGTTGGTGGTCCTTGCGAATCCGGTGGTAAGTGATCGCCGCCATCTACCTGAGGTTTGCACCAGGCAAACCGGCTGATTATTTCCTCGCAGTATTCAAAATCGACCGTAATATCGTCTACTTCCAATTCTTTCCCGCCACCCGCAATTAGAGTAAGCATCTTTCCTGTCTCCTGAAGCAGAGATCGCATGGCTCTTGTACTTCGTTTGGTCGCGATCTCCCTAAATTCGTAAATCCCGGTCACGGTAGTCTCAGCCCATCCCAGGTCTATCACTAACGCCGAACGAACTCCTGCTGCAATGGCGGCCATTGCAGGGCTTGGAAGAAGTGTGATGCTGGGAAATCGCCATCGGCTGAAGAGAGTGGACAAAACTGACGACAGTAACGGATGGGGCATAATAGATGGGATGACCAGAACCAATCTCGACGTGCCCGCATCTGTCAACAAATACTTGTTGTATGTTTCCCGAAATACCCGTTCGATCTTATCCTCAATGAGCCCCAGGTCGACCTCACGTAGGTTCATTCTCCACAGCTCATATGCGCCTGCCCATTCCTCTGCCCTGACCTGTCGCGGGGACGTGGTATTCAAGGCCCCTTTCAGCCATCCTCTGTAGTCTCCAGCCCTCCTCGAATCTTCAGGCCCATATCCGACAACACACGTGGGTGTACTATCGCCCTCAAATCCAGCGCGAAGCCATCGGGATCCCAACTCAAAAACTATCGCATCTTCCTCTCCGCGAAAGGAAGAGCCACCAGAGCCGGCACTTGCAAAGGATGAATTATTGGAACGCGAGGGGTGTTGAGGCGTGTGAGGGGAGGATGGTCTGCCGGCTTGACTTTGACGTAGATGCGAGGGGAGATTGGTATTGATCGAAAAGGACCTTTTATCGTCACTTGAAGGAGTAGTCGCCATTTCTTCTCACTCGCCCTGGTTGGGGTCCTAAAGCTGTCGTTGAATTGCGTGGGCTTTCAATGCAGGACGCGGGGACGGACTGATTGGGTGTTGTCCATGCGCGTCATTTCTCTTCCGGCACTGGCGACAGCAGTGATAATCAATGTGGTAGTAGTATGGATATGCTCAAATCTCTCATCAGATCCGAATTGATCAGATCTCTCTTGATATTCCAGCCATGTATCACCATTAGCTGAAGGCGCGACCTGCCTCTTGTTGTCTGCACGGATCTTCTGTCGGGCCGTCGTATTGATTCCCCGATGTCAAAACAACAACACCGCAGCAACAATATATTGACCATTGTCCACGCAAGCACGCGGTAGTCAGAACGGTTGTTAGTTTGTTTTCTTGGTGGCTTTTTTGATGGTTTTTGTCAGTAATTTTGTGGCCGTCTGAATGGGGATTCCTGGGTAGGTGAAATATTTTCCTCTCGTTGCAGTTCCCAAAGCAGAGATATATTCTGCTATATATGTCTACGCCCAGGATATCCGATCCTCCAGGAATTGTTGGATGACTGAGTGGCAAGTGCATAAGACACATAAAATCTGACGTCCAACAGTCTTATCAATGCCATTGGCTCTGGAGAACGTATCTCGCTGTCTAAGTTGGCAGTAACTCACTTCGAACGGACTTCAAGACCCATTCGCATTGCCGTTGACATCTCAATATGGCTGTTCCAAGTGCAAGCCGGCCGAGGTGGAAGGAATCCAGAACTCCGAACATTATTTTATAGATTGTTGAAATTTTTGGCGCTACCCATCCACCCACTGTTTGTGTATGATGGGAAGGACAAACCACCCTTCAAGCGAGGCAAAGCAGTCTCCGGGCGAAGTTACGGGAGCGCGCCCATAATCCGACTGTCCAAAATTTTAATCGACTTATTTAAATTTCCTCGTCATGATGCCCCGGGGGAGGCCGAAGCAGAATGCGCCAGGTTACAGAGAGCAGGAGTCGTCGATGCTGTGATGAGCAACGATGTCGACGCTTTGATGTTTGGCTCAGGGCTGACCGTGATGAATTTTTCGAAAGAGACCGGGTCTAGCACCTCTGCAGCTACACATATAACCTGCTATAGGATGTGTGACTACCTGGGTGATCCATCGAACGTGACTCTCGACCAGGCCGGGATGATCTTGTTCGCAATGCTTAGTGGGGGTGATTATCTACCATCTGGTGTGCCCAAATGTGGCAGCAAATTGGCCGCGGAAATAGCCAAAGCAGGATTTGGGGCAGACCTGCTCGACGCCATTCAATCCGATGGCCCTGAGCTTGACATCAAATTGGAGGAGTGGAGGGAAAGACTTCAGTACGAGCTAGAGCAGAACGAGAGTGGCTATTTCCAAACGAAACATAAAGCAGTGCGCATTCCGGAAGCCTTTCCTGATAGGACAATACTGTCATATTATGCGAACCCTGTGGTGTCGTCGTCGGCAGAGATTGCGGCTCTGCGACACCGTCTAGCCACTGCTTGGGATCAGGAGATTGACGCTCTGGAATTGCGAAGGTTTACTGCCGACACGTTCGAATGGAATTACCGTTCTGGGGCGAGGAAGGTGATCCGCCTACTCGCCGAACCCCTTGTTTCCTACAGGCTTCGCCTGCAAAGACACCCGGCAGCCTTCCCACAGAATCCTCCTTTTTCCGACAATGTTGGACAAATGCTTCAGAAAGTATACAAGAGCCGAACCAGCTTTAGCACAGACGGCTTGACTGAGTTGCAGTTGGACATTGTTCCGATTGATGTCGTTGGCTTGGATTTACTTGCTGAGGAGCCGAACCCTCCAATGCCATCTCAGGAGACAATACTAGTTTCTGGAGACGAAGAGGAGGACGTGGAGGTGGTCACAGAGGCCGTAGCCCAGTCTCCGATCAAGAAGCGGACATCTAAGCGTTTTGACCCCTTTTCTGTTGAGAAAGTCTGGATCTTCGAGACTTTGGCCAGTCTCGGGATACCGGAGGTCGTGCAGAGTTGGAAGAAAGAGCAAATGGAGAAGGCTGCTGCTCCAAAAAAGACAAGCAACCGGAGAACTGGGCCGCGGAAGAAGGGACCGATTGACCCCGGCATGAAAAGAGGCAGCATCCTCAAGTATGGCACCCTCACGAAACAAAAGTCAGACATTTCAGAGTACAAAGGTGCGCAGTTATTCGATGCGGCGATCTCCGCCACGCCAACAAAGACAAGCGTCTCAAGATCTCAACCTGTCGAATGGTCTCCCGATGCCTCAATGATGGGATCCCCAGCTTATGGCGGATACAGTCAGCATCATGTACTTGGCCTCCAGCCACGAATGTACCAAGATGTGGATGATCTGATCAAATCTTTCACTTCCTCGTGCAGCATCTCCCCGGAACTGAACAGCAAACGGCATGCTATGGCCATCCGCTCCCGTGGCGGATATCAGCGTGCAACTGTCGTTCCAGGCGATGTCGAGGTGCAAACTCTTGCCGCAAGTGATCCCGAGTCTGAGATGGAGTACTCCCCATCGCGCTTGTTCTCTGGAAGAATTAGAATGACATATTCTAATGTCAGCTACAATGACCCCATCGAACTGGGCCGATCTCCAAGAGTGGCTCTTTCTGTGCCTGAATCAGTCGCCAAATATGATGCCAGTCGACATAAGACGCGAAAAGCTGCACAGACATCGTCTAAGTCTCAAGCAGAGATTAGCCAGGACGTTTCTGAATTGCAACATGCCATGTCTACAATCGTCCTAGATGACGGTAGCCCGTGCAAGGCTTCTAGAAATCGTGACTTCCTGACCCATCCCAGAGCCCTACCCCGCAGGACACCGAGACTACCTGAAGATGATATTCCAGACTCTAAGATACAGGTGAAACGCTCTCTACGCAGCCAAAAAGATGTTTCTTTGGCAGTGAAGCAGTCATGTGAGAAAGTCGAACAGAGGCTCTCTCAGCATAGTCCACCAGCGCCGTCACTCTTAAAACCTTCCGTGAAAAAAGTGTCCAAGCCGGAAGCCAAGTTGAAAGAGCAGATTCATCCGAATAAGGGGACGGATTCCCACAAGAATGCGTCACACGTGGACTTCGTCGTGGTGCGTGATGATGGAACCTGGACGACAGAAGCCGAACCCCAATCTGAGCTGGCCTCGGAGAAGCTTGAAATTGACCAGGACACAACCAATGAAAAGAGGAAGAAGAAACGCATCCCGCGCGTGAGCATTCTGGATTTGAGCTGAGGTCGTCTTGTTGCTGGTTCTCAGCGCTTGCTTTCCGTTGGCCAATTTTAAGGATTTGAAGCAGTATTTAGGCGTTAGGAGGATACCTGGGATGTTGGAGTTCGGGTTGAATTGGTGTATTTTCCTTCCTGATATTGAGCATTTTTTTGTTTCCTTTCATCTCCTTGGTGATCGCCAGCTTCACTTTGAGATATGGCTCCGCCTCCAGATGTATACAGAACATGGAAATCCTATGAGAAGTCTCCTTTTAACAACGAGTAGAAGGGTTGCGACAGGGCGGCTTGGGGTATGATAGCCCTCGCATTCAAGACAGATTATTGTAGATTGTCTCTTTATGAGTGTCTATTTTGACAGCAATGGATCGAAGATGACATTGAGTGGTATAGAGGTAAGAAACGACAAAAGGGGGGTTTCCAGGTACTAGATCACGATCAACAAGCAATATGATCGGTTTCTTGGAGGGAATTGTATGTTCTATATGGAAAAAGATCAAGTGAGCGAACAGCACAACGGCGAGGCTCTCAACCAAATACTTTGAGGAATCCCCACAGGCCAATTCCGCTCAGGACCGGGATAGTGAAATTGTCATCCCAGCTGAACATGTCGATGAACTCGCTCCCGGCAGCGACAAAGCCGGAAACAACGCTCATGACACCCAGCGCCAGCGGGCCGGTGACGACCCCGCGCGAGGTATCGGCGGTCCATCCGAGCAGGCCCTTGACGGAGTCCGGAAGCAGATTCAGACGTCCTGTGAACATGAACGCTCCTTCGGGGTCGTTGGGGAAAGGACCAACGTAAGGAACGAACCAGCCCCAGAAGGCAGCGGCGGTGAAGACGCCAACGAACCAAGCAGCCAGTGTACCAGCAAAGCTCTTGCCTTTGCGCAGCTGGAAGGTGTGCCGGCCGTAGAGGCGGCCGAAAGTGGAGGCCGCAGTATCGCACCAGCTGAGAAGCAGTACGCCCATCACCCCGACGTCCTTTGGGAAGAATCGCAGGACGACGTATGCGCCCAACAGATACCAAATCACGCCGTTATAGCCCGACACCTCTGTTTCTCGCATGAGCGCTCCAAGGCAGCGAGTGTAGAATCTGTTCACCCTCTCTGAACGATGCCGGATAACGTCTGTCGCGGCGATGGGTACGAGCGCTCCGAATAACCAAGGGGTAATTTGGAGGGTCTGGATGCCGCGGCTGTACAGGTGAAGAGCGACGAAGCCGATGGAGACATGGAGGAGCTTGCGCGGAATCTCATGACGGTGAATAAATCTACGGTAGCGAGTATGAAGGGGAATCAGACCCAGAGGGGACGGTGACCGGGAGATATCATGCCAGCGGCCAGTGCCCTTGGCGGAACTGGGGGAGAGATAGTTGGAGGGCGGCGTGCGGCCACCGGTTATCAACGTGTCTGGGCCGTTGGCAGGTATCATAGGGTTCGAGCGCCTCTTCCGCGGTGAGCGAGCAGGAGCTTTTGGGCTGCGAGACCGACTCGGTGGCCGATCTGAATCCGTATCCACACCATCACTGCCTTCCTCCGAGACTTGCACTAGACGCTGCCGTCGCGCCGCAGACCGTGTTGTGGGGCCGGCATATCCTTCTCGCGAAGATGACCTGCCTGAAGGAGTAGGAGACGGAGAGATGACTCGAGGAGTCGCCGGGATATTGTCGACAGGAGAGGGCATCTCAACCGCTCTGACGACGAAAGGCGGAAGAACCGGAGTTTGTATCAACCCAAAAAAAGGTTGTCGGCGTGAAGATATCTGGTCGCAGGAAAATGCGCCGAAGAGAAGAAGCTGATCAACTTTAAACGACGCAATGATGGGCAATTTGATGGTCGTGGCACAATTAATAGTAAGCTTGCGTGCGAGACAGACGGGTTATCGCGTGAGAAGTAGGCTGAGTCCCAAGGCAGAAACTCGACTGCGCATGTTGTTGTCAACTCAGAAAATGATCGACATAGCCTATAGACAGTTGAGAGGCAGAGGCAGATGAGTGATGGAGACAGAAGAGAGATATTACAAGTCAAATGCCTTTTTCCGGGTGTTTTCGTAGCTATCGTTCACTTTTCCTCGTCGTTTTCTTCACTTTGGATCCGCCCAATCCGTAGACGATCACGTGGAGAGGCGGCAGAAAGCACTCACCGCCTCCAGTATCTAATCGGCCATCTTCTGATAAGCCTTTTTTTTTCTGCGATGGAATTTGGTGAAGAAGCATAGATCATTGGGGCGGACATACAGATCTCTGAAGGTTCATTCTTGCACCGATCGCTATCATGGCTCCAAACCCGCCGAAGGGTACGTCGTCCAGAGCCTGGGATGCAGTGACCCCACCCCTTTCAGAATGGGTGCTTGAGGCTATGTCCTCAATGGGCTTCGCGCGGATGACCCCCGTGCAAGCCTCCGCCATTCCTTTATTCATGGCGCATAAGGACGTTGTGGTCGAAGCAGTTACTGGAAGTGGAAAGACGCTATCATTTTTGCTTCCCATCGTGGAGAAGCTTTTGCGCCTCGAAGAACCGATTAAGAAGCACCACATTGGAGCGATCATTATCTCCCCCACCCGGTAGGCTATGGTGCCATAGATGGAATGTCCCAAAGAACTTATGGCTGACTTGGCATTAAGAGAATTGGCATCACAGATTCATAGTGTCATGCAATCATTACTTGCGTTTCATCCTCCTTCAGCCGCCGCAATGACTCCACTGGACGACGATGATGCGCCTCGTCAGAAGTTTCCCTCGTCCACCCTCAAAGTCGTGCCTCAACTTCTCCTGGGCGGCTCTACCACCCCTGCGGAAGACCTGAGCAGGTTCTTGAAGCTGTCCCCGAACGTGCTTGTGTCGACGCCCGGACGACTGTTGGAACTCCTTTCTTCGCCGCATGTCCATTGTCCCCAGTCTTCATTCGAGATGCTAGTTCTTGATGAGGCAGACCGGCTCTTGGATTTAGGGTTTAAGGAGACACTGCAGAATATCTTGCGCCGGCTTCCTAAACAAAGACGAACCGGTTTATTCAGTGCCAGTGTAAGTGAGGCTGTCGACCAGATCGTTCGGGTTGGTCTGCGCAATCCGGTCAAGATTATGGTCAAGGTCAAGGGTACATCTGGGGTTGATGACAAGCGAACCCCTGCTAGGTCAGTTTGGCTTTTTATCTTTTTTATCGAAAATCTTCTAACTAGAGTCGGATCAGTCTGCAAATGACGTACCTGTCAACTCCTCCTCTACACAAATTTGCCGCCCTGAAAAACATCCTTTCCTCAGTTCAACCGACTCCTCAAAAATCGATTTTCTTCGTTTCGACATGCTCGGGCGTCGACTATCTGTCCGCGATCCTCCCACTGCTTCTTGGTGATGACTTCTTGTTGATACCCCTGCATGGCAAACACCAGGCAAATGTTCGCCAGAAGAACTTCAACCGCTTCCTAAGTTCCCATAGCCCGGCCATCCTCCTCACCACCGATGTCGCATCCCGAGGGCTTGATATCCCATCGGTCGACCTCGTTGTACAGATAGATCCTCCTTCCGATCCCAAGACCTTCATCCACCGATGCGGCCGTGCAGGCCGAGCCGGCCGGAGAGGTCTGAGTGTAGTGATGCTGCATCCTGGACGGGAAGAGGATTACGTTTCATTTCTTGACGTCAGAAAAACCCCTGTCGTTCCATTCTCCCCATCCATCTCATTCTCCGATGCCGATGCAACCTCTGCTACCGCGCGTGCCCGCAAGGCTGTGCTGGCCGATCGTGCATTGCATGACAGAGGCCAGAAGGCTTTTGTGAGCTGGCTTAGGAGCTATAGCAAACACCAGGCGAGCAGCATATTCCGTGTCGCGGATCTTGATTGGGAGGCGCTTGGGAAAGCATGGGGTCTGTTGAAATTGCCTAAGATGCCCGAGCTGAGATCCTTTACCGGTGATAAGACGCTTGGTGTCAGTCTCGATTGGGATAACTTTTCATACAAGGATAAGCAGCGGGAGAAACGCCGGAAGGAGCTTCTCCAGGAGGCTGCAGAGTCTGGTGTTTCCCAACCGTCTTCGAACAAGCGGCGAGCCAGCGAGAGCGTCGCATGGAGTCAAAATGCCGAGAACAAGAATAAAAAACTGCAACGTCGTGAGTACAAGAAGCTGAAGCAAGAGAAGACCAAGTGGGAGAATATGACGGAAGAAGAGAGACAGAAGGCCCGGGAAACAAAGGAGATGGTGGAAGAGCTAAGAGCGAAGAACTTGGAAGAACGACGGTTCAGACAAGCAGCAGCCAAAGCTGAGACAGCGAAGGCTGGCGGTGAGGACGAAGAGTTCAAGGGGTTTGACTGAGATACCATGCATATACACTATCCTCATAGACGATGTTTTAGACCTTCATGATACCTCTGTGTAACAACCAATGAACCACTTCCATCGAAGCAATCCTTCATTTTCGTTTTATATGCCAATATGCACAAAATACCCTTTTGGAAAGCCCTCTCAACAATCTTAGCGCACACTCCTTGACATATGGTACAATTGTCAACTTATCCGGTACGGCTCGAATGCTTGTCATCAGATTCCCCGACGTCCAGTTCGATAACAATACCCATCTGGTGGATCGAAGCATTTCTCTCACACGAATCTGCACACTCAGTTTTCATACCACCTTCCTCCTTCTCCTTCATTTGATCTATCTGCGTATTTCTTCCCCTCTCCTCCAACCCGCAGCTTATGGAGACAGGTATACAGGACGTCGCTGCACCACACCCGCGCTCTTCATCCACGATAACACTCTTCTCAAGCACCTTCATATCCGAAGAAACCTGAACCAACAGCGATGATCGGCGTGACAAAGGCTTGTCTACTCCATCCTCCATAATACCCTCACCACCACAAACAGACCCAGAATCCAGGACCTGACCGAGAGCCGCAGACGGCAACAGGTCTCCCGCAGCGGGCAGACCACTCCCCAGAATCTCCGGGTCGAGGGGCGTGGGCGTCCGCAATACTCCGCCGTTCTCCCCCTTCTCTTGCTGTAAAATCTGCAGCTGACACTGGAAACGCGGTTCCGGCTGCAGCGGTGGATGCGGATGCGGATGCGGACGCGGGCACAGCTGCCCGTATCCCTCAGATGGATATCCCACCAGTCCCGCTGATGATGTATTCGGGGCTATCCCCGCGGCATCGCTACACTGGAGACAGAAGCGCTGGCCGACGCCACGGGCGATATACCGGACAGGACAGACTTGAATGAGGGGCGAGGAGCATCCGTCTGGCGAGGGTAGGAGGCGGACTTGTGCGCATGGTTGAATCAGCTGCATGAAGGTGCAGGTGCAGGGGGGCCTGTTTGGCATGTACCAGCACATCGTTCTTGAAACTCACGCCAATGATAGGTGTTGCTGTTGCTGTTCGTAGTCTGTGTCTCTATTTCTCTGTGTCTCGGGAGAACGTGTTGCATGAGATGAGAAGGATGTCGCTGGAAGAACATGCAGGGAATGCGATGGCGACGGTATGGCCTATATAGAAGGCTGAGTGTTGACATCAGTTTGGATGTTTGCTCGCGGATAGCTCTCTTTGTCTGGTGATAGTGTATGACTTCAAACATCATGAACAGTCCTTTGAAAGACTTTTGGAATCTCGTGGTGGATGTGGTACCTAGGGGCATGGCAAACGGAGAGAATTAGAAGGCGTATAAGGGGCTCAAGAACTATCAAAGATTCCAGAGATATGCCATGTCAAATCAATTAGTCTAAATAGAGAAAAATGATGCGAATAACGTCTCCATTGTCAATATCAATGCCAAATTAACCTCGAATGTGGTGCTGAATGTGAAATGAAACCAAACATTTTCCTGTTTATGCCACACGCTTTGATGAGATAGCAGGAAAGCACACGAAACTCCAATTATCAAAAACAAAGACATTCAGTCTCGTCATCCTGTCGTGAGAGAGATTCCGCCAAGTAGAGCCTGCCAACTCCAGCTGAACAAACCAGAGGAGGCCGCTACAGGCATAATTTGAAAAGATGAAACAGGAGACGCCCAACCAGTTCCGAGACACAAACACCATGGACTACCCTCTGGGCCTCGCACTTCCCAAAAGATAGGGAAGGAGGCCAAACAGAGGTGTCCAATAACCGAAAGAAGGGGCAAAATGAAACAGAAAGATGATATCCACACAAAAATGCATCAAAACTAACAAGACTGCTGAGAACCCTTTGATACCACAAAAATTTTCCTAATTTAAGCAAGAGACTTCGCGAATTCCTCGAACGTTTGCTGGAAGACGCGCTGGGCGTTATCCAGATCAACTGAATCCCAGAGTTCAGCAACTATTTTGATTGCCTCTTTGTCAACACCGGAGCTTTGCTGAAGATCGTGCTTTGCTGGCCACTGAAGCTGTTTCAGATCTCCAGATGAGCAATTCTCGTAGAGCCACTGAGCATCACGGGCGAATTGATCATCCTCGCCAAAACTCTCAACAGGTTGCTGGGGAGTGACAATGTCAGGAGTAAGAGTTAATGGACTGGAGTATCGACTGGCTGTACGAAGGCCACTAGGCGTTTTCGGCTTATATTTTTCTGCTTGAGAGCGAACTCTTGCAAGAGCTTCCTTGTCAACTTTGGCCGGGGTAGATGGAGGCAGCGCTTGACGGGGAGTTTGGCGTGGAGCAGGCGATTGCACACTAGATCAAAACATTTCAAATTAGACAAAAGCTAACGTGGAATTGAGGTAAGGGGCCATTAAAATACCTTTCTTGAACTTCAGAACGTAGAGCAGTACTAATTCGTGTTTCAGCAGCTACAGGCTCGAGCGCGGGTACAGTTGCGGGAGAGGGAGCGCCGCTAGAGTCTGAATCATCGGAGAACGCATCATAATCAAGCTGGAAAGTGCCTTGTGTATTGGGGATGAATCCCGACGCGCGCTGGGGAGAGAATAAATTCATGCGAGAACCAGGAGTTGGCGTCGGTGGCGCTCGCGTTGGCGCTGGGGAACCAGGAGCCGTCGTTCTAGGGACATCGCCCATGCCGACAAAGTGCTTGCCCTCATATGGATCAGTGGCTCGCGCACGTGTCCGAAGTTTAGAAGGAGTATCCTCTGGGCTGGCATCGAAGCGCACCTTTTTCGACAGCGCTCGCTCAGACCGAAGGGCACTGCGCACAACAGACTTGACTAGAGGGTCAGGTTTCGTGGACAACTCGAGGGGTTGGGCTTGTGAATCGGTCTCCTCTTCACTTTCAGAGCTATAGCAGAAATAATCCAAATCCAATCCATAGCTGCATCCAGGTGGGTTGGGGATAACATCAGGAGATGGAGAGCGCTTGCGCTTCTTCTTGGTTGACTCTTCGCTCGATTGACGGGAGGGTCTATGTTCATCGACCTGGGCATCTGATTCAGGAACCTTTTGTAGTTGAGCAACTTGCTCTTCAAGACGTGGTGCAGGCTGGACAGGTTGGAGAGTTTTCTTTGGAGTAGTCGAAAGATCTCCAAGGAAACGAGCACGGTCAATAGGAGGTGGAAAGAGAGAGTAGGTCAAAGTGCGCTGGCGCTTGCTAGCCGGCTGTTCACTCAAGCGACGGTGAGAGCGGTCGCGAGTCTCAGTAACACCAGGCTCGGAGTCGACGTTCTGTGTGCGTGTGATGCGTTCAGATGACGGCTGCACGGCAGGCTTTGCCGAAATATTTGAAGAGGCTTGCGGAGTTTCTGTGTTTCATAAGCCCTGAAGATAGTGATCATCAACATGAAAGACATACCTGGTGGCTCAGCAGTGCGAGAAGAACGACCAAATCCTGGAAGAAAGCGGGAAAAGGTGCGAGGCACAGAGTTGATCAATCCACGGATGTTCCACCCGCTGGGGGCTCCTTCCGGGGTGGAAGGTGTCTGAGTGGCAACCTCGGCTGCAGGAACTTTGACGTCTTCCTGAACATGCTCCTCTGCGGCTTCCGAGGCCGACTGGAGCGGCTCTGGACAGGGACCTAGGGGGGTGGACTCGGCTGCTCGGCGGTCGGCCTCGTTCTGGGCAAGTAGTTGAGGTAAGCGGAAGACTGTCTTATGAATGCGGCCCTGGCCCTCAATTGTCCGCCGGCGTTTGCGCTCAGAGTACGGAACGGTAACCTGCCGTGACAGCGAAGTCATGCGGCGTGCAAGGGGTGTGGTTCCCGGAAGACCAAGGTTTCGTCGTTTGTTCGCCTGCGGGGTTTGGGGCTCGTCGTCGTAGGGTCGTTTCCTGTTCACTTTACGAGGTGTTAGCCTCGGTTCCTTCTTGGCGTCGGCGCGCTTGCTAGTTCGGCCCTGGGCACAGTGAAAATCCAAATCCGGCAGAGGGGAAGTGGCCGAGAGAGGCGTTGGTGGCGCGTGAACACTCTTTGCGTCGGAACCAACACCCAAGCCTGGGCGGGGGCTCATCATCTCCAATTCCTCTGGTATGGGAGAGAGGGGAACCCGCGCCCATCGCGCGGAATACTTTCTCATAGAACAACTTGCTCGACGTGGTCGACGTGGACTATGGAATTCCGCGGCCGCCAAATAGGATGATGAAGGATCCGGGACCAATTCAGACTCCTTCGCCGGCTTCAACCGCCCATCATGGAAGATGGACGCCGTACCCGACTCAATCGGAGAGCTGAAGATCAAGTCCTGTTGGACATGATCGGTTGGAACTGACAACAAACTCAACAGAGTTACCGGCGCTGGCGGTGTGTCATCGTAGGTTGTGTCCGCCAAGCACAATTCAGAAAAACTCTGAATAAGGGCGACAACCTCCTTGTCAAAGGACGATGACACAGCCGCAACAACCGACGACACTAGGATATCCTCATCGCTGACGATGGAAGGAGGAGGAGACAAAGAACTTTCTCGTGAAATTTCCCGTGAACCAATCCATAGCGTGTCAATTGCCGCAGTGCACACTCCATTCACCAAGGTGGAAGAAGAATCGGGGTTAGAAGAAGGCCGGCCGGGAACAGACATCGGCGAAGAAAGGCCTTGCTCCTCCCACGACTCTGGTCCTCCCGTGATTTTGGAGAACAATTGCGCAGCAATCGTTGGCTCTGTGGTTGCCTCCATCACGGCAGGTAGCTCGGGGCTGTACGTCCCAGAAAACAACAAGCTGACGATAGGGTCGCACTCCCTTTCAATGGTCATGTAACCGTCGGAGTCACCTTTGGCGGGTGCCTGAGCTGCGGCCGTCTCCACTTGGCAGTGAAGGGCCAGGCATGCGTCAATCCCAGCCAGAAGGGCCTCGTCTAGTTCGATCCCGAGTTGGAGATTTTCCGACTCGACGGACGGTGTGTGAGACCGCTCAGAAAGGGGGGACCCAATGTCGCTTATTTCCTCAAGCGGAAGATACTGGCAGGTATCTGTGTGGGCAAACAAACCGCCATCGAGCTTAATTTTTGTCGATAATTTCGATTCCTTTGGGTTTTGGGCCTCACGTGCGGCTGCGCTTTCACGCGCCAGGGAAGGGTATGGAACAGATTGATTTTCATGGATCACTGCTTCGAGCGAGTCCTCCTTGGCCGGGTCCTGGTCCTTGGGAGACGGGAAAAGTGGCACCTCGTCTTTTAAGGGAGAGGGAGGCGGCGAGCAAGTAATAGATTTCAAGAACGAACGAGAGGGATGGGAAGAAGCTTTGGGGGACGGAGAGGGAGAAGGTGCAGGGGAGCGAGCAGCTGGAACACGCCGGGGTAAATTTGGAGAGGTGTACTCACTGTCTGATGCTTTAGGTTCAGACAAAGCGGTATCAACCATCGACGGAATCGTCTCAGATCCTTCGGGTGCCTGGGGGTCCTGGTCATCGGTAACGGATGCAGATTGGGAGGCTCCGCCAGTGCGGTCTTGTTCAATTTCGTCGAGAGACGTCTTTCGAGAGGGCTGTCGAGTCGAGCGACGGATAGAGGCAGCGCGGCGTCGAGTCTGCGTTTCGGTGGCTTTCGAGGACGGTTTCTTGCTGTTGCTGGTGCGTTGTGTCCGTGGACGAGTTGCGGTTTGTGTGGGCGGCTCGGCACTGGATTGTCTGACACTAGCACTTCTGGTTGCTCGAGTTCTTGGCTGTGCTTCAGGCTCAGCACTAGGCTGCCGAACACTTGCACTTCTCCTTGTTCGAGTGGCCGATTGTGTTACAGGTTCAACACTGGGCTGTCTGATGCTTGCGCTTCGTGTCGACCGAGTAGTAGTCGCAGGTTCAGCACTGGGCTGTCTAGATGTGCTTCTCGTGGATCTCGTCCGACGAGGTTCACTGTCAAGGGCGATAAAGCCACCAGGCGACAAGGGCTGCGAGCGAGTACGCATCTTGACTGTTGACTGCTGCGCAGCAACTACAGCTTACTTCAAGGCCAACACACTGCAGCAATGTACCGCGAGGACAGACGACACGTGAGATAGTTGTGATAGGCCCAAATTTGAAGGTAGAGGTAACTTTTGACAACTTCAAGAGCAGATGCAAGTAGATTTTGCAGACGGTTGAATAGAAGCAAAGTGTGGGTGGTTGTAAAGATGAGTGGTGTGGTGAGAGAAGAAAAAGTGGGAGAAGAGATGGAAGGTGATTGACTTTGATTTATTCTTCCTCTTGTTGTGGGGTATCGCGTCGCATCTGTCGAGGATTAGCAAGCTTAAAATATTTACTTACCTGGCGATGATGAAGTCGTCGTCGAGGAGTGAATGCGACACACCAGCACCAAGTTGTTGGGGGTTGGAAGTGAAAGTCGCAAACAAAATTGAAATTCGGGGTGACGTCCCGGCAAAATCCCAAAGGCGGTCAGAACTCAGGCCTTAGGAAACTGGAAGATGCCGTGAGCTTTGAAGAAAAGTAGTGAATGGTTTAAGAAAGTCTTTTCAAGCTGTTTCAAATTTGGAATAGCTACAGTGTTTCAGTGAAATAGCGGGTTGAGGTGGAGTGACTACCCGTAACTACAGCTGGTTCATCTAAATCCTGTATGTCCTATTTGCAGAAAAAGATGGGCCACCTAGCAGTACGAGGATACAGCAGGCATCATGGGGGTTAATTCACAAGGGCCGTATTTATACATAAAGAAGTCTCTCTAATGGGCTCACAGAATCTTGAGCAAACCAAACCAAGTATGACTGCCTCACTCCGCGCTGGATAGTTTAAGTGCCATAACATTACAGATTGAACCTCGATGGAGGTACAAAGAAAATCACAGATATAGAGTACACAGGTGATAACAAACCCTTACATGCTAATCTCGCCCTTCCAAGCAGAGTCTGACAGGCCAAGCGTTTCGACGAGATGCTGCCATCTTGGTCCACCCCTTTCCTTCTTGCGAAGGTAGCGCAGTAATTTTTGTCGCTTGTGAACAAGTAGTCTCAAATTGCGCTTGTTGTGTTTGTCCTTGTTAGTCGACTGAAGATGTCTGGACAGGTTGATGATCTTGGCGGTAAGGATAGCCACCTGGACTTCAGGAGAGCCAGTGTCTGGGCCAACCCGGGGGGTCTTATCGGGATGAACAGTCGCAGAATCGTGTACGACAGCGGCAGGCTTCGGTGGAAGGTTTTTATCGGTGTTATGTCTTCCAAATGTATCAATGCATTTCTGGATGAGGAGGCGAGTGTGGTCTGCAGTGTTTCCGTTATTGATGCTGATGATGCGGTTGATCGCCTCCTGTGCGTTCCGATGTTCCTGAAGGTGTCTTTCCGTAGCCTCCTTTTCGAGCTGTGGATCTGCGGTCTCCCGGTCTAGGTTTTCGAGAGGTGATGTCAGGTTCTTTGAGTATTCAAGAGCCTCTTTGAGTCCCTCCGGCTTGACAAAGTAGTTCAATGTCACATCTCCCGAGCTTGAGGAGCCTGGAGACGTCGTTTGTGTTCCTTTCAGCTCCTCAATGAATGGCGTGGGCTTGCTTTCCACCGGATCACCAAGGGAACCCTCGCGCTCCCGAGCAAGAGCCTGTTGACGGGACAAATTGGCAGCTTTGCGTTGGCGAGACTGCGCCATCAGAAAGGGATCATGTCGTCTTCTCTCTCGCGTCTCCGCTGATCCAGCTCGTACAGAAATCTTGCATGGGTTCGACGACAAAGCGGCGAGCGGGTTGTGAGCATATGAAGATCCTGCATTTGCAATTAGCCACCAAACAAGCACCACGGGGTTTGGAATAAAAGCAAGAAGAAGCTCACCTGTAAAGGCCTTGAAGCAAGGCTGTTGGAGGAGGAATCGTGGAGGCATATTGGTCGATTACGGAGCCCCGTTCAGCCTGCCTGATCTCACAACTCTGCCACTTCTGGGACTTTGATGCTGAGAATCTCCGAAATCTCAAGACCGCCCGTGCTGCACTAGTCCCGATATGAAAGTTTGTATCATGTGACTTCCCGGACGGATCGGAATTCCCCAAGTCGCAGCACATGACTTGCCCCATAGTACTACTCCGTACGGTCTGGTACAATATGACAGTACAGGACAAATCGGGTTACCCTAGCCCTAAAACTCACAACCGGCAAGCGAAATTCATCTCAGCGCGGCGAGCAAAAGTTACAACTTCCGCGTCGGTCTCTTCCTTCTGCATCACCACCACGACAAGCGCCAGACGATTGATATCATCAATTCACCGTCTTTGACAATATCAATCGACCAAAATGGCTCCCTCTCAGCTCCCCCCCATGTTCAACCCCACCCCCCAGGACATTGAGATGCTCCTCGCAGCTCAGTGCCACCTGGGATCCAAGAACCTTCAGGTTCACATGGAGCCTTACCTCTGGAAGACTCGCCCCGACGGTGTCAATGTCATCAACATTGGCAAGACCTGGTATGTCTACGCGGTTGCTACATTTGGGAGAATACTGCGATTTTTTCAGTGTCTAACGTCGAGCGCGATATTGTAGGGAGAAGATCCTCTTGGCCGCCCGTATCATCGCTGCCATTGACAACCCCGCCGACATCTGTGTGATCTCCGCTCGTCCCTACGGCCAGCGTGCTGTCCTCAAGTTCGCTTCCCACACCGGTGCCACCGCCATTGCCGGTCGCTTCACCCCCGGTAACTTCACCAACTACATCACCCGCTCTTTCAAGGAGCCCCGTCTCATCATCGTCACCGACCCCCGCACTGATGCTCAGGCCATCAAGGAGGCCAGCTACGTCAACATCCCCGTCATCGCTCTCTGCGACACTGACTCCCCCACCGACTTCGTTGATGTTGCTATCCCCACCAACAACAAGGGTCGTCACGCCATCGGTCTCGTCTGGTGGTTGCTTGCCCGTGAGGTCCTCCGCCTCCGCGGTACCCTTGCCAACCGTGAGACCGAGTGGGACGTTGTTGTCGATCTCTACTTCTACCGCGACCCTGAGGCCGAGGAGAACAAGGAGATTGCCGAGGAGACCAAGGTCCCCGGTGCTGAGGAGATTGGCGCTGGTGCCGTCGAGTCTGGCTTCGCTGGTGAGAACTGGGATACCCAGGCTCCTGGTGCTGGTGTTCCTGGCTCTGCTTTCGCTGCTGCCAGCGCTGCTGCTGCTACCAGCTGGGAGGCTGATGGTGGTGACTGGGCCGCCAGCTCTGCTCCCCCTGCTGGTGAGAGCTGGGCTGAGACCCAGCCCACTGAGGCCAAGTGGTAGATGTTAGAAGCTGGTGACAAGGACTGCCGTTGAGAAGAGACGATATTCTTTCTTCTTGCAAAAGTATGGCGCTTCAGGAGGGTATTCTACGTCTCCGCGACTGATGCGACTTTTCGAACAATGAGCGTTATTTTCACACCTCTTGACGATACTGTTTCGGAGGGTCCTCCCGCCAAAAATTCCCTTGACATGTTTATCCTAGTATCTTGTTCAGGAACTATCCAAAATTGAGAAAAAAAAAGGTCGAAAGAAGCTTTTCAACGGAAGTCCCACCACTTCTCATCTATGCAACTCTCGGTATGGTACAGCAAAAACAAAAAACAAAAACAAATTCCGTTTCATCAGTTGACACATTCACTTCTGGTTCTTCATGTATCGGGGAGGGATTGCAACGTCAAGCGTTGACTGGCGCTTATGAGGGAAAGATATCCAGTTGGTCTCTTATTCAGTGAGCTTCTGGGGGAAAGCCCTGTGCTGTCAATTTCAAAGGTGGACTTAATCGTTACCTTGGTTCCTCCTCGTTGCTAAGTAAATGGAAAATGCTGCTACCCAACTACCCTTTGTGCATTGTAGAGACTGTGTAGGTTTGTGGCGAGCAGTGGTCGTATTGTAATTCGTAGACTGCCGTGGTAGCTGAACAGCTGCCTGGGTGCAATGCTTGGAGGCAGGAACATGAAGTGCCAGAAGGACCACTATGGCCCAACCAGGAATCTACCTTCTTTCGAATATCATATCATAGAAGACTCCGTAGTTGCAAATACAAAATTAACCAACCCACTCAGCAGACCACACATCCTCCCTGCGTCTGTCCACCAACCTCGGTCGTAGTCATACCCGCAAGTCTTGCTAGGTCTTCAAAGGTCTCGGCCAAAAGCTCCCCAGTAACGGCGGAGCATTCCGCGTATCGATCACAGCGCAGCTCTTGCGCGATGCGATATGACTGCGGCGATTAGCATTTGCTTCTTTCCATTACGAGGGCAAGTAACTAGGGCCAGGAACAGATGAAATAGCATACTTCTTGGGGGTAGATGATGCCTTCTCCTTCTTTCCTGAGATCTCGTTTCAATCCCACCAGCATGACGGGCGCTCGTTCCCCTTGACCTCGCTGGAAGTACCGGATGACATCGTGTCGCCACTTGGAGCATCGATCAGTAAGCCGTTTTGCGAACGCTGGTGACATAGCTGGGCTTACTTTTTTGATATTATCCAGCGTCTCCCGGTTGGAGATATCGAATGCCAACACTACAACATCCGGCTGCAAGGTCGACCAATGCTGATTCGGACTTGCGGTGTCATACAACTCAAGAGTGAATGATTTCTTCGAGAACCGGATGTCGAAGAGAAATGGCTGCTCGCTGTCTCGCGGCAAGTCCGTCAGCCCATTCTGGGCTTGTTCCCTAGGCTGACCTCGGATGTTCCTCAAGGCACTGCTGAAACTTGAGTCTTCTTTTTCCAATTCGATGTAGTAGGGATGGCTGTGGTATCGCTTGTGATGCATAGAAGCAAGACAGACGGCACTTACGCGATGAATGTAGATTTGCCGCATCCTGGATCTCCAAGCAACAAGATAGTGACTGTCTCTTTCTCTCCTTGAGGGTGGTCCATGTCCATAACAGATAGCTTGCCACTGATCAACTTGGTCTCATCTGTTCAATCGATACAAGCTTCGGGGTATGTAAGGAGATTTTTCATTGTCACTCAGCTACTGCTATTAGTTCATGTTGAGGTCGAGATAAGATTTCGTGGGGGGGGGGATTATATATCTAGAGGCCCAGCAAGCCATGGCGTTTAACACTTAACCGAGTTGCAACGACCCATGATATTTGGGGGCCTCAACCACATTATATTATATGAAGAATTTATAGGTTCCATTTCCACCATTGTAGGGCTTAGTCGATGCCTTGATTGAGAGTTGGCTGGATGGTCCAAGTGATGATTGCAAATTGCTGCTGCATTTGTCATGTCAGTTTGGCTATCTCTACGAATCTACTCCAGCATTAAAAGAGCGATCATTCGCCGACCAGCTCAAGTATGAACATCGCCAGTTTCACTATGATTCAATTGCGGGCATGGCGCCGACGTTTATCTTTAGAGATCATCAACGTGGGATTCGAGAGGCACTTTGGCAGGGTCGGTATGAGCTTCAGGAGTGCTCAGCGCCTCGCGACAATGAAGAACTTTTTGATCCTTGGGCAAGACTACGCCGCCAGCGGTAAGCTGTGGAAAGTCAATTGACGAAGTAAGAGCGCTATTTCGAAAGGATAGAGTATGGACATATCATTACATGGTTGGTCTCAGCTTGTTAGAACCGTGAGGGTAAAGTAAATTGAGGGAAGTAAAGGGAAAAGTTGTTACGGAGTATTACCTTGGGTGACCAGGTAGTAGTAGACCTAGCCACTGTTGGACTCACTACACTTCGTAATTACAATACCAACAAAATACACGCCGAGTAAACTCGCCAACCCCAAATTTCTGGTGCATACAACTAAACTAAATTTCCCCCCCCGAGATCCAACGGATTTCAAGAACCTCATCCACCATCGCCTGGGGAATGTGGAGGCCCCGAGAGAGACTTATTTCACACCTGAATCGCATCACAGACTGCATTCTAGCGAAAAGACACTACAGCTTCTACTATAACCCGCCCGCGACCCGTTCGCCCAAACTCACAGCGATGCCTGACACCGCGGAAGCGCCTCATGGCAGCCAACCCGATTACTCAACCTGGACAACGTCCAGCTTGATCGCACGGATAACAGATCTGGAGCGGCAACTCCATTCCCGAACGACGGAGTACACAACCCCTCCCTCCTCCAAGGGCGTGACGGACCCCCGCGCAACGAGCGCCAACCCCCCGCCTTCCGATGCTGTGACGAACAAAATCCCCGCGAAAACAAAGCAAAAGAGACCGTTGTCGCCCGGGGATGATATCACGCATACCCGTTCCCCGACCCGCCCCCCTAAGCAGCCTCGCGAGATCGATCCGTCGAAGTACAATACCCGGTTCATCGCGCTGAAGTTCGCCTACCTGGGCCAGCGCTACAATGGGCTGGAGCATGCGAACGGGAATGTCACGCCGCTGCCTACGATCGAGGAGGAGATCTGGAAGGCGATGCGGAGGACGCGGCTGATCTTTCCTACGGATGCGGAGCCTTTTGACGATTCGCGCGGGCCGAGGGCGCTGAAACCTTACTCTCTCAGCTGGGAGGGGTGTGATTATTCCAAGGCGGGACGGACTGATCGTGGCGTCAGTGCCTTTGGGCAGGTCATTGGCATCCGGGTACGAAGTGCGAGGCCGAAACGCCCCGCCACGGAGGTTACATCGGACGTTGATATGACTGGGCTTGATGCGCCTGCTGAAGACACCTGGGATGATATTGCGGATGAGATACCCTATATAAGCATGCTGAACAGAGTGCTTCCCGAAGATATTCGGATATTGGCATGGTGCCCTCAACCGCCCCCTGGTTTCGATGCCCGCTTTTCATGTCGGGAACGTCAATACAAATACTTCTTCACTCAGCCAGCTTTTTCCCCCACCCCCGGCCCTCTGGGCCTTGCCTTGCAGGCGGTTGATAGCGCAAACAAGATTCCGGCCAAGTACCGCGAAGGCTGGTTGGACATTGATGCCATGCGGGAAGCCGCAAAGCATTTCGAAGGCGTGCACGACTTTCGGAACTTCTGCAAGCTCGACACCAGCAAACAGATTGAGAACTTTGAACGGATCATCTACCATGCAGACATTGAACTGGTTGACCCAAAGCACCATCCGCTGGGATACGTGAACCAGCCAGGGTTCCAAGCCTCGGAGAACTCCGTCGTGGGCGCAGACACCGTAGCGCAAGCGACTGCCGCTCAAGTGTATGTATTCAATCTGCATGGCTCCGCCTTCTTATGGCACCAAGTGCGCCACATGGTGAGCATCCTTTTCCTGGTCGGCCAGGGCCTCGAATCGCCTTCCATCGTGGCCGAATTGCTGGATGTGTCGAAAAATCCCCGCAAGCCAACGTATGAGATGGCATCTGATGCCCCGCTTGTTCTCTGGAATTGCATATTCCCCGATGAATCCAATGACAGCCGTAAGGATGCTCTGGACTGGGTTTATGCTGGAGATCCCCGGCAGAGCAAATCCCAGCTTGGTAAAGGCAGCGGCAAGTTCGGAGTGGGAGGCGTTGTGGATGCGCTTTGGTCCGTCTGGAGACAACGCAAAATGGATGAGGTTCTGGCAGGCGCACTACTCGACCTAGCTGTTAGCCAGGGCGACCAAAGCATTGTCAAGGGAGATGGCTCCTCAAACCCCGTATCGGAGAAACAAGGTAGGGGACAGAAGGTCTTCTACGGCGCCAACGAGCCGAGGATGGGTGGAAAATATGTTCCTGTCATGCAGAAGAGGAAAACAGACCCCGTCGAGGTCCAAAACGCCAGGTGGTTGGCGTCCAAGCAGCGCAAAATAGAGAGGGCCCCCGAGCCCACACATGGGGACGACTAGAGGAGAAGAAGTGTATATACCTTCATAAACCGCACAAAAATATTGGGTCCATCACACTCGTAAACTATGATTTGTAACGTCCCACCATGGCAGCCCGGTCCGCATCATGACTTGGCGTCATACAAACAGCGTCGAGAGCCTCTCCAAACCTCCTCCAAGATCGCGCGCTTCGGTAAAAGTTTCTGGCCGCCATTCGTCAGCTTGGACCAATTCTCCTGAGACCAGGAACCTTACGGGGAAGACCACGACAACATCCGGCTCGCCCTCCACAATCACCGCCAGATAGAAGCGCACTTCGAAGCCCTTGAACGCTTCATGAATCACGATGTCCTGGATTTGTGCAGTGGGAATGAATCGCGTCACTGCTTTCGAGAGATACGTCGCTGAAGAAGTGGAAGTTTGAATGCCTAGACCGCGAATGACTAAAAGGGATTCCTCTGCACCACGGTTAAGGGGCATGAGCCTCGGTCCGTCATGGAATGGCCATAGAGGGCTGGAAGATACCTGTATATCCCTTCCGAAACACACAAAAGTAGAGCAAAGCGCTTACGAGCGCGACGGCGACGGAGTTGTAGGCATCCACATTGCGACCAAGAAATTGACCAACTGGGCTCGACCAAACGGCTGTCCAGCGCACGACGGAGCCATCTTTGTCGAAGAATGTATGGCGCGCTTTCGCAATGTCGCAGAGAACGACGCAGAAAAAGACCAGAGCACGGAGCAGGATCTGGAGATAGAAAAGAAGTTTTGCAGGCGTGCTTGGGTGCTTGGATGCGTTGGAGACGGTAAATGACACGGTCGTCGGAGATGGACGCCGAAGGATCAAGCGGACAGGCATCGGTGCTGATGGCTGGGAGTCCTCACGCAGGGCTAGACAGTAGTAGCATTGAGTACATGAGGTCGGTTAATCGATCGAATATATGTGGTGCCAGCAACTGACACGATCTTGGAACCCTCGACAGGTCCAAATCCCAATAGTCAAGTCTAGTACTCTGCAGTCAACACTGACCCATGCTAAGGTTAATTGCTTGAGTGATGGAACCCCAGCAGCCTAAGCCTCTTTAGGTCTAGTCTACATACAGCTTGGTTGCCCGCAAGTCGCAAGGCCGCCATACATCATCACGTGTTGTTCGCAGCAGCAAGAGTGTTTAGAACGGGCTGTCCCACTCTTGCCCCCCCAACCCTTTCGAATCCTACTTCTTCACAATGGGAGATCGTTCGAGAAGCAGATCGCCGAGACGGAGATTTGACAGTGATCGAGACCGGCCTCGCAAGACCGGAGGCGGTGGATTTCGGTGGAAAGACAAACGACGCGACGATGATAGACCCGATGCAGAGGATAGCAGGCTGAACCGGGGTTATCGAGATAGAGGAGAGCGGGCACGGTCACCCCGGAGGGAAAGAGATTCCGATCGTTACAGAGACCGATACAGAGATGGCGATCGCGAGCGAAAACGACCTGAGGATAATGAGAAAGAGGATCGACGAGAAAAGAAGGAGACGAAGGAGAAGAAGGAGAAGAAGGCTGTCGTTACACCGCAATCCTCAGAGCCCATGATTGTTGTGCATGTCAACGATCGTCTGGGAACTCGAGCCGCGATCCCGTGTCTCGCATCTGACCCTATCAGTTCGTTGCCCTTTTCCTTTTCGTTCCCTCAGGTGGGAGCCCTTCTCGACTAACTAGATCGAATGATAGAACTCTTCAAGGCGCAGGTAGCCGCACGGATTGGACGTGAACCTCACGAGATCCTACTCAAACGTCAAGGCGAACGTCCGTTCAAGGATCAGCTTACACTGGAGGACTATGGAGTCAGCAACGGAGTTCAGCTTGATCTGTGAGCAACCCCCTCGCTTTCCCTTGTTTCTTTCTACATCATGGGGATAGGTATTGTCCGAAGAAGGCTGGCACTGACTTTGAAACTACAGGGAGGTCGGAACAGGCGAATAATGATAGCATGGTTTTCCAGCCAGAAGGTCTGGGATACGTCCATTCTACCTTTCTTTCTTGATGTGTTTTAACTTTGCTTTTTCTTCTTCGTTTTATCAAGGAGCAACAACCGGGACTCGGGAGCATTAGGGATTTTTTGATAAAAGACTACTGGCATTTTTACTCTCTTTTTCTTACATTGATCTCTCTTCAAGTTTCCATGTATCTACCGGCAAATGGGGACCACACTCTATTTGTAGTGCAAGCGCTTCGTAACAGGGAGAGCTGGGTGCTGTTTTTTCTTGTTTTCTTTTTTCTTTTTTTTTTCTCATTTCTCTTGGATATGTTCGTCTCTTTTTTTTTTTTTGTTTTATCTCTGTTTTTTTCCCCCCATCCTTTTTTTCGCCTTTTCCTACAGGGATTGCTGAAGGAACACTATCTACTATCTATCTATCTGATTGACCTCTATCTTTTCCTTTTATCAGCCCTGCTTTCCCTTCATGCGGGGCATTTCCACTTCGCCTCCTGCATATTTCCCAGTGTTTTTAACCACTTGCGGCAATTGGCCGCCTGAGGGCCTGAGGCAAACACGGCAGAAACCCGAGGCCGCAGCAAAAAAGTCGGTTCCACTGGCGGAAAAGGTATTTTTTTTTTTCTATCGCGGACTCACACGACCTCTGGTTTCGATTCTTCCTTCTACTTACCCCAATGTCTTCTTCGTCCAATTCGTCGGGCCTCGTCTACGCTCTTGATTCTCCGCCATGAGGTAGTGCTTGTCTACCCTCGTCTTCCAAATTTACACAACCCGTCCTTTTCAGCTGCTCTCTATCCTTCCAGTTCTCACCGGTCGTTCTCTTGACCTCCCAGATTTCCCGCTTCTTCGGAACCTCCAGCTTTCTCTCCGCTCTCGGACCAACCGACTATATCCCCCCTGCTTCTCTATCCCTCCGGTTTTCCCAGATCTCCTCAGAACCCCAAGTCGATCGCCATGGTCCGAAATATTATCGTCATCGGGGGTAACTCCCACCCTCAGTTGACTCAGACGATCTGCAGTGTGCTGGGTATCCCCCCCGCAGAGGTATTACTTTCCAAGTTCGCTGTGGGTGAGACTCGTGTGGAAATCAAAGAGTCTGTCCGTGAGAAGGATGTCTATATCATTCAGTCCGGTGGCTTAAAGGTGAACGATTCCCTCATGGAGCTGCTCATTACCGTGTCTGCCTGCAAAACCGCCTCCGCCAAGAGAGTCACCGCTGTTCTTCCCCTCTTCCCCTACTCGCGCCAGAGTGATATCCCTTACAACAAAATCGGTGCGCCCCTTGTCAAGTCGTCCGCCGATGTGAAGCCAGGGTCTTCCAACGGCTACACTTTCGAAAGTACCCCGCCAACCCCGCATCCCGGAAAGGTGGACAATGGGAATCTTCTCAACCACGTCGAGAGCCTGCAGAAGGGGCTGGCGAAGGCCCAGCTTGATGACGTCTCCAATGGTAGTCCGGTCAAGAAACGTGTGCCCAACGGGCTCCCGCGCCCTGACACGGCTGACTCATTGAAATCCGAGGCCAGCCGGTCGACCGTCACGAACGGGCAGACGAACGACGACAATGCAAGCGTCGGCTCAGCTCCGTCCAAAATCAGCAGCTTCCAGCCTCGCCCTGGTTACAAGCAATGGGTAGCTCAGGCCGGTACCTTGGTGGCAGACCTTCTTACCTGCGCTGGTGCGGATCATATTATCACAATGGATCTGCACGACCCCCAATACCAAGGATTCTTCGATATTCCTGTTGACAACTTGTACGGAAGACCGCTCCTCAAGAGCTATATTCAGCAAAATATCCCCTACTACAGGCAGGCAGTTGTTGTCAGTCCCGATGCTGGAGGTGCCAAGCGCGCAACGGCGATTGCGGATTCCATGGGGATGGAATTTGCCCTGATCCACAAGGTGCGTTCATTTCATCTTCATCATGAGATTCTCCCGCTAATCGTCGTGACATAGGAACGCCGCCCAACAAAGATCACAGACCGACAAAATGCTACCATGATGTTGGTTGGTGATGTCAAGGATCGAACGGCAATCCTGATCGACGATCTTGCGGATACATCCAATACTATCACCAGAGCGGCCAAGCTGCTCAAGAAGGAGGGCGCGTCCAAGGTCTATGCCCTGGTCACACACGGAATCCTGAGCGGCGATGCTATCGATCGCATCAATGCCAGTGCTCTCGACAAGGTGGTCGTCACCAACAGCGTCGATCAGGCAGATCACCTGCGCCGGTGTCCCAAGCTGGAAGTTTTGGAGGTTGGCCATGTCTTTGCCGAGGTAAGAGCATTCTATCAATTTTACCATCGATTGGTTTCTAACGGTGTGCAGGCTATTCGCCGTGTCCATCACGGTGAGAGTATCAGCGTCCTCTTCCAGTACGACTAGATGGAGCCGTCCATCTCAAATCTAACCGGCAATCACGTTTCGCATATGAAAGATGTTGCATGAAATTTGACTGATGAAGCGAAGCCACATCTTGGCCGTCTATTTGCTTTTCACTTCCATTCTCCTTTTTCCTTTGACATAGATGTCGCCCAAGTCAAGACGGCACACGCTGTCATTACCACCACCTTCTATCGAGTTCCATGGAGATGCTTCCATTCCTCCATCACATACCGAGTCTACGTTGAATATATGAGAAGATCTTCGCGGGGCAGATGCATGAGTTTTGAGACCAAGCCCATATATTGGATCAGAAAATGGAGTTATTATTTTGTTTACCTTTTTTTTCCCGGCTTTGCTATATGACTGCAGTTTTGTGTTGCAGATCTAAAATAATACTTCTGCTTTCGGTTGGAGAGTTTTCCCCTCGAGATTTAGGAACAATTTTTTCTCAAGTTAGTCCTCGTCGCAGCTTCGGGATCCTTCGAGCACTCTAGCCACACCCGGTTCTTGCGTGCCTTTCTCTCCAAGGCTCTTACTCGCATCTTCAACTGATTGTTTAGAATGGACCTGTCGCCTATCTACCTGACAGTATGGCGAATTGACCACGCTTCCTTCGCCCGCTAGTAAAATTTGGCTTCGGCCAATTTGAACTGTGATCGGCATACAAAGTACAAAGATCCTCAGCTGAAATAATGATAATGGAGGCATACCATATTGATGCAAATTGAAATAGCGTATTGAGTCAGGGCTCATATCCTATCTGATCTGATCTGTGTATCGAAACAATATTGAATTCGTGAGGCATTACTAGTATCTAATCGGCATATCGAATCAACACCAAGCCGAATGCCTATCGATCGGTATCACTCTGGAGGTATATCTAATCAGCATATCTACTCGCCATATCAACGATGCCTAGTATCTAATCAACACATCCGCATGTCCTGTGCTCCTGAAGAGCGAGTCATTATAATGCTATAGGCATCCTTCCACCGAGTTTTCCCGATTACACCCACTCAATCAACTAATCGTAGTCTTGGTATAAGACTCCAATCTGTTCTGCAGTCTAATACATTGTCGACTCTATACCTACTTTGCTATATCTATTTTGTAGTTGGATATTTACCCTGCCCATACTGCCTCTTAAGTAGCGTCTAGATCCCTTTTCATGGGTTTCTCGAAATCGGTAGAAGTGGCTATTCTTCGTGCTTCGGGAATCAAGCCAGGATGGCCATGTGCCAGAACTCGGCTTTTGACCTACATCTTAGACGACATGTCTCTGAGAACCAACCTGTACTCTGCACCTCACAGTATGTAAGAGAAGACGTGGATTTTGGACTGCACAGAGTCAAATTCGCTCATCTATACTATATGACAAGAAATAGGATCCCCGAAACGCCTGGAGAAGCAAATAAGATCGAGACGAAATAACTGGCGTGGGAATGCCGAGCGAACGTTGATACGCTCAGCGTAAAGACACAGCATCCAAGTAACAAGGGTCATTGCGAGCTAGATACAATGGTGTGGGGAATATGATTAGAAATGCGAGATTGCAAGCACGGATTTATCGAAGACATGGTATAGAGAGAGAGGGGGGGAGGGAAGAGAACATGGCTAGAACACAGAGATGAAGTCCCCGATCCTCTCCTTCTGGTTTTGTGCAATACACTCTGCAATCCAGGTTACGTTCCGGATTTCCTAAATGACACGATTAGCTACACTGGGTTAGGCTATGGGGTTTGTGCGAATGCCGTACCTGTTCCTTGAGGCGCATCCACGCGAATACCACTGCCGGGGTAAACTGGCGCGTGAAGACGACCTTTGACATCTCCATTTCCTTCTGATAGAACAGATCCTCCAGACTCTTCCCGTCTGAGCCACCGCCCATACCGAAACCTCCACCGCCCTGGGTGAGGCCCACCGCGTCGAAGAAGGCTTTGTAGTCTGCCACCACACTGACAGCCAATGATACGCCTTCCAGATCGTCAGCGCGCGACAGCATCAGAGATCCTTCAGGGTAAAGCTTCCCGAACTCGGGGTAGAGCTTCCTCCGCTCCTGCTTCGAAAGCTCGGTGCCGAATGAGTTCAGGGTGATATTGATTGCACGACGATCGGCCTCAAATTGCAGGAGCTCAGACATAATCTCTTGCGTGGGCGTGCCTTTGAAGTCCGGATGCGTGTTGACAAAGTTGTAAAAGTCTTCAAGATAATTCTTATAGAGGGTGTTGCGCACGATTTCGATATTCAGCTCGTCCAGGTCCTGGTGACTAAGGCTGCCCTTGAAATAGGGCGCCAACGGCGTCTCAATGAGCACGGAGTTGTAGAGTTCTTCGATGTTTGTTGCGACACAGAGCACAGGCAATGTCTCGAACCATCCCAGGGGATGGCAACGTTCCAGGAGCTCACGTGTATCCCGTTCGTGAAGAGTGCCGGTGATGAGAAGGGCGATGTTATCGATCATATAGCCGTAGGTCAGATACCGCAAGAACTTGGCCGTAGATCCCGTGGCCTGGGCGAGAAGGTAGCGGAACTCCGCTACGAGCTTGTCGGTCATCTTGCCTGCGAGGGCAGATGTGGAGGGGTTGGGAGGGAGTGCGGCGAGGAAGTCGCCATAGGCGGGTGCCAATTGTAACTTGACATCTGCGCTCACAAAATGATTAGATCTGAATGAAGATGATAGGACAGAATTCGAGCCCACGGACCATCGATGTTTTCGCATTGGGTCAAGTTGGAGTAGTTCTGGCTGGTGAGCAGGCTGTTCCGATATCCTCGAGCAATGCCCTCGATATAGCTGTTGGGAGGTCAGCAAGCAACATCGAAGATGTGAGAGAGCTGTTCCATATAAGCTTACCCGTTGTTCACGTTGAAAAATAGACCCTCCATGATGAGACGCTGATAGCTAGCTGGAGATTCTCAAGGCCTCACTCCGCAACCAACACCTGGGAGCTGTTGCTCAACCACAGCCCGCCGCCCTGGTTACGTAAGACTACACGGCCACACCCACAGGCACTAGCCACATGGCCGGGTGGCTTTGCTCGCTTTTTTCAACTTTTGACTTTTCGATGCAAAAATTCCCGCCAACAGCCAAAAAAATTACTAACCTCCAGCAAGTCCACGGTGGTTTCGCCCGCGGTCGCAGACATAATTCCCCGGCCGTTTCTTAGTTTCCTTTTCAGTTTCTTTTGCTGGACTTATTCTTATCGTCCCTGAACAGCTGAAGAGTCAAGGTCGTGCACCATGACGCTCTTTATCCTTACCGAAACCAGCGCGGGCTATGCCCTGCTCAAGGCGAAAGACAAGAAGCTCCTGAAGAGAGATGATCTGGCCACTGAGGCTGCTACTGCAGAGGGTGTTTCGAATCTGTAAGTGACCTGCTGTCGTCTTATTGCTGGAGGATCCTCGAAATTCAATTCTTCGTGACTTGAATCTCGCGAGCAAAATTTTTCTCCGCTCTCAGCCAGTCTTCTAACAATGCTGCAGGGTGAAGTTGAAGAGCTTCCAGAAATTCGACAGTGCTGCCGCCGCTCTGGAGGAAGTTGCGTCGCTTGTTGAAGGAAAGGTTACTCCTCGTCTCGCCAGTCTGCTGGACGAAATCAAGGATGAGAAGAAGGTTTCTTTGGCCGTTGCCGATCCTAAGCTCGGTATGTGACACTGAACGTTCAGAAAAAGCAAGGCGCATTGTTCAAATTTTCTAATATTTGTATCCTCGAACAGGTAACGCCATCGGCAAGCTTCCTGGTCTCGACATTCAATTGATCGCGGACTCGACCACCGCCGACATCTACCGTGCCATCCGTGAACATCTTCCCACACTGATTCCTGGCCTTCTCCCCCAGGACATGTCCACCATGTCCCTTGGTCTATCCCACTCTCTTGCCAGACACAAGCTCAAGTTCTCCCCTGATAAGATCGACACCATGATTGTCCAAGCCATTGGTCTGTTGGATGACCTCGACAAGGAGCTGAACACCTACGCTATGCGTGTGAAGGAATGGTACGGCTGGCATTTCCCTGAATTGGCCAAGATCCTGAACGACAACATCGCCTATGCCAGACTCGTGCTGAAGATGGGCATGAGATCCAACTGGGAGACCTCAGATCTCGCTGAGATCCTCCCCGAGGAGCTGGAGGGACCTGTCAAGGCCGCTGCTGATCGTTCCATGGGTACTGAGATCAGCCAGGACGATCTGGAGAACATCCAGGCCCTGGCTGAGCAGGTTGTTGGTTTCGCCGAGTACCGCCAGCAGCTTGCAGGCTACCTCACTGCCCGTATGAATGCCATTGCGCCCAACTTGACCGCCCTGGTTGGCGATTTGGTTGGCGCTCGTCTCATTGCACACGCTGGAAGCTTGACCAACCTCTCCAAGAGCCCCGCCAGTACCATCCAGATTCTCGGAGCCGAGAAGGCTCTGTTCCGTGCCCTGAAGACCAAGCACGACACGCCCAAGTACGGTCTGATCTACCACGCTTCTCTTATTGGTCAGGCTACCGGTAAGAACAAGGGCAAGATGGCCAGAGTTCTGGCTGCCAAGGCCTCTCTGGGTATCCGTGTTGATGCCCTTGCCGACTGGGAGGACGATGCCACCGAGGAGGACAAGGCTGCTCTGGGTACCGAGGCCAGATACAACCTTGAGCGCAAATTGGCTGCCATGGAGGGCAAGCCCCTCAAGCCTCGTGGTGTTGCCATTGCGCCCAACGGTGCCTCGGCGCAGCCCAAGAAGTTCGAGCTCAACGAAGCTAGAAAATACAATGCTGACGCTGATGCTCTTTCCAGCGATGAGCCCAAGTCTAAGAAGGACAAGAAGCTCATCGAGGAGGTTTCGGACGAGGAGATGGCCGATGCTGATTCCGACGAGGAGCCCGCAGCGAACGGAACCAAGGATGACGATTCATCCGACGACTCTGAGGAGGAAAAGAGCAAGAAGCACAAGTCCAAGAAGGGCAAGGACGCCGAGCTTGAGAAGCTGGCCGAGAGGGCCGGTCTCAGCCTCAAGCGGTACAAGCGCAAGCTGGAGCGTGGCGAGATCACCTTCGATGCCGACGGAAACCCCACCGCTGTCAGCAAGAAGGACCTGAAGAAGGCCAAGAAGGAGGCCAAGAAGGCATCCAAGGGTGACGAGAAGAAGCGTAAGCGCTCAGACGATGGTGAGGAGGTCGACAACGCAGAGAAGAAACAGAAGAAGAAGAAGAAGAAGGGTGAAGAGTAAATCTTTGGAATGATCTAAAAAAAAAAGTTTACGTGGATCGATCTCTTCATCAATCTTTGTATGATATCACACATTCTGTTTTCTTTTTTTTTCCTCGCTGCCTGTCATTTGATTCTGTTCTTTTTGTGTGACTTCTTTGTTTGGGTGGCATTTCAGGATGCAATTTTGCTGGTCTATCCATGGCGCAGAGGTGCTTGTTGGTATCAGGCAGTACAGTTCGGAATAATATGTTCATATCAATATCTATGCCCTGGTATTTGTAATTGACGTAGACCGTAGTAGTTGGTCTCCAGCTATGACCTTGCAACACCCACACTTTCAAGAGTACCACTAACTACTTAAACCTACACACCAAAAATCCACATCCATCAACCTCTTATCAATCCAAGTCGGACTCGAAATCCCACCGCCCAATTCTACCGGCAATAACCCCCCTCCGCCCCGCCATCACCAACATTTTTTCCAGCAAAGCAGCAGCATCAATCACTTCAACAGAGCCAACAGCGCCAATCAAACATCATGAGAGTGCGTCCCGCATCCCCCAATTCCCCTCCATCCTCCAGCTCCTAACAAATGACAACCAGATCATCGACCCCCAAAACGCCGTCCTCACCAACATCGAGGTCCTAGCCTACCTAACCGCAAACCCACCGCGACGGCCCCCAAACCCACCCCCCAACTCGCGCAACTGGGTCCCCAGCCCCGACCTCCGCGACCACAATACCGTCGTACGAGAGGTGAGTTCCCATCTCCATTCCGAGTCCCTCATAACCCATTCGCGCGGGACGCACAGTCGACGCCCAAGCCCGAGCCGGATCTAATCCAAGTTGACGAAATGAAACCTCACAGATCCACAACTACGCCCATCGTCTCTCCCCGCACATCCTGAAATACCCACGGTACATCAACGGCGAACCGCCGCTGGCGAGCTCCGACGCGTCCGCGGCGCCGCTGCCGCCCGCGCAGCCTGAGGCGCCTATGCCGCTGGACGATGCGCTGCGCGAGCTGGTGACGCGGCTGAAGCCGTTTGGGCTGACGAAGGGCGAGGTGGTGATGCTGGTGAATCTGGGGGTGGGGTTGCATGAGGGACCGCAGGGGGACGGGGAGGAAGGGGAGGAAGGGCCGGCTGAGGAGATGGAGGTTGATGAGGTGGTGGCGGATGGGGAGGGTGGGGTGGAGGAAGGGAGCATGGAGTTGTCGGAGGAGGATTATGGGGCGCTTGCGTTGCTAGATACAGTGATTGAGGAGCGCGAGGAGAGGTTGTCGAATGAAAATGTGGCGAGGATATTGGCTATTATCCGGGAGACGCTGGGGAAGCGGGGGACGGAGGAGAATGCTGGGTGAATTTTGGGATTGGCTGGGATATAGGCGTTTTTTTTTCTTCTTCTTCTTTACTTTTCTTTGGTACTTGGGACGGGTTGTCTTTCTATGTCATGAATGGTTTGGACTGTGTTCTATTTTGTATAGTCTATGGGATAGCCTGGGATCTGTTTTAGGAGCCTTGGGGAAGCGAAGCGTCCAGGGGTAAAGTGAATCGGGAGAAGGAGCTGGATCAGAGGGGCTGGGAGGCAATATAGGAAACGAATCAATAGAGAAGAGCAAGAATGGAATGGCAAGTCGACACCAAAACACCGGGAATGCATCGTCGTCCGATGACGGGAAGAGGAAGGGCTAATATATTCAGCTGGCTTACAAGCCAAAGATAGTGTGTGCAAGAAAAAGAGATAGAAGAAATATATGCGGAAGGGTGAAGAAGCACCACATCCGGACGTCAACCGCGTCAAGAAGATCCCACCTGCTCTTCTTTGCCCTTGATTAACTTGCCGAACTGATTGTAGAGGGGTTCATCTGTATCGCCGCCTTCTGCTCCCCATCTCCCCAGCTCGTCGTCAAACACCTCTTCTTCGAACCCAGTGCAGACCTCGGCGTAGTCAATCCACTCCCCCTTGTCGGTCCAGACACCTCCCTTGCCGCCACGCAGGTCCCACCAATCTTGACCTCCCAGAAGGGCCGATTGAGCGGCGTCAAACCCAGTGGGGCTGCGCACATACTTGCGGAGAAGCGCACGAGCCCACGGTTGGTACCACATCTTGGACCACCAGGTATCTCGCATCAGCCGTTCGGTGTGCTTGACCGGCCATTCATTGCCGTCCTTTTCGACAACCTTCTCCTCGTCCAGATGGATCAAAGCAGGGATGGATGCGGCGTGGATATTGGTTAGCAGGGGCATGTTCCGCCATGTATGATTCTTGGTGCTTGGGAGCATATCGAGGGTGGAGTTCAAAGGCGGTTTAACCTGCTCATTCTTGCTGAACACGGGTTGCTGGAAGGGATTGCCGATTCTTCCAGGGAAAAGCTCGGCGGGAAGCAGCAGGCGCTTCTCTCGAGGGACACCATGCTGCATCTGGGCGGAAGATGTCTTGGAGATGTTGTGATGTCGGAGCCACTCAATGTCCCTCTTCGATTTGCGGGTGTTGAAGAACAGGCGAGATTCGAAATCGACCCCAATCCCATATTCGTAGCGATGGCCGGTCTCGAGGCGGGGGCTCACGTCGGCGATGTTCACGGCATCGGAAATGCCAATCTGTCTATAAAACCACTCTTTGAACCGGCTGGAGCTTTCCCGTCGGTCCAGCTCTCGCACATACTCCTGACGCCCATACATCTGCGTCAAGGCCAGGTAATCCCCTCGCTTGTGGCGATCTTCCTCCACGAAGCGTAGCACTTCGGCATAGATCAACTTCAGATCGGCAGCCTGCCCAATCACGGTACCGGGGTGCAACCATCGCGGCCGCGTCAAGTGTCCCTGAGGGTGGGTATCGGTTTTCCAACCATAGGCATCTGGAGGCAAGCTGGACGGTGGCACGGTGACGCAGCCCGCGTCCGCGGTAAGATTGGGGAAACACTCCTTGCCTGCGCCAAACAGCACTCTTTGGGAGTACTTCTGTAACGTCTCTGCCAGGCCTTTGCGGAACGGATGCTCGACCGTCGCGAGGCCGTACTTCTTTCGCAGCTTTGCGTTGTTTTCTCTCAAGATAGTCTGAAACCGTTGGATGAGCACCTCCGGCGGCAATTGGAAAAAGACATTGTAGCCATCCGCAATGAGAACGAAATCATCGTCGTGCACGTGGGAGGTATATTCAAGGAAATTGTAGATGCCCGTCACGCGGTCCACCATGTAATCATATTCAGAAGATCCTTCAGGAAGCTTCCTGCCGTATCTGACCAAGGTCGGCGGGGGGTAGTTCAGAATCATCGCGGAAGTAATTGTGCGACATAGCGCGGCATTCTTCTGCCCCGCGGGCAGGACGAGATGGAAGGAGGGGTTCGCTTTGCGCAAAGTATTCGGGAGTGTGTCACTGCGACCTATAGCAGGCCCTCCATTACTGAGCATCGGCGAGTCTTCGGGGCGGCCATTGAAAGGATGGTATGAGGGGTACTTAAGCCAGTAGTTGACGGGTGTCTGGAAAGTGAACAGTTGGTCAGCCTTGCGCTTCAAGCGTGCCGGGGACCAACTACCCCTGAGCAGCAGCACCAAAACTCACATGTCTAAACGGGCCTGACAGGCAAAGATACAGGAAGAAGCATGCGATAGTCGTGAGAATAAGCGCTCTGATCGGACGAGCCCTCGGCCGACTATTCAATGAAGCTCGTTGTAAGAACGTTGTTGTCGTCGACCACAAGGAATGGTACTGATCGGCCAAAGAAGGCAAGCCGCCAAACCTAGCCATCGTGAAACAAATTCGGGTTCTTCTCTAAGCTGCCCAAGTTGGACACAATGCCTTTTCTTCGCGCACGGCAGATGACGATCAAATCGATTCTCAGTCACGGTTGATCAAAATATGGACGCTGACTCTCAGCGACTATGAACGAAGATCGTGCTAGCGATGGACATGCCTGCATTGAGACATCCGAGCAAAAAAAAGGAGAGATGCGACAATGGTTGATTGGTAGATTATTGCTGAAAAGAGGCGCTCAGCAGATAATGAGGCAATCTACCATAACTGATTGCGCTGATGGAGGGGGAACGCAGTCGATGACGCCGAGTAGATAAGTGGAATGCGACGGATGGTGAAGCTTTGAGGATGCGATTGGAGAAGGCCAGTTGACTACCGGTCTGTCGGGATTGTATTGTGTCAAGATTCAGATCAGTTGCAGAAATTCAATCGATAGACAGAAGCACGTTGCAAAAAGCCACATCAGAGCCGGAGAAATGTTCAGTTGAGAAGGGTGATGGATTGATTGATTAATGGAATGATTGAGTAGGAAATGATTTACATTGACGGTGGATCTTTTCCATATGTACTAAAGAGCGCGTGTTCAACTGTTCATAATGTTAGTTAAATGCGATCGGCCTGCGTCTTCCCGCAGGGTCAATGTCGCCATTACGCTTTACGATAGAACTGTCAAAAAATATCTAGAATTCTAAATAGACAAACTCGAATTGTTTGAAGTTCATCTTCTGAAGCTGCCAGCCTGCCAGCCTGCCTGGCCTCTGCCGCGTCAGCTAGTTACCAGCGATCAGGAACGGTGTCCTGCCATGGCTTGGCGCATGGGTGTTGGATGGGTTGTTTCATTTCGTTTATCTCTGGAGGAGCCTATGCAGCTCTAGTTTTTTAGCCGATGTGATATGTGATACGCTAGAGTAGGGTCCAAGGGTGTTTCATGTTGCACGGTGGTCAAGTTTGCTTGTGGGAGTAGGGTATAGGGATAGATATGCAAGATTTCTCCAAATCGGCCACACCACCAGTGATTCAATTGTCTCTGACAAGAGGGACAAGATATCCACGTAGCTTATCTCCTCATTCCAGGTATATCTCCTCCCGTAAACGCTGTAGATTCTTGAAGATGCCACCACCTGGCCCCTCGCTCTCCTGCCGCTGATGGCCCGTCGGCCTCCCTGCCGTCGACGAGCCTCGCTGCTGGGCCTGATTCGACACGCTTTGACTCTCGAGCGCCCGGCGACGGTCATCCACCATCTTCGCCAGACCGTCGACAAACCGACCTCGCGCCTTTTCCTCAGCGGAGCCCTTCCACACCAACGCCAGCTCACGGAGAGCCTCAACGCGCTGCGCTGCGGGCTCCAGCCCTGCCTGCCCGCCCCCGTTACTACCGAGAAACTGCGTGATCTCGCCCCGCAGCCGCTTCGCAACCTCCTGCCCCTTCTCCTCGAGACTGGCGTTCTCCACCCCAAGCTCCGGCGCGGAAACGGATATGAACGACGACGCGAGCGACGTCTCCGACGGCGGAAGAGGCCATTCCATGGCGTCGCCGAACGTCTGCACCACGTCCTCCAGTCGCGACCGCACCTGGTTCAACACCCGTAGTTTCGCGATGTAGTCCGGTTCAGCGACGACGGTCCTACCGCCTTCTCCATCCTTCGCCTGCTCCTGCTCCTGCCCCTCCTCTCCATCCTCTGTAGATTGGACGGTTTCCGCATCACGGTCCACAGCGTCTAGTCCCTCGGGGACAAAATTCGCGATATCCGGCTGCAGCGTTTCCGCCAGCGTGTCCGAGAGGCTGATCGCTTCGCCCCGCAGCACCTCCACCTCATACGCCAGACGGCTACCGCTGCGCAGGATCTCGTCGGTGAGTTGTGTGAGCTGGTTCGAGAGTCGGACATTCTGCGCGTTGATCTGGGAGAGGATCGATTGCACTTGCGTCGAGAGTTCGGGGAGGGGCACGGCGCCGGGGCCGCGGGTTTGCGATGACGCCAGCGTCAGGGGGGGTAGGGCATCGTTGAGAAATTCGGCTGGGTCAAAGGACGGATCGGTGAAGTTGGGTGTTGCTTCTTGGGAGGAACGTGAGCTTGATGTGTTGGTCGCGGCGCGAGCTGGCCTGGGGGTCTGCGCCGGAGCCATTGTCGGTCGGGGGAGTGAGGAGGGAGTGAGGAGGGAGGAGAAGGGTTGGTCAATCGCAAACCCCCCCTATCTTGACTTGACTAGAGCAGGAGTCACGAGGATCAGAGTCCTATTAGAGATAGTTTCGATCAAATATCAAGAATATGCGACAATTGATTGTTCAAGGGTATATCATCAGGCTATCCATATTCATATTTCATGCTCATGTTGCTGGTTCCGTTTGGTGTTGACAATATGAAGATTCACCGCCTCGGCTATATCAATTTCGTAGGATTTGACTATTATTACGACAGCATTCAGGAACAGAGGCAAGAGTCAAGGTTCTTGGATAAATCCAATATTGTGCTCATTATATTATTCGATTAAAAGGTCATCAATAAAAGGTTGTGTACAATTTGCAGAAAGCACAAAGCAGGAGGCAACATGAAAGAAAGTGGGTATCGTCATTAGGTTCAAGGGTATAAAGGACAAAGCAAGAAAACCTCGGATCAACCACGAAGATCAATTTGAGGGGATTGCGGCCGTCTCGAGCTGTTCGAGCATACATTGCTCCATCGTATGGACATTCCTCAAAGTATCCGTTCAACCTCAGAAGGGGAGCGTTCTTCAGATGTCTTCCACCACCCGCGCATTCATGGCACGCTGGAAGCCGTCGTCCGCCTGGGTAGCTCCGGAGTATCTGCTTGGGCCTTCCCCGGCATTGTCGGCGGCAGCGAGCTGTTGCTGCACCGTCTGGTTCATGGCGGGCAGGAAGATCACCTTGCTGTTGGCGGTCTTGGCCATGGCTTGCATGGCTTCGAGGTAGCGGATTTGCATGGCAGGAGCAGAGGACAGAATGTCAGCAGCCTGTGTCGCATGTTAGTCTTCATCTGCGAGTCAATGGACAAACAGATTGACGTACCTGGCGCATGAGTTTGGCGGATTCCACCTCGGCGCGAGCAGCAATGACCTTGCTCTCACCGATACGCTTGGACTGAGCGGCCATGGAAAGTGAATCCTGCAGGTCGTTGCTGAAGATGATATCCTTGATGAGCATGGATTCAACCTGGACACCCCAGCCAGACGCGACTTCCTCGATGATTTCTGCGGTCGACTGGGCGATTTCCTCACGGCGTTCGATGACATCCTGCAGAACACGCGCTCCAATGACATGTCGCAAGGTCGTCTGTGTGCGCTCTACAAGCGCCTGCCGTACGTTGGAGATACCGAAAGCCGCTTTGTGGGGCGAGATAATTTGATAGTAGATGACCGATGTGAGATTCAGGGTGACGTTGTCCTTGGTCATGCAAACCTGGCGTGGCACTTCGACAATCTGAATCTTCACATCGATTGTGGTGAGATGCTCGCTCAGCGGGTTGACCTTGACCAGACCGGGATCAACCGCACGCTCGAACCTGCCACGGGAATTAGAACCTCGTTTGATTAAAGAGTTACACCCGTATCACGCACCGTCCGAACTTTGAAACCAGGCCCACTTCACCCTGGTCGACCGGCTTGAAGGGGTTGGGGCAGCAGATACAGCAGGGAATCGCGCCGAAAAATCCGATGCACTCTCCGAGGCCGTGGACTAAAAGATGGTGCAGGACGTGTCAGATTATCATCCGCCATGCGCAACCCGGGGGGGGGGATGAATGAGATATCGAGATGACGATATCAGAGGTAGACACTTACTCATGGAAGCATACCACCCATGCGCTTCTGGGTTATCTGCATCGTGCTGAATCTGCTGGGCATATCTTGGCTGCAAATCAGCCAGACGCGCTGGCTGTACGCTCACTGGGCCATGACGATGAGAACTGGTGACCTCATGCTCCTGCGCCGGTGCCTTGCCGTTGGGAATAATCGCTTCAGTCGACATGGTTGCAAGAGAATATTCCCCAGAGCAATATGTTTCGGTTACTGTGGCGATTTGAGAAAGGGATGGATGGATCGGACTTGAATATGTAGACTGGCTGATAGAAAGTTGATAGAATGATGGTCAGATCGGAAGAACTTGAGTCTGTTTTGATCTGAAGGATAATGGCTAGATAATGGTTATGGACAGTGAAGGTAAGATGAAACTAGAAGGGGTGGTTGCGGGGGGGTTATATAACTTCCGATTTTTCTCAGAATCTTGCAGCTCCAGCACCAGCACCAGCACCAGCAGCTCTACAGTAGCTAGCTTATCCCAAGATGCCAAGTAAAGGACGGAGTAGATCCTTCATCATCTCACCTCCAGTCGTCCGTCTCTCTACTTCTCTAGATATGATTCAGTATCCATCACTAATGTGTTCACGACCTCTCCACAGACGATGTGGGGCATCATGCTTGGCTCAGTCCACTTCCAACAGCAGAGAGCCAGAGATGTCTTTTCTAAATGGCTCATCTTCCACTACTGACTTCCCTTTGGGCTTTGGCTGCTGGCTTTAGAATTTAGATCCTGAAGGCGGAGCCAGTAGTGTCGGGCGTATCTGATCTCCACCTCCACAGTCCACAAGGCTGAGCATTTGGGGCCCAATAACTAACTTCTCATCTGAATTATTATGATCAACTCCAGTAACCCCTGCCAGCATTTCTCCAAGGTGGGACAGTGAAGACCTGAGGCAGGGACACATCACACATACACACTCGTAGAATAAGTATTTCTTCATTTGTGTGTTTCAGTATACCAGAGCAGATATGTAGGGACTAGGGAGCTAGCAGCTTAGCTACGGTGGATCAGACCCCCCGTCCTCAAAGCCTTGGGGCTCATACGAGGCACTGCCGCGGGCTGATGATGCAGAACACAGTCCGTGTTATCCGATCAATACGATCGAACCGTCAACATCATGATGACTGCCATCGCAGAATTCCAAACTTTGAAGACGCCCAGCCGTGGATGAGGATCATGAGATGTCGGTTTCGTTTGCCCAGCCATCTAGCCAGATATGATCCACGTGAGCTTGCATTGTTCATTAGTCATACGAACTTATCCTTCCAGATGTTTTCTAGCAGCGAGTCATACGCACACAGGGATTTCTGCATTGCCTCCCCCAGAACAACGAATCGATTTATCCGGCGATATTCAACTATGTGATCTATGACGTAGTTGGATTCCCCGTTGTCACTAGGCTCATATCGGGGGTCTCTCATGTCCACTGGAGTATAGAGTATAGACTCGGCCCTGTTGTCGGGCGGAGGAAGTGCAGGTTCGGGTTGATTTCTCCGCAGATTAACCTTGTTTATTGGTTTGCTCTGCATCGCGTGTCTACTGTCTACCGGTGGAACCCACTGTTCGATCAAGACTCAAGAGAGCACATTGTGGAACTGCACAGGATAATGCCCCCGAACCGTATCATACTTTGCAGGTGTACCGATTACCCCCCTTAATGCGTCCCAATATTCTTCATGTTCCATCTGCCCTTTGGTATCTCAGTCATTCTTAATGAGGACTGGGCGATTCTGCAGCAGGATTCCCCTCGTGTCCTATGTCTGCTTGAGCTGGCTGATGCTAATGAACGAATACAGACACCTTCTTTCATGGAGCACAGCATCCTATGCCATCTCGTTCGATTTCCTGTCCTGAAAGCGCTCTGAGAAGGCAACCCTATCTGCTGGCATTCATATCTTGAAAGATAAGACATATCAAATAGGTATACTCTGAGTGCCCTTGCAGGTACTCGAATGTATGACTTCCGCTGTATTCGAAGGTGAATCATGAAAAATAGGGTGCTATCTGAATTAGTAAATATTCAATGTCTATATAAGAGTAAGAGAAGACGGCTCTATTCTCCAAATTGTCTAGCAGCAAGACCTATAGGACGTAAAACCGAAGATACCCGAGTTCGCTTCCCACAGCCCAGTTTAACAAGAGCAGCGTGGTCCTGCATCTGGGTCTCCAGCTATATCACACATCATTTGCTACCTTTCAATATACCTGATCTCGTTGATTACCTGACGATATAGCCTTCTATATGTCATAATAGCGGGCTGAATCGCCGCGAGTGCTTCGCCGATTACAAGGGTTTGATGAACTCTAACCTCATCTCTGGCTTCTACCTGGCCTTCTACTATCTCTGGAAAGCCAGACAGAGACAAGCTGCTCAAACTCAAGTTTGAATCAAACAAAGTATGCAAAACATCGGTCTAGGACAATCGTGAAATGGTCAAATATGTGGAGTATGGTGCAATGACTGTATGTGGGTAATCGTCTTTATAGCTGTCCAGCCCTGCGTTCGGATTGTATGGTGCATCGTCATCTTCGCGAGAAACGTCGCCTGGGGTCCCCAGAGTTGGATACCCATATCGGCTCCCGATTTGGCCAGTTCTTGTTGGATTGAGTTGACTCTGGACAGCATTCGTCTAAAGACCTGTACCGGAAAGACATTCAAATATCGACTCCAAGATGTATAGTAGCAGTCACGCGTCCCTGTGTATAACCAAATAGATTCGGAGACAGCACGAGTTTCATCGGAGCTGGGGACGATATCACCTCACTCGAAGCTAGCCTTCCATTCCCTCTTCTGCAAAGGTATTGGAGACGTGGATGCTGTTTCTATGTTTCTCCAACAAGCCCCGGTGAGAGTTGAAACGGAGGCTGGCCTCAGGCTTACGGGAACCGTCGACATGGGGAGAAGAGCTGAACAGTCGTTCCCCTAGGGAATATAGATAGGATATATCTTCCAATCTCCGTGGCCACTCATTCTAATCGCCCCAACTATCTTGACTAGCAATTGTGGACTGGTCGACGTGAATGAACGCAACATCCATATTGGCTCGGAAGACTGTCTGCGATTTTGAGCTATATGATGACGTGAAAACACTATCCAATCAACATGGATAGTGTATTGGTGCTCAGAGCTAGGTTGTTGGGGAAATAGAGGATTAGAGAACAAAAATGAAGGCCCATTGCTATCAAAGCAGAGCATAGAGATGGATGCTCATTATTCACATATGATGTAGAATTCATTTGACAAATGGCTCCCTATCATGGACATTAGGCATCTACTAGACCTCAAGCAGCAAGACTTGGACGGATCATCGTCACAAGCCTTGACAAGCAATCCAAATACAGCCCATCTCCACCAGTCGGCTCTCGGGTTACATTAGAGCCTTTAAGTGAGTAGTGGCTGTAGAACGAGTGAATATCTACAGAGTATATATCACCCGCTGTTTCGCAGCCTTCTCAATCCATACCCATTATCACACTGCTTCCCAGCCTTCCGATTCCCTGCAAAATGAGAGTCACAGCATGGATCCCTCTCCTCCTCACTACAGCTTTGGCTGCCCCAGAGCTAGAAAAGCGTCAAAGTGACTCTCAGGCTGCTTCGAGCGATGCTGTCAACTGGTCCTCATTTGGAAATGCCTTGTTCGTCCCCTCTCTTCCCACACAGAAAATCACATCCCTCAACTAAAACGTTTACAGGCAATCTTTCACCTTCAACTTTACCATGCCCACAAAAACAGCCAACCTCGGCAACATCTCACCACCTCCTCGCTCCCTCATTCCGGAGATCATCACCGCACTCCCTCCCTCCGTGCTGATGGAACTTATCGTCCCCGCACAGCGCAGCGCCCTCGCCAGTCAGTTCAAGGCCGGTAGCACGCCCGCCTGGTACTCAACCCTTCCCAGTAATGTACAGAGTTACTTGTCCGTGGTGAAAAGTCAGATCTCCGATGGTGCGTTGACCGCCACCACGGGGCTGGCGTATCAGACTGCTCCCACCGCGACTCCTACGAGGGTGACGACGGCGACAGAGAAGGATTCTGGGTCGGGAGAAGCGACCTCGACTTCGTCCAAGGGATTGGCCGCAGCGGCTCGGCCGACGGGAGTGTTGATGGCAGGGGGAGTGGGTATGGGGGTGTTGGGTTTGGCATTGGTACTGTGAAGTCAGTGTAAATGTGAATGTGAAAGGATCAGCGACCCACCTTGGGAAAGAGGGGTTTGGGAATCAAGGGAAAAAACTGGGATTGATGACGACGAGGAGTAATGATATGACTTATGGGATGATGTCGATTATTTCGAGATATGTTTCACTTGATAGTTGGTTCTGTTAGGTTGTTGTTGATTGGTATCCATTGGAGAATACTCCTTCGGTTAAGCTTTAGTGGGGATACGGAGAATTCAGGCACGTCTGTCGTCTAATCTTCTGCAAAGTACAACTATTTTGATAACGAGACATTGAGCTCAAGTGATTGCCTTCTATTAAGTCCCTCAACAGTAAAAAACAGTGCTATCTCATGCCTCGAGGCTGCTAGAACATGCAATATGATAGAATAATCTCCATCATTTTCCCAAGGTCAGTATACTTGAAAACCCACAACTAAACTTTCACATGTACTTCACCCGAGGCCCATACTGACCCTTACTACCTCTATACTCAACTCGTCAACGATCAACAGTCCGGCATCTTATATCCCCGTGGTGAATCCACCTCGGACTATTCATTTATCATTATCTACTATCGTCACTCACCAACACCGACTGACCCAAAACTGGGACCTGGAGATGTGGAGACCCAAGAGAGGAGTCGCATCTACGTATGTGGCTCTCCAAGACCTGGATCATTGACTGTTTCTGCTATATCCCAGTTGGCGTCTCCAGAGAGCAGCAACAGATTACCCAAAGGGGAATTCATTGCGTCCGGGGCCGTTGTGGAGCGTGGAGTACGGAGGCTGGAGATAGTCTGAACCTTGCTATACTGATTCTGCATCCTTCGAGATCAGTGTGGGAATTGCTTATCCCGATGAATCTAAATTGCTTCCAATGCGTGTCTCACTTGGAGATATCGAATCAAGTAAGGAGATACAGCCTCGGAAGTAATTGTCCAGGCCCAGGACTAAACCCATGGCGAGGACCAATACCTATCGAATCGGAGGTCATACATACAACTGTCTGAAAAAAAAAAAAAAAAGATGTCTAATCAAGACATCTATGAAGCAGGATTAATCAATGCTTGACGGCGGGGTAATTCAGATGCTTGTTGCGCCTAGTTTCCCTGTATCAACATGAGATCTCGTCCTTGCGGAAGGGTGAGACCTGCTGGCCTACTTAACTCCGTAGCCGGAATACCAATATCCAGATTGCTACGATATAAGCTAGACATATCGCATCTTCACCCGGGTCACCAGCAACAGCCCTTCCCCCTCCATCATACACCCCCATACCCGGCAAGATGCGTCTCTCAGCACTCCTCCTCCCTCTCATCCCCCTTGCTCTCGCCACACCCAATCCCGAGCCTGTGGCTGCACCGGCACCCCAGTCCTCGGGTGGTCTTCTCTCCCAGCTCCCCGAAATCATCAACGGCGTCAAGGAGCTCCTCAGCCAGGAGACTCTGGATGACCTCCAGACCGTCGTCAAGGGCGGCGCGGTGCTCCTGGGCGGCGACAATCCGCAGAACATCGCCAAGCTGCTCTCTCGCGACAATGTGAACAAGCTCCAGGACATCGTGGACAACGCCCATACGCTGTTGACACCCACGTTTGCAAATGAGACTCTAACGTTGATTGGGGATGCGACACCGGTGAGCTTTGCCTTCTTTTCCATGTATGTGCGTAGGATGAAGCTGATCAAGTATAGCTGGTGTCGGCGGTGGAGAAGCTGCTGGGTGGGCTGTTGGCTTCGTTGACGTAGAGGAAAGTCAGTGAGAGTGATGGGTTATACATATGAGTGATGATTTATGGTGTTTGTACATGCATTCTGGGTTTAGGGCTGGTTGCTCGTCATAAAATGGCAATCTTGTGCATTTAGACATCTAACGAAGACTTGAATCCTCTGTTCTATAGCTGGAATCTAGGATATACACAATGTAATTCTGACATTTCCTGGTAGATTACTCGAAACAATGGAGTCCTTTCTACTAAATAGAAGTTCAAATACTCAGAAAATCCAAAATGTCATTAAATAGCGGTATATACATCATTAGACCGTCTTCATATGTTTCCTTAGCTCCTGGAAATAGTACCGCAGCGGATACGACCGCATCGACACAGGCAGCGCAGGGTACACCGCATTCGAGAACCCCATGGTGCTGCGATACAATCCCCTCGTCCCCATGGTAGACTTAAGCCCATACTCCTCCCTAAGCCGCGGCGGTAGCATCTCAATCGTGAGCACCCGCAGGAACGGCTTCAGCATCGACACCCACCGCGGTACGGCCTTGTCATGCAGCAGATCTTTAGCAAACTTATTCGCGTCCGGCGTCACCGTCAGCCGCTCGATGCGGTCATCCCAGTACGTCCAGAAGTCCTGCCGAGTCTGCGGCCAGATCCCCGGGGGCAACCCAAGGCTGTGGATGAGAAGGCCGAACTCCGCGTACGCCCTCTCGGCCGTGCGGTAGTCCACGCGCCCGTAGATACGCTGGTAGAAGTCGGTGGCTATTGCGTAGAGCGTCGCAGCGACCCAGAGCTGGACCTTCGGTGCGGCCGCGTAGTAGTGCTCGCTGCCGGGGAGGGGCGGTTGTCCTCTGCCGAGCATGTCCAGCAACGTTTTCTTCTCCTGCCGGGTGCCGAAGACCAGGCATGAGAAGTAGCTCAGCATTGCCTGGAGGGCATCACCCAGCTCGGTAGCGAGGTTGGGCCCGTCGCTGGTCTTGTCGTGTTCGTTGCGGATCTCGGGCATGGCTGCTTGGAGGAGGAGCGCGGAGCCCGATCCAGCGAAGAGGATGCCCTCCTGGAGAATCTGGGGGAGGATCTCGAGGTTCTCTAGTGCATCGACGCGGTCGGTTTCTGAGTTGATGCTGTCCGTGGTCGCTGTTTGCGACTTCTCCGCGGTGTCTTTTTCATCGGTGTGTTTCTCGTCGAACGACATTTTCGCAGGCAGCTATGTGCTTGGTTGTGCGATTGATGATGAAGGTCTCGTATACAACCGGGTCGAATCGAAGATAATGGCTGAGACTGGTTAATGGTATCTGCCGCAAGGGGTGGGAGTGACTCTTCATGCAAGCATACATAGTTGCACCCATGTACTACCCTGCAACTTTCACCTCTTTTCCTTCCTCACACTTGATGCAATCAATCAATGTCAATCATCCAAGCACATGTCTCGACTGCATTTCTCTATGAAGGTCTATCTCAATGTCCATCATACACATCGTCGTCATTTTCGCATTTCCCTCATTTAATCCCCTAATTAGGGACTATCTCCGTTCCCCAACTTTCGACCTGTTTTCCTCGGTGGCTTAACGGCTTCTCCATAGTGTGGGACAGACGGGACATGATGGGCCAAAGCTTGACTCAAATCAACCCGGTGATGATGCCACTGTCATACTATTTCCTTCACCCGCCGGCCCCAGAAGTCTTAGTTGCTATCAGAACCCCAGCTAACAGCCGCGGTTCTTTAATAGTCTGCGTTGATCCTCATATCAATGTCCGCATGTGAACACCTGACCAATCGCCGGGATTGGCTGTCTCAGAGAGATCGTCCACAATCACGGCATCGGTCGTCCGACAGGTTTGAGTCTACAGGGTTCAGTGCAGAGTCGAAAGATAATCGAAGTGGCGAAACCGGCAGCGCATTGCGCAAAGCAAGGTTCGTGGGCCTTGAGACCCAACACTAAGTTGGAAAGGCACGAAAACAACACCGTTGGGGTTTGGCTTGAAACTACGTAGACCATCAGTTTATTTGATAGTCAATGGGGAAATCAATGAGAAACACGAAATTTTGTATCGTCGTGTGGCCCGCAATGGGCAATAACTGTCGTGCAGATCAAGCATGGGGTATCTAGCCAGGCTGCTATAGTGCTAGACCCTTAGGGCAGATTGTGTCTCCTCTATCCATTTTAAGATCCCTATCACCTTCCCCAAGCTCTGCAGTCTAGTCTAGTCTGCCTTTGGACTCTCTTCATCATTGGGGCTACTAGTCATCATGGCCGAGATGGAAGAGAAGCCCCCCTATCTCAGCGTCAAAGGGGCCAAGTATGCCCTCGGTACCCACAGAGGGCCGTTGCCCTCTGGCCAAGGCGATGGCGGCGAGGTCGAACAAGTCGAGACGGCATTGTCGCTGGAAAAAAGGCAGAGGACAAGGACAGAGGCCATGAGGCGCCATTGGGCACGCTTCTGGTGTTGCTACATCTTTTTCTCGATCATTTTCCTAGCCATTATCCTCCCGGTTTTGTTCGTCTCTCTTCTTCGCAAATGTCATATTGGCCTTTGCTAACGATAGTAGCTTCCTGGTCATTCTTCCCGCAGTGTCCCAAAGAGTCGTCGATAACTCCGATCTGGTTCTCGTCGAAGCGAGTGTCATGGAACCTCGGCCCGATTCGGTCATCCTCACCATGAAATCTGCACTCAAACTGCCCATTGGTGTTCCAGTGCGAATTGATCCCATTACCTTAGATCTTTTCAACCCAGACCATCCTGGAAACACTACCTGGGCCAAGATCTATATCAATGGGACAGTCATCCAAGGCAACACCACCTTGGGAGTCACCAATCAATTCACACCTCTCAATGCTGATGAGTGGGCTCATTATGTGGACAATGTGGTAAATATGGAGCATGCTCCGTTATGCCTGCGAGGGAGCACCATGTCATATTTGGGCCAACTGAAGTCTCCCGTCACAATGGACAAAACTATCAAGCAGAACAGTAAGTATGATGATCTAGAGATGTCCACAGCGGGTACTGACTCATGCAAGCCCTAAACGGTTTTGCCGGCTTTGCTATTGAAGGTTCTCAGCTACTTCTTCCTCCTGAATCAGACGGAACGAACCTGATCGCCAATGCCACCCTGCCTAACCCCTCAGTCATGACTCTGGAGATTGTAAGTGTAGTGTGGACTCGACTCAGAATACTCGCTAATGTCAGTAGGGCACCACCGTTCTAGACCTCAAGAGCGGAGATATTGTCATTGGCACCGCCACCATCGACAACCTCGTTCTCAGACCTGGCAACCACTCCAACCCAGTTCGCGGAAAACTCGACCTGGGAGCCGTGCTCAAGAATCTCGGACCGGTCCTGCAGAGCCAGAAGGACTCTCTTCGTAATGGATACCTGAGTCTCGACACCGTCGGCAAATCGGTTGTCTATGATGGCGTCGAAGTACCATACTACACGAACGTGATGAAGAACCTAACGCTCACAGCAAAGATCCCCATCGGCGGACTGCTCGTCAACACCCTCCGAGGCCTTTTCAACAAAAATGGAACAAATATTCTGCAGGGTCTAAACATCGGCGAATCATCGTCGTCAGGGAGCAATGGAGGCCTGCTTCAGGAACTGGGCAATCTGAATCTGAGCAGTCTTGTGGGCGATCTCGGTGTTAAATTAGGCCGTCGATCACTGGCCGAGTTTCTGGAGCAACCTGAGGAGCGGTCAATACTGGTCGACGTGCTCAAGGGGCTATTATGAACGACTCCATGACATGAGATCCTGAAGATGTGGACATGAGCGGCGTTTGGGGTGTCTCGGGGCTATATCGCTGTCGTTTCTTTTAATCTCTTTTCTTCTTCCTCATATTCTTAAATGGGAAGAAAGCTCCTGTATATACGCAATGCGCACAACGCGCAGGAAATCCTCATGCTTTGTAAAAACCCCCGTCTGTCCAACCCCCGACACGTGTAATCGGAGCATCGGACCCTTTCTCCCTGTCGCATTCGTGAAAGCACCAAAGCCAAGCAGTTTCCCTTGCCAGCTGCTGCAGATGCCATGTGAGGATGAGACCGTAGCATTGGTGCTGATAGCTGAAGCCATCCTGGACGATGCAACTTTCCACCTATCACGCGCGCTGCTTGAGGTTGCACTCTTTGTCCCCTCCGTCGTCCAATAACCCGAATCCGTCAGCGCAATAGCTGCTGCTAGGATGCAGCCAGCTCACGGGTGGATTAGTATGAATCAATCCTGGTATGTCAAATAGAAGATTTGGATTTGGATGTGGATGCATGTCGTTCTTCGGGGTCTATTTCCCCGCACACTCCGCGTCAGAGTCTGCTCACGCCATTCGGTATGTAGATAGTTGTTCCTTACTCCCTAAGGGTGGAGTAGGTTTTGGTCTCGATTATTCGTAGCAGCGTGAGAGTCTTCAATAACCGAGTCAGCTGCAGACTCCCCATACAATCGAACCAACCTGTGGGTTCTCACGTCTCTCGGGAGCACAAACAAACAGCAACAAGGCTGTGAAAGTGACTCCCCACGTGGATACATCACGTCCTCTCGACTTCTTGATAACCTGGTTATATCCCTCGTAGCCCCAAGCTCTGAACCATCAACCAATACTAATCAACACGGGGAAGTCTGGTTGATTGCGGGGAAACGCTTGAGCAACAGCCCCCATGATCCAAGAACGAGCCTATCCGCACAACGCAAGCTTCATTGTGATCCCGTCCACAACATGTTGGTGGCGTTTTCTTGACAATGTGGTACCAGCCAAGGACCATGCTTGTTTGGCCTGATTTCTGATCCTTCTGCCAAAATTATTCTCGCTGTGGTACTGTGATGTTGCTCTGCTCTGCGGACGGGATCCGATCGTGGCGCACCGTTCACCCTGAGTCAGTGAATCAGGCGACTCGTAAATTAGACTCGAGGCTGACAGAGGCGTAGTGAGAGAGAAAAGACTGGTAGAGACTTGTATCGGTTTTGGAAAATGATGTGCATTCTGTGCATTCTGTGCGCTAAGGGTGCTGTTTGGCTGGACAGTTTCAGGTCATTGCCAGCAGTTACTAGGTTGTTTGCGCCTGGTGGTCTGAGAAGGGGGGGGGAAGGGAAAGTACAGGACTCATTCACAGTTTGTATTTAACTGCTGTGGTGGAAGCTCACAGTCAGCTGAGATATATATACTTCTGCTTTTTCTTCTTCTCTTTTGTCCTCCGTTCTTCTGACTTTGTCCACTTGTATTTTCTGCACCTCTTGCTTCTCACCCTTAGTAGCTGGTCTGTCTGACAGGTCTCCTTGGGACAGCTAGCTGCAAAGATGAAAAAGTTCTATAATGTCTATTTCCTCTGTGGTTTCATCACCCTGGGTATGTTCTTCTGTCTAGCTTGAGCTCTTGGAGCACTTCTCACTCGATGGCTCTACAGGTGGTGGCCTCTTTGGTTTCGATATCTCGTCCATGAGTGGTAAGTCTCAGTTCCTGTCTTTCGTGCTAATACAACAATCCACTCAATCTCGCCAGGTGTTTTGGGAACCCGTGCCTATGTCAACTACTTTCAGGTGGGTAGCGGTCAGTACAAGCAGGGTGGCATCACTTGTGCGATGCCCTTCGGCTCGCTCGTTGGTTCTCTATGCTCGAGTTTCATCGCCGATCGTTACTCTCGTGTCACCGCGATCCAATTCTCGTCTCTTCTGTGGATTCTTGGCTCCATGTAAGTGACGCTGGCTCCATCTGCAGGTGACTTCATAACTCGTGTCTGATTCTGTAGCTTTATGACCGCTTCAAATGGCATCGCTCTCCTGGTCGTCGGCCGTGTGATCGCTGGTCTTTGTGTCGGCATAGCATCTGCTATGGTCCCTGTCTATCAGGCAGAGGTTGCTCCAAAGGAAATTCGTGGTCGGGTTATATCCCTGCAGCAATGGGCCATTACCTGGGGTATCTTGATCCAGTTCTTCATAGTGAGGGCGCATCTCCGCCGGGCGTAATACACATTTCTAACCGCGACCAGCAATATGGCGCAAGTAACATTGACGGCGGTCCCGACAATGAAACCCAGAGCACCGCAGCCTTTCGCATTCCATGGGGCATCCAAATTGTACCCGGTGTCATTCTCTTCTTGGGTCTCTTCTTCTTTCCCAAGTCGCCCCGTTGGCTTGCTAGCAAGGATCGCTGGGAAGAAGCATTGGAAGTGCTGGCCCATCTGCATGGAAAAGGAGATGTCAACCACCCTAAAGTCCTAGCCCAGTATCGGGAAATTGAGGAGGCATTGGCTCTCGAGCGCGAACAATCATCCACCAGCTACCAGGAACTGATCAAGCCTCGCATTGCCAAGCGTGTGTTCCTCGGTATGAGCTTGCAGATGTGGTCCCAGCTGAGTGGTGAGTCGCTGAAATACAGGTTCAACTTGTTTCAGTGGTACAAGAACTAAGAACCTGTCCTAGGTATGAACGTGATGATGTACTACATTGTGTATATCATGCAGAGCACAGGGGCCGGCAGCCCTCTCCTGACTGCTTCTATCCAGTACATTCTGAACACAGCCCTGACCTTGCCCGCTATCCTCTACCTCGATAAATTCGGCCGTCGTCCTGCTATCTTGATCGGCTTCGCCCTCCAGTCTATCTTCCTATACATTGAAGGAGGTCTGCAGGCTGGGTTCGGTAAGCCCAATCCACACACCGACCCTAAACTAGATGCCATCTCCTGGACTGTGGCGGATCACCCGGCAGTTGGGAAGGCGATCATTGCACTCTCGTACCTCTTCGTCTGCTCCTTTGCCACAACCATTGGCCCTACTTCCTGGACGTACCCTGCGGAGATCTACCCGGCCAAGGTCCGTGCAAAGGCCGTCTCGCTTGCCACCGCCTCGAACTGGATCTGGAATTGTCTTCTCGCCTTGTTCGTTCCGCCTCTGTTGTGGTCGATCAACTGGAAGATGTACATGATTGTATGTGTTTCCTTCTTTTTTACTCAGATGGGGAATATCCTGGCTAACTTCACAACTCATAGTTCGCTGCCTTCAACTCTGCTGCGTTCATCCACATGTTCTTTACCGCCCCCGAAACCAAGGGTTATACACTGGAGGAAATGGACGAAGTCTTCGATAGCGGCCTTCCCGCCTGGCGGAAGCTTAACAAACGTAGCAGACTTGATGAGCTCGAACAGGAGATAGCGGAAGGTAACCTCAAGGTCGCTGCCCATGGTGAGAAGGACGGCCCCGTTGCTGCTACTTTCGAGACGGTGGAGAGGCAGGTTTAGAAGGCTGGTCACACTCTGGCTTAGCTGGAACTCAACTGGTCATTGATATTGGCTGTAATAGGGACGATTAGGGAGCTTACAATGTGCTAGGGCTGGCTTTGACTACTTTTTCTCAGCGCGGTTGGCCATACTTGGTTCATCTTGGGTAATGTTATTGTCGTGACCATCTGGTCCAGTCCGTATCTTTCTAATAATACCATCTTAGGATCTCGACCTCAGTTCTAGGGTTATCGTGTTTACATGCCGAGGCTTGGTAGTGATCACTCAAGGCAGATAGAAGCACTCATTTCTTTCGAAGATTAGAGGAGACTTGCGAGTTTACCGTCATCCTTATACTCTGGACAGTGGGCATATTGATTATTCTTGCTGAGGTAGATAGACAATGTGTAGGAATATGAGAGAGTCAATATACAGTTCTGGTGGCTATAGTCTGGCTGGATGAGAATGCTGCCTGAGGCTGCATGTTTGGAACTGCCCTTTCGGGAGCTAGCACCTGCTTCCAGTTCAGTTTGTCTTCTTTGCCCTTGGACTCTCGTCTTCGATATCTCTTGGAGATAGTCGGTATCACCTCTCTATTCATCTTTCATTTGAAAAGGCAAGCAATCATCAATCGACTAAGCCATGATCTCAGTGGTCCTGTCATCTGTTTGACCGTCTTAGTAGATTCAGACCGGGAGTGCTCAAATCACTCAACCAAAGGCCTGATCACTTCGATCAAGTCCCGATACTTCTCAATTCAAACAACCCTGGGAGAAAACCCGTACTTCTTTAACCCCAAGAATCCCGATCCATGACGACCCTGCGGAGTGCAGATCAGGCTGTGGAGACTCAACGCCCCCTTGGCCCTAGCGGCGTGCACCCTGGTCCTAGAAGAATTTGGGGGCGGTTTGGGTCAATATTGCACCAATCTCGATCGAATTTCAGCGGGTGTTGGTTGAGAGGCTCAGTGGACCACCGAGATTGAAACTCGAGAGAAATTTCTCCTTCAGGAGTCACAAAATCTGCACGGACTCAGAGCGAACCCAATGGTGACGGGCGGCTGGCTCTTCTATTACAAAAATTGTGAAACCATCCAAGAGTCCAAGACTCTATGGCCCCAAATGTGAAATGGGGACTCCACTTGCCAGCTCACGCTCTTTGGCCCTCGTTCCTGACTCGTACTTGTCAATCTTAGGTGGTCGGAAAGAGAATCTCACGAGCTAAGCAGGGTTTGATATGACCGATGACGCTGGTGGTCACCCTCAGCATTTAATGCGAGTGTCGTGATGTTTTCGCTTGTTGGCCCCTGCTTTGTGGGGTTAAGACAAGTCCCCTGATCCTGCTCAGCCTTACGGTTCCTGGGGAGCATTTGTGTGATTATCCCGATGTCTCTGCTTCAACTTAAATGTCTGAGACGTGTTCGGACCGACCGCTTCGTCTTTAGGAAGGAACTGAAAGTTCGGCACAATGGGACGATCCCCCAAGACTAGAATTTCCCTCTGTCTAGCCTTCTGTGCAGGACTCGGCCTGGCCAGCGCGAAATGTTATAATCTCGACGGAAGCGAGGCGACGCGAGATGTACCTTGCCGTGCAAATGGGACGTCGAACTGCTGCAGTATAGGCGATGTCTGTCTGAGCAATGGCTTGTGCTACTTACAAGGGAATCGCGCCAACGCACTCTCGCGTGGAAGCTGCACGGACAAGAATTGGGGGCCGGCGTGTTTTGCGCCATGCTGTATGTCTTCCTGCCCTCACCTCGGACTCTGTACCAGCGGATGTGCTCGAACCGCTCGATAATCATGTAGACTAACTCAATCATCATATACAGCCAATACGATGCGAAACAGTGGCTTCCCCATTATCAACATGGGCTACGCCGGCGACGACTCCAAATACTGCTGCGGGCCGGTAGTGATCAACAACGGTTCACTCGGATGCAAGGTCGGGGACCCTTTCCAGATAGACAAAGGCTCGGTTTTATTAGGTGTGGCAGCGCTGGCCGGATACTCAAACTCGACCTCGACCTCGACCTCAACATCAAACAATTGCACCCCAGCGGACGATTCGTCGGACAAGGATTGCCCTACAGCGGAGCCATCCACATCCCACGACGTGGCCATCGGCGCCGGCGTCGGAGTACCGCTGGGAGTCATCGCTCTGGCCTCCATTGTATGGGCACTGTGGGAGCGCCGGCAGCGGAAACAAGCTTTGCAGAGTATATCGGCGCCTGTGGCCGTAGGCCACCCAAATATAGGCTACAACCCTTCACAGGGTGTGTATCGACGGCCGCCGGTTGAATTGTCAACAGCGCCTGTGTCGGAGTTGGATGGGAGCGGGAACGGGGAGATGAAATAGCCCGCGGCTTGAAGAACCTTCGTCTTGGTATGATCGTTGTCACGGGATAGCCGAGGCGAGCCCATCGAAGGATATCATAATGCTTACTGAGCACTAGCCTAGTCTTACCCTTACGCGTCTTCAGACATGATTGATACCCCAACAATACTCCACATCCACTCACATCCACCATCCTGCTGCAATTCATCCATAGCATGGGTCACGAGGTCCATCTCTCGTCATCCATCAGAACTCAACAAAGGGTCTATCTAAGGCGATGTATCCGTGCTCCACGACACCATCAACACAGCCATGTATGATTGGACCAGCAGGTCAAGCAAAAGCCCCAGTCTTACACAGAATGGTGGCTATGCAGCAGCATCGTAGTCATCACTGAGAATGAGGATGGCTACGTGCTATTGACTCGGTATGGCGGCGGGGCTGGGCTTGCATTACATGTCTGGCGAAGTCGAAAGAATAGGCTTTTGAGTCAGGCGTCGTGCTTGGGTATCTATGTGAGAAGTACGAGGACAGTCCAGACGATTGGACACGTCTCATACTCGGGGTCCTTTGGAGTTTGGACACACTCAGGTCCAACTTCTATGACTCGTATGTGCTTACTAGGATACGATTACGAGGCAGGGTTGGGGATGATTCGTGGGACGTTGAGTATTGCTTTATTTGATTATCATTACCAGGGCTAGGTTGTTGTCATGTCATCTAGGATGTAATACTCCGTATATCCGTGTCCGTGGCCGTAGTCCGTAAGTCCATCCGTTCACCGAAGCCAATATCCATGATTAATGCTGAGATACATGGCCGGCTCCTCCCGAACAGATGGCACCGCCTGGCGCTCCTGAGGAGAGTCTCCGACTTGCGGAGGCGGACACAATTGCAGAGGCTCAATGTCGTCCGTCTTGTCAGCGAGACACCTCAGACCCGGGTGCCGGATGGTCGGATCGAAATTGATGAGCACGATAGCCTGAACGCCACTGGAGAGACCATCTTGGTTCACGGCGTAGACAAGCGAGCGTTCATCAGCGGAGGCGTGGATTTTCCCGACCCGAGTGGACGGACAGAGGAGACGGGTCAGCTCCGCAGGCGCGTCGTCGGGTGGCCACATGCGGACTCCGCGGGTGGCGAAGCGCTCCTCGCTGTGTTCGAGAAGGCTCCCTTCCTCGTCATGGAGGTCGGGTGGGTAAAGCATATTGCTGGAGTCATCGATGGGGCTCTTGCGTTTGCGCGAAACGGTACGGAGGCGGAGGCGATCGTGTGTGATGTGGCTGCCTTGGCGTGACGGTTGGGAGTCGGTGACGAGATCGACAAAGCTCGAGGCGGAGAGGTTGTAGGTGCGGAATTTGGTTTTGGCTAGGATGAAGTCGTGGCGCGGGTGTTGTTGCGGTGTGTAGATGCCGGGACTGTTGCCGCTGCTATTGCCGCCGCTGCTGTTGCTGCTGTTACTGCTGTTGCTGCTGTGACCATCATCGTCCCTGTCCAGTGGGTATTCTGAGTGGTAGTACCTGCGTAGTCGTTTCCGGCCCTGTTGGTAGATCGGCTTATCGGATGAATCTAGTGTCTTTGTTAAGGGATCGTCCGGTAATTTCACAGCCATGGAGCTATGTGATGGACGGTGTTCCGGTCGCTTACTCCGAGGAAATTCAGCAGGCGACGGGAGAGGCGTCATGTAATACGTGCGGCAATTATCACTGCCTCCGTTGCGCCATTCACGCCGACACTCCAGGATCATGAGTTGGTTGGTGGCTTCGTCTACTCGAAGCGAGAGATCCGACCAGCTTTCGTTAATAGGGCCCTCGCGGTGCTGTCGACGCCATTCATCGGCGAGCTTTACTATCCCCGGGTTCCTGCGAGGCGCGATGCAGGTATACATGTACAGAGAGGTCCAGTCAACTTCTTCCTCTTCGAAATCGACTAGCGTTGACACGGCGTACAGGTGGTCCTGGTACACCTCGAAACAGACCGTTTGGCCGATCTCATTACCCACGAGCTTCTCCAGCTCCACGGGCTTGTCGGTGACGTGCCGTCCGGTAGCCAGATCAACGCAGTGGATTGCCCATTGCGGATACCCGTGATGGCTCAAAGCCGATTGCGCGCCGTAGTACAGATAGGACTTGTTGTGTCGGACGAACAATCGCCGCGTAGACCGTAGCGGCGCTCGGAGACGTAGACGGCCGCTCCTGCCGTCTGTCTTTCTTCGCATATCGACCGCAAGGAGCCAAGCCTCAAGCCCTTCGCCCATTTCTACCAAGAACGCCAGAATCCCGTCACTGTAGTTGAGGAGCGAAACCCGGATGGTATAGCGCAACGGATCGCAGCCAGGGATGGCGCGGGAGATGACTTTGGGGATGTTCAGAACCTGCTCCACGCGATCAACACTGTGCACGTTCAGAGCACGGATCTCGTTATTGTGGATGTAGCAAAGAGAGCCATGTTTGTACAGAAAGGCAGTCCCGTAGGCTAAGACCGACGCCGAATATGGTTGAGCGGTAGCGAAAGCCTCCTTGATATCAAACAGATGACCAACTGCTCTGCGATATCCCGACTTGGCTCGGTACGCCTCTTGGCCTTCCTTCGTGTGCAGCAGATTACTCTAGGGATATGTCAGGTGATACTGTCAGAATCAATACGAATCAGCCACACATACCTCGATTGTCTTTCGTGCAATCGAATCCTCTCGCATCAGCGAATGGAGCGCCCGATTGACTCGACTGAGATTGACAAAGTCATCGCAGTCCAGGCTCGAGGCGATCTGGTAGAACACATCGTATGGGATGGAATCCAGCTTCCTGGTCATGGTTGTCATGACCGAAGCGGCAGGGACGAGGAAGAGCGGCGCCAGTAAAGCATGAGTGAGGCAAAGGTCGACTCTTTTGATGTCTCTAATAACTTATAACAGCAACAGTCAATGGGATATTGGAACAAGAAGTTGTCATATATTGTTGTTGTTGTTGGTTTTTGTTGTTGTTATAGTTGGGAAGTGTTATGAGGATGGGGTTGCGATGGAGATGACGATGAGGCTGGCAGTGAATGGCAATGGAGGAAGTATCTGATGAAGGTTTTCCCTTTATGGCAATCCTGCAACCCATCTTTGCATGTCGCCTCTTGGAAAGAGAGCTGCCAGAGCAGCATTTGTAGTTGAAGAAGTCATTTTCAGCCTCTTCTCTGAGGCTCGTTCATTAAGCTTCCAGGAAAGGATTCATATTGCAGGATGCGATTGGTCCTTGCAACAGACGGGTTATTGATTAATGATGGATGATTTTCATTCCAAAATCCAGCCGAGAATTTAATCATCATCATTGGCAGCCACATAAGCCCACAAGGGCCCTGGGAAACGAATAGATAGAATGCTGATCCAGAAACGCCACTCGCTGAGCTCAGGGGAGAGTGACTCTAGTGTGAGAGAAAGAGGAGAGAGAGAGAGAGAGAGAGAGAGAGAGAGAGACCGCGAGCAGAGCCTCATTGTGACGGCCAACTCGGTCCCAGTTGCCAACTCGATCCAGTGGCGTCGGTTGACTGGATCATGAAGTGGATTTACACTTTTACAGGATGTCTACGGAGTTTGTATGTGGTCTGTACGCTGTAACTACTAGTCAGGATATCGGTTCCAAAGTGCCTACACCTATATCCTGAATCCAACCAAGCGAGTGACTTGGTATCATTGCAAAAGCACAAGGCTCTGTTCTGTTTCTTTCTTTTCTCCCTGACTTCCTACTAGTGTTTGTGGTCGAGTTTGCGCTTCTGTTGTGTCACCTCATCAGCGCAGTACATTACTATCTGTCGAAATGCTAAAAACAAGTCGCATTTCCGTTCTTTTGGGGTATCTGATCCAGAGCTCCAAGTAAGACCTGTCCAGTCCAGAAAGCCCCGAGAGTGCTCGCTCAGTCACACTCACACCGATAATGATCGAACGGCGTGGGCTACCCAGGGATAGAATGGGGCTCTTTCAAGCGACAATCTGAGCGCTAAACAACTAAACAAGGGAGGAGACTCAGGAGAGTGTCATGTTATTACCCAATCTACCGATCTGCTGGGATTTCGCGCTGTTTACTCCGTACTCCTTTCATCGTCGACAGGATTCCAAACTCAAGTGACTGGCTGCCTAGAGAGGGGACTTTGTCGCCTCAAACTAGCCAGTTCGAGTTATCGCACCACAGGGGGGGGGGAAAAACCCACAGTAATACGGGATACCAACTTAAACAACCCAGAATGGAGCATGATTCAGAATGATGGGATTGACCGCTACAAAAAGAATGCGGCTCAATTATTCGGCCATTCTCCTGAATCCTCAGTCGTCCCGGTGGCTGAGCCATCCTCAACAATCCGGAAGCCTGAAAGAGCCTGAAACAAAGAATCAGTGGCTGCCCTGTTTCTCAGGCATCGAATACCCGCCAACTGGACACAGAGCGTGCAACGATGCAGTATGCATCATCCCATGATTCCGTGTCATGTTATCATCCGATCAAGGCCTCATATCAAATATCTGTGTGACGTTTCAACTCGTGAGTCTCGAGGTGCATGCATTTCTACAGCAGGATCCTATCTGGCCCCCTTACCCCCCCCCCGCTTTGCACTGCCTCAAAGACCCAAATGATGATCAAACAGGCACAACTCCAAGGCTCAAACAAGGCTGGACGAGGCTGGGAGAAGGGGACGACACCCGGGAAAAAAGTCAAGACCACAAAGTAACTACAAACGAATCAACCTTCCTATCGGAACTCTCTCTCTCCCCCCCCCCTACAGGCTCCCTGTTCTATATCATGGCTCTGAGGCGGCACGCAGCATGATGCATGAGCGCAGGTGGCCGTCTGGGCTTCTCAACACTCTCAAATTCACCAATGGAAAACCTTCCGGCGGAATCATGCTTATCATGGAGAAGTAAGCACTTGTGTATCTTCCCTCGATCAGCCAGACTGATGCGGGGGTGAGAAGCCCGTTCTGGTATCATGGTCTGACTATGAAGGGCACCAGACTTTCCCATGGCATTAATGCAGGCCCCCCATGCTACGCCAGCCGTAAAGTCCGTCAGCAATGCATATGAGCTAAGACGGGATGATCACACCCAGCGACGATAACGACTGCTAGACCCCCATGCTTGCATTGAAGGTCTGATGTGACGCATGGACCATGGTCCGTCACGATTGCTCGGCGAGCTTTCTTTGTCGTTGCTGTTAGTGTTGATGTGTCCCGAGGGCCCCGAGTCAGCGCTTGGGACGCAACTGACAGCCTCGTCAAGAATGCAACCGTTTTGGACGCCGATAACGGCCTTGGTGGCATCCATCTTGTTCCGGAGATCACATTTAAGCCAGCCATGACATCCATTTGATCTCCAGCTGGCAATGGACGTGTCAGCGATCCAGCCCATCGTCATCGCAGACTTTGCCTACGCTGCCGAGTGACAACTTTCAGGACTCGTCCAATTCCATAAGGATTGTCCTTGTTTGATGTCTGGAAAGCCTGCTCATTGACTCTCTGTGGTTCTTTCTACAAGAGAGGACAAATTTTCTTTCTCCGGGGGAGAACGCGACTGTGCGATAAGCCCGAGAATGAGGTCATCCCAGAGATTTTCTTTTTTTTTTCATATAAGCTAACATGGACCCTGACAGTCTGATCCTGGCCGAAAATTGGCAAAGCCAACTTTTCCCACAATATATAAATCCAGGTCTCTAGGGACGCATAAGGCTTATCTGCTGCTCAACTCAGAGCCTCTTTAATTTTCTAGTGGAGAATCCAGGTCCTGGAGAGTCCTGGAACGTCGTATATTCGCTACCAAGGTGATACAAATAAGGAACATTTTGGTGAGGTAGCATTGTATGTGCTCGTCTTGGTCAAAACATTCATGACAATAACCATGATGGAACCCTGAGGTGGAAGTTGTCAACGGAAAACATTACGAATGACCGATCTCCTGTAAGACAATCGAGCCCTTCAAGAATTTCACATTAAAGGCCATCTAACTATACTAATCAAAAGTGAAATTTTTGATTACTTGACTATCCTTCGAAAAAAAAGTAATTTCCACGGACAGGAAGGAGTAAAAGTCCGAGTAGGTGGAGGCTCCAGTGGCTGTCCATTCCATGACCACCCCTTAACCACCAGAAAGCCACCTCGGATCCTCAATCAACCTTGAAAGGGACGGATAGTCGGATACGGAATTACTGATAGCCAGGGGCACTAAAATGTTCGCCACTACTCTGGAGATACATCATCCATGTCTTGTGGCAAGGAAATAGGATGACGGGGCACTGGGAAAGCCGAATCCCGATTTCTTTCATTCATCATTGATCATTCAGCCCATCGCTCAGCCCTACGAGATTTAACATGCCAATATGCGGGGAACCCGAAAGGCCAAGTTGACTCTCGAGCCAAGAGATCGAATCATGGTCTTCTCATCATGAATTCAATATTCACATCCATCTGCAAGCCAAGGCTGGGAAATGTAGATGCCTAAATGGCAATGATGGGCCCGAATGTTCCGGAAGGTCGACTCCGACTAGTAGTACTGGCATCATCGACGAAGAACGAATGAATGATGACAATCACTGAGTCAGCTGAGACTCGGATTTAGTCATTTTGGTTGTTCGATTGAGACGGAGATAGAAGTTAGAATGAATTAGCCCCTGGGGGAGGATCAGGATGCCGACTTTCGGGACATTGGTTGAGAGGCAAAACGACCACGTTAGAGTGCATCGACGGCGGTGTACATGGTGTACATGGTGTACATGGACCACCTAGTTTAGTTAGTAGTCTAGTAGATAGATAACTTATTTTGCCATGCTCTTTGATGATCTCCTCTCTCTCTCTCTCTCTCTCTCTCTACAGAGTACTCCCTCGGCAGTGAAACCCAACCCCAAATAAAGCAACATGCATACCGCTCCATTGCCCTTATGCTGTGTGCCCGGTGTCATGTGACCCGCTTGGCAACTTGGCTGGCCAACCAGAGCGTGCCTTCGTCAGCGGGCTCCCCACAGTTGCCGATGTATCCATCAATCAGCCAGCCTGTTGTTGGCCTTGGTGCCTCGGAGGGGCACAGAGAGAAAGAGAAAGAGAGAGAGAGAGAGAGAGAGAGACACTACGACTAAGCTAAGCCCATAACTCAGTATCAATCGGGTTTAAAATGGCGATGATGGTGATGATCAATTCAGGTTCATTATCAATCGTCACCTTTTGTACACCTCTTCCTGCTCTTTATTAGCCTCGAGATACCCCCCCCCTTTCCCATTGTTGATCTAGATATCTAGTTTGATCCCCAGACCGCTTGGCTCACAATCATAAATAAACAAAATAAGCATCAATTGCTGACACTCGACCACATCGCCTTGAACAGTCGTTGCACTCAGCACAGCGACTACTTTACCACAACACCTTTGATTGATTGATGTACCACCGTAACTCTGCACCTCCCCCTCCGGGTTGGTCTGGTGGCTACCCTCCTCCACAGTCGCAGTGGCCGCCGCACTCTTACCAGTAAGATTCCTTGAGTTCACATTGTGTATGCTTCAAAGCCTTCAACGGCTGATGTATTCTCAGATACCCGCCATATCCGCCTCAAGGACCTCCTCCTCCTCCAGCCCACTCCTACTCTCCTCCCCCAACCTACGGGAATTATCCTTCGCCTTATTCCACGCCACCTCCCCACTCGCCATCCCCATACCAGCATCCTCAGCATGGTAAGCGCGGAAGAAAGTCTAATATGTTTACGAACTGAAACCGAACATCGCCATCTAACCTCAGCACAGGACATTCGCGATCATGGACAAACCCCAGCCTCCCCCCACGTCCACCCCGCGAGTCGCAGTCCTTCGGTAAAGGCGCGCCCTCGAACTATCGCTTCCAGTACTCGGAGTGCACCGGTCGGCGCAGAGCCCTCCTGATCGGAATCAACTACATCGGGCAGCCGAATCAGTTACGCGGGTGTATCAACGATGTCACCAACATGTCGACCTTTCTCCACGAGCGGTTTGGGTATCGGAGAGAGGATATGGTCATCCTCACCGACGACCAGAAGAATCCGATGAGTGTTCCGACGAAGATCAATATACTGCGGGCGATGCAGTGGTTGGTCAAAGACGCGCAGCCGAATGATTCGTTGTTCATTCATTTCTCGGGTGAGTTGCTTATGTCGCTTGTCTGGTGTCGTATAGCCGTTCTAAACTGTGTTCTCAGGGCACGGCGGAAGAACCCCCGATCTTGACGGTGATGAGGAAGATGGTGAGTTGAAATTTATTTTTTTTTTCTGGTCGCGAAAGGCAGAATGTACTAATCATCGTAGGATACGACGATGTCATTTATCCTGTTGACTACCGAGTTGCGGGCCACATCGTTGACGACGAGATGCATAACATCATGTTGGTTCCCTGTTTCGCCTCGCAACTGTCTCTTATGCTTACTGGTGTAGGGTCCGGCCGTTGCAACCTGGGGTCCGCCTAACGGCTATATTCGACTCCTGCCATTCGGGAACTGCTTTAGATTTGCCATATGTCTACTCAACTCAGGTCAGAGTCTCCGCAATTTTGTGTGGCAGACATTGTCTAACCGGCGTGTAGGGTATCCTGAAAGAGCCCAACCTTGCCAAAGAAGCAGCACAAGACCTTTTCAGCGCCTTAGCCTCATATGGGAAAGGTGACTTGAGTGGAGTCGCCATGACAGCTATCGGCTTCCTCAAGAAAGCCGCCATCGGTGATTCCGCGCGCCAGCGAACAGTCATGACCAAGACCTCCCCTGCGGATGTAGTCATGTTTTCCGGCTCCAAGGATACTCAGACATCGTAAGTGATATTGGGTGTGGTTCGTGCGCATCCCGCTGACCTACAACGCCTCAGAGCGGACACTTTCCAAGACGGAGAAGCCCGTGGTGCCCTGAGCTGGGCCTTCATCAAGTCACAGAAGCAGCGGCCGAACCAGAGCTATCTGCAGCTGCTGAACTCAATCCGTGCCGAGCTGGAGGGCAAGTATACACAGAAGCCGCAGTTGAGCTGCAGCCATCCTCTAGGTGAGTAAACCGCGAAGGGCGTTGACTCTCCAGCTGGCTGACGGGGGGACAGATGTCAATCTTCTTTTTGTGATGTGAACCCTATAGAGGTTATATGATGATGATGACGACGAGGGACGCTGCATGACTAATGGTTGAATGACAATGAGCAACTGCTATACTACCATAGATTCTGTCATTCCCCTGGATGAGGTGTCGGGCCAAATCAGAGGATCTGGATCTCACATTCAGACTGAATACTGGGCTATTCGGTTTCCGTGAAGTGGATTGACCGAGTCCTTGGCCGATCACTAATACTGATCTTTTTTTTCTATTCTTTTTCTCTCTCTCTCTCTTTTTCAATTGTGTTATGATGGGATGTTCAATACGTACTTAGACATGGCTTCATGGCGCACGGATTGATTTGATACCGCACCAGATTAGATAGATATACCCAGACAGCGGCTATCCTTGTGCCTCCAATATTTCTCCATCGTGTTGACAACTTGAGTATGACCTCGATAAACTTCGATCCTCGAAGGACTTCACGCGCGGCCCACCCGACAAACAGAACACTATTCTGTCTGGAGAAAAGGCCTCGTCACTGGCCCATTACGTGGCTCCCAGCTTACGCATTTTGTCGCAGTACGCGTCCTTCTCCAGAACGTTGCCCGAAGTGCTGAGGCGGAAAACTAAGCCTGATGGATGATGGTAGAGTTAGTACGGAAGGCAGGCCAGCCGCAGACTGGTTAGTGTACCGACTACTGAGTACTGACTTTAGCATCAAGCTTTTGCGCATAACCATGGCACTGCGGTGGATAAGGTATGAGCCTATGAGGACTGTACTGATTGAGTTATCCCTTCATCGGAATGATAATGATTATTTCTGCTGGCTGTAGATAGCTTTGTCATCCACTTTTACCAAGTAATGGTAAGATGACCGAGTGGTTAAGGTGGTGCACTCAAGTTATGGGTTAGCTTTCTACTAGACAACTAGTAGAAGCAATGCACTCTCGCAAGAGGCCTGGGTTCGACTCCCAGTCTTACCATGCTTTCTTTTTTTTTTCTTTCATTTTTTTTTGGTTTCTCTTCTATCTACTACCCTACGGAGTTACTAGCGTTTAATATATCCTCGCATGGGTGGTTTGCTTGCTGGTCGGATACTTCGGTTGCTTTCCATTCACTTTTGTTGTTGATGTTTTTATACTTTACTTCTCAGGGATGGTCTGGACAAAAGGGTGGAAAAGCTGCGTCAAGTCAACACTGGGCGCGGTTCACAACCGGCAGACTCTTTCTTTCTGGACGCACTTCTGTAGATAGGTCTGGCCTGTCTAGAGAACATCGCCAGTTTTTAGGAACGTCCTACCACCCAGTTCATGATCGATCTGCGCTTTCCTTTCGATGTGATAATAATGGTTATGTGACTACTGTACTTCAGAAAGGGGCATTTTGAAGAGCTCCAGTCATCGGGATAGGCAGATGTCCTTGATTCACCGCATGCCTGAATCCAGGATACGTAGTATATCCCAGACGCCGGGGTTGAATACAATCACCGACGGGGAAAGTTGCGCGACAAGAACCCTTATATTTATTCCCCCGTGCACTGGTTCTAAGCCTGCCGCGGATATCGCATAGACAGCGACAGCCCGAGGAAAAAAATCCAGATATCACCCGATAGATCTTACGCCGTGGGAAAAGCGACTGCTGGCCGAGTGGTCGTGTCTGCCAAAGAGAGTGTGCAAGGTCCTACGGATATCGCGGGAAACCTGCAAGAGTGGAGATATACTTACATGGTAGAGCGCGAAAAGAAAGGTTCACTCCACCAAGCAAGTATTGAGATTGAGAACGAGGTTGTCACTGGAAGCCTGCTACCTGGCCAGGGAGTTTATTATCGTCTGGATGAGTTGATTGGTTCGTAGATACCAGTGATCAATGACCGGGTTCGCTCGGTGGTCTTCATTGAGAACATGACATAGACAGCATTTGATTTTTGTGGCATGCTACCCACAGGCCACAAGGCATAGGATTCAACTATGTTGAGAAGGGACGGAAGAGAGACGAAAAGATTCAAGCTTTATGATGCTAAAAGTTGCCCAATTTTTCAACCAATATGGCAAGATGACCGAGTGGTTAAGGTGGTGCACTCAAGTTATGGGTTAGCTTTCTCTAGTCAACTAGTAGAAGCAATGCACTCTCGCAAGAGGCCTGGGTTCGACTCCCAGTCTTGCCAGGTTATATTTTTTTTTTCCCCTTGTTTATTTTTTCCCCAGGTTTGATTTTCTCCTTCCTCGGAGGTTGGATCCATTAGCCTGGCAACAGTTTTCTGTTTGGCAATGTCCGACTACCTCCTAGCCTAGATGCAGCAGTAAGCCAGGTCTGCTCGGCTCCCCTGCCATTTGCGGCATACCGGATGCTGGGTCCAGTTCAAACTGCGGCAGGATTGTATTGTATGCAGCGGGTTCCTAGGTACCAACTCCTTTCCCAGTAATTCATACTATGCACAGATTTAGGGACATGATACTATCTATACTCTACTCCCATACGCTCTGAAGTCTGCACCCTCCAGCTCACCATGGCCAGCAGGCCAAGACTTCAGAAGTTCATAGTTTGGTTCGGCTAGACGCCTTTTTGGTAGTCTGTTTCACCTTGCAGGGGGGCAGATCGCTTTAAATAACTAGTGGCTAAGGATTTCCCCGAGGCGAGCTTGGCTTTTTTTTTTTTTCTTTTTCTTCTTTTGTTCCTTTTTCTTGGGGGGAACCTGAACGACGACTGCTGGATGGTAAGTAGTTAACCTCCGAGGCTCCGAGTAGTACTCAAAGTTCAATGTGCAAGCTGCCAGCTGCCAGCTGCCATCACTTGTACCTGAAGATCATATCGAAAAGACAATCGAATCGAGATATCACAACACCCGTACACAGTAGGCTATATAGCTGGGAGTGTGGCGGAGTCGACCCATCATAATCATTATTGTTGGAATTGGGTGTAAGACATGTTGTTCCTGTATTCTTGATTATTATCCCTTACTCCGTACAGATCCTATTTCCCCCTATTCTATTATTTCTCGAGTTCTTCGCTTCTGATCGGATCTCTGCTTCCCGTGGGCCATGCACTGGGACCATGGGTATTTGGATGGAACCCCACCAACCACTCCAGTCGTCATGTCAGGAAGCTTTAGCAGTTCCATAGCACTTACAGCGTACATGGTACGTACCTACATACGGCATGTAACCGCAAGACTGGAGACGAGGCGGACAAGCAGTCAAGCACCCAGCAGAGCATAGATTATATATAGCTCGAACCGCATAAGCCCATAGGCCATAATGCAATGCGATCAAGCGTTGCCAGATGTTTGTGGCAACGTCAAGTGCTGCGTCACCTGGCGAATAAAAGACGTGCGAGTCAGCCACCCCGGTCAGTTCTGATGATCTGTTTCCCATCGGATAACGGCTCGGTTGGGCGTTTCAGATCTTCTTCCATTCAGATCAGCCGGACTGTGATGATGATCTGCTTGTTCAGGGGACCAGGAGCATGAACCATGGACTTGTACCGAGTACTAAAGTAGTGAGTAGTGACATATGCTGCGAGGGGACGAATCGAAAAAAAATAGAGAGCAGCAGCAGCAGGTGGCAGGAAACACAGAATGCAGTGGTACAGGGCGAATCTTTTGGATGTAGGACGGACTCGGATACAGCAAGACAGGAGAAGAAAGGAAAAGAAAAGAAAAACGAGGGCAGTTCCACTCTGGTCAATTATTAGAGCCGTTACTTTTTGTTCCCTGTTCTTCCCAAGTAAAACTCTCACACCGAGATCAGATCACCGAACAAGAATGTTTTCTGCGTGGATCTCCTGAGTCTGAGTTTAATCCTGACACACTCACTCTCATCGTCACACCTCCATTCTCCCACCACTTATCACTTATCAGTTATCGTCGTGATACTCGAATATCATTCTATATTATCATCCTCATCACCAACATCTCCTATATACCACATCCGAAGCGGCAATCATGTCGACATCATCAGCCACGGATTCCTCCCGGGAATCCTCGTACCCCAGCAGTCCCGTCTCCCAACACAACCAACCCGTCTTCTCATTTCCCGTCCCCCAACGGCGCAGGAGACCCATCTCCCCCGTCCGCCGATACTATTCCACCCCGCTGCGAGAAGACTCGCCCGACTCGACCCCCCTGCACCTCTACGGCCTCGAGCAGCGCGAACCCTCCATTGCCGAGAAACCCCGGCTGCTGCACCGCTTCTCCTACGCTCTCGACGACATCAAGGAGGATTTCACCCTGCAGCTGGACCCCAAGAGCCACATGGCCAACAAGATCCGAAGCCGGCGCCAGTCGATGCTCATGGCCGAGGCGTCCCCGCGCGGCTCGACTTCCTCGGGGATCCCTCCCGTTGCGGAGAAGGCGCCCCTCGCAGTGTCTGGAGCGCCGCGCCTGAGACCGCTGTCCATCCTCTCCTTTGATAGCTGGTCGCCGCCGACCCGCATGCTGAGCAGGCGGCTGTCGACGTTCGAGTTCTCGAAGCGGAAGCGGAATGGGCCTGGCCCTCTGGCGAGTATCTCACAGCCGAATCTGATCGGCTCCTCGGCTGATATCTGATGCGTCTGTGGACGACATGTCAGTCATATTGATCGCATCGCTTCACTTACTCGAATCTGGACATACCTTGCCGAGATCAAACCATCTCGGTTATACTTCGTCGTGCCAAGTGAATCCTCACGGGTCCCTGAGGCAGCAAAAACAGTTCCCAGGTTCCAACTCACCATTTTCCAGCCATATTCATATACCACTTTCTTTCTCTTTTTCCTAATCCTCTAATTTCCAATTTGTCCAAAAGAAAGTCGCTCCAATATTTTCCTAATCCTTTTTTTTTTTTTTTTTTTTGCAGCATAGCTCGGCGTTGGGTGCAGCCAATTCGTTCCTGTTCATAAACTGTGTTTTCCTCTCCTTCCATCTTCCATCGATTCCTATTCTTGGAAATCCCCAGGCAACCATGTACAAAAAACATGCATGTATGTTTTCCCGCAGCCTATCTACATCCTTTTTTTTATAGACAAGTCGAATTCAAAACAGGACAAGACTTTTCCCAATATACGCGCACCAATCGGTACCTCGATGTATCGACAGGGGTTTTCGTCCCATCAGTTCCAACCTAGTATATTTGCGGTAAGCGGCTTAGCCTACAGCAAGGTGCAAGTGCAACTGGCAGCTGCAATTGTCCGAGCGAGATGAATCTTTCACTAAGGATGCCTCAATCGCTTTGACGCCCCAGAATGGCTTCGGCCGGTGGCCACGCTCGCTCGCTTCCATCGTTTGGGCGTTATCTATCGTGCCTAGGGTACGGATAGACTAGATAGCCTACCTACTCCGTTCCTGTGATAGAAAACATCGTCGCAAGTATCTATTGGATACTCAACTCCGATCTCAAGATGGTTAAGTACAATGCGCATTGAGCCGACGGAGGCCAAGGCCCATTGGTCATTGTAAAAGCGATTGGTTACATGTCCGTTCTGGACAGGGTAGATATTCCGTAGTTCAATGAGAAGTCACAAGTCCAGGACTTGGGAGTATTCCCGTTTCCTTTTTGAAATTGGAAATTGTCGAGGGAAGATAAAGAAGAGTGTATCTAAATTGTAAAGGAGAAGGAGACGGGGAAAAAAAAAAGACAAAAAGAGAGATATGCTCATACACCCCCACCACACCCCCAAATGCGCCGGTCCATCCCACCTTATTCTCCGTGTAAAAACTCCAGTGATAGATTATAGTAGTATATGAAATCAGAAAAAAAAAAAAGGAAAATGGCGAGCAACAGCCCTCCCGCCTCGTAGTCCGATCGCTCCGGCGAATGTAGCGACAACAAAACACCCATTATAGAGTAACGCTTTCCAGATCCCGAAGCACAACCGACATCTGCGCCCGTTTCGCCGCTTCAGCGACAAGACTAAAGTCTCGTAGGAAGGGCGCCGTCGCCAACGGACCCCCCGAACCGGTGGGTTGGTGGGGGTGGCTGTCTGCGGAGGCTGGTGCTGGCGCTGTCGAGGAAGACGGTTGCATCGGGACACCACTGAGGGAGGCGGGGTTTTGGCTGTAATGATATTGCTGGCCAGGGGCTTGGAAGGGAGGGTGAGCTGTCGCTGACGAGGCAGGGAGGACAGCGCTGTATGATGCTTGGTTGGCGGGTGCGAAGGCCGGGTTGTTCTGCGGTTGGGCTGCCATCGCGGAGGGGGTGTATCCGAGTGTGACCGAGGAGGATGGGATGGGTATGTTGGAGCCCTGGAGCTTGGAGTGGGTGATGGAATGAAGGTTGCGGGTGGAAGTGTCCATGATGGGAGTTTTTCTTGCGCGGAGGAAAAAGAGACGAGATGCAACTGTGTTTTGAAATAAGACCCGTTTCTTCTCGACTCGACCGGCGGAGGGACGGAGATAAGGCTGGGAAGCGGATGGAGGGTTGGGATCTGTATCTATGGGCTGATACCGGTCGATTGACTAGGATAGTACTAGTATGCTTGAGGTTATAGCAACCCTGATATTTGATAATGGCGTGATGGAGGAGATGATGGTGAAAAGTAGTGAGCTAGGGAAAAGAGGCAAGACGAGAGGAAAGAGAAGAGAAGATAATCGACAACACGTGGGGTTCGACTAGAGAGTAGAGACACCGCGGGGGATAACGTCCGGGAAGAATAGAAGGAAGAGGGAAAAGACTGAAAAACTAAAAAGTATTCAAGCCGTGATGACGCTGTTACGACCAAGGAAAAGGCCAGCCAAGAAGAAGGAGGAGGAGGAGGAGGAGGAGGAAGAGGAGAAAGCCTATGATAGATCAAGTGCAGTACAGAAGAGAGACTCCAGAGCGTCATTCCAAGATGCTGGCACACTAGCAGCTAGACAAGTGAACTATGCGACTGATCGACAATATCCCCATGACCCCATCATCATCTCTTGGAGCACTAGACTCTTAAGCCTTTAGACCAAATAATGATGATTTTCTTCCAGACCCAGCGACCCCGATGATTACCCGATTTGTATCCGGTATGTATCTCTGCGCACCTCCATGCGGGGTTCTGGCTGCCCGCTGCAGGTACCACGGTGTATGTTTCTGTACGGTACTGTCAGCCAGCAAAAGCCTCGGCAGCTGTGGGGATACGTCCACGTGATCTCATGTGACAGCATCAGCATCAGCAGAAAAGTTTACGCTAGTTTGTTTCTGGAACTACCCCACTATCGCCCGATAGAGAATTTATGAATTTATCGAGATTGCGAAGACAGACCTGGTGGTTGTTATTCCTGTAACTGGTCCTATCTTTCTATTGTCCCAATTCCTTCAATTCATTCGCATTATGTCTTCCGAAGATGACTTCCTCGGGTTCGGGGATACCTTCAAAGATCCCGAAGGCTTCTACCCGCCTGAGAAAGAGCCCACCTTCGCGGAGCATCAGATGCTCTCAGGCGAGACCGTGCGCGTGCGCCTGGTCGGCAGCCATGCTCTCTACGTACGAACACGCTGATCCAAGCTTTTCGCTTACTGTTCGCCGACTGACCGTCTCTGGAGGGCGACCTGCTGTGGAACGCCGGCCGCACGAGCTCCACCTACCTAGAAGAACACGCCAGCAGACTTGTCGAAGGGAAAGATGTATTGGAGATCGGCGCCGCTGCTGGTGTTCCCAGCATCATCAGCGCAGTCAAGGGAGCCCGCACCGTCGTCATGACCGATTACCCCGATCCGGAGCTGGTGGAAAACATGCGACACAACGCCTCGCTGGCGGCGCCGATGATCCCCAGCTCGTCATCCCTTCACGTCGATGGATATAAATGGGGGAATCCGGTAGAACCACTGTTTGAATATCTGCCTGAGGGAGGGAAGGGGTTTGATCTCTTGATCATGGCGGATGTCGTGTACAACTATCCCGAGCACCCCAACCTAATCAAGATCATGCAGCAATGCCTGAAGAAGACAAGCGACGCGGTCGCGCTGGTAGTCTTTACTCCCTACGAGCCCTGGTTCCTTCCCAGGACGCAGACTTTCTTTCCGCGGGCGGAGAATAGTGGGTTTGAGGTCACCAATGTATTCGAGAAGGTTATGGATACGGTTTTGTTCGAGAACGACCCAGGTGTAGGTTTGCCCACTCGCTTTGGGATCGCAGCTACTGACGGAACGACAGGACGAATTGCTTCGGAGGACGGTGTTTGGGTATGAAATCCGATGGGCTCCGGATCAATTAAAATGAGCTGGAATGGGAGCATGAAAAAAGTATATAGAATTGGCGTTGCATAATGACATTAATGACTCGGCATTAAAGTAGAATATTATGATTACTAGACAGTCATAATACACACCACGCATATGAAGGAACTGGGGAGCAAGAAGTTGCTCTAATATGTATCAATTAGCAAATCCAGTGTTCTGTTATCATTGTAGTTGAATTGCTGATCTGACAGAGTATATATCTGTGAATCTGTGCTATCAACAAGTCACATGCACCCCGCCAACCCCGCAAGAAAAAAAAAGTCTCCGCCAGACGCAACAATCCAATCCGTCATCAAATGATCAAACACACTCTACCATGCCGGTAAGCTTGATTGAATCATGAACACCAGCACTCCCACCGAACCTACTAACGACTATCCCTTCAGCTCATCATTCTCTCGGGGTATCCCTGCTCCGGTCTCTCGTATCGCGCGCAGCAGCTCGCCTCGCTCCTCGAGGCGACGCAAGACGAGCTCTTCAACTCTGGCGCCATCCCCGCATCCAGACCCCGGTACAAGGTGCACATTGTGCCCACACACGATGCGTCGCATCCACGGACCGTGTATGACAATGCCCGGACGGAGAAGGAGGCGCGCGGGGTTGCGTATACGCGGGCGAAGCGGGCGCTGGGCCGCGACAGTTTCGTGATCTTGGATGGGATGAATTACATCAAGGGGTACCGGTATCAGTTGTGGTGTGAGGCGAAAGCGCTGGGGACGACGAGTTGTGTGGTTAGTATGCCCTCCCCCCTTTTCTATTTTTTTATTTATTTATTTTATTTTTTTTCTGTGCGGGATGTTCACGGGCTAAGCGCTTGTAGGTGCATGTCGGCTCTCCCGTTGACCAGTGCGTCGCCAACAACGAAGCGCGCATCCGTCGTCGAGATGCGCAGCGCGAGAAAGTCGCGGAGGAGAACACTGCGAGTCAGGGAATATCCCCGGAGACCCAGTCGACCCCAACCAGCGACACCTCGCCCAATTCAGAGGATGAAGATACGGAAGAGCCCTACCCCCCGGACCTCCTCAACAACCTCATCTTTCGCTACGAAGAACCCAGCACCCACAGCCGCTGGGACAAGCCCCTCTATACCGTCCCCTGGAGCGATCGGGAGCCACCCATCGCCGAGATTTGGACCGCGCTCACAGGCCTCCCACACCCATCCACAACACCCACCCTCCCAGACCCCAGCGCGCAAGTCGCAGCCCTCACCAACACCCTCGCAGCAAGCACCCTCGCCGACACCGCCAGCATCGGCACCTCCGCAACAGCCTCAGCGCGCACCCGCACCATCAACCGGCCACGCATCAAACCCCACCAGGCCACCGTCCAGCCCACAGCAACCGACTCCTCCGCCCTCTACAGCATGGAGAAATGCACCTCCTCCATCGTCGCCGCCATCCGCACCTTCACCCTCGCCACCCCCTCCGCCGAGTCCGCCCTCGCCCAGTCCCCCGACCCGCGCGGCATCGCCATCCCCGTCCCCGACGCCGCGGCCCCCATCTTCGTCCCCGCGCACGTCGCCACCGCAGCCGCGTCGGACGAGCTGGCCGCCGCCGGTGGCATCCTTGCCCTGCCGCGCCTGCAGCGCCTACGCAGACAGTGGATCGGCCTCAACCGCGCGTATGTCGGGAGTCATGCGTCGGCCGTGAAGGGCGGGCTGGCGCCTGCCCAGGTCGGGGATGCGTTTGTGCGGTTCCTGAATGCGGAATTTGCCGGCGAGAATGGGCTTTAGATTGTGTCAGGTTATGTCGTGCCATGCAGCGAGAGAAAAAAAGTTTCTGGGCTTTGGTCGTTCTTTTTTTTTTTTTTTTCTTTCTCTTGGGTTGGGTTGCAATGGGCCACGGCTGTGGTTGTCATGATTAATGAATTCCCTATACTATACTATACAATACATAGACCTAGGAACTTCTGTCTGTTATCTGTCGAAGCTCTCATAGTTCTCGAAGTGGTACGATACGATACTCCTACAGAAGAGGACGAAGATGTCAAATCAAAGAATTGCTATATATATCAACTTTTCAACGACAAAGTATTCACACCAAAAGACGAAACAAAAAAAAACAATATCCCAACATCAAAAGAACGAAGAAACAATCAAATAGAAACAGGGGGGGGGGGAAGAGTCTAAGATAAAGTAAATACCCGAAGTAAATAGAATCCTTCCCATGTACGCTATTCCCCGTACATGTGTTTTCTGTCCTGTCTGTCCCAGATTTTGGTTCTGTTTTCGAGTCCCTCAGAGGGATCAGCTGCATAACACGAGTTCCACCCATTATAAAATGTTATACAAAACAAATATGGAGTGTACACCTGTACCTCCGCAGAAGCGAAAAAGCGTCAAAGCCAGGAACATAGAAAATGGCACAGCCCTTTTCTACTGAGATGAATCTTGTCATCCGTCTCTTGGCTTCCGAAAAATGCAGGCTCCCCGCTGCGCCTTTAGCGAAGGAGCGGTGCCACCTTGGGAGTTTGACGCTTCCACCGTACCGGCCCAGGATAGAGTCCGGTACTTTGTTCAAAGAAAGAGCTCCGATGCAAGACGTTACTAGCGCAAGGCGTGTAAGTCATGGCGGAAACTCTCGGGTGCATGAGAGGGAAAATCCTTGGGACACAAAATAGCAGATCCAATAACCAATATGGAAAGCTTTCCGGGGCGTGTCTGTGGTTTTTCCTCATGTATCAGGATATGACCCCATTGCGGATTCCGAGCATCATGAGAAACCAGGATTCCAAAGATAGAATCGCAGATGGGACATCTTGATAAGGGAGAAAAGTCAAAAGAAGAAGAGGTGAGGCCAAATAGTGCGTTCACGCGGGGAGTCCGTTGGGAAGCTGAGCAGCAGCCTGGCTGGCGTCAATGCGACGGAAGTTCAGTCCCAGGGTGATCAGCTCCTGAAGGCTGGCATTGACCTTCTCATGCATCGAGCCATCCTGGGGGGTGAGGTTGCTGATCTCCTCGAGCAGCCGAGCGCGGCAGTTGTAGTAGTTTCTCTCCGCGTTTTGAAGTCTCTGGCTGTGCTGGCTGGTGGCATGTTGCGCGGCCTTCAATGGGTTCGTGTGGGACTGGGTGGATCTTGTTCTCTTCAAGGTCTGCGCACCAGAGGTCCCAGTGACTCTGCGCTTCCGTCCAGCAGTTTCCTTCTTCTTGGGAGCTTGAATTCCGGAAGGAGAAGTCTCGGGGGAGCTCGGTCTCTCCGAAGAGGCATAGTCGTGGACACGACGCATGTGGTCGAACAGGTTCCATCTGCGAGGGAAACCAGACCCCGGAATGGATCGGTCACATCCATCGAAAAGGCAAAGGTGGGGGTTCTCGCCATGGCCGTGCAATCCATGAGCCTCACGCTCGTGGCGGAACAGGCACGCATTGGATGAGAACTGCAACTGCGCCTCAATGCAAGCGGGAGCCTTGCAACGGTATGGCTTCAAGTGAGAATCAAGGTATTTGCTGTCGATCCAATCAGTATTTGTTGAATCGCCGGCCAAAAGAATATCAATTGGTACTCACTGGTAGGCGCATTTTTGGGTGGTCGGGGGATGGTTGCATGACTTGTCTCCATTGGCAAATGGGCAGTAGTACTTTCCATCACTATGGGTTGGATAGGAATAGTATGGGTGGTCGCGGGGGTTCCGCGACTCTGTGTTCTCCTTGGATCTCTGACGGGATGGTTCCCTCACCGGGAGGGGGGGGAAGAATTCCTCCTGCTTGACCTGGGATTGAGATGTGGGGGAAGATGTCTGCAGAGTGGGTCTGCGAGCATTTTTGGAAGGGCGGATGGTCCTGTGAGAACAAAAACAAAAACCAAGTCAATATACATCTTACTTGAGGGCACAGTCATCCGTGACAAGTCAGTACTAACCTGTTCGGATCCTGCTCACTGAGAGGCGGGGTGAGAGGAAAGAGAGGATCTCCTAAGTTGATTCCGTGGCTTGTAAGCGGAGTTGCGGTGACATCCTTGAGCATGGCATCCTCGTGGGTCATGAATGAGGGGTATCCAGTGTGGGAGCAGGAAGAAGTGACGGAAATGTCATTGCTTGCTTCAGTCAATGGGGGAGAAACAGGCATAGGTTGAAAGAGGTTGGTGGCAAGGTGATCCAGGGTAGATGCGTGGTAGCTTCGGGTGTCTGCCATGAGGGAATTCCATGTGTCATTGGTGGTATCAGTGTGAGAGCTATGCCCAACGGAAAGAGCATCATCAGGAGTGCAGGGTTGTGTTCCATTCTGGCCACAAGCATCATTATCATAAGCAGCAAAGTCCACCAGGGAAGAGTAATGGCTGAAATCATGAGCATGTGAGAAGTCCAGGTCATTATGTTCTCCGATGTCCTGGTAATCGGCTCCTGTGTGGTAGATCACATCACTGGGTCCCACGGTAGTAGGTAGAAGCTGTTGAGACAAAGAGAAAGAAAGCATTTGAACTTCAGGAGATTCGGGCTTGCTCGACGAGATGACACCATGATCGAGTGCATCTGCGTCGCTCAAACCCCATGACTTCAGATCGGTTCCATGGCTATGATGTGTACTGGAGCACAAAGAGAAGTTATCCTGGCTTGAAAGGTCATCATCCTGGATCATTCTTGGGGCCATATTTGAGATTCCCTGGGTGTGTCTCGGCTGAGAGATCTGGTCCATATTTTGCAGAGCTGACTGGGACAGAGAAACCCGCTCCGGGTCGTTCTTGATAGTGCAAGACATTGTGATTGTGATTTATAAATCCAGCTATGACTGGAGAGCAGTAGTCAAAAAGACACGCACAAGACTAAAAGACGCAACTGGAGTCAGTAATCCACCTTTCTTTCACAAGAGATATTATAGTAAAGACATTGCTTGAAAATAAATGAAAGGAGGCCATCCTAAGATCCAGATTTTGACTGATGCGACACCATTGTCAGAGGCCGTTTGCTTGCTGTCGGACATCATCAAGGTGGTCGGTGTTGGAGTCGTCGATCAAGGGGGGCCTGGTCATGTCATTGCAAGGTCCAGTTGAGTTGAAAGATGAGTTGTCTACCATGTCGAGAATCAATGAACGGGGAAGGCTGGTCATGATGGCGATATCAAAGAAAAAAAGCAATGCTGAGACACGCTACACGTCGAGGAGTCGGTCCTGCGAGGGGTCCTGTTTCACCTTCGTATAGTCCCTCGGAAAGGAAGTCTATGTGAGACTACAAAGTGCCGAGGGGAATGGTGGGTCCAGAGAGATCAGATGAGGTGTTGATTCCAGAGAAGCAGTCGATGATGACAAGTGATACTGATTTCCAGGAAGAAGCATATTCAAAAGAGTCCACGGGGATTCACGGAGCTATGGCGTACTAAAGCAAAACATAATTTGCAATCCATCAATGGCAGAGAGAAGGTCCAGAAGTATCCGAGGCATGGTCATTGGGGCCAAATATCCAGTCAAGAGTCCAATTCCCACCCCAGGCTTGGAGTGGGAGATCCAGGTCAGGGAAAACAAGACGAAGTCCTGAGGAAGATCAAGTGCAAGTGTGCAACATTAAGCAACACTTTTGAGTGTCCAGTCTAACAGCGGCTGCTGAAGACATTGGCATCCAGGGGAGAAATCATCATTCATAAAGCTGTCACAAGACAGGAAGGTCCAATCTGGCAATGCAGATATCAAAGATCAGAAGTCCACATGGGGTGGCTCTGGCCAGAGATGGTTGTCGATCAAGAGGTCCAGTTGTCGAGCAGTCCAGTATGAGAGAGAAATAGTGAAGAAAGAAAATAGGAAAAAAAAAAGGGGGAACAGCAAGGAAACGATCAAGGGAACTACCTGTTATCTGTCGATGCAAAGCTTTTCTTTTTTCAGACCTAAGCCTGGAGGAGGATGAACTAAAACAGAAACAACAAGCAAAGCAGATCCTATCCGGGAGGTGGGTTGTATTCCAACGGGCAGTCTGGGTTGATGGGAGCCAGGGTGTGGTAATTCTTTCTTATTCCAAGATCCACGGATTGGACACTTGAGATGAAATAGAGATAGATATATATAAGAGCAGAAACAAAGAGCAGCAAAAGCCTTGAAAGCGAGAAGAGGCGATGGGAAGAGCTGTCGATGATGATGATGTGGGGGAGAAGAGTAGTAGTAGTGGTAGTTTGTCCTTTGGAGTCTTATTGTCGAGGGGTATCAGAGTGAGTCAAGTCGACTGTTAGTAGTAGTCTCGTGTTGTGAAGACGATGATGATATTGATGATGATGATGATGATGATGGTGATGATGAAGTAGATGAAGATGAAGAATTCAAAAGACAAGAGAACGAGGGGGGGGATCAACGGGGTTCTTATTTAGGACTCAGGATTTCTCAGGAGACTCACACACTGTGCGACCGAGAGAGGGGCAATCAGGAAAAAGCGTCCAAGCGGGATGACGGACTGGGATGGTGCTGCAGGTTTACGGAATCCGAGCAAGCCAACTGCCTCACTGAGCAGCATCGACAGCCAGTGATTTGCCTGTGCGTGCAAGTCGGCGGTGATTTCGACTGCATCTGGTCATTTCGGGTGCAGCGCCAAGTGGTGATGGTTGTGGTGCCATCTGCCAATAATGCCAATAATGGACTGTATGGAACCCCCCCCCTTTTCACCCACCAATCTTTGCGTTTTTTTGACGTGGCAGAGCTAAGGGTCACTACTGGATGTATCACTTGCAGTTGCATCATGAATGGATTCCTCTTCCAGATGGTAGTAGCGGTGAAGCGAAAGTCTAAAGCGCATTGCATCACCCAGCCGATACAGTCCTTTCTTGAAACACACATGAGGACGCAGCCAGTTCAAGAGGTACATGATGCGAGCTGGTCGATTGGATGGGAGCTCCTCGTGCAGTCGACGAGTATCCTCATGATGGTCGCTGACTTGAATGCAGGTAATCAAGCCTCCTGAGGTCCCATCGACTGGATAGCAGGTGCACATGGGAATGGCCTCTTAGCCTAGTTAGTCTACGGACTACGGAGTCACAAGTCGGGACTTCTAGCTGAAACTAATGGAACACGCCGATCCGCCAGACTATCGAACCGCTTTCCCTCCTGAGCTGCGCCAGGAGCCCATGACTTTTGAAGTCAGAAACATTCGAAAAAAGGCTCATCGTTTGGTTGAGAGCGCTACACGTCAAATTCTCATACGCGTCGGGGAACAGGGATACTCGCATGCTTTGCTCATATCTACTGCACTCAACCAGGGGGGTTAGTATGTACGGAGAGACCTGGCGGCTGGCCACTCCATCGTCCTCATCATGGCCAGCTCATTATTTGCTGCGTATACCTCTCAGCCTTGGTGCAGACGTCAGGAGAGCATTGCAGTGTCAGAAAGAGCAGAAACCGGATATTAGGGGAAGGAGTGAGGTGGGAGCGCATTTATCTACGACCGTGCATCTTCATCTGCTTAGAGCCTTAAACGTCCACTTCCTACTGGTTTGATCTGGAGCGGAATCAGCCCAGGTTGGGCAGCAATGCATAAAGAGATCAAGTTCGACGGGCGTCTAGCCCCTAAGTTCTATTCTATTTTCATTATCTCTGTCCTGGTTGGTTGATCTGGCATCTGACGACGAGGGTGATTATTAGCAACTCGTCGAAAACGATTCAAGTATGAGTCAAAGCAACTTGAGCAGCAATATGGCAGACGGGTGATGTATCAGATAGGAGCGAAAGATGGTAGAAGGTTGTCGTTCAGTGATCCGAAGACCTCAGTTGAACTATGCTTATTGGTAATGGTGATCATCATGTCAAGGACCGTAGTCCTCGCATCATCCCGTTCTGCCAAGGAAATAGGATTGCAAGGCAAACCAAGTGGGGGTTCACATGAAACACGAGGTTGAAAAGCGAAGAGGAAAAAGAAAAAGAAAAAGAACTCACCTTGTCATGATTTGATGCGAAATGCACCAGACCTCCGGAATGCCAGGTACTGAGACCCGGACCAATCTCTAAGCGTCAGTACCAATCGTCGAAAGAATAACAAATCTGCCTGCATCAAGGCAAAAGGCTGACCGGCTAGACGACAGCCTGATCATCCATTACTGGGAAAATAGCATCAAAGCCACAAGCATGGCAACGATTTCACTGACCAAAGAAAGAGGCCGTTGGATAGTTAGATAGAAGAGAAGGAAAGCAATTTGTGAGTGCGAAAAACTGCCGGTTTTGAGAAGCGAAGTGGCACGTGATATTGCATTGTTTGCACTGTCTTGCCCTAGCCTCCTAGGTGAGTAATCGGATTACCCATAAAACCGCGTGGTTTGGTGCAAACTTACCGCTGGAGCCGTCTTGGGCCGTCTCCCGGGTCGGCCCGCTCCCTCTCAACAATCCTTGGGCGACTTGACGGGAACTCAAGCAACGGCAGCTCTCAGATCTGTCTATCAGGGTCGATGCTAGAACTTAAGAAGTAAGGGTCCTTGGATGACATACATGCCCAATTAATTCTGTCAGGTACTAATCTTCCATTTTAAGCACTGCGTTCATGCAGGCTTCTCTTTAAATTCCTGCACATCATTGTTTGAATGCCTGGCTCGAAATGGCTAACAGCTTCTTGGTCCCTTACTTCCGCTACAGACTTACAGTCTGTCAAGTCCATATTGGGCTCTGATCCGGACGCATGTCATTGTAGGGCATTTTGACCCATTAGAGCAGAGCATTGGCTCAATGACTCGCAGTAGGGCATGATGCAGAGCCTTCCATTGTCTCTCGAAGCCACTGGCTGGGTTGAGCCGAATTGTGTTGGCACACCAGCAAAAAGCTGTTCACAATTTTGAGGGATGCAAAAACCATAAAATACAGTGAATAGTCTTATTGCTGGCGCATAAGCGAATGATTATAGCAATTTAACTGATTTCCTCATGAGAGGGTCGTTGACTGGATTTACAAGCAATTGGGGCAGTAGACTTTGTCGAGTAGTATCACATGATAGAAAGCTCTAGGACATCCTCATGGCTTAAGTCACCAACTCTATTTAAGGCTCATGAAGCTGATTCTACGTCTATCTTAGATCACTTTCATCTCTTCAGAGTCCTCTCGAATGCGACTATGAACTGGACAGGAGGTCGCTTGCAACGCCATTCAAGAAACATCCATGGCACTTTGGCCAGAAACCAGAAACAGAAATTTGCTAAGTCAAGGCTCCAGAGCACAAGGAAGGCCCAGAATGCTTCATTCGTCGGTGATTTTGCCATATTTGGGTCTCTGAACCAGTCGCAACAGAAGGAGGATGGGGAAGTCAGGCATGAATTAGCGAAAGTAGGACTCGTCGGTGCTCTTATTACCAAGATTCTGCTCCGGACCTTTGCGTCTCCACTTGTCTTTAGAACGATGGCTGAGCTTCTTCCTCTTATAGTCTCCTGCTACTCTATCGCGCTCACAACCGGCTCGAGATCCGCCCAACCTACCAGATCAGACGAACACCTCGCAGCTGCCAGATCGGTTGGAGCAAATCAAGCGTCGGCTTTTGGAAAAGGCCGACTGGGCAGCTGTTGGAGCAGCACGACCGCTCAAGATCTCATTCACACCGGTAGAGGAGGTTGAGCAATTTGGCAAACGACGCAAGTTGACAGAATCTGACCGTGCCAGATTAACCTCTCCCAATCGGAGGATTCTGCGGCCTGAGCCTGGAAGATCTTGTAAAAAGCCTCACCAGAATGTCTCTTCGGATATACCGGGAATTGAAGGTCTTGAGATCAGGATCAACGGGCAGCGGTGTCATGCTGGCGGGTTGGCTACGACCTGTAAGCGCTACCAGGATGCTTCGTCCCAGCCGATGCTTCTAGACAGAGATGAATACGTCTTTCCTGACCAAGCAATTCCATCAGTGCCCTTATATGGTACTACGCCCACACTGAGCAGAAGAACAAGCACGGTTGGGTCACTCTCGCCTCTTCAGAATGAACCAACAATTGCTGGTTCATCGACACAATCATTGTCTCGCACACGATCACTATTTTCTGAGATTGACTCGGGGCAGTCAATGGCTTCTAGTCGAGTAGCGCGATCCCAAGTCTACGAAATGAGGTTCTTCGGTCAGATACCGGAACAGGCAACGTTGGCACCGTCGAACTCTCATGCTAGCGTCCAGCTAGAGCCGACTATGAGAAGGCGCTTTACAATTGATGATCAGATAGCCGCCGAGGGGAATCAAGCCCTGAGGAATACAATCACGACAGACATTTCACGCAGCGTCTATCAAAGACAATCACTAGACGAAAGAAATTCTAAAACCCCCCTTAGGCACCTATTACCTATAGACAGCACTCCCAGTCATCATGAGCTTGACGGCGCTGCAGCAGACACGCAGTCATTGTCTGGATGGCTCCCGAAGCCAAGGTGCCGTATTCAACGACCGTTGATTTCGAATCCTCTTGCTCTCTCTCAACCAAGGTCAGTTAGGCCTGAGACCTCTGCTCGTTTCGTCCCTTCAGACGATGAATCCCCTAAGATGCTGTTCGGGCAAGATATCAGCCTTGTAGAGAGGCAAGCATACGATAATATGCTCGATTTGGTATCGACTCCGTGGCAAACTTCTCCCAGGACACGAGAACGGTCCGTGAACACCGAGAACAGAGCCACGTCAGTCTTTACTGGAACAGAGCAAAGTCTTGGGAGTGATAGAATAAACGCGCGATATTCCTCACAAAACAGGGACTTCGGAAAGGAGAGTAAAGAACAAGTATTCATGGTCGACAATATATATGCTGGCACTCCAATCCTCAGCGATAGCAATTCTGCATCCCAAAATGTCTCTAATAGAAACCGCACGCCAACTATAACCTCAAGGCAGCACTCAGAACTCGAACCCCAGAGTGCGCATAACAGCCAGCTAAGATATCAATCGCAAGAGATGCCTCAACTTGATGCAGCAGGATTTGGCGGATACTGAATTGCAATTTATGGGAAACCCATCTTTAGCAGACCCGTTGTTGTCACACAAGCGAGACTAGATATATTTGGAAGAAAGGAGCTCAAAGTGTCGCACTCAGCACCATAATCATTAGACAGACTGAAAAGGCGCAATATGAATGAGAATTCAGATTGTGTTGATTGTCTGCTGTTGTGATATTTGCGTATTTAGAAAGTCACATGCCTGATAATGGCCCAGCCCTCCGATGCTGCCCTATTTTCCTTTTCTGGGCAGCCAGACAACGTGACTGATGACTGACGGTGATAGGAGGCAACTCCGCATTGCTGCTGCCTCCGCGTCTCAATGCATCCCATCTATCAATTTGACCTTTTCTTTTCTCCAGCACACTGCTGCTCTATCAAAGGATTCTAGCAGGGATACATCGCGATAAATACCCTCACCACTCACATGTACCTTCAAAGTCACCTCCTCCTCCCTCTCCTCTCCCTCCCCCTCATCTCCTCCGCATCTCCTCTCCGCACCCATGGAACCGAACTCACCCCCCTCCCCCTGATCATCTGGCACGGCCTAGGCGATGACTTCCAACGCGACGGCATGAAGGAGGTCGCCGCGCTCGCCGACCAAGCCAACCCAGGCACCTACATCCACCTCATCCACGTCGGCGACACCGCCGCCGCCGACCGCCAGGCCTCCTTCCTCGGCAACGTCACTGAGCAGATCGACCTCGTCTGCGCCCAGCTCGCCGCGGACCCGATCCTCAGCACCGCACCCGCCGTCAACGCCCTCGGCTTCTCGCAGGGCGGCCAGTTCCTGCGCGGCTACGTCGAGCGCTGCAACGCGCCCCCGGTCCACAACCTCGTCACCTTCGGCAGCCAGCACAACGGCATCGCCGAGTTCCAGGCCTGCGGCGCCACCGACTGGGTGTGCCGCGGTGCCGAGGCCCTGCTGCGCGCCGGCCGCTGGTCCGCCTTCGTGCAGGCCCGCCTCGTCCCCGCCCAGTACTTCCGCGACCCCGCCGAGCTGGACGCCTACCTCGCCAACAGCAACTTCCTCGCCGACATCAACAACGAGCGTCCGCTCAAGAATACCGCCTACCGTGCCAACCTCGCCCGTCTCAACCGCTTCGCCATGTACATGTTCGAGGATGATACCATGGTCAACCCCAAGGAGAGCGCCTGGTTCGCCGAGGTCAACGCCACCACCGGTGCGGTGACCCCGCTCCGCGAGCGGAGTCTGTACAAGGAGGACTGGCTGGGGCTGAAGGCGCTGGATGAGCAGGGGAAGTTGGACTTTCGGACCGCCCCCGGTGGCCATATGCAGCTGTCGGAGAAGCTGCTGTCGAAGGTCTTCGAGGAGTATTTCGGTCCGGTCGAGGTGGACGTTCCCATGTCCGTTCTGACGAAGCAGTTGGGCCACTAATGATTGGGGTAGATCTCCATCTTTGCTGATTCTTATGCTCTGTACTCCTCGGAGCTGCGCTGCGCTATGCGTTCACTGACAGTACTGCTATAAATATACCCTCTCGGCCCTGTTGTATTCTCAAATGCACAGTTCCATGAACTCGAGCAATATGTTATCTGTCCTACTAAGTCTACATACGTACATACAAGATATCCTTATCACCTATTCACATAAGACCATGCATCAGCCTGCTAAATTATCCAAAACCATATGACCCGGCGCTGAGAGTACAAAGAAAATCGAAGAAAGGAGAGGGCCAGATATCTCTATGAGCAAAAGTCGACACGCGGCGCGCTGTGGCACTGCCAAGCTAAGAAATCAAACGGTCCGGGGTGTAGATAAGTCATGGGTGAAAATCAATAGAAAACAAAGGAGATAATTGGATGTTGCAGCGCAGAAGTGAAAGAAGAAGAGGAAGAATGCACCGCTGCAAAGTCTTGAGGGTATGCGCATGTTTGCTCGATGGGTTGGGTAGGTCAACGAAGCCTGTCGAGCGACCTGGGAGAAACTAAAATGTGCAAGAAAGATAGTAAGAGGAGAGGATTATCATGTTGAATGAGCCGGGCGTGACTAATAAGGAGGACGCCCGATGCCTCCGGTCGCCCGCCTTCTGCCAGCATGGCCAGCTCTGGTTCTTGGGAGAGTAGAACTGCCATTTCGTAATTGGGCGTCCATCGGCGACAGGAAGCCATTAATCAGATTCTGAACATCGCGACGCAGTGCGATCTCAGAAGGATCCGCTCCTTCGGGCATCTCTGAAGCAGCAGCAGCCGTTGCAAGACCAGTGCTCGAACGGCTCTTGTGTCTACTAAGGGTTCTACCATTCTCCGGGGCGGATTGCTCTTGCTTCCCGTTCGCGAAGATCTGACGCGGACCGGGAGCAGTCGATGGTCGATCACCATTCGGAAGCGAATTTCGAGAATCATTGGGAAACCCACCAGGGAGACTAATGGACGGCGGTAGCGGCGGTACGGGAGGTATAGCATTCGGCTGTAAACTCTGTTTGGATGGACCACCATTCAGAGCCATACTCGATGCTCGAGGAGTGTCCATGCCGTCTCCGTTCGGGGTCGTATGCCCGTCCCTCGTGGACAGTGGTCTAATCGAGTTGCCATCCGCATCAAATTCGGATAATGAGATGCCACTGACCATACTCTCACTGCTTGAGGACATGATGCTACCGTTTGAAGCGTCAAGCCGCCCCCGAAGTGGACTCAACCGGCGGCCGTTACCCTCTGTGCTCACAGAAAGAACTCGTCTTAGCTCATTGACTCGGACGGGGGACTCCCTGCTGGAACCGTTCACTGGCGACCCCGACTGCTCCGGCACACTGGTGCGTCGGAGACGCTGCAGACCTGCTGCAGCACCGAGGGAACTCTGCTGTATCGAGGCTGCAGTGGAATGAGAACTATTGCCGGCGCCGTTGACATATGCATAATTGCGGAAAGCCAATGTCCCTGCCCTAGATCCATTGATAGACATGGCTTCCACTTTCTCCTTCTCAGCTGCTGCTAAACAACTTTCTCTGGACCATGGTGAGAGCATTTGTTCTTTCACCGAGGGTGGTAGGTTAGGTTTAGTGAGATTGACTGCCGCAGATCCATGACTTAAAACCGGAAGGGCTAGGTTCCGTCCTGGCGAGCCCGGAGGGCTGTGAGAGGGCGATGTCATGGATGAGTTATATGCCACTTCAATTCTGCGTACGAGCTCGTCAACGTCAGTCCTGAAAGGGGTGAGCTGGTTTTGATCGATGCCGCCGTGGTTGGTAGCCGGTTTCTCGCTGATCTGCATGATGTTGTCGATATGAGCGGCCGGCAAATGGATTCTGTCAAACCATAGGCCGCTTCTCTGACGCTTGTCTATCTCTGCTTGGATCTCGTTGCCGACTCGGCAGCCTTCCAATTCAAACTTCTCGGCCAGTGCCCACAGATATCCATAAACCAAGCTTGCAATGTTCACCTTGGCAATAGCAGGGTACAGACTCTGCTCACTTTCCAGATCGTCTTGGAGCCTTAGAACCATGGGTAGCCCAAATCGTACAGCGTTAACGCCGAGGCGATCGACAAGGGTCGTGAGGAGCAGATGTACTACCAGGATCTTCGACCCATCCGTAGGAGATTCAAGAGCAATGTCGTACAGGGTTAAATGGAAGAGACGAAGAAAGTTCAATTGCGCCACCACGGTTGCCTTCTCGCTTAGGCTCACGTTCGCGGGCCGTCTCCCAGATATCTCCACAAGTTCGGGGGATTCGCGTCGTGGGAGAGCTTTCATCATCCTGGCTGTTCCTTCTCTAGCCTTCAGGTCGTCAGGTGTTGTCTCCAACTTTAGCCAAGTCAGGAAAGCATCGACATATGCATGACGAACTTCTTTGTCGGAGTCTCGAAGGAGTGCCTGTGTTCCATCCCATACGTGAATGCCCACCGGGTTTCTGGTTTCCACTCCAGCAGCAGTGTGTCTCTTGGAATTTGCGACGGTGATGATATTCTGGATCGCCTTCAATGCTGTGATCTTTGCGATAGGTGACGGAAAGGCCTCCGTATTCGTCTCTCCAGGGAATCCTGTCCCAGTGATATTCCCATCGAAGTTATCCTGAGCGGGTACGACCGCATCAGAGGATAGTTCGTTGTTCGCGGGCTTGATGCGGCTCAAAATCGTCCTGATCATGTCAACGACTTGATCGCCATAATAGATATGCGTTGCTAGGTCTCCAATAGTGTTCTGGAGAAGCGCAAGCACCTTCAGTTTCTTCGGAGATAAGACTATATCGTTGTCTGATCGGTCGTTCCACTTCTCGGCAACAGCACCGTCCGCCGTCTTCTCACTTGCTGGGGGCGAAAGCAAGCTTGACATAAATTGCATGAGACCCAGCAGGATGTCGATAACGCTCAGGCCAATCATGTTCACCGGAGATTTCAACAGCCAGTCGATCAAATAAATGAGGTGATATGAGCGATCTACGGTCTCTTCTGTGAATTTGTCCTCGAGCAGAAGCTCCATCGCAGCTACCAGGATGGTGAAGCGAATTTGGACGGGACACCATTTGGCAATAAGTTCCATTAGGGACGTAGCCCAGCCGTCGGTCGCATCCGTGCGATCAATAGACTCCAAGGGGCTTTTGCTCAGAACGAACTGGAGCACCAACTTCGTAGTGACACGAATCTGACCACGGCTGCTTCCAGTAACGACAATGCGCTCCAAACAACGGAGCGCAAGTAAGCGCATGTCCATTTCAGCCTGCCTGTCCACATCTGCGGCAGACTGCGATGCCAATGCCGGATCTCCATCAACCGCGTCTACCGTTTGGACGGTCGCATTGCTGATCCTCCGCCGACGGCCAAGGGTGGGCTCGTGTCTCTCTGGTTCATGCAACTTGAGCTCGAAAGACACAAGTAGATTATCACCGCCAATGTAAAGATTTTCCAGGATGACTGGAAGGATCAATCGAAGCGAATCTCCACCATCCGCGGCGAGAGCGGCCTCCGAACTGACTACGCCTTTGATCGCTCGCAGACCAGCGGTCTTCCACCGAATTTCCAGCGGACCACTCGGTGCGGTGGTCAGAGTAGATGGCAGTCCAGTGTTGTCTGCAAAGTCCGCGTATGTTCGTACAACCTCCCGGTATTGGCTCGCGAAATCCTGCTCCGCAGACAGCGCAGCCATATCCTGATGCCGACAGAACGTTTCGAAGGTGGATATCGACTCTTCCACCATAGAGATATCATGAGAGCGTAGGACAGTTTCGAGGACGGTCATCACCGATCGGGCATAGATTGGAAGATCGCGGGGGACTTTCTCGATGAGCGCGCTGAGAATCTGGAGCGTAACCTGTACATTTCTGGCGGCGAGAACTCCAGGTCAGCAAGATGAGAATTTGCGACCGCGCGATGTACGCCGGCCGAAGTGCATGCATCCCTCCAGACTCACCCGATTTTATTACGCCAGACGTCCCGAGCTGCCCTCTTTTCCAGAAAGGCACCCACTTTGGTCAACTTGCTCCGGCGCGTGCTGACATAGTATAGTAAATACGACAGTTCGCTGGAATTTGGCTTCACGTCCTGAACTCCTTTTTGGTACTGGGGATAGCATTTGAGGACCAAGACCTGATGCTTGGGCCGGCACGACTGGCGCACGCTCTCCATTGGAAGGGGTGCCCGAGGGACGAAAAATCTCCTGGAACGTGTATACCAGTTGTCAACAAGCCGAGGAGGCGATGGTCTGAAGACGAGATGACCAGAGGCCGCGACCGGAGGATGTAAAGATCCAGTAGAACTAGAAAGATCGCCCTTTTCCGTAGTATGTCATGGGAAACGGATGGTAGGTCGATCAGGGGTGGATGGATCGTTGTCACTGAGGCTAGCACGAGAGAACCACCGGAGCGGGAGGAAGGAAAGAGGTTTTGAGGCTGGTTATAGGCACCAAGGGCGGGGCTTTAAGCCATGGGATCCGCGTTCGAGGGGGTGTCTGTAACTGGGGTATAAATCAATTGTTTGCACCAGGGATAATGAGGGGACTGGGGTGAGCACTGGACAATGACGCAGAGGGATGGAAGAAGGAGGACTAAGACTCGATGTTTTTCCCAGTCTCTCTTAGCGTTGTTGGTTGGCTCTCACTCGGAGTTAAAAGCTGGCGGATGGAAATCTCCCCGTGCGCCGGGCCAGCCTCTGTGTCTACTACCACTACGTTCATATCTCTTCCGTGAGAAGGAGTTTTCAAAAGAATGATATTGAGAATGCACATGGTGCCCTTTTGATTTAATTTGGATAATGAAATCGTATATCCTCAAAGGAGTGGGTCCGACACAGCACTGGATTTAGTAACTTGGCTATGTAGATAGAGATCAATGACTGAACTTTAAGATGAAGTCTTTAGTTTGATAGATCTTGAAGACATCGACTTGCATATGATCTCAATCAGTGGTATCCTTGCATAAAAGCGTATACCCAGAGGCTGTCGCAATTCGCGTATATCACATATGCCTAAGCCTTTGAGCCAGAAGCATAGACGCACTATGAACCCAGTCCCACACGAATCCCCACATTCCGAGCAACATAAATCAGGATAGCAGTGCGAACCAATTGACGAGACATTGATAACGTATATTGGTTGCAATCATTCGGCTTTGTCGCCGTTGTGCCACTGTTTTGGTCTCGCTGGCGGCCCAGGAACAATCCAGGAAATACCTCGGTCCCACATGATCCTGTTGTATGAAGGTGTACATATCAACTTGGTCTTCCATGAACCTTACGACCATGACTGTCCGTATAATCATTGTCTCCAGTGTGTAGGGTAAAAGAAACTGGGCGAATCCCATACCCCGCTGTAGATCCTGGATCTACGGAGTAAGCTGTGCAGAGTCCACCACTTGGTACACTGTTGATGAAAGCATCATCGCAATCCGGGCGGTGATGGTTGGCCACGGAAGCTGTCGGGGAATGTCGATTGCGAGGCTTTCAAGATCCATCATGTTTTCGATTCCGTATTCTCCTGTGCGTCCTGTGCGTCCTCCTCCTTGTTCTGCTTCTGCTCTCCCTCCCCTTCCTGGGTATCTTGAGCGCCCTGTTCATCGACCCCGGTTCCTGCCAGAGCCTCAATCACCTGCGGACGAATAATGTCGCGACGGAATGTCTCTTCCTGGAGAAGTCGTAATGCTCGTAGTGTCGCGCCGGGATGCGTCAAGAATTGCGCGTACTCTGGGGTTTTCCAGTAGGAGTAGAGGTAGGCAAGGTATGCCGCAAAGGCCTTCGCTTCGGGATCCGAGGACTCGTTGCTGGTCTCACCCTCGTCACCAGATTTGGAGATTCCCAGGAGATTGGGATAAGTGACCGCCAGGTGAGAGAGGTAGTAGGGGTTCGCTAGAGAAGAGACGAATTCGAGCTCGAGTGTAAAGCGAGGATTCGTTAGATTTGGCGGCGAAGATTGCTGGACTGGTCCGGGTTGTTGATCCATGGTGATATAGAGGGAGGCCGCACTGAAGGATTGACTGTTATGGTAACTGTGGGAGCTTTGAGTAGGCTGGTGTGTCTGGATTATTGAAAGGAGAGCAAGCAACTCAGCTCAGTCGGCAGATGCTGCCAAGACTCACGAGAACTGTGATGAGACAGACCCACACACCATCTGTGCTCAACACATTCATTCAAAGAACTAACTACTTCCACCACGGACATCCAAGTCTAACACTGTGAAATCATAAAGGAATGGACATTGATTCCCAGATGGTACTTGCCCGTTACCTTGTGGGAGACTGAAGTAATCAATTTACCTACTTTTAAGGATTGATATACATTGCATTATCTATATTAAGTGCCATGCTAACTGCAGAATTAACACAGAGGAGTGCTGTATATTGAATGCGGCTATCCAGCTCCAACTTGGAAATGAACCATTTTTGTTCATTTTGGCTGCCAATATGGATCATCTGCCGTCTTTGAGCGGCTATGGAGCATTTCTCCCAGGCGTATAGGCCAGCCTAACTGATGAAGCTCCTCATGTCAACAGCAAGATGCACTAACTCGAACCCGAACAAAAGCCGAAGCGGATCATACTCGGCTGCTATGGACTGATCTAAGTTATAATCCATCACCCTGCGTGCTATGCATGATGATATTGGGGTGATCACACTCTCCAGCACATAGGAAATCCATCTGGAGAACACTAGCTAGCTGGATTACCGCCAACGAAATGAGCCCTTTGAGCATGCCTTGGCTCTGCTTCGTGTAGCCCTACCAGGTCTACTATCTTTCCCAATTGGAGATTTCTTCTCTGCCGGTGGACTTAATTCCATGGTCGGAAACGACAAACAGAATTACCCACGAGACAGATATCGGACGTCGGAGCCATCTTGCTACCAGCGCTTGAGCACGTTCCTTGCATGACAGGGTAACAGTGATCCACATGACCTTGCCAGCTATTAGAGCAGCAAGCTAGCATACCTTGCCAATGGATCTTGGGAGCTAGAACTAGAAGAACTGTCCGATATTGATTGGAATGGTTCTCGACAGACCACGCGGGGAGTGCTGGGGGCCGTCGCCATCTTCCATAGTACAGCTCGCGCAAACGGCCGTTATCATATCCTATATAAAACACGATTTTCCAAGGCAGGTCCCTGCATGTCAGCATCTCATCCTCTCCATGGTTCTTATCATCAGTGCCCCGGCGCCCCAGCTTCTCGGTTACAAACTCAATCGAGTCAGACCTCGGGCGAAGCTATCGGACCTGAACTATGACCAAGACCAACCAATGTGTATACCAATAGTATCACGCGATGTCTGGGTCTTCCAGAATGCAATCAAAGCACTCATGGCCGTCACCCATTGTAACTCCTGCGGCCAGCCACGTGCCCTTGGCATGGCGGCCATTGCCAAGGTGCTTCCACCCCCGTCCAGGCTTGGCGGGTGAGACTACTTGACTACGCTGTCATCCAAGCTTCTCAGACAGCGCTTTGCTGTTGCACGTGTGGGGAAAGCTCGAATCCGATTTGTCCTCTACTGGCAAGTGCACTAAAGTATCTACTGGACATACTCAGGATGCATCATGTATTGTTATCTGCCAAGACACGGGGTCTCGGTCAAACTCCTTGTGTGGTTGTACTCCGTACTCTGGCTGGAAATGGGGCCCATCCATCTGCGCCATGCACAGTGCTCGTACATGACCTGGAGGATGGGGATGACCATACCGGGTAATTTGCAAGGTGAATTGCATGGTGCGAATATGCGTCATGCAACGTGGGCCCTTGGCATCTGACGAGGAATGAGGTATAAAGGGAGACGGTTTTCTCGATGGTCGGAGCTGTTCAATTTGAAGTATCAATCGCCGCATCTCCTCTTTTCGCTGTCTCCTCAGCGATTCTGCCAGAATGAGGTTCCTTTGGATCTCCGGGGTGTCAGTCCTCGTCTCGTGCGCCCATGCTCAGACCTTTCAGCGGTTGGGTGGTTGCCCGACCCTAGGCTGTGTTTTCCCTCCGGACCAGTATGTCTCTGCCTCTTCTAACCATCAAGGGGCGCAGGAGTCGAAGTTAACCGGATGTCTTTCTTAGAGCGGACTTCCTTCCAGGTCAATATTTCGATATCCGACTGGAAGTCCATTCCCCCGTCAACGGGTCGGAGGCTCGCGTCGGTGAACCCGACCCAAATTTCAAATTTACCATCACCAAGAAGGGTGAGAAGGGTGTGAAGCCAGTACCTGCCACCGAGTACTTTGGCCTTCAGGAGCCCCAGCTCGAGAGATGGAACTTCACTTGGTATGAAGGTGAGTCAACGAAGAAAAGCAGCTCTCGAATCAACAGCGTTCCGTGACTGACTGGTGTAGATCTGTTTGCGGAGGACGCAAAGAAACCCTCTCTCGTCAATGTCACTTCCAAGGCATACAGAAGGGTGGCGCTGCATGAGCCGGGAGAGTACGAGGCGACTTTGACCTACTACGGAAACCAGACAACCAAGGCCAACTGGCTGGTGCGTGATCTCTCCAAGAAGCGTCGTGCGAAGAATGTCATTCTGTTCGTCGGCGACGGAATGACCACCAACATGATCACCGCCGCTCGTCTCATTGCTCACCAGAGCATTAACGGCAAGTATATGTCCAAGATGCAGCTGGACAAGTTCCCCGTGCTGGGCCATCAGATGACGCATTCGATGGACTCGTTCATCACGGACTCGGCCAACTCTGCGACGGCTCTCTACTCGGGCCACAAGACGACCGTCAATGCGCTGAACGTTTATGTTGACTCGTCGAAGGATCCCTTCGACGACCCCAAGTTTGAGACGATTGTGGAGATCTTCCGCCGCCGGTACCCGGGCGTTGGTGTTGGTATCGTCTCCACTGCCTTCCTGGCGGATGCGACACCGGCCGGTCTGGCCGCGCACACCAGCAAGCGTGGCGAGTATGAGCATGTCATCGATGCCTACTACGAGGGCCTGACCAAGTACGAGTGGACCAACCTGGATGGCCCCGATGTGATCTTCGGGGCGGGTGCGGAGAACTTCCTGAAGAGCAAGGATGCGTCGCGGGACTACTATAAGCTGTTCGCGGACAAGGGCTACAGCATCAGCTGGAACAACACGGCGCTGCATGCGGCCCCCAACAACACCAAGGCGCTGGGTGTCTTCCAGACCTCCAACCTGGCCACATGGCTGGACCGCAACGTCTACCAGTCCAACCTTCTGAACCAGACCAACTACCCGGATGGCTCCGGCCGCGACGCCGAGGACCTGCCTGGCCTCAAGGATATGACTCTCAAGGCGATCGACGTGCTGAATGCCCGGCACGGCAAGCAGGGCTGGTTCCTCATGTCGGAGGCGGCCAGCATCGACAAACAGATGCACAACATGGACTACGACCGGGCGCTGGGTGAGCTGCTGGAGCTGGACGACACGGTGCGCGCGACGATGGAGAAGCTCAAGGCGCTGGGCCAGCTGGAAGACACGCTGATCCTCGTGACGGCCGACCACGGCCACGGGTTCGACGTCACGGGCGCCGTCGACACGGAGTACCTCACCACACACGCCCACGACTCGGACCGCCAGAAGCGGCGGGCGGTCGGCACGTACGAGAGGTCGGGTCTCTCACAGTACACGGTGGCGGGATCCAACAGCCTGCGCTACTCGGAGGGCGTCCACTTCCCCGCGCGGTGGGATCCCCGGTACACCCTGCACTCGGGCCTGGCGGCGTATCCCGATCACCGGGAGAACTACCAGGTCCACAAGGGAGGGCCACGCAAGCCGGCTTCCGGCAGCGGTGGCGACTACTTCGCCAACTACAAGGATGCGGTGACGGGATTCCTGGTGAACGGCACGTTGCCCGTGGACGCGAGCCAGGGCGTGCACTCGCTGACCGATGTGCCGGTGTTCGCGCAGGGTCCGTGCCAGGAGCTGTTCGGCGGCGTGTATAATTCGATTGATATTTTCTTCCATATGGCCGAGTGCCTGGGGTTGTCCGAGACCAAGAAGCCTTAAGAATTAGAAATCCGAGGGAGGATTGGGGCCAGATTGGGCGGGGGGGCGAGATTCTCCGTTTGGTGGGGATAGGTATGTCATCATTTAGTTAATTATTTATAGTACTACGGAGTAGATACAATTATTTTCTTATGGTTAATTATAGTCATCGTTATCATCATCATCGTCATCATCATCAGTAGCAGCAGCAGCTGTCAGACCGATGCCATGATGTAAGAGTGGCATTTTGCGCACCGCGTGCCTGTAAAAATGTAAAATTCCCAACGGCCGGTTTTCAGCTCCACTCCTTGCATGGATACGTAAGTACATTCCATCTTGTTCTTTGCTTCCAAATAGATAGGTAGATAGATAGATATAGGATAGTGGATTCCTACTAAGACCCTTTTTTCTTGGTCATCGCATTCATTCCATGGGAAGAATGGATGGTAGTTATACGGAGTATGTGACAAGGGGCCGTGTCTTTCCTTTCTCCGATTTACATACTCTTGAGTACCTATGTATCTACAGAGTTCCAGGTAAGAAATTTAAATAAAGAATAGATCTACATATAGGATATAAGTACTCCGTACTATGGTACGATGATTGATTGAGAGTGGATAGTATCCTTCTGTGTGCACTATGCAGACTGTAAGTGTACACAGTAGAGGTCTATTATTATTATTGATTCTGGGGTATGCCAAACTGCCAAGTAGTGGAGTCAGCATCGTGTAGTTCGTACGAATACGATGCAGTATATAGGTAGTTAGGTAGTTAGGTACTACTAGGTTAAAAGGGGTCATGTAGATATATATAACTACGGAGTACGGACTACAGAGTATAACATTCAGGCACTGGAGATATCTTATCTATATCAACTATCTTCACTCTCTATAACTTATCATTTCTCCCGCTCCCCCCTTTTTTTTTAAACCCCCGACGATCAATTTGGAGTCCGTATTCCATACTACAGTAGACAAGCATTGAAGCAAGAGTTAACATACAGTAGACTACTGCTCTGTATGTACGCAGTAGTCAGGATCAAGGTAGTTAATACTCATAATTTATTTAGTTCAATCTTCTAGATAAATGACAATAATAATAATCAAGGCCATCACTCACTTCTCTTCATTCGTTCTTTTTCTCCTTTTATGTTTCTTGGCTCCGTTGCTGCCAGAGACCACAAGAGAGTTCGTTCACCAGAGTCACCAGAGTCACCAGAGTCACCAGGGGGGATCTCATTTCATCTTCTTCCTCTCCCTTCTTCTCTTCTCTTCATCATCTTCTTCTTCATCTTCATCTCATCTCATCCCATCCTCCTTCTCTCTCTCTCTTCTCTTTACTTCTTAAACAAAGAACAACACTAACAAAAAAAAAAAGAAACAATAAAGAGGCAAATCGAATCTAATAATAATTCCATCTCCCTAATCACTTCAACTATCCACGCCCCTCTTTGCGACCCTCCCAATCAAAGAGAACCGAATCCACTCTGTTATTATTCATACTCTTACTACGGATACTACTACGGGAGGACTACTAGCTACTACTAGCTACTACTACTACTACTACTACTACTACGTAGGTAGTAGTCTCCTACTCCTAGTTTCTCAGTCTCGCCCTCTCTCTCCCCCTGACGCTCCGTTAGGCGCAATCATTATTATTAAGAGCAGCGTTGTTTCACTCTCTCCTCCGCGCTGCCATTCCAGTTGCTCGAGGGATTCCTGAATACCACACACCCTCTCCTCTCCTCTCCTCCTCCTTCTCCCATCTGTCAGTCTGGCTTTCCCAAACTTGGATCTTCCCTCCTCCTCCTCCTCCTCAAGGCTCCAACTTCCTGCTTTTTTTTATTTATTTATTTATTTTTTTTTTCTCTTTCATGAAACACTCCCGACCTTCCCATCCAACATCGATCTGTCTTCCCCCTTCCCTCCGAACCGTTGATTGCGTATATCCCACGAAAAGATGAACGCCTCACAGCACCACCCAACCCTTTCATATCCCTTTCCGCCGGGCGTCTCGCTGGGCCAAGCACCTGCACCAGGTACGTCAGCTCTTCCTCGTTCATTTGCTGAGCATCTCTCTCTTCCGTTTCGCCCTTGGCGATGGTCTGTGGCATTCCTGTTTTGTATTTTGTTTCATCTCTGGCGGGGCCTGTCCATAACGCGAAGAAGTCGGGTTATATATCAAGGGTGTTCGGCGCTGGGCTTTGGTGTCACCTCAGATCCACAGCGTCTCCATCTTCTCTCACTAACAACTCTGACTGTGTCATCCAGACGGTCAGATTTCTCCCCAGCTGGCTGTCCACCTCGCCTCCAACAACCCGTTCAGAAATCGCGCTTTGTCGCCTGCCAACTCGACCCGACCGGAACGACCAACCTCGACCAACCCTTTCCTTGACGATAACGACAGTCTTTCTTCGCCGCGGTCGGCGCCCATTCAAGGCACTCTGTTCTCGCCAATCGAGCAGCAAGACATGACTTCCAACACGCGAGATCTCTTCGTACGTCTTTCTGTCCTTCCGGACGCTTGACAGGATTGGGACTTTTTTTTTTTGTCTAACCTTCTGTTCCTGCAGGAGAACCTGAGTCTCAATTCTCAGACTCAAAACAACGGGCACCGCACCGCCCCACCCCCCCCTGGCAATGGCTTCTCCAAGCTCCCCTCGAATACACGACCGCCCCCCGCGTCCAGAGACCGACAGGACCAGCTAGCAAAGGACCCCTTTGACATCTTCGCCGATCCTCCTTTGACTAAGACAACCAGTCGCTCGGGCGCCAGTCGTGACAGGGAGCGGGAACGGGAAAGGCGACCGCGGCGCAACTCAGAGTCGTCCGTCATGGACCGGCCAAAAATGCTGGATCCTGAGGATGAGAAGCGTCGCCGGGAGCGGCGCCGTCGCGAACGGGAGGCCGGCCGACCCCGGGATGGAAAGTCCTCTCGGTCCAAGAAGTCCAATTATCAGCTCGACATCATCGATAAACTAGATGTCACGAGTATCTACGGCACCGGAAGTAAGTTGCATTCGTTACAGCATACCCCGGTGCTTCAAATAGAAGGTCTGTACTAAGTTGTTGCTGCTGCTGCTACAGTGTTCCACCACGATGGCCCGTTTGACGCCTGCAACCCTCACCGGAACCGCAAAGGATCGCGCACAGCTCCTATGCAGGCCTTCCCCGAGGACTCTTCCAACATGGCCCTGGGAGGGGCCGGACCCAACAACAAGAACATCAATCTTGATCTATTCCACGGGACAATGGAGGAAGGATTCAATGATTATGGCGCCACTGCCGCGCTGACTGGCGACACGGTCAACTTCGACCCCAAGGCCCGCATTGAGCCCATCCATGGCGCCGAGAGCATGGGATTGGGAACGAGTACTTTCCTGGAGGGCGCCCCAGCCAGCCGCGCCGCAATGCAGCGCCGAACGAGCGAGAACGAGAACCAGTTCGGCCAAGGTGGCGGCCTCCAGCGGAAGAAGAGTCTTGCGCAGCGCCTACGGGGCATGAACCGGCCGCCCGGTGGACGCATGGTATCGCCAGATGCTTCCTATAACGCTCCCTTCAGTTCGAGTCAGTCCGGGTCGCTGCGTACGAATGAGAGAAATCCGTTCTTCCAGGACTACGACGATGCATGGGACAAGAAAGGCGCCCGCATCAGCTCCGTCGAGGAATCTCGGTCCGGTCATGAAGGTGGCCGCGCCCGATCCTCAAGTAGCCCCAAGCAGAATACCACCCTCGAGAGACGACACACCAATGAACGGTCCGCTGCTGGATTCGAAGAAGGCAAGACCGGAGGCGGTGGAGGCGGTGGCTTCATCAATCGAATGAAGAGTCTTCGGAAGCCTCGGCCCGAAAGACGCATCAGCAACGACTGAGCTGTCTTGGTCGGTGGCTGGGTACCCCCTGGAAAAACTGTTGCCTGCCCCCTTGTGTCTTAAATTCCTTAGTCCCATCGCTTGTATTCGACCCGATTAGCCCGATTTGGAAAGCAACGGACGGGTGGATAATGCGCCGGGGAGCCTGGAGACGTCGCTGCGCCGGACTTGCCGGGACCGAACATCTTGCCATACTCGTAATACTGATCGTATTCGCGCGAAGGGGACCGACTCTTCCCCGTGACACCCGTCGACTTTTGTGAGAGAAGAGCATGAACCGCATTGCATACAGTGATATCTTCTAGCGCATCGAATTGTCGATCCGACGGCCGCGACGGCTCCCGGGCCACCGTATCACGGCATGGAACAGCGATACCCGGAGGACATATTCTTTTCGATTGTAGGTTACCACTCCCTCGTGCAGGGATCGGCGTTGGAGGAAATCGAGATTCCATGTCACATGTCACATGTCATGTGGATGTTGTGGCGTGCGCCAGGCGTGCTGTTTGTTTGTTTGTTTGTTTTTTCCCCTGCTTTTTGTCGTTGTCAATCTGCATCTTCCTGACGAGTCATGTCGCTTATATCCCTCTCTGCAATACTGTGCATTGCTAGTTGCTTACGGATCCACCTCTCCACATCGAAGTATTGCCTATTCTGAGCTTGATCAGAGTCGAGCAAGTTATTAAACCTACTCTGTCGTCCGTAGTCCGTACGTAAATAATAAGTGACCTTGCCTTGCAAGGTGATGCAATGAAACAGCCATCTTTCTCCTTGCTGCACTCGATATACACAAAAAAAACGAACCCGAACCCGGACCCGGACCCCCGATAGAACATAGAACATAGAACCTAAAACCCCCATGCGAACCAACCCCCAAACCAACCCAAATCAAATCAAAATAAATCAGAACCTCATATCCAGGACCGAACAGAGCAATGAGCAACAGGAGAAGAATCATGAAAAGGCACGCAACGTATGTGTATGGTCATTATGTAGTAGGTAGTAAGTAGTAAGTAGGAGCAAAGAGTCAGAAGTCAGCGACTCCCACGACTCTCACGCTCACGCTCACGCTCTGGTCGATTGACTCGCGCGCAGAGCGTAGGGGTTCGGGGCGGGGATGCCAGCTCGCCGCTTGGATTGGGGTTTGGGTCTGGAGAGGGTGTATCTGTTTTGAAAAATGCAAGTTAGGATTCATATTCATGTTGACGATGGTAGAGAGAGGAAAAAAGGGGAAGGGGTGGGGGGACACATACTTGGCGAAAGCTCTGGAGAGGGCCTTCTTGCAGCTGATCTTCTGGCTGGCGATAAAGGAGTCGACGGTGACGGCGATGGCGCGGTCGATGTCCTGGGCGGAGCAGTACTCAGACAGCCGCATTTTGCAGAAGGCCTCGGCGATCCGCATGATGGCTTCCAGGTGGCGGACCTAAGTTGGAGAACGGTTAGTTTGTGGTATTATAGGAATGGAGGAGGCAAAAGATTAAAAAAAAAAAAGACTTACGGTGATGGGATACGCGCCCGTGGCGAGCGACTCGCGACGCATGTCGGCGAACAGGCGTGCGACCTTGTCCTGGTCGATCTGGTACAGCTTGGGGCGGCAGCGCTCGCGCGCGTACAGGATGTACTTGCGCAGCAGCTCCTGCGGGATCTCGCCCTCCTTCTCATCCTCGGCCTTGCGTTTGGCGGCCTCGCGCTTGGCGGCTTCCTCAGCCGTGGGAGACAGGCGGTTGCCGTTCTTGTCTAGCCGGTAGCCTTCCTCGTCGATGTGGTTGCCGTCCGAGTCGATCAGGTTGCCGTCCTGGTCGCGCAGTGGGCGAGTCGGGTTGGCGCGGTGGTGCGACTCAACCACGAAGTTGGCCAGGCGCTCGTCCTCGTTCGGGTCGACCAGGTCGCGCACGACGCAGAGGATGTCGAAACGCGATAGGATGGGCTCGGTGAGCTCGACGTTCTGCGAGAAGGGGATCGTGCTGTTGTAGCGTCCGCCGATGGGGTTGGCCGCCGCCACCACCGCACACCGCGCCTGGAGAGTGGTAACGATACCGGCCTTGGAGATCGAGATGGTCTGCTGCTCCATGGCTTCGTGAATCGAAGTCCGGTCCTGGTCGTTCATCTTGTCGAACTCGTCGATCAGACACGTGCCGCGGTCCGCCAGAACCAGGGCGCCACCCTCCAGCGTCCATTCGCTGGTCAGAGGATCACGACGAACGCTGGCCGTCAGACCGACAGCACTGGCACCTTGACCGGTCGCAAAGACCGCCCGGTGCGCCGTCTTCTCCACGTACTTGAGCACTTGCGACTTGGCCGTACCGGGATCACCCAGCAGGAGCACGTTGATGTCTCCACGGATGGCCATCTTACCCTGAGCTTCCTTGCTCACACCGCCGAAGAGCGACAGGGCAACCGCGGTCTTGACATCCTGGTGTCCGTAGATACTGGGTGCAATGGAGCGCACAATCTTATCAACAATGTCGGGGTCCCTAGACAAGGCACGAATCTGCCTCTCGTCTTCTTCTGTCAGGTGGAAACCAGCCAGCTGGTCGTGCGACTTGACAACATGATTCGCCTCAATGATCGTGGCGAAGACGGGGAAACCGTTCTTGTTGTTGAGCTGTGCATCGTAACTGTTGCGGTAGATACCGGTCACCTCAATCTCGTCACCGGGCTTGGCCGAGTCAATGAGATCCGCAAGCAGAATAACTTCACGCTGGCGCGGCAGTCGGCCGGCTGGCACAGAGCCGGGTGACTCTTGCAGCGTCAGCTTCTGGTAGTTTCGATACACGGTCTTTTCCGAATTGACGGTAAACGGCCCCTTCGACTGGCAGTTCTGACAGTAGGAAATCTTCACCTCCGCACTCGCCTCCTGCTGGAAGGGGCCCAGAGTGATGTTGCACTTTTGGCAGATGAACATGACGTACTTCAACTGCGGGAAGACACCACTACGGCGAGTGACCACTCCACTGACACGGACAAGGCAGTTCAGATGCGACTGGCGCAGCTGCCGGAGGGTATAGACAATCGGAAGATCTGTTATCCGAACGTGGATCTCGTTGTGGATATCATGATACTGAGGGTAGTGGAAGAGGGTCACATCCAGCGCGACCTGGTCGAAAACCTTGAGAACTTCCGTTGGCTCGTTGGCAAGGAAGTAAGAAAGAGCAGCCTTGGTGTCGGTCAAATGGATGTAGTTGACCTCCAGCGATGCCGAATTGACTTCACCAAGGGTCTTGATCTTATTTCCGTAAACCGATTGGCCAGCTTGATCGGTAAATTCCGTCAAGAAAGCCTTGAATTCTCGATAGATGGAGCGCAGAACTTGGGGCTGCAGCACCCACTCTGTAATATTAGCAGCCTTGACATCGGCCAACTCCTCCAGGGAGAGCTCTTCCAAGGCATCATCACCCATCTCAATGTCTTCACGATCCTCATCATAAAGGTGTCTTCGCCGACGAGGCTGGCGGGTAAGGTCTAGTTCGCCTTCGTCGTCTTCCTGCAAGAAAGCGGCGGGCATGCGACGGCGACGCTGCACCTCGCGATCTCTTCTGTTCAACCGAGCGTCGAGCTGACGACGAGTAGCAAGGTCAAGCTCTTCATGGTCTCCTTCATCGTCAATATATTCGCCTCGGTAACGATCATTTGCGGCATCTCTGTAATCTCTCTCGAAATTGTCTCCGAACAGGTCGATTCCATCTTCATCCTCAGCCATCTCATCAATGTCGTCAATGTCTCCCAGAAGCTCGGCTTCTTCATCTCTTTCGTTGTCATCGTCATCAAAGGGGAGCATAGGAGGGGAGGAAGGGGGCGCTTAAGAGAGAAAAAGTCAGCCAATGTTGGGTTCAACAATCCTGACCATCCTATCACAACTTACGACTCGAGGGAGGAGCAACGGATGAAACCTCATCGTCAGGCTCTCTGGATCTTTTCCGTCTATTCAATCTCCCCAAGCCGCGATTGGCAGCGGAGGTGCTGGGACGGAGTGGTGAACTGCACAAAATTCGTTATTACACCGAGCGAGAAAACGCAGAGACTTTTCTCTAGCACTCATTAGGGTGTAGGGACACCGTCACATACCTCATTATGTGTGATGGTCAGCCTGAGGGGTGAAGAATGAGTGAAACAGACTGAAATGAAGAATCCCTCGGAAGGTTGCTTGGAGGACGGTCGGTTCCGTAGCAATAATAATGAGGTCCTGGTGGGAGGAAAGCAAAGGGAGAGAGAATCCTTGGCGGCGTTGGTGCGGCTGCAGAAAAGACGCGTCGAGGCGCGACAGTCACGCGTCGAGATTTCAATTAAGCCCCGATTGGGAAAAGTCACCTAGAGTGGGAGACATCGATGAGAGGATCTACTTGTCCACGGGTCAGTAGTACTAGATGAAGAACTCATGTAAACTATTCTGTAGTATCTGTTAGAAGCAAGATCTCTCATTGGTGCTGTTCCATCTGTTGCGAAGATATTATTGTGTAGTGTAGTGGCACATTTGCGCACATACAGCGCATGTAATCGAGACAAGAGTAAACACACCACCACTGCAATAAGACCAGACCGAGAGAAAGAAGAGCTGATAGACATACGCATCGCATTCTTCAATTCATACCACATTTTCATTATACCCTACTCCTGTCGGCCCCCCGATGTTGCTGCAAATGGCCAAGCAAAGAGTCAACGCTTTGCAAACAGAACAAACACCAATGCGCTCGCACCGCATCGCCATTAGGACCAGGACCTGATCCAACGCCTTCGATCTATCACTCTTATTTGGTATCCTCTACTTCATTATCAATCAAAATCAAGCGAGCTCTATAATCGTGCAACAGTAGCGACGCAAAAATGAGCGCATCCGACTCGCTCGCGCCACTTCCCAGCGACCAGCAGAACGGACAGGATGCTGGGAAGCGCAGAGAGAGCTTCAGCTCTCAGAACTCGCAGACTGCGAAAGAGTAAGACATGACCCGGCAGAATTGCCAAAGGCATTTATGCTTTCGACTATTCTTGTTTCTCTTCTGACTAACACGCCCTGACTCGCAGATTCATCGAATCGCAAATGCGCCTCGAGGCCGACGCTCGCGAAATCCTACCATACGTGAGTTGGTCTTTCCCAGAAACCCGCAAGCCCAGCTGATACATCCTCAGTCATTCAACTCCTGCACACAAGCCCTAGGGCCCCTTCGGCAGAGTCTATTCGCCTGTCTTACCTGCAACCCTCCCACCGACGGACCAGATGCGCCATACACTGCCGCTGGGGTCTGCTACTCCTGCTCCATTGCATGCCACGGTGAACATACGCTCGTCGAGCTCTTCAACAAGAGAAGCTTTGTCTGCGACTGTGGGACAACGCGCGTGCCATCGGGCCTGCCTTGCACCCTGCGCAACGACCCAAAAACCGGGGCCAAGGGCGTTCGCTCGGAGGAGCCCGCGCCAGGGAACAGATACAACCACAATTTCGAGAACAAGTTCTGCGGCTGCGGCGAGGAGTACAATGCTTTCGAGGAGAAAGGGACAATGTTCCAGTGTCTGGGGCTGGGCACTGTTGAGACCGGCGGTTGTGGCGAGGATTGGTGGCATCCAGAGTGTCTTATTGGGCTACCAAGAGACTGGTATACGAAAGCAAAGGCCGAGTCAGATGATACTGTGAAGGAGAAGCAGGATGTTGAGGCGGCGGATGAAGATGATGGAGATATGCCTCTTCCGCCTGGATTCCCAGCTGAGGACGATTTCGAGACTTTCGTCTGTTACAAGTGTGTTGAATCGAACCCCTGGCTGAAGCGGTATGCCGGCACGTCAGGCTTTCTTCCCGCGGTCTATAAAGAGGGCGGGTTGTCGACAGCTTCAGAACAGCAACAACCCACCGCTCAAGCTTCCCCTACACCGTCGCAACAACCAATTAACACTAAGAAGCGCAAAGCAGACGGCGATGAAGCGGAAGAAGGATCGGAAGAAACCACCGAATCATCCGCGAAGCGACCAAAGGCAGAAGACCCCGACAACCAGACCACCCCAGCACCCAACCCAGAACCCACACACCCCGAACCCGCCAAACCCAAGCACGCCTCTCTCCCCGACCCACCCCCCACAGCCACATTCTCCCTCTTCCTCAAAGAAGACTTCCGCGACCACCTCTGCCGCTGCCCAGACTGCTTTCCGAACCTAGCCAAACACCCGCAGCTCCGCGAAGATGAGGATACCTACGAGCCCCCGCTCTCAGAGGACGGCGAGGCCAACGGCGGCGGCAGCACGGGCACAGGCAGCATCTACGACCGCGGCGAGGCGGCGCTGAGCAACATCGACCGCGTGCGCGCTATCGAGGGCGCGATGGTCTACAACCACCTCCGGGACAAGGTGAAGGAGTTCCTGAAGCCGTTTGCTGAGTCCGGCACCGCCGTCGGCGCGGAGGATATCAAGGCGTACTTTGAGAAATTGCGTGGTGACGAGCAGTCGATCAAGGAGGCTGCTGCGGGCCGGGTCTCAGCCTCTCCAAAGGAAAATGGTGATGGGAAGGATGAGGGGGATGGGCGCAAGGAACAAAGTGGTATGTTTTGTTTCTTTGGTGTATGTGGTTTCTGTGCCGACTCTGTTACTGACGCTAGGCAGGTTATTGATGTTGCAATTCGTGACTGATGATTCGCATATGGAAGGGTTTTTGCTTTGATTTTCGCCGGACTGGCTGGATTAGGTAGGGAGTGAACGAATGATTCATGGAAATGGGTGCTGGCATCAGGTACGGCAGGAAAAGAATGGGATCGATACTGCCGCGAGACAATCAATTTCTCTTCAGTCATGTTATGTAAACTTGATAATCTAATAATATTCAATTGATTGTCCCACTTGTTGCTTTGAGCTGGTATGTACACCAGTATACAATAAATACTCCACCCTGTGTAGACTGTAAAAGGAGACAGCAGCAGGCGCCAGCAACAACACCGACACCAAATGTCTATCTATCCAAATTGCCAACGCCAGTCCCACGCCAAGCTCAAATAACGCCTGAAATGCAGAGATGAAAACACTATGACAATAGAGCAAAACACGCCGGTCACTCTTTGAGACGTTTTGCAGCCCTGCCCATGAGGCTGTCGTCCGGTAATCCACTCCGTTTGGTACCAGGCAAACTGCCAGAGCGAATATCGTTATCATCCTGGGTGACGCGGCGATGGGGGTATTTGCCCTCGTAGCCCGCAAAGCAATTTGCGGTGATCGGAGTCCCGGTAGTGAAGTACGGATGCTCTAGTGCCTCTTGGGCAGAGATCCGCTTGAGGGGGTCGTATTCAAGCAGCCGAGAAAGCAAGTCGAACCCTTCGGGACCGGGTGTCCCAGCGCTAGATGTTGGCGAATAGCCGTTGTTCTTCAAGCAACTCTGGTACCAACCCTCCAGGTTGGACTGCCGGTTGAGATGACCCCTTGCCATCGCTAATGACTGCAGTTGTGAGAATTCGGGCATTGCCACTAAACCAGGCCACGTTTCCTTTCTGGGTAACCCCATGATCTCGACGATCTTCATCATCTGATTGCGTTGGAAAGGCACTGTCTTCTTGCTGTCCATCTTGGCTTCTTCTCCTTTGAAGATCGGTCGAAGAGAGAGCAGTTCCGCGAAGATACACCCGACTGCCCAGAGGTCCACGGCTGGCGTGTAATGTCGACTTCCCATCAACAGCTCGGGGGCCCGGTACCAAATCGTGACGACGACTTTATCGCCCGAGTAGAGAGAGTTAAGAGGTTTGTAGAAAAGACGAGCAAGTCCTAGATCACCAATCCGAACAGCACCACTGGATGTTACCAGAATGTTGGCTGGCTTGAGATCACGGTGCAATACCCAATTTGTGTGAAGGTAAAGCAGGCCGTTCAGCAGTTGGAACAGTATTGATTTGATCATCGGGGCCGGGATGGCATGTCTTTGGGGCTGAGTGTGGTGATGAATGATCTGAAGCAGGTCATGCTCGGTGTACTCGAATACCATGAAGATGCACTTGTCTTCTAAAATGATCTCCGCCAGCTGCACTACGTTGGAATGATCCAGTTCTGAGCATAAAGACATCTCACGAATTGCCGATTGTGAGAGACCCGTGTACTGGATAATCTCACCCTCTTTATCAGGTTTAAATCTTGGAGTGGTTAGTGTCTAGTATCGTTGTCAAGATCAAGAGTATGTATGCATGCTCACTTTTTAATGGCAAACTCGCCTTTTCGACCATCTTTTCCAATGGCTTTATAGACGCGGCCATATGTACCACTGCTGATAAAACCCACAATGTGATACTTATCCCGCACTCGTACCTTGCTGGTATAGCCAGTACCAGAGGGTTTTCTCGGATCTAAGCTATCTTCAGATGGCGGAAGTTAGCATGTCAAAGGATCTTGAAATGTTGGAGAGATCGGATCCAAAAATGTATGAGAAACCAGGAGTGGATATAGCAGGAATAAGAACGTAAGAAAATGAAGAGAGTTCCGTAGAAGAGAACGCGACCTTGAAACCAGGAACGGCAAGACACAGCATTGGGGTAAGCTCGGAGGGGAGAAGAAACCATTACCACGTGGATAGAACCCGCCGATGGAGTTGAAGAATGGAAAGTTTCTTCCAAACATGATGGGTTAGATACAAAGAAGATCAGAGAAACAGGAAACCGATGTGATTCTCAGCAGACACTGGATACAAAGGTTTTCTATCTTTTCCCTTTGTAACAAGCTATACAGCTTTCTTGGCGACGGTGGAACATAGGCACACCTCAAAATCGAAGCCAAAAAGGGAAACCTTGACAATGTAGAGAGGAGCGGCAAAGAAAGGAGAGAAAAAGATGGGCGGTCTGGGGTCTGGCTGTGATGATTATATGGTGACAAAAATGATATTAACCAGCATTACCATCAAGAGCAGCCTGCAAATTCCTTTTTAAAGATAGATTCTGGCTGACGGTGGCCACAACGGACCTGGAGGATGCAGTCAATGGGCCGGAAGATGGAGGCTGGTTTGTCAGACTCATGGAAGCAGCGAAAGGGTCCGACAGGGTGGAGGAACCGTTCAAACTGGGGTTGCGGTGGCTAGCTAACAGTAGTAGTGAAAGTAGTAACTCCTCCGTAGTCCGTACTGGGATCTCCTCATTAGTTGGGAGGAACGGTAGGGGGGAGTCGGATCCACGGTCGCGGTAGTGGCGTGGACAGTGCACGACGAAGAGGATGGCTCTCCACTAGACGGATACTAGAAACAAGTGCATGCAGAAGTGATGATGAGGATCGATCTCACGAGACAAATAGTCGATGAGAGTCGATGAAGGTGATGCATATTGATCTGAGTGTTTCTGCCTCGTTGAAAGCGCCGTTTCCCCTCTTTGTTAGTCAGCAAGCGTGGTTGCTTGCACGATCAGCTATCCCGGCATTCTTCATAGGAGATGTCAAGGATTGACACAGGCTGTTGGAAATTGTTATTTTGACCCTTGTTATTGCTCAAGGCTTCTTGCATATCTCTCGGAGCGTATGACGGCCTGTCTGTACGATGGGGAGGAGAGCAGCGGAATTGCTGCTTGCCATGTTTCGGCTTCCGAAGCAGATGCCTTAGGTATCCGTGGAATAGCTATCTCCAGCCTCCAATATGATCGATAGTTCAGTATCAACATAGCAGAATTGAACGTAGTCGATAAGGTCATAGGATCGATGAGATATATCTACATCAAGTGACAAACTTACATGTGTGCTCGCCGGAGAATGGAAGATAGAGGAGGTAGGTGAAGAAACATCATTGCAAGCAAGCAATGTTGACATCACGGGATCTCCTTATCCTGATAAGGGACCCGTTTCCTTCACACCGTCTAGAGATCAGGGAGATTACCTTCTTCAACAACACAGCTGTGACACACTCGATTATAGTCTACAATGACTTGATACTATCTCTTTTGTCATTTATCTGCTACAACTTCTCTTCGGTCACCCTTTGGAGCGGGCCAAATAATTACTAGTACTATGGGTCCCGATGGATTGGGTCCTTCAAGGATCACGGCATATCTGATCTATCTCGTTTTTGTTATCACGCTAGGTCCGCTTCAGTTTGGTTATCATCTGGTTCGTTCACATAATCTGACGATCTTATCTTCAAGGCACTCTCTGATTGACTTTGTATCGGTACAGGCTGAACTCAATGCTCCTCAGGCAGTTATTACGTGCGAGCGAAAGAGCATCCATTCCACCAGCTCGACGTGGTTCAAGAGCCTTCCGCAATGTATTCCTATGAATGCGTCCCAATTCGGTCTCGTTTCTTCTATATATACACTTGGTGGTTTACTTGGAGCCCTGCTCGCAGGACCAGTCTCTACCAAACATGGACGTTTGTTCGCTCTGCGAGCTACCACAATCTTCTTCATCTTAGGTCCTATTGCGGAGACTCTGGCGCCTGGTATACTGATTTTGAGTGTGGGAAGGCTGTTGAGTGGTATAGGGGCGGGAGCTGCTATTGTCGTGGGGCCGATCTATATCTCGGAGATTGCTCCCCCTAACGCTAGGGGGTTCTTTGGTGCCTTTACGCAGATCATGACCAATGTGGGTATCTTATTGACGCAGACGCTCGGCTACTTCTTCAGTGAAGGGTATATGTGGCGAGTTATCCTTGCGGTGGCCGCGTTGCTTGGTATATCGGAGCTCCTTGGTCTCCTCTTGGTGCCAGAAAGTCCGACTTGGTTGGCGGAGCATCAACAAGCGGATTTGGCTAGACAGGTGCTGCAGCGGATTCGTGGGAAGGATGCAGATATTGAAGAGGAAGTGAAAGGATGGCACAGTTCCTCCCAGGGTCCTACGGCTGGTTCGGCCGAGGAGGAGTCGCTGCTCACTCCTCCCTCGGGCAACCTGCCACCCAAGCAACCCCCGGTTACCATCATGCGAGCTGTGACCGATTCTTATTACCGCCCTGCCATCATTGCTGTCATTGGCGTTATGGTGGCTCAGCAGTTCACAGGCATCAACAGTATCATCATGTACAGCGTGTCGCTGCTGCAGAGCATCCTTCCCACGACAGCGGCTCTACTTGCCGTCCTGATTTCGGTCATCAACCTCGTCATTACCCTTGCGTGCTCACCACTGCCAGATAAGATCGGCCGGAAGACTTGTCTCCTTCTGAGCATCTCCGGTATGGGATTGAACTCTGTGCTCTTGGCAATGGGGATCTACTTTAACCAGAAAATCCTATCCGCGATCGCGGTTCTGCTCTTCGTTGCCAGCTTTGCGGTCGGTTTGGGTCCCGTACCGTTCATTCTGGCCTCGGAGCTAGTGGGCCCCGAGGCTGTGGGCGCGACGCAGAGCTGGGCTTTAGCCGCCAACTGGACGGCCACCTTCCTCGTTGCTCAATTCTTCCCTGTGCTCAACAGCGCATTAGGCGGTCGTGGCAAGATCTATTGGATATTCGCGGTGCTGGCCTGCGTTCTTGGCGGGTTCATCTATCGATGGGTGCCCGAAACCAAGGGCAAGGCCAATGCCAACGAGGTTTGGGACAGGGAGGATCCGAGGCGAATTGATTGAAGTAGCCGCGACGGACTCACTGGCGAACTTCCTAGCAGCCCGATTATGTAGCACAGAAAGAAAGGCATCTTTGTATTCACAATCTATCTATATGCCACATCGATTATGATCGGTGAGTGAGACGAGTATCTAAGGAAACACGGCGGCATGCGAGCAACCACAAAGAGAACGTACATATAAGCTTGTTGCGAGATGAGGACCAATTGCGTTGGCCGGGGTAAAAATTCAAGGGCTGAATAGACTCGGGGGTTTTAGAAGAAGAGTTTTACCGAGGGATATTGGACATCCACTTCGATGGCGTCTACCGCAATACTGCACGTCCCTCTGAGATGCAGGAGACTGCAGGAGACTGCAGGAGAGTCCTCTGCAAGTGAGGGGCAGATAACAACAGGCATCACCCTAGTAATAAATAATCCTATGATGTCGATAGATGGATCTTTTTTTTTTTTTTTTTCCCTTGTCCGATTTGGTCATCTGCTCGATAGTGATAAGTGAGTACACTGTGGGAGTTCAAACCTGAGACAGTATCAGGGCGTTGAAACTGAATGCTTGACCATCATCATCATTGGCATCTTGGTGTGGGGCAACGTAGGACAAGGGAAATAGTTCAAGCCACAGGGAGGTGGACAAGACTTCCAAGAGTCACATTGTTTTCATCTTGTCGGGCTGTCGAAGTGTTGATAGAGACTTAATTCATGATGGGCCATGGTTCCTTGTCTTGGAGTGCTTGGTCTGACGTGAGGTAATCCAGGAGAGATATATCTCAGCCCCTGGAGGTATGGGGTTGGATGATATAAATTATAGGATATGCCAGGCGTTGGATAAATAGATAAATAAATAGATAATTTGAGAGTTATAGATGAGTAGTAACTAGGATATACTGCATATCATCATCATCACCGATATTGAATGACAGTGACAGACTCAGAATTATGATCACTGCTCAGCCACAGCAAGTGTGTGGTACACTTCTATAAGTAGTGGGTGAAACATCCCCACCACACCGTCATTCCTTGATCCATTAAGGAGGAGATTAGAAGATAAATGTTGGGGAAGAATCAAACTAGCCATACTATGTACATGAAATGATGTCGAGATACATACATACATACATTATTACTATTATTTGGGGGTTACACTTGCATCTGTTGATACTGGCATGCCGCATGCATCACTCCTTACCTCCAGCCGCGACTCGTTGAGTTAGTGAGCCACATTTATTATGATCATGTTGTGGTAGACAGGTAACTACTATTAGGTACCTAGTAATAGGCAGCCACATTCACAATGGACTATGGAGTAGATATATTGGCGGGCCTTTGTCCACCGTGCTCTGGGTGGATCAACCTTTATTTAGTGAATATGTAACAAATAGATACTCTTCTTTTCTGTCACTTTCTGTCATCTGTCAGTCTATGCCTGACGTCTTTGCGCGTAACCCGGGTCTTCCGGACAGTATCACTGTTGGTATGAGATAATGATTAGAAGAGATTGTATTGAAACCATCCGCCATAGCACAAAAGTCAGTGTAATAATTATGGGACACACAGGACGGCTTCTGAAGGATAGATACACAGAGTAGATCTTGTCATATTGCACAATTCCTGCCAGACTCAGGAGTCAGGAGTCTTAGCAGTAACTAGATAGTATCTAGTACTCCGGAGTAAGACTGGCAGCTAATCTTGAACTATCCAGGGTCAAAAGGAGGTCCCCCACCAAAAGGGACAATTCCTCTTGGTCTTCTTGTCATTCTGCTCATTGTTTTTCTCTATCAGACTCTCAAGCTATCTATTCTTATTTCGAAGATTCCCTCTAAAGCTCCCTCTTCAACCCTTCCCTTTCTTTTGTCTCATCTCGCACATCCATTGCGGCTCCTGACCGTGCTCAATTGCATCGTCTTTCTAGCTTTTTGCTTTCCTCGCCTCTCTCTTGGCAGTTCCCACCCATTTTGTTTTCTTTCCGGTACGTTGCTGGTGGCTCCCCCCCCCCCATTATCATGTCTAGGTGTTGTTGGTCCTGATCGACCCGACCAGATCTTAAAGGGAGATCGACCGGGCCTCAACCACAACCGCGACACTTTCCCCGTCGCTGGACGGCCTTGGAACCAGCCTTTCACGCTTCATTATATCGTCATTTTCGCTTCCAGGATCAGCCCCTGATATCATTGATCTACCACTCTAGACCGGATTTTTCCACACTGAAGCACAAACAAGCCTCGTCCGGGGTTGACGCGACGTGTCCTCCGTCTTCATAAAAACAGCCGGTCCCCGCAATTCCCGCCATCCACCATGGTGCGGTTACCGTTGCCTCAACGTCTCAGTTCCCATCTCAGTGTCAAGAGTGCTTCTTCCACCCCCGGTCAAAGTCGAAGCACCAGCCCCATGAGAACCACCGAATCAAGACCACCCCTGGTCCTCAAGGTCACTGCAATCAAGGTAAGTGTGGTTCATTCACCGCACCAGAGCTCCGTAGAATGTCGCGATTGGAGAACTGACGTGCCGTTTTCAACTCCACCAGGGCAGAAACCTTGCAGCGAAGGATCGAGGCGGGACCAGCGATCCGGTAAGCTTGCTCGATGGAATATTGGGAAAATGTCACAGAGAGACGTCTAGGACTGACCTTCGTCGCGTTTTGACAATAGTATCTAATCGTCACACTCGGAGAATCGAGGCAATCGACGCCAACAATACCGAAAACGCTGAACCCAGAATGGAACGTGACATTCGAGATGCCTGTGGTCGGGGTGCCATTGCTGGAGTGTATCTGTTGGGACCATGACAGATTCGGTAAAGACTACATGGGCGAATTTGACATCCCTCTGGAGGACATCTTTGCCGATGGTGAAGTGAACCAACCGGTGCGTGGAAGATCAATATCAGAGTATGATCGACTCCTTAGCTGACCCGTCGTCCCCAAGCCTAAATGGTACACCCTCAAGTCGAAACGGAAGTCAAGTAAGAAGAAGGATAGCACGGTCTCGGGGGAGATCTTGCTGCAATTCTCGCTGATCGACACGTTGAACCCCACGGCACCTTCAACCGAGACCTACCAGAAATTCAAGGCCCTGGTTTCGAGTGGAGACGAAGACGAAGACCTTCCGCAGATTCCTACGAACGATTCGGACGATGTTGACAAGGATGAAGAGACCTCGGATGAGACCGACGACCTGACGAAACCAGAGGTTGTAGAGAAGAGGAGGAAGCGGCTACGGCTCGCTCGCTTGAAACGCAAGTCGTTAGCAGCCCGCGCGTATCAGTTCTCCGGCGCTGGCAACGTACAGGGTATTGTGTTTATGGAGATCGTGAAGGTAACGGATCTTCCGCCGGAACGCAACGGTATGGCTTCACCACCAAGTTCAGTATCGCAATGGGACTATTCCTGACCAGTGGCACAGTGACCCGCACTTCTTTCGATATGGATCCTTTTGTCGTCACCTCGCTTGGGCGCAAAACGCTCCGGACACCGGTCATCCGCCACAATCTCAATCCGGTTTACAATGAGAAGATGGTTTTCCAGGTCATGAAACATGAACAGTCCTACACGATCAGCTTTACTGTCATGGATCGAGACAAATTTTCTGGCAACGATTTTGTTGCATCGGCCGGGTTTCCGTTGCAGACTCTGATTCAAGCTGCCCCGGAGGCCGATCCGGAGACTGGGCTCTACAAGCTTCAAGACCCGTCCCTCGATCCTGCAGGTTCTGATACAGGTTCACTCGGCAAGTCAGGAGCGAAGACCGGGATCAGTCCCTCCCCATCGACTTCTAGTCTATCGAAGTTGACAAGGCCGACTTTCAAATCTCGAAGCTCAGCAACTTCCCTGTCCGGCCAGTCCCAGTCGGACCAGCCAGTTGTTTCGCCTCCGCTCACCATACCCCAGGGAAGAGAGAGCGGTAGCAATATCTCTGATGTTCCAACTGCTACAGAAAACGGGACGCACCAAATGGATATCCAAAACCTTCCAGTGTACCGGATTCCTTTGATCATGAAGAACAAGGAAACCTGGGAGGACAAGCATTCCCCGGAGCTCATGATCAAAGCAAAATATATGCCTTATCGCGCGCTTCGTCAACAGTTCTGGAGACTAATGCTCAAACAATACGATGCGGATGATAGTGGTCGAATCGACAAAGTTGAGTTGACAACGATGCTTGACACTTTGGGTTCAACCCTGAAAGAGTCCACCATTGATAGTTTCTTCCAGCGATTCAGCGCGGAGAATGAGCCTAGCGAGACCATGGATTTGACCTTTGATCAAGTCGTGATCTGCCTCGAGGATACACTGCAGGCACTGCAGAAGGATCATCGGGCTATCGCCAAGATGCAGGCGGGAATATCCTCGTCAACAGGCAGTAGCCAGGACAGCACGGAACAGTCCGATGGTGACGATTCTCCTTTGGAGACGAGCACAACGCTACCAGCCAATATTGATCCTAGCACAACATCGATTCCAACCTTAGACAGGGAAGATCAGCTGTCTCCAAGCGAGGAAGATCTTCACCCCGATGATCTCGGCGATGAGAGAGGTGAAGAGCACGTTATTGAGATTCGGGAATGCCCTCTCTGCCATCAACCACGGCTGGCCAAACGGTCTGATGCAGACATCATCACCCATATTGCTACGTGCGCAAGTCAGGATTGGCGGCAGGTCGACAACCTCGTGATGGGCGGCTTCGTGACCTCCAGCCAGGCGCAACGTAAATGGTACTCCAAGGTTATCACGAAGATTTCCTATGGTGGCTACAAGCTAGGCGCGAACTCTGCGAACATTCTTGTTCAGGATCGTATTACGGGACAGATCAACGAAGAGCGCATGAGCGTTTATGTCCGTCTGGGTATCCGGTTGCTATACAAAGGTCTCAAGAGTCGGGAAATGGAAAAGAAGAGAAGTATGTTATCCCCTGCAAACAATCATTGAAGGGCTCAATACTAATGGACGCAGTTCGCAAAATTCTCAAATCGTTAAGTATCAAGCAAGGCAAGAAGTACGACGACCCTGATTCGGCAGCTCAGATCCAAGATTTCATCAACTTCCACCAACTTGATTTGTCAGAGGTTCTGCTGCCCCTTGATCGGTTCAAGACTTTCAATGAGTTCTTCTACCGGAAGCTCAAGCCGGGCGCACGGCCGTGCTCAGCTCCAAATGAGCCCAGAATTGTCGTATCGCCTGCAGACTGTCGCTCAGTCTTATTTGATCGGATTGACGAAGCCACCAGCATCTGGGTCAAAGGCAGAGAATTCTCCATCGAGAGACTTCTGGGTAATGCCTATCCGGAGGATGCCGCGCGTTACAAAAATGGAGCCCTTGGTGTCTTCCGTCTGGCTCCCCAGGACTACCATCGCTTCCACATTCCTGTCGACGGCGTCATGGGCACCCCGAAGACGATTGAAGGCGAGTACTACACGGTGAACCCCATGGCAATCCGTTCGGCATTAGACGTATACGGAGAGAATGTCAGGGTACTCGTGCCGATTGATTCAGTCGCTCACGGCCGTGTCATGGTGGTTTGTGTCGGAGCCATGATGGTCGGAAGCACGGTGATCACCCGGCAGGCAGGTGACCAGGTTCGACGTACTGACGAGCTTGGATATTTCAAGTTCGGCGGAAGTACGATTCTGCTTCTTTTTGAAGAAGGCGTGGTGAGCTTTGATAGGGACCTGGTCGACAATTCCAGAGGCGCTTTGGAGACTCTGGTAAGTCGGATGACCCCTTCTTCTGTTTCTGATGCTTTGTTTCCCCAGCTTTTTCACTGACGGCACTCCTCCATCTTTAGATTCGAGTGGGTATGTCTATAGGCCACAGCCCTAAGGTTCCTCAATTTGAGCCCGATATGCGCAAGCCAAGCGAGCAGGTCAGCCGTCAAGAGCTACAAGACGCCAAGCGTAGAATCGAGGGCAGTCTGGCGCCTCCGACTAAAGACATTGGCATTCCATGATCTGACAAATCGTGCATCGATGCAATTGATTTGTCACTGACGACGTTTACGGTATAATTCTCGAATGGGCCAGGGGCCCGGATTCAGCATTCATTAGTATATAAGAAAGGGAGACAAGAGCGTGTACAGGTGGGAAAGTGTTGGTATGAACATATTAGACGCAGCCAGGTCAATTTCGTGCATGAGGTACATAGATGAGAACGAGATTCAACATTCTTCTTTCATACATGTGTTTCTACTCTTTCTACTCCTATTTGATCCTATCGTGTGTCTAGACTATCCTGTAGATATTGTTTACTTCGAAGCCTTCGATCCAGATGTTATTCCTTAGTGATGGTGACCTAGCAGTGAACAGTCGCCCAAAACAGCCTAGCGCGACTCCCCACGCGCCAACGACCAAAACAACCGCGTGCTAGCGACGGCGACTTGCAAGAGCAAAACCCCGTCAATCCGGACGCCAATGTTGACGCTCGAGCTGCGCAAGCAGTCGTGATAATTCCATACCCGCTTCTTTCGCCAGTATACCGCATCAGTAACCCGCTCATTATTGCGAAACACCCGGCAACGCAAAAGCGGTGGGATTGCGACCGTGCGGCACACGTTATCCCCTCCCCCCTCGAAACAAATAACACTCGTCGCCCGGAAACCCCGTCTAGCCCGGGAGCGTGACAGCCTTTGCGACCGCGCGAAAAAAAAAAAAATAAATAAAACCAACAACAAAAGGAACACCAAATTTATCAGACGGAATCGTATCGCCCTCGACCGTGGACCCGGAGCGGTCATTGACCGGTCGTTGATATCAGCGGTCTGCGTTGCGTGGGCTGGCGCTGGGTTGCAACACCAAACACACAGACACCACCTTTGACCCGGCACGCGGGATTTTGGCCCCTGGCCTTGGCTTTCGCAAACGAAACCAAACATTCTTTCCATCCGGCTCGGACATGACCGTCGCTGTTCTCGCGGCTCCGCACACCTCATCGAAGCATCGCAACGCGCTACGCGAGATTGACATGGCACCGTCGCAGGCGCAGTCAAAACCGCGTCCGGCGGCCAGCTCGGGTTCCGGCAGCGGGAGGGCTGGGAGATCGAGCGCGCGGCTGAATAAGGCGACTCAGGAGAAGGGGGAGGTTGAGACGAATGGTGGGAGGAGTAAACGGAAGGCCGGTGAGTTTTCTTTCTTCTATCTCTTTACCCCCTGTCTTTTCTACTGCTGGGGTTGGGAATGGGGGTGGATGCGGGGCTCGTTCGTGTGCTGGGGGATTGAGGCCGATGGCTAATGTTGTTGATGGTGCTGTAGTAGTCTACGATGAGGATATTGAGGGGTTCCAGTTTACGCGGCTTCCGAGCAAGAAATCGCGGCCGTCGGTCGATGCTGTTCCTGTTCCCGAGAAGCCGGATGCCGGCACCGAGAATCCGCCTCCGCAGCAGCGAACGCCGCGGAGAGGACGACCGCCGAAGAAGAAACCGGAAGTTCAGCCGGAGGGAGGCGCAGGTACAGAGGTTAGGGAGAAGAGAGCCGAGGGCGCGAGCAAGAGACAGACGCGAGGGAGCATGAGGGGTACGGACGCAGCAGCAGAGACGCAGTCGGAGAGTGCGACACGGCCGTCGACGCGGAAGCGCGACGACATCGAATCCGTGCCCAAGGAGAAGAAACGGCGGAAAGGCAGACCGAGCAAATCGGATGTTCAGGAAAGGAATGGCTTCGTGTCGCCGGAACCGCAGCAGTCTGGTACTGCTAAGATCACGTTGCCCTTGGCCGACACGCCTGTCATACAGCGGAACAAGGAGATGAGGAAGGAGGCCAAGGGAGAGAAGGGGAGTAAAAGCAGGCGGAGTAGTCTTGGAATGAGAGGGCGGCGGGCCAGTTCGCTAATTGATTCGGGTGCATCGAATGGTAGGTTGACAGATCCTGTGGATGGAGCGGGAGATAGTGTGCTAATTATTCATCTGCAGCCTTACCTCACAAGGAGGTCGGTACTGCCGACTTTTACAAACATATTGCAGATGGGCTACCGGAACCGCGGCGGATGAGACAGCTGTTGACCTGGTGCGCTACTCGAGCATTGAGCGAGAAGCCTAAAGGAGCGCGGCCAGAAGATGCGAGCGCTCGGCTAGCAGGTATGTAATGTGGGAGTTAGTTCCCGGGATAGCGCTAAGAGAGTACAGCTCGGGTAATACAGGAAGAACTGCTCAAGGACTTCTCGACGAACTCAGAGCTCTCGAATTGGTTTGGGCGGGAGGATGTGAATCCCCCCGCTGTTGTGGTGAAGAAGCCGAACCCGAAGAACCTGCAGAATGCGGACAAGATCAAGGAGCTTGAGGAGCAGATTCAAAGGTATGAGGCTCGAATTTAGCGAGTGAGGGATATATGCTAACGGGGATTTGTACTGGATTAGGTTACAAAGGGAGAGGCATTCGCTGAATGAACTACTACGACCACCGTCGATTGCGCAACTCAAGACCCGACCATCAGATACGGTTGATGATCAAGATCAAGGGTCGGCAGCAGCCCAGTCTGGCGCGGCTCGGAAACCGCCGCCCGCGAAGATAGACCCGTCGTTACTGGAGCCGTCGCAGCAGGAGATTTACGCGATACTGAATCCGACGACGAATAAGGAGCCAAAACTAGAAACACCGGAAGAGCCATCGGCCCCTTCGCAGGGCAACAACATCTTACCATCGATGACGCCGTCCGTGGTATCTGCCCGTCTTTCACGCTTGACCAGCAGCCTTGGTCCGACATTAGACTCCTTTGCGGCGGGTGTCCATGACATCGAGCTCTATCGAGCCATGTCGGACGCGGTGTCTTCGCGAGTCCTGCGGATCTGCGCGGAACGTCTCGAGGAACGCGATGCCCGGAATGCCATGCGACGCCTTGCGATCGAGGGGGGTGACACGGAAGGCAAGGATGCCGGTGCGCGCCGCGAAAAGCCCAGAGAGGATCTGGGGGTGATTCTCGGGGCGCTCAGTCGCGTGGAGCGACGGTGAACATCTACCCGACGCACCCTTCCTTTTGTTTTGTTTTGTTTTTTTTCTACCTCTCCTCCTTCTCCCGTCTATGTATATCTGCGCTCCTGCCTCTGGTCAGGCCGGTTGGGTTCTTGTGGCCGCGGGCAATCGAGTGAGCCTTTTTTTTTTTTTTTTTTTTTTTTTTTTTTTCTTAATTTGTATTCTTCTCTTCTGTCTTTTTGGGCGGGTATGGGAGGCAAGCAATGGAGTTGAGGTGCTTTTCTTGTTTTTCAATTCTGGCGGAATGGATGAGGATAGGACAAGTACGATGATGCTGGTTATAGTGGTCTTGGGGTTAGATGACCGACTACACTACAACTACTGAGCGAGTTTAACCGCAACGATGAAGATATAATATCCCATCTGCACCGTAGCATAGGTACTAGACACGGAGTACTAGGACCTCACTATCAACCCGAGTGAGGTATACCCACAACTCTATACTAGTAGTCAGGTACCTAGCCCCTACCCTCCTCAAGCCTATACTAGCGCACTCATCGGGGATCGCCCGGCATTGGGCAGCAACACCTTTCGGCCAGGTATCGATCTATCCAGTGAGTAATTTCCCGTCGGAGGATCCGTTGATCTAGCTGCGACAGCCGACAAAGAGGAAAATGGGGCGGGTGATCGGCCTGGCCGAGTCAATACCTACTACTACACATAGTAGATAGAATAATGAAAGATAGATAGGATCAGGAGTCTGGTCATCGGTCATCGGTCAACCTACTCGATCAGGAGGAGGCGTGATGCTAAGCATTATTAGCCTAGCGTAGCCTGGCTTAAGCTGACTGCTGAACAGGTTGTTGTTGTTGTTGTTGTTGTTGTTGCCACGTGGGACTGATATTTGGGTAAGCCGGGAAGAAAGAATTGTGATTGTGAATGTGATACCTCTGATGGATTAGGATTTTGATATCTAGCGGTTAGGTCGGATGGTTCATACTGGACGGTAGATAGTAGAATACTACCAGTAGTAGGTAGGGAGGTAGGTGGATATATCTACATCCAATCCACCTTCGGCTAAAGCCTTGAGAAAGGATTGGGCGTACACCTAATTAGAATAATTATTAGAGCTTCTAGAACACACCCAAGCGGGTCCTCTGTTTCTGCCATACGCTTACATAGTATTATTATTTATGTTATGAGTCTACCTACGGCGTATATTCTTGGTGGTTGTTATTGATGATTCTTACCCTGACTCTGAGTGCCAAGGAGACGCCATGCTAATCAGCTAACAGTAACAGTAGTAACACCGTTCACTCGGTAACGACACTAAAGTAAGGTGGATAAGTGAGTCCTGACTCCTGACTCCTGGCAGACTGGTCTAGAGCTTCTCTAGCCTGCCGAGTTTTTTTTTTCTTCCTTGCTATTTTTGCGGTGCGCCTGACATCTCGAGTAGAGGATTTAGTGAAGTGATCCTCTCAGTGTGGTGTGATGATGGCTGATAAGTACCCTGAAAACCTTGACGTAACTTGACGCGACTGGACTCGGTCGAGTGCTGCATTCAATCGGGATATCTAGAAGACTAAGAACATGGCAAGTTGATCCACGGGGTTGATGGTTGAAAGAGTGTGTGTTTCCTTCTTGACGAGCTGGATTCTGGATTCTTTTTTTTTTCAATAATTTCAGCTGAAGAAAATAATAAGCTAAAGTGCGGGATCCACCATCCGTTCCTGATTTTTATATCGTCGAGACTAACTGATGACTAGACTCTAGAGCACTGCTTAGTGTTTACTGCCGACAGAGTACCACACGTCACGGATAATATCCTTTCAGTCATTCTACAACTTTACACCTCCTCAGCGTCTCGGACTCCTTCAATTATCCGTCCGGGTCGGAACCCTACCATCCCCGGTGTGACGGGCTGACGGGAGATACATCCACTGGCCGTGTGATAATGACTCCCCTTACTGCTGGACTGCTGGCTGCTGGCAGCTGGCTACTGGCTACTGGCTACTGGCTCGTTGATTCTGATTCCAACCAGAATTAAGTATTGGTCCCTGCGTTCGAGCAGGTGGCACTGTCATCCTCGGCAGCCGTCCCCTCTTCGCGTGATACGAATATGGGAGCTTGTGTCTCGCGGGTCTGGTCGCGAGTCGCACATGTCGGTGATCTGGGAGACTGAGAAAGGGGAAGAGGGGGGGGAAAAGCGCATATGACTGTCGCTGAGGGGGTTTTTTTTTTTTTTTTTTTTTCACTCATCGCTTGTCTAGGGTATGTCTACTCCGAGAGGAAAACAACAAGATCCAAAAACGTTGTATCAGTCCGAGACCACTGCAGCAGGTCCTGAAGAGGACTCAGACCGGGGATGGTCATGGAGGAGCCACTTCGCACTTCGTCAACACGAAACGACTGTGTAACACCCCCGCGGCGCACTTGAAGTCTGATGAAGTGATGAGAGACTGAGACATCCCTTTTGGGATGGACGTTGACATCATGGAAAGGGGCAGAATCGAGCAGACGGAGCTAGAGATAACGCTTCACACAGATCATTTGGGAAGTCGGTAGATATCCTCCGTACTGCGTATCTAACTGGTAGGTCGCGGGAGTATCACTATCACTCGTAGTGGAGTTGATGTAAGGAGTTGAGTCGGGCTGCAGTGAGTGCGTAAGTATGGATCAATTTCATCAATTGCTTTAAAAAAAAAATAAGGAAAAATAGAGGGGATAAAAAAAAATGATAAACCACTTTCTGCAGGTATCTCCTCTGTAAGTGAGTCGGAAGTAAGGTAGTTGGGTTGGTATGATGTACTCCTCAGGAACATCTGCATCCAAGGTTGAACTACAGGATGTGCTGGACGGATTCGGAACCTGCAGCTGGACCGATGACTTGCAGCTGCTGTATCCTTTCCGTCAATCTTTACTCATTTTCAACCTCATCCCATCATGTATAGATTACTATGCTTTAGAATATGTCGGCGGCAGCTGGAGTTGATTTGATATTGATAGCAAGTTTAGCAACTCACTAAGAGTAGGTACCTATAGTCTATGCCGACAGCCCCACTTCCGCCACTCCACACACTCTCACTCTCTCTCTCTCGCTAGCTCACCTCCTGTCGATTGTCTCTATTGCCTCGCTCATCCTGATTCCTGATCTATCCATCTATCAATCTATCCATCCGTTCATCATTCTACCGATGAGGAAAGGAACGTCGACTATCATCTCATCACTCTCTCTGGCTTTGGTCCTATCACCGTCAATCCCGGCTTTCCCTATCGGCAACCCGAATGATTGACGTGCTGACGAGGACGTCTCTCATTCGGCCCTTTGCCAATCCCCATTCGACACCGCATCTTCAACTGGATGATCCACGGTTTCCCTTGGTCTCTCTCTCTCTCTTTCTCTTCTCTAACTTCTCTACCCGAGTTCCCGTTCCCAGGTTTGAAAGTGTTCTAGACGAACGGTCCGGTCTCAAGCGAACTACGGGCACTATCTACCTAGTTAGCCGACTCAACCAGAGACAGAAACCAGAACACCCCCCTCCAAAATAAAATATTTTCCCACTGGTTCGGATATCTAACTAACTAACCAACTAACTAACTAACTAACTATCTTGTTGTCTATTGATAAGCTGTTTCTTGGTTGATCCACTCTCCATCTACTGAATTTGCCTCCAACAACCATCCATGCTGGTAAACGTAAAAAAGAAATAAGGCGACATTTTGAAGATGCTGACTTTTCTCTTATCTCGCCATCGACAGATTTTCGGAACATTTAAAATTGTCGATCGAAGAGAAAATGACACAAACCAAAACAAGGAAAACGAAGGAAAGGAGGAACTCTGGTCCTGCACCGGAATGGAGTCAGAGCAGCTCTGATCTCCAGGAGTCTTGCATTTCTCCTGTCTCAAGTTCACAACTCTGAAGGACTTGATCCGTCCCCGGAGCACAAGCCAATGTGACTGACTTCTTTGGCCACTGTGGTACCTTATCGTGGATCCCGTGGAACCAGCTCTGTTCACAGCAACTGGTTGTCGGCTTATGCCATGCCTGAACACCGTTCTAGCTCTGGCGGTTGGGTGTCACCATGGAATTTCCGTCTGGATTTACCATGACTATTATTCCTGTGCGATTTTTCCTGATTTTTTCCAACTAACTTGCGTTGACCATCATTGGAGGACGACGATATGCACAAAGAAAAAAAAAAGATATAATTTAGTTCTTGTCGGGGGGAGTGGTCTGTGATTCCATCCTCAAGAAAGACTCGTCATTACTGTGACTCCAAGCTCAAGAGATCTTCAACCACTATACAGACTAAACACTGCCCCCCCCATCTAGCTATTGGCCCTCACTTCTACCTCCTGAGTACTTTTATCATATCCTACCAGGGCTTGTGGCAGAGATACAAAGCTCCAGATCTTGTCCCTCCTCCTTTTAAGTCCCTGTCCTCACGTCTGTTGCTCGAACGAGGAAAATCACAATCCTCTCACCAACCTCCACGGACATCCCTCTGCTACACAAAGAGCAGAAATAAGAGAGAAAAAAAAGCTCGATCTCGATTGTTCATCTTCATATGCTTGCGCACAGAACCTCTATTGATATTAGACTTGGGGGCGGTTTGTATCCGCATTCATTGCGTGCTGAATTCGGCTGTGTCCATCCACAAGCCAGACGAGCCCAGACCCTTTGAATTTTTTTTTCTGCCCTCTATATTTTGATTTGCTTCACCCTCTGTCATCTGGCACCCTTCTTGATCTGCTTTCCCCCCCCATCTCCCTCTTAATCTCTAATCGCCTCTATTGCATCCTCGCATCGTCATTCTCGTGTACCATTGCGAGTGCATCTTCCGTTGTGCACCTTGACCACCCTCCTCTCGCTGGCCTGCACCCTCCCTCCCCCTTCTTTCTGATCTTGCAGCTGTTGTGCTCTCCTCCCACCTGGTCCCTGCTGGCTGCTTCAATATTCGAACCATGTATTCGTGACGTACTCACATTCTTGGTAGCGGGACCTTCACCCCCTTCCATCCCACTGAGTGGTTAAGCCCAAGCTACCTGTGCGATCCCAAGATCTTATCATCTGTGCCTTCAATCTCCTGTAGCTTCTGGCACGAACTCTGTGAGGTACGTCTCGGCATTTGCTTCTGATTTTGCTTGGCATGGTTCATTCTGTGATGCAAGTGCGTATCTAACCCTGCTGCTAGGCTACGCAATATACCCTGCACTGTCTACCCGTTGCAACTTCACAAGCAACACGGGATAGTCCCCTCTCTCAAAGACTTAGGGGGACGGGACTCAGAGATCACCTCTCTAATTAATATCTAATTTAGTGGAAGCGCAAGTTAAAAGAGGGGGGAAAAAAAACCTTGTGAGAGACAGGAAAGAATCCAGAGGTCACACAAACAAAGTCCGTGTCTGTGTGTCTCTACGGAAATCCGTCACGCATCTAAAAGAAAGCCACCAAATATGGCCGGCGGTTATTTCGACCTACCGATATTTACCTCCAGGCGTTCAAACCATACTGATGAATACCTTGGTGGGAACAGATCTGCCCCAGGGCCACGTACTTCTCCCCTTGCAAGCCCCAATGACAGCTCGTCTCAGGATAGACCGTTGGACTCCAGCAATACTCAGGGCAGGCCTCGGAATGCGGGCATTCTGAAGAGTACGAATCGTGTGAAATTCACCGCCAGCGAGGCCGGCATTCAACCAGCTCCTGCAGCGGGATCGACGCCAGAGATCCGGTTTGACGGAAGGGGCTTATCACTACCTCAACGCCCATTGCCCGCCGCCGCCAGCATTCCATCTGCAGACAGAGCTTTCCAAGCATTACCCTCGGTGGAGACCGCCTCCAACGTACCCGCAGGTGTCACGGGCCTCGCGGCCCACCCCCGAGTGAGCCCACCAGAGATTCCTGGAGATGATGAGATCAGTAGGGAGAAGGGTAGAGCCATTCAGTTTGCTCAGGAGCGCGCCCAACGATTGGCGTCCGTGCTGGGGCGTCCTACAAAATCTCCGAAGCCAAGCCCCCGATCGAGTGTGCCGTCATCGCTTGCCTCGACTCCCGAGGTGGTGCTGCCCTCCGAAGACGGTGATGAAATTCCCATGATCAGCCTCTCTGAGAAAAACTTCTACGACGATTTCACCGACCAGGACGAAGATAACCTCGTAGATGGACGGAAACCCACTCGCACTGAAGAGGCCCATCAACTCGTTCGACAAATGACCCGCAAAGACTTCAACTTTCTGACCAGAATCCGCGCTCCGTCCTCGGGGCTCCGTTCTGGTCAGACCACTCCTCTCGAAGAGAGGGACCCAGACGCCTACGTCGAACCCCCGACCCATTACCGGGGCGGCATCCTCTCGTCTCTCCTCAAACTCCACGACCAATCCGGCAACCCCTACTCGCGCGGCCGATATGTCCACTCCCGCCAGAGCAGTCTGGGGGAGATCAGCAGCCGGGGCGCCTCTCCCGACTCCGGCTGGAAATCCCATCGGCCGCGGAAGTGGTATGAAAAATCCCCTAGCCAGTCGAGCACCTCGCTCTCCGGCTCGACAACCAAGACCTCTTCGAGCTCGCCCATCGCAATGCTCAAGCGCTCGCGGAGCAGCGGTCCGACACCCGGCATGGGTAAACGCTGGGGCAAGCCGCAGCTAGAAGACGAGATCCGCATCACCGTACACATCGCGGAACTCCTCTCGCGCCAGCGATACCTCATCCGGCTCTGCCGGGCACTCATGAAGTATGGCGCGCCGACCCACCGTCTCGAGGAATACATGACCATGACGGCTCGGGTTCTGGAGATCGATGGCCAGTTCCTGTACATACCAGGCTGTATGATCATCTCGTTTGACGATGCGTCCACGCACACCACTGAGGTGAAAGTGGTGCGGTCGCCGCAGGGCGTCGACCTGGGCAAGCTTTCGGATGTACATACGATCTACAAGGAGGTGATCCACGACGTGATCGGAGTGGAGGAAGCCATCCAACGGCTAGAGGAGGTGATGAAAGCGAAGAACAAGTACCCGGTATGGATGCTCATCCTGGTCCACGGATTCGCCTCCATGTCGGTAGCACCGTTTGCGTTCAACGGCCGCCCCATCGACATGCCGATCGCCTTCCTGCTGGGCTGCCTGCTGGGCGTGCTGCAGCTGGTCCTGTCGCCGCGCTCGAACCTCTACTCCAACGTGTTTGAGATCTCCGCGGCGGTGTTGACCTCGTTCCTCGCGCGCGCCTTTGGCAGCATCCGCTATGAGGGGGAGCGGCTCTTCTGCTTCTCGGCATTGGCGCAGTCCTCCATTGCGCTCATCCTTCCGGGGTACATGGTGCTGTGCTCCAGCCTGGAGCTACAGTCGCGCAGCATTGTGGCCGGCTCCGTGCGCATGGTCTACGCCATCATCTACTCGCTCTTCCTCGGGTTCGGCATCACCATCGGCACGGCCGTCTACGGCCTGCTCGACTCGGACGCCTCGAACGATTACACGTGCCCGCCCTCGCCGATTCGCAACGAGTACCTCCAGCACTTCCCCTTCGTGATCCTCTTCACCCTCTGTCTCGCGCTGGTCAACCAGGCCAAATGGAAGCAGATCCCCATGATGCTCCTCATCGCGTTCGCCGGGTACGTGACCAACTACTTCGGCGCCAAGCGCTTCGCCTCCTCCACGCAGGTGTCCTCCGCTCTCGGCGCCTTCGTCATCGGCGTCCTTGGCAACCTCTACAGCCGCCTGCGCCATGGCCTCGCCGCCGCCGCGATGCTCCCGGCCATCTTCGTTCTCGTCCCCTCCGGCCTCGCCGCTAGCGGCTCCCTCATCTCCGGCATCGCCTCCGCCCAGTCTATCACCTCCAACGCTTCCCCCTACGCCGTCATCTCGAACGGCACTCAGGGCTTCGTCGACGCCGCGCGCAACATGACTCAGGCCTCCGCGGATCAGTTCCACGGCGTCGTCTTCGACATCGGCTATGGCATGGTCCAGGTCGCCATCGGCTTTACGGTCGGTCTATTCCTTGCCGCGCTGGTTGTCTACCCACTCGGCAAGAAACGAAGCGGCCTGTTTAGTTTCTGATCCCTCTCTCTTTTTCTCTCTCTCTCTCCCAAACATACGTCCAATTCCATCCCTTGCACTATTCCTCCGCATCTACCAGCGTCATCTTGTCCTTTCAGCGTGTTTCCTTTCCTCATTCTTCCCATGTTTTCCATCCAAGCAAGCAAGCAAGCCATATCACCATCTATACCACTCAACAACAACACTGGTACATCCATATTCCCATCGATTCTCCATTGTCATGTCTGATTTGAACACCGAGCGAGTCATCAGCGGGCCCTGTTTTGGTTCTTCTGGCATTGTTTCTTCACCTTGTTTCCTTCCCGGACCTGGAACTCTTTATTGTTGGCGCAAATGTCGGCGCACTTTTTGTTGTGGTTTTTGATTCTTTCTTTCTTTCTTTTTTTTTTTTTGTGTGTGTGGCACATGAGACGCAGGAAAAAGCATTCGTTTACGTTTTGACCCTTGTCCATGTTCATGTCCATGTGGACATCTATCATACCATACCATACCATATCATATCATATCATACCATTCAGCATATTCCGAATACGATGCCATGAGTCATGAGTTGTTATATCCTGGAGCAGAGCATAGCATCACAAAGCATAGCAATGGTGACTGTGGGTTGTGGTTGTTATGTCATTGCCAATGGACTCTACTGTATTGTATCTTCTAGTGTTTTGTCCTCGAGATGGAGAAGAAACATAGATTCATGATTTGATAGGGTGTGGTTACAACCGTGGAATCATCCAAAAAAGCCCCAGGGAATAGAATGAGACAGATATGTGAATTATCATGTACATAGCCAGATGTACATACAGGTGATGAAGAGAAGTCGAGATCGATCGGCCACGAGCCAGAATCAGTCATTTAGATCGACTCTGGGAAGGTATAGGACACACGCCGAGCCGATCGATGTACATGTCTTCATCAATGATCAAAAAGAATGAAATCGCAAGGGATACAGGAATAAAAAAAAATTTCATCTCGAAGCGCTCGATACATCACTCGACCAGCGCAACGTTTCGTGGCTGGTCGACTATTCATGAGGCTCCAAACACCATGAAAAGTCATGGACAGTAAAAGTAAACTCATAAGAATCAAGATCCCGCCCTCGCAAGAAATAATTATCCATACTGATTCGAGAAGGAAAAAGTAGAAAAACTCGGAGAAGGAAACAATGAAAGGAAAGACATCCAAGTGCAGGTCCGTTACGTCTCAGTCACATTATGTACGACGTTCGCATTACATGAACGGGGTCTTGCGCTTTTCGGCGCTGGAGAGCACAAGCATTGGCGTCTTGCGCCTCTCGGGACCCGGAGCTACCGTCTTCTGACCTGCGACGACAGCAGCGACGGATGGTGGGCCGCTTGGAGGAGGAGCCTGCTCCGTTCGGAGATCCGCGAACTTGCCACCAAAGAAATTGCCGTCCTCGCTAATGGGAGTGGTCGTATTGTACGGGCTGTCCTGAGACTTGCGCTCCCGGGAAGAACGCTCTTTCCGCTCAGAACCAATGGCTCCATTGGCAACGGCGCGCAAGCTGCCTAGGCTTGGCTTGCTCGAAAGGCTTCCACTACGCACGGTAGCATCGTCCCCATCAGAGAATGCAAAATCCTTCTCGCTTGCTGGAGTATTGGTGCCACCGCTGCTGTTGTAACCAAAGCTCCGGGTTTCGCCGCGTCGCTCGATGCCTGCTCGCACAAGACTGTGGAGAGCACGGCGACGTTGGCGGGTGGCAAAATTTTTGCTTCCCTCATGCTTGGATGTCGGCTTCGCAACAAGTTCTTCCAGGGAAGGGGGGCCGCGGGGTTGGCGAACGGGATGCTCGCCGGCACGGCCTTGACCTGGTCCGAAAGTACCCGTAGCGGGAGTCGGGGGAAAGACAGCCGACTTAGGACCTGCAGCAGTGATGGAGACATTGTTGGCCCTCGCGGTGTCAATCGTGGTACGAGCTACGGGGCTGACAGAGGAACTCTTCTTGTGGCCCCGACGGAAAGCGTTGGCGGACGGTGGGGGAAGAGGGGCGACCTCCCGAGGTGGCGATGGGCTCGCATTGGGGGGTGACCTTGTCTGCGGCCGGTTCAGGGGAGATGGCGCCGACTCAGGCGGCGGGGAGACCTCAGCACGGAAGGTAGGTGCTTGCATGACGGGATACTGATCCTCCTCTTCCCGGTAGGGAGAATACGCGTTGTCTTGCATGTAAGTGTTGTCATAGATATAATTTTGCTGACTAGTCAGAGGGTTGTACACAGAGAAAAGTCCCGGCTGACCAGGGACGGGCTGTACCACTGGCTGTACACCCTGCTGTAGTTGCTGTTGGTAAAAGCCCATGGCAGGGACGGAAAGAGAGGGTATCTCAGGCATGTGACCCATAGAGGAGTTTCCGAGATTGAGTCCCTGAAACTGCTGTGCTGCAGCGGTCACACTGATCAATTGCTGCTGCAAGCGCTGCTGCTGGGCAGCCAGGAAAAGATTCGTCGACATCAATTCCGCATAAAGATTGTCGTCAATAGGCATATCGCCGGCGATGTCCAGAGCCGGAGGTGCAAGCACCTGCTCCGGCAGAGTGTACATTGGGCGACCGGTTCCCATGTCCATATTTTGATTCGTGGCGAACGAGTGTCGGGGAAAGGCAGCGCCCGTCGCAGTCTGCGGAACACGTTCAGCCGCGCCACCGGAATGTGCTCCATATCGTCCTGTTTCCAGGCCAAGATGCTGCTGACGGTGAGCGGCTGAGGGCAAGGTCGCAGATTTGGGAGCAGTTCTCAGACCCGCCAAAAGATGCGAACGACTAGTGCGAGGGGTGGGAGGAATCGGTGCAGACGGCTGAGACTCATCGATGGTCGAGATGTGGGGAGGAGGCACACTCAAGCGTTTGACGTGGGAGCCCTTTCTCCGAGAAGCGAACCCGGAACCCGGAACTCCAAGGCCGTTGCCGTTACCGAAGGACGAATTGTAAGTCATTTGAGCAAGACCGCCAGCGTCCATAACTCAGAATCGTGTAGAATGTAGTATAAACAATATGTGCACCAAGAGATGGTTTCAAACGATATTTTTGACCGGGGAAGAAAGGACGAATTTGACGATTCAACGAGTGTTCCGTTCGACGTATTAAGTTTATTATGATCGATGGATGAGAGTGGGAGAGAAACGAAACAGTAGAGATTGTTCCACGAAGAAGGCCAGTCAATGGATGAGACAAAGAGTGAGAGTGTGTGAAGTGGTGTGATTTTTCAGCTTTGGGGAAAGAACCAGCAGACAGGATCTGAGAAGTGTGAGTGGGGAGGACTAGCCGACAACACCAACCGCGAGAACTATCTCGCCTGCAAACCAAGGAAGAAATGGACAGGTGAGAAGAGCAGATGGAGAGAATAATCGAGGCGATATCCAATTATAGAATCAACAGGAATTGGCTCAACGAGTCTCGGACCGAAGCCTCAGCCCAAGGACCGGTGAGGTAGTGAAAGGCAGCGACGACAGGCGCGATCAGAAGTCGAAAGATCGAAAGAGCCGATTAGAGCAATGGAAAAATATTTATTTTGTGAAGAAAGAATCCAAATTAAAAAGAAAAGATGGGGGTCAAAAGGCGTGGAGTGTGCGCTGCAACCCCAGCAAGTGTGTGAAAAGACGCTTGACGCGAGATAGGCAACGGGTGACTCGGAGAGAGAAAGATAGCGATAGCTTAGAGAAGAGAGGAGGACGAGGTTAGAAAAGAGAATAGTAAGATGTTGTAAAAAAGACGAGGCGAAGAGCTAAGAGTCGCTTCGGAGGAAGAGAGAAGTTGAGAAACTTTTCTTTTGTTTGGTGTTCGGGATTCTCTCTATTAGGCTGTCTTTTTCAATTATTGCTTTTTTTTTTTGGAGAACTCCCTCGCTCTCTCTCTTTCTCGCGTGAGGGGAAAAGAAGGGATAGAGAAGAAGAAGACGATGATGAAGATGATGAAGATGATGAAGATGATGAAGATGATGGCGTTTGAGGGGAGGGGAGGGGGGCGAAGACGAAGAAGAGATGGTGAGAAGAGGAAGAGGAAGAAGGACGAAGTGGTGGAAGTTCGGGTATCGGCCAGATACGCGCCAGTCACCTGCTGCGTTTTTTTTCGTTGCTTTTCCCGCCCGCTTCTGGGGGTTCGGCTTAGGATGGACTTGATGAGGGTTCACGCGTGGATGCAATATCAGAATGGTAAGTTTGAGACAAGCAGGGATCAATAGAGACTTTTGAAGAAGAAGAAGAAGAAGAATAAGTAAAAAGGGAAAAAGAAGAGAAGTGGTGGAAGAAGAAGACAGGGGGGAGAGAAGTGAAGATAGTGAGTTGGACGGATCACGATACGGGGAGGAGGAGGAAGATCTAGAAAAGAGAGAGAGAGAGAGAGAGAGAGAGGAACTGGAGGAGAAGGAGGAGAGAAGAACTGCTCTCCAGGCCTAAAGCTTAAGGTCCTGCTTGCTAAAGTCCACTGAAGTCAACACTACTGTCGAGAGGACAGGAAACAAAATAATGAACAATCAATGGCATGGAAAGGCTGATTGATACAGAGAATAGTACAGTAATTACAGTACAGATACAGATTGCCCGGTTACTTAAGTCCCATCCATGTCAGCGATGGAACTGGAACTGGTTGGAGTGTCCCGTCAGATGTACTCTGAGTATGCATGCTGACTGGCTCGCTTGGCACTAAGTCTAGACCAGGCTGAGTTAGCCCCAGTGTGAGCGACAATGCTGATTGGAAGATAATAAGGATAATGATAAATGGAATCTTCAATACCTTACATACAGTTCCTTGTGTGCCTGTCTGCCTGACCATCAATTGTTACAAGAGTACCTCCAGCTATAATTAAATAATTGACCCATTGAAACAACTCCAAGACAATGATCTTCTCTTTTTAACATACTCAACTATGTAAGATAGCCTCCTATTCAGCCTATTTTGTGTATTACATTATTCTCCCCAGACCTTAGATACCCAATTCGGCCCTTATCACAGTTATTACCTCAGTCCTCAGTACTATGTTCACCACAAACCCTTTGTGTACCCTACCTACCTAGGTAGCTATCTAATACAGCACAAATCAATATCTACCCAAGACCACTGATGATTGGGCCAAGTCTTCGCGCTCCATCTGGCTGATCCCAGTCTAGCGTCTTCAACGTGGCCTTTCTCGCCGCCAGCAAACCGCTTCAGCTACAGCATTCGTCCAGGAACCGCCGTCTGCTGCTTCTGACTGGCTAGACAGGCGGTTGTGCTCCGCTTGCAGGATGTGCATGCAGACAATGCTCTTGAGCCAATAACTGGGGAGATTGAAGACTTTTGAGTGATGATCAGTCGTGTCAGGAAGGTTCACTATCGCAACTCATGTCAGATGATTCGGTTAACCACGTTATGAACTTGTGGCATGTCCCTACTAACTATGTACAGTCCGTTCTCTCATAGAAACTCAACGAACGCCATCCGCATAATCAACCTTGGCCTCTTGACTGGGAATGATGGAAGAACAACTCGCAGAAACCTGAGTCCGAGTGGATACTCTGAAGGGAAGACTCTGTATATCGGCACATGACATATCAACGGAAGATGAGATGAGAATTCGAAATGGGGGTATCTGTTGGCAAGACACCGCATACGGTCCACCAGAAGTACAATGAGCAAGAAGTAGTCATAAGTAGATGCAGTACATGCAATGAGAAGACAAAGATATAAAAGATCCCTTTGGGGATAATATGAAACGCCGTCATTGTTGCAAAGGTGGAGCGTTCCCCTAGCACTACAAGTTTCGATCTCAAACAAACGTGCCCAAAAAAAGGGGGGGAAGCTTCATATATTCATTGTTCAGGCATCGACGGAGACGGTAGGCCCTGTAAAAGGGAGTGATGATGGTTCCCGATGAGGTGGTTGACGCTTGTGCACTGGCTCAGGAGACTCGCCGCCAGGCCCTTGTCCATCCATTCGATCAAACTCCAGAGTCTCGGCCAGTTCTTCCGCCATGGGGTCCAACTCTTCCTCCTTCAACCCCGTGGCGAGAGCCACCAGCCTCCGATGCACGTCAAATTTGGTGCTAACGCCTGCATCGGCCGTCTGCTGGGCAAGATCTCGAACAGCTGCGCCACGTGCTTTCTGGACTGAACAGAGCTGCCGAGAGAGTTGATAGAGGATTCGAAGTTTGTTCTGATCACTAGACGAGGGCATCATGTTTTCTTTCGCCGGTGGGGGTAGTGACGCGAGGCGCTCTTTAAGCCGGATTTGTTGGATTTGTTCCAAGAGAGACTCGTAGCTCTGTCGGAGTCGCTCATATCGTTCCAGCTGTGTTTCGATCGGCTGCTCTTTGACCTCTTTAACCGACAAGACAGCAGTCTGCTTCTGGATCTTTTGCCGATCCAGTTCTAATTGCTCATACAACGCTTCCGGATTCGTTACATCGTCCAAATCTTGTTGAGTGGGCTTGCTACACCCGTAATTCATAGCGAGCTTCTTGTTGGTTTCAGCCATGATGGCACTGATTTTGGAAAGTAGTATCGAGGTAGCTGGAGAAGCCGAGGGAGACAGGGTGATGGGGTCTTGGTCAGAAGGTCCTGTGGCAGCAATCTCAACTCCAGTATGATCGTTGCCCATGGCGATCGATGATGGAGGAGGGGGAATCTCGCGTTCCGGTGGGTGTGCTCGCTGGGTGATGGCTGCCGCCGTTTCACCTTCCTTGTTCACTAGATCTCCGGCTCGCGGGCAGTGCGTAAGTAGCAGGTTCACCAACCGAAAGGCGCCGTTCCGAGCAGCAACAAGTGCAGCCGTATCCTCATTGGAATCTTGACAAGATAGCAATAGATCAACTTCGTCGTGGGAGCACGTAGTGTGCAATTTGTCGAGCAGGACTTCGCAGTAATACCGAGAGCTCTTCCACTTCCCTTTACTTCTAGTAGTCTCCGCTATGTGATGGAAAATCGTTGCTCCAAACCAATCTCTGAATGAGACCGTGTCTAGAAGCAGATCCAGTAGTGCAGGAAATGTTCGCTTCTCGTAGTTGTTTGTGAACAGAACGGCACGTACAAGGGGTGTTTCTTCGTGGACGGACAGTGCCTTGATATCTGCACCTCTTCGCAGCAAGTCTTTCACGATTTCTAGATCGCCCATCGCACAGGCCCAATGAAGAGCAGTGTTGCCTGAATCATCGATTGGACGATCTACTTGGAAATGTGTCGGCGGTTCCGGGGGTGGTATCCGTGTGGCCTCTGGGGCATCTCCGACGGTCATGAAGTAGTCCAGTAGTTGGTCACCGTAGAGTATGTGTTCTTGTTCACTGATCGACATGGCGGTGACTCCGTTCGGCCCACGTTTGCGCTTACGAGAATAAGCTCCATTTTGGGACATGGGCATCATCTCTTCATCTGCCACCATTGACGATGACTCGAGAGTCGCCTGCTCAATTGACTCGTTATCGTCAAACCCTGGATTGATTTCGTACTGTTCGTGGGGAAAGCTGGGTGGGCCCATGTTGCGAATTGGTTTAGCTGCATTGAATGCCGCCTCCTCCTGCGCGGCTTTCAACTTATTGGCCTTTGAGACTCTTGGTTTTGACGCTGCGGTTGTGTGTTTCGGAGCCGGGGGAGGAGTGCGATCTCCTGCGACATAGTCGAATATTGGACGGAGCTTGTCAATAATGTTATTGCGCTCGGCAAGTAAGCGACCCTCAGGGAGGGGGATCCATGTCCCTATTAAAAGCCTTAGAAGATGATAGCTTTCGCGTGCTCCATCATATCGGGTTGCTCACCTTGATATTTACCATAACCACCCTGTACCTTCTCATGGGTGCCTTTCTGGACTTCGCGCTCCAGGATCCGGGTTCTCGCCGGCTTGTCGAACCCGGCTACCTTAAGGATATGTGTTGCATTGATCCAGTTATCGCCGCGCCGGCGCATAACACTTTCGCCATCGATCTTAAATTCGTATACTGGAACCTATTCGACCCCATCAGAAGTGTTGCAAGGCAGGAAGGGGTACTTGCCCAGTGAAAGAGTAGGGGGGAATCAACTCACACTGCTATATGTAGCAGAATAGATTTTAGAAAAATCCACTGCCGCCATGATGTGCGCCTCCGCAGACCGTCGTGATGCAATCAGTATGTTCCCGAACAACAGTTGGTTTTCGACGCGGCCTCGCGGCTTCTGACGACCAATCCAAAAGCCTAGATGCTCCTCCTCCTGGGCATTAAAGATTATGCGACAAGAATTCAGGCCCAACGCATTACAAAATAATCAATCAGAATGCGTCCAGTAAAAAGTTATCAGCCACCAGTGGCTCGTTGTAGGCTCAGTGGCATCCCAGAAACGCGATGCTTTGCAGGCTGACTGGTAAAGACGCGCCGGGAAGGGGAGAACCGCGTAAAGTGGTCACCGAAGAACGCTATTCCTGTTACAGAACTATAGTCACGTGGTGTCACCTGACTGTATCGGGAAGGAAGGAACAGCATGCCGAGAATAGCTCCAAACCTCGCTGCGTAATTGATTGCTCATTCTCAGGACATAACCCTTCCCCGCGTCCATTTTCCACATCGAAATGACCGTCGTCGAGTCAGTAAAGAGCGCCGTTGGGCTTGCGGAGAGCACCTGTATGTTTTTGTTGCCATTGGGATCCGATCACAGAAGTTGAAGACTGAAGGATCATCACCGTCCAAACTCACCGCTAATGGTCTGAATACAGCGGCTACTCGTCAAGAAATGTCCGATGCCCGTCTTCCTCTTCAATATCGCGATTCTTGCGCCGGCCTCCTGATCCCATTGAACCGATGCCGACAGCAGGAGTACTACCTTCCGTGGAAGTGCGAGGTACATTAACCGGACCCACGTCCCGTCCCTTTGACGACTCTGCTTCTTTGTTTCAAGTGGTTACATGAACTAACTTGATTGTTCTACTTGCTAGGAGGAGAGACACAGCTACGAAAAGTGCCAATATGAGGAGTTCAAGAAGCGCGTCGCCAAGATGGACGAACTCCGAGCTGCAAAGGACGGTGCCCGGAGCAATTGATATCTTGGAGATCGGCATGTGCACTTGAAACGAAAGGAGTGACGGACTATGTACATAATAGAGGATCTGAGGTTATTTGTCCATGCACTGACTCTGGCGTTGGGAACTTCTCCGCATTGAAACTTGGCGACTTAAATGGCCTTGAGTAGCTGAGGCTCGCGTCTACTAAAAGCTCGGGGGTTCCTTTGGGGCCTGCTGCAGCTCTCACCTGGATTGAAACGATCCTGAATGTCGACTATCCATATATCTCCACCATTTGAGGGGATGGGTCAGCTCTGGCAGCTTGGAAGTTAATCTAAAAATCTCCAATTTGTCAGCAGAGCAACTGTTCGAGAAAGAACTGATGACAGTCTCGTATTCTTTCCTGAGCCGTCGTTTTTGCTTATTTTCTCTTCGTGTTTGAATGTCTGAGGTGCGGCAACCATGATTAAAACGTTAAAGTTATTGACATAGACATAGAGGCAAAACAGCCTATTAAGCTGCGCCTCATTCCTGGTACCATGCCCCTTATGCTATGATGGAATGAGTGACCCTTCAAACATACTGCACCTCGTGTTCCTGATGATAAATCAGGAAATTTACGTTCCCAAGGCTGCATATAATTATGGTCATAGATCAGCCCACGACTCACTGTCACCCCACTTGGCAGTAACACAGAGTCACAGACCCTTGAATGACTCGGGGTCTGTTCGATATAGATCACCGTTTCTGTTTCCACGACTATTACGTGTTATAGACGTAATCACATGATCCGACACCTCCGCGCTCAAGCGTGCAAAATGCTGCTTAATTGCTTATAAATCGGGTTCGCGCAGTTTCCGCTGCCTTATCGGCGATAGAACCAGTGTTGTCGTTGGTTGCTTACTATTCACCTTTTTCTGCTGCCCCGCGGAAAGACTGAAAAATCCCCCCACTACGCTGCCCACGTCCATGCTCTACGCCAATAGGCAGTTGAGTCCATTCTCCGAAGCTACGGCGCAAAAAAAGTAGATAAAGTCGAGTCTGGACTTTTTCTGCAATGATGATCAGATAATATCCCCTTTTGTTTCCTGTTTCTCCTGCCCCTGGACGACCGGAGAGTGTGCTCATATACCTATAGAGGAGGGGCAGCGTCACTTGCCACCGGTGTTAGCCCACTCTCTCATTTCCTGTGTCTGTCACAGGTCTGGACTACCAGGAACTTTTCTTTGCTTCCTGCGGGGTTTCGGCTTTGTACTTTCTTTCGCGATTGCGGTCGTCCGTATAGGGTAGTTGGGATATCTGTATGATACAATGGGTCTGCTGTAAGTTGAGAGACCCTTTGCTTTCTGAGAATTGATCCTAATCCGTTCTCTTAGAGCTCTTGGAACAGCCCTGGAATGGGAAGAAGCCAAGAAACGATCCGATCAAGTGCGAAAATGGGGTATCGAGGTTGGTCGGACGAAGCTCGTTTCTAGTTGACTCTACAGCTCACGTAAGACAGCAATTGCTCGCTATTTGGAATCGTGCCAAAGGGAAGGAGCGCGATGCTTTGCTCTGGGGTGATGAGGTAGATCTTTCTCCTATTGAGCTTGCTCAGTTGGCTGGATGACTCACGCAAGATTAGGTCGAGTACCTCGTGGTAGCAGTCGATGACGAGGCAAAGAAGGCGCGTTTGTCTTTAGCTCAGGCCGAGATTCTGAAGTCTTTGGCTCGGGATGAGGCTTTGTGGAAGACAAACGGCTCCAACCCTGGTCATGGGAAAGAGCAGTAAGTCGATTACAGCGATGTCCTATTCTTCTTGGGTTGTCTAATTCGGTGATAGTGAAAATGAGGACCCTCCCCATTTCCACCCCGAGTTTGGCCGGTTCATGCTCGAGGCTACTCCAGGTCAGCCATGGGGGATTGACTTCAAGGATCTTTTGAAAGTGGAATCGAACATGAAGTGGAGGTGTGTTTTATACTTGACTTGCCTCATCTGGGGGCCTGAGCAACACTAATATTCGGCTACAGACGGGAAATTGCAAAGTCACATATGGCTGAAAACGAGTATCCCATCACACTCACAACATTCCCCCGTCTGGGTACAAAGGACGACTATATCCAACCTTATTACCCTCCATCTGGACCAGCGCTGCGCTCGCAATTCGTTCCAGATGAGATCGCCAACCCTCACATCAGATTCCCAACACTAGCAGCGAACATCAGATCAAGAAGGGGCCGGAAGGTCGAACTGAATGTTCCTGTCTATGTGGATAAGAATACTCCAGTACCATTCAATGACCCAACGGTCAATTATGACCTTCACACCTGGCCTGAAGATAACGATGTCCGGAACGGAGCTGCAAAGGAAGGTCATGTTTACATGGATGCAATGGCGTTCGGAATGGGCAGCTGCTGTCTGCAGATCACATTCCAAGCGAAGAACATCACCGAGGGACGAAAGCTCTATGACCAATTGAGCCCTCTAGGACCAATCCTTCTGGCACTGACAGCTGCGACGCCGATTTATAAAGGATTTCTGGTTGATACAGACGTCCGGTGGAATCAAATAGGAAATGCGGTCGACGACCGGACACGGGAAGAACTAGGTGAACTAGTGAGTTTTCCTTCTCGGTGTCAGACTGTCCTGAATATGAGGACTGACATGTTACCGTAGCCCCTGAAAAACGACCGGTGGAGAATCCCCAAGTCTCGGTATGGCTCAAATTCGACATATATCTCTCATGATCCCCGACTACGGAAGGAGTATCTGGATCCGGGTCTGATTGTCGATGAGGATATTAAGAAGCGACTCGTGGAGGGTGGCATGGATGATTTGCTGGCGACCCATTTCGCGCACCTTTTCATCCGTGATCCCTTGGTCATTTTCTCGGAGGATTTGGAAGAGTTGGATCTCAACAAGGCAGATCATTTTGAGAACCTACAATCAACGAACTGGCAGCATATGCGGTTCAAGCCTCCCCCACCGGACAAGGCCGATATCGGCTGGCGAGTTGAGTTCCGCTCAATGGAGATCCAGATGACTGACTTTGAGAACGCTGCATTCAGTATCTTCATTGTGCTCATCACTCGTGCTATCCTCAGTTTTGACCTCAACTTCTATATTCCTATCCAGCGGACCACTGAGAACATGGAGACAGCGCATGCTCGCAATGCCGTTCATGACCGCAAGTTCTATTTCCGCAGGAATCCTTTCTCGCGCCGTGTCAGACATAATCAACGTTCGACCACCGCTAGCGAGGTGTCGTCAGCTACTTCTTCTGCGAACAACACACCGCCGCCATCGCCGCCTCTTGGTCCCGTGGACTTGGAGTACGATCTTATGACTATTAACGACATTATCAACGGTTCTGATGACGGAGGCTTCCCGGGTCTGATCCCCCTCGTCGAGTCCTATTTGAATAGTGTCAATGTGGATGTGGAAACCCGGTGTTCCCTCGCTACATACCTTGACCTGATCAGGAAACGAGCAAACGGAACGCTCTGGACAGGTGCTCGGTGGATCCGGGAATTCGTTGCTTCCCATCCGGCGTATAAGCAGGACAGTGTAGTCTCAGAAGAGATTTGCTATGATCTTGTGAAAGCCGTTGATGAGATGGCCGTGAAAGAAGGCAGAGACGGAAGTGCGGGTTGGCAATTACTCAGAGGACGAAAATAATGAGCGTTTCTGCATTAGCAAGCAGGTGATGATATCCGTTTCAGAACTAGTAGCATTGGTGGTTTGTTTGATTGTCCATAGATAGCATTACTCTTCATATCTCTTGGTGTCTCTAGGTGGATCACCCAAAGCGTCGAATCTATCGTTCAGATGTCTACCAGCTCTATCTCTTGTTCGTGTCTTCCGCCGAACAGTTCCCATTGCTCACAATGATGGAAATATCAGGTGGCGCCAAATTGAGCTCAAGCCAACGTACTTCTTTCGTCCTCCGTGGGTTGCCGACAAGAATCCGCCAACCCAGTCACCTTCCATTCCCCGTTGATCTTATGAAGGATGAACAGCTCGACGCCCACATGGTCCACGACTCCGTTGATCTTCGCTCTGAACGGGGCCCAAACAGCCGCCAGATTTGCCATTTCATCCACCTTCACCTCCGGGTCCCAGATACGCTCGTTGATATCGTCTTCGATCTTGAAAATGTGCTCGACAAACGCACCGATTGTACAGAATCGAGGGGCCATGGGCGGCGGCGGCCAGAGTGCCATCCCACCTGCTCTGACACAGTACTTGTCGAAATCGTCGCGGGACTTTGTCGCCAGCGCGGAGAGAAATCCTTTCGTCACCGCGACGACGGATTCGACCTCGTCTGCGTGGCCGGTAGTGGTTGGGGAGGAGGGATCGAACTGTCGTCGAGACTGGTTTGATATATTCCAACACATAGTGGGACTCATGGGTGTGTTGGGGATGTGGCTGCGAACTTCTTTAGGGGCGTGTTCTTGTCACTTGGCTTATATGGTACCTTTCTAGTGAAGGACACAGGGTCGCGCTCCTGACTCTTGGGCAGGGGACCCGGTACCGGGAAGGCGCCAGGCCATATATTATATTCTCGAACTCACCAGGGGCTATACGTATAGCGACTTCACATGCAGCTATCCGATATAGCGACAGTTCTACGATAATTAGGATGCGTGTTGGACGCTGCTGGTAGTTTACATACTTATCACGATGGTTGTTGTTCAGAAAACGCCATGGAGTCGTGCCTTGTCTCAATCCAAAATACCTATAACGGGTACAATGGACAAAACTGACGCCGACTATGATTCTATCAACGACTACAGCAGAATAGACATCCAAGGAGTGGGTTGGAAGCATCGCGGTTACATTGCGGGCTGCATCTGGTTTCTGTCGTCTCACAGGTATGACCTACCTAGCCGTTAAACACTAAACACTAAAGACACATGATGATTGAATATGAGGCATGGAAGATTGCTTCCTGTTCTGTGTAACAGGCCCTGAGATCAAAGGCAACACACGCAGGATGATTGCGTAGTACTCGGGACAAGCTCCAGTAGGAGGATAATCTCGTTGTGAATGACCCTATCAGCCAGTATCGGGATTCTTTTAGGCTTTATGTCAGTTGATCCTGCACATTTGGCAACCATTTGCGGAATTTGACCTGAGGAGTCGTGCAACCTGAAGCAAGGTGCACCGTCCCAATATTTGGATCCTCGTATCGCGTCCTAAGGGTGGACGTTGAAGTTGCTGTGAAAAACTCCGTGCTTGCTAAGTACGAGTCCATGAGACTATGGCAGACTAGCCGAACGTATGTTTTTCTTTTCAAGGACGATGCTGGACTTGTGAGATGTCGTCGAACATCGTACAAGTGCACGTGCTGAGCGCCTTTGACCTCGCGTACTTCCCACATCTCTTCTCAATTTTCGACATCATCACAACTATTGTCAAGTATATGGGACCCAGTCAATATCGGGCCGATGGCACACATCGACATATCAAATATCATGTCCGTGCCATCTTTGCTTCTCCGTAATCCATCGGTCTCTCTTCGCCCCAACACTGGTCTCCCCGTCCTTTCACCACGGCACAACCATTTGCTGCCTCTCAGATATTTTCCAAAGATCATTTCCGACAATCAAAGATGATGCTTTTAGCAATCCTTCTCGGATCTTGACCGGCTTCACCATCACAATGCCGAGTTTTTAGCGAAGAACAACGGATAATCCCCTGTCTCCCTCCGGGCCTGCTTGAGTAGCGTACACCGGCGTGAGCGCCAAAGCAGCTTCTAGCACATAGTGACTCCACACCCCGGTTCTTACACGACAACAGTCACCACTCCCATTTTTGCCCCGCAAAGTACTCTGGAGATCTTTGCTCTATTGGATCAGGGAAAGACGATCGTGAAGCATGGAGGGCTTCAACTCCGAATCCCCACACTCTTCAGTCCTCGCGAATCTTGTCACTCATCGTCATCCCAATGCAAACCAAGAGGATCCTAGGACCCCTCACCGGTGGCACCTGGTGGCTCTATACGAGGAGAACCAAGTTTTCAGGGATCAACCAGCGCAAGCCATGGGGGACCGATCATGGGTTTCTCCTTCTCCTGCGGCGCGGAGGCAAAGAAGAACCGGGCTCATGGAGATTGCAAAAGATGATTCGCCTGACCAGCCTCCATTTCTCGAAAATGATAGCAGCAGGTGCCTCGTTCCTTGCTCTGTGGGCTGTTGGGAACGCTGCGCCGAACAGCATCTCAAGCCTTAAATTCCATGTCCGAAATGGCACATACGTTGGTGTGAGAAATGCAAACTACCAGCAGGACTTCTTCCTGGGGATGCCATAAGCTCAACGGCCTGTGGGAGATCTGCGGCTCAGGGTAGCTCAATCTCTTAATGAGAGTTGGGCTGGGGAGCGTGATGCGAAGGAATACTCGGATATCTGCGTGGGATATGGGGTAACCTACCTGTTTCCCTTCTAAAACAAATCTACTCTGATTCTGACTGGAAGTAGAGTGATTCTATCTGGTTTCTCATGTCGGAAGCCTGTCTTACTGTGAATGTTGTTCGTGGTCCATCGGTTGACGAGAGCTCGAAACTTCCAGTGAGTGTTTGGATTCACGGAGGTGGCTTTTATATGCGGGCTGGCTCTGGCCAGCGCTACAATATGTCTGCTATCGTCGTGAACTCCTATAAGATGGCTGAGAAAGCTTATTCAAGCTTAAGAAAAGTATCCGTGTTGCTAACAACAGCAGGCAAACCATTTATCGCTGTATCACTCATTCATTGTCTGTCCGCATGGGACTTCTTGAGCTGCTAGGAAGCTCGTTATTTGCTGATCCAGGTAACTGTACTGGCTACCAAGTGCTCTACGATAAATTGGTTTTACAGGTCCAATGCTTAAATGCCAAGGACACATTGCAGTGTCTGTGCAAAGTCCCGTTTGATAGGCTGAACTCTGCTCTGAACGTGAACGGAACGGACGGTCATTCTGACTACAACTTTTCACCCTCCATCGATGGCGATATCGTAACGGATCGGGGAAGTGTTCTTCTCAAGAAGCATAAATATGCCAGGGTTCCGATCATCGCGGGCACCAACACAGACGAAGGGACAGCGTTTGGGCCCATGGGGGTCAATACAACGGAACAATTCTACGAATATCTCACGGGTATGTTGACCTGTCTTTCAATACCTGGAGGGTAATGAATGTGCTAATCTGGGTAGCAGATGGCCAACACGGAGGTCCATTCAAACTGCCACATTCCATCGCGATGCATATCCTACACTTGAACCCTGACGAGCCCTCCCAAGGCACTCCGGAATCTCTCGGATCCGAACGTGTGCCTTCCAAGGGCTATCGATGGCGTCGCACGTCGGCGTACGTAGGTGACGTTGCAATTCATGCCAACCGACGCCGGCAATGCGAGGCATGGAGCGAGACCTTGACGCTAGCGTACTGCTACCGCTTCAATGTCCACTCGACTGATGTTGCGTTTGTTGAAGGCTCAACTCACTTCGAGGAGGTGGCTTTTGTGTTCCACAACATCGGGGGAGTAGGATACGATTACGGTAAACCGTTTGCGGGCGTGCCGGAGTCATACAAGCAGCTCAGCAAGCTGATGGCGAGCATGTGGGCATCGTTTATCCATGATCTGGATCCAAACTCAGGCGTTGGAAGCTCGTCCGTGCACTGGGACCCGTATAGTCGACATGAGCCAGTTGATCTGCTCTTTGATGCTAATGTGACTAGTCACATGGAGCCTGACACATGGAGGAAGAAGCAGATCCACTACATCAACTCCATGGCTCATAAGTATAGGCGGTGATCGTATTGCTGCTGGACTGTTCAATTTGTCCGCATACCTGTATCTATTGGGACTTCATCATGAGAGAGATCTTATCAAATGATGGATTTGGAGCTGCAACACATCAGCAGACGAGTTGAGAAGATACACGACGCGCATTTGCTTTCTCCAGGCCCATGGGAACCAGTCAGGCATTATGTTTAATCAGCACTATGCTTCATTTTCTCAGCAACCTATTGATCTACTCTGTAGTTGGAGACTTCACACAGTTGAGCTCACAATACATACATCCAATCATTGTACCTATTCCATGTCACCAACGCATCCTTGCTTGTAATAATCCACTCCAGCTAGACAGTGAAGCAATTGCATTGACCTAGCCAACAAGCAGTGCAAGCGCCAGCAGATACAGAATTGACCTATAGAAAGTCATAAGTACTGGGTACCGTTATCCATCATTGATCGAGAGTGCAACCAACGACGTCGCAGGACTGACAGATCCAGAAGCAGAAGCAACAAGCATCTATGAGCGCAAACAATGACAGCTGTCATAATACCTTGCGTGTTTGAAATTCTGCACCCACAACTCTTTCCAAGTATGTCTGGGGGCATGGTTTGTGTATGTACTTTTGTACTGCATGCCAGAGGGCTACGCTGCTGTGCTATGTTGTACTGTGCTGTGCAGGCATCTGGTACATTACAGGTCAGGATAGTGGTAATGGTATGGAAAATAACTGGGAGTTTGGGAAACATAAAATTTGCAGTGGATGTACTGGTATTACCGTAAACTGGTGATACTGATTGGCATTGATACAGGTATTACGGAGTCGAAAGTACTCCGTAGGTAGAAATATTTTGATCCTGCGCTAAGATCTATTTGGGTGCATTAGTACTTGTATTTCAGTCCAGTACTCACTGTCTAGAGACTCGATTACTCTGTAGGTAGCCTACGGTTGATTTTTGTGTATGCTTACTAGCTTTCGATGCTCTCCCACTTTTTTGAGTACACAAACCATTTCCGCTGAAGTATCTAAGTTTTCTACTTCGTAGAATAGATACTCAGCCATCGAATCCCTCCCATTCCGTCAAAAATAAATACTGTCCGAGTTATTCATCCAACATCGGGGACGCCGTATCTGCATGATGCATTCATTAGCACCCGGGCCTTACTTCCAACCAACCAACCTTCCCCCTCTGACTATCTGCGCCCCGCGCAGCATCGCAAGCACCCCGAGATCGTTCCACGATTTCCGGATCTCGATTCTCGCCTGATCCAGATCAACCGCTTTTCAAGATCCTCGAAAAAAACAGTCTAGAAAGCGGCCGGCGCCTTAGTTTCATGCAAGCTACGGGATTTTTTCGCTGTAACCACTAATCAGTCATCAAGCTGCCTGCTGCCTGCTGCGTGCGTCGTGCTGACTGGGTTTCACTAGCCCATCGACTATCAGCAATTTGAGTTTCCCATCATCGATTCATGTCGCCTAACCCGGCGATCTGGTTCTAGACACCTGCAGGCTGCGGGTCAGGGACCCAGTAGCCACTAGCCAGTACATGCCTAATGAGGACTGCTGAGCAGATACTGGACAGGTAAGTAAGTATTTGGAATACGTATGTAGATGTACTCCCGTACGGGAAGAACGGAAACCTCCGCGCTGAGTTTATTTGGGTTTATCCGGACTGTCGATCAGGAGCCTGCGCAGGGCCGCAAGTGGCAGCATTAGTGAGCTTTCCATCTATCCATGATTTACTCCGTACATGACCCTATATATGCAATAATATGCGCGCCATGCATCCGCCGAACCGAACCGGACGGAGCAGTGAGATCCAAACCTTCTCCCCCTCGTGTTCATGCTGGATCTTCAAGGAGCAGTGCTAGTCAGTCATCTATGTACTATCTAGACTGCCGGGTGAGCTCGGTGCCCGAAGACACGCATGCAATCCATGCAGAGTTCAGATTGTGCCTTGCTTCTGCTGTTTCGATATGGACATATTTGAGGGAGGATAGATCCAGTGCAGAGGACAAAAGGACTCGCTTATCGGGGGATTGCGTAACATGGGCCAGGTTTCGTTTTCTTTGACCCATCTCAGCCTTCGGTGGGAGTGGTCAAGGGTGTGCTATGCTGTTGAGAGCAAATACCGCGCGACTTACATGGCTGTGGTCTCGATGAAGTGCGGAGGGGCTTCAAACGACAAGCAGTGGCAGGTCAATGGAGTGCCTGAACTACTTGGTGTGCAGTCGGTCACGAAATAATGAGAAAGTTGAACTCACTCGCAAGTATCACCAGTTCATCCAACTCCAACAAAAGCCTGTTCAGTTCCCCCAACTGGAAACTGGTCTGCATTAATATTACGGAATATTCTCTGCGGACGCAGGGCTCCGTCTTCTCCACTGGTGTATCTTTCTCCTGGTAATCTAACCCATCATCACCGTCATTCAGGGGACCCTTCGGACGATCGATCTCATAGTGGTCCCGGGGGCCATCCATGACTCGTGGCATCTGGTCTCCTCACTTACCCTTACGCAATGGGGGTACATAGAGGCCATATAGACTCGATAGCATACTTGCATACGGGCATGCCTCGAGTTCGGAGATCACCGCTGACCGCTCCAGTTCCCGAGCGACTGGGTCGGCTATCGGCTGCGAAGCAAGGGCCGATGGTTTGTGATACTTCGAGTCCCGACAGATGGGAACAAACGGAGGTGAGAGGTAGTTTTTACCCCTGCCTTCTGTATTCCGTACTTCGAACATATTATTGATAGGAAATATACGATACACGGCAGTACTCAGCACTGAGCACTGAGCACTGAGCGCCAGTCCTCTTTGTCAGTTCGTTTTCTCCAACCTACTGTATTTAGTCTGTGTCCCAGTTCTTCAATACTTACATACCGGCCGATCCTCGGCGGTGCTAGCTAGAATCGAAACGTTGGAAAATTGGGACTGGTGAAGTTGCGATACCAACGGGATTAGGGGCAGTCGATGGAAAAGGAATCCGTTGATGATTCGACGGTGGCTTCGAGATCTGATCTCAGCCTTGGTACACAGACCGAATTCCAAATCGCGTCAAAGTCAAAACGGTGCCTTGTATTTGATACAGACGCCAGTCCACATTTCATACTGCCCGCGTATTAAAGGTCGGGTATCTTCCTCAGACAGGTAGCCAGATAGTTGGTCAATGCAATCCCCTGCAGCGGGACGAAATGGAAGTAAACTCAAGCCCCAATGAGGAATTATTCAACGAAGCCAAGCACCGTCTGAACAGTATTGAGTATCGATGTATAATATTTCTGCAAAACAGTAAATGTTACACCAGCATTCCCCCCAGCTACTGAATAATGTCAATAAAACACACCCAAATAGAAATCAGCGGTGAGACCACCACCGCCCCCCACACCCCCCCCCAAAGTCCCAGCGGCCTGAAGTCGCACTTCGATAGTTCGATCATGGCGCAGATGCAACTGAGATGGATCATGGCTGAAAGATCCATGTCGAACTAGGGAGCACCGGAGCAGGCCTCAAACACCGATAGCCAATAATGCAAGATTCAAGATGTGATCTGATCTGATCTGATCTGATCCGATCCGATTCAGGCAAAGGCGCTAACTAGGCCGGATGGAGCTAGAGTCCAGGACAACCCGCTTTGGGCCATCGATCGGGAGCTCGAGGCCCAGATGAATGGAGAATCTCAACGATGACGGATTCGTAATCAACAAGGCTAGAAGAAATCAGAGGCTAGTCTTGACTATCTACAGGGTGGACCATCAAAGAATGCAGTCCCGTCACTGCCCAGTGCTATGTTCGGAATCTGATTCCCTAACATTCCTCGGAGATACTTAGTGCCCTTCATCCCAGATTAAGGTTGGAGGCTGCTCTAGTCCGTTCTAGTGGAATTTGAAATCTCAACTGTAGGCAATGATTGGTCAATTCTGTCGATATTCACGAATCATGTGCGCTATGCCTTTTATGGAAAACCAGACCTCATGTGACTTGTATGCTGTGATGACTGACGACTGATTATTGAGCCTCAAGTTGCAAGTACCTACCGGATCCCAAGAGTCCCAGAGTATGTATTTGACCAGCGCTTGCAACTGTCCAAATAGATAATTCCTTCACGAGCGAACCCCCCCCCCCTAACTCTCATTTCAGAAGGTTTCCCCCAGTGAGACAACTCCTCAGGGTTTTCTAATTTCTAACCACACTACGCGGTCGCAAAGTCTATACTCGGGGCCCATGCACAGATCCATTGAGCTAATGCTTAGTTCAATGAAACTATTCTGCTTTCCTCGCTCCTAACTCGGGCCTCAGAACAGTTCAATCTTAGCTCACTAAATCTCAGATTATTCACATTCAATCTAGGGGCAGGATCGGATTATGGGATATCGGCTCGCGGAATAACCGAATCTCGAATTCCTTATTGACAAGAATGTACTAGGCTCCTAGCAGTAATCCGTCATACGTAGTCTGCCAAGACCACAACCTGAACTTGATTTTCCCAAGACTATGATTTCAAGAAGCGAGAAGAAAAAAGTACCCCAAAAAAAAAAAAAGAGAAAAAGAGAAAAAGAGAAAAAGAAGAATGCCCCGTCTACGACTCTATCTTCAACATCTTTCCACGCTGTCAAAATAAGATGAAGAACCCCCCCCCCCAAGATCTCATCGCCGCCTCGATCATGCCACTCTGAGGCTAAGAAGCTTAATCGGGAGTCGGGACACGTGGGAATAAGGGAATTTCGCCTCCGCGCTCCGCCGGACCCGAAGCCCATGCCTCCCCCGATGGCTCATCGATAACATGATAATCTAAAGGTCTGGAAGCGATGGCTTCGCTTCCGTACTTTCGGTCGAGATCTCTCGGATCTCTCTCGTTCTATCGGTTTCTTCTGATTGTGGCGAGCTTCGTAGATATTGAGATGGTCTTGGCAGGGCCACGACTCGGCCGCATGTTAGTTACCGAATGGAGATATGCCCCAGTGCCGCGCCACTGGAATCGCATCACTACAGAATTCAGATAGATACTCGACACCCAGTATGAAATGATAATTATCTTTTCTCATTTTTCATCATGATGCTATTCTAGTCAGTATAGCCGTCCCCACATTCTTTCTAAGGAGTAGCGCAAATAATGGGAGGAGTGTATGGAAAAGCTGGGGTATATTGTTTTGAAGCAGGAGCAGAGCAAGGTAGAACAGGGAAAAAACAAAAAAACAAGTCTGGTCAACGGGTGGATGGTAATCAATCCCCAGTAGAATTGAAAAAAAAAGAAATGGAAAAGCCAAATAGTCTATCCTCATAATTCTCTCACAGCATGCGAGGGGTATTAAAATAAATGCGATGTGAACAAGATGGGCTTCCTGCAAAAGTTCGTGGCCACACGACCCAAGAAAGAGAGAGCATATGAAGGAAACTGCCGTATCCCGTATAATGATCAAGCACAGAGCAAATCAAAGATGCAAGAGCTTGCAATCGAACAGAAGATCAAGAGATTGGGTCACAAAAACGCCCGGCACTTCTAATCCCAATGCCTTTTCAACGCCACAAGGAGGAACAGAAAGAGTAGAAAGAAAAAAAGACAAATGAAAAGTAGAAGAATAGAAGAAAAGAAAAAAATGCTACATATAACTAACGAGCATTGGGAGATGCAGAATCAAGCGCGGCCTTGGGTTTCAAACTCGAACCCAAGGCTGCTGCCTTGCTAGCACCCATTTTGCGCGTCAATTTGGCATAGTGCAAACCACAGGCGTTGCACAATGTTCGAGCACCATCGGGGCCACGGCGCCATTCTGGAGTCTCGGCTCGGTTGCAGCTGTGGCAACGACCAGGAGGGGCAGCTTTCTGTAATGATCCATAGTTAGCGCAATGACAGATGTAACCAGTGGAGAAATGACGCCCTCGGTTTGCATGGAAACACTCAGGACCCGCTTGGAAGGAACTGAGGGCGCGGCAAAGAATAAAGCGAAAGGGAAAAAACAATAGGGAAACAAGGAAAAGGGATGGAACGTACCCCTCGTCGCTTTTTCGTATCGGGACCAGCAAATCCACCATTGCCCTTGTACTCTTCTTGGTACATTGCCATGTGGTCGCCATCATGTACTCCACCGGCGCCAAAGGCTTTTCTCTGGGCCATCTGCTCCGCCATGGCATGCTCCTGGTTCAGAACGGCGGTCCGGATCCGCATTAACGCATCTTGATTCCGGCGCTGCAAATTGATCATGTCCTCGATTTCATGAAGAGAGGGCAAAGACCCTAACATGGGCCCGGAGCGCTGGGTTTGGTGAGCCCTTGCTGCATAATGCCGCGAAAAGTCCAGCGTGCGAGTGCTCAGTTCGGCAATCTAAAGGAGATTTGATTAGCAGCCAGGTAAAAATGATGCCTAATATCACAATCCAATACGTACCTCGTTTAGTGAAGATTCCACTTCGTAGATTTCCAGGTGACGCTTAGCAGAATCGCTTTGGGGCGGTACTGGAACAGCTGGACGCCCCGCTAAGCCGTTTTTCAATTCTTCCACGCGCACTGGTTCTGGCGGGCCAGGTTTCCACGACGTACCCGAGTAAGGTCGCGTATCGTGATGCCCCGCGGAGGGATATGCAGGAGCACTCGATGGTGGTTGTGAATGAAAAGCATATGGCTGTGAATAAGAAGCGTAGCCATTCGGCGAGGCTACACTACCTGCCGATGCAGGCGCGCTATATTCGTACCCGGAACCCGCCTGTGAACCAGTGATTGATGTCAACCCAGTTTTGGCACTGTGTGTAGGGGATTTGCCCGAATTGAGCGACTGCAGCGACGGATTCCTGGAATCCTGGGTATTTATCGATGCCAGGCTTGATCGCGATGCATCCGCTTGGAGCTGAGATTGATGAGGAAAAGGTGGATCGCGTAGGTACTGCCCCGTCGGTGTTCCATTTAAGAAGGGGTTCGGCGGACCTGACGGGCCATCCCCAGCGGGCCGACTGACAAGAGCATGCGGTGGAGGTGCGTGATGAGTTTGTGGTGGAGGAGCTGAAGTAGGCGGAGCAGGGTATGGTAGGGAGTTATCGTTGCGTAGGGCCTCATGGATTGAAGGGAGTGACTGTCGCTGCGGCTGTAACTGTTTCTCTTTTTCCTCCTCAAGTGCGCGCCTGGAATCCGGAGACGAAATATACCCTGGCTGAGCAAGTGCGCTGGCTGCGGAGGGCTGGTAGGAATAGGGAGACGATTGATTAGGATACATGGTGGTTGGGCTGACAAGTGGTGTCGGTGACGAGACAGCTGAACTTCTGGAGGAATAACCGGGGCCGTCTTTGCCTAGGAAGTTTATTGCTGGCAGATGTTCCCTGGATTCATCAAATCACTCGTTAGCAAAATATACTCTCTCTTACAGGCAATGAGAAATTGCGAGGTAGGCCCTTCGAAAGCGCATCTCCAATAGCATAGATGACAAACCTTTGCCGATGTGTTGTTTCTAAGGACCCCATCATGCCAGAATAAAACTTTTGTGTTCCAACCTCATTCACTAGAGACTCGTCGTGGACTTGGTAGCGGCGAGAAAAACTCGACTGATCGGTGTCGCGATTGTAGATGAAAAGTAATCGTTTATCGGCGTCCCATGCGTTGTAGGTGAAGCGCAAAAGAGGGATATGGGTTAGGACCGTGTTCTTCAAGCCACGTTCCCAGAATTTCGATGTTACCACCACAAAAATGCTTTCGCGTATTTCGAGATGAAGAGAAGCAATGTCTATGCCTCAAGTCAAAGTATCAGAGAGAAACCACCGTTCTTTTCTACCAGCGCCGTCGGGGATGGTGGCGGTTGTTGTGGAGAGGATGAACCGAAGAGATCTTGAATCGGCTGGTCGTAAGGTATTCCTAAGAAGGAAAGTCTGGGCTTCAATCACTCGATTCACAGCAAGGGCTTTTGGAACCGAACTCCGGTGCTGGAAGAGTGGGGTGGCGTTGGTAGAGAGATCGAGCAACCCACGGGTGATGCGATGCAGTTAGAGTGACCGCGACTGTCAAATTGAGTTGGTTCCTCTGGCGATTACGTTTGATGGTTCAAGAAACTGGGAACCATTCGAAGCCCGACGATGAACAGACCAGACAAGATCGAATCGAGGAGCACTGTCTCTCTTGGAAGCCAAGTATCGATTGGGGAAATTAAAATAAAATAGAACAAATAAACTTCTATCTGTCAGAAGTTTTGTGCGTTGGCCTTCGTTCGATCTCGACAATGGGAGTTAGTTGCGGGCGGGAGGTGCGGGCGGCGCTGTGAATGCAACGGATACTGATTATGAATGCGTCGCGTGGAATAAAGAACGTTGGTTTCCTTTCCCTCTCAGTGTGAGGATTGAGATGTGCGTCCCTATAGAAGGACAATAAAACGGGGACGTGGTGTAGAAGGAGAAGCGCAATGTGGGAGAGAAGGGATCCCAGCGAGTATAGAGTATAGATGTGGACTGGAGGATAAGAGGGAATAAGGTAAAAAGTGAGCTTGAAGGAGAACGAGTAAATCAAGGCTTCTTCTCTAGAGCGACGAGACTATTGGGCTTGAATCCATCCAGGAACTCAAGAAGCAAAGAGTAAGGAAGAGGAGGAGGAGGGGAGGTCGGCAAGAAGAAAGTGATGAAGAGGGAAGAAGCTAGAATATGATAAGAAAGAAGAAAACAACGCCAGAGGAGGGAGATTAACTATGACTATAATTATAAATTCTAGAATAATGGCACCCCGTTGAAAAATAATAAATACAAGAGTAATTATAATTATGATTTGCGATTTTTATAATTATAATTGTTATTTCTATGGCAAAAATCCTATAGTAGTTTATCTTTTTACCACTACTATGGGGTACTAAGTACTACTACTACAACTACTAACGACAACGACTAACACACTACTACCAAGTCCTACTCCAGAGTCAAGACAATTTACAAGACCGCCACAAGCAGGCCCGCACACACGAGATATGGGAGGATCCATCCAAACGGAAGCTACTGAAAACTAGGTACGTCAATTCGTCAAAGCACCCCCTCAGAACACACAGACTAGATACTTGGACATTCAAAGACTTTCAACCCGTTCGAAGATGCAAAGAGGCAGCAGAGTGAACTCAGAAGCCAGAAACCTCAAGAGTCGAGATGGAACACCACCCATCTGCAAGATCGTCGAATCATTTGGGGAACTGTTACCTGGTCAGATTTACGGCGAATTACAGAAGCTTTACAGGCTGCGAACTGCGGATCTTGGACCAAATAATGTGGAGTGAGTTGTTGGGATCATATTTGGCGATGTGCGGATATCTGGGTGGGGAATGATGACAAGGGGCTGTCTTGAGTCCTGTCCCTTTAGGTCCTAGTCGAGTTCACTGAACATCCAATTTTATTTTCTTCGCGGATTTTATTTTTGTTTGGATTCATTTTATTTTATTTATTTACTTATTTTCTTTTTTGCCCCCATCATTATACTTCACCTTAAAATTACCTAGCTTAAAATTATCATTATGTAAGCTGTATCATGTTTTTTCCATCTATACTACAAACTCGAATTAAAAATGGGAAGGAAAAAAAAAAAAAGAGAGGAAAAGAAATAGAAAGGAAAGAAAAAACAATTAGAACAAAATAGAGCAAAATAGAAAACCCCATCACTGTGTTGTACAAATGTAATCCTATCTCATAGATATGCATGCCAGAGACAGCCCAGCATCGAGTTTGTTTCCGAAAAATACACAGCAGTACACAATAATACAGAGATTTGATCCACTCAATACCAGATGGGTAAATGTCAAATGATCAACTCAGATCTTACCTTTTCGATCATTGACACGATCATTTCCAGCCATCTGCTGTCTGGACCATGATGTTGGTAATATCATACCGAATCCCGTAAAAGTCAGGGGTGAAATACATATTTGTATTTTGACATTTTCCAGAGCACTACTCCGTACTGCGTTACAGGGGCAATTAAAAAGAAAAAGAATAGGTAATAAATAAGATTGGACATTATCTAGATCCGATTTCTCAGCAAGAATACTAAGTTGATTAGTTGGTACATAGCCCTGCTCCATAGTATCAAATGCGCTGGATCGGACACTATCTATCTACTAGGTATGTATTTGGGAAGCAATCGACAGAAGAATGCCTATTGCTGGAAACAAAGAGGGAGAGGCGAAAAAGTTGAGGGTTTGGAGCGAAGATAGAGAGAGAGAGAGAGAGAAAGGCCTCCGTCATTGTACAGACTGACATTGAACCGCGATCTTAGACGATGACTCGACGATCATTTATATACAGGGCAATGCAGATGAAGACTTCGATCATGCCAGACCACTAGGGTACTAGCTAGGTTATATAGATGTAACATGTTTGAAGGTATCCATAGAGGAAACGTATATCACTGACCAATCCTTTCAACATCAGATCATAACCATCAGATGTATAAAGTAGCCACCATGCAACGATGGAAAGGAAATGAGAGCTTTCTACGGAGTACTCCGTGGGATTTAGTTGTTCTGTCATCGCCCTGGGTACCACTCTGCTAAGATTCTGCAGTTCTCCCTCTGCCTCATTTCCTTCTGCGAACCATCGCGGACCGGAAATGAAGGCCGCCAACAAAAGCACGCCCATTATCTATCACTCTATCTGGATCGCCAGATCGAGATCGTATCTGGCCCGGGTTCCTTTTTCGCTGTTCAATGTCTCTTCCTCGATTTCCCATTCCTCAGTGCCTCAAAGTCTTCAAGAAAGGCTTGTAATTCGTCCTATTTATTGTACAGGTCCGTGTGGAGTATCTGGATCAGGGCTGACTAATTAAGTTTTTTACTACCTGAGACCTTCAGTTCCCTATGTACTGAGTACCTACGGACTACGGAGTGGCTACTGCCAGATGAAAGACCTCGTAGAGATAACTGGACAACACGACCCATCAGATACAGACGTCCAATCGGATCTATGGCTGACGGCGATATCTGAGCTCTCACTGAATGCAGGGTACGAAGGGGGACGGGAAGATCGAGAATTTAAAAATGGACCATCTGACCCTGTACAACTGTCTCCTCGGTACGCTATCTATCTACTAACCACTCAAGTACGAGGTCAAAGAGAGTCACTACTGTAGTCCGTACTGTGTACATTCTTACACAGCCTTCTGCAACGTTGCTGAACCTGAGCCAGATCTGGTAACGATCGCAGTGGAGAAATTGAATCGCACATCAGCAAGACACACATGCGCTTACGCCCATCCGTATGCAACTAGCCCAAAGGCTGCACCATTGAAATCGCGGCTGGCAGAGATCTGACCGCTCGTTCGCTGGCGTCGCACAAGCACCTAGGTAAACACACCACTGCAGGCATGGCCAGATCCCCTCCTGCACGAAGCCACAAAGCCATGTTTCTAGCCAGTCTTGAGTCTTGACTCCCGGGGAGTCTCGAGTTCCAATCGTACCTTGTGTTATGTATCATCAGGAGAGGTACCTACAAGGTAGGGAGGAGAATAATAGGTAGAGGAGCTATGAACATCACGAAAGTTTTCTATTCTGCGTTCTTTTCACTTTTCTTTCTTTTCCTTACTTCTGTCTTCCTCTCTTTTTTTTTTTTTTTCTTCCCCTTGGCAAAAGGGAACGAGAGCAATGTATCTCTCTTTCAGGACGGTTTTCGTGTATGCTGGACAGTGGACACAGGTTGACTGGACCCTCCCCCCCCTTGTGGCTGGCCGGTTCAGGTTGACACTCGTTCCATGGTACACAACAACGCTCCCCCCGCTTTCCCTTGCTTGAGATCTCGGGCGTAGCCGCTCACCAGTGACACAATAATCGTAATCTTTCAAGGCTGACACCTGGGTGCTCTTCTTCCACACCTTTAGCACAGTGGCACTAGCAGTCTAGCTCTTCTTCATGGTCATAGATGGCCACTCAAACAGAAATCTCGCTAACAGATCTGATGACGTCGATATAAGGGACCGGTTCTCCCTAAGAAAACGTTTGGCGGCTTCCAGGTGGGGCTCCAAATTTGTGAGCGGATTCCCTCATGATCATGAGTTATACTCTCACATAATTGTACGGAGGAATCGAGAGACGGGAGATTATAATCGAAGGCTCTCGATAAAACAATCTATCTCGGGAGTGAGACGTCGTGCCCAATAGTTACTTCAAAACAGAGGGAGTTAATGACCACACGTGTTCCTATCGAGAATACTACGTTTCGTGCTATCTACCTATATTAATCAACGGAGTATACCTATGGGCCGTTAGCAACAGTCAGCACCAGACAAATCCCGCAAATATATTGCTCTGGTATCGCACGACTGCCTTTCAACATGCTAGATACATGGATGTACAAGCTGGAACAAACCAAGTATCCTTGACACCTTCGCCTACAACTCCCATAGTTATTATTGCAGCGACCGGCTGTTCCATAACACGCGCACTGCGGCACCAGCCTCCAACTTTTTTATTATCCTTATTTACTTTGCAGTGAAAAAAGAAGAAGGACCAGGGACATTAATTCCGGTGGATTTTGCCTGTGATAGTTACACGCATTGTTTCTGATCCAACTCCCGCCGTCCGACTGAAAACTGGCCCATCCGATTGGCCGTGTCAACTCCGATGGGTGCATAATCAATCCTGGGACGAGATTCGAATCTGGGTCGATGTCATCGCACATAGGGTGTGCGGTAAATTGACGTAACGCATCAACGCCCTATTAGGTCATTTTCTCTCCGATTTGGCCTTGACCTGCACTTCGAGGTTCGAACGGCGATGTTTAAAACAAAATGGGGAAATCAAATCGCGTGTTTGAGTCTATCGACATCCACAACCTCCAGGGCCACAAAAGGTAAAATTCGAGTTTTAAAACTGTTTATTATCTTATTTATCTGCCATGTCCTAGAGAGATACCCAAGGTAGGTCGGTACTCGGTAGGTATATCCCTGGTATATTAAGTAGAGTCTCTTCTCCCATACTCGCTGTTCTATTCCGTCCCTCATAAGGGCACAACGGTGTTCTACCGGACTTAGGTTCGGCTGGGGTGTTGCCCTTTCCAGCCATATGCACAGATCCCGGTATGCATGCAGCCTGGACGTTCCTCGTACGGAGGATTAATGGAATACGTTTAGTCTTGACTCTGTCCTCTCATGGTTCAAATGTACTCCGGACTCCGTCTGTATCTCAGTTAATCCATACAACCCAAGACAACAAGACCAGCCATAATAATAATAGCCTGTCTTGTCCATCCTTCCAAATCATAGATAAGTACTTCGGACATATCGAGATCGAACAGAGAAAACTCGCGCTGGGAAAACTCGGCAGATTCCGTGGGATTCTCCAAGCCAGACGCCACCACCAGAATCAGGAAACCGTGAGGCCCGCGACCAGAGAGTTTGAGGCCTCGAGCCGGTAGGAAAACGGCGTCGGTTACATTGATGTCGCAGATGACAGGCCACCTCCGGTCCACCTTGGAAGAATGAGAGCACGGGAAGCCAGGGAAAAAAAGAAAAAGAAAAAGAACAAGAACAAGAACAAGAAACCGAAAACTGATTGTGTTCCACCATCCATCCAACCATCTCGTCAACAGCTGGGATTTAGGTTCCGCATCCTACTGGTTCTTCAATTATAATAATATTTGGTTTCGTACTACGTACAGCGTTCCATCTGATCTCCGTACGCAATAACATACGGGGTTATTATTGTATCTCCCGTGGCCAGTCGGTAAGTAGAACTTAGTTAACCTAAGTACGGATACCCCCTCAAGTTTATCGTGCCATGCATGTTTCGATCAGGGCGAGGATTACTCCGTAGATCGTTGTTTGTTAACAAGCCGTGTATTATTGCCCTAGGTAGTGGTGTACTTCCAGAGTAGTAACAACTGTTCTAAAGTAAGACAAGTAGCAATCCTTCATGGAATCTGAACTTCGTGAAACGGTAAAATAGCTGTTCCTATGGATAAGATTTTGAGTTTTTGACTTCGACCTTGCGATCGTTGACACTTTGACACATGATCCGAGTCTAACAGATACAGATCATACAGTACTACCTACACTCCTGCGCTGGGGCCATGCTCCTTCCACAGGCCACACAAGACATGAACTTAATCTTTGTTTTCTGCCGGGCTATTTCCTTGTCATCCCTTGTTCCCTTGTCTCTCTCCTGAGTCTCTTCTCTTCTTCAAATATTGATAAATTATCAATCTATCTACAGATTGACTACTGAGAAATAATAGATATTACACTGGGCTCAGGTAGGTAGTGTCTGAAGCCGGTACCTTGGTTATTTTTGTACTGTATTGATAACTCGGTATGGAAAATGGAGTATCTCCATACACCCACATCCTCGGCTCCGAAGCCTCCTACAACCTACCTAGGGAGATAGTGAATAGTCACTCTGATAGAACTACATATCCAGGTCTAGTTGGGCGACTATTCGGCACTATTTGGCTTCCGATGGCGCTAGGTATCAGCTTCTTACCTGGCATGGCAAACAGGCAATTATGTTAGTAGCAATTGTTCATGATAGCTGCTGCGTGTCTGCCATTGCTCCAGGCAGGATTATGGTTATCTATCTCATACAAAGGATATTGATTGATAGCCTGTCCTCCTCGGTACCACGGAGTTGATAGTAATGATGGCACACGAACTGACTTACGAGTTACAATGACTCTTGGCCAATGCGTTCGAGAAGGGGGAGCGTGCCGAGAAGAGAGAATAAAGCGATCGAAAGCCAAGCCGAGATCAGTTAACCTGATTTGTTAATGCTACTCATCCAAGGAGGAGGGTGAGACAAACTGGAAGGTGGAAACCAACTAGTGAGAACTTCTGGGCTCCGAGCGGGAGTTCACACTTCGTAGTGCAACTTCCCACATCACTCCTCGAACTGCGCGTTTGATAAAATGTAGATATTGGCCTAGACATACCTGGATCCATGCTGACGCGGATGGCGGTTTGATGTTAAAACACCACGAGTAAAACGTTCTCGCAGGGAGGAATATCTCTCTCAAATCCTTACACCTAAGTGCTGTTCCTGGTACCCTCCGAAACACTCAACGCTTTCCCTCCTCAGGCCAACTCTCCGAGCGTACAACTACTCTGTGAGTAGTCCACTTCAGTTTCAAGTTCTGGTCTCAGCTTAACAAAACTTGCAGTGGAGTGTGCTGTGCATGCTCAAAAATTCAATGTTGGTGCAATATTCCAAAGACTCCTAGAAAAAGACACATTCTCGAAGTCCGAACACTCAGTGGATCGGGACCAAGATCGAAAGTTCCCAAGCACAGGCCAGCAGGAAGACCAATTAAACAAGTCAGCAAAGTGACGGACATCTGGGGCCCTGGCACAGGCAACTTACATGCGGCACAGTGAGACAAAACTGACATTCTTGTCGCCCTTACAGCCAATCCCATACCCTTACCGAGCACACCAAGCTACATCCAGATATGTTCGATCGATCGAGGACTGGAGTGATCACGGCAAAATACCGGCGTACACGGACATAGCGACGATCAACAATTCCTGAGCTGAGGAAATGTTGCTGTTCAATCACGGCCCTTAGGGGGTAGAATGATTCGTGTTACCGGGTGTCAGGAAAGGTAGAACAAGAGTGCAGACGCGAGAAAAACCTGGCGCCTGGTTGCAGCCAGATCGAGTTATCGTGACTTGTGTGTATCAATCTAACATCGAGGATTCTCAGATCTCGATTTCTGCGACTGAAACTTGAGGTGTCCTCTGATGTCAGCATAACTCTGGAGAACTGATTGACAAATCCAAGGATGGCAGGGCAAGTGTTCATGCCTTCTGATATGCATTACTCCGCAGAGTACATACATAATTGTCCTTTCGAAGAGCGACAGAAGGCAAAAAAAAAAAAAAAACGGAAAACGTCGATTACTACTGAAGTGGATTACTTACCCAACATGACTCACTGTGGTCTCCTCGTAAGCCCAAGACAACACTTGCAGGAATGAGACAGCTCACAGAAGGGATGTCACTATTCTATTGCCATTCATAGGGACTCAAAGATGCAGACACATCTGGAGACATCAGTACCATCCGCGTCGATCGATTGTCGCCTTACGATCAGTTGTCTCCCATTCCCTACAACGGACATAATGTCATTGTGATAGTCTCATACATGCAACTAGCCGTTTGTGTCACCATTCGCGATGCTCCAGAAGCGGGGGACTCAATTCGGGAATCCTCGAACTCTAAGCCGAAATGGCGGATTCAGTACTTTGTTCTTCCTATCCCGTGAGTGCTTGAATTCTATCATAACCTCGTAGGGCAACTAAACTGAGGAAGGCTCGGAGACATAACAATCTTCATACTGGGCAGTGGTGAAAGAGTTCTTTCAATACTGGATTTGCTATGAGAATTGATACGCCTTACTGTCTATCATCGTGCCTATCTGAATCTATACTATTGTTCTTTGCCAGGGTGGAATAACGACATCGCCAATGTCACCACCACACAACTTTTTCAGCTTCTGTTCTTTCTGCTCCACTTCCTCGCGAGAAGCACGGCGGATCAAAAGATCTTGACTGCTGAAGATATGGGCCCTGATTGCCAGCTCACATGAGCAGCCTAAGCATCAATAACGGCCAGTCATGTGAACCCAAAACTAGGCTCACCAAGCAAGTCCGCATTTTTCCTCCGGAATAGGAACATTGGCAGCGTGCCAGCGATTCAGTTGAGCCTTCTTTGTTAAGCGCCCCTGGTATCCGATGCCGATGCCAACATTTTGCGTCTGCGATGGATCACGAAGCTGGAGGGTTGTGGAACGCGAGCGGAGAAGATCGACAGTGCCAGATATTATGATGGGCCAAAGACCGTTACGACTGTTTGGGATAAATGTTCCTCGAACTATTGGCCGCATTCTGTTCTAGATCGAAAAGCAATTATAATAGACATTGGAGTGAAGCAAGCTCCCATCCTCCGTCCTTTCCTATTGACTACTGACTACGGAGAAGAGAGCCTACGAAACAGCTCGGCGTATCTAAGTACTTACCTAGTCATTACTCATTCTACCATTTCCTCGAGCCTAGCCGCCTAGTGCCCTAGACAGGTGGCTAGGTGCTATGGCTGTGGAACCATCAGCCTTCTGGCTCAGCTACTTTGGGAAATGATCGGATCGTTGAACTGTTGAAGTTCTTCGAGGAAGGAAAGGAACGGCGACACTTTGCTCTATTCGGAAAGTCTAAATGCGATCGCAAATTTCCAGCACATTAGATATTCATTCAACCCTACCGAGACCGCTAGCTAAAGTGACTTGGTCGCTTTCTGCTTTGCCTACACTTTACAGGGGTATGTGGTGGAGTCATTTTCTTTCCGCAGAGAACGAGATCAAGATTTCCACCTCCGTTGTCCTTTTTTTCTTCGCCCTCTGTGACATGAGCTGATCGTCACCCGAATTTGGATATTGCTGATTCGCTTGAGGAAGTTGACCACTTGCTAAATAGAGACAAGGCACTTGACTTGATAGTTTGATGGGGATAAAATCATAAACGATGGAACCCATGATAATGACTGCGGAGCTCAGGAGTTTTCTGACACATTTACCCACCGCATTTTCAAGGCATGGCAATAAATACAATGACTCCTGCAATGCTTTGTTACTTGTAGTTTGTACCCTGCTACAATACATGGAAGCCACTCGTCAAAGTTCATGTGACTTGCTTCTACGCCATAAGTACAGTACATATACATATGATCCGTGAGCCATCGACGCTACAAATCCAGGACGACTCCTGTACAATAGAACAACGAATACATTTTGGTTGCATTTTATTGGCTGATAAGGCCCCAACCTAAAGTAAAATCACAAAAACAGCAGCAGTGAACGGGTGGAAGCAGAGAAGCGAGCAAAGAAAAAAAAATAATCGTTTAACCAAGCCACAGGTGGAACTGTCCCGGAAAACTCTCCGATATCTTGTCCCAAAGGAGCAAGATGACAGCTGGGGTTTCGTCACTGAAGAGTGAAGAGTGAAGAGTCGAAGACAAGATTGACCCGACGCCTCGTCGCTGGACTAGATTTGGGTCATCTGCAGCTCGACCGATCGGGCATCGCGTCGAGGTGCCAGTGGCACCGGTGGCGCCATTTTCGAACTCTGACCGGCCAGTGGTCTTGGAAGGCAATCAACGAGCTTTAGGTAACCGTTTCCTGCCACTCGATTCTCATTCTTTTTTTCCCAGGGAGGGTCATTTGCGGATTTCATTGACCAATACTGAGTCTGAATACACGCCAGTGCAATAGCGCGCTGTTTATCGATGGCTTATGCAGTAGGTTCTGTACGATTTGGGTTCACAAGGTACATGCATTCGTCTATCTCGATCATCATTGAGACCTGCCTTAGTCCGAGTGCATTGACCCCCGCCCCGCCACCCCCGCCCCACCCCATCCCCACTGCGCCCTAACCCTGATCGACTATTTTGTCCTCGAAAGTCGAATCTCATGACAATCTGACAACCCTCTCTTGAAGTTGATTCGCCTTTTTTTTTTGTTTTTGGCTCCCTTGTTCCTTCTGTCGGTCGGTCGGGATTATCAACGGCAAAAGGCCCAAGAGAGAAGATGGGATAACTATCCATGTACGGAGTACTATATACCATTAACCATTGTACCATCATTCCTGCTTGTTTATTTCAAAGAAACTTATTATTTTTTTTTAAACTTTTGTTGGTACCAGAATTACCAACCTCCTGTCATTCACGTGAGTGGTCAGTGGACCATGTATTTGACTCTCCCGTCTTTGGCGTACCAAGATTCTCACTAGGGGCACCCGCCAGAAACGGGCGAGTCTGAGTCAGCAAGGCATTCAACATCCTCAGTGGGAATTCTTTGTCAGCGAGAATCTCTCTACCAAAGAGGCTGCTTTTTGGGTCTAATTCTGAGGTAGTCAATCCGTCCAAAGCTGAAGAGGTTCCATCGTGATACAGAATAACGCCCAGGGAAATCGAGCCGATAAGCGGGTGGTTCTCCGATTGCCCTGAAGCGGTCCCAAATTCCCAGACGTTCGTCTGGTTAATACCTCCGAGACAATTAATCAATCTCACTTTGCTTGATCTCTAGTTAATCGAAATATTCTCCGTTCTTGTCTCAGTCGCCCGGTATCTCTTCCCGAGTCTGTGTCACCGACTCACCACATCAACGAATCCCCCCCCCCTTCTTGGCCTCCCTCCCCTCCAGCCCCTTTTTCTCAGCACAATGCATGCCAGGCGCGAAGCACGTCTCATTGCACAGGGATTCTCCCGCCCCGCGCCTGTGACGCCGAGGTCTACAGAGTTTACATCAACATTGCGTCCAGAAGGACAGAGCAGTACGGAGTACAGAAACAGGCACCATCCTGTTGAACACAACTCATAGATTAACACCGCTCTGCTCTGGTGCTTTTAGTTCGCCGTTTTAGTACTCCGTAGTCCGCAGCCCATCCATCCTGGACTGGGCCGTTGAACCTTGTCCCCACATCATCCATCTATTCCGCAATGTGGCTCCTGATCCACTCACGCGTGGTCGTGAGCCTTTAGACTTGCGTAGGTTGTAGATTTGCATCCGGTGCCATGCAGGACGATGTACGGACTACGGAGCAGTGAACACTGAACAGGCCAGTAAGACTTCTGACAGATCGGTAGGTGAGTTTAGATAGTAGATACTAGGAAGTAGAAGGTCATCGGTCAGATCGTAGACTCAATCGCATCATTTCAGCCCGTTATTCCCTGTGGTACAGGGGAGAGCTGGGGGAGAGAATAATTTCACAGGACTCCGTACGAATGTGACAATATGTCACCAAGTCCTGCACAAAGTGCAAATTAACACACCGCTACTCAGGTCGAGTACCACTACTAACTACTACTAGTAGTTAGTAATTACTCCCCGTCCTCCGTAGCGTAGGCTCGTAGCCCGTTCCCATCTCCCAAATCAACTAACCTAGCGAGGGAGCGGCGGTCCCAGTCGCGTCATGGATCGAGCCGAAGAGCGGGTTATAATGAGGCGAGTTATATTTTGGCCGTTGACCTTGGGTGATGGAGACCGTTGAAATTAAATTTCTGGTCAATTTGCGCCCCTGTGGATACCGGAATACAAACGACTAACGTTACCTGGACTTACTCCGTAGGATGGGTCCCGGTCTTTTCTAGAACGAGAGTACGGACTACGGGACACAGGGGGGAAACGGAAGATGGATTTACCACCACAAGTCGCTAGGGACTTCGCTAATAATGATACTTGACTCTTAGATCTTTTAATAAACAAAGCGATTAAAGACACTTGCTTATGAGTTTGAGTGATGAGAGACACATAGAAGTAACAGAAATGATATCTAGAAGCATACTAGGTGATATAAATGACCTTAGCATAATAACAGTGGTGAAATAGACAGTGCCCATTTTATAATTAATGAATCAAGATTCTCCAATCCCCTGCCTCACAATCAAAGGATGTTTATGTGAAATAGATATTGTAGATTACCTCTTTAAGCATCTAGCAATTATTCCTGTACTATGTCCTCCGGTACATGCAACAGGGCGTCATTATATTTCCCAGGCACTATCCAGCAACTACAGATACAAAATGTGATAATCTATCTAGTACCTATCGATAATTACATACACTGTACGTAGATCTGATTACCAAGTTATCACACTGACTATTCTGGTCTATTGTCCTTTCCTTGAAAAGACATCTGCACCTGTCCCAATCCGTCTCAGTCACAAATGCTACCGAGATGTGAGATGCCTCGGAGCCGAAAGGCAAACGACACCCATTTCTGAACTTTTTTTTTCTGCAGAAAATGCGGCAGCACTGCGCCATTGCTGCACAGACGAGATGTCCCGTAGTCTGTACTCGATGGGTCTTCGCATTGTCAGCCAGTGAGGAGCTGTCGTTTTTTTACAATGTACGGGAGACGGGGAGAGGATTATCCGTCTCCACCGGCTGACAGGGATTTGGAATCTTATTTGGTACCATACATACACGATCAACATAAGTAGTTTGACATCGGTGTTGCGTTTGTCTCACTCTCCTGTCAGATCTAGTTCGATATTAATAATTCATGAGTGTGAGTTATGGTCAATATTGAATATGGAGTATCTATAGTTGAACGGAGTATATACCCCTGTAGATATACCCTCCGTAGCTGGTGGTAACTTAAGTTAACAAAGCAGGTATTCCTCATAGCATGTGATTCTGTCTTACCTTACCTCGTCCTCATACTTCATACTTGGTACCTGATAACTATGTTTCTATAATTTCATCTCCCTAACGGCTAAAACGTTACTGCTACTGCATAGGCCATCAAAATCTATTCTGGTCCTGGATAACCCTCTAGCCGAGGTCGAATCTATCAAGCTAACACGGCGTATTTACCATAGAACAGCCATTAATCTAAATTATCCCGAATCCATGGGAAATCATTAGTTACAAACCCCAACAACACGTGGATTATGTGGACAATTCCACAAACGAGGTCCCCGATGGACCACAACGGCTTCCTAGGTAGCCAATGTGGTTAAAACAAGGGTTCCATTTTCATCGTCACTTTTCACTGTCGGGATTCGCTTTTCTCTGTTCTCTTTTCCCTTCAATCCCTTGCTCTCCACCTCGTTTACTATTAGTATTGCAATACATTAATGTGATCGCCATCTTTTTAACCACAGATCATCCCTCAATTACCACAATATCAGTATTCAGTAGTCCCTGACTCCCCTACACGTACCAATCATTACCTAGATATCCTAATATCACTTTAACCGCCTCTTGGAATCCGACCATTGATCGTTCTCGAACGAGCTATTCTCGAATCCCGGTCCCCAAGACCATCCATGGTTGGTCAAGATCAATTTAATTGAATTCCCGAGAATAAATCCCCTCGTCCAATTTCGATCCCCCCATCTATCGTATCGAAGATTCGAGCGATACTCTAGCAGTTCACGGTGTAGTTGAAGAGTGGGGCATTTCTTGGCTTTTTTTTTTTTTTTTTTTTTTCAATAATGAGAATTATTTTTCCAAGACTCGAAGCTTGAGAGAGAACGGGAAGATTGTTCGGAGTAAAGGATGATGTCCTCGAGGGATGATCGCAATTGAATTCAATTGCTACTAAGGCTGTTTCCGTATGACAGCGCTGAGGAAGTTGGCATATATCCCTGGCTCCAGATCAGGTCTCCTGGATGTCATATCCTGCAATCTATCCACTGATGTTCAAAGTCATATCAGACTTTATTGATCACCGTCTTTGTATGTCTGAGTTGAGTTGTATCCTCATTAGCTCGTACATTCAGGATGAATATTTACAATAGAGGGTTACTGGATGTTCTGGTATGTGAACTATCACAGCAACCCTTAGTATAGGACACACCAGATCCAGATATCTCCTTGGTAAAATCTTCGTGTAAACTGCCTTTCTATCATCCCCTTCTTCATTGCAGATAAATCAGCAAATTAAAAGACATAGATTTTGACACGTGATCTGTCGCTCAATTAACGGGGGTGTTTCCTCACTGGAAAGGTTAATAGAGTAACTGCATGATGTCTTGCATTTAATATCTGTAATGTGATGAGCCTAGGTGTGCTCAGCAGTTAAGATACTATAGACATGAAAATTCCTACTTCAATGAAGATTGTTGCTAGGGTCTAACAACCTGTTATGTTGGACTACACCATCATAAGTTCTATAGTAATGTGTCTATCTAGAGCAATGGAAGGATGCCTTGAATTATGGCAAGAACAGGAATGTCATTGCATCTTCTAATCTTAATAGACATGACAGCCTCTTGTGCGATCTGTAAATACAATTTACGGGTGTTTCTGTAGGTGGTATTAGAGAGCTTCATAATCAAAATATATATTTGGAAAATGGAGGAGGCACACCATAGCCATCATATATAACACATAAAATTTCATGATTCCTTGATGAGAAGCCCCTATCATAATGAGGATGGCTTATCACAATGAAAAGGTGCTTTTTGAATATCCTCAAACCATCACAAAAGCAATTGACAAGAGTGTTGTTGCCTGGTGATTTGACTAAACCATTTTGACGCTAACGAAGTAAGACTGTTCAGCACTTCATGGCCTACATCTAAATAAACTCGACTTCCCAGGCACCTCTGAACTCGAGACCACCAATAGATGAAGATATCGAAGAGTTCGGGGAATTCTCCTACTCTGTGCCCAATAACACCGCTACAGTCGTCGTTTGATACTTTCTTCTCTGCTCAGCAAACCAGTGAAGCTCTCGAGGACACAACATCTCCGCTCGAGCTTGAATCGGTTCCTGGGCCCCGGCTTGTAAGTAGCTCGATTTCCATGATAAGAATGGAGACTAATTTGAAGTTGGCCTGACTGCTTTACTAATGATGGCGAACCATGGTGAGGAGCAGTCATGCGATGAAGACCAGTCTCGAGCAGCAATCGCTACTACCAGCGAGAAGCAAAGAGATCAACCAATATTAGTCGGGATGACCGAATCTATATCAACACATTGTGAGAAGGGCCAGTGGCGTGAAGCTCATGAATTACAAGAAAGACTTGTGGAGAACCGGAAGAAAATCTTAGGACCAGACCATGCAGATACCCTTACGGGCATACGCGAGCTGGCGGACATTTACGCGCAACAGGGACGGTTTAAGGAAGCCGAGGAGCTTCTTCTGCACGTTTCGCAGAGTCAGGAGGACACTTTAGGAGCAGATCATCCTTCTGCCCTTGCTAGCATGTCTAGCTTAGCAGCAACATACTTGAAGCAGGGGAGGTTAGAAGAAGCAGAAGCGCTGCAGACAAGAACTCTGGAAGCTATGAAGCAGGTTCTTGGACCGGAGCATCCGAGCACCCTGTACAACACGAGTGGTCTCGCATCAATTTACTTGAGATTAGGACGATGGAAGGAGGCAGAGGCGCTGGAGGTTCCGACTGTGGAATCTCAAAAGAGAGTGCTGGGGCCAGATCAGCCAGATACATTAACCAGTATGTCCAATCTGGCGTCTATCTACTCAAGCCAGGGGCGCTGGAAGGACGCAGAAGTGTTAGAGTTACAGATTGCAGAAACCCAGAAGTCGACACTCGGGCAAAAGCACCCCTCTACCTTGAGTAACCTAACAAACTTGGCAACTACATATTTCAAGCAAGGACAGTTGGAGAAGGCTAAAGACGTTTCCTCACAAGTTGCGGATTCCTACCGAGAAACCCTCGCACCAGATCACCCAGAAGTACTCCGCAATATGTCCAACCTGGCCGCCATCTGCTGTGCGCAGGGGCAGTGGAAGGAAGCCGAAGGGATATTCCTTCAAGTACTTGACGCTCAGAAACGGGTCCTTGGGTCCAGTCATCCCGATAGTCTGATCCTCATGTGTAACCTGGCATTCACCCTCAAGCGACAGACAAGATGGAAGGAAGCCGAAGAGCTGGAAGTTCAGGTGATGGAGACAAGACGGGAGGTTCTGGGGTCAGGACATCCAGAGACACTGATAAGCATGCACAATCTCGCGCATACGCAGAAGGGCCTCGAAAAGCATCAGGAAGCCGTTGCTATGATGGAGGATTGTCTCAAGCTCCGAACACAGCTGTTGGGGCCAGATCACCCCGCCACTGTGGCCTCGAGATTGACTCTCAAGGAGTGGAAGCCCTGGGGTGGACTTGCCAGCGTAACGGACTCGGTGCGAGAGACGAGTCTCCGAGTCATGGGCCTTTTTGGATGGAAGCAGCACTCCTAAGAATAGGCATGCATACCTAAAACAGAAGCAGCTTGGTATGTGTCGGTGTTGACCGGCATCCTCGGTGAGACTCCAGACAGCAAAGGCCACTCCATCATCCATATGGTCTATCTACTCTGTCAAGATTCTGCGATATCCATCCTCCTTAATTGTCTGGATCTTGGTTCGCAAAATATAGAACCGGATCGGATTTTAGGCCAGTCTAAAAAGGGTAATTGCATTTGGCATCGGTAAAAATGCTGCACATACTTAGTGCGGAGTACTTCTCTGTGCGTACCACCGTGCTACGTAATATTCAGTAGGACTAAAATAAAATCCAGATCATGATGGACTATGGAGGTTGTCCATGATGATTTCCTAGTCTAGTTTAACTACGTTGTGGTATTACGCCGCTGAAAGCCTGGCATGCGAGATAGTGGATACTAATCAGCATGGGCTGAATCGGTTCCCTTGGTTTGGTCTCCTCATCTCCTGTAATTATCAGCCAAAGTCCTACTTATCAGCAGCTTTCATTTCTCCTTTCTTTTTTCTTTGGATCTTAATAGTCAGATGTATCTAGCCATTTCACGGCAAGTTGAGCCCGGGACATGCGGCATCGGCATTTGGTGTTTGGTGCTTTTATTTGAACAGATCCCGGTATTTAACAGCAGTATTGTGTTTGTAAGCCTGCGAGATCTCGATCCACATCAATAGTACCGTAGGTTATTTTCAATTCCAGCCCGTGTCGAGTTCAACAGTCAGCACTCAAAAAAGGTCCAATAATGTGAACTGCATAAGTACTACTTCAATGCATCTGTTGTTCTTGTGTTCTTCTGGGTCGAGGTTGCAGTTGCCTTGTATTTTCGGAGTGTCCTCTTCGAGTAGTGTGCAGGATCCCATATCTGATACATCAGATAACGGCCACAACGTAGACATCGATAGGAATTCATCATCCTCCTGCTCTAGAACAAGTACCATAAACACTCAGGATACAGTGTATAGATCTCCTATCCCACTTCCACGTTCACCTAAAGTATGACTATCAACTCCGCGTACTCGACTAGGTTGATGGATAATCATGTGACTTAAAAATTGATTAGGATTACAGCAAACGAAAGGATAAAGCTCTACTTATCGATAAGCCTTCATCATGTGTTATCACGTGCGGGGAAACTGTTATTCCCCAACAGGTGTGACGGCATCAACAACGCCGAATCGTCTCTAGGAGTAACTATTTCTGTTCAGGCTCAAAACAATTGCCAAAGCTCATATATGACACAGCTTTTCCCGAAACCAGAACTATTTGATACAACTGCCTGGTTAGTTGCTCTCCGTGGATAGGTTCGCGGACTGTGGGGCTGCTCCTTTTGCCAACTTGTTTGAATTGAAAGCAAGGCCCTTTTCTATCGCTTCGATCTTCCACCATTCTCCTGACTTGATTACTCTCAGGCATCACTCATATATCTTCCGAAATAACCCATCTGTTCAATATGGCACATCCTCTCGTCCCTGTCTCGGAGATTCCAACTGTCTCTCTGTTGTACAAACTAGGCCGTTTACTGCCATCCTCCGCGCCTCTCGAACAACCATCTCGAAACCTCAATAACATCATCTCTCTTATCCGGAACGATATCACGAAGCTGGAGAATGTCGATTGCATTGTAAATGCCGCCAATCAATGCCTCCTGGGAGGTGGTGGGGTCGACGGTGCGATCCATCGCGCTGCAGGACCAGGCCTGCTCAAGGAATGCCGGACGCTGAACGGCTGCAGAACCGGGGATGCCAAGATTACATCTGCCTATAACCTCCCATGCAAAAAGGTCATCCATACGGTGGGACCAGTCTATCATTATGAGATGTCAAAGAGCGATGACGGACCCGAGACATTGCTGCGTAGCTGCTATCGCCGAAGCCTGGAGCTTGCTGTGGAGAATGATATGAAAAGCATTGCGTTCGCCGCGATTAGCACCGGTGTCTATGGATACCCAAGCGACGAGGCGGCTCATGCTGCCCTCGATGAGGTTCGAATGTTCCTGGAGCGCTCGGGTAATATTGACAGGTTGGAAAGGGTCATCTTCTGCAACTTTGAGCAGAAGGACGAAATAGCGTACGAGGAAAATATCCCGTAAGTGGCTGACTAACTGTTCATATTTTATCCAGCATTGAGAATTTGCCAACTATCGATACTGAACGTGGTTAGCTTGATTTTCCCACCGGTCGAACAGGACCTTCCTCACAATAACGCCCAGCCCGAGTCCCAAGTAAAGACAGACAGTGAGTCTTCGTCGTCGGCAGAAGTACTCGCAGCCAAACTTCCCGATCCTCCCACCGCGGATCCTAGACTGGAGGGCCAACCCGAAACTAAGAGAAAGAAAGTTAACTCAGAAGACCTGGAATCAACTGTCGAACTTCAACCCGAAGATTACCGTTCCCGAAGTGATTACCGGAGCGAGGACGATTGGGAGGAGGTCGACAAAACCGAAGGTGGCCCCACAGAGAGGCTTGACGATGAGCCCATCGAGATAGATAGGGCATCTGCAGCAGACGTGCACAGTGTTCAGTCCAGTGGGATCATTGAGAGGGATGATCCTCAAATAGCAGTTAATATGCTGACGAAGGATTGGTAGGTCGCAACCTGCGGCGGATATGATGACTTGATGCTGCTATGATGATTTTGTCCGGATGGTCGTGGCGTTGTACTTTCCAGGACACAAATGGAAGGCGTTCTTTACATTCTCCAGATAATCGTTCAATTGCAATATTGCTTTCTCACGGACCCAGTCCTTTCTTAGATCTGATTGTTAATAGCGGCATAGTATGTAAAATGCAAACGCTGCAAACAAGCTTTCTAGCGGAAAGTCAACTCTCCGATATCTTTTATCTGTTGATGCGACATAAATGGTTTATTCTTCCAAGTGAAGGCGGTCCATTCAGAGGGTGTCTCTAATTTATATTCATTTTCTCTACACTGGTAGTATCCCAACTTCTCACGCCCGTCCTAAGAGCTCCAAACCGGACCAATTGCACCCATTGAACTACACATCTGGCACGCCCACGGCCAGTACACGCGACCAGCAATATGCCTCCCCCAAAACCCACACCGGGCGAAGCAGCTACGAACAAACCAAGCTCCAGATTCAGAGTCCTCGCCCCCGAACTGGCTAAAATTCGATCATCAAGGCCGTCCGCCCCCTCAAGCTCCTCGCCCTCGCCTTCTGCCTCTGCCTCTGCCTCCGCCGCGAATCCCTCCCCATCCATCCCCAATGCGCAATCCACCCCCCGTCCCAGCAGACCGTCCCTGTTCTCACTCTTCCGGGAACGCTACGCGAGCATTCCCACGCCCATCCGCCGGACTTTCCGCGTCCTCCGCGTGCTAGCCCCCATAGTCCCCATCGGGATCTTTTTCTCCGAACACGTGCTCCAGGTGATGTGGGTGCGCGGCCCGTCGATGACGCCCTTCCTGAACGAAGATTACGAGACAATGCATACGAAGAGCGATATGGTTCTGGTGAACATGTGGCCGTTCGGAGGCGCGGGGTGGCCCTGGGAGCGGAAGCGAAGGTTGGAACGAGGGATGATTGTTACGTTTCGGTAGGTGTTCTCCTCCGCCGCTTGGTTTGGAGTGCTGGTCGGAAATGTTTTTTTTTTTTTTCTGATTTACTGGGTGTAGGTCGCCGGCCAATCCTAAGCATATCGCTATCAAGCGCGTCATTGGTCTCCCCGGGGACCGTATCACGACTCGGGAGCCCTGTATGAAGACCTCGCAGATTGTGCCGTTCAATCATGTTTGGCTGGAGGGTGATGCGGAGGACCCGAAGAAGTCGCTCGACAGTAACACGTACGGGCCGGTGAGTATCAGTCTGATCACGGGGAGGGTCATGGCGGTCTTACGGCCGCAGTTCAGGTGGCTCAATTGGCAGGGTTGGGAGAATGGGGTCGTTGAAGGCGATGATAAACATAAGTTTGGGGAGAATTACCGGCAAGATGTACGGCAGAGAGTTTTGAAAGAGGCTGTCAAGCTGGAGAGACCTCAATTCGAATAGGTAAGGCCCCATTCTACGGTGTTTCTTTGACAGGAATGTACATGTAGATGCATTGTATATAGTCGCGTGTATTAACATCAGAGTGTATGACTATGTGAACCTAGTAGTATAATCACAAGCATACTAATTAAGCCTTGGAGGGGAGTCTCGGACAAGTGAGGGCATTCCCAAGTTCAGCTCTGCATCACTGTACCTGTTTCCCAGGTGGTACTGTCAAAGGAACAAAGCCGGGTCTGATTCAGATCAGGGTCTAATCAACCGGATGTCTTGTGGCTTCTCTTCTTGCAGCCGATCAATCTCGGACGCAATGCTCATGACCCAGCGGTCTCTCTCGACCCTGCTCCTTGCTTTGAATACCACGGTCCGTCCCGGAACACCCAGCGTGGAAACTTGCTTCAGGGTCTGTTTCGTCTGCCCCTTCTTCCCAAGCTCTTGGGCTCGAAAATAATTCTTCCGCAAAGGTTGCCAGACCACAAACGTGATGGCTGTATCCTCGTCGCAGCTTGTATAGACATCGGATGAGAGATATATGCGAGGCAGAGCACGATGCCCTGGGTGATTGCTGTCAAATGTTTGGTTTGCGTACAGCAGATCCGATTCGGTCACGAGACCGGAGTAGATGTAACAATCCTCCAGATCCAGGGCCGTTTCGAGGTTCTGGTGAATGTGAGGTATCTCGACGCCGGTCCGATTTCGTAGTGAGCTGCGGAATATCAAAAGCTTCCCAGCGGCGAGGATAACGTCGCACTTTTTGAAGGTCGAGTGACGGCGAGGCTTGCGATACAACTGCCCAGACATCTGAATGGCTTGTCAAAGAATGAACATATGCTGATGATCGGTTCGACTGACCTTGATAATTCGACACCCGGCCAAAGCACATATGTTGTGCAAGAATGGTGACGCTTCTGACTTTTTGCTCTCCCACTTCTCAGCTGATTGTCCGATCATAGATTCCATCTCTTCGTCCATATCTAGGATTTCCAGATTTTGTTTTCGAATAGCTTTGAGCTCGTACGAGTCCGCCGCAACACGGGCTTTCCAATACTTGACCAAAGCCTCAAGCCTTCTCATCCACTCGTCTCTGGCAACCATGTCGTAAGCTTGTAATCGGACAACAAGACCGTTATCAAGTACCAATTCAAGAGTCCGATCGTCGTCGAATTGCTTTGTTGCACCATCGTCTCTGTGGGTATCTTCTGTTTCGGGATGGAACTCAACATCCGGACCTTCTTGGATATTTGGATCAGCAGGACAGCTGCCACGCTGCACCTGGCGTACTTCCTGTACTCGACAAAGATCAATAAAACCCTCCGCATTTGTGAGGTTATGTATGGACCGTTGGGCAAGCGCGCGAGCTTCTTGGTCATGTTCCTTGATGTGCACCTCGTTTCCGCTAGACAGCCATGTAATCTCGCCGTCTTGAATCGGATAGGGGTTAACATCGTATGACAGAGGCATTTCCTTCAGTATCTGCCGTGCTGAGGGTATACTATCCTCTCCAGGACAGAGCTTCGGAGGTGCTGGAGGCAGGGCCTTTGCAGGCCTGCAAAATAAGAGGTAATGATCTTGCGTAAAGAAATAAAGACGCTTGAAAAACATCTTGTTCAAGCGCTGATGTACACCCATCTGGGAAGTCAGACGAACCAGAAATCCCTCGACAGGGTGTGGCTCTTCCGTTTTCACGTCAGTGTCCTTCACGAATGTTTGGTAATGCTGCCTTGGCCTCAGTTGGAGCTGGTGTGTCGTTTGCATCGCAAGTGACCCATACATCTTCTCTTCGTTGACACCAAGCACCCATTCTAATCTGTCGTAGCGCTTCCAAGCGAGACCCATCTGTTCCGTCTTTGACCACTCACTTAGCACCTCTACCCATTCAGTGCAGTTTTCCAGCATTTTCATGCAGCCCCGAATAATGGCAGCAGCTGCATAGCTATCCTGGGATGCGTAGCGCTCAAGTGTGTCACCAGTGTGAGCCCCTTCCTCGTCCTGGGCCCCAGGTTTGGTCTTCAGTTGCTCAAAGGGGTTCTGGAAGACAAGAGATACCCCCAGACCTGGCACACTGATCGTAAGTGAGCTTGGACGCTGCCGCCCTAGGACTTGTGAGATGAATGTAAACCACTCGGTGGCATGAGCTGTGGATTTCGGACGCATCAAGTGTATTTTAGTGCCATTCTTGCAAGGTCTCCAGATCACAATGGTCTTATCTAACGAAGAATACAGGTTGATTTTCGTGTTTCTTCGATTCAAGGGAATTTCGTCGTAGGCTTTGACCCGGGATCCTGGTTTCTGGATCTCGGGGATTACCCGCGTCTTATACATCTGAAGCGTAACTGGCGCTTCCTCGTCAGACGTCAATCGACAAACCACAAGATACTCCTTCCAGCTGTCTGCTACCCTTGTTTCCATTCTCAAACTGTCGGTTTCAGTATAGTCTTCTGGAAGTTCCTTCTGCACCGTTTCTTCAATGCGAACAAGCATCCTCTCGCACTTAATGATCTCACCCTCTCGCAGCCGGCGCCGATGTCTTCGAGTTCCTGAGAGTACATCGTAAGTGTTCGCGACCCGAGATAGTAGTCGTTGCTGTCTGTTCCTCAGTTTGTCATCATATCTGTATCTTGCAACTTTCCGGTTGAATGAAGTCCTTGAGTTTCTTGTGACCTGCCGGAGGTCGACCAAATCGTCTTCTCTTTCACTTTGGGGCTCCTGTCGCTCAAGGGCAGTAGATGACAATGTGCTAAGCCTTTGTTTACCTTTAGGTGATGATCTAGGCTTCATTAAAGCGATTGTAGAGCCAGATTCACTGGGAAGAGCCATGGGAATTGACTGACTGGCATCATGTTGACCAGGGATACTAAGAGTTCGCCTACTGTCCGCTGTGCCCGAATGGTAATCGAGGTCGACCGGACCAGAATTGCTTTCCCTGGCTGTAAAATAGGTCGATGCAGCATCTTTTTTCTTCTGGACAGGCACGTCGTTCGACTCAGGCTGCTTTCCGGTCGAGATAGAATCCGTGTCAGATGGGTCTCTAGACGGAACTTCAGCAGCCTCAACTAGTGGGTAGGGTATAGCTTGGAGGTCGGCAGGTTGCCCGGCTGGGCCTTGATCATCTTCCTCCTCGTCTCTTGAGGTATCGCCATTCTCTTTTTGTATAATTGTATCAATAAGTGGGGTACTATCCTCCCGAGCGGCTGACGATATCTGTTCTTGATCTGACTGGTCGGGGGATTGGGCGACTGTAAGGTCTGCTGAGAAGGTGACCGTCCTGGAGGTGTAGTTTCGAAACTTGAGTCTCGTCCTATACCAATGTTTGCGGTGATGTTGTAGCCAGCCCTCAGGGATGGGTCCAATGAAGAATCTCCTACTTGTCATATGCAAGTGATGAGCAGAGGCATATCGCTTTTCAAACAATTAGCTCTGGAGTTGAATTGGTCCCTTTTCTTTGAGTACATTTCCTATGATTGAGATCTCAAAAGGAATACATACTAGCTTTTCAGCCGTAAAAGAGCCCGGTTCCAGTCCGTGAAGCTCTTCATGGAGCTCGGTCTCGGGGTTTGTGTCCATTCTTCTAGTGCTGGCATGCTGATCGGCAGGCTCTGGAGTGCTCATCTCATCTTACAACAACTTCGAGACCCGAGAGAGGAATTTTGTACTCGAGGCATTAGTGAGTAGTTAAAAGCTCTCGATAGGGGATCGATATCCGGGGGGGGGATCAACAATGTAAAACAAGCGTTCCTCAGGCACCTGAGGTTCGTTGATTCGATCCACGAACCATGATGTCATAATGCACGTGAAGTTGCACTGTTTGGAATGTATGTTCTGTTTACATTGTTTATTTTGTTTGCACTAATGTTCAGGGGCCGTCCCGCTTCATCGTGGGCTTGCGTGTCCCGCTACTGGCGGTGAGTGACAGCTGTTGTTGACAGCTGTTGTTGTTGATAGCTGCCGATTCCCCTCATCTCCATTACCTCTTCATTCTTCTCTCGTCGACTTCTTGTATATCCAAAATATTTTCGCAATCTGCACAATGGCCGCTGCTATTCCCCCTGGTGGTACCTGGTTTGACACCCTCAACAAATCTTTTGCCGATGTTCCTGTTGGTGACAATGGCATCTCTACCACCGAGTTTCTTGAGGCCGCCGAGTCTCTGGTGACCCTTTTCGGTAAGTAGTCACTAAGTTTCTATGGGCTTGCGAACTGCGGGACTAGAAGCTGACCTCCATTCCAGACCTTCTCGGCAGCAAGTGCTTCGCTCCCGTCAAGAGTGATCTTCTAGGCAATATCCAGGTCCAGCCCATGCATGCCCCGCACTCATCGTTCGTGAAGACTAAACCTACCACAGAAAGTTAGACAGAGGCAGCTGGCTGCCCCTGCTGAGTCTGAGACTCTCCAGGCTCTTGTTCTGAACGAACTGAAGACTGGAAAGCACAATGCTACGGAAGGACTTTTGTGGCTCGTCCGGTACGTCCTTTGCTTCTCATCTGCACGAGTACATGGAAGATCCCCTCTCCACGATCACATCAAGTCAACAAAATGACACTAGGACTAATGGTTTCTATTTTGCTTAGGGGCCTTGATTTCACCGTTCAGGCTCTCCGCCACAACCTCAACGAGCCCACGGCTGAACTCTCGAATTCCTTCCGTGACGCCTATGGCAGAACTCTCAAGCCCCATCACTCCTTCGTTGTGAAGCCCATCTTCTCCGCTGCGATGTCTGCCACTCCCTATAGAAAGGACTTCTATGCCAAGCTTGGCGATGATCCTGCTAAGATTGACGCTGCCCTGAGACGGGAAGTCGAGGCTCTGGAGAAGATTGTTGCTACCCTCAATGAGTTCCTGGCACGGAAGGAGACACAATGGAAGTAAACATGCTGCTGGAATCAGCATGGGGAGTTGTCGTCCTCCAAGATCCGGAACCTTTCAGTATATGTGATTCAAGCGTGCAAGGTTTTCAGCGTGTATATATAGGATCTGTGAAGTTATAGGCTATTGGACATGCTTTTGGCTTCAGGATGTACCAGGCCAAGCCGAAATTCCTCCAATCCATCTGGCACTTTTTTGCGATGTAGACCTCAAGCATGAAGATGTTGTGAGTTTGTTGTGAGCGTATGATATAGTAAAGCTCTGATATCTTGTAGCATGTCGTCGAGTCAGTAAACCATTCGCATGTATGAATTTGTCTGCTGGCGACGAAACAGAGTATGTGAGCTCAAATGATAGATTCCCAGCGTGCGGTGATGCCACAAGGCGCCACTTCTTCGATTTCAACCCAGTTCAAAAATAGACCCATGCATCTTTCTGGCCTTCAAAAGAATATCGAGCGGAACAATATTCAGAAAGTAGAACCTGAGACAAAAAGAGAACTGATGTGTAGTAGTCTCCTTGAAATCCGTCCCCCTAGTAGCCGGGCTCAATTCTGGAGACTATCTAAACGCTGTTCAACTTGGTATCTAGATATAATCGATCTGCTTATGAAGCAAAACTCTCCTCCTGAAATTGGCAGTGATTGACAGTTTAACTCCGCTAGCAGCATGGACGCATATTAATACTACGAGCTTGGAATCAATGAATGCCTTTTTAATCCTTAGGTGCGGCGTTCAAGGGGCTTTCTTAGTCTCTCTACAGACTAGATAGTCCCGCTGGCTTGCATCCTGGATTTGCCCATTTGCTGAGCAAGCAAGCCAAATTTTGGAGTGGATGTATAGTTCGGATGGTTTGCTAGTTCGTCGTGTAGATAGTTGATACGAGGAAGCGATCGGAGGTGTCGAATGGGCGGGTTCATAGTGAAAGCCGAACAAACCAATGGTCGATAGTATCAGCAAAAGGGGGTATGCTACTCTGAATCTTGGGCAAGTCAATTTACCGTTTGGAATTGGGAACTAAGAGCTCCTTAACCTTGAGAACTGGATCCTAAGAGCTGGGAATTGGGATTCACCTGTCTGGATGGACATGACCTTCCTTTCTGGGACGGCGTATCCACTTAAGCCACACATACTCAAACTCCATCAAGGCGATTTAACATCCTTATTACTGATTCTTGATAGATATCAAGTTCATGCCTTGCGATTGACATGATGATCGACGTGTATTCCATATTCCGGCGCACTGCTCACACGGCTGGAGGATTTGGTGAATTCTAGCCTATCACGATTCTAAACGAGTTCAAGCACTTCCGCACTTATCATAAGCTAGGACAGGGGATGAAATACCATATATGCAATTAATAATTATACAGGCTACAGACTTCGGAGCAGTCACTACATCACTAGCCAACGGCTGCAAACGGCTTGGACGAAGGAGCAATAACCTCTTCAGTGCAACCGTGCAAGAGTATCGAGCAATATTGTTCTTCCCATGTCCCAGTGAGGATCATCAAAATTTCCGGGAGTGCTAGTCTCATGGCCGGTGTACGAAACTAGGTAGGAGTTAGGAACAGGACATTCTGTTTCAATTTTCAAGGCCAGCACTAGCCATTGTGATTGCCGAACTATTTCCCAGTAACATGTATGATATTGGTAGCACACACTATATAGTCCAGAGCTCAGACCTTATGCAAGATCTAGTGCGACTTCCAGAGTCCCGGCTCCCGAGAACTAAAAGACAGATTTCGAATACTTATCGAGATCAAGTTGATGGGGCTTCGATCTGTGGATCTACAGTCGATAGGTTTGAGACTTGAGAGACAGCAGTCTCACACATGATACAGTGTTCCTTTGCTTTATACATTTTGCTTTTTTTCAAGGTACCTGGGGTTCTGGAATGGTTCCAAAAAGTCTGTCCTGAAGTTTGCGTTTGATAAGCTTTCACTTCATAGAGTGCAAGACCATGGCAGGGCTTATCCTTATAAGGAAACGTCGATGGGTCTCTATTCTACTTACTTTTCTAGTACATGGAGGATTCGCCAGCTCATTGGAAACATCTCGTTTCCCAATCCACTTCTGGCATTTATACGGAGCTATGTGGACGATCGGAATGAGCATGGTGTCGATCAATCATTATTGAGAGCTTTGAACAATTCTCACTCACGACAGAGTATTGTCCTGAAGCTGGATACACGGAGTGCTTTAGTGTTTGATGCATGTCGCCTATACCTGGGCTAAAGTGACTGGAACAGAATGAATGTCGAGAAAGAGACAAGCAGGACTCAGGAGACTGTATGTGATTTGGGGGTCAATGAATCAGGCTATCAATCAATACTGGTGAATTGTTGATTGTTGAACTCTATTATGCTGACTCTTTTAACTTTCTACTTCTCCAGATTCTGATGGTAGGAGCCGCAGCTTACAAGTTACGCTACGATTATTCACCATTCCTGATTGACCTCGTCCTCAGTAACTCATAAGCAGTCAGGGTGGGAGGCTAGTTCAGCCCAACATTTTAGTACCTTCGCTTCTTCGCGTATTCTAGTTATATCCTTCGCTTCGATCCTGTTTCACACACGGGGAACGCCATGCCAATGATGCCATCAAAAGCTGCAGGGCCACGCCAATAGTAGACTCATAATATGAACTTATTATTACGCTTGATGTAACAACTATCTAACAATAGGAATTGAGACGGAGGGCAGGGGAGTAGCGTCAAAAGTGGGTTATTATTGTTGCAGCCAGAGTAACTCGAATACTCGATTAATTGGCTAGCAGTTTAGTACAACGACTAACTCGATACAGAAGTCAAAAGTACTCCCCCGTAAAGAGCCTTCTATGTCTCAAAATGGCAACGATCCTCGGTCAATGCGTGTTGTTTTTGCTTGAATTTGCTGGTGTTCAAAGCGTGGATTTCCGCGGGTAACTCAAGAGATGCGTCCTTGATTCCGATCTTGAGGATCGATGGCTGATGCAGGTCATCTCGAGGGCGAGGCATGGTCTATGAATGGGATTGTGATCATTGTGGTTGCACTATGGTCCACAAACAAAGTCCTAAACTCACCCATTCAACTACTGCTGTCATCTGTCAAAGTGTCATTTGTCAAATGGCACCTCGTCAGCCTCTGCGGATCAAACTGGGTTCAGACTTTCAGCTTTACCCGACCAACATCCGGCGGCCTCCGTCCGCATTGGAGTTCTGTCCACTGACATTCAAGCTGGCTTACGGGAGTATGTCTTTGTCGCCAAGTCCTTGAACAATTGACGAACGAGATCATCGAGAGTCAAGATTTCGGTTCCCACTTCCCACCCCTGTCGGGTGTCGGGCATATGTCCAGAACTCGACAAGATAATTGATGGGGTGGCTAAGTCTAACGCTTAAGCCCTCTGGGTTTGCTTATAATTATTCTTTTGCCTACGCAGCACCAGAGGGGACCCATATAATCATATTACCCTGCGAGGTGTAAACTCCGTTCCTTAAGCGACTTACTGTTAAAAGCGCTTTACAAGGCCCAGGAGCACTGGGTGCCTGGGCTTACGAGTTATGGTAGTCCATGGCCTGCTTATTGGGCTTCGTCTCTCAGGTCCAGTCCACTTATCCACTATTCAAAGCTTTCAACACAAGGTCCGTGGGAAGAAAAGTGGGAGTCCGCTGGACCACTCACTACTGGTGATTTCTCTTTCCTTCGTCAGGAATCACAGGTTCTCGACTATCATGAGTCGTGAGACTCGTGACTGATGGCTCCAGCGCTCCACAGGTTCCAGAATATTATCTATCACCTATGAAGGACACAAGTGCGTCTACTGTCCCTGGCCGAACTGTGGTAAAGAGCCAAAACACACGATCTGGCTTGTCGTGGGCGAACTCTTGCGGAAGTAACCTAGGTATCAGTAGAGAGTATGGACAGTCCAAACCGCTCAGACTCTCTTGCCAAAACCCTTCATCTCCGTCTAGCCAGGGATTCGACCATGTGAAAGCCTGTAAAGACGGAGCAAGAAGCAAACCTTATAGTCAAGGTTTTGCCTGATCTACCAATTTAGTTCTGCATAGCATCCAATCCTAGGCACCTCACCCCTTTTTGGGCTGCACGCTATAGATGCACTGGTCTGCTCGGTCATCATTTAGTTGCGAAGGATATGCACTTCAAAGAGTCATTGTATGGCTCGCTTCCCCACTGCATACTGGGGGGATGGCTCCATACGGCACTTCACGGCCAAAGTTGGCTGTTAGTTTACCCTCTCAAGGATGTCGTCGCTTGTCGACCTGTCTGCTGCCACTTCCACAGCTGAAGTGCCGTAAATCATACGTAGGATCCAATTACAGTCAACTATGCTGCTTGATAATTAGAATTTACTATTTTTCTACATTATCTTGAAACTTAGCTCCATCTTCCCTTCTTTTTCCTTAAGAACGGCTGTTATCCACAATTCAATATCGAGCCCTCTTTGAGCCTCGTGGCTAAGATCCCCTCGAAACCGCACACCTCGTGGCACGGTCATATTGCCTCTTTGTCTTGGAGGCCATGCGATTGATTCCTAGAGTCATGATCAATTGCTCATAGTCGGGTTCCTATCTGTGTGCCATCATGGTTGAATTCGTTGATCGGAGCGCCTCGATCTTCGTCGTCACCATCGTCTTCCTGGGCCTCTCGTTTATCGCCGTGTGTCTGCGATGCTTTGTCCGGTTGAGGCTGGTCAAGGCCTTCGGATGGGATGATGCCCTGATGGTCTTTGCTATGGTATGCAGTTCTGTTTGCGCCTGCTCAATCTTCATGATCACTTTCAACGACCCGTTACTCATCTACTTCCAGTGCTTGAATATACTATTTGCATTATGCGGAATAATTGGATCGGTATATGGCATGGGGCGAAAGTTTGAGCACATCCTCCCCGATCTTGATCAACTGAAAACTGCTTTGTTTGTACGTCCCCACTTCCTGTTCCGCCGCCTCTCCGGAATCCCTCAGCTCATACTTGGATCTTGCTAGTGGTGGTGGCTCGGGCAGATCAGCTATGTCCTCACCTGCGTGGTCGCCAAAATATCCATCGCTCTGGCTCTCCTTCGTCTCACGGTGACGAAAATGCATACGGTTCTTCTGTGGATCGTAGTCGGAATGTCCCTCATCGTTGGCCTTGTGTTCTTTTTCGTCTTGACGTTGGAGTGCAAACCGGTGTCATATTTCTGGACTCGATTCACTACCGAGGGGACTTGCCTGAGTACGGATACTATCATCAACATCGCCTACCTTTACAGTGTCACCGCCACACTGTGCGACTTTATCTTGGGTCTATTGCCAATCTCGCTTGTGTGGAACCTGCAAATGAACCGAAAATCCAAGGTTGCATTGGCTGGTATCCTGAGCATGGGATGCGTGTAAGTTCCATGTCTTGGTTGTCTCAGTAGCTTCTCGATTCGATTTCTGACCCTTTGTTCAGAGCAAGCGCGGCGGTCATCGTCCGTATCCCGTATCTTCCTTCATACAAAGAGAAGGAGTTTCTCTGTAAGCGTTCTCGGCGGCTTCTGTGCTCCTGCCCGCACCTTGCTGACATCCATCGGTTTGACATAGATGCCACAACCGACATCAGTATATGGTCGAACGTCGAAGCTTCACTCGGTATCATGGCTGGTAGTCTGGTCACTCTTCGCCCGCTTTTCCGCTGGTTCCGCGGCGCCAGCTATTATGGGGGAGGCAAGAGTGCGAGGAGAGCATACGGGAGTATGCCCCTATCCAGCATGAATGGCCAGGGCAACGGAACACACCAATCGAGAAGCGATCGCGGCCCAGCGCCATATTGGAGACCTGACGTGTATCCGCAGGATTCACATGCAATGGTCACAACCGTTCAGACCTCCCGAGGGAGCACGAATAGCAGCCAGGAGGATCTGAACCCCAAGCAGGGTTCCTTGCATGGCGTGAACGTGCATAAATCCTTCCTTGTGACATCAGATGAAGTATAATTTAATAGGCAGGCCCTCGATCTAGCTACTATATAGTGCCAATCAATCGCCCTCCTCTTGTGTTTATAACAAATTCTGGTCAAACCACTTTGCAAGCAGGGTGGGAAATCCATGAGTGCTCCGTCATTAATATGTAGTGCACAGTAGAAAGGGTCTAGAAGAAGACCAGACTAATATCTTGACGAAAAGGCAAGATCAAAGTATGTTTTATAAGCAACATCATGGCACATGGAGAAAAAGGAATTATTTCTCTATTCTCTACCAGGACAACCATTCATAGGGCTGTCCCCAATGATCCCAGACAATGATTTGAAGGCGGACAAGCACAGTCAAGCTCCCGGAACTACCTTTGTCCGACAAGCCATCTCTGGCACATGGCGGCAGCCAATCGATGGCCAGCAACACACGGACTTGCTGGATCGAGCGGCGAAACCTCTAGAAGGGAATTCATTCAAAGGTGGCTTCTTTCACGACGAAGTCATATCTTTCCACCAAATACATCCAGCAGATTCCGGGGGACTAATCAATCGTCTCCTCTGGTCCTATGGTTTATTGAACGGATAAACTTATTCTTCATCTGCGTCGTTTGACCCCCGTGGTCATTCGAGTGTAACCATGTCAGTTCCTTATCTTCCTCTTGTCGCGTGCAATGACCATCTCACTGACCAGCTGTTCAGGGCTAAACTCGTGGATGATCCCCAAATTAAATATGCGTCGCTGCATAACCCTCTTTCTACTCAGCTTCATACCTACGTGTGGCCGTTCCTGGTCATCTGGCCAGCTTTCTTCGCCGTCTATCTTTCCCCTGAGCGCTACGATACCTACATTGGAGGACAGGAATGGACGTTTGTCTGGTCTGGATCGATTATTACGGCTCAATCTCTTCTCTGGTTGATGACAAAATGGAATATCAACATTCAGACTTTGTTCACGACGACCAAGGCCCGGTCCCTTGACTCTGCGCAGCTTATCAAGGTCATCCCCATTGCCAACGCTGGCTCTGCGGAGATTTGCCCCCTGGTCCATGATACACTGGACGGAAAGAAGACATTCTCGTTCTTGTTCCAGAAGCGCCGCTTTCTCTATTATCCTGACCGCAAATCCTTTGCCCCCTTATCGTACGTGCTCGACGCGGAACCGAAGCCCACGATCAAGTTCTTCCAGCAGTCCCAGGGTTTGACTACCAAGGCAGAGGTCGACAGCATCCAACATCATTACGGCGACAACACTTTCGATATTCCGGTTCCGGGATTCGTGGAGCTCTTCAAGGAGCATGCCGTGGCGCCTTTCTTTGTGTTCCAGATTTTCTGCGTTGGCTTGTGGATGCTGGACGAATATTGGTACTATTCGCTCTTCACGCTTTTCATGCTGGTTGCTTTTGAAAGCACCGTTGTGTGGCAGCGCCAGAGGACCCTCAATGAGTTCCGCGGCATGAACATCAAACCGTACGATGTCTGGGTGTACCGCGAGAAGAAGTGGCGGGAAATCACGAGTGACAAGCTTCTGCCCGGCGACCTGATGTCTGTGAATCGCACCAAGGAAGATAGTGGAGTTGCCTGCGATATTCTTTTGATCGAAGGCAGCGCTATTGTCAACGAGGCCATGTTGTCCGGTGAGAGCACTCCGCTCTTGAAGGAATCGATTCAGCTCAGACCCGGAGACGACCGCATCGACCCGGACGGTCTGGACAAGAACGCCTTCGTTCACGGCGGCACTAAGGTCCTACAGATCACCCACCCCAGTTCAAGCGCCGGAGATTCGGAAAATTCGCAAAAGCCCCTGTCCAAAGTTCCCTCTCCACCTGACAATGGTGCCCTCGGTGTGGTCGTGAAGACTGGTTTTGAGACTAGCCAGGGTAGCCTTGTGCGCACGATGATTTATTCGACTGAACGTGTCTCCGCCAACAACGTCGAGGCCCTTCTGTTTATTCTCTTTCTTCTCATGTTTGCCATTGCTGCCGCGTGGTATGTGTGGCAAGAGGGTGTGTCCAAGGATCGGAAGAGGTCGAAGCTCCTTCTGGACTGTGTCCTTATCATTACCAGCGTTGTTCCCCCAGAGCTTCCCATGGAGCTCAGTCTCGCTGTCAACACGAGTTTGGCTGCGCTGAGCAAATTCGCAATCTTCTGCACTGAGCCTTTCCGTATTCCTTTCGCAGGACGTGTCGATGTTGCCTGCTTTGACAAAACTGGTACTTTGACTGGCGAGGATTTGGTCGTCGATGGTATCGCCGGTCTGACATTGGGTCATGCGGATGCTAAGGTCGAGAAAGGCGGCGCCCATACGGAACTTGCCAAGTCCTCTAACATCGCTCTCGATACGACCCTGGTGCTTGCGAGCGCTCACGCTTTAGTCAAACTGGATGAAGGCGATGTTGTCGGAGACCCCATGGAGAAAGCGACACTGCAATGGCTTGGTTGGACTTTGGGCAGGAATGATACCCTTACGAGCAAGACTGCACTGGCCGCAGGCACCCGCGCTCTTGAATCGGTGCAGATCAAGAGACGATTCCAGTTCTCTTCTGCGTTGAAGCGTCAAAGCACTATCGCAACAATTGTTACCAATGACCGCAAGACTTCCAAGAAGACCAAGGCAGCCTTTGTGGGTGTCAAGGGTGCTCCTGAGACTATCAGGACTATGTTGGACAAGATTCCTCCTCATTATGAAGAGACGTTCAAGTATTTCACTCGAAATGGTGCCCGTGTCCTTGCACTTGCTTACAAGTATCTCTCCACCGAGTCCGAATTGTCCCAAGGCCGAATTAACAACTACGTCCGTGAGGAAGTAGAGTCTGGTTTGACTTTTGCTGGCTTCCTTGTCCTACAATGTCCCTTAAAGGATGATGCCGTCAAGTCCGTCCGTATGTTGAATGAAAGCAGTCATCGTGTGGTTATGATTACTGGTGATAACCCGTTGACTGCCGTCCACGTTGCACGCCAAGTTGAGATCGTTGATCGCGATGTTCTAATTCTTGATGCTCCCGAAAATGATATGTCTGGCACGAGACTTGTTTGGCGATCTATCGATGACAAGTTTAACCGCGACGTTGATCCGACTCAAGATTTGGACCCCCAGATTCTGAACACTAAGGATATCTGTATTACTGGTTATGCCTTGGCTAAATTCAAGGGTCAAAAGGCCTTCGCAACCCTCTTGCGCCACACCTGGGTCTATGCTCGCGTGTCCCCTAAGCAGAAGGAAGACATTCTTCTCGGACTCAAGGATGCTGGCTATACGACACTGATGTGTGGTGACGGCACAAATGATGTTGGAGCTTTGAAGCAGGCTCACGTTGGTGTTGCACTTCTGAACGGATCGCCTGAGGATCTTGCAAAGATTGCGGAGCACTACCGCACGACGAAGATGAAGGAGATCTATGAGAAGCAAGTCGGTATGATGCAACGCTTCAATCAACCTGCTCCCCCTGTGCCTGTCCATATCGCACATCTTTACCCTCCAGGACCTACCAATCCCCACTATCAGAAGGCCATGGAAAGGGAAGCGCAGCGCAAGGGTGCCGGCACTACGCAAGAGCATATTCCGACCATTACATCTCCAGGCGCGCAGGCTTTGCAGCAATCCAATGCCATGACCCCTCAGCAACAGCGCCAACAGCAGGCTTCCATCGCGGCCGCCGGATTTGCTGACAAGCTCACATCTTCCATGTTGGAGCAGGAGTTGGACGATAGCGAACCTCCAACCATCAAGCTGGGAGATGCATCGGTCGCCGCGCCCTTCACCAGCAAATTAGCCAATGTCATTGCCATTCCCAACATCATTCGCCAGGGTCGGTGTACCCTTGTGGCGACTATCCAGATGTACAAGATTCTTGCTCTGAACTGCTTGATCAGTGCCTACAGTTTGAGTGTCATCTATCTGGACGGTATTAAGTTTGGCGATGGCCAGGTTACCATCAGCGGCATGTTGATGAGTGTTTGCTTCTTGTCGATTTCTCGTGCTAAGGTAAGCCATGTTTTATAGCAGTGAAGCTACTTCCATACTAATTCATGTCACAGTCCGTGGAGGGTTTGTCTAAAGAACGACCTCAGCCAAATATCTTCAACCCGTACATCATTGGCTCCGTTCTCGGCCAGTTCGCCATCCATATTGCTACTCTTATCTATCTGTCGAACTATGTCTATTCCGTTGAACCGTAAGTATTTATGCTCTTTGACTCATGATTCGTGGTTCTAACAGAGTTTTAGGAGAAAACCCGACGTTGATCTGGAGGGTGAATTCGAGCCTTCGCTTTTGAACAGCGCCATTTACCTTCTGCAGCTCATTCAGCAGATCTCTACATTCTCTATCAACTACCAAGGCCGTCCCTTCAGAGAATCTATTCGCGAGAACAAGGCGATGTACTGGGGCTTGGTTGCCGCATCTGGCGTCGCTTTCTCGTGTGCCACCGAGTTCATCCCGGAGCTGAATGAGAAGATGCGCCTTGTCCCCTTCACCAATGAGTTCAAGCTCACGCTGACCGTGCTGATGATCATTGACTACGCTGGCTGCTGGATTATTGAGAACGTGCTGAAGCACCTTTTCAGCGATTTCCGGCCGAAGGACATCGCTGTCCGTCGACCCGATCAGCTGCAGCGCGAGATGGAGCGCAAGAGAAAGGAAGAGCTGGATAGCCAGGCGGAGAAAGAGCAGCAGAGGAAGGTTTGAAATTTCCTGACTCTTTTCCTTAATATGTTACATTAGAGTTACGTTTGGAGTGATAGACGTCTAGACGATTTCTTCGCAGTCAAGTTTCAAGCAAATTTTCTATTTAGCTTTTTGTATAGGTGTATTCTATACTTTTTTCACATATACAAAAGGATAGAAATGATACAGATATTGTTCATTTCTCTTGCTTCGTTGTCCTCGAATGGTGGAAGGGCCGTTGTGCCCATGGGAGCAGCGTGGAGCCATAAACTGATAAGGGTGAGTTTACGTTCTGATTGAACGCAACGCTCGCTGATTCAACTGCGGACTAGGTTGGCCTTTACGCCACTCAAGAGGCTGTTTTGAAGGAAACGTGGCGTTGTCTACCAGGCCTATCGATGAGGGAAATATCCACAGAGGATGACATCTTAGAGACACCGCAACCCAAGCAATAGAGTCGGATGAAAGCTACCCAGCAGTGCCACATTAGATATCGAGTATGTGCGATGCCGTTCTGAGCTCTTCCAGATTATGATAGCGGCAGGCCACTCGAAATAGGAAGTTCCATCACATCCCTGGTGGTGGCTCTAGGTAAAGAGGTCCAGGGTCGCTTGTCGGCCACTCCGATCTACATCATCGGCGTCCAGAATCTACCAGCCACTCTGGAAAGAGGTCCGCTTCCTCAGGAAGGCGTTTCGATTCTGGGAGAACGAAAGAGATATCGATGGGCAATGTATCCAGGTCTTTTCCTTGGGCAGGACTCCGGCCAGTCGCGTTCTATTGCCGCGGTGGTGGCAGACATTGCCCCGTGATGTCAGGAAGGAATCATTGCGGTGATATCCAACGCCACGAGAAGGAAATATAAGGAGCACGAAGATGGGCTTCGAGATGAGGTTTTGGTTTTCCTGGATCAGATCAGATTCTGTGTATCGATCAGGCTGAGTCTCTTGCGATCTTTTGCAACAAAACACCCAGAAAAATCTTCAAACAAAAAAAATCCAGGTCTTATCAAAGACTATCCCATCGACAGTCAAAATGACAGACTACACCGATACCACCGGAACCACCTACGGTACCACCTACGACACAACCGGCGCTACCACCGGCTATGGTACCACTGGCACCACATATGACAACACAGGCTATGGCACAACTGGCTACGGCACCACGGCTGGCACAACTGGCTACGGCACCACGGCTGGTACCACGGGCTACGGCACCACGGCTGGTACCACGGGCTATGGCACCAGGGGCTACGGAAGCACCGTGGGCACTGCGGGCAGCACCTACGATAACGGCTATGGCACCACCGCCTACGACCCCAGCACGGGAGCCTACGATCAACACATGGACTATCGCACCGATGGCTCCACCAGACATCACCGTGAGAGAGTGAATCCCAGCGGCACATACCGACACCGCGACGTTGACCGCCGCGATGACGGCTCCGTCCATGTCCATAGGGAATACGATAACCCAAACACCGGGACCAGCTACCACCGGGACTACGAGCGGTAGAGATTGGGAGGAATGGAGATGGGTTTTGGCGCATGTGGGAAGTACATAGGAGGATTTGCATTCGCAGTACATATGCATATAGGTAATGATGGGGTGGAATCTGGGGTGAAAATTTGAGAAAATCGGGGTTTCGAAACAAAAAAAAAATAGAAAAAAAAAGTTGAAAATGGGAAAATGCGAAAAAAAAATTCTGTTTCTGCAGCATTGTGGTGTCTTTCCTTTTTGTCGTGTTATTTAGCGAGTATAGAAAATATTACGATCGTTACGAACCCCAAATTGTCCTTGAAATCCGATTCGTGGTACGGAGTACTTGAAGTAAAGGCGATGATGAAGTTGTGAAGTATGAAGTACGAAGTATGAATCATTGCTGCCTCAGGTGTCGAGACACCCCCTTGGTGCCTTAGGCTCAAAGTGCTTCCTGCCTGAGGAACCAACCTCCCCTAGTAAGACTAAGCTCTCCTTCCCAGTAGTTACTAGTTAGTTAGCCTTGTCCTAGTGCTGGGCTATGCTCATCATCCGCCTTGACGCCCTTACCCCCTCCCATCTACCATCACAGCCTTGCCCAGTTTGACCGCTTCTCGCGGATCTATCTCCCATGCTCCCATAAACCTCGTCTCATCATGTCCCGGAGGACGCTGGGTGGAGGTCGTGTCCTGGGCACTCCAAACGCTCTTGCTGTTCAAGCTTCAACTCCATCTCCGCGACAGAAGCCAAGCATCTTATCACCTTCCGCCAGCAGCCTCTCCCTTAGTTCTCAAGCTTCCGCCTCGCAGTTTTCATCCGAAACTCAAGACCTCACTTCTAGGATCTCCCTAGATAATGGTGCGACTTCTATATCCGCGGCCCCGGCGGCTACCGGTGCGCAGCTGGCTTGCCCGATCTGCAGTGAGGAGATGGTATGGTTCCTGCCCCCACCTCCCTGTTCTCCCGTCCAGGCTTCACAGAGCATGCGATAAGCAGTGCGCTAATCGGTAACAGGTGACGCTACTCCAATTGAACAGGTACCTTGTCACTTGCGGTTCGCATTTGTTACATGCGGTTAACCAGGCCCACCACAGACATCTCGATGACGTACACCAGAATCTGGAAGATGACCGGCAGGATGAAGTCAAAGATTGGTTCAAGTTGCAAATGGAAAAGGCAAAGCGCTTTCAACCTTTAGCTGTGCTGAATCAGAAGCTAAAAGGCTTGGATGTCTTCGAATCGAACGAGAACCAGCAACCTTCCATCGGCACGAGTCGGTCCATCGCACCACAACCCGGTCACAGTGAGCCACCGAGGATAATTGACCCCGAAGACATAATCATAAAGGATCACTGGCAAGGTCGGGGCTTATATGATACGTGCCTGGAGCCGTCGTGCGGGAAACGTCTAAATGCTACGAATGGCTGTGTCAACTGTCGCAAATGCGGGAAGCTGTTCTGTGAGGAGCATACCATGTATCAGATGCGACTGTCCAGGTCGGCGCAACATGAGCCGGTGAGAGGCTTGTGGTACAGGGTCTGTGAGACTTGTTACAAGTCAAGGGAAGGATACAATGACCATAATGGTACGGCCTCTTTCATTCTCGCGGGTGTGACTTGTCAAGGCTAATTGGTACCAGGCGTGGTCAGAGATCGAATGGCCGAGTTCAAGGCTGTGAGAAAGCAGACCGTCGATAAAGCTACACTAGAAGTCTCTCGGTTGGAAAAGCGTTTGACGCGACTCACACAGGGACTAGCGGCTCTACCCCCAGATCAAATCCAATCCAGCGCAGGTAAACGCTGGCCAATCTCATGGCAGAATGACCAGCGCAAAGCGCTCGAGCAGACGATTGTCAGTTGGCAGGAAGACTCAAGTGTGCCTCGGTGTCCGTTCTGCCAGCAAGATTTCAGCAGCTACACTTTTCGGAGGCATCACTGCAGGACTTGCGGGCGGGTTGTATGCGGTGACCCTGCAACCGGATGCTCCAATGAGGTTCCTCTTAGTATAACATCTCGTATGTTGCCTTGCTATTATACCAGCGTGTTCACCCCTAATCCCAGTCCAGTGTCCAGGGCGATCGGAGAAAAGTCACTCAATGCGGGTGTAATCAATATAGACATCAGATTATGTAAGGATTGCAAAGCAACACTGTTTGACCGTCGAGACTTTCAGGCGGATGTTACACGCAAGCCTCCAGATGTCAGGGCATATGAGAATCTAGTGCAATTTGAGCGCGGAATTCGACTGCTCTTGCCCAAGTTCCAGAGGCTGCTTACAACTCTACAGTATGTTCTGCTTCTCTTCTAATCAACGCTTGAGCTAATTTGGCGCCTTCTAAATAGGGACCCGAGGCGGCCACCTACAGCCACGCAACTGGCGGAAGCCTCTAAAGTTCGCAAGCGGCTCACCGATTCCTTTGCTCAATATGATGTTGCTGCCAGGCGTGTTCGTGACATGCCAACCGACTCTCCGACGCAGAAGCGACTCCAGAAGGCCGTTTATCAGCAAGCCAGCAATTTCCTTCACCTGCACATGCTTCCTCTAAAAGCGTTACCCAAGATTCTCAAACACGCATCGTCAAACGGACGGCCGGCTAGTCCAGCTAGTTCGGTTGCAACCCTTTCTGGTAACAATGCAGCGAGCGGTCATCAACGGCGAGAGTCGGCACTTGCATCAATTAAATATGGCAATATCGCTACCAGCGGTAGTAACAGTAGCCTGGCAAGCGATACGAGTAGTGCTGTCTCAGCATTAGAAGCCGAGGAGAAATCGCTGCGCGAACGTCTTATCGTCCTGGAAGAACAGAAATTCTTCGTATCAGAGATGATTGCGGATGCGAATCGCCGTCGTAAGTTCGACGAAGTCAGCAGCCTTGCAATGAATATAGAGGACCTGAGTCGGGAGATTGACCGCATCAACGGCATTCTGGACGGCCTCGATTTTGAGAGCGTATATACCGCCAATCAGCCACATCCTTGATCCCATACCAGAGGGTTATTCATTTGATCTCCTCTCTTTCTCGACTCTTACTTCTACGGCACTTTTATTTGGGATGCTCTATGGTACATTTATTTGCTCATGGCTTATTGGCACGGTATTCAGCTTGGCGTTTTATGATTTGCATAGCACGTGGCGTTCTTGAATACAGCGAGTAGTTGGTTTGATCTGTACAATATGATATGCTCAGTAAATATGACTATAATACCTCTCCTTTGTGCCATTAATTAAAGGTGAAATATCAGCTCAATTATATCGCCGGACTGAAGTGGGCCATACGTCTTATAGCTGTTGTAGGATTCTGACATAGAGCAGAAGCGCACACTCATTCTCCAACAAGTAGCGTTAGTGGTGTAGCGGTAACATACTTGCCTTCCATGTTTGAGCAAGCAAGTGCTCGGGGTTCGACTCCCCGCTGACGCAGTAAATCAATTGCTTTTTTGTCCCGCTGTGACCAAAGTTTTTGTTTTTTCTACATTCTCTTTTCGCTGTCTTGCTTGTGGCTACTACTCCGTATGTTTTCTTCGTTCGTCAAGCTAGTTTTCAGTACTTTATGTTTGATTACTGGCCAGAGGGAAACTCAAATTCAGAAGGAAGGTTTCGAAGTCTGAGTCGAGTAGTCTAAATCTTGACATGATAGACTAGGATACCGCGGTAGTTTATTGCATGTACATTACTTCTTTGTCTCTACCCTATCAGCTATGAAACGAATAAATGACGAGCGGGGATAACCAATCCCAGGATGTCAAGAAGGTGATGAGAGTGAAAAACAAAAACAAAAAGGAAAGCCGAACGCGGGGGTCGAACCCGCAACCTTGAGATTAAGAGTCTCACGCTCTACCGATTGAGCTAGCCCGGCAGTTCTTGTTGAAAGGCCATTTCTTCTATGCTTATATGACCTTGAAGAAATGATTGCCCAGAGCAAGGCGCGTCGTAGTATCTTCTTGCTCTGTTTCTTCTTGTCAATATTATACCGTATATCTTTGTACTATATGTCCTCAATGTAGAGACTGGGTATGTGTGAATGTGCTCCGAATGTGAGATATTGCTTTCTAATGCATGTTGTGAGTTCTGTTTTCTATGTCCATGGTGGCTGATCAGTATCTCGTACATTGCGCTATAGTCTGCATGGTGCATTCAACCGGTTTCAGCACCATTACCCAGTCCGTGTTTAGAGGGTTTTTTTTTTTTTTCTAGAAGTGCTATGGCGTAACTATTCTCTTCTGCTGCGCAGGGTGCGCAGTCTCATATGGTCCAGCGCCAATCGAATTCTTCTATAGTCTATCACAGTTTGTGCCTGTCGGGGCTATGCTTATGGGTGTGGGAATTTGGTACTGGCTTTTGTGCGTCCAGGTGAGGCACCTCTCCTGTCGGTGTGTCTAGGCCTGCTGGTGTTGAGTGGTTCAGTGCTTGTTCGTGTCGGGATACCAACACTGCCTCGGGCGTGCAGGTATTGTGATATATATCCGCAATGGTAGGTTGGGTGTCTACACAGGTTGATAACTTTATGTCGGTAATGGGTATTTCCCGGCACAATAGTAACTGGCAAATTAGAATACCAAAACCCGTATGACTGCTATATGAGTGCGCAATTAATCATGGCGTAGCTATCATTGCATGTTTCTATGCCTAGATAATCCTCTCGTAGATACTGTCAGTAAGGATAATATTAAATCTTATTTATAGTATTTTGAGAATAAACAATTCTCAAGAAAGCCCGCCGGGCTAGCTCAATCGGTAGAGCGTGAGACTCTTAATCTCAAGGTTGCGGGTTCGACCCCCGCGTTCGGCTTTCCTTTTTGCTCCGCAACTTTTTTCTCTCCCCCATGTCAGTCGACCACAATCGCAGTGCAGGGGGCCGCAATATTAGTATCAACGTGACAGACCAAAAGGCCAACCTCATCGACTGAACCTGCCTCAACGTCCGCATCGACACCCCCCCCCCCCCAAGAACTATCCGGATTGCCCACATCCAACGCCCACGACGCGGCCAACGAAAACCGGGGTCTCAAATGCCTTCAAGACACTCGACACCCACGAGACGGAGCAGATGGTCAGATAACCGACAGCTCAGTGCCAAGCAGAGAAGAGAGTGAAGTCGCAAATTTTCGAGCCTCCTCTAAGAGGCTCACGATCGCAACCGCCGTTGCACGGGCGCCCTGCTCGCCGAGGAAGAAGAAATGGGTTCCATGGATCTGTCGACACATTCGACCAGGTCGCGAATGAATAAGATCCATGGCTGTACCCCAGCGGGAACGATCTAGCTGCGCTAGCCCATGCGTCTCAAGGGTGCTCACAATGTGCTGCGTCTGAACGAAAGCCCATGTCGTCCTATCAGCAAGGACATGGCGCGCATCATGAACACTATCCCCGTGCAAAGCGGCAATCAACGGCCACTGGTGAAAGTCCAGCGCCGCGGCATCCTCCACCGACGTACGACGGTCCTCGACAAAACCATGCTCCTGAGAATACCGCAGATCACAGCCCAGTAGACTGACAGGCGTATGGCCATAGTAACTGCGGAGATAGACGTCGTCGGGTATGATGACACCAGAATTCAATTCGTTCTGCCCATGGAGCTGCTGTAGGAAAAGGTCCGGCATCCCGTCCAGTGCAGCATAGCCCTGTGAGGTTTTCCTGACATTTCGTGGGATCGGGCGAACGCCAGGAAGACCAGGAGTCGCGGCGAGGCCGACAAAAAATTCAACGTTCAGCCCTCGTGCTCTTGCTGCTACTGTATATGGTACCACAATTCGTCCGCCCATACTCCAAGCAAGGAGCACAACGCTGCCTGAAAGGTTGTGTTGGCTTATAACCAGCCTTGTTATCTCAGCGGCTTGTAATCCCCAGTCACGGATGCGATACCCCGGTGCGGTGGCAGGAATGATCTCATCCGGCTCGCTGTGGAGGGGATACGAGATGGCGAGAAATCCATACCCTTGCTTGTTGAGCCAGTATGCCAGGAAGTCTTTCTCGCGACTTCCCGGATGGCCGCCGTATGAGATGCGGGCATTGTGACCACCACCAGGGATGAACACAATGAGAGGATTGCTAGGATCAGCGGGACTGAACTTGTAGAGTGCTGGGAACCATGCAACAGTGTCCAAATGCTCTCCTGGATACAGCGCGCCAGGAGAATTCAGAGCCATGCTGATGAGCAGAGATCACCTCACCCCGAACATCGTCATTTTCCATGACCTCTCAGATAGGAACATAGTGTTTTGTGCAGTAAGCGATGGTTCATGATGTGTTTACTATTAGAAGAGCCAGAGAGTTGGGGAGAGCTGAGGTCGACAAAGGAGGGGAGGCCTACCCCACATGATCTAGATCTAGGGACAGCCACGTCATCCGTCTGTAAACAAACCAGGCATCAACATGACAACGACTCCTCTCGAGCTTCAATAAAGGGCTACGCTGCTACGAATCGAATTGTATATGCTTGCATGATCCATATATAAAGAAAAGTAGGTACATTCCAGGGTTCAACCCGTAGATTATCACACCACCATGTCAACGCACCCAACCACAGCAACGTCCCTGAAATATGAGGGATCCAAAGGACTTCAAAGTCCACAATTCTACCAGTAAATGCCTAAATTCAACGTGGATCCTGATCTGTGTGCTTTCTTGCAGCCTTCTCTTCGAGTAATGATTGAACCATCTCGGTCAAAGCCGTGATCTTCTCCCTTAGCTGCATGATCTCCAGTGTTGTATTCTCGGCATTTGCGTCTGGGGTGCTCTCCCGTACCATCTGTCTCCAGGTGTCGTCGACGTCGAAGTCAACCTCTTCGGCAACCTGCTCCCACTCCTGGATTTCATCGTCATCCTCTTCGCCGCGGCGACGATTCAGCCGAATCCGGCGTGCTTCACGAGTCTCGAGGGTTGCGGTGATAAGCAAGAGTGGTGAGTAGATGATGCCCATGATGACATCGTTCAGCCTCGCGTAGTAGTTTCGCGGCATCCACCACTCAAAGGGGAGGACCAGAAAGATGATCTCGAGGAGATTGAATGCTAGATAATTAGACTATTAGCTGCATAGTTCCTCATATGCCAGTAAGGGTTCACCTACGAGGTATAAAGACATTCTCGTCTGGTGCTCGAACGAATTGCATTGTCTTCAGCGAGAAGATTGCCATGTACTCGTCAACAGCATTGCCAGAGATATCTTCGTAAGCGCTGTTGTAGAGTGCAATCAGAATATTAAGCAAAACTAGTCGAGCAGTTAGCAAATCTCACACTGTGAGCAAGGAAAGTCTACTGACCGATCATGACAATAAAATTGAATACGTAGTAAAGGATCAGCCCGAATGGAAATGCCAACTTCTCAAAGACGCCGAACTCTGGGCTTTGCATGATACTGTTCGCCATGCCTTGCACGATGCCTCCGGTAAGAGCGAGCTGGTCATCGGCCTGGGCCATACCATAGAATGCTTGGAAGAACCCTATAAGGATGACGAAGAGAAGAGCAAAAAAGATCAAGCTCTCTTTCATCATAACTCGCAAGACAACGAACATGGCACCGAAGAACCGGAACGTGTCGAGGTAAAGCATCATGCGCATCCAGAACATTGGGCCAGCCATGGCCAAAAAGCTGTAGCTCAGCTCATTGAGCCTCTTTCTCTGCTCATCCTCGACGGAGCTCGAATGTACGAGTGCTGCGACACGCAGAAAGAACGACACCGCGAGAATGGTATATAGAGTCGAGTTGAACGCGTTCCAGAATTCAAAATAGTCTCGACCGACCTTCCAGAGCTTCGCGAGCTCATCACAGATATAGGCCAGTGTCATGGCATAGAGGACTCCCTCCACAAAATCCAGGTTTCCGGTCGGATTGACGGTGTTGATGACTGCAGTGTACAGCAGGAGATATATCAATGAGAACAGTATCTGGCATGCATTCTGGTATAGGGGAGTCCTCATTCTATCAGGATGGAAATGGACCCGGAAATCCGTATTGTCCTTCTGATGGTAGGGGACGAAGTTGGTCGGGTTACCCTCTTCTTGACAGAACCAGCCGCGCCAAAGATACTTGATACATTTTTGGTATCCAGACGAGCCTATGACGGTGAGAGCATGAAGATCCACGGCCCGCTCGATAACATTGGCAGGGGTTGTCGGTTCACCCTCTGAAAAGATGGAGTATCGCTTTAGAAGGGCTTCTTGCAGGAGGAATTCATGATCGTCTTCAGACTCTATTCTGCAGATTGTGTTAGCAAGTATCGAGGTCTCAGATCCTGATTAATTTGGCATCTTCTTACATCCGTTTCGCAATAATCTCACATGCAAGTGCTCGACGTAGGAGAAGATCCGAATCCCAAAGCTCCGTCACGGCCTGAAGCTTGAACCAACGTAGGCAGATGAGAAGACAGTAGATCACACATCCTCTATACTCGTCACCACCCGCCTGTCTAGCACTCCGAACCACCTCATGTGTGATGATTCGGCTGTTAGGCTTGGTGATAGCTGTTTCTTCGATCTCAAACGGAATGACCTGTTCGATCTGGTATTTCAGCCGGAGAGCAACTTTGGTCACTTCTTTAGCAGAGCTAGTGGTGGCCGATTGATCGGCCGCATAGGCCGGAAGCACTGTTTTACTATGTTAGTTTCTGAGAATTGAGCTGTTTCGGAGAGTGGACAAGGATTGGTGATGACGTACAACGCCGTCTTTCTTCGTGTAGACGCTGACGAACTCGATGTTCGGAGCTGAAGAGGTCTCTCCAATGCCCCATATTGATTGTCCGTGGAAACGGAGAACAGGCATCAATTGAAGACGAAAAATAACACGACAGAGCAGAAAATATTGGGGGGTCATGGGACTCCATCAAAAGTCGAACCTTATCACAAGCGTCAAGATCTCCAGCTGCCGCGCTAAATGTGTCCCGCTATTTCCAGCCACCACCGATTGATTGATCTGGTTCAAGGTATCGGATTGCCATTCACCGCTAGATATATCTTGATGCATGATTTGGTATCATTGAAAATGACAATGCCGTTCGATGAACAGGGCTTACCAATTTCCTGTACTCAGTACTTGAGCAAAATCCACCCTTCGGGCGAGGACAATGGCCCAACATCGAACCAAGATACCAGTAGAAGTTTCAGGAATAGATAACCTGGTAGCAAATTCTTCCCAAGCGCTATCCAGTACCTACGAGTGAACACAGCAGGTGCATAATGTTCTGAAGTTGACACCGAATCCCGCCTGGTAAGGGAGTGAGTTTTGAACATCTAGGACGTACCCTTGCAATTGGCACTCGAACCATGAATTTATGTACATCAAATCAAGAGATAGAGCTGTCCCAGAATCGTGGCCAGAATAAACGCAAACCTGAGTGATATGGACACATCGCCACTGGACGAGAAGTATCGCGGCAGCAAGTTCTTCCAAATAAGCCCATCATTTTTGAGACATTGCTGCTCATGATGTCCCGCTGGTGAGCACATTAAACCCGTCTCCTGTCTCATAATTCGTGTCATAGCCGAAACCCTTCTATCAGGAACTTTTTTCTAGCCCCCGTGTCTGACCAAATTCATATGTCAACTGAACCACTATCTCTCCCGCTTGCGGCACCGTCCAAATCCAATGTATGCGACAAAATGTCAGCTTTTAATCATTTTTTTTTTGCAGGGCTCGCTAACCCAAGAATTCGTGACTAAAACGGCGTGGAAACCATAATTTACTCAGGAACACCCTCGTCACTCTCTGACATGCTCTCATCGCCGCTGACTTCCATGTTCTCACGCTCCCGCTTGTCCATGAGTTCCTGGAGTGCCGCGTCATCGTGCTCGGTAACGGCCTTGGGCGCCATCTTGACGATGCAGCCACCACCGGCTTCCTTGATGTTGACCTGGATTTTCTCGATGGCCTCCTCGAGCAGCTTGATGCCCATGGTCTTATCCAAGCACTGGCTGGTCAGGACGTAAAGGGGAGGGGCGACAAGCTTGACTTTGATCTGGTTCTCGGGGGTGTTGTTTGCCTCCGCAGTGCGAAGAGCAGTCTTGACGGCATCGATTCCTTCATAGCCGAAGCAGGTAACTTCAATATCAGCGCGAACCTTCGTCGGGGCAGGAGTAAGCTTCTTGCTAATGTACTGCGTCAACTCCTTCTTCACGGCGTCGCTAGGGAATTCCACATCCTCCCACACGTCAGGGTTCCTATGGATGAGATATGAGTCATAAAGTCGAATGTAAGATGGGGGTGAAAGGGATCATCCTACGTGATGGAGATCTTGAAGGCATCGTGCGCATGGCCGTATTTCCGGTTCAGGGGCCATCCGATCTTCTGGTATAGGTCCTCGAGGGGGGTCTGGGTGGCCTCTGCAACATGGCGCATGATGGAGTGAACCGCCTTGCTCTTGTTGTATCTCTCCTCACACTTGACGACATCTTCGGGTGAAACACGACGCTTGGAAAGATCAATGTAACCTGAACGCAAGAACATCGTTAGATCACTCGGGGGCCAAGCGCAGTCAGATGCAGTGAGTGCCACATACCCTTCTCCTTGTCAACACGAAGCACGATGACAACCTCGTTACGTCCGATACGGATGAGCTTCTGAATACTACGGATACGTCTCCGCGACAATTCGGACAGCAGAATCATGCCATCAATGTTGTCGTATTCGAGGAGCTTCACGTATGCGCCCATTTCGGCAATCTGCACAACGCAAACGGACTGGATTAGCCAGGTGTTCTCCGCCACTCAAAGGCACCAGGCATCGAAGCATATACATACCTGCTTGACATTGACCATGACATAGCTGTCAACCTCCGGGTACTTCTCCTCGTAGAAACGACAATTTGTTAACGACATTTTGGCGGGGCGGCGCTTGATAGTAGGCCGAGCTGACGATTCAGGCAAAAGAACAGAACTTTTTATTTCTGAGAGAAGTCTTTCTTCCGGAGATCCGTATCGGATAATGGAGAAAGATGGACAGAAGACGGGTGAAGAGAAGTTGCGACAGCAGGGGAGTCCTTGACGTGAAAAAGCAACAATCAATCTCAAATCACCTTTGTGGCGGTTCAAAACCCACTTTGGGCTTTGTTGGAGCCCGCACCGAATTCGAGGGAGACACAGCGACCACCTGCGCAGCTTACGAGTCACGTGTGATTAGCAAGCCCACCGCCTGGCAGAAACAGGGATGCGACCTCCGGCTGACCTAATCAAGGCAAGGCCGGTTTATCAGTTGACCATCAGCTTCTTATCACTCTTTAACATCATCATCGTCAGCCTCCATGCATCCTTCTGGACATCTCGGTCTGCTGAGGGCATAATAGGTGCCACGGAAAGAGACAGCCCTTGTGCTTTATCATTTTGAGGCATTTTCGCTCGATGCCCCCCTTCTTACTAACCCAATCTGGATCCATGATAACTGCTATATTGGTTTTTGTAAGATTCTTTTCCTCGGCTTGGCTTACCGTCCCGCTTGTTTGGACTGGCCGGTGGCCACCGCCCTTCGAACAAAAGGCACTACTTTCGTTGGCCCTGGTTGATTCATTTAGCTAATATTTAAGGCTCTCACCTTCCTCCCCTCTCTTAATCCCATTTCAAGATTTCCTCCTTAAGTTGCTTCTGGATAATGGCGTATTCTTGAATCATCGTGTGCGGTTTACAAGTCATCAACTGGCCGTCCGTTTCATCTCATAAATCATGTCCGAATCCGCCTCTTTGCATGGAACCGGTCAACACCGCTCTCTGCGGGATCGTATCTTTGAGGTTTTTCGGACCTCGTCCCCAACCAGTTTCTCTGCTACTGCTGAGGCTAATCCGCGGAATCTCCCAACGTATGTGGCAGGCGAACCTGGTCCGAGAACCCGCCTGCTGGACTCGTATGATGATCGGGAGCCTCTATGTGGACAAAGTACTTGCAGTCATGGAACTTTCTCTCCAAGACCCGAGGATCATGGCGGCGATGTACAATGGGCTGGCGGGAGGGTAGAGATTCCCGGGGATTCTAGTGCGAGCTCAAGCCATATGCATGGGCCCGACAACTTACCTTCGATGGAGTCCTCAATGACAGCATCCCTTGTAAAGAATCGCAATGCATTGTATGTTCTATACCCAGGAGAGAGAAAGTGCTGATAACCAAAAAGTATTTCCTTGAGGGGCTTGTTATCTGATACTAACCCGGCGCTCAATCTAGATACATATCATACTATGTTCCATTTTTCAATTGGATCGGTCAATATCGTTGGTCATTCTTTCGAGGGGATCTGATAGCGGCATTTACCGTGGCATCTATCTATATCCCCATGGCATTGTCATTATCATCCAATCTCGCGCATGCACCCCCTATCAACGGTCTTTACTCCTTCGTGGTCAGCCCCTTCATATATGCAATTCTTGGAAGCAGCCCTTTGCTGGTAGTTGGCCCAGAAGCAGCCGGATCGCTGCTCGTTGGAACGATCGTGAAAACCAGCGTCAAACAAGGGCAGTCACACGAGGATAATGGAGCTGAAAATGCTATTGTCGTGGGTGTAGCCACTGCGCTGGCGGGTTCGATGATACTGATCGCCGGATTGACTCGTTTGGGATTCCTGGACAACGTCTTGAGCCGTCCTTTCTTGAGGGGATTTATCACTGCTATTGGCTTTGTGATTTTTGTGGATCAGTTGATTCCGGAAGCTGGACTGGCGGACAAGGCAAAAGACGCTGGAGTGAGTCACGGCACCACAGTGGACAAGCTGATCTTCTTCTTCCGAAATGTCAGATACTGCCATGGACTCACAGCCGCAGTGTCCTTTAGCAGTTTCGCTATCATAATGGTTTTTCGGTATGTGCTTGATCTTCCCCCGCCAGAATGCATGCGTTGACCCGCTGCTTTTCTAGAACTCTGAAAAAGAAAATTCAACCACGCTATCCTCAAGTCGCGTATTTTCCGGATCGTATTTTGGTGGTCATACTGTCCGCAATTCTAACGTGGCATCTTGGTTGGGATGAGAAAGGGCTTGAGATACTGGGCGCCATGAAAGATAACGGGAATGGGGTTCTCGTTTTTAAATGGCCATTCACTGAGATGAAGCATGTGCGTACTGCGATGAGCACCTCTTTTATCATTGCACTGCTTGGCTTCTTCGAGTCCTCCGTGGCCGCCAAAGGACTCGCTCAGAACAGAGAAGATGGGGTGAAGGGTATGACAGTTAGTGCTAACAGAGAGATGGTGGCTCTTGGTGTGGCGAATGTCCTTGGCGGGTGCTTCATGGCCCTCCCTGCATTTGGTGGGTATGGGAGAAGCAAAGTTAATGCTTCTACCGGCGCCCGAAGCCCCATGAGTAGTATCTTCGTGAGCATCATCACCCTTGTGAGCATCCTAGTGCTTCTACCCTATCTTTATTATCTGCCGGTGAGTATAATTTCGACATCCGAGCCGACGGTTGGCTTTCGCTGATACTTTCCAGAAAGCGGTCTTGTCCTCAATGATTTCCGTCGTCGCTTTCTCACTAATCGAGGAGTGTCCTCATGATGTAGCTTTCTTCATTCGCCTCCGTGGATGGTCAGAGCTGGCTCTGATGATCCTCATCTTCGCTTCGACGATTTTCTATTCCCTGGAGCTGGGCATTGCGCTGGGCATCGGGCTTTCTGTCCTCATCTTGATTCGACACTCCACACAATCGCGTATTCAGATCTTGGGAAAAGTATCTGGGACTGGTCGATTCGATAATGCCGAACTTCACCCCGAGGACGTCAAATCGATCGAAGGAGCCCTGGTCATCAAGATACCGGAGCCTCTCACTTTCGCCAATACCGGCGACCTCAGGAACCGTCTCCGCCGACTGGAATTGTATGGTTCGAGCCGCGTGCACCCATCTCTGCCCCGAATGCGTTCCCCAGAACATAATAAAAACATCATTTTCGACGTACACGGTGTCACGAGCATAGACGGTTCTGGGACACAGGTCCTTTTCGAGATTGTGAAAGACTACGCAGATATCGGGACCAGAGTATTCTTCTGCCGCCTCCCCAACCGCGACGTCTTCCGAATGTTCGAAAAGAGCGGTATTGTGCAGCAAGCTGGAGGAATGACGCATTTCGTTTCCAGTGTGGATGAAGCACTGCGGCTTGCTGAATCGGAGCATCGAATAACGGAAAGCTGATATGACTGCGAGGCAAGCAATGATGTGACACAGCGGAACGACCTGTTTGTATACAAACGCTTCAATGCCCTTGGATAGATGTCGATTTTGTATATGTCTTCAGAACGATTTGGGTATATAGAGGGTTGGTGAAGATCGAACGGCGCGAGACTTCGGATCCACCCAGCACATGTTCATGATTGTTAATTACATAGACGAGCGAGCATTGATTCTGATGAGATTCCTGGCGGGATAACCCGTACGATTTGCCTTGATTTCCCTCGTTGTCTTCTTATCCTGGTAGATCTGTATGACTTTCAACTCGGTAGCAGTTTTGCCTGTAGCCGAAAGCACGGTCCCGAATGCACACCGTGTTGTAAAGCAAAACAGTCACTCGGATTCTGCATCTTCTGACAGACAGGTGTAAAGATTGTCTTAAAGGCAGTCGGGGCAGAAGTGAACGAAACACTATTGGGAAACTCTGCTCTCGGGATATTTCGCTTGCCCCAGACACACGCAAACGCGGCTTGATATACTTGGTGCAACCTCTAGTCCTCAAGTGTTCTCTTCATCCTCCGAGGCAGCCCGACGCAGAACGGCTCGCAGTAAAGCTTCATGTGCCCTCAATAGTAGGTGGTCTTTGATCGAATGAGCATCGCCAGCACTGTCGCCAGAGCTGGTCGCTGCCGATGATGCGACCAACTTCATCTTTCCTTCGCCGCCAAGAACGAAGCTACCGCATGCGACTTTAGTGAGGCGCGCATGCTGTTTTTCCGAGCCTTGACTAGTCGAAGGGCCTGCCAGGTTCAGATCTATTGCCAAGTGTTTCTCAAGATAGGTGGAGAGACCTGTTAGGATGGTCTGTTTTGGATGGCTAGAAGATCCATGCTCGGATCCCATACTAGTGTTGCTTTCACGCGCGAACATCGCGAAAGACCCCCGCGGGATGTTGATGTTAAGAGACTTCAACAACGGAGCAACAGATGGCGAAAATGATAATGTCAGCTGTACCTCTTTTATAATATCTTCAAGCATGCGGTAGGAGTCAATAGACTGTTCCGAGGTCCCAGACATTAGAACATCGATAAACGCGTTTAGTTCCGCACACAGAAAATTCGACGGCAAGCGAAGAGTCGAGCAGTAGGTGTCAAAGTTCGCAGACAAGAACGAGATGAAGGTCTGCCGCAATGGATTGGGGAACCGCGTCAGTAACAAAGGAAGCTGTGTGGACTGTTTCCGTCGTGCTGAGGTACGACGACCTTCCGGTGCCGCAATGAGAGCAGCTTTGTAAGTGATATTTTCGTATTCCAGAACAACCAAGATTCCTGAAAGTTCCCCGGGAAGAGTTTGACCGGACAGTTGTCCAGCGCCCAGAGAGGACGGAGCTGACAATGTCTCCCACAGGCAGTTTTTGAGAGACCCGGTTCTGGAGAGGCTGTCATCGACGACGACGCCGGTTCCACCCAATCCAGCCTGGGCTTCAGCAAAGAAATTTCCGGTTAGATGATCTCTCAGTCTGGTGGCATAGGTTCTCAGCGCGACCTTATTGCCAATAAGAGACTGGAATTCTTTCCCATGGTGCAGGGGAGAGAGACGGTGTAGCGTCCACGAGGTGTTCAATAGCGACTGTAAGATTGATTGAGACATAGAATCCTTTTCTGAATTTTATTTTCAATGAGTAGTAACTTCAGTTTACCTATCGAGGATGAGATTAGTCTGACCCATGGGAGTATTAGTATCCTGCTCGGTTGGAGATAGAGTACTTATCATGAACGCGATTGGTTCCTGCAAACAAAGCAAACATGGAAACTAAGGTACCTCCTAGTCAACAAAGCAAGGGTGCTATTGTATGCAACTGTAAAGAAGCATGATATTCAAAAATTCAATATTATGGTCTTGGACATGAGCATTCTACTGTAAAACACTATTACGTCGTATGAACTGATTACCAGGTGAATGGCCATCCAGTAAAGAAGAGATAACGCTCAATGCTCCATTTATATGCATCGCTAACTCCAAACCGAAACCCCATCTCCCATTCCCGACGTCAGATCACGAATACAAAGATCTAATATCGAAACGGATTAGATAGCTCCAAGAAAGAAGATGGCATTATGCACGCCATCCTCTCCCATCTCGGCAATGTTGGCATCCAAGTGCAACAGGTACACCATTCCAAATCCAGATATTTTCCGTATCATGGGGAACAGCTCCTCTCGACCCCAGTTCTTCTTTGGCAACATCAAACCAGATATCCTGCACTGAGGAGTGTATATGCGAGAGTGGGGCGCTCTCGAAGACGAGCGAGTTTATATCGTCATTCTCGTTCAGCGTTAGATCGTTTTGGAAATTGTGCATGAAGTCCTTTCGCTGCACTCGTTGACTGCCACCATCGCCGATTTCCGCCGAGAAGTATTCAACAATCCGAATGAATGGCGATACTGTGAGCAACGAGCCAATCCAGCTATCGTCCGACACCACAAATTCGTCGGGAGGCACAGTATGGCGCAGATATGAGACGAGAAGCTGCATGCAATGGTGTGTACAGATCAGAGTCGAAGTGTTGGTAAATGGAGGAGCTTGGAGGATTTGAAGTTGCAAGTCTCGATACATGGACTTGCGAATATCGGGGGCCATCGGAACCGGTAGTCGACCAGCTTCCAACTCCTGCAATAATGCATTTTTCAAGTCACGTCGAGCGAGACTATATGCTTCGAGAAAGTATAGAGCATAGTACCTGATCAAGCGACAAACCGTGTTAGAATGGGCAGGCAAAGGCAGGAAGGGCGACGTACATGAGAGGTATAAGATTGTACCATAAAGATTCCTTCCCACGTTTTAGGAACTCATTACGCTCATTTCTGTTGGAGAACTTCGACTTCACAAACGTCGGCTCGCAGTGCAAGAATCTATCCATGACGCGATCTGCAAGGTAATAGCACAGCTGGGAACATAGCTTTTGCCGCCGTCGCAAGCTGTGTATATAACGAAAAGTGTATAGGTGACCGCCTTTGGCGCTTGTCGCAGGAGGAAACAGGTCCGACAGCAGCACTACATCGTCTTCGGGGTTCCGAGTATACATTCGTTCGCTGTCGATGGGAGACGGAAGCGTTCCATGGCGGCGCTGGCGGAGATATTGACGAGCGATAAGTTGTTCATGAAGGGTGAGGATTTGGCAGAAGGCCCGGCAGACGAGTTTCAGTTGCAGGAGGTCTCTAATACCACATTGCGCAAATATTTTTATCTGAAGCTCGACAGGCAGGAGGTCCCAGGGCGAGGATGTTGGTACGATATCGGCTTTGTCAATACTGCATCGGTATCAGTCCTGTTATTGGACACTTTGGAAATCGCCATCACTCATAGAACAAGGAACCTACACGGAAGTTGATGAAACTGAAGAAGGAAACAGACTCTGCCTCAGCGACCTATCCTTCTTGCCTTCCGATTTTCTGCCTCTCTGTAAGACAGCGCGGGCTTTCTTTGCATGTTGTAACAGCTGGAAGATCGCACTCATCGTCAAGTAGCGTAAACTATGAGGAGGCCAGCTCCTGCTTCGGGATTGAATCGAAGGGTCTGTCACGGGCTCACCATTCAGTCAAGTGATTTTTCCGGGAACGATAATGTGGTCATATTTAAGTCAAGGTACCTGATCTCAGATTATTATTCTCCGCTTCCAGGATAGACGCAGAGGGGGCCGTGACTAAGCCACGCCTATCTGAACTAATAATAGTCCGTTGCTGCTATTAAAAGCATCCTATACCATGCGGATTACGGTCAAATCATGATTTTGATTTAAAACAGCATGCAGTAGAGCGAGATCTAGCTAAAGAGGAAGATCAGGATGAGGCATAATAAACATATACATGTCCGCCATACGCACTAAAAAGAAAGGACCGAAAATACAGCCATTCCGTGGCTGCGATAAGCATCATCACATGGGATATCCGTATCGAATTCAGATGCAAGTCAGATAAGGCAACTCCGCTCTATAGAGATCAAACCATGCACTCTCTACATATCATCTTCTTTCAAGATCAAAAGATCACTAGGACCATTTTGGAATCTAAAGTACTTAGAACAGTTGGGTGAGTCCAAAGGCGAGCTAAGCTTTGAAGTCATAACCTAGTAGGTGCATGGATGTTACGTAGCCCCTCTGGCTAGTTTAGCGTTTGTTCTCAAGAGTCAAGACTAAAGGTGTCTCAGATTCAATTACAAGCCATCTATCATCGAATTCAAGGCACTATTAAGTGTCGCGATGCTGATATTAATTATCGGCCATTGATAGATATAATAAGTAAGTAGTGGTGGGGGTGCTGCTGCTGATAGCATCGCGGCGTAGAAGAAGCTTGGAGCATATTTACGTCATCGGCACCCAAGGTCGCGTAACGCCTACGCACGTGGTTGACAACTGCTGCCGTACTATCAACCTTCCTCCAATATCTCGTAGATATATCAAGCATCGGCAGAAACTCCTCGAGTAAACTTAAGATGAGCAACAGCGTCCTCATTGTTGGTGCCACACGAGGCCTTGGAGCCTCGCTTCGAGAGTTGTACGAATCAAATGCATCCGTAACAACTGTCTTTGCGACGACACGGTCCAGTACCCCGCCATCAGACAGCTCCGATTCTCACGTCACTTGGATTACAAACATTGATGTTTCGCAGCCTGATGTTGGGGGCCGTCTGATCTCTCAATTACCCCCATCGACTAAAATCTCGACGGTCATAGTTACAGCGGGGTATTTCGGCTTCGAGACCTTCGATGATCTTGACTGGGAAAAGGAAGTACGGATGTACACCACATCCGCTATCGGTCCTGTCTTCCTCGTGCAGCGCCTCGTCAAAGCAAACCTTCTGGAGAAGGGAAGCAAGGTGATTCTGGTCAGCAGTGAGAGTGGCAGTATTACCTTACGACACGAGAGGGAGGGTGGAGGAAACTATGGTCATCACGCCAGCAAAGCTGCTTCGAATATGGTGGGAAAACTACTCAGCCTGGATTTGAAGGGCAAGGGCATTGCCGTTGGGCTGGTGCATCCGGGCTTCATGCGCACAGAGATGACAAAGGGCGTGGGTTTCGACAAGTATTGGGATGATGGTGGTGGTAAGACTGCCTGTTCCACGATGCTCAAGGCTGTGCTGACTAAAATTCCAAAGCTGTTACGCCTGATGAAGCGGCCAAGTCCCTAGCATCATTCATAGATGACTTCGACATGAGCAAGACTGGCCAATACTGGGCACCACGAGGACCCGGGTGAGCCGAGTCTTTAAGGATCATTGCTCTTGTATTTGAAATTAGCGCTGACTTTATTGCTAGGGACATTGGAACAGCAGAGTCTGTTCTGGGATCGAATTTGCCAACACCATTGCAGCTGCCGTGGTAGTCTTATACTGGAAGGCTACTATATATCGGAATGGAATACCCGGTGTCTGCGTAGAGCCCGCTCTTGTCCAGAACAAGTTCTGTCTGCGCATGCACATGATGGGTTATTGATTATAGCGAATAGTCCCTGATTAGAGGATGCATGCATCATACAATCATGCATACGAACATTAAATCATTTTGTGAAACATTCATACAAGCTTCAAAAAAAAAAAAAGAGAAAGCAATATTGTTCACTTTAATTGCAAACAGTCAAGACATGATTTATGTAGAATGAAAAAATTTAGATGCATCATCCGTGAATCGAACACGGGCCTCGTCGATGGCAACGACGAATTCTACCACTAGACCAATGATGCTTGGTGGCTGTTGAAAGTGGGCTAGAAAATTAGAAATATAAAGCGCCACAAATAAAATAAGTATAATCAAGATTAATTCTATTGAGGATGATTACCATTGCCATGAGGAAAGTGTTGGTAGGATGGATTGTTGATGACACTACGATTCCCCAGGAGAAACCTCAGTAACAAACAGCCCTCCCCAGAAAAGATGAATTGCAATACATGACAGATTCCGGGCTGACGGTTGCATCTGGGCAGAAGCAAACACTAAGAGGGTATCTAGGCAATATATGCTTGGACTGCCATGGATGCTATCGCATTGTCCCTCTAAGTAGTCAAAATAATGCTATAAGCCACACAATGCCTTGCATTTTACTACTAGATCTCGGGTAAGGCTATTCTCCAAAGGCTTTAGATACAGGCTGCGGTTGCCTGTTCCCTTTCGAGTGAGGCGGTTTACCTGTATGTGGGAGCTCTCGAAATGGGATACATCAATCTGATGTCCCAATATATTGGTGGGTGTTGATCAAGTGATTGATGAGCGATGACATAAAGCCGGTGTGATGGAATCTCAACACTAAGCCATGTATGAGGTCCTTAGGTGCTACCCAGCATCGTAATGATTTCCGAATGGTTCATACCAAGTTCACATGGGTTTTCTTACGACAAACCTTGGCCAACGACCAAAAGTTGTCAAGTGCCTTGGTCCAGTGGATTGAGGTGTAAAGATAATCCAAGGGAATATATACAAGTAAGGAGTCAACCATCATGCAAGCGATGCTCTATGACAAGCAACCAGAGATGCATAAGCACATGCAGAAAAAAAGACCGACGGTACTGCTAATTCACAAGTAAAGAAGCTGCGCATAGCAGAACTCCCCAAACCCAGGCGGTAAGCTGGACTGAAGATCATGGTTGGCGTAATTTAAAAAGGAGGGAATTAAAGATGATCTACTGAGAACACGAAATTGGTCGTAAAAATATAGATCAATTCAGTTGGACGTAGTTGGCTGATTGAAGAGGTATGTTAGACCACCCGGCGACTCACGTGGGCGTAAGATTACTTACCTGGGAATTGGCCCTCCCTTCCATCGACTTTACCGGACCACCATTCATTTTGGTTGTCTGTTCGGCTGATAATCTCAATCACGTCGCCAGCGGAGAAGCTGAGGTCCCCGTGCGCCTGTGCTTCGTAATCGTACAGTGCTGTTACAGTTTCGACGGGAGCATTGAACCGAGCAGGCTTGGGCTTGGGTGGTGGAGGTGCCGGCTTGGCTTTGGCGGCTGCAACAGTGCTTGCAGACGCTGAGTATGGTGGAGGAGGGTTATCGGTGTCCTCGGAGCGATTAGTATGGGAGAAAGTGCTCTTGCTCTCGTACGCCATCTTGTCCTTGCCGGGAGGTGTGAATTTCGAGGTCTGTCGACCCAGACCCTTGGTCTTGAAATGAACAATGGTAAGGCTTTCTGCACGCTCCTTAACATCACCGCGCTTCTTCTCATAGGCCTCCTCGACGTCTAGTGTCAGGTCGAAATAGTCGATGTTCATGCCTTGCATCTTCTCGTGAAGGGTGTAGAATACATTCAGCTGCATGTAGTAGAACGATTGAAAGAGTGGACGGATAAACTCCGCCTCAAGAGCAAAGAGTTTCGGCAGCTCGTCTTTGAGCAGGTCATTGTAGTAGTTGTATTCTTGAGTGGCCTGCTCCACATCGTTTTCCGCTTTGTAGAGCGCCTTTTCGTCCTTCAGCGACTTGTCCTTCTTTTCTTGCAGCTTCTTCAGCGAGTTCCGGTGACGGTCATAGTCCAGCTTCTTATGGTCTCGTTTCACTGCGACCTTGCGGATCACCTTGATCACCTCCAGTAATTGGTTCGCAGGACTGACAATCCGAGTTTCGATCAGCTCCAACTCGGGCGCAAGAGATTCCTGTAAATCGCGGACAATCGCTTCATATTCTTCGCAGGCGCGAATTCCCTCAGGGTTGCCTTCAATGGTATATGTACTTGGATCCGAGGCACGACCCGAAATGGGTTTATATAATTCTGTCATAGACTTGGAGAACTCAATTTGATGATTCAGCATGCCTGTATGCGCATTAGACAAGAACAAGGGATATAGCTTCGACACGACAAGTGGCCATGCGCAGAATCAGTACCATTTATGGCATCGAAGTACTTCTTCGACTCGTCATGAAGCTTCTTGGTCTCTTTTTCGAGTTCTTGAAATCGGCGCTCTGCATCTTGGTAGATTGCATCTTTGGTGTGTTCGCCGATGTTGAATTTCGCCTTGAATTGTTGCGGTGCGCGAACGATGCTCTTCTGGAAACCCTTCAAACTCATCTCGGGTATTCCTGGCGGGGAGGCTGAGATACGGCGGAAGTGCTCGGTGTAAACAACAATGAGATTTGCGACTATTAGGTTGGTAGAGAGTGATAGTAGGGCGGTAGGAGAAGAAGATATTCAAGGATAGCAGATGAAGAACAGTGTCAGGACGAGGAAACTCGCGGTAGTGGGGAGTGGGGGTTCTTGTCTCTTCGAGTGGTTTTGTAGCCTTCAGCCCCAAGATGGGTCTTTAGTGACTGCTAGACTGGTGGTTCGTCTGTTCAGCACTGTGGCTGAGCTATGACATAAGATGTTAATGGTGTCGGTGGCTGAGAGAAGCTAAGGAATTAAGAATGCAGTTGCAGAGGTAAATAATTATAAAGGAGGAAAAAGGCACTAAGGGTATAAGATACAGGCGAGATGTCCATTTGATAAGAACTGGCTTTATGGAAACATAGCACATAGAAGGCATGGATGTTCTAATTCGAAACCAGATCATGAAGTCATGCAGAGCAAAGTTCCTCGTGAACGATCGATCAGATTGTGGCGCAGCCACGGAGAACCAAACCGAATCTTGGTTTATGTACTGTTTAGGCACCAACTATCCAGCCTTTGAAGTTTGGAGGTGTTCACTTACACAGTACTTCTCTTTGCTTCATCCTTCAGGTTCCAACATATCTACATGGTAGGCATTTTCAATTTACTAGATAGTACTCAAAGCCGAGTAATACCACTCTATAGAATGATTCTAAACCCGCATTCCGTGGCATCAAACATGTAAAGCTGAAGACTGACCTCCAGTTACCGTGGAGGCAGTAGTAAGAATATTCCGTAACCGCGGGGTGATTACAGTTTCTCCTGAGCTTCCCCACAGCAACCATGGAGCTTCGCATTTGGTGTTTGACCTTATTGCAATCCGAGAGAATAGTAACACGAAACTCATAAGACCTCTGGCAGGGATGGCAGGGAATTCTCGTGTTCTGGGTATCTCCGACAACAATGGCCATCAAGCAATGGAAAAGACCGAGGTGGATTACCCAAACGGTATAATCCGCCGGATTATCTGATTACTCCGATCGGGCTTAGCAAGGCTCGGCAGTCGGCAATGATACAACTGGATCCAGACTTTTTTCTTACCAGTGCGACCTCCCCCAAGTTCACGGTTCGTTGTCATCACCCTCTGTCATCAACTGTCTATCTATCTTATATGGTGCGGCTGCAGATTTAATTAAATAATGTCTAGCATCACACCATCTGCCTTGAGACAGGCATCTCGAGCCTATGCTCGCCGGCTGTCTTCGACACAGCATAGCTCCCTGGCTTCCGCGCCCTTCCCCAGACGAGTGCTCGCCACTTCCGGTGCTGCTACTTCGAGGCGGGCTTATGTCACTGAGACCAAAGCTGGAAATGCCCAGGTCACGATGGATACAGCTATCAAGCAGGAGCAGAAGAACTTCGTTAAGCAGACGGGCCTCCAGCCTGGAAAGGTGGAACTTCCCGCCTCCAGCATATCCGGAGATGCTTCACTGAGTCCATCCGCGGGCATCCTGAAGCAAGCGACCGTTATGGACCAAGGAACTCGGCCGATCTACTTGGATATGCAAGCGACTACGCCGCTCGATCCTCGTGTCCTCGACGCAATGCTCCCTTATCTCACCGGCATCTACGGCAACCCCCATTCGAGAACTCACGCGTACGGCTGGGAGTCTGAGAAGGCCGTCGAGCAAGCTAGAGAGAACATCGCTAAGCTGATTGGAGCCGACCCCAAAGAGATCATCTTCACAAGTGGCGCCACCGAAAGCAACAACATGAGCATCAAAGGTGTAGCCAGATTCTTTGGCCGCTCTGGCAAGAAGAAGCATATCATCACAACCCAGACCGAGCACAAGTGTGTCTTGGATAGCTGCCGTCATCTGCAGGATGAAGGATTTGAGGTTACATATCTCCCCGTCCAGAGCAATGGTTTGATTCGGATGGAAGATCTCGAAGCGGCCATTCGTCCCGATACCGCTTTGGTCAGCATCATGGCTGTCAACAACGAGATCGGTGTTATCCAACCAATGGAGGAGATTGGAAAGCTGTGCCGCTCGAAGAAGGTCTTCTTCCATACCGACGCGGCCCAGGCAGTGGGCAAGATTCCGTTGGATGTCAACAAGCTGAACATCGACCTGATGTCCATTTCTAGCCATAAGCTCTATGGCCCCAAGGGTATTGGTGCTTGCTATGTGCGCCGCAGGCCTAGAGTTCGTCTTGAGCCCATCATCTCCGGTGGTGGACAGGAGAGAGGATTGCGCAGCGGCACCCTCGCTCCTCACCTGGTTGTTGGATTCGGTGAGGCTTGCCGCATCGCCTCTCAAGATATGGATGTAAGTTGACTTGACTTTTCTTTCCTCTCGGTCCCAATTCTTGTGTTATGTCAACGGGGATTATATACTGCAAAAAAATCGTGAATGTCCGAGTGATCATGGCGGTAGCTGCATGCCTTCTGGTATGTTGCCGTGGCTCGATGACGTCCATCGCAGGGGTGATGAGTTGATATCAGTCACAACCATTGGTCATTGCTTCACTTGTTGCAGAAGACTGGTAGCTAATATTTCTTGAACAGTATGATCGAAAGCACGTTGAACGGTTGTCGAAGCGCCTGCTGGACGGGCTTCTGGCGATGGAACACACCACCCTCAATGGAGACGCTGAGCGCCACTATCCCGGCTGCGTCAATGTTTCCTTTGCGTACATCGAAGGCGAGTCTCTTCTGATGGCTCTCAAGGATATTGCCTTGTCTTCTGGTAGCGCCTGTACCTCCGCCTCTCTGGAACCCAGCTATGTCCTTCGTGCGCTGGGCAGCAGTGATGAAAGTGCTCACAGCAGTATCAGATTTGGTATTGGACGATTCACGACCGAGAGCGAGATTGATTATGTCCTTAAGGCTGTAACGGATCGTGTCCAGTTCCTGCGGGAGCTGAGTCCCTTGTGGGAGTTGGTCCAGGAGGGCATTGATCTGAACACCATCGAATGGAGTCAGCATTAAGCAGATTTCTTTTGTTCGTGGCAGTCGTTTCACATTTTCATTGCCTTGTTTTGAGATATCACATTTGGGATGGCGTTGGGATGGTATGTAATAGTATGAGCATTGACGACGAAGTTTGATGCGTCTCTATCATGTGTGTACAGAATCGACCGAGGTATCTGGTAGTACGTGTGGGCGTACCTTTGATTGTACATCCTTCACAAAAGATGAGCACTCTGAAATTAGCCCATGGTGTGTAGATCAGGATACCATGTTCCGTGTCCATGTCACTCACCACCAGGCTCGGAATGCACTTTTTTTTTTTTTTTTTTTTTAAATTATTCTACCCAAGATCTCATAATTGAAAAAAAAGATGACGGATTTACTACCTATATTTTCCATAAGCATTGGTATTGAAATTACAAATTGATGGTTTGTCCATAGTACAACCTCTCTACCTCTCTACTTATCTACCTCACTATCTATTGATAGCATGGGCCCATGGCATGACTCCAACGATGGAATAAACTCGATCGGCGCAGAGTTCACCGCAGACCCGAACGGGGTGGCGTGGGTGTAGGCGAACACACTGGGTGCCTCGCTTAAGGAGGGGAAGCAGCACCCGATCTCGCACACCGAGCGGGTCTGGGAGGCTGGCTGCCAGTCAGAAGGAGTTCCGGATCATTCTCTAGCACTCAGGCTAACACTCATCATATAGTGACCCCCTTTCGCTTCCACCCAGTGCTGGTGCATGGCTTCATGTGTATGTAGTAGTAGTAGTGTCGTAGTGTCGTACCCCAGAAGTAGATATAGAGTATCTATATCTTTGACAGCAGGTTACCATGATGATGGATTCCATGTATCTATCGATTTTATTTTGTGAATTTTGGAGTAACTCCTCTCCCCAGCACTTACTCAAATGATTGACAGTCGTATAATCTACTCTCTCTCCCCCTCCCCCTCTGTCTCTCTGACGCCTTCTCTGGCCCACCCAATGCTCAATAATCATCACTCACTTCTCCAGAAGTTTAGGTTAGATCGTTTGCCTATATCGGCCTTCTTTTTCCACAGACTTTTCAACCCCTGTGTCTCCTCTGCCATCGACGCCTTGTTGATTGGCTAACACACAATGGTTCTGGTTATACTCGGTTCCTCAGGGAGTAGGTTGTCTCCTGAGTGATGCTGTCTGTGGTGTATGACCTGTTCTCGCCGGTGGTCTCATTCACCCCGGCCCCAGTCGGCTCTCTCTGTGTCAGTTCGCAGAGCACACGACCAATTTATAAGTCGAAACGCCAGTGATGATGCTATCCTGACTTTCTCCATGGAGTGTCTGGTTTGAAATGAATTATTAATCTTCATGTCTAGGCCCCCCACCGGAATAGTGTTCTTCTTTTTTTTTTTTTTTTTTTTTTTCTCCTTTCTCCTACCGAGACACCGAATTAGAAGGCCATCTCCTGATCCTCTGCTGCCTCTTGTACCTCTAGTAGAGTCCTTCTCTTCCGCTCTGCTCCGGGAGAAATCATCTTTCGCTTTCTTCACGTTCTTTCGGCTTCCTTCTGCTTGTGTGATTTCCCCTCACAAGGAACTGGAGCGAGAGCAATCACCGGCTTGTCGCGGTTGTCATATATTACTCCTCTTCCCTCTCCTCTTAAAGTCCGGTCTTTTCTGCTGGCCTGTCTTTCTCGCGGCTATCTCTACACTCTTGGTGCTGCTCCTCTGAAAAAACTAAGCAGACGATCAGCTCACTGTTCGTCTCCGTGGATCTAGAAGATCTGGGGTATCGATCCCATTTGAGCCACTCGGGTGTCTGACCCGAAGCAGAGTTCCGCGAACTTTGTGACCTGAAGTCACGGATTTGCCTCCACGGGATCCAATCTTCACTAGAAAAACATACGGGTCCCTCCTCCGCCCTACAGATAATTTTAATACTTCTTGGTGGATTCATCTCCTTGAAACTGGACGTTTCTGATTCACACATTCACAATGCTGGCTCCTATTCCGGCTCTGGTGGACTATGGTATCTCGCCGGAACATGGCTTTCTTCCCTCTGAGCCTCCACTCGACGCCCTTCCAGATCCCTACTATGCCAAGTGGGAATGGATAGTTTCGAATTTACAGTCCCTCCTGCACAGCGGGCGGATCCGCGAGGCAGTCGATCATATGCCTATCCTTTCAACATCATACCTTCACTCCGAAGATGAGTGGCGGAGAGCTTATGTGTTGTTGACCTTTATTTTACACGGCTATGTTTGGGGTGGCAATGCACCGGAAGAGGTATGCTCCGTTTGATAAGCTCCAGCTCCACATTGGCATATGCTGACCATCCTGGCTGGAACCAGAGAGTCCCGCCTCAGCTTACAATTCCCTTGCTCGAGGTCTGCGACCATCTGGAGCTGCCCCCTGTGGCTACATATGCTGCAGTGTGCTTGTGGAACTATAAGCCTATTTTCCCCGATGAGCCCGCACACGACGTGGACAATCTGGCATGTATCAGCACCATCACCGGATCAATAGATGAGCGATGGTTCTATATGATTTCGGTGGCTATCGAAGCCTGTGGCGGCCCCGCTATACCGCTGGTTCTACAGGCCATCTCTGCAGCGCGGGCCGGAAATAGCGCAGTGGTAACGGAGTGTTTACAGAGCATCGCAGAGACCATAGAACAACTTGGAGTGCTCTTGGAACGGATGTATGAGCACTGTGATCCTTACGTGTTCTACCACAGGATTCGGCCCTACCTGGCTGGAAGCAAGAACATGGCCGATGCCGGCCTGCCAAATGGGTTGATGTATGATGACGGAAGCGAAAAGCCCGAGTACCGCCAGTATGGCGGCGGTAGCAATGCCCAAAGCTCCCTTATCCAGTTCTTTGATATTGCTCTGGGCATTGAACACCGACCCACTGGAGAAACACGTCCTACTACTTCCTCGCCTCAGAACGAAAAGGAAGGCGTTGCCGGATCACCCCGGCATGGGTTCATCCAGGAGATGCGGACATACATGCCGGGCCCTCACCGGCGGTTCTTGGAGCACGTGGGTGCCGTTGCCAACATCCGGGAGTATGTCGGAGCACGACGCTCGGACAAGGCTCTGTGCATTGCCTACGACGCCTGTCTCTCGATGCTGCGCACTATGCGAGACAAGCACATCCAGATGGTGTCCCGGTACATCATCGTTCCCTCACGGAACGCGCGGAACCACAACCCGGGCTCGTCTAGCCCCAAGAGAACCAGCTTGGCGATGAACCTGGCCAATGTGCGGCCTGGAAGCAAGAAGCTGCGTGGCACGGGTGGGACTGCGCTGATCCCATTCCTGAAGCAAGCGCGCGATGAGACCGGAGAACCCGCCATCGATGCCTGGGCGCGCCGGCTGTTAAGCAACGGGCCGGCGGAGCCGAGCTTTGCCGCCCTGAGCAAAGTGGATGAGCACCCCGACGGCCACCTGGAAGTGGTCGGCTTGTCAGGAACCTGGACGGCAGATGATAGCGAGGGTGGCATATGCCATTGGTGATGTATAAGGGAGCACTACTGAAAGCATGATATGATTGATTTCTTTTCCTTTATACGTGACATGAGCGTGGTACTCGTGATAGAGTTACATTAGCGATGTTCGTTCCCAAGTCTTTTTTGGCCGCCTGGATGATAAGTTGGCGCTTGGCTCATTCTCAATTCCTGATTACATTGGAGATCTTCTGTACCCCGTGGATTTCAATCCTGCCTTTCTAGGACTAGGATTTAGCTACGACTTGATGATCCAGCGACTTTGCATAGTCTGCCTGACGCTTGAATTGCTTGATGACTAACGCCCATGTTGTATTTTTCGAAGTGAAACAACACTATTTGCGCTCACGGCGTTTTCTGGGCTGTATGACGCAGCGATGATGCCATCTAGCTTCTGCTGTTCCTGATATCATTTCGATGCTGGAATATCTGGGTCTGACTCGGATGAGACTGTGGCTGTTGTTGGTGTCTCATTGCGGCTTCAAAGAAGTTGGTCTCCGCCCTGAAAGCTTAGTATCACGTGCTATGACGTCATATCATGATGTCATCTATACAGGCCCATCAACATCCACTTCACGATGCTGTTGCTTTTGATTTTGCTCTATATAATGGCCCCTGGGATCTTCTGCTCAGTGACTGTCATCAGAATCAAATCTACAAGATAACAGCCTCAAACATAACTTCCCTTACTCTTGAACGAAACACTTCTACTCAAACAAACAAACAACTACCACCATCCACCATGTCTGACAACAACTCCTCCACCCTCAACAGCTACATCAACCAGGCCACTGGCCTTGCTCAGCGTGCCGTCGGCTCTCTGACTGGTAACGCCTCTACTCAGGTTAGTACCACAGCTACCACTTTTCCTCCGGTAGTCAACCCATAACTAACAGCAACAGGCCCAGGGCGAAGCCACCCAAAACCAAGGCCAGGCCCAACATGCCGCAAGCCACGAGACCGCCAAGCTGGGCCCTGTCTCCGCAGACCCTCACACCGGCGCCGCGGCCAAGGACAACTCGAACCGCACGGCCGGAGCCTGGGACCAGACCATTGGCTCGGCTAAGGAGTCCGTCGGCAACCTGATCGGCAACGAGAACCTGCGCCGCGAAGGCCAGGAGCAGAACGCTAGCGGCAAGGCGCAGGAGGCAAAGGGCCAGCTCCAGGACTGGGGCGAGGGTGTCTCTGACCGCGCCAAGGGCGCGTTTGGAAGTGCGGGCGCTGCGCTCAAGGGGGATCGCACAGAGGAGGAGAAGTGGAGGGATGTGCATGATGAGGGCAAGGTGAGACAGAGGGGTGCTGAGGCGGATATGGAAAAGAGATATTAGGTATTTTTTATGGGATTCCAGGATGGGCTTTGACGATACCTTATGAGTTATGATATCCAATTTATTTTTATTTGATAGTGTTCCATGTCCATACAATTATATCGATGAAAGCAGAGGCAGCGAACTTTATCATTAATAGTGGAAATATCCGGACTGGATTATGGTGATACTACTTGACATTCAAAGTGTATATTGTGTAGAAAGTACTTTCATTTTATGAGTCCAATGCTGTACCCCTCATGCGCAAGACCCACCGTATCTGATGCATGATCTTATCGTGCCTGACCATCGACTATAACTTTGCATATTCTCCGAATTCAACGACTCCCATTCCGAGTATAGTCGACTTCACTATATGGTACGCAACATGGCAAAGTCAACGAATCTGCGCTCAACATACCGCATGAACTCGGGGCATGAGATCCCCGTTCTCGGATTCGGGGTAAGCCCAGGTCTCCAATACACCCTGACAATCAATAACTAATGCAATACTTCCAAGGTCTACATGATGTACGCCGGGACAAATAGCTTTTTGTCCAAAGCATAGATCTGACTACAAGCCAACGCACAGCCCCTCCTCCAAGACCGAGGAACCGACCCTGGAGGCCCTCAAGACTGGCTACCGCCACATTGACTCCGCAATCATGTACCGCAACGAGAAAGCCTGCAGCCGCGCCATCCAGAACTCAGGCCTCGCGCGCTCCGACATCTTCTTCACGACCAAGATCCCCCCCGGCTCGATGGGCTACGAGCGCACCAGGCGCGCGATAGACTCGAGTCTCCGTGAAGCGGGCACGGAGTACTTCGATCTGTGAGCCTGGCCATTCGTCCCCGGAGATAAGAGGCGCCGAGCTAGCTGACCGTGTTAGGATTCTCATCCACGCCCCCTACGGCGGCAAGGACGGTCGACTCGGGTCGTGGCGCGCGCTCGTCGAGGCCCAGCAAGCCGGCAAGACGCGGTCCATCGGCGTCTCGAACTACGGGGTCCACCACCTCAACGAGCTGGAGGAGTACATCACTGCCGGCGAGGGTAGGGGGAAGATCGACGTCGGGCAGTACGAGCTGCACCCCTGGCTGGACCGGACGGATATCGTCGACTGGCTGAAGAAGCGCGGTGTTGTAATCGAGGCGTACTCGCCGCTGGCACATGGGTATTGGCTCGACGAGCCTGTGCTGAAGACGCTGGGGGAGAAGTATGGGAAGTCTGCTGCGCAGGTGATGATCCGCTGGAGCTTGCAGAAGGTGAGATTGGGCCCTTCTCCCGTGTCTATTTGCAGCAGAGTGGGGTTGACCCGTTCACGACATTGGGTTACAGGGGTTTGTGCCTCTCCCGAAGTCGGTGACGCCGTCGCGTATACAGGAGAATGCGGATGTGTTTGACTTTCAGCTCTCGGAGGAGGATATGCAGGCGCTCAATACGGGGGAGTATTCGCCGACGGATTGGGATCCTACGGTTGATTCTGATTGAAGTTTTGGACAGTGGTAGTCGTAGGCTAGAATAGTCATTCGGTGAATTGGCAACGCCTGGAATTCGACCGTCTTACTCCAATGGCTAGAGCTATCTTATTGCAACCTTCAAAGCGTCGCACTTGCGAAGTATACAGAAACCGAGATATACAGAGGCGAGAAGATCCGGCTCTACCACTGCAAATTGCCTGCTAAAAGACCGTGACACCCTTGACACCCATCTAAAGATACTTCAGTGTGAATAAGTTTAGCTCAATGTAAATGCTGGTAAATGTTACACATTACCAGTTGGCAGGATTTCGATATGGTTGCGGTATATTGCCCGAGTTGGAATCCGAGGCGTTCACGCGGGGCTGCTTAGCAATTCCGATTCCAAGTCCACTCTTATCAGACTTTCGGATTTGTCAAGTTGTCCACGCTTTCAAGGCTCGAGCCAAACAACTTCCCACGAAATTTGCTTTTGGGGTAAACCACCGACGATCTACATATGCTTGAGAAAACACAATCACAATTATAACCATGAAGCTGATACTCTTCACCTCGTAAGTGGCCTTCATGGAGGGGCCATTCCCCCCTTCTTCCCCGCTATCGGACCAGACACCAGACTGACCAGCGTGCGCTCTCCTATCAGAAATCTCATGACAAGCGGCGGACCGTCCGTTATCAGACATCCGACCACTACCAAATCGAATATCGAGCTGATCGACTCGCTACGGGCCAACTTTCAAGCCGCACAGCAGCTGGCGTCAACGGAGACACAGACGGAGACAGAGAAAAACGACACTGCAGCCTCGAAGAAATATCTGGCCTGGACTTCGGAGCAGAACGATGGGCTTTACATCCCCGCCGTCGATTTCTCGCAGCGCGGGCTGGCGGAGGAGAGATCGCAGTACGATATCACGGTGAAGTTGTTCTATCTACCGGGGACCCCGGTGTCGAGACGATGCGCGCACACGCGGGAGGCGATCGATCTGGTCTTGAAGGAGTTACAGGTCGATTCGATTGATCTACTCATTGTGTCTTTCCCGGGGATCCTGTTCGATGCGGAGGATGACAGCGACGAAGAGGTATCCTCGGACAACGGCAGCGAAGAGCCGGATGATTTCGACAGTTTTATCCAGTCATGGCGGGCGCTCGAGGAGCTACATGGGCAGGGCATGATTGCTCAGCTTGGTGTCGCTGAGTTTGGCAGTGAGAGACTCGCCCGCTTATTGCCGCACACGAAGGTCAAGCCCTCCGTTGACCAGATCAACCTCAAGGACTGCTGTGTCGTCCCCAAGTCGTTGATTCTCTATGCGAAACAGGAGAAAATCCAGCTGCTTACTCACAATGACTGCAATGACGTCCTGCCTGTGGGGACGACGCGCGAGCTTCTTGGCCCCGGTGAAAAGGGCGCGGGAATTCTGGCCTCGTCTCCGGATGCCGACGACGGGATCAAGGGTGATATCGAGCCGCAATGGGTGGTCAAGTACACAGCAGTGGTGAAGGACCGCGGGGTGGTGGAGAACAAGGGATATTTTGCACTCGCAGATGTGGGATGCTGTGTTAAATCACGTCCGTGAGAGCGGTGATCTCGGGGAGACCTTCTTTTTCTATTCTTGCACAGTAAAATTGTCTGTCATTGCATTTTGCGATGGAACGTGGCGCAATGTCTTGATTAAACCAATGATGATGAATGAATGCATGTGTATGTCGTTGATCTTGTCTCATTGTACTCAATAATAGCCGGGTATGAACTAGTCTTCGCCTCTTGGGGCATGCTCATCCGATCATACTTCTCTTGCGACCTCTCATGCGCACATCCTCTAAGCGTTTCAGTGCAGAGCTAGCGCCCTTGTAACTCTCCCGGTATCCATTCAGGACTTCCTCGAAGAATGGCTCGGTGCGGGGATGCGTGCTGCCAAATGCCCTCTCCAGCACATACAGATCGACAGCTCGATCCTCATCCTGCAAGCTCTGGCTCGCCAGGCCGAAATCAATCAGTACCACATCTCCTTCCATCGAAGGACTGCTCTCGCCCGTATCCGCTTGCTCCCCCACATGGCCTGGCGGTCGTAGGATGAGGTTACTCGTCGTCAGATCGCCATGGATAACGCCAGCCTTATGCAGTGCTCCAACGGCGCGACCGATTCTCCTCAACAGATCGCGCACCCAATTCTCTTCCTCCTTGAGCTCCTCTGCACCCGAGCTACCCTGGTTCCGTTTCATCCATCTCTCCCATCGCTCCAGCACGACTCGCACCACCAATCCCTCAACCCACTCCATCATCAGCCACGCTCCGCCGAAGCCCTTCTCTGTGTTCTGGCCCTCCCAATCCAGCGCCAGCACGGCGGGGACATTGACGCCTTCCCGGACGAGTTTCACCAAGCATCGTGCTTCCTGTAGGATGCGCTGGCGCGTGAGACGCCGGTCGAGGATCGGATGGCGGTAGGGTTTTGAAGGGCGGACTTTCAGAGCGGCCGGGGTGGAGGGGGAGAGGAACACTGTCTTGTACAGATGCGCTTCGGCCCCTTGGGTGAGTAGCTGCGGTGGTGGGGTTGTGTTGGTGAACGGCGATGGAAGGGGTGGTGGTGTGTATGGCTCTGCTGAAGACATGGTGGAAGTCGATGTAGTGTATTTCACTGGCCCGTTCTAATCACTGTTCAATCCAACTGGATATGGATATTGAGGTGTCAATCGTTGCTGTAGTTTGTCGGAGTAAGAGATCTGGAGAAAAAGTTGCGACTGGAGGTGGGGCAGTTGCAGATCGAAGTTCCATCATCAATGCGATCTGAACACTGTCATTATCAAGACCTCGCCAGGAAACAAGTTCATCAGTTCTCTAAATCCCACCTTACATTAGCATACACGAACGCATACCTAACAATCTCAAATTTACGCTGTAACATCACTATATATCTAACGATGACGCCGAGGCAATTTGCAGTCCAACTGCACCCCGCCCGGCCGTTTGAATACCGCCCAGCGACTTACTTTGCTGGATAAGTGTCGGGCCAAAACCAGCCTCAAATATCATTCGTTTGCAGACTCTCGCTAAGAACATGACTCGACAAGTCAACGATGATTTGACGGATCCGTGCAGAATGCTGAAGTGATGGCCCTTGCAGGATGCCTATTGCCTACCCCAGCGTTCGCCCTAGCAGCTTGAAAACACCAGCAGGAGGCAGCTCCCCAGGAGAAGACAATGTGAAACCCTTCAAAGTGTCCGGAGATAGCGAGTCCATCCCTGACGAAGATTTGGAGCTTCATACTCGAATCGACTGGATGAAGCACTTCTGGTGATTCACCCCGTCTGTATACACAACTCCCAGAACGGGATTGTACCGAGACCCTCAATAGAGTTGACATGATCTACAGCTAATGAGCTGTCAAGAGATCCGATACAGTGATCATGATGATGAATTAACTTGCAAAGCATGAAAGACTGATGACTGTCTATTGGTGATAAATCCCAATGTGGAATGGTTGACGTCCTCCACCATTTCGCTGTCTTTGTCTGTCCGTCTTGATATTGTTCCTGCTTCCCGCCTTGATATTGTTCGTCCTCAACTCATCACAATCAGGTCTCGGTCATTATCTTCATTTTCTTTCAGCTTTCGATCTCAATATGCCCAAAGTCGAGATTTACGCTTAGTCTGCGTCTGGATTCACACCCCCCCATGTCATTTAGTATTGTGACCCTCCCAACTGTGGCCATTCCATATATATTGTTTGTTTCGGGTGTTCCACTGCATAGAGAATGCCACACGGTGTCTCAACAGACAAGCAGGCTGTCACTGAAGTTTGGAATGCCGGCTGCTGTAGTTTGACTTCATTTCTATCTGCTACCATGCTTGATATACATATGTGGACCCTTCGAACCTGGTGTTCTTCATTTTCCTTCAAATTGAGATACCCCTTCAAGTACATTTTAACCACTTATCAGGCACAGCGTGCTTCTTCCATCGGTATTCAAGCCTGACCCTTTCTCACTTGCGAGGAGACCAAGATGAATTCGACATTCGATCCTTTCGAGCAGAGTTTCACTCTTCAGCGTTCTGATGGAAAGACGTTCAATACCTCGTTGGTGATTGCGGATCACAACATGGAGTACATGCTTCGTTTGAGCATCAATTATGGAACGCAACTTGGCGCATCGATCGTGCTCCTACTGATCCTTATGCTTCTGACAAGACCCGAGAAGCGCCTATCGTCGGTGTTCCTGCTGAACGTCGCTGCGCTGGCGTCGAACATCGTTCGATTAGTCTGCCAGATCAGTTACTTTTCCAGTGGCTTCGCAAAGACATATGCACTGTTGGCCCACGACTTTTCTAGAGTTGCGCAGGCGACCTATGCTAGCCAGGTCATGGCGTCGGTCTTCTTCACCTTGGTCCTGGTTTGCGTAGAGATCTCCTTGGTCCTGCAGGTTCAGGTGGTTTGTTCCAACCTCCGGCGCCGGTACAGACATCTTCTTCTCGGTGCCTCGATACTTGTCACGCTTATCCCGATTGGCTTCCGTCTTGCTTTTATGGTCGAGAACTGCATCGTTATCGTGCGCTCGGGAAACATGAAGAACTACCACTGGCTAGAAAGCGCCACGAACATCGTGGCAACTGTGAGCATCTGCTTCTTCTGCGCAATCTTCGTCGTCAAGCTTGGCTTTGCCATCAAAATGCGCAGAAGGCTCGGTGTAAAGGATTTTGGGCCGATGAAGGTCATCTTCATCATGGGCTGCCAAACCATGATCATCCCAGGTAGAATATATCCAGATTATACGATCGACTACGCAAGCTAACATGCTCTCCCTCGCTATCAAGCTCTGTTCTCCATCTGCCAGTACTGGGTTAATATTCCCGAATTCTCCCATAACCTCCTCACCCTCGTCACCATCTCGCTCCCTCTCTCCTCCATCTGGGCCGGATTCACTCTTGATAGTTCAAACAACACAGCCAATTCCACAGCCTCCCGCCGCAACCTGTGGAACGTGCTCTCCTCTAACGGCACCGTACAAGACAAGCCCAATCTGTCAGCGTGCTCGCCTGTCGCCTCGCCAAACACCACATGCTACTCCGATCCGTACTCTGGGAAACCTCACCACCAGGACCTGGAGGCGGGCTTTGGCATCTCGGTCGAACACGACATTTCCATCCACAGCTACAGAAAGGATGCCCATTCGGATGTGTGAGCAGTGGTCGGTCACTGGTGCAAACACAACACATGCATTGAGAGTTTCTTGCTGCTGGGGGTTTGTCGTGTTTGTGATGGGGTTTGCAACCTGGCAGAATTGCATATGCTAATGCATATCGTGTTTAACCGTAATCCTTGTTTCATCTATTTGGCGGAATTCTCTGTCTTTTTTCTTTTTCTTTTTTTTTTTTCAAGTACCAAGCAATATTAACTCAGTACCTCGGGTGGTTCTTTAGAATAAGAGTTGATGCTCGGGTTGTGAGCATTTGGGTTCAAATAGCTACATGGTCTCACCCTGAATTTGAAGTCCCTTAACCTTGTCTTTGACGACAGCTGGAATACCAGTTGAGTCTCAACGAATGAATAGCAAGTTCTACAAGAGAATAGCGAAGAAACATAAGGTATGTATTAAGGATCTTTAGGGTCAGAGGTAATTTTATCTGCTTAACACACGGCCATTATCCCCCCTGGGAACAGGAGAATTATCAACTTTCCCGCCCCAATTTGGCCAGGGATTCCGTGAGGAACTCGGTGGCATTCATCAAGTCCGTGCTGCCATAGACTACCCGTCGTCTGGCTCCGCCTATGGCCCCGGCCCCCGCGCGACTGCCCGCCCCCGCGCCTTCGCCGGGCTGACCGCTGGTTTGTTGCACCCAGTCTTGCAAATTGCCATACTCGTCCATGCTGCCGCCACCGACGGTGAAGACGATCGCTTCGTTGAAGGCCTGGCGACGCTGCCCGAATGTGGCACTGGTTCCCGGTCCCACACCGCCAAGGGCTCCTGGACCTTGTTGGTTGCGGGATGCAGATGCAGGTGGCATCGCCCCCCGTGCGTTAGCGCTCCGGGGGTCGAAGTAGAGATAATTCTCTGTTTTGGCGATTGCTGAACTCGAGGCCGATGCTGGATCCATGATGGATTCAGTGATCTTGGTCAATGTGAGATCCTTGTTTGCCGGCAAGAAGTTCTTGACGCCGGAGATCAGCGAGTCGAAATTGGCCCCCAATGCGCCGGAGGTAATCCGATCTGTCAAGCGGTTGGAGAGGGACGAAAATCCACGAAACAAGTCGGAGGATTGCTGCTGTGGTGCGGCAGTCGTCATCATGGTCATGCGAGTGAGCTCTCGAACCTGTCTGACATAAGTCAGAGGACTGACATCCTCAATTCCCGCGCGTTTAAGAGCCTCCTCGAATTGGCTCATGTCTGCACGAGACAAGTCTGTCTCGGTGCTCAAGAACCAGATGATGAATAATCGGAGTTTATCGGTTGGGTCGCTGCCCTTTGCGGGGTCGTTGACCAATTCCAAAATCTGTGCTTTTGATTGCTTCGTGATGTTCTCCTCGAGTTCGAAGAAGTTATCTAGCTGACGGTCCTTAATCCCCTTCAGTAGTGCAGTCGCTATGTTCATATGCATGTCCAGAACAGCTTTGCGCTCTCGCAATTCAGGAAGCAGGGTAATGGCGGCCTTGAGGTGCTGCGCAGATGCACTGGTGTCGTTCTGTAAATCTTCGATGGAGGAAGCGCCGGTCTTCTTCGTAATCTCATTCGCGTCTTCTTTGTACCGTGTCAATTCGGCATCGATGTCTTCCGCCACCTGGGGGAAAGGTGCTCCAGCGTTGCGCTTCCAGAAGAAGTCGTTGCTGCCCAAGTCGTACGCCTTCTTCGTCACGCCTCTGGCAGGATTAGATTCATCCACTGGTGTCTCGACTGTGATCCGATTGAGACGCATCTGAAGTACATCCTGCACTAGTGACTGGTATGTCCATGAGTGCGAGAGCATGGGAACTAAATCCACATTGCGGTCGACTACGATCAAGACTGGCCGTGATGAGGGTACCCCGGAAGGCAGTTTTTTGTTGCTGGAGAACAGGTTGTCTTTGGAATTGAGGATATGGTCGCGCAGTTTCCGGTCAAGCTTTGTAGCAATCAACTCTGCTGCGCCGCCTTTGGGACAACGGATGATAGGGATAGTACCTTCCGGTTTTCAGCATTCAAAAATTTCAAGGTAGAACTTAATAAGATAACATACCCATAGTCACACTGACACTGAACAGGCCACTGACGATCTTATCAACGATGGCGTCCAACTCCTCATCGCTCGTCTTGGCGCTATTGATCTTCCAGTAGGCATCATTTCCAAGACCCAAGCTGAAAAGGTCCGGTTCCGCCACGATGAAGTTCAAATATTGGTCATAAACCTGAGCAATATGCTCTGCGGTACCGGTTGTGGCGATCTGGGACGCGAAGTCTTCAAGAAGCGGTCGAGGTACGGATGAAAGAAAGTTGACATAGGCGGGTGAATAGAGGCCGCGGGAGAGATCGTTTGTGATTGTTTGGATGTTGGCGGGGGTCGGCTCCACGAGGTATACGACGGGGACATCGGGGATGGGATATCTGACGGAGTTCAGGTTTCTTTGATGGACACTCATTAGCTGCGAGCTCGAAGATCCGGCATGACGGGACTCCATACAGATGAATTGTGACACCCCAAGCTCTGAGATCGTTCACCCGCAGCACACTGCTAATGACATCCCGGCCCATGTTATCAAACACCAATACCTTCCATATGGGGTCACCGTCCTCATTCAGGATCGGTGTTGAAATGAGGCCCTGAGCGGATACATCGTGAGGGCTATCCCCCGTTGCATGGGGATCGTGGTTTAAGTTCAAGATCTTCTGGATGGAGGCTGGAACCGATAATTAGTGCATTTTTTTTCAAAAGGCGAATCCGCGCAAGTCGGTATGAGAGACCTACCGACCTGACGGTCTCGAAGCGACAATGCATGGGACGCCATGGTGATTGCGACTTGCACCCGTACTATTCTCGGACTTAGGACCAGATCATGTCACGTCCCACGTGTCTCCCTCAGCACTGATAGAGTAGCACTCGTAGACTTGGCTAGGCTAGACCAATTAATTGCTTATCGCATTCAACGGGGCAACACTTCTTCGGTCTCTCTTGTGTCAAACCCCAACGATCTATCGACAGCACGGAGCACTATGATGTTATCTCGGTATCTCTCCACCTGGCATCCTTGAGACGCTTTCCCAATTGTTGGATGGTGACATAATCCCGAGCTAAGCCCCTTTTGTTTGGGCTATGCAAACAAGGCAAAAACAGAGCGACAAAGAGAAAGGGAAATTGTGGCTGGTAGCATCACGTGAATGTGACTAGACTCAAACAGGAGTAGCGGAATGTCCCTAAAAGGTACCAAAAGACCGTAAGAGCGCTCGGCTTTTCCATTCAACCTCACTCACCCACCACCATCAACTACGCGCCCCTATCATTCTCTCGACCATCCTCGTAAAGCGAAAGACTATGCTGTTTAACTGCTATTCAAAGTGGTTCTTTGTATGAGAGCCTCTTTCTTTCCATCTTTAAGACAAGATTAGAAGAAAGGAAGGCCCACAGGGGCTGGCAGTACGAGCTGACTTGTCGCAGCTGTCCTACAGATAAAAAAAAGGTGGGAAGGACAGGTCAAAGGACAAGAAGGACACATAATAAGGAAGACAGAACAAGGCTAGGGGGAAAAGAAAACAAGGGGAAGAGAGCAGAGTGGAAGCTGTTGATTTCCAAGGACAAAAGGGACAGACGGCAACCTTCTTCTACCTTAATACTTGGTCGCTGTATTCGAAACAAAGTTGACCAATTCTGGCTGGTACCTAACTAAGGTGCTTTGCTTCTAAACGGGCGCAAGAACTGTCGCAAATCGCTTGTCAGAACGGGACTTTCTGGAGACACAACATTAAGGCACTGCAGAGAGGGGAGCAGTTAAGAACAGTTCCAAAGCCTCAGGCCGCTACCAGCCTACCAGGTTCCTGGTTGATTTTAAGGTAGGCCAGCCTGCGGAAAGGTGGACTACTACTACCTATTTTGCCACTCTGGTGACTGGTCAGCCGTACACTACCTACTATTGCTCCCTTACCCTCTCCCTATCAAAATCCGCATCATCTTTCCAGGGTTCTACGGATACCTGCTATCATTTCACTTCTACTACTACTACTACTACTGCTACTGCAAGGTGGGAAGTCATACTTTCCACTTTCTCCTGCCTTGACCGCTTTTACTCTGGACGTATCAAATCCCTCGACTGCTGTGTGAATTTCCAACCTGAAACTCCAATTTGCTGCACAACGGTTGGTTGGAGATCTCGTCCAATAAACTGTCTTGTTTGCTCCTCTCCAAGGCTCCACCGGAGGGGCATTTCCACCAATCTCGACACTTTACCGGATTTAGTATCCCAGGCACGTGGGGTACATGTGACTTTAAGATTGCCCGTCTAGTACAATAACAACTACAACGACAACTACCTACCCCCAGTCAACAGCTGCTTGACAGGGTAGTCTAAAGCCGAGGATGGATCGCTCCTCCTCACAGGGCATGATGCCTGGCCTGCATCGCAACTCGGTAACTCCTGGTTCGGTTCAACCCGAATTTTGGAACAATATGGACTCCTTATACACAGTATCTGATCCCACACACCAGCATTCCCATCCTACACAACAACAGTTGCATCAACAGCAGCAAGCACAGCAGCAACAGCAGCAGCAACAGCAACAACCTTCATCGCTAGGTATTGGCTGGGATCATCCAGTTTTCACTCAGCAGCAGCAGCAGCAGCCACAACAACAACAACAACGCAACCAATTACCACAACATTCAGAGCATAACCATGGCATCTATTCTTCTTCGACTCCTCAATCTTGGCAACAGCAGAATTCTATTCAACACCACAACCAGCAGCAGCCGCTACTGGCGCCGGCTCCACAAGGATATGGCGTGCCAACACAGTACCATCAAGTTCACCGATACCCCCCGGGCCAGGTGACATTCGACTCGCGCTCTCTTGCTGCAACTGAGAATTCAGCATATCAATCATACGCATTTCCTCGAAACTTCTATTCCCCTCAGCAGCTGTCAATGTCGAATGGCTTTTCGCAGTCAAATTCACCACAGGTCCCTCGGTCTCAAATTGCTCGACAGGATCCTTACCAATCTGCCACTCATGGAACTCCTATTGCCTCCTATGCTATCCCTGCGGGATTTCCGGAAGAGTCTTCGGTAGGAAAGCCTGGTAATTGACACAGTATATCAAGCCGGATGCTAATCCGCAGTAGATCAATTTCACCAACAGCTATGCTGAGCCGACTACCAATGTAGCTGAAGATCCTACAATCAACCCCCAGATGCTCAATCCCGCACAGCAATCTTCGAATCAGCATACCTCTCTGCAAAATCCCTACCTCTACTTGAACGCACCGGATTTTGGACGTCCAGATGACCCAAAGTAGGTCACTCGAATTACATGCGTCCAAGTTTTAGTATTCGCATTCACTGACTGTCGGCACTAGGATTTTTAACTTTTATGATAATGACTTGCACGTACCATCTGCGATGGGCCAGAATACAGGGAACAATCAGGGTATTCTTGGCCAGACTGCCTTCGAAAGAACTTTTCAAGTGACTGGTATGCATCTTCAAGCATCTAGTCATGCTGGCGTTTTGCAAACGTCCCGTACTTTGAAACTGACATTGGAGCGAGAACTAGGCCAAACCACTCTGGCGCCCAACTTGCAAGCAAAACCAGTTGAACCACAGAAGAAGAAGGCTCGCACGAAAACAGTACCTAGGAAATCAACAGTGATGACCAAGAAGTCCCCGGCTTCTGAGACGGACACTTCCGATGACTCGGAGTTGGAGATTGAAATGCCAGAAGAGCCATCACCCATACCAACAACGCGCCCTACAGAACCAGAAGCAGCAGCAGCGTATGATACCTTGCGAGCGGTTTGGTCACCACGTAATCGGCGACCTAACGCTGACAAGGTCAAGAACGCGCTGGTCGCGTTTAAAGACGTTGTCAAAAGCGTAAGAGATGCGTGGAAAGAAAGCAGCCAATCAATGAAGATGGCAGAGAACAAAGACGAGAACGACAAAGCAGCCCAGCACAAGAAGGATGTTGTCCTGCAACGGCGCCTTATGGATGTGGTTGTCAGCACCGCCCTAGAAAAAGGCCACCCCACTATCGTTGAGAAGTATGTCCTTTCTCCTATTCATTCCGTTGTCCTACTTGCCTTTCGTCGTTATGGCCTTAGAAGTCAGAAACGAATTGAGAAACTCCTCCCTGTAATCCTAATAGTGTCGATGGTCAGGAAGCCTCCTTATAAAGATGATCATTAGTATGGGCAAATAATTGCCCTGCGCCTGAGGACGGAACATACTAAATTATGCCGTCCTCATCGAGCAAAGGAGAAGATAACCCCTACTTCTTGCTTCTAAGTGGACGCATAGCCAGATGTCTTGAGGATGTGCTGAAAGGCCAACGAACAAAGCGCCCCTTTACCAAGCTTGGTGGCATCTAGCCATGGGGTCTGAAGTCCGCCCAGGCTTCTACACCAATTATCACATGCCCAAAGCTCTCAGATGGCTAACGCGAGATTTTAAATTAGGTTGGGTGAGCATCCAATGGCGCTAGCTGCCATGTATTCGTTTCTGCTCGATCGGCATCAAGCGTCTGACGTTGATGGGGCATTTACTGTGAACATTCTCAAGGTGAGATTTTTTTTACTGAAACCACGTTGAATATAGTTACTAACATACAGCCAATCAAAGCTGCTTGCCCGCTTTGTCACTGTCGACGAAGACGTACTCCAGAAGACCAATATCGGTAAGCTTCTGCCTCGGTTTGTCAAGAAAGGCGGTTCAACAGTCAAGGAACTCTCACAAAAGATTCTTGATAATGCTGCTGCCTCCACGAAACGGAAGGAGGGCACCAAGACAACGGCCAAAGAGAGCTTGAGGAATAAGAGCCCAGCTCCTGAGCCAACAGCTACTCCAGATGGTTCCCGCACTGACCTCGTTGGTTCCAAGCGAGCCCGTGACGGAGAAACCAATGGACAGCCCGCTTCAAAACGAATGGTTGTTACATCCAATATCAAGCCTAGTGTGAAAGCGAGCAGTAGTACCACGAATGGCACTGTAAAACGTTCGCAAGAGGCGGGGCAGGAAAATAAGCCGGCAGCAGCTGCCACACGTCCCAAAGCAAACATTATCGCTCCGAAACCTACCAGTCTCTTCGGAAGCCTGGCATCTGCCTCTAAACGACCGGGCACCTCGAATGCAGAGAGAGCTGCGGCTGCTGCGGCAAAAACAAGGTATGAGGATATCAATATGCCTCAGTGACCTCGTCAGTCCCCGTGCTAATGGTTTACAGTCCTCCGGCCGAGAAGAAGGAGACTCAGGCGCCGCCTCCAAGACCCGCGTTCTCGTTTGGTGATATCATGGCGGATCTCGACAAGCAAAAGGAAGCAAAGTCGGCTGAGCCTGCTGAAGATCGCCCTCCTGAGACCGAAGAAGAGCGAAAGAAGAGACTTCGCAAGGAAGCACGGAGAAAACTTAGGGTCACTTGGAAGCCTGATGCCTTCCTTACCGAAGTTCGTCTGTTTACCCATGATCCCGAGGAGGAACTTGGACCTGGAGATCACTCACAGGGTGAAGCTGGCGATATCAAGGGGGAGGGCAGTGTACTCAAACTCCATAGGGATCTTGATGATATGGAAGAGGAGGAGGATGGTGGTATCCGTGAAGAGCACCTGTCGGACTATTCAGAGCCCTCCGGTACGCTAGGATCCAATCAAATTACGGAATATCCACTAACAGTTTTAGAAATCGACAAAGGAGAAATGCCATCTGACGAACGCTCCAGAAACTACATCAAACGTGGCGGCACTCAGGAGCCTAGTAGTCAGGAGAAACAGGCCCAAGAACACCGAGAAGCCACAACTCTGATGGTGTTCTATACCTCCGCTGCGGATATTCCTCCCTCGCCAAAGGAACCACCCCAGTTGACTGCTGAGGAGCCTACGACCGATGTGACTGCTTTTGGAGAGTTGCCGGATCATATCAAGGTAAACATTTGACTCCTTCCGAATTGCTGCTTTCTTATACATTTTCTCATATTCTATTCATCAGGTCCGACAGGATCGGTACTATTCTGCAATCAACCCGAAACCGGCGCCAGCTGCGCAACCAACTGCGCAAAACAACCAGGTCGATATCTCGAACTTACTCAAAATCATTCAGAGTGCATCTCAGCAGCAAGCAACCCCGCCACCACCACCTCTGTCCGTACCACAGCCTCCCATGTCCGACCTTGAGCGCACAATTAGTATGTTCCGCCAGCAGCAGCAGCCACAGCAGCCGCCAGCGCAGATGCCGCAAATCTCGCAGTTTCCACCCGCGTCTCAGCCGCCGGCAGCTTCGGGAATTGACTTCCAGAAAATCTTGGCTGTTATGAATGCACAAAAGCAAATGCAGCCAGCACCTGTTATACCCCAAGCTACACCGACGCAGCCCACGATGGCCCCGAATCTTGCTGCTTTCTTCAGCCAATTTGCCAACCAAAACCAGCAGGCTGGCTCATCTCAACCACCGGGTCAATACTACGAGGACCCAGAGCGCAAGCGTATGCGCGAGACCAATGGTTCTGATGGAGCCGGCGATGATCGGTTCGACTACGCCAAACGAAGCAAGTTTGGGGCTCCAAACAAGAAACACGTAAGACCTCCCGAGTGCCCTTGAGGTGCTGCCTACAAACATGTATAGCTGACTTTATAACAGCCGAAAACTGGATCGGTTCCTTGCCGATATTGGCGCGAAGGCAAATGCCTCAAAGGCGACAACTGCACATTTCGTCATGATCCCCTGAATTGATTCCGCTCCTTTCCCACTTCCTTTTCTTTGATACCCATCTCAGACTTTTTGTTTCAGACGGCGCACAATAACAATCTTCCCACCAGCATAATGCTGTTTCTTTGATATCTCTCTATTCTACTGCTGATTCTGCATTGATATGGCGGGGCGTCCTTCTGGCGAAACCTCGGCGTTCATCGTGTGGTGGTGAGTTCTCACTCTTAGCATTGGTCAGGTCAGCGATAGGTTTTCCTTCTGAAAGCATCCGACATACGGTCATTGATATGGAGTTTTTTGCGATACTTTCTCAATTACCTTTGCGACAACGGGTTCTTGTGGGCATGGACGCATTTTGTGTATTCGAAATGGAAAGGGCTTTCTTTTCTCATCTCTTCTCTCTATGATCGTTTCAACACAAATACCTCTGGATTGTACAATAGGGTAGTCACCATAGTAATATCATGAGTCTTACACCATGCCATCAGATTTCTAGATTCATTGCTTAATAGTGTTGCAATACGGCCCATCGGTCTACAGATCCTCGCTAGGCCGTAAGAAAACCTTTATCTTCTAAATCTTGAAATGAGAGGCAAATATCTGTGTAGCTGAATGGTTGTTAGCACTTGTTCTTGAACCTCCTTTCATTCGATTCCTTTGTGCGCCGTCTCCTATCCTCAGCTCCAAGGGGTTTATCTATCGATAAGAAGGCTCCCATCCTATCCATCCCCTTGCTCAACAACTGGCGAAGGAAAGTAATCAAAGAAGCGATGCTCACCCCCTCATCTACCGAGGATATAGAGTGTAACCACTTGATAATCGTCTGCTGCCATGCGATCTACCTAGGAGGGCCGACGAAGGGAATCGCCGAAGATGAATGGTGGGTTGAACCAAATTGCCAGCCCCCTTGTTATGAGGCCTTGTTCGATGATATTCAAGACAAATGAGCATTGGTGGCTGTCCTCGTAGTCATACCAGGAGATACGCTCCATGTACTAATCAGCGTGAGCAATGTACAGGCTGTTTGAACCTTTCCAAAGGGGTGAAACGCCGACTTTCACCGCACATGTCCAAGCGGGCCTTCGCGCCCTGGCGGATGATCCCCACGGGCTGCTTGTGTTCTCGGGGTATGCTGTCTTCTGTCCTTGCTGCGGCAGCATGATACAATTACATGGGCTTTGACGGGCTGATCGCTTCTCTAGAGGTTCGACCAAGAAAGATAGAACGAATATAACGGAAGGCGATTCTTACCATGTGAGCGCACGCATACCCTTCATGGGATAGAGGGGGATATCGATTGACCACACCACTCACTTACTTCCCCCACAGAATCTCGCCAAAGATAATGATTACTTCTCTTACGCCGCGAGGATCAATCCTGATCGAGTCATCGCCGAAACCCACGCGACAGACTCTTTCCAGAACGTGTTATTTTCTCTACTTCGGTTTCGGTCCTATGTTGGAACGTACCCGACCCGCGTCACCGTGGTCACCCACGACTTCAAGCGTAGAAGGTTCGCGGAGTGTCATTTTCCGGCGCTTGGGATGGCTCGGTTCTCTGGTGATAGCCAGGAGAAACATGGTATGATCACTCTCTCAGTGATTGGGATCAATCCGCCGGAAGTAGTGACACCGCTCGCCTCGTTGATATCCGGGGAGGAGAAGAGTGGAATTGGACTTTGGAGACGAGATCCGTATGGTGTTGGCGCGGGGTTGGCGGCGAAGAGAGTCAAGAGGGGGTGGCAGCCTGGTATAGAAGAGGAGCTTTTTGCCAGTATAGGGCTAGAGACTGTGGTTGAGGAACTTGTCCGTTGGCATGGGGGAGAGACTGGTGTTGACTTATTTCCCAAGATGAATCAGTTGCCCTGGTATATTTCGGAGCACCTTTCATGAATATATTGCGCGTTTATAGCCATAGACCATTGAGAGTCATTATGATTCGTAGATACAACAACCTTGAAATCCACAAGTAGACCGTAGTTAAACCCCTCAATCCTCCCTTTCCGAACGCCATAATGCAGAATGTAAAGCCAGCCTCGATGACGATGATTTAATCAGCAAGCCGGTAGCTGACCAGAGTCTCCACTCTGTGGTTGTTCGTACTGAAACTTCGCAGCTGGACCTTTTCAGCATTCTTGATCTCCTTGGCATCACTGTCGCCCCATTCGACGGGCACCTCCGAGTCTGCATCCGCGTACACGAGGACGTTGAATGTGCAGTCTCCGTCCAAGACAGGTAGGAAGGTAACAGAGGCTGTAATCTGACGGAAGATTGCCTGGATCTCTTCCTGGATTTCTTTTTCCGTTTTCTCAACCGGACTCGAGGTTTGCGGCTCCGCATCTCTGTGAATTAGGTAGGGGTTTATGTTTGGCCTCGATAGCAATGAACGAGTCAGAGACACATACCCTGGAGTGGAATTTTCCTTATCCGCAGACTTGCGAGCTGTCTGGCTCTTGCTACTTTTGCCAAATATTTGCACCTGGCCATGGTTCCACTTCGGTCAGCCATTGCGCACACGTAGCCGAACTGGGAGGCCGCCTCACGTCAAATTGCCATCTCTCGACATGTTCACCTGTCTCCTTGTCTGTGATGACCACGACGAGCTTTGAAATCTTCCCACCAACCATCCATTTGTTCAGTTGTGACATGATCTTCTTAATGTAGGCTTTGACCTGGTCGTCGGCGGTGACTGAATGCAATCAGCTTGGGGCGGCTGCCGTGGAGGAGGAACTGGACCAACCGAGCATGTTAAGACCATATTTCTTGACCCTGTAGCTATATCAGAACCAGATCAAGCTCAAATTCATGAGGAGCATGTTACTAACGTTGTGAAATCTTCTGGGGGGTATACACCTCGCTGGAACCTGAGAGCCAAATCGGATCAGTTCATGTCACATTCTCCACTGTATCGGCATCAACATACAGAATCGAGTTTATCGAGTACTCGAACTGAGCTTGTTAGACAGTGTAATACATCTGGAGACGAATGACACTCACAAATTCGGACACAAGCTTCGCCGACCCTGTCATGGATGGGTTAGCTTCAGAATCCTCCCAGCGTGGTGTTGCATCTGTCTTACCCTTGATGGACAGCTTGTGGACCTTAGATTTATCTTTTGCAGCAGACATTTTGTGCGGTTCCAGTGAATTATGATGCTGTGAACAGGCTGCTTGTTTGTTCGTGTGGTTATTGACTTGGTTGGAAAAGAAGGGACCTTTTTGTTTACCCCGATAGTCGCCGCAGCAATCCGTCGATCCACCGCCCAAGACCCAGCGCTTTCTCTCCGCAGTCTGTGGTCTGAGAACCGCACTTTTTTTGGTCTCGAAATCCAGACCCTCGAATCCTCAACTTACAAGAAGGCATTCTATTCCCATGCCATTGCAGCACTCCCGATGCGAGGATGCCTGCAGTTAGCCAGATGGCTGAGCGCAGCACCGAAAGGCACCGCTGCAAGCCTGACCAGGGCGCCATTTGGCCTTGCTAACGCAACTCGGTTTTTCACCAATTCCGCTGCGCGCGCCGGCTCAAGAGCCACTGCCAGCAAACCGGTAACCGATCTCGAGAACAGAATATCCGCGATTCCGATCGAGCGCTACCGCAATTTCTGCATCGTCGCCCACGTTGATCATGGCAAAAGCACCCTTTCCGACCGGCTGCTCGAACTGACGGGCACCATCCAGCCCGGTTCGAACAAGCAAGTCCTGGACAAACTCGATGTCGAACGAGAACGCGGCATCACTGTGAAGGCACAGACGTGTACTATGATATATAACCACAACGGCGAAGACTACTTGTTGCATCTGGTTGATACCCCGGGACATGTGGACTTCCGCGCGGAGGTCTCGCGCAGTTATGCCAGCTGCGGAGGAGCACTGCTCTTGGTCGACGCCAGTCAGGGAGTCCAGGCACAGACGGTTGCGAACTTTTATCTTGCTTTTGCACAGGGATTAGAATTGATCCCCGTCATCAACAAGGTGGATCTACCGTCGGCTGAGCCACAGCGGGCTTTAGACCAGATGAAGCATACCTTTGAGCTTGATACAGAAAACGCAGTCATGGTTTCGGCCAAGACAGGACTCAATGTCGAGCAGTTGCTTCCGACAGTTGTTGACAAGATTCCTGCGTATGTTGATATTCCCCTGCCCACCTCTCGGAGCTCCCCAGCCTGACCCTTTACAGGCCGATCGGCGATTGCAAGAAACCCCTCCGAATGTTACTCGTTGATTCCTGGTATGATTCCTACAAGGGTGTTATCTGTTTGGTTCGTATCTTCGACGGCGAACTGCGGGCTGGCCAGCAAGTTGTGTCATTTGCCACGGGTCTCAAATACTATGTGGGAGAAGTAGGAATTATGTATCCGAACGAGACAGCGCAGAGCGTGATCCGTGCTGGTCAAGTCGGTTATATCTATTTCAACCCCGGCATGAAACGGAGCCAGGAAGCGAAAATTGGCGACACATTTACAAAGGTCGGCTCGGAGAAAGCTGTGCAGCCCCTTCCAGGCTTCGAAGAGCCGAAGGCAATGGTCTTTGTCGCCGCTTATCCTGTGGATGCGGACCATTTCGAGCATCTGGAAGACAGTATCAACCAGCTTGTGCTCAATGATAGAAGTATCACGGTTCAGAAGGAGTCCTCGGAGGCCCTTGGTGCAGGCTTCAGACTCGGATTCCTTGGGACCTTGCATTGTTCGGTCTTCGAGGATCGTCTGCGTCAGGAACACGGCGCCAGTATCATCATCACTCCCCCTTCAGTGCCTGTGAAGGTCATTTGGACGGACGGCAAAGAGGAAATCATCACGAGCCCAGTCCGTTTCCCAGATGATGAGGAAGTGCGTAACAAGATCGCAGAGATTCAAGAGCCGTATGTCCTGGCCACATTGACATTCCCAGAAGAATATCTTGGCAAAGTGATCGAACTTTGCGAGGCCAATCGGGGTGAGCAGAAGACTCTCGAGTATTTCACAGCAACCCAGGTCATTCTCAAGTATGAGCTGCCTCTTGCGCAATTGGTTGACGACTTCTTTGGAAAGCTGAAAGGGTCTACCAAAGGATATGCCAGCTTGGACTATGAAGAATCCGCGTGGCAACCGGGACATATCGTCAAGCTGCAACTCTTGGTCAACAAGGCACCGGTCGATGCTGTTGCGCGCATCATGCATTCGAGCCAAGTCGATAGGCTCGCAAGACAATGGGTAACCAAGTTCAAACAACACGTCGATCGACAGCTGTTCGAAGTCGTGATCCAGGCTGCTGTCGGTCGCAAGGTCATCGCACGAGAGACGGTCAAGCCGTACCGGAAGGATGTCTTGGCGAAGCTACATGCTAGTGATGTGAGTCGGCGCCGGAAACTGCTCGAGAAGCAGAAAGAAGGACGAAAGAGGCTCCGGGCAGTTGGGAACGTGGTGATTGAGCACAAGGCATTCCAGGCTTTTCTCGCGAAATAGACGGCTGAGATGAGCTCAGTATCTGTACAAACCTATATTCTTGTCCATAGTATATTTATAACCAATGTACCATATCCAATGTCTCCAACTGACGTCCACTTGGATAACCACAAGTATTCACTCTAATATAGAGAGAAAAGGCGCTGCAAGAAATACTGCATGCTGATTGGCTGGGGCGTCTTGAGGGGCCAGAGCTGCAGCTTTTGGCCGCAAAAAAGTTCGTCGCCGACCCCGCCGCCGCGGTGGTCTTTAACAATTTCTCCTTCCTCCGCGCTTCGCCTCTTTGATCCGGGTTTTTTTTTCGGTCGGTGATCAAGTGAACAATCGTGTTGCGTTCACTTGGGTTCCATCAGCGTCCTTTCTCGTTTCTCGGCAGAATTTCCTTGTCTTTCTGCCCACAGCGCTGATCGCAGCGCATCGTCCATCTCGGTTTAGTCATATTCGGCTTATTGCCATGCCCAGCTCTTGACGTCGCTCATGCAGCCTCCAGAAGGTGGGCAGGTCGACCTGGGCAAGGCCCAGGTCATAGACCGTGTTCCGAAAGTTATCAAGGAATTGAAATTCGGTGTTTTGTATGAGGCTTCCTGTCCCCACAGCAGAGATCTGTGGCCTTTGTGCTGTTGGGAGGATTGTGACTAATACCGAGTCTTTGCGTGACAGGTCCAACGATGACATTGTCAGCCAGGGTGTAGTCGAAGTTTCGGATCGGAAGTTTTTCAACCTTGAACATGACAGAGCAGTCGTCCCTCACGGTCCGCTTGACCAGCGCATGGGTATTTCGAGCAAGACCGCGACCTGTCAGACATGCGGTGGTTCCCTCCAGGTCTGCAACGGCCATTTCGGCCATGTGAGGCTCGTCCTGCCAGCCTTCCATGTCGGTTACTTCAAACGTGTTATCAGCATTCTGCAGGAGATTTGCAAGGAGTGTTCTCGAATCCTACTGCCCGAAGCGGAACGCCGTGCTTTCCTCCGCGAGATGCGCCGACCGGGGCTGGACAATCTTCGACGATTGCAGATCGCCAAACGTATCAATGAGCGCTGCCGGAAAACGCGGACTTGCGAGACATGTGGTACTGTCAATGGTGTAGTGAAGAAGGCTGGCAACAGTGCGCTGAAGATCACGCACGACAAGTTTCGCGCGTTCAACGCCTCTACATCTGTGAAGAAGGTTCCGCCACCCAGCAAGATTGTCTTCGATCGTTCGTTCGATGAGGCGCGAAACTCGAACGCGGAGGTTGAGAAGCACTACAAGAAGGCCCAGGATGATATGAACGCTCTCCGTGTCTTGAATCTGTTCAAGAAGATATCCGACACCGATTGCGAATTGCTTGGACTGAATCCTAAGGAAGCCAGGCCTGAAATGTTTCTCTGGCAGTTCATTCCTGCTCCGCCAGTGTGTATCCGCCCCTCTGTCGGCCAGGACGCTGCGTCTACCGAAGATGACTTGACGGCCAAGTTGGGAGACATTGTCCAGAGTAACATCAACCTCAAGAATTCGCTCTTAAAGGGAGCCCCCGTGCAAACAATCATGGAATGCTGGGATTACATGCAGCTTCAGATCGCTGTGTACATTAACAGCGATGTTCCTGGTCTCAACAAAGCAGATCTGGGCAAGCCCATCAGAGGCTTCGTACAGCGCTTGAAAGGAAAACAAGGTCGATTCCGTGGTAACCTGTCCGGAAAGCGTGTTGATTTCTCCGGCCGAACTGTCATCTCCCCCGATCCCAATCTGCGAGTTGATGAAGTTGCAGTCCCAGAGCTCGTGGCGAAGAATATGACTTATCCTGAAGTCGTCAGCCGATACAACAAGGAGAAGCTGCAGCAGAGGGTCCGGAATGGAACGAAAAAATGGCCTGGAGCGAACTACATCATCAAGAAGGGCTCGGATTTCAAGCTTTTCTTGAAGTATGGTAATCTCAATATGATTGCCGATCAATTGCAGGAAGGCGACGTTATCGAGCGCCACATTGAAGACGGTGATATCGTTCTTTTCAACCGGCAGCCCTCTCTCCACAAGCTCAGTATTCTCTCTCATTTTGCCAAAGTTCGCCCGCACAGAACGTTCCGGCTTAATGAGTGTGTGTGCAATCCGTACAATGCCGATTTTGATGGTGATGAAATGAATCTTCATGTTCCTCAGACGGAAGAGGCGAGAGCCGAAGCGATGGAACTGATGGGTGTCAAGAACAATTTGGCCACGCCTAAGAACGGAGAGCCTATCATTTCTGCTATTCAGGATTTCATCAGTGCTGCCTATGTCCTTAGCAGCAAGGATAATTTCTTTGACCGCCGCTCATTCACGCAAATTTGTCTCTATATGCTGGGCCCTGAGACCCGATTCGATCTCCCTCCGCCTTCTATCCTTAAACCTCAAATGATGTGGACCGGAAAGCAGGTCTTCAATATTCTGATGCGTCCTAACAAGGATGACCCTGTTATGGTCAACCTCGACGCTGCTTGCAGAGAATACAAACCGCCAAAGGATGGCCGGCCAAAGGACCTGGATCCGAATGATGGCTGGCTCGTCATCCGTAACTCCGAGGTTATGTGTGGTGTGATGGACAAATCTACGATCGGTTCAGGAAAGAAGGATAACGTGTTTTACATTATGCTGAGAGATTACGGGCCCCCTGCTGCCGCCGAGGGCATGAACCGTCTGTCCAAGCTCTCTGCGCGTTGGTTCACGAACATGGGATTTTCCATCGGTATCACGGATGTTTACCCCAGTGAAGGTCTGGTTCGCTCGAAGAACGAGCTAGTCGAGTCTGCTTATGCACAGTGCGATGAAGTCATTGCCAAGTATAAAGCCGGTACCCTTGAGAAATACCCCGGTTGTGATGAATTGCAAACTATGGAGAACCAACTGTCCGGTATTCTCAGTAAGGTCCGTCAACAGGCAGGTGACGAATGTATCGCTCAGCTTAGCAAGTACAATTCCCCCCTGATCATGGCTACGTCGGGTTCCAAGGGTTCGAGCATCAACGTGTCGCAGATGGTTGCTCTCGTGGGTCAACAGATTATTGGTGGTCAACGTGTGCAGGACGGTTTCCAGGACAGAACGCTGCCTCATTTCCCGAAGAACGCCCGTCAGCCCCCATCGAAGGGTTTCGTGCGAAACAGTTTCTTCTCTGGTCTTGAGCCTACTGAGTTCATCTTCCACGCCATGTCCGGTCGTGAAGGTCTGGTCGATACTGCCGTCAAGACAGCAGAAACTGGTTATATGTCGCGTCGTCTCATGAAGTCTCTGGAAGATCTGTCCAGCAGATACGACGACACGGTCCGCAACTCGTCTGACGCTATTGTTCAATTCCAGTACGGAGATGATTTACTTGATCCCGTGGACATGGAAGGTAAAGCGAAGCCTGTCCACTTTGATCGCACATTCATCCACTCTGAATCGATCACGTACGACAACGACGAGCGGAGTCTGCTGCCTCATGAGATTATGGAGGTGTGTGAGGAGATGCTTTCGAAAGAGCGGGCGAAGCTGGTCCGCGAAGATCTGATGGGCAATAAGCTGGGTTACATGGATCGGAGCGACCATGGTATCGATCAATTCGAAAGTGCTCGTGATTTCCTTGACTCCATCCAGCAATACATCTCTACCAAAGCCGACAAATTGATTTCCCGGGGAGGTGATTTCGACCCTTCGGACGAGAGAAGCCAGAAAGGCTTGAACCACACCGGCAAGTTAACAGAGAAAACGCTCCGGACTTTCATCGCAGCATGCCTGTTGAAGTATAAGCGAGCCCAGGTCGAGCCTGGCCATGCCGTCGGTGCCGTCGGAGCGCAGTCGATCGGTGAACCGGGAACTCAGATGACCCTGAAGACTTTCCATTTCGCTGGTGTCGCCGGTATGAGTATCACTCAGGGTGTGCCCCGTATCAAAGAAATCATCAACGCGTCGAAAGCGATCAGTACACCTGTTATCTCGTGTGACCTTGTCACCAAGGACAATGTCATTGCCGCACGAATTGTCAAGGGACGTATTGAAAAGACGTTCTTGCGGGACATTATCCATTATGTCCGAGAGACCTGGACTGGCAAGGAGGCTTATATCACCGTCAAGATCAACTGGGAAACCATCCAGAATCTGGCGCTTGAGCTTAAGATCCACCATATCGTCGCCGCCATCAAGAACCATAAGCGCTTCAAGGCCGACGATCTGAAGTTCCGGAGCAGCAGGTCACACATCCACATCTATATGGATGTTGACCCTGCCAGCAAAGCGTCTTTGTCGAAAACGGAGGTTGCGGCCACGAGTTCCGACCCCTTCCTTCGCTTGAAGCATCTCAAGCGCATGCTTCCTGATATCCAAGTTCTTGGTCACCCGCAAGCAAGTCGTGCCATCATTCGGACGGACGATACTTCCAGCACCAACACGCTCCTTGTCGAAGGTTACGGCCTCAAGGAGTGTATGACCACCCTTGGTGTCAACGGTCTCCACACTTACTCCAACAACGTCATGGAGATGCGTGAAGTCCTTGGTATTGAAGCTGCCCGAGTCACAATCATCCAGGAAATCAGCGAAGTCATGAAGGACATGGACATTGATCCCCGTCATATGCAACTTCTCGCTGATGTCATGACGTATAAGGGCGAAGTCCTCGGTATTACTCGATTCGGTCTTGCTAAGATGCGTGACTCTGTCCTACAGCTGGCTTCGTTCGAGAAAACGGCGGATCACCTGTTTGACGCTGGTGGTGCTGGCCGCACCGATCTTATCGAGGGTGTCTCTGAGTGTATTATCATGGGCAAGACGGTCAGTCTTGGTACGGGCGCTATGGAGGTCGTGCGTAAGATGAACTTCTTCGAGGGCCAGATTGGCAAGAAGAAGACCACTTTCGAAGATGCTTGGAATGAGGTCTACGAAGAATCGTCCACGAGAAAGGTCAGGAGAAGAATCCGGGCTTGATTTCTTTTGCAGAAGCACGGCCCTCTCGGCGCTCCCGGTCATCAGAGAGGACGAAAAAGTTTGCATATTACGGCGTTGGATATTTGTGGTTGTACATGTAGTGGTTTCTGTTCTGCGCATTAGCGATACCGTTTAACGATCGTGATGGATGGCGGCGTGGCTCTCTGCCCTGTACTATTCTCATGTGTCAATATTTTCTAGACCAATTTATACATTTTCAAATAGATATATGGCTATTCTATCTACTTCTTATCAACCTCTCAACCTTGAACCCGTAGCATGCAATACCTACTACGCCTTCGGGGTGCCTCCGGCCAAGACCCGATGCGGGGGAAGATGGAGAAGAGCAACTTCTGGCGATGATTCTCGACAACAACCATGCTGGCTCCTGCATCAGCCCCGTCGACATGGCTGCAGTGCCGCAGAGGACGCTTAACTGGCTCTACAGTGTCCTGACTCGAGTCAGTTGGCGAATTTCGGTCCTCTTCCACCCCAGGAATATACTGATTGATCTGGTCTAGGACCATTACGACCCCAATCAAACCTACCAGGACCCCAATCGCACCTACTACGATGTCGCCAACGTCCTCGCGCAGTATCCATCCCTTTCACCACGAACCGATGTATACAGTAAGTGTCCTGTGCTGCAGTACCATTGGCCGCTGCTTTCGAGCTATACGCTTCCCGTGGAGGACTCCCATTGCTAACCGCAGAGTCGGTCGGCTACAGCCTACGAAAACGGTTTCTCTGCCTTGCTCCTCCACCTGACAGGCACATTGCCTGTGACGTTTCGCGGCACCGTGTACAAGTTCCCGATCGCATTATGGATTCCCAATACATACCCGCGCGAGCCGCCGATGGTCTACGTGACGCCGACTCAGGACATGGCTGTCCGCGTCGGGCAGCATGTGACGTTGGAGGGCAGAGTGTACCATCACTATCTCGCGCATTGGGCTGAGGCATGGGATGTGAGTCTTGCTTGCTACTAGCGGTCTCTCTTTGCTTTGGGTTGGACTTGGTTGCTGACGGTTGTCGACGTCTTCTAGAGATCATCCCTCGTCGACTTCTTGCTGATCCTCCGAGAGGTCTTCGCGAAAGAACCCCCGGTCAAGAACAAGCAGCCACAGATTCCGCAGCGAACGCAGCCGTCAGAGCCGACGCAAGGCCCTCCTCCTCTCCCTCCTCTGCCTCCGGAGCTGGGGTCCGCTATACCCCGTCCTCCCGCGGCTCCTCTGAGCATTCCGCCTCAGCCAACGGACCAGGTGCCGCCCCCGCCTCCTCCGAAGCCTGGACAGGTCGTAACCGCTGGCCAGCAACAACAAGCGTCCCCAGCAGGAAGATACGATTCCCCTCCGCCTCTTCCTCCGCTACCGCCGAAAGAACAAGACCTACGACGGCAGTCGTTCCAACCCCATGCGGGTTTCAGCAGTCCTGCTGCCGACCAGTCGTCGCAGTATCTCCCTGAGCGGGATGCGGCTCGTAGACTGTCACATCCCCCGCAGCAGCAATACGCTACACAGCCAATGACGGCCTATCCAGCGAGCGCTGGGGGTGTTGCCAGAAGCCCGCCGCCACCACAAGGCATACCTCGCGGTCCTCCACAGCCACCGCTGCCTGTGCAGCAACAAGGCCCGACGCGTCCCCCGGGCTGGCAGCCGAACGGTGCCCGGTACCAGCAACAGCCACCCGTTCAACCGGTCGCTATCCAAGCTCAACATCCGCGCCAGCCCCCACAGCCAGCAGCGAAATCCAAGGCGCAAACACCGGACCTCCTCACCTCCCCGTTCGAGCTCGAACTGCCCTCGTTCACACCCACGGGCCCCGCGCCGCCAATTCCCCCGAACCCGGAGAAAGACGCCCTCCTGCACGCCGTCTCCAAGACCCTCGCCGAGACCGTCCAGGCGAACGCCGCGCAGTCCGAAGCCGCCGCGCACTCCCTCCTCTCCCAGTCCGAGTCGCTGCACGCCGCCATCGCCTCCCTCCAGGGCGAAATCGCCTCCCTCAACGCCCTCAACTCAACCCTGCAGTCCAACACCTCCATCCTAACGCAATCCCTCCACCGCGCCGACGCCGTCATCGCAGACGCCCAGACCCGCATCGCCTCCACCCAGCCTTCCTCGTCTACGTCCGCGTCCACCTCGACCGCCGCCGACGCCGGCCTCCCGCCCATCGACGACGTCCTCGTCGCCCCCACCGTCGTCGGCAAACAGCTCTACGATCTCGTCGCCGAGGAGCGCGGCATCCAGCAGGCCATCTATGCGCTGCAGTCGGCGCTGGTCAAGGGGTTCGTCGGGGTGGAGACGTGGTCGCGGCATACGCGCGGCCTGGCGCGCGAGGCGTTCCTGAAACGCGCGCTGATACGCAAGATTGGGCGCGGAATGGGGCTAGAGGAGTCTTGAATTTTTTCCCCCTCTTTTCTTTTCTTTTTATTTTTTTATTATCTCTCATTTAGGCGGGTTGATGTTTGGTTTTGGGTGGGTGGTTGTCGAGGTCGTATCGTATTCAGCTGCATGTGGATACCCCATGTTGTGAACAAGCGGGGATAAATTATAGTAGATGTGGTTCATACATATCCTACAAAAATGGTTACGGAAACTACCTGTCGATTACCGTGGCGCTATTGCTGAAAAGAGTAGATTCGATTTCACAGAATGACGGGATGCGAAAGAGAGATCCTCTAGATATCAAAGCATAACGGCTCATAAATACAAAGAAATGGAAATCAGAGATGATATATGCTCTCTAGCAAGCATCTTATGGGATACTGTCTGATACAGTCGATAAAAAGTGAGGAGCTCATTTCACCTCATTCGCGTCCGAGAACGGGCTTTCTCCGCGTGGAGGGACCGTGCGGCTGCTTCTGTTGGACCAGGTCCCTCCGTTGGCATCCAGAAAGGCCGACAGTCGCGGTTTCTCCTCGGGGGTGTCTGTGTTTTGATCCCGGAACGGGCTCTGGTCGACGGCGGGTGAGTCTTCAATCACCGTTGGGACACGAGAGGACCTGGCGGGTTGAGAGTTGCGGGCGCTATTGGCCTTTGGATGGGACTCGACGATGGAGTCCTCCTCGTCGGACGAGCTGGTATCGAAGGTCGATGTGGCAGCATCAAACTTGGACTTAGTTGTACTGATGGTAGGTGAGCCATTCGTGCTTGAGGAGCTCGACTCTGTCTGCTCCTGAATCGGTTGCACCGGCGGTGCGGTTGTAATTTTCTTGGCGCCCGTGGCTTTCACCATGACGGGTTTGGCCGTGACGGTGCGCGCGACGATGGAGCTCTTGGTATGGGGATCCGATACGCCGGCCTTCACGAGCTGCGCTTGTGTGATGGCAGGCACGGCCGGTGCTTCGGGTGTCGAGGGGGCGTTGCCTCCGTTGTGGATGCTGACCACGGCGGCCCGGGTGCGCATCACCTGCTGTGCCGGCATGGGGCTGACAATGGCGTTGTTGCGGTAGATGGTGGTGGCCACACTGCTGCGCAGACTGGGAGCAATGCTGCGATGAGGCTGCGACATGTCGGACCAGGAAGAATCGCGTAGATCGCCGGGCATGAAAAAGTGCTGGTCCGGCGAGGCGCCGGGTAGTGGTGGGACCGGGGGCACCAGGGAGCCGGGCGTCTCAGGGGGCGACCGGTTTGTGACCCCGGGGATATAGGCGATTTGGATCACGTTCGATGCACGAGTCAGAACGGTGGACGCAATCGAGTTGGTCGATTTCCGTGACTGCCGAGTGTCTTCGAATACGCTTCGCTTTTCGCCAGGGGTTCCTACTTGTTGCTCCTGGTTGCTGCGCTTCTTGCGGACGAAGAACCACCAGATGAGGAATGTCACGATCGCGATACAGGCGACACCACCGATCACTCCTCCTGCAATGGCGCCCGCGTTGCTTCCACCATTGGACGAGCCGTCTGAACCCGAATTGCCGGAGGAAGACGACTGGATGCATTTTGTGGTGGCGCATTGGCTACACGATTGACTGATCATCGTACAGGTGTAACCTTCATCGCAGACGGGACATTTTGGCGCTGCGGAATCGCACTGAACGCATGTTTGGAAATCGCGGGAGATCACTAGAGACGACATTCCGGGGTCAGTGAACACAGCTTCCAAGGACAACGCGACCAGGGATGGCTCATACAGTGAGAGAAGCGGGGATAGTTGTTGGAGTGAGACATGTTGAATAGAGGAGATCGGGTATGGCGAGATACGTTGGAAATGGAAAGTCTGATGCGAATTGGTCTATCGTAACGAGAGGAAAGACGAAAAGCCTGTGCCGTTCGACTGGGGTTTAAACCGAGAAAAGAGCGTAATGGGCCGGTCAACGGCGTAAAGAATGTTGTAGAGAGGAGTCAAAAAGAGTGTAAGATGCTCAAGTAAATGTCGAGTCGTGAGCGTTAAAAGTTAGGTCATGAGAAGGTTAACGAGCGTGGTTGTTGAATGGTTGAAATGAAGAATGGTAAACAGTGACAATCATAGCCTCTGGGGCATCATGGGGTGTGGAGGAGATCGAGAATCGATGTCGAACTGGCTTAGATCCAACGATTTACTGGTCAATTCCGGTTGAATGAGTCCCCCAGAGCGCAATGGTTGATTCCCTGGACGAGTTGACGTCGAACTCGTGCAGCGACCGGGGGGAAATGGATTGGGTTAAAGGGCGGATGATAGATCAAGACGATAAGTATCGGAGAAGGGTATATAGAATTAATGAATCAAGAAACAAAACTATACTCAACAGAAGAAGGGATGATGAGAGAAGGTGATGATAGAAGAGAAGATAGACACACAGGGGGAGAGAGAGAGAGAGAGAGAGAGAGGTAGGAAGGGAGTAGATAGTGATGAAGAAGGATGGGGGAAGAGAGAGAGGATTGATTATTATTTGATCTAGAGAGATGCGTACTCTTATGCCCACGACGGCTAATGTTATCACCACGACCTTGGTTATAGTCCCTGGTAAATAGTAGTAGTTATAGTAAGTAGTAAGAGTAAGAGATTAGAGACACAATTGAAATGTCGATATCTCAAGAGCAACCCCTCTGTTAATAAGAAAGATCTTGTTCAGTCAAATCAAGTATCGAGAATGGGAGGAGGCTTCGGCTGCATGCAAGCCCAGCAGATAGCCATGCAAGTACAGTTGATACTATGGAGTATGGACAAGTACAACCCGAAAGAGGCACAATAGCAAGAGACATGCTGCATAATGGAGTCCAAGCCTCTCCAGAGAGTCCAGACTGAAGACCCCAGTATTGCAGCCATTATTTCTGCATGGATTTTCTTTGTTTTCCTCTGCGCCCCTGACATCGGCCGGTAGATAGTAGTATCTAGAATTCTAGATACAACTAAACTCACCACCGCACTTTGTCAAAATTGCCTTGCCTGACCTGCCCTGGCCAACCACTGTCTAGGTAGTCTACTAAAAAACCACTCAATAAATAATCTTCCCAGTGGGCTGTGTGTCCCCTACGTGGGAAAGGACGTGCCCCCAGCATCCTGCCCTCCCCTGGTCTGGCCAATCTCACGTTTTACTGCCGGGAAATTACAATGGCGGGCTGGAGCCAATCACCGTCCCCAGTGGCGTCCAGCTTTGGCCTCAGGCACTGAAGCCCTCCATCATTTCAGCTTCACCTAACAGATTAGTAGTCTAGCCCTTCTAATCATCCGTTACAGTGTCCTCTTGTTGTTTCACAGACCTTTTTTTTTTTTTCTTTTTGGAACATGGGCTCTGTCCACACAGAACGACAGAAGTACTGTTACAACGTACAGACTACAGTCAAAGTAACTTTTCTTTCCTCCGTACTCCGTATATGGTCTGAGTTCTGACTAATGACTACATTAGGGTGGTAGGACAGTGCGTCTTTGGGGTTGTCACTTGTCAGTATTCAATAATCACTAATTAACCTTAGGGTGTCAACTTGGCTCAGCCACCGTCTTTATTATTCTCGTCGAGCAAGTAGCAACATGGTTGGACGACATTGCTCAACGGAGGACCAGGGGACGGACGACGGAGTATCTGCGGAGTACTACCCGGTATGTATGCACTCTCATAGTCATCGCAGAGGTCTCACAGCCTACTACTCCGTACGGGCTTGAAATGAGTTGAATTGAGTCTCTTCCTCGAAAGACTCTCGAGTATGTCAATGTGCTCATTTACAGGGGGGGGGTGGATAGCACATATCTTCAACCCTTATATAATACTAGGACAACATCGTCTAAGTGAAGTGATAGTCAAAGCTTGGTAGACTGATGGTCCGACTTTTCTCTCCACAAAATGCAAATAATTGATGTGATTCTGCAATAGCAAGATGCATCTAGAGGCATCGTCTGGTGGAATTACGGAGTATGACTGACTGACTGACTTGCACTGGATGCCTTGGAGACTATATGAGTCGATATCCGATCCAACTACTAGTACTCAATATAAATAAAATAGAGTTTTGAATCTAGTATTACGGAGTTAGCTGTCAGTTCGGCTATGGGACTGAAATACCTGTACCTGAGCTCAAATGGGCCATTGTGTAACTGAAGGCTAGCCATAGAGTGTTTAGTGTTCAGATATATATAGTTCTTTCAGGTGTCTTTGTTTGTCCTCACGCAGCTATCTACACCACTATTTCAATGGTAGCTGAAAAGAACAGTAAAAATAAGCAATAAGGTCAAAATCAATATTGATGACACTATTACTTGTACAACCATCTAAGTGAAAGGAGGGAGTAGTAGAAGTAAGACAAATAATCCAATGCTCTAACTGGTTAACATCATCATATCCATCGAGGTTGAGACATTGAGATGTTGAGGTAGATAAGAGTTGAGGACATATGTTGCATCGATCTATGTTTTTAACTGAATATGGGTGTGGATAATCCTATCACCACCTCTCAGCCTAAGCTCTTGTATAATTTATTGTATAGCTTACTTGAAATGGTGCTTACCACCATTCTATACTGTTGGGTAGGAAATATCATATAGGGGAAATAGTTCTTAGTCTCTCCCCACTGGAGAGCATATCCCCCTCTCTGATTTTATTGTGCTACTGCTAATCTGTTCCAGGACTGTTTCTACTAACTATGGAACAGATACATCAGATTCACCTCAAATGACTGACCTAGATGACGAAGAGGTCTGACCAGCAATATGAGATGTCTAATAGAAGCCTGGGGGAATTTTATCCTATGTAGTGGTTGAACTAGTGAGGTTGAGATTAATAGAGTACTTGATAACTCTGTAGGTAAACACAATTAATAATGAATAGGGATATTTACTGTAGTAGTGTTATTATCCTTAGACTACTGTTCATGAAGACATGAACAGATCAGTAAGAGATTACTCTGTAACTCAAAACAATCAGTTGAATTAATCATCTGATGATCAGATCCTGGTCCATCTAAGATCAGGGGGGTGTATGATGTTTGTTATCTTCATTCTCTATTCTCAAAACATAGGACACTGATCCTGTACAAATGGAACATTCAAATATTGTCCATATGATGACGATGTTGAAAGTGCAGAGTGTCATCTCAGTAATACTCACTTTGACTTCCATACTCTGTAGTGAACAGCAAAGTGGCTGGTGTGCTGGAGTCGAGCTGCCAAGACCGTCGAGTTTTCTAAAGATAGGCATCAAGAGTGGCGATCCCCAAATCTAAGACAGTTTAGGCTAGCCGAGCGTGGCAATGATGATCGCCAATCTACGGAGTACTCCATAGTCAGGACTCAGCAGTCTTTTGGTCTCGCAATCTCTTGAAAGCCTCCGAAGTCCCGCGTGGCTGGTGAACCGCACAGTGTGCCTGACGTTCGATGAGTCTGACAGTGACAAGCTCCTTTGATTCACCTTAATGTTCGAACTTTGAAAGAGACGAGTCCATATCCTCATGACGGAAGGAGATTATGAAACCATGGCTGACCACTCAACATGACACCTTGAATCAACGGAACCAATCAGGGGTGTTCCCGGCCTTCAAGATGACCCTCCAATTAAAGCGAGCAAGCGTCAAGAATCTCGAGCCAGCGGTCTCTAAGTTTTGGATTATGTGTGCTCGACCAACGGCGGACGAACACAAAGGAATGATTCTGCTCCACAAGGCTATATTTGGCTGGGGCTAAAACCTTTTTCGAGAATCTTTGGTTTCTTTGGATGCCCCGCGCCCCCTGAAACTTGGCATTTGGGATTGGCATCACGTCTGTATTAATATTACCGTCACTCTGTCAGGTCAGTATATGTGACATGGGCACAGGTCAATACCTTGAGGCAGGTATATACCGTAGATTTGTTTGATAGTGACCAGTGGGAAGCAGGCAAAAGCAAATAGATAACGACGTACTTGAGCAGACATGACCTAGAAGGCTAGAATATGGCTAGAAGCCAGTGAAAACTGTGTATCCAGCCATGCAGAATGAGTGTTGGATGCTGAGGAAATTAAGCATTCCTTTTGTGACGATGGTATCTCCTCTGACCCTGCGAGTCATGCTGGCGAGGGGTGCAGAATGCTGCAATTGCCATAGTGGAAGAGAGAACCAGCAGGTTCAGTCAGTCATGACCACATCATAAGGTAGGATTGCTCCTATTATCTGCTCATCGGATTGACCAGAGGATAAAGATGTACTCTGTAGTATCTTGATCGTTGTAGTAATAATTGATGGCGGTGAGATTGTATTGTAATAATACTGATATCTACTGCTGTCCCATCTGTCATCAACTGTCTCCTATGAAGGATCGAAGACACCAACCTAGATACCGGCTTGGCTCTCGTGGCGTGTTTCAGCTGAGGAATGAGAGATCAAAAGTCAACTGAGACCATGGCATTTGGTAATTATGACAAAGATACGGTCTCCAGATGGAAGGCCTTCTCAACATTATAGTAAGTCTGAAAGTAGTTGAAGAATTAAAACAAGCAAGTACTCACTGTGTAGTGCTACTCAGGAAGATTGAAGTCTGTAATCATGAGAGTACCATCGGATGGTTGGCGTTCCTCTGGCAGCTACAGTCAGGTACCCCGTCCTGTAAGGCTGTTACCGATACCTACCCAGCAGTCTGGTACAGAACAATAAAAACCTAGGTACCTAGACACCGACTTTGGTGGTAAGGAAACTAAATACCGACCACCCATGGCTCAGTCAGTCACTCGCCATTGCGACGCTCAGCGACTGTATAGGAGTAGGTAGGTACTTACTTACAGTACCTACAGTTGAGTTTAGTAGAGTATTGAGTATTGAACCCCCCAAAAAAGAGCGACGCATCCCCTAACTCCCTAACTACTATCTAGGTAGTTTACTAACTAACTAGGTACCGAGTCTAAGGGCTGTACTGCGTACAGTGTACGCTATTCAGTAAGAGCCAGGGACGCTGTTTGTTGGATCCTCCATCGTATTGCCATTTTTTTTTTTGGCCCTTTTTTATTTTATTTTATTTTTTCTTTTTTTCCTTTCGCCCTCTTTTTTTTTTTATTTTTAATTATTATTAACGTTAACCATCATTATTTTTTCCTCCTTCCAGCCTGCAATCTGTATTGTTTTGCTCCCTTTTCTTCCCTATCTTCATCTTCCTCACTTCTCCTCCTCCAACTTCGTTTGGGGAACTTCGACCTGGTACATACCATCGCGACGCCTTCTGTAGAACCCGTTTGGGGGCCCCTCTCAGGCTTAGGTTGTCAGCTGTCTACGGTTCGCGGGCTTCAGAAATATAACCAGCCCTGGCGGCTTCGTCCACGTTCTCATTGTGTGCCCACCACCCCCCTCTCAAACAAACCATCAATACCAGCCTTGCCATATTTTTGTGTCTCTTTCATTGAACGCTTCGGCTTTGATTGATTGATTGATTTGACTTCCATCGCTTGTTCTCATTCCTGTGACGACAGTGTTGTTTATTGATTCCACTTCGCCTTGTCGGATCTTTCGAATCAGCGGACTCCTTGCTCCTTCTTCCTCCTGATACCCCCTTCCCGTTTTCCCTTGCGTTCTGCTGCGACTCGGGTCTCTTGACTTCAACCACCACACCCCCCCCAGTCGTTTTCCCCGAAAAGAAGCACGACATCTTGACATCCCATCTTCACCATGGCCTACCAAGGCTCTGGCTCCCATTCGCCGCCCCAGTACGACGACAACGGGCACCGACTTCAGGATCTGCCTCATACTTCTGTGAGTCGAGTCGCGGACGATCATCTCTTCTGTGAGGGAAGGAGTCTGGCCGCAGGATGCTAATATAGAATTGTAGTACGAAGAGGAAGCGTCGAGAGGATTGCTATCCAACCAGCAGGGTCCTTTCACTGGTCCGTTCGATGACCCTCACCAGCGCGGTCATTCTCCAACTCGTCCCGTCTCCGGATACAGTCTGACCGAAACCTACGCCCCTGAAGCGGCTTACTCCGACCCCTACAACACCGCCGGTCCTGGTTCGGTGTACTCTGCCCAGTCGACCGAAAATCCAGCCGCAGCCTTTGGTGTCCCTGGGCGTGTCGCTTCCCCCTATGCTCGAAGCGACACCTCGTCAACAGAGGCATGGCGCCAGCGACAAGCTCCTGGAGGCGGCCCCGGTGGTCTGCGACGTTATGCTACCAGAAAGGTCAAGCTGGTGCAGGGTTCCGTCCTGAGTGTGGATTATCCTGTGCCTAGCGCCATTCAAAACGCCATTCAGGCGAAATACAGAAACGACCTTGAGGGCGGTAGCGAGGAATTCACGCACATGCGATGTAAGTGGTCACCGGCGATTTTGCCATCGTTTTACTTCGATAGGAACCTCCCCTTGTCTAACACCGCCTGTTGCGATTTGACCAGACACCGCGGCGACGTGCGATCCCAATGACTTCACCTTGCACAACGGTTATAATCTGCGACCTGCGATGTACAACAGACATACCGAGCTGCTGATCGCGGTCACCTACTACAACGAAGACAAGACCCTCACATCGCGTACTCTGCACGGTGTCATGCAGAACATCCGAGACATTGTGAATCTCAAGAAATCCGAGTTCTGGAATAAGGGTGGTCCCGCCTGGCAGAAGATCGTGGTCTGCTTGGTCTTCGACGGTATCGACCCCTGTGACAAGGATACGCTCGATGTTCTGGCAACGATCGGTATCTACCAGGATGGTGTCATGAAGCGTGACGTTGACGGAAAGGAAACGGTGGCTCACATCGTATGTATCGCCCGCGACGGTTTCCGTCCGGCTCTTCGGCGTACTGACTGGTGATTAGTTCGAATACACAACTCAATTGTCCGTGACCCCGAATCAGCAGCTCATCCGACCCACAGATGACGGTCCCAGCACGCTCCCTCCGGTGCAGATGATGTTCTGCCTGAAGCAGAAGAACAGCAAGAAGATCAACTCGCACAGATGGCTCTTCAATGCCTTTGGTCGCATTCTCAACCCTGAAGTCTGCATTCTTCTTGATGCGGGTACAAAGCCCGGCCCCAAGTCGCTCCTTTATCTGTGGGAGGCCTTCTACAACGATAAGGATCTCGGTGGTGCATGCGGTGAGATTCACGCCATGTTGGGTAAGGGTTGGAAAAACCTGATCAACCCGCTGGTCGCTGCCCAGAACTTTGAGTATAAGATCAGTAACATTCTGGATAAACCTTTGGAAAGTTCCTTTGGATACGTCAGTGTGTTGCCGGGTGCCTTCTCAGCCTACCGATTCCGCGCCATTATGGGCCGTCCGCTGGAGCAGTACTTCCATGGTGACCATACGCTCTCTAAGCAACTGGGTAAGAAGGGTATCGAAGGCATGAATATTTTCAAGAAGAACATGTTCTTGGCCGAAGATCGTATTCTCTGTTTTGAGCTGGTCGCGAAAGCTGGCTCCAAGTGGCATTTGTCGTACGTCAAGGCCTCCAAGGGTGAAACTGATGTGCCAGAAGGTGCTCCTGAATTCATTTCCCAGCGTCGTCGTTGGCTGAACGGTTCGTTCGCTGCCGGTATCTACTCGCTCATGCATTTCGGTCGGATGTACAAGAGTGGACACAACATCATCCGCATGTTCTTCCTGCACATTCAGATGTTGTATAACATCTTTTCTACGATCCTGACATGGTTTTCTCTGGGTAAGTGACTCTCATCGCAGTCGGAGGTGGATTGTCTGACAGATGGTTCAATAGCTTCCTACTGGCTTACTACAACGGTCATCATGGACCTGGTCGGCAGTCCCTCTGATGAAAACGGCCATTCTGCCTTCCCATTTGGTAAAACCGCGACTCCAGTTATCAACACCCTGGTGAAGTACATCTACCTGGGTTTCTTGCTTTTGCAGTTCATTCTCGCTCTGGGTAATCGTCCCAAGGGTTCCAAGTTCTCGTATCTCGCGTCTTTCGTGGTGTTTGGCATCATCCAGGTCTATGTTGTGATCGATGCTCTGTACCTGGTGGTGCGCGCATTTACCGGAACTTCCAAGATGGATTTCGTCACCGATAAGGGTGTCGGCGAGTTCCTCAGTTCCTTCTTCGGATCCAGCGGTGCTGGTATCATCATTATCGCCCTCGCAGCTACATTCGGTCTCTACTTCGTGGCATCCTTCATGTACATGGATCCCTGGCATATGTTTACCTCCTTCCCTGCCTATATGTGTGTCCAGTCGTCCTACATCAACATTCTGAACGTCTATGCCTTCAGCAACTGGCACGATGTCTCCTGGGGTACCAAGGGTTCCGATAAGGCAGACGCACTTCCCTCGGCCAAGACCACCAAAGACGATAGCAAGGAGGTTGTCATTGAAGAAATCGACAAGCCCCAGGCCGATATTGACAGTCAATTTGAGGCCACCGTCAAGCGTGCCTTGACACCCTATGTACCACCGGTGGAGAAGGAGGAGAAGACCCTGGAAGATTCGTACAAGAGTTTCCGAACCCGACTGGTCACCTTCTGGATTTTCAGCAACGCTCTCTTGGCTGTCTGCATTACCAGCGACGGTGTTGACAAGTTTGGTTTCACGGTATGTTGTTAACCAGCCCTTTTTCTTGGTGGATTTTCCACGCTAACATGGTCCAGAACAATGCCACCGATCGAACATCCCGTTTCTTCCAAGCTCTGCTGTGGTCCAACGCCGTCGTCGCCGTGTTCCGCTTTATCGGAGCCACTTGGTTCCTGGCCAAGACCGGTGTTATGTGCTGCTTTGCTCGGCGGTAGAAGAGGGGTGTTTATTTGTAATGAAAGAGCAAGGGGTGGTTTACTCGGTGGACGAGATACTCGAATCACCAAGGCCTCCGGAGTTGATCGTTGGCACATTTCCATCACAATCTTGTATTCTACATATGACGCTTGTTTGTTACTGTCCCATTCTGTTGATGCTGGCTCTGTCCCCGTTGGATCTATGCGCTTGGACAGGGCCATTTGCGCTGTGATGTCTCGTAAATTCTTAGCGGTTAGAAAAGGAAATCGATACACCAATGCCCGGAAGGAGCTTCAAATGCATTTTTTTTTATCACTCATTTTGCATATTTCAGGCTGCTCCAGTTATTCGCTAGACCGCATGGATTCATTCAGTCAGTCTTGCCTCCCAGGCGCTGGTCGTGGCGGATGGCGTCGCGTCGAGTGCACTTCGCCATCTCAGGTTCCTCACAATCAGATCATTTATAAGCATTTTGCCGATATTCTTTGTTTGATTTGGGCCCTATAGTCGCCTCATCTTATTAAGTGCGCGCCTGCGCTTCGTCTTCGTCTTTAATCTTGCGCCTCCGTGCCACAGCGGAGTGGAGACACTGATTCATCGCCCATCGCAGGCTGCCCCCCCCCGCAGGCCCGAACTTTAGTCGCCCTCATCTTAGGCTCTTCCGACTGCATTTCGGTCATCGATAACAGATCTGATCTGTGGGGTTTTACACGGTGATATCTCTTGCTTTTCATTCATTTTCTTTTCTGTCAATAATAACGATCTCTTATTCCCTAACGTACTTCCGAACATCCCCCCCCAACACGGCCTGCGTGGCGGAGCTTTGTCCAAGATGTTGAAGATCTGGTCTATGGTACAGTTTCAACGCACCGAGCTCTCTATCCAGTGTTGGACGAACTTCTCCCCACTGACATCACGATTTTCCCGTGCAGAAACAACAGCAACAGCAGGCTGAAAATGCCGAGGGCGCAGCAGGGAAGAAGAAGAAGAAGGTCACGGCGGCGCAGCTGCGCGTGCAGCGAGGTATGTCGCAAGGTTTCCCCCCTCCACCTTGCCTAGGGAACCGGCGCTCGAGACACGGCAGCTTGAAAAAAAAAAAAGAACTCGGGCTGATGATAAGCGTCATGGACAGACCTGCAGGAACTCACCCTCGGAAGCACGATGAAAATGACCTTCCCCAACCCGGATGACATCCTCAACTTCACCCTCACCATCGAGCCCGACGAGGGCATGTACAAGGGCGGCGCCTTCCACTTCAGCTTCGTCGTCAACCAGAACTTCCCCCATGACCCGCCCAAGGTCAAGTGCACCCAGAAAATCTACCACCCCAACATCGACCTTGAGGGGAATGTGTGTCTCAATATCCTCCGCGAAGACTGGAAGCCCGTGCTGAATCTGAATGCGGTCATTGTGGGCATGCAGGTATGTCTGTGACTTTTTCTTTCTTTCTTTTTTTTTTTTTTTCTTCGTTACTGTTCCTGCTGCTGCTGCTGCTGCTCTGGCGGCGCTGTTGTTGAATACTTGGATATTTGGACTGACTGCTGCCTGCTAGTTCCTCTTCCTGGAGCCGAATGCCTCCGACCCTCTGAACAAAGAAGCCGCCGACGATCTTCGCACGAACCGCGAGGGCTTCAAGCGGAACGTCCGCACCGCGATGGCCGGTGGGACCGTCCGGGGCATGCAGTACGATCGCGTGATGCGATGAAGAGTTCCCAGTCCGACTCCGACTCCGACTCCGACTTGGGACTCTGCAGTGAATATAAACGACCACGAACACACACGGCATCATGCTACTACTCAGCACATACGGCGTATATGATAGGATCGAGCGAAACGTGCACATATGGGGAAGGAAAAGAAACGATGAGGTGACGAACAGGCAGTGCAATACAGTGCACTGCAGGCGAGGAGGTTGCCCTTTTTCTTCTCATGAAATGGTTAATGCGCGTACATAACTTGAATTAATTAGCGACTGGATAGATTTCATCATGAACGCAATGCATAGTTTATATGACCCGTCATTTGCGTTTCTAGAGTAGAGTGGGTGTGAGTATCCTGTCTAAGTATCCTAGTACTGTGTACGGTCATCAGGATATCGAATTAGGTTTTGTGCCTCGCGATGATCGACTAGACTGGGAGTGTCGAGCACGGATGACTACAGTGTCTAGATACTACGCCCTCGCACATAGAGTGGAACGAGTAACGGCATGTTTGAAGTTAACAACCACCGTATATATACAACCAACAACAAAATTGAACCAATGCGACCTAGTAGAACAAGTTTCTTCTTTTCCTTTCGGAGTTTCATTGCGTTCGATTTTCAATCAACACATCAATCAGACAAAGCAACACCGGCGTCACCCTAGCCCGCCCCGGCGAGCACTCGGCAACGGTATGACCAATTCCAAGCGAGTTGCCTCCATGCCAATGTCGGCCATCATCGAACCACAAGCGGGACATGGAATCTTGAATGGGGGGCAGGTGCGGATGACGTTGGTTTGTCATGTTGGCCGTTCTCTGATCTTTGCGTTGGACGACGGATTATCGACTCTAAGCCTGCTGGGCAGCACGCTCCTGCTCCAGACGGGTGTAGTAGGAGTCACGGGCGCGGACGCGGGGAAGGTGGTAGCCTGATAAGCCTGTTAGAAGAAGGGGGTAAAAAAAAAGGGCTGCAGGGAAATGCTCTAGTCATTCTCTAGCTGGGGAAATGGTTGCGATAATACGTACCGTACCACCAGAGGTAGCCGAAGGTGGTGCCGAAGCCTGTATGTGACAGCGAGGAAGCGTTAGCCCCGTCAAGGTTTGCGTGTATTGCCCAGATATGTTCCAAATAGCCATTCTGCATATCAGGGTCGCGGCGGATTGCTTCTTCGGACCCTCGGATGTCCGTGGGACAATTCCTGCGCTTCCATGTCGAGGCGATTCCGGGGCTGTTCAGACGGTAGAAGGACGGGGGACTCACCGAAGGCGGTGCTCAGATCGAGAACGAGACCACGGCGGAGCATCTAGATCATCACTTGTGTTAGCCAATGGATTGGTCCAAGAAGGTGCGAAGCCGAAGCGAAAAAGCAACGGGTATGGCCTGAGTGGGATGTGGACGTACGCCGGTGATGGGAGGGATAGCGGCGGCCATTGCGACGGATGGATGAAAATATCTGATTGAACCAGAGTAATGAGTGCGGTTTCAGCAGACGGGATACCTGCTTTGGTGGTGGTTGTGGGGGGCTGGCGGAGGGAGGAAGAGAGGGGAGCGAACGATGATGTGAACTTGAAAGTCGAAGTGAAGCTTTCCGATCCGGCACGTAAGCGACCGATATGAGTGGCCTGACTGGTTGCTGGGAACGGGCAAGAGGAGAGAGAGAGCACGAAGATAGATATAGACAAGAGTCACTATTCAATCAATTACTCTTTACTTGACTTATACAATAACTATCGATATATACCATATATCTGAGTTTCTACATCAGAATTTCCTGTCTCCCTTCTATTCATGCCGTGCAGCACCAGCAATCTGCCTGCCTCAGGCACCAACACGTGACCGGACACGAAGCTCTTGCGATGTCCGAATCGAGAATGTCTCGACACTCTCGCCGTCATCCATCACGTCCAGCGCCCAACACCGCCATGGTGTCCTCTGAAAACCCCCTCAAGCGATCCTCAACCTCACCTCTCCAGCAAAATGCTCCCGACACGAAGCGCTTGAAGCGCCCTTATCACCACCATCACCGTTTGCTGAACCCCGTTCTTCCAGCTCTTCCGGAGCCCGCGATCACTGACGATGCCCGGGTTGACCATCTGATGAACCGCTCTATTGGACTGTCGCTTCGCGAATCTGGATTCGACATCGCTGATCCCGCCGCGTTGGAAAGCTTTCGCAATGCAGCGGAGGAGTGTACGTTCTACACCTTGACCGCAAAATAGCTGTCTAGGTCATTCTAGTCGCAGTGTTATTGATTTTGGGATGCTTGCTAGATTTCTTGAAACTCGCTTCCTATGTTCGACAGTCGATGCTATCGAGTCGACGTACCCAACCTATCCCTCAAGATGTTGAACATGCCTTTAAGAGACATCGTGTGCGCGTGGGCGACCTTCTCCCACACGTGAAACCCTTGCCAGACGTCCCACCGGTCCCCATCCTCCTGCCCAGTCCACCGCCAGAAGAAGATTCTTGGGTCAGTCTGCCGTTTCTGGGCGCGGAACTAAGCGGCAGCGACGATCGTGACAGAAGCGCATACATTCCAAAGCATTTCCCTCAGTTCCCGAGTAAACACACCTACCGTCACACTCCGGTGTTCACCGAGCGCGAGCAAGATCCACGGAAGATTCGCGAGCGCGCGACCGAAGACGGCAGACATGGCGAAGAGGCCTTGCGCAAGCTAGCGCGAGCATCATTCAAGGATAACCAACTTGGCTCTGCGGGCCGTGAGAAGCGACCGTGGGGTCGGAGAATGGAGAGCATGGATAGTATGTTCGAGAAGACAGTCAAAGGCATCGCAAAGAAGGTGCAGAGAGACACCGCTGCGTCGAGTACAGCTGCGCCTTTGGAAATCGATTTCGGGACGCTGGATGCGGAACCCAAGCCGGCTCGACCCAAAGTCCCATTGAGTCTAGAGCTTCCGCCAGTGATCAATTGTGAAAGAGACCTATGGCGTCGAACGACGGCCCCCAGCAACCGAAGAGCAGAGGACAAATCACCGGGACCGAAGGATACCACAAGCGTGACGAGGGTGGAAAGCTGGGTGAGCACATAGGTCTGGTCCATGAGACCATCATGCGAGATGCGGAGGCAGGCGTCAGGGTGTTCTATTCTTCCCAATTTTTCTTCTTCTTTTTCTTGTACTGAGCGTATTCAAGAGATACCCATTGAGCACAATATAGACCCATGCAGGCGGAGGAACCAAAATAATCCCTGATATTATTCCGTATTTGTAGATTTTCAGCTCCCAAACTCCGCTCACATGCTGTGTGTATGCTCTCTCGTCGTAATCAGGCTTTGGTCGCCTCCTCTGCTGCGCGTTTCCGCTGTGCTTCTTCTTCCGCTATGCGTATGGGTTCCCACGCTGTCGTTTCGACTGTTAAACCGCCGGCGCACCTTTAAACAAAACAAAAAAAAAAGAGAGAGAATCAGTAAAAGACGTCTACCAAGCGATGCGGAACAACTGTACCGTCGGAATAGCCGGACGATCGGCTTGCACACGACAACTCCGGGCTTGGGGATTCCATCCTGCGGCGGGTTGCACGAGTACTGCACCATTTCGAGGAGCTTGCACTTCTTCAGATCGACGGGACCTCCTTTGCGACGCCTTTCCTGGAAGTTCCGGCTGACGACGTTGACATGGTCTGGGAGCGCTTCGGCGTGGAAGACCGGGACGAGGGGCGCCATTGCGGTTTATTGTATCGTGTATTATGTTTGAATAAACCGGAAGAGTTTCTTTTTTGAAGTTGCAAATGTACCGGTTGTGCTGGAGTTCGATGGTGGTGGCAGAGATGACATGGTGGAAGCGGAAACCTTTTGCTCTCTTCCCGGAGATGCAATAATAGATCGATGGATGGTTTGGTACGTTCACGGTATCAAAACCACCGCAACACCTTTCTATGGAATACTGCTACCAGAGGGATTTGCCAACAACAAAGTCAGTTGTCGTGATGTTCGGATTTCCATGATATGCTTCTTTCAGGCTCGAGTGAGCAATGTCTACCAGTTTCGGGGAAAGATTGCTTGGGGAGGTACACCAGGAGGGACTGCATGAGGTACAGTTAATCCGTGTTATATATATATCTTCCTTTTCCTGCAGTCTTGTATATCGGTAAAAACTACGCTATTTTCTTCGAAAATCGCCCAACAACAATTGAAGCAACACTCGCTAACATTCGCAGCTTTTACGTGACCTGAGAGACCTGGTTCCTCGAGTCGAAGATGTCTCAAGACTGGGCGTCCATGATCTGGATGCTCTTCTGGGGGTGTTCATGCCGTCACCTGTGCTGCCGGCTCTTTCTCAGGCCCAACGCAAACCTCAGGACTTGGAACAGGAGATGATTTCAGAGGACATCGACGAGCATGGGGACCAGCACCAAAAGATGGACGTCGATGAGACTCGGACTGTCTCAGCTGGAGCTTACAGACTTCCTGTACCTGCTCGCGTGAAGCGAGGAGACCCGGTGATTGAGGTCTCGAGCACCTCATCTGCAGCTGGCAAGACTCAGCTCCTCTATTACCTTACTGCCGTTGCCGTTTTGCCATCAACCTACAACGGAATCCGGCTTGACGGCCGAGACTCAGCGGTCGTGTTCATCGACACAGATGGCCGGTTTGACCCTCAACGTCTCCGAACGATTGCTCTTGGGGTTATCAACAGGAGGCTCAAAAACCATGGCAACCAGATCCCACAGGACGTAGCACAGGCGGAAACAAACCCATCGACGCCTACGCCTGAACAGCTGGAAACGATCGTAAGGACCTCCCTGCAACACGTCCATGTTTTCCGCCCGCAATCTTCATCGTCTCTCCTAGCGACCTTACAAAACCTGGACACATACCTGCTTGATACCCCGCGCCACCTCTCTGCCCCTAGGCCGCTGCACGCCATCTTCATCGACAGCGCCACTGCGTTCTTCTGGCAAGACAAGCTGCACGACGAGGTCGCCCGCACAGAGAACATCGGACGACCTGCCGCCGATCTCGAGCTCGCGCGGGACCAGAAACGTATCTTCTCTCTCGCGGACGTCTACGCGCGCCTGGTGCTCGAGCTGAAGAGACTGCAGACACGTTTCAGCTGCTCAGTCGCCTATACATGTACTGCTTCGGGCGGCCGCTCGATCCCTGATCCCCAGCGCTACGCCCAGCAAGCACACAAACCTTCGGGTCCGTTTGACCCGTATCATCCTCCTGGCAACACGGCTTCGAGTGTGCTAGCGTTCCGCTGTCCGCTTCCGCCTCCCTGGGGTGGGTTCCCGACGCTGCGGCTGATCGTGCGTCGGGATGCCGTGCGTCCGTTTCCGCCTATGGCCACGGTTGGAGACGCTCGGCGGGAGGCGGCTCTGCGCCAGAAGGTGGTTCTGCAGGGTCGCTTCGTGGGGAGGGTTAATGAATGGGGGCGCGAGGATTGGCCGCGGAGGATCATAGAGGAGTTGCGAGAGAGAAGCCAGGGGGTGTTTAAGTTCCATGTGGGCAGAAATGGCATTGAATTCGCGTGATATCTTGAAGTGGTTTTGTATGAGTCTATCTATGGATTGTGATGGGTATGTGTAGGTTGTGCAAAAAAAAAAAAAAAACCACACTGCGCTATTCTATGCATCCTCGAGTATATCCCCGAAAAATTAGCTGAATAGCTTCCCAATCGCCTCCACGGTGGTATTGCCCCCGCTAAACACAATGCCCATATCCCACCCCTCTTCACCCCCCTCCTTCTCAACCAGGCGTCGGAACTCCTCATTGAACAGGCACACTGCTAGTCCGACCACCGCGCTCGGCTCCACCACCACCTTCATGCGCTCCAGGACGAGCCGCATCGCCGCCTTGATCTGCTCCTCCGACACAGCAAACACACCAGCGACTTTACCGCGGTCCGCGATGACTCCCCAGTTCAGGAGCCCCACCGGCGTGCGCAGCCCATCGGCAATGGTCAGCGTCTTCACCAACTCGACGCGCACCCCGGCCGCCAGGCCCCGACGACAGTCGTCGGCACCCTCGAAGCTGGGTTCCGCGCCGAACACCCGCGTCGGCTTGTCGGAGAAGAACGTCGCGACGCCCGCGTTCAGCCCGCCCCCGCCGACCGGCGTAATCACCGCATCGAGGTGTCTTGACCCCGCGCCTGCGTCGCTCGCTCCGTGAGCGCTGAGATGCGGGTCTGTACCGACCAGATCCCGGTACTGCTCCTCCATCTCCAAGGCGGTCGTGCCCTGGCCGCAGATGATGTTGAAGTCGTCATACGGCGGGACGAGGATGGCGTCGGTTTTGGCCTGGATCTCCGCGACGACGGCCTCGCGCTCCGTGCTCGTCGACCCGCTGAAGACGACTTCGGCGCCGTGCGACCGGGTGCCCGCGATCTTCGACGGGGTGCTGATGCTTGGCATGACGATGTACGCGGGGACGTGCAGGGTGGAGGCGGCCAGGGCCAGGGCTTGGGCGTGGTTTCCTGTGCCGGGGGGAAAAAAAAAGCGTTAAGAGGAAATATGGCATATGAGGGCAATCCGTCAATGGTTTGATGGCGTACCAGAGCTGTGGGTGACTACACCCCGTCTCTTGACCTCTTCCTCACCCCGCTCTGCGAGGAGTCGCAGCAGAGCATGGAATGCACCGCGGGCCTTGAAGGCGCCGATCCGCTGGTAGTTCTCGCATTTGAAGAAGAAGCGAAACTTGGGGCTCGCTGGCGGCTGGCCTTCGTACGGCGTGCCGACGAGCGATTCGGGCGATTGGGGCGTTGAGGCGATGGTGTTGAGCGTCTGGCTGGTGAGGAGGGGCGTACGGTGGATGTACTGCTGGATCAACGAGTAGGCGGAGTGCACCGCATCGGGAGTCAAGGCTCGTGCCACGATCGGTGCTTCAGTCATCTTGCAAGGTCAACAATCTTGGAGGTTCAATTGTGAATTGGTTAGTCCGTTACTTCAAGTCGATGGACTGGGGAAGCGGGGGAATAAAACTACGGTGGAGATTGTGTTGGCAGAAAGTCGATACGAGTCATCGCGAGCTATAATGGCGAGACACGGATTACGCATCTGCACTCTAAAGAAGAAAGTAGAAAGCAAGGTTGATGTGAAAAAAAAAAAAAAAGATCGAAATGTGGTATTCTCTTATCCCAATTATTAACTCAATGAACATGTAAGAAAAAATAAAAAGAAATCAAGCCAGTCATAGTACAGTCGTAACTTTTCCCGCGCCTTCCCATTGATGCAAAATTAAATTACTTCTGGTTCTCAGGACGGAGGGAACTGTGGAAGGAATTAGCATATATTCCAAGGTCAAGTGTGGATGAACTGTCAAAAACTTACCGAACGGCCTTGCCAGCACGCCAGATCTCGAGATCACGGATGTCCTGCATCTCCTTCTCGTACTTCTCGCGGTAGTCCTTCTGGGAGTTGTACTCCAGAGAACGCTTGGTCTCGGAGCCATCGCGGACACTGTCGTACAGGTCGTTGAAGACGGGCTTCAGGGTCTCCTTGAAGCGGTTGGACCAGTCGATGGCACCACGACGGGCGGTGGTGGAGCAAGCGGCGTACATCCAGTCCATACCGTTGGCACCGATGAGGGGGTAGAGAGACTGAGTGGCCTCCTCGACGGTCTCGTTGAAAGCTTCGGAGGGGCTGTGGCCACGCTCACGGAGAACCTCGTACTGAGCGAGGAACATGCCGTGAATACCGCCCATCAAGCAACCACGCTCACCGTACAGATCGGAGTAGACCTCCTTCTCGAAGGTGGTCTCGTAGAGGTAGCCGGAACCGACGGCAACACCCATGGCGATGGCCTTCTCCTTGGCCTGGCCGGTGACGTCCTGGAAGACGGCAATGGAGGAGTTGATGCCACGGCCCTCACGGAAGAGAGTGCGGACGGTACGGCCGGAACCCTTGGGGGCGACGAGGATGACATCGACATCGGCGGGGACGTCGACCTTGGTGAGGTCCTTGAAGACGGGGGAGAAACCGTGGGAGAAGTAGAGGGTCTTGCCCTTGGTGATGAGGGGCTTGAGAGTGGGCCAGGTCTCGCTCTGGGCAGCGTCGGAGAGCAGGTTCATGACAATGGTACCCTTCTGCACGGCCTCGGTGACGTCGAACAGGTTCTTGCCGGGGACCCAGCCATCGGCAATGGCCTCCTTCCACGAGGCACCATCCTTCCGGACACCGACAATGACGTTGAGACCCTGGTCACGCAGGTTGAGACCCTGGCCGTGACCCTGAGAACCATAACCGATCAGAGCAAGGGTGTCGTTCTTGAAGAACTCCTGGAGCTTCTCACGGGGCCAATCGGCACGCTCGTAGACGGTCTCCTTGTGGCCAGCAAAGTCCATAGTCTTAACACCACGGACGGGGACGGTCGAGACAGCCACACGGGTAGCAGCCTTCGCCAGAGCGGGCCGGGGGAGGGCGGCCGAGATGACGGAGCGAGGAGCGGCGACGCGGGCCAGACGGAGGGCACGGGGGAGTCCACGGGAAGCCATTGTGAAGATTGTGGAGGAAGAAATGGGGGGGGGGGGAAGGGAGGAAAGAGGATGGAGGAAGGTAAAGAGAGGAGATTTAGATGAGAATTGAATAGTGAGGGAAGAAGAAAGAAAGTTTTCAGAGAAGCCGGATGAGCCAGAGAACTTATAAGGTCGTTGTCGAGGACGACAGAACCGGCCATGTGCAGCACGTGACCGGAGTTGAGCCAGCGCTCCCCGGCCGATGTCGGCTAGAACGCGGTGTGATTGGTCGGGTGGAAGGGCAGCACAACCCCCGTATGGAGGCGTCAAGACTTTTAGAGTCCCTCAACCTAGAACTTAGAGACTGCGATGTCTGTCCGGTCCGCGTCTCCACTGCTGAGAATATGGAGAAAGTGGATGGCTTGAGTCACAGAGTCGGAGCCCAGACCCGATCGACTTCGGAGCTGGTGCAAGATAGTGACTAAATATTGGGATTCGAATTGATCAATATTGAGCTGCTGCAAGGTGGTCAGAACATGATGTTCGACTCATAAGTTAGTAGGACTCTGTAATTGGCTCAATTTTACATCTATAATAGTATCTTGGGGTAGTCCATTCAAATCCTCCTAAGATATTTCTTCTATATCATAGTATCCAGGGTGGTTCTCTCAGAGGAACTACTGTGTACAGCGATTAGAGTACGGCATGGTGTTATACCCAAGTCCTGCATAAATTATTATCTCATATAATCATATTCAGGTCATCTGAGGCATTGGACGGGCGGAGAAGGATATGGCCCAGTTCCTATATATATATATATCTAGATAGCCTAACAGTAAGGTGTGGGCGGTAATGCAGATAACTTAATTAGTAAATGCCAAGACAGCAAAACAATCAGCTGCATTAAGGGCCAAGGGGGCGCTTCAGACCTCCAATCTCGACCTCCCTGCACCTGACAATCTGAAAAAGGAGACCAGCAGTCTGATATGCTCCGAGTCTGGCGGCGGTTGGGAGTCCCTTCGTCAATCATTCAGCATTGCCGATTCCGTTGCCCATCTCGAACATTATCCGACATGGGAAACAAGAACAGCGCACCTTCGCCATATACCAGGCTCGACAGCACATCCACAGGAACAGATTCGCAAGAACTGACTCGTCGTTAGTAGCATACACTCCCCGTCATTGACCAACGAGTTAATATGTCACTGACTTTGCATTCTAGGACATGATCCGCATTCGTATACAGGTGGAAGATGGCTCAATCGGGATGAGCTCGAGCGAAAATCTCGCCATGTTATGTTTGACTTCTCAGCACTGTGTGATCGGGCTGTTTACATATGTCCAGGGGCCACCAGTGTTGTCAAATATGAGAAGCGAGAAGGTGGATTCAACAGAGTCTTCCTTTTAATAATGGATAATGGATCTTGTGTTGTGGCAAGGGTACCTACTGGTATTGCTGGCCCGCCAAGGTTAACAACCAACTCTGAAGTTGCAACTATAACTTATTGTAAGGCTAAGCTATATCCCCTGCCCTTGAGAGTATGGCTGGCATGCTCACTAATATATGTCTATAGTACAATCCAAGATTTCGCTTCCGATACCAAAAATTCTCGACTGGAGTGATAATCCTTCCAATCCTACTGGAACAGAATATATTATCCAGGAGCATGTAACAGGTGTTCAATTACATCAAGAGTGGCATAAAATGAACCCAGAACAACATATGCTGTGCACTAAAGCACTTTCATTAATAATGAAAAAGATGGCTTCACTAGACTTCCCGGCCTACGGCAGTCTATACTTCGCAGATGCGCCTCTAGACTTGGACTCAAAGATTCCCTTTGAGCAGGGCTTCTGTGTAGGACCACATTGCAGTCCAGTTTTCTGGAACCGAAATCCGGGAGAACATGAACTCTACCGTGGCCCAAGCCCCAATTGTGGACCTTGGAGAGATCTCACAAGTTATTGTCGAGGTTTGATAGATACCGGTTTCTCTCGTTTACCCAAAGATGCCGTCAATAATCGCAAGCTTCTGCCATATCAAGGATCAATTCAAGATCACATCCGTCTATTGAAAATAAGTCAAGAGGTGATACAAAAGTTGGCTGAAGATAAACGCATTGAGGACGCTGCTACACCAGCTCTGCTTCATCCGGATTTTCACAAGAGGAATATCTACGTCTCTGCCAAAGATCCAACTGTTATTACTGGCCTGATAGATTGGCAATCAACCAGCATTGAGCCCGCGTTTATTTATGCCAATGAGACACCTGATTTCACTGCACTCCCAAGGGCCCCCGAGGAAGATCTACTTAAGAATGAACAAAATGAAATGAAAATTTCTGAACAAAAGGAACGAGAATTAAAAGATGCATCTGTCTGTTATCAAACATATGATGTGGTTATGACAGCCCTTATTCCTAAGCTTCGTCCTGCAAGATTACTTGACCCAACTCTTTTTCGACTCTTCCACTACTGTCACACAACTTGGAGAGACTCCGCTGTCGCTGTCCGCCAAGAGTTAATTGAGCTTTCAGCTCGCTGGGCAGAACTGGGGCTAGAGGGCTCATGTCCATATTCTCCTACAGAAGCAGAATTGAAACAGCATGCTCGCGACTATGAAGATTTTGAGGCTGTTCAGGCACTCAAGTCCTGGCTAAGAGACAACCTTGATACAAATTCTGATGGGTGGATCCCGAATGATGCATGGGATGCTGCTCAGGTTGCTCATCGCGCAGCGTATAATGAATGGATACAGACTGCCAAAGAAGCCGAGTCCCGTGGCGAAGACATGACAGTAGCAAAGGCGGAGAAGATGTGGCCATTTGATGCTAGATAGAAACCAGGGATAGGTAATCAAAGAGTCAGCTGGTCACTGTCTCTAGTGTCTAGTCTAAACCCCAGTCCAACCCTTACGTTAGCTTTTCAACGTTAGAATATGACGGCCTGATGTTTGTCTCTGCCTGGCTAGGCAGTTTTTAAGCAAATCTCGCCAGTTCCTCGGAGTAAGCAGACTGTGCCTGGGACCCGCATAATTACTCCGTAGTGATTATAAGACAGGGTCACATATCAAGAGGCCATACCAAAGACAGTAAAACTAACCAGTCTTGTGGTGGAAAGTGACGCCTGACTGCCTGAGGTGTCTGGGCTCCGCCAGCATTAACAACAACAACAAATCAACAACAGCAGCAGCAGCAACCTGGCATCTCCAGCAACACAATCAACTCCGGCCGACGTCCTTCATGGAAATTTGGAGACACCAATCCACTATCTGCAACCAGTGGCAAATCATCATTTCTCCCTAGTCCCTGGACCCTGACAGCCCACAATTCTAAGACCATCGTTGTTGATTTGATCCCCCCCCCCATCGATCATGTGCCTACGATGAGCCTCATCTCCTCATTCGGTGCTCTGCCCACCATCCAGACCCGAAAGGCCCTCTTGCTCCTCGATTTTCAAAATGATTTCATTCGTCCATCTGGTGCTCTCCACGTCGCCAATACTGCCGACATTGTAGAGATTCTCCCCCAGCTCGTCAATGCCTTCCGCCACACCGGAGATGTTCTCTGGGTCCGCTCGTACTATGAGTCACCCCGACCCCTCATAGACTCGGACCTTCAGGAACGGATCGTGCTTGGCCCTGCGGGAGAGGAGCGGAGAAAAAAGCAACCGAAACTCGGAGGCCCGTCCGATCGGGGGAGCCAGAAGGAATCCCAAACGCCCGTGGACGAGGAAGCCTTTCTGTCGAACGAGTCGTCCCAATGTTGCCGACCGCGGACAAGCGGCGTCCAGTTTCCCGCGCCCATCTTGGCTGCCCTGGATGCGGACTCGGACACATTGATGGAAAAGTCGGACTATTCTGCTCTACAAGATGATGGCATGATCCTCTCGCTTCGCACACGGTTCATCACAGAACTATACCTTTGCGGTTCCCTCTCCAATGTCTCCGTTTATGCTACTGCGCTGGATGCTGTCCGCCATGGCTTCTCGGTGACGCTGATCGAGGATTGCCTGGGGTTCCGCGATTTCGCCCGCCATGAGGAAGCGATGCGCCGGATGGCCGATATTTTCGGAGCCAGTGGGATTACGTCGCAGGAACTCCTGGAAGAGCTGGACTGGCAAGAGACGGATGCCATTGCCCGTCAAACCACCCCTAAGCCTTCGCACCCAGCGACCGCTGTTGGGATTGAAGGGGTTCTGGACGAACTCAATGTTAAGACAGGCCGCGGTTGCACGGCTAACGAGGGAGCAGCAGACTCCTCGCGGAGTCGGCGTCGGAGGCTTGAGCTGGTGGACCTAGGCGACGGTGAAGAGGAAACTTTGTTAAGTCTGTCAAACCTGGCGCGGTCTCGCTCCCGCTTCGGGACAGCTGGGTCGCCAGGAAGTGCAGCTCAATCGCAAGGTCCCTCGGGAGAGAAGAAAGCGCGGGTGCGTGTGCGCCGCGCAAAACGACAGGACCAGAAGGCCGAATCGTCTACTCGCGCAGATGGGTCGCGGAGCAGTAAAGCCAAGCGCTCGCGGGATATCCGTGGACCAGGCGACATGATCGGAGAAGGAGACTCCCGCATCATCCATGATTTGGATCTTCCGCCCGATGCATTTGAAAAGATCCGAAGTGAAGTCGCTTGGCAGAAGATGTATCACATGTCGGGGCAGGTTCCTCGTCTGGTCGCTGTTCAAGGACAGACTTCGGATAACGGATCAATTCCCATCTACCGTCATCCAGCGGACGAGTCTCCACCATTGCATCCCTTCACGCCAGCCGTGAACCAGGTGCGTGTCATTGTCGAGCGGATCCTAGGCCATCCGCTCAATCATGTCCTCATTCAACTCTATCGCGATGGACAGGACAGCATCTCAGAGCACTCAGACAAGACACTCGACATTGTCCGTGGTTCATCTATCTGCAACGTCAGTCTTGGTGCTCAGCGCGTGATGACGCTGCGGAACAAGGTCAAAGGTCCCGATGAAGATCAGAGACCTACGCAGCGCATACCCATGCCCCATGAGTCGCTGTTCATATTGGGGGAGACGACCAACATGCGTTGGCTTCATGGCATACGGCCCGACAAGCGGCAAGAGGCCGAAAAATCTCGAGAAGAACTGGCGTATGGCGGCGAGCGTATCTCTCTCACTTTCCGGCACATTGGCACTTTCCTGAGCCCGACCGGCGACACCATCTGGGGCCAGGGCGCCGTCTCCAAGGACCATCAGCGGGCCCGCCCGGTCATTCATGGGGACCCTACGGCCACCGATCGGCTGATCCGTGCGTTTGGTCAAGAGAACCATGCAGTCGAGTTCGACTGGGATGCCGTGTACGGTGGAGGCTTTGATGTGGTCAATTTTGTCACGACAACGACAACCACGCTAATCGAAGGGTCTGATTCTGTGGCGAACTTGCGAGTTCGGCTTGCGCTCAGCGAGAACGGGATTCGATACGACGTCTCCAAGTCACCGAAGGAGACAGCAGTTGGCAAAGTCACCGAGGACGATCAACGACCATTGTTCATCGCAACAGATGGCAGCGAAGTCGCGGGAGATGCCGAAATCATGAAGTTCCTGGCACAGCATGCCTCGGGGCTTACACGAGCAGGTGTGGAAGTGTTGCGCGGGGGTGATCGACTTCCCGAGATCGACACACTCTTGCAGAGCTGGCGTCAAGGCGCGAGCAGCGATGGACACGTTGAACTGGACACTTTGGATACATGGGAGAAGGCCGTGGACGGGCAGCACTATTTGGGAGGACCGGCCCTTGGACTTGATGACTGCTTTTTGTGGCCCGTCCTTAGGGATATGGTGTTGAAGAGCGGGCCACTCCCGAGCGATCGGTATCCCAATCTGGCCCAGTACTACCGTCGCATGGAGAAGCGCGGAATTGTCAAAGCGACCGTGGAGGAATTGGAATGACAGGATAATCTCTTGATTTGAAGTTGAGATACCACCCAGCGCGGCGGGCCGATTTCTGACGACACTTATGACCAACCTCTAGCGACTGTCACAGTGATCTTTGACCTGGCTATGTTTGTTCTACTTTTTAAATTATTGGGAGTGGTCTGCATCCTGATGTAGATCTCGCGAGCCGTACCAGTACATAGACAGAAATGACCAAGCTTCCCATGTCATCTTTTACAAGGATTTGAAACGAAAAAAAATCCTAGATCACAAACATTTCCCCTGAAAGTCTGTGGTCTTCAAGATATCCTTCAGCGCGACGCTGCTGCACGCCACAGCCTTGAGGAACGCGTTCGCGACGACCTGAGCACCCTTGGCACTGGTATGTGTATGGTCATTGGGAAAGTACGAGTCGACGGTCTGCAAGCCCAGCGACTTCAAGATATCAGCCACATACGCCCCATGGTCCACATAGTCCACGCCCGCGACCCGCGCCGCCAACTGGGCATACCCGACGAAGCGCGACGGGGCGTACGCGAAGCTGCCCGTCTCCCACGGGTTGTTGGGCGTCTGGCTCGCGATCAGCACCTTGGCACCCTTGGCCTGGAACATCCGCGCCGCGTTCTCCAGGTACTTGGGGAACGTGAGCACGGTTTCCGTCACCCCGTTGTACACCGTCCGGCAGGTCTCGCCGCCGGTGCCGGCGCAGTCGGTGCGCCCGTTGTCGTTGTGGCGGGTCGACAGCGAGCCGCCGTCGTTGTGCCCGAACTCGATCACCACGTAGTCGCCCTGCTGGAGGACGTCGGCGATGGCCTGGAAGCGGCCTTCGCGGGTGTAGGAGCGCGCGCTGCGGCCGGCCATCGCTTTGTTGGAGACGCTGGCCGAGACCGATGATGAGATGTACTGGCCCCAGCCTGGGCGGAAAATTTTAGAATGCTGGCTCCCTGCTGACCTCGCAATGGCCGTGTAGGAGTACTAGGTAGCTTACCGTCAGTGCCGTGCCCGCCGCCTGCTCGAGCCATGGTGGAGTCTCCGGCCAGGTAGAGGGTCGCGCCCAGCGTGCCGGGGAGGAGGGCAAGCGAAGAGAGGAGAGCCAGAGTCTTCATTTTTGACTGAGGTGCAGCTGAGAATTTGGATATGAAGAGGCTACCACCGTAAACGAGGACTTGTTGGGGTAGAGGCGACTCTTTATATACGTCCGCTGCCACGGCCACCAAGCCATAGAGTATACGTGGAAAACACATCCATAGAACTCGGTGTATCCCCCACTGGGCTCCTCAGCCATACATCCTGCACACGTACATGGCCCCCCCTCACAATTCGCACGCTGAGAGCCTGAGACACACTCGGCCCAGCGGAGTTTCATAACCCTCGAAGAGAAAACAGGGGGTGTTTAGGACTGAGACACTACCGGTAATGATGCAAGACGCCGGTCTCCGCACACTTGGCCCTGATGTGCAGAGTCTTGACCCGGATTCGAGCCGAGTGACGGTTGGGTTGATTCTCGATTGCATTCTGCAGTGATGTCAAGGATTGTGCAGAAGGGGTTGTCTAGTCTATTCGAAACGGAGAAATTCTCCGTGGACAGGGTAGTCGGGGAATCGGGACGACTCTCGGAATTTTCCACCTGTCATTGTCGATTTCACTTGGTTGCTGAGGAGGGAGATCATTAGAGCGTTGTGGGCGACTGTTGTCACTCTGGTTTACTGTGTATGCAGATTTCTACGAGATACGTGGTTATGCCTCGAGCTCGGTGGACTCCGTTTATGAAACAGCCTTTGATATACATTCTACCTTTCTAGATAGTACTGCCCTCCATAGCGGACAATTACAGTTTCTCAAAAGTAGGAGTGCGCTTCTTCAGCCCCGACAGCAACGCTGCAGAGATGTCCTTGGTCTGCAGCGCAGCACTATTCCACACAGCCGTATATCGAAGACCTGCTACTCGTCAGCACGCCAATCCCCACAGACATGCACCGCAATGAACCCCCCCCGAAGCAACTTACCATCCTGCACGGAGTGGTCCCGCGAGTAATTCAGAATTTCCTTCGTGCCCTGCACGGCGACGGGGCTCTTCGACGCGATCAGCTTGCCCATGGCCAGCGCCCCCTGCACAGCCGCCGCCTTCGACTCATACACCGAGCTGACGAGCCCGACGCGCAGCGCCTCTTCCGCACCGAAGATCCTCGCCGTCAACGCCACCTCCTTCACCCACCCAAAGTTCCCCACGGCCTTGGGCAGCCGGCTCAGCGTGCCGATGTCCGCCGCCAGCCCGATGTCCACCTCCTTCACGGCGAACCGGGTGTCGCGCGCGCACACGCGCACGTCCGCTGCCGTGGACAGGTCCACCGCCAGCCCGAGCGAGAAGCCGTGCATGGCGACGATGACGGGCTTCTCGCAGCGCTCGACGGCTGTGATGCAGTCCTGGAAAGAGGCGATGTGTCGGCGGAAGTGGACGGCCTTGCGTGCGGGATCGAGTGGGCCGTTGTTGCTTTCGTCTGAGAGGAGGCCTTCCGACGCGGCGGTTACGTCCAGGCCCGTTGTGAAGGCCTTGTCGCCCGCGCCGCTGAGGACGATGGCCCGGACTGAGGGGTCCTGGGAGAGTTGGTCGAAGAGCTGGCCCATCTCGATCCACATCCTGGATTATTTGTTAGTATGAGAGGTACGGCTTATTATGGGATCCTTGTAGTCCATTCGATAGGTAGGTCACTCACGCCTCAAAGAAGGCATTCATCTTGTCTGGGCGATTGATCTCCACATGGGCGACATATTGATATTCAGCCGGAAACCGGACACTGAAGTATTTTACTGACTCGTAGGTGAACTGTGCCATTTTGTCTGATATTATGAGGCTAGAATAATGTGATTTGAGGCTCCTAAAGGCGCCTTTTGTTGTGTGCTGGTATGGTCAGTTAGTTATATGTTGGCACCTCAAAGTGAACAAACGGACCTCGGCAAGTCTCGCAGTCGATGGCTTCCGAGCGCTGGATGCTGGTCAACACCCGGGATACGTCGTATTATGCAGATGATGGCAGATTCTTGTTTTGCAAAGCCTAAAAAGATAGCAAGACTGATTGAAAATAACTTGAGATGTTTGGTGTGGTCCCAGAATGAGATGGAGATGCAGCCCTTTAACAATGCTGGCTTCACGTGCCTCGGTCCGACTAGACAAGCTATGGAGATATGGAGATGGAAGTCATATAGATGAGAAAATCATGCTACAATACTCACTCATAATGCGATTGGATATACTGGCTTCAATCTACCATTTTAACCTGCCTGAGCGAACGGCCCGGCGAGAGAGTGATCCATGACCGGGTCATTTAATGTCTGTCTACCTCTCAGGCCCAACCACCAAGCTTCAACCTTCTCTCGACCCATCAGCTTCTTCCCTGATAAATATCTACTAGATCGGTCGATTTGATTGCGAATATACCGAGTAATGACCTGTTGAGGAAGAAGATGACTCACAGACGAAGTGGTAGACAAATGGAATGGCCCAATACGAGCCGGATTACTTTTCTCATTTCAGGCGCAACTTCTCCAATATCATCATCACCAACAAGTCAGCCGCAGCCTGCGAATCGCGATGTCGACTCTCTCTGCCTGGTTCGGACCTCTGTACGACGCCATCTTCTGTCCATCTCTCCCTTTCACTCTCCGCTGGCGATTGCTCGGCCTCCAGCCCATCGTCTTTCTCACAAACACCATCCAATACCTTTCCACGCTCTTCTACCAAGGCCACCGCACAGCCATCAGCATACCCCTCAAACGTGCACCCGGCCACTCCCTGCGCGCAATCGTCTATCACCCCGGTAAACCAAGCCCGACGCGACTCCGCCCGCTTCACCTCAACATCCACGGCGGCGGGTTCCTCGGCGGGCTGCCAGAAGGCCAGACCTCGTTCTGTCAGCGCGTCGCTGACGACACCGGCGCGGTGGTCGTGTCGACATCCTACCGATACGCTCCGCGGTATACCTTCCCGACCGCCCACGAGGATGTCCAAGACGTGGCCGAGTGGTTGGTCGAGAATGCCGAAAGATTGTGGAACGCGAACCCGAGGACTTTGAGCGTGAGCGGGTTCTCGGCGGGTGGGAACCTGGCCCTAGGGGTTGCGCAGTGGTTGGCGCAGACGGAATTCTGCGTCAAGGCGTCGGTGACTTTCTACGCTCCGGTGGGTTTCTTCCACACTCTTATGGTGATCAGAAGGATGACACGCCAGGTTCCGATAAGGTTGATCTGCGGCTACCACCGTGGGAGAAGCCGAAGCCTGCGGGGATACCTGAGAAAGATCCGTTGGCTTGGCTCCTGCCCTTGATGGATGCGTATGCAGGCCCCGAAAGGCTGGAGAATATGGGTAATCCTCTGCTGAACCCCATCCTGGCGGACATCGAGTCGTTGCCGCGGCATATGATGTTTGTCGTTCCCAAGGTGGACATTCTATTGCAGGAGCAGAGTGTTTTCATAGAGCGGTTGAAAGAGGAGGCTGCAGCTGTCAACCGCGGTATGAGTGAGCAGAACTCCAAGATGCAGTCGAGAGTCTACCGTATCGAGAGTAGATTCGATGAGGGCCAGATACATGGGTGGTTGGAGAGTATGATGATTCTTTCCCCAGCTTGTGTATACTCGCTAACACGGTTTCCACCGACTAGTTCCGTCCATTTTCATTGACGCGAAGCTCAGGGATGCAATATTTGACAGCGCAGTGCAATTTTTGGAAAATGCGTATGCTAGTCATGAGTGAGTGTCTAAGAACTTGCTCAAAGCCTCCGTAATCGTGTATACAGCATCTCCCCTCCGTCATTTGCATTTCCACTCCATGAAACCAGCATTCTACCTTAGTAGAGACTCACTAATGTCCATCGGAGGACCAAACAGTACTATGCCTACAGCTAGTAACGTTCTACGGAAATTTGGAAAATGCGATGATGTGAAAATAGATTAAGTCACTATGAACGATAGAAATAGTACATAATTAAGTAAAAGGAATGACTCGCATCCACCCGTTTCACACTTTCCATCAAGTGCATGCGGAGAAATCGAGTATCAGTCCATGAAACGGAAGAAAGATTGAAACGCAAGTCGTCAAGTCATGCTCGTATGCGAATGAGCTCAGTCGTCAGCCAATTTACTCGATGGAGATCTTCTTGGCGCCGGTGGGAGCAGCCTTCTTAGGCACAGTGATGGACAGGACGCCGTTCTTGAGGCTGGCCTTGACGTTGTCCTGGTCGATAGGGGTGGGGAACTGGAAGGAGCGGTGGAACTCGCCGACGGAGCGCTCGGTCACCCAGTAGCGGTGCTTGTTCTCATCGGACTTGCTGACCTGCTTTTCGCCGGTCTGCGCAACCTCGGTGTTCTCCTTCTTGTCCGACGACTTCTTGGAAGATTCTTCGCTGGACTCGTCGGGGCTGCCGGCATGGTATTCACGCTCGGTGCGGCCCTTGACCACCAGGGTCTCGGAATCGGTGAACTCGATATCAATGTCCTTCTGTGCGATGCCAGGAAGCTCGCCGTCGAGGATGTAGGCGTCTTTGCTCTCGCGCACGTCAAAGCGAGGCGCAAAGGAGCTCCCTGCGGAAGTCTGACCCTTGCTGGAGCGGTGGACATCATAGTCGTCCAGGAGGCGGAAGAGAGGCGAGAAGTCGCCAGGAGTGTGGAAGGTGCGGAAGAGAGACATATTGATTGGGCTTGTGTGGTAAGGATATTAAGAAAGAGGAGTTGTTGGAAAGCTGTTATTGTCGATGTATTGTTTTGAGTCTTGATTCTGATCTGAGAACTTGAAGACAAAGTTGACACGGGGTTCGAGGTCCTCTATATACCCTTGACTTATGAATCGAGAATCCATAATGATGCTATTCCGAAAATCGTAAAAACTCCTCTTCGAACTCCCTAGATGTTGCTTGATGATGCAAGATTGCTCGAAGTGGCGAGTAGAAATTGGATGCTTCGCGTAGATTCGATACAGATCACGTGATCCTCCGAGCTTTCTCCGCAGCGAAGTTCTTGGGAAGCCTCGAAGACAAGCGCCTATCCATGGAACCTCCTAGATTCATCCAGACCAAATCCTTTGTTAAGCTGTCATATAGTCTGCAGCATTATTGCATGAAGTTCCCTGCTCCAAGGTTCCGTTCAGCGCGTTCTGGCTATCAGCCATTGGATGCTTCGCCACCAGGTCAGGTATCCAACTAGAACGAAATGATGACACAAACATTCTAGACATCGATGTCCTCATATAACACCACACATGCAGGGGCATAGCACGAAATATGTGAGACAGGAAAACGTAATGATTCATGGTCATGGTGGAAGTCGTGAGGGAATCAGGTAGGATTTCGATGTAGTTCCATATCCTTCTCCTCCTCCTCTTCATCATCATCATCATTGATGCTCAACCTGCGCGGAACCTGTTTATACACATGGACTGCCCTGGGTTTGCTACTCCCGATGCAGCACCGGATCCCGGTAGACTCCCAAGGTTGGATGAGCTGGTGGTGAGGACAAGGGGAACGACGATGTGGCGGGTGTTCATTTGTCCTACAGGCAAAGGACGAGAGCCTGTATTCTACTCCGACTCGGATTCTTCAGGTTGCATAACCTTCTCATCGAGTTCCTGTTTCCGACCGTTAACAAAGCCATTTCTCAAGAAGCAGTGTCTGTGTCCATTACCCTTCCCAGTCTTTCCTTCAAATTCTGTAACTGGCTCTCCTTGATGACAAGATGGCGGTCGTCATCTAGATCCTCCACAATATAGTCGTGTCTCTCTTCGTCGTACTTGAGGATAATGGCCTTGACGGACGGATCGCACTCGATGAGCACTCCTGTGATGCGTGATCTGTCAGCAACACTGTATCTTTTCTCAAGATAAGAGATCAAACATACCTCTTACTGCGCGCGGCATGATTATTTCCGGTATTCTGGTCTGAGAGGGGGCACTGGGACGAGAAAGGTGCAAGTTGGCAGTGAAAACTATTATTGGAGTCAAGGTGGAATATCCGCTCTGATGCGATTCATATTCACGCCAAGACATCTTAAGGCACCAAGGCAAAAAATACGGCAGACACCTTTTGCATGGGGACGACGACTCTAATATTGTCAACTTTGACAAATAGCAGAAGAAGATCAATAATACTAGGTGTGTTGATAATACTGAGTCTAGCTCATTTGTCAATTGTTGATCTATAGCGTATTTACTCCTCCCCTTCAGAGCTTCGCTCTACATCGTCTCCATCTCCCTTCTCCATCCCCAATGGTGCTGACCATCCAGTACAAGCCTGGACGATTGTCGACACCAGAGCGAGAACGCAGCCTCCGAGGATCAATACCTTGATAGCGTGCTCATAGCTCTCAACGGCGACCTTCTTCTCCGTGTCTGTTAATCGTCCCACCAGCGCAGGACTTCCCAACAACTTGCGAACAAGTTCCCCCTTATCAAACAGACCATTCTCACCGAACCCCTTCTCAAGCGCTTTCTTCAGCTCACGCTGGAAGAAGCCGCCGCCGATGGCTGATCCAAAGCTTCCGGCGGAGCCCCGGAACATGCCTAATAAAGAGGTAGTGATGTAGTGCACATCAGGGTTCGTGAGATGAAGCATATGGGAGAGCGCATAGTTCATTGAGGCGCCAATGAAGAAGCCATTGAGAAAGGTGGCGACAACATAAGCAACGGTTGATGAAGACGGCGTTGAGAGCAAGGCCAGGACGAAGCTTGTCAGAGCAAATAACAAAAGTACGACCAGGGTTGAGCTGCCGCCGCAGAGAGTTAGTGGGGCCAATCTAGGTAGATAATTGCAGCATCACTCACATGTAGTAGCTACTTGTCTTGCGAATATGGATCCATCCAACAAGTAGACCCCCAAGACCAAACCCAGCATTGGTTGGAACCAGGATCAACCCAGCCGATGCAGGAGACCATCCTCGAACCGCCATTGCATATACGGGGGTGAAGAAGAGGATCGACCAGCGGGCCATCATCGAGATGAGAGCTGCCACACAAGTGGCCAAAACGCTTTTAGCTTTGAGGACCTCGATTGGGATAATTGGTTCGGAGGTGAATCTCGATTCGATCAGGAGGAAGCTAGAGAAAAACACAACACTCAGAACCAGAGGCGCAACTGTGACACTTGAATCGGGCGATGCAAGACTGAAGAGTAGCAAAAATACCGAGGCGGTCTGGAAGAAGGGTCAGAGATCATCTATAACAATATCCTTTCTGGACTTACTAGAGTCAAGGCACCTGGATAGTCGACCTTGGCAAGTTTCTTCAAGTTTGACTGTGCCCCGAGCTCGATGGAGCCCTTTACTGTGTTGCCGGGGACAGCGAAAAATTCGACCAAGCCCAGAATCAATGATGCAGGTGCTTGGATCCAGAAGATGAGACGCTGGGGCCATTGAGTCAGCAGCAATATCGCAGACATTGTGGATTCTGGAGCAAATGACCTACCCATCCATACTTGGGCGTCAATAGCCCGGCAATAACGGCGCCACATGAGATGCCAGTCGTCAGCCCGACATTAAGCAAGCCGATAAAAAGACCTCTTCGTTCCTTGCTCGTAAGATCGAGGATCAAGATGAAGGATGTGACCATGACGCCGGCACTACCGCACCCAGATACTGCGCGCCCCAGAAGGAATATCGGCAGACTCTGAGCAGCTGCAGTGATGAATAGTCCGATGGATAGCAGTATGACCGAGAAAAGCGTGTAACTACGGGCCGTGAAGATCTGACAGAGACGTCCTGCTAGAGGAGTAACGCTGGACATTGCAATCTTTGCACAAGCACAATTAGCTTTCTGTGATGCCTTCAAGGGGCACGAGGACGTATGAGCGTACGAGATATGCTGAACTGAACCAGGTAGTCTCTGAGAAAGCATCGAGATCTGCAGCAATGTCAGATTGGGCAGTGGTCAACATTGAGATATTTGTGGCTATCATAGCAAGTCGTCAGTTGTTGTGGCCATTGAGGATGAAACGATATCCATATACTCTGAATGAATAGTAATAAGCCAACAGCAATGACTAGAATGGTTCCCCGAAAGACCGAAAGCGATGTCTGTGTTTCCTCGTTGTATGTAGGGGTGCGCTCCATCAGAGGCGTGGCCTCAGAAGGCGATGCATCTCGTTCTCGTTCAACCGCCATTGTGTTGCCGTGATACCGAGCATTCAATTATTGGAAAATAGTACTGGTATCTCCTTTCTCTCCATGAAGTTCTCTCATGAGAGACTATATATAGAGTACGTACTCTGTCGAGACGGGAAAAGTTGGGGAGCTTATTCAGAGTGGAAACGGGCATTTATAATCAACGCCAGCTCGACAACTCCAATCATGACCAGGCTTGCTCAGTTGTTCGCGATGCAGGTTTTGATAAGATAATCTTGCATTCAACCATCATGGGAAAGCATCATCTAGCGCCAATGGCACCTGCGTCTGATGCTGACTGATTTGGATGTTTTACTGTGTAGATAGCGTGCAGTGTCCCCTTTCCAAACACGATGCTGAACTCCGTCAATTTTCCCATGTTAAATCCCCAGCTCCAACAATGAAAGATGTTGGCTTAACAGGAGCCATTTGTTCAATGTTCGATAGCGCAAGTATGATACAGCAATATCTTGTCTTTGTTAGCGACGCCTTTTTTGCTTGGAGTGATCATCTCACAGTTGATTTAATCCCCAGTTTCCAGGTTTATCCTTAAAAAGGGATCTCGGCGAATAACTTGTCAGCGATACGGAGACATAAGAACTTCTGGAACGCGCGCCGCTACGCGAGCACGCCGGCCTGAATGGAGGGATGTGACAAGCTGCTCCCACATGAAGCTTACGGATTCCTCTGGGATATAAGGCTCGGCTATGAGTATCTCCCTGGAAAGCTGGAGGTATACAAAGCTACGGCCCAGGATATCCCAACCCTGAGTTCTTTTAACCTTTGCTGGAAAACGCTTAATGAATACTACTTGCCATAGACACTATTGTGTGTGCGGATTGCGTAGGACAAAACAATTTCCCTGTAAGCTCTTCTATAATAAGGTAACTAGCCATACCACGAACTAAACTCATCAAAAATGCCTAATGGTTGCGCTATGTATCCTGATTATATGCTTCTAAATCCCCCTTTATGCTTATATAACCCTGCTGCAGCTGAAATGACTCTTATCATATAGTGCTCAATAAGATTGGGGTAGGAATCAAAATTTCAAATGTATCTCTTTCTATATAAGCATTATGCTCTATACATCAACTAGATAATGTTTAGAAAGTGTTCATAAAATTACGAACCCCAGTTGTCTCTTAGGCGGTTGAGAAGGCGCTAAAGATCTTCGAAAGACCATCTGCAATACATTCCTGTGATACATGTTAGCTGATGAACAAGTTTTTTATAGCTTAGTCCGAATCAACTCACGGATTGTTCCGACATTGCAGAGTCGAACCTCTTCCAGCTGATTTTCTCCTCATTACCTAGCCCTCTGATCGCCGCTGCTGAATCTACTGAGTTTTCCCCCTGTACTTGGTGGACCAGCTTTAACAAAGCCACAAGTTCTATCCTAGGGATGAAAAGCATAGATAAGTCACCAGTCCATTTTGGCAGTGATGGTAGGACGATACGGTAGCTTTCGCGAAACGGATTTGCGCTCAGCGTATCAGCTTCGGGGGGACACTCTGAAAGGACGTCTATAATGTCAATTGATAGCTCGCTCTCATCCTCTGTAATAACGACCTGCTGGTCAGGTTTAGGCCCAGAATCAGTTTCTTCTTTTTTGGATTCAAGCCATATGAACCGAGGGACCATTATTTTTGTGTCATAGCTGGTGCTGGTGCCAGAGCTGGCAGGAAGAGCAAGGCTCCGGAACAACCGTCTGCGGAAGTCACTGGCGTCTTTACCGCGGATGTCAATATACCAACCACCATGTGGGCCCTAGTTTCCTGAAAAATAGCGATGCACAGTCCCTGGAACTTGGGTGCTGTGTTGTTGGACAGGACTCAGTATCAGTAGACAAACTGCGCGCACAAAACCATCCTCATTGATCCCGGCCTGTTCTGAGCCGCTGTCTGATGCTGGAAAGGGGTAGAATGCATGCGAGCTGCAGACTTTGAAAAGCAGCGCGGGTGCATTTGGTGATTTATTGACTCCAAATTCAGAGAGCCTCTCCGCAACCAGGCGCTTGAACATCGCCTCAGAGAGATTTGTGTCTCATGTCAGCCTCAGATTCAGAGCAACTCACCATGACCAGGTTCAGGTGATGAGCAACTATCGCTTCGACCCAGTAACGTTTCTCGAGAATGTGTGCAAAGAATTCATCTCTTTGATCATGGTACCGCAATCGGTGGAGAACGTTCACCTCTTCTGTTTTGGCACTTGAGTATGTGATCTCCCCGCGAAGAAGTGGACGCGCATTTGGCATATTATGAAAAGAAGGGCAGTTCACAGGAAAGGTTGAGAATTAGCTACGTAGGAGGAGGTTGGTCAGAAACGCGTGCCTCAAGGACGGTAAAAAGAATTCATGGATAGCTGAGGAGGCAATTCTTTTCATTATTGCCCAGCAAGAGCCTGAGTCGCGTGCCCCTGAAACTCAGAGAGCCGCTCGTTCTGCAGACATGAGACAAAAATTGCGCCCAAAACAACCACCATCAGCTCGGAACGAATTTTTGAAGATTCTCAAGAACAAAGAACCTTACACGCCTAAAACCTCGACTAACCATTGTCTCGCTCTTGGCTACATATTGACACCAAGAAGCTATGCGAGCAGTATCCAGTGGCCAGCAATGGGCATTCAGCCATCAAACCTACACGAGCGCGATACAAACCACAACTGAAACAGAGGCATTTTTTAGCACCGGACAAGCTACAGCGCAAACACATACCGCCACCTGAAAGCCTTCCTTACAAGCATCCTAACCTACCTCGGGAAAGCGACAGAGCAACCACCGACCTCAGAAATTCTCACCAGCCTAGATCGTCTACACGTCCAACTGGATTCAACCAAAGAGGATGTAACAATCGCGAAGAATGCAATCTGCGGGATCACCACCCACCCAGCTCCGGACGGATCCCTACAAGCCAAAGGAGGGAAGAAAAGCTGGGCTCGGACAGCCGGCCCCCCTCCACTGTACACATCTCGACCCCCGTCGCCGGACGAAGCTAGAATACAACGTGAAGTAACAGTCAAGCTGCACGACCCCATCTCAGCTGCTCTCCTTCGAGCCACAACGTCTGAGAAACTCAGAGAGCGTGTGAGGAGGATTACGAGCCAAATAATTAGGCTGCGCCCAACGGGTATCGTCTGCGCCCAGTGGGCTCCGCTAGGCAAACTGTCATCCTTCCTGCTCTCCCTTGAGCGGGGACTTGTGAGAAGGGAAACAAAAAGTGGAGGGCAAGTCCAGGATCGACAACTGCATCTGAATGCCAGCAAAGAAGATTTTTGAAATCAGCTTCTTGTCGTCAAGCTCGTGCCCATGCTATCTTCTGCAGATGTGTCTCAATTTCGTAAAGGCAATCCTTGACCCGCCCGTTGCTTGCGCGGCAATTTCCTAGGAAATCGACACGGCCGGAACAGAATATCTGATCATCAGTCCAACGACATCGTCGACATGCAAATTGTCACGCCAGATGCAAGACGCTACCATGGCCTCGTTCTCGGGCAGTAGGAAATCCGCGCCAGTTTAAGGTAGCTAGCTCTCGGTGGCAAAAAGCTTGGTCTACCAGGACGGTTGGTAAGACTACCTGGATACGAGACCTTATACCTATATCCGTACTCTATAGAAGCAAAGGATATATATGACAAAGATACAGGGAAATTGCTATAATATTATTAGATTGCCGGAAAGGCTAAAAACCAGTGATATCTTCTAACCTTGCCGCCCACTTTAATCCACGAACGGTAAGGCTTTGAGCCACTCCCTACGTTCTTCTTCATTCCTGGCTTCACGTTCCAGGAACCTCCTCACCCCCTCATCTAGTTTTCTCCTAGATTTTTCATAATCTACGCTGCTCACCCTGCCATCCCAATGTTTAAAACAGCCAGTGTCCTCAACGAATGCATTCATGAGTTCAACACCTTGGGCCCATAGCTCGCCATCCTGCTCCTGCTGCTGGATTTCATCATCCGAGAACTGCAATGGAAACGGCATTCCAGGAGAACTGCCATCCCCCCTCGCGCCAATAATATGCGCCCATTCTTTCTCAACATCTCTTAACAGGTCGTTGAGGAGCGGCTCGTAGTCCATCAAGACTAATCCTGGAACCACACTAACTTGATGCCGGAGAGTATTCTGGCTCTGTATTGCTTGAAAGACCGTTTCGTTAACCTGAAGACACCGAACTAGATAGAGATTGTGCAGTGTCTGTGCTCGATGGAGTGCCATTGCCTTCCGCTGTTCATTAGGATCCATGGAGTCAAAATTTGGTGGTAAAGGGACCTTCCCCAAATCTTCAGGCACCGGGCCGTTGTAATCGAGAAACGCTGGGCGCCCGACCTGCATAAAAAGCGGACAGGCACTGACAGACTGCCAGTCAATAATTCCCACAATACGGCTTGGGTCTTCAGGGTCGACAAATATATTCTGCGAATGAAGATCGCCATGCCATAAAACTGAGGCATGGGTGGCTTTGTTTTCCGGGAGAACATGAGGTGCCACCTTGAGATATTTTTCCAATGCGGAGAGCTTTTTGGAGAGGCTAGGCTGGTATTGTCCGGGTCCATAGAAAAGACCTTCGGGCATTAAGGGGTACCGGAGACCTGCCTTTGCAGTTGCAATTTCCCTCCGCGCAATAGCCATCATAAATTCTGTGACTGTTGACCCTAAAGGTTGTGCATGGATAAGCACAGGATAATGATATTATGAGTCAGGGATGAACTTACATGGACCACGCTCAATATCCAACTCGCCTTTCCTGAAGTCAAAGAAAGAACGGTGATTAGTCGGACCAATGCCAAACGTTTTGCTCCATACTTCGTTCCCAGTTGAATCAACGTATAGGGGCGAAGTAGTATCTGAATTGTCAGGAAGGTCGCCTTTATAGTACAACGACCCGAACCGAGAGAATTTTGTAGCTGCTAGGCGCCTTTCAATATCAACAATCTGGTCCAGAATTTGGACTTTCTGCTTTCCTTTCATGGTGTCCCATACGTTGGTTAGTACGATGCCAGCTTGCTTCTCCATAAGGATATACTCTGCTCCGAGAGGATTCTCTGATGCTCGAGAACACCATGCGTATACTCTCGGAACCGGGAGGTTCAGAACATTCCTCAACTAGTAACATTTAGTGTCGACACGCAAAAAGAAGCCGCAGTAGAAAAGAAAGCAAACCATACAAAGTCCAGAGTTGCAACCTCACTAGCTGTTGTGAAGTGTGGTCTGCCTGCATTGGGATTTGGAAGTTTCGCAATAATCTCGCGTCCATCGTTCATGGTAAGCTGAAAAACTTTGTTGTATTGGCCCTCTGAGATCTTTAACACTTCGGTGCATGATCTCGATCCGATCGCAGAGGCAGCTCGTTGCAGAAGTGTTGAGAGGTCGAAATTGACATAGCGGCAGGCAAGTTGTTGTCGCTCGTTCCAAAGCCAGCGCCCTGAGGTAAAACGATTGAGTGCCTCAAGGTCATGCTTTGGATCTGCGATATGCTCGGTCTCATTCATTTTGGAATTACTGGAAGAAAAAGGAGCCGCCATAAGGGTATCGTGGAGCGTACAGCGGCGGAAAAGCGTGGCTCCTAGAATTCTTCTCAGGAAGTGACCCCGGATGGCCTTCATTTCTAGCGTTTGAGAAAGGTGGGAAGATCTGCCATTTCGTTGCCATGAGGGCTAAGACCTTTACCAAGCTCACCTATATGAGCATCGCACACCTGGCACCTAGATAGAAATCTAAGCATCTCGTTCAGGGATATTCTACGCCTATGACATAATCTGTCTGTCTGGTTGAAGATCACATGATCAACCCTGGATGTTGACTGTTATCATAGTAGAGAGGAATTAAGTCCACTACAACTTTCACGTCTTCGCAGCAGAATCAGCATGGTGATAGGTTTCGTGGTTATAATAAAACCACGCTGTCAACCCCATGAGATCCATCTGGTAGAAAAAGAAATTTCCCATCATTATGATCTTATACGTTGATCCGATGTGTTTTGAAGTTCCAGAGGCTCGAGATGGTGGATCATCTGATATCTCTACAGTCAGCCATCTGACCCAAGCCATGGACAATGGCAGATGACGGTCTCATCTGAGCGGACAAGCATCGTCGAATGGGAATATAAGTATGTTTGCCATAGGCGCCCTGAAATAGAATTGTTGTGCGGTTCTAGATCCAGACTCAGTATCCAAAATGAAACCCATCTACTTCACCGCGTTGTGCCTCTGTCTCTCTACCGTACACGGTAGCCAGCACCTTGCAAAACGTACGGCCAACCATGCCCTGGTTCCATTTGAAGATGTACTAATCGAGGTGCACAGGGGAGATCAGAAAAATCTCTGCAGAACAGGGGAAAACCCCCGCCTTCAGTGTGGAGCAGACTGTGCTTACGGTTGAGGAGAGTCGTATGTTCTACACTACTAGACCGGTCAGTATCTAAGCAAAGCTAATAATCGTAGATTGCTATCGCTGCTCGTATCCTTGCTCGCATGCTGTCTGCTGTCATGGGGAGTTCCCACAATGCTGTTCGGATGGGCGCCACTGCTATTGCTGTGAGGACTGATGGCGGAGTATCTATCGAGAGGAAAGATATGCTATCGACGTTTTTGGCTGTCTACTTGCACATGGCGATGATGTCTTGCGGGACAAATGGACGGAGGATATTCAGAAGTTGAGACAGTGGGATCCAGTCCAGTGTTCCGTGAATAGTGTCGATGGGATGACCGCTATAGAGCACCCGAGCGTACAACTCCGACGTGGACGTTTCCCTGTATGGATCAGATTAGAGCCATTGAGTAAAGTGGCATAGAGACTCACCAGATTTCTATGGCGATGTTTGATCCCATCCCTGGCCACCGTAGGGCTTTAATCCCCAGAGCCCCTAGAATGGGCGCAATGTCCCCATCATGAACAAAATTGTGGCTATACGTAAGCTCCAACGATCCCTGCTCAAGTGCCTCGAGCTTGCGCACAACCTCCCCGATGAACAGCCCCTCGACGAGTTGAATATAGAGCGTGGCATTTGCATTGCGCCGCCACCAGTAGTTATACTCCCAATCACCAGCGCGAAAGACTTCATCCGCCTGCTCCGCGGTGACGCATTGGGATGAATCATCCACACGACATGGCAGTTGGTAGCCATTACACAAACGGGCCTGGAAATTGTCGGCAAAATGGTCAAAGTTGGAGGTCCAAGCGCTGACACTCTCGGCGTCGAACATGGTTGCAAGTGTGCTACGGAGAGTCTCCGTGACGTTGAGATGGTCTTTCCACTCTGCAGTGGACTCAATTGTCGATTGGAGCGTATCGCGCGCCGCGCAGGGAAAGCCCCTGTCCACCGTATCTATCGCGGAGGCTTGCTGGTGTAGCGGAACGGGGCCTCGATGGTCGGGCCAGATTCCGCGCAGCACGGCTCCCGCTGAGCCTTGCGTAAGGGCTGAGGAGCTGGAGCGCAACCAGACTTTCTTGGGGTCAGGAGTGGAGGGGAGCAAGCCTAACCGTTCACCATAGACGGCGCGGAGGTCGCTACCGTGCCGGTAGCCATCCAGAAAACCGCCGCGTGTGAGTTGAGGATACTGGCAAGATCCATTGACGTAGGTGTTGAGAAACGGATTACTTTGATCAGAGTAGGCCTGGCCATAGACGGCTACCGGAGACGGATGTTGTGAAGCAAGCGCCGCGTATGTGTGCGGGTTGATGTTGTCGCAGTCGTATTCTTGATCCTAGGTGGAATGTTAGCCTGTGTGTAGGTAAGAATGGAACAATCGCAATACCTCGCCTCCTGGAAGTATGTTGTAAGGGGTTCGCCGTTGGTGACGCTGGAAATACTCAAGATATACCAGCTTGGCTTGAACTGATTGATAGGCAACGGGTGGAGGCACGGAATAGGTCTCCACGCGGGGATGAGGCATCGAGCAATAATTATAGACATCATCCCGGGAAGAGGAGCTGGCCCGATCAGAAGGAGCTGTATATATCCCTCCGTACGTGCCGTATGATGTGTTGGAAATGAAGGTAGTGTGGTTGAGAGGGGGATAAAAAGTGTTTAGGGAGGCGACAGTCCCGGTTCCCGAGAACAACAGCATCAACACCGACGAGAACATGTCGACTAGAGCCTCATACAAATTTATCATGGTTAGAAAGCAATGGCTGCATCGTGGCTATTTGAATCAACAGCCCAAGCAGATATCTCCAGGAACGCGCTGAGACTGAAAGACTGGAGGGAGTTGATCTCCGTCCACTCCACACGCGGAATCTCCCACGTGCTGTGTTAGAATAACATCAACACCAATATCAACCAGCACCTTTCCCTCTCCCTTCTCAAGGTCTCATCCTTCAAAGCACCGCATTCAATCCGTCACTGAGGATTGTCAGAAATACTCGGACTCAAAAACCGCACAATTCTTGCTGCATTGACTGAGGATATTTCAACTAGCCCTGGAGGTAAGTCTTTCATCATGACAACTCCAACCATTTTAAAGGGAAGCAGTCCTGATCTCGCGTCCTAGGTATTTATTATACCAATTCCAGAACGTCGAGATCATCATCCTCGACTCGAGAAATATATATGACCGACGTCTTGAGGGTTGACTTGACAACAGGCATTGTCTGGCCTAATGCAATATGATCTCGACTAACAAGCTAAGGGGTGGTTTGACCGTTCACCGATCAAAAGCCGCTACTATTGATCGTCCGCAACCACGTTTGATTCGCGTAAATTGCTATCAGTTCCTACTCCGTAGGTTCTCCTTGAGAAATGATGTATTATCGGGGCGCCGGAGGCTCTGTGATTCGGCTAAGGAAGCGGACCAGAACCAGTTGATGCCTCGGTGGAGAGCATTTGCTGCCTATCAGGATTCATGAATCTTTTCTTTGTTCCAGTCTCCCAAATCCCAATATTAATAACAACCAATTTAGTCTATCTGACGTGAGACACCCGTGGTGTGGAGATTAATTGCATTTCAACCTCCATTTCAACTAGTGACACAGGCTCACAGGCTCACAGCATGTTCACGGGCGCAGAAGGGGCAAAATTGGATTGAGCATCCAAGGCTCAGAACCATTGGGACTTTCTGGCCAGATGCTGTACTCCTGACGCCAAAGCTGTCCCATCTCTAATGAGTTCGGATTCGCCTCCCGCAGACCCATGTCAAATAAGTTCAGAACAGGCCAGCGCTCGATGCAACGCCAAACGCCCAAGCTAACAGGCTAAACAGCCCCAAGACTATTGCTAGGCTCGGTGGATCGTTCGTGATGGCCGTTCAGAGGCCAACCACACTTGTCTTGGATACTGATATTCTGGACACTGGGGACATGATATTTTCTAGCTCCTACAGGGGTATTGATCGTTTTGCATTTGATCGCGACTCGTTCCCCTTTTTTTCTGTTATCCTCATCTTTCCCGAGTCCCAACGTTGGCGTCTCCATCTCTACTAAACAATTAATGTGCTAGTTTTCCCTCCAGCAGATCACAAATCATGTCTCTAAAATGCCGTTGAATACCATGATCAAATCTCTTTTCTCTTCGCTCCACTCTTTTCGTGGTCGGCCCCAGGCAATATTGTCGCGCAGAACAATACACGTCGCGGCATGCATCTTTCTGATTGCGGTTGTTGCGATTGCTTTAAATCTTGGGTTTGGAGGCCCACGCAGCCTACGCGACGCTTCTACGATCTATCAGCATGTGGTCGGCCAGAAGAATGAGGTCGATTATTGGGAATGGGAGACCATATCGCGCTTCCGCCCACAAATGAAGAAGGGAGATGGTGAGAAGCTGTCGCCTGATCTCGAATCACAAGAGGATCCCCTCTGCGACACTTTCCCCGCCTATATCACGTCGCAAATCCAGATAACTTTGAAAATCGGTTCCTCAGAGCCCGCAGACCGTGTCGATTCCCATATTTCTACCGTCACCCGCTGCATTCCCAATCTGATCGTCGTGTCCGATCATGAATCGAAGCTCAATGGTCACCATGTACATGATGTGCTCGCCTCATACCCTTCGTCTTTCTGGAACAACACCCGCGACTATGAAGCGTACGAAGCACTGCGGCGGGGAGATGACAAGCCAATCGATGGCTCCAAGGGCTGGAACCTCGACCGGTTCAAGTTCTTGCCCATGGTAGAGCGAGCATACGAAATCAACCCGACCGCCCAGTGGTACGTCTTTCTCGAAACGGACACCTACATGTTCTGGGATAATATGTTCCGGCTTCTGGACCAATATGACTCGCGAACTCCACTGTACTTTGGCTCCCCGTCCCCTGGCAGACGGGACGACGGTAAGAAGACATACTTTGCGTATGGCGGAGCGGGCTTCGTACTTTCTGCGGGCGCAGTCGACAAATTGCTCAAGAGGAGTGTTGGTTCTCTCGGGGAATACACGCAGCCGTCCTTCTCCATGCAGTTCGCCGATCTGATCAAGTCCGACTGCTGTGGCGATTCCGTACTGGGTTGGGCGCTGTATAAAAAAGGCGTGACTCTGTCCGGACTGTGGCCAATGTTCAATCCGCATGCGCTCCACGGGATTCCTTTCAATGATGCGCATTGGTGTCAGCCAGTCATCAGTCTGCACAAAACCCAGTTCGCGGATATGAAAGCGTTGATCCAGTTTGAGAATCAACGCGATCGGACTGTACGTCTCCTTGATTTTGCATATCGGTCGTCCGCATATTGCTCAATTTTTTTGATGATAACTAATTCATATTCGCATAGACCCCTCTGCTCTACGCCGATTTGATGGATCTCTTGAAGCTGGACACACTGACGGAAAAGACCGACTGGGACAATGGTGACTGGGGTGGTTTCCAAGAACCTCCGGAGTCCCCTGCGCACACCTCACTCGCTGCCTGTCGGAAAGCATGTCATGACCACCATGAGTGCTTGTCGTACACCTACAACTCCAGTAGGCAATGCATCTTTGTCCGATCGATGCGGCTTGGCTCGCAGAAGATCAATCCCCCGGAATCGCAACTCTCCGCTGGCTGGGACGTCGAGAATATCAAGAAGTGGCGGATGTCACACCAATGCCCGAAGGCCTTGTGGGTGCAGCCGAGCTTGAAGCGCATATTCTGATATATATCGCGCGTGTTTTTTATTTTTATTTTTATTTTTTTTTTCCTTCCTGGAATATCTGCATTTTTGGCGCTTGGGGGGGAGTGAACAACAAGCCATGATCCTGTGGGTGTAGTCCCTTGATGTCTTTGATGTCCATGTCACGATACCACCCCCGAAAATATGGGACTCTCGATGTATATTAATGTTATACCCAACACTTCTAGCACATATCATGAATATGATCTATTATTATTCCATCAGTATCATCCCCATCGATACCCTGATGGCTCATCTCGTATCCGATTAGGGTGTCCAACGGAAGTGTTCCGCCTCCAGCTTTCTTCCGACCATTCCGGTGTTCCATTCCGAGCTCTTTCTCCTCGTCCCAATGCGGCAAGAGATGCGCTGGGTGGAGATGAGGAGATACAAAACGGCGGCTGTGTCCCCCGAATGTTCTTCTTCTTTCTTCTTCTCCTTCTTCTCTCTCTCACACTCACAACCTCATCTCATCATGGCCCCCCATCCTCTTTCAATTCTCTCCGAAGCAGAGACCAACATTGCTCGCGATGTCGTCCTCGCAGCACACCCTGATACGGTCATCGACTTCCGGGAGATCTATCTGCTAGAGCCCCCCAAGGCTGAATTGCGCAATTTTCTTGCCCTTGAGCACGCTGGTCGTCTGAGCCCGACTACTCCTCGTCCGCCTCGCCTTGCGACTTGCCAATACGATGTCATCGGTGCTGATCGCATCCCCGCATATCATGAATCAGTGGTGGATGTGGGATCGCGGAAGCGCATCAAGCACCATATTGTCGGGAAACAACACCACGCTGCACTTACATTGTAGTTTTGACTGGAATCCTGGAATACATGATTGCTTCCTACTCACTAGGCCATTGTAGGAGCGAATTCGATACCCTCGTCGAGCGATGCTTTGCCTCTCCTTTGTTCCAGAAGGCCCTTGCGGACTTTGACCTGCCCCCAGGCTTCGAAGTAACCATCGAACCATGGCCCTACGGTGGACTCGATTACACCGAGGAAAAGCGGCGGTACTTCCAGGGCCTCTGTTTCGCTACGGACAAGACCAAGAACAATGCTGATGCGAACTTCTACTCCTATCCCTTACCGCTGATCCCCGTCATGGACGCCCATACTCAAGAAATTATCCGAGTGGATCGTCCGGCCACTGGTGGCAAAGGAGATGGTTTGACTGAGCAAACATTCCAGCGCGACATCATCGGACACTGCAAGGCGTCGGACTATGTGCCGGAGCTTCTGCCTGAAGGCACACGGAAGGATCTTAAGCCACTGAATGTCGTGCAGCCGGAGGGCCCATCGTTCCGCATCACCAATGAATCACTGGTCGAGTGGCAGAAGTGGCGTTTCCGTGTGGCTTTCAACCCTCGTGAAGGTGCAACCATTCACGACGTCTGGTACGACGGCCGTAGCGTTATGTACCGATTGGCCATTAGTGAGATGGTAAGTTGGCTTACAAAGGCCCTCAAAAATGGGGGAAAATAGAAAAACAAAACTAACTCGAAAACCGCAGACGGTACCATATGCCGACCCTCGCCCTCCATATCACCGCAAGCAAGCATTTGACTTCGGTGATGGCGGTGGTGGTAACATGGCCAACAATCTTTCCATCGGCTGTGATTGCCTCGGCGTAATCAAATACTTTGATGCTGTCATCACTGGCTCCGACGGTGTTGCAAAGACGTTACCTAATGCGATCTGCCTGCACGAACAGGACAACGGTATCGCATGGAAACATTCCAACTGGCGAACCGGCCGTGCCGTCGTCACCCGCAACCGGGAGTTGGTCGTGCAGTTCATCATTACCCTGGCCAACTACGAGTATATCTTCGCCTACAAGTTCGATCAGTCTGGTGGCATCACCGTCGAGTCCCGTGCTACGGGCATCCTGAATGTGGTCAATATCGATGCGGGCAAATTCAGCGAGTACGGTAACGTTGTCAGCGGTGGTGTCCTAGCCCAGAATCACCAACACATCTTCTGTATCCGGATGGACCCTGCCATTGATGGACCTAACAACTCCGTTGTCGTGGAGGAATCTCATGCCGTTCCCATGAACGAAGTGACTAATCCAATGGGCAACTTTTACCAAGTAACCCGGCAGACACTGGAGCGGGCATGCTACCTCGACGCCGCCCCTGAGCTGAATCGGACCATCAAAATGATCAACCCTCACAAGAAGAACCCGATCAGTGGCCACCCTGTTGCCTACAAGTTCATTCCACTGGCGACGCAGCGCTTGTTGGCCGACCCCGATTCTATCCAAGCAAAGCGCGCACAGTTTGCGCAGCACCATGTCTGGGTAACCAAGCATCGCGATGGCGAGCTGTACGCCGGAGGACGCTATACTCTGCAGAGCCAGCAAGAAGTGGAGGGCGTCTCTGACGCTGTCAAGCGTGGAGACTCGGTCGTTGACACCGACGTGGTTGTCTGGAGTACTTTTGGCATCACCCACAACCCTCGAGTCGAGGATTGGCCTGTGATGTAAGCTGCTTCTCTTATATATCGTATCCTGAAAACATGCTAACCGTCACATAGGCCCGTCGAGATATTCCAACTGATGATCCGGCCCGCCGACTTCTTCACCGCGAACCCCTCTCTCGACGTTCCGTCGAGCAAGAATGATGCTTCGCGGGTAGTCCAGTCAGAGTGCTGCCGCAAATCTCACATTTGATTTGATATTCTCCGACTGACGATCAGATATTGAAGATTGAAACATATATTGTACAGTGACAAGGAGGTTGGATTTACGGGTTGACTGACTGACGGTGTTTGACGTGTATATTCTTGTACATCATTAATCGATTTTCCAAATTACATACAAGATCTCAAGTAACAATATTGAAGCTGCTTCAACCACCTCTTTTCGTTATGCTCATGATAGATCGTAGTTTCAAGTACAAATCAGTAGCCGTGCATCGATGCCTGGGCAATAAGGCACCCCGCATCTATTCCGCCCTCCGGCCTCGGGATGTTCGGAATGGACTTTCCTCGACTCATTCCATCGTTGTTGTTGATTCCTCCTCCCAGTCGCATTATCCGTTGATATAACCCTTCTGCCAAGCGCCAGGCCATCTTATTTTCATCGGAATCTAATACCTACTTGCCGATGCGATTTAGTCGTCACAACCGATGAGTACGCGGGGCCAGCTCTCAGACCATGGACTCGGAATCCCCCAAGCGCGGAGCTGGTAGCCCAGATCCGCCTCGAAGTAAGAAACGGGCCAAGTACACGCAGGTCGCCTGGTGTGTTTCCCACCCCGCCTTTCTTCGAGTCTAGTAAGATGGAAAGCTCTAACAGGAGGCTTCAGCAATGAGTGCAAGCGACGAAAGTTGAAATGTAGCGGCGAACGTGTCTGCGTGCGCTGTGCCCGCGACAATGTGTCCTGTGTCTACGTCCCCAACGCGCACTCGTTCACCCTCAGGACACCGACGTCTCCTGAGGCGCAGCAAAGAGATGATGGGTATGGGAGCTCAGAGGTTATTATGTGCATGGAGCTGGCTCACACGACGCAGGTTATCATCTCGACTTAGCACGGTTGATCATCAGATCGAAACCCTGCAGCGCGAGATGCGAGCCATGGCAAGTCGCCTGCGACAGCTGGAATCTGCCTCCCCGGCTATGGCAAGGAACACTCCCACCGCCGTGTCAACTGGGTCCTCGATATCGATGAACGCGGGACTCCATCGCATCATGAACCGTCCCCAGTCGCCATCCTTTGTCGGACCAACGAGTGCGGAATTCGGGCTCACGGCGCGGCAGAGGGCATCGGAGGAGATGGACGGGGACAGCGGCGACGATCTTGTTTCAATCGTCGTGCAGAGCCCCGCTCCGGCACCGGAAGAGCAGATTAGTCCGGATGATCCGCTGGGGGGCCTGGGACGCGCTGAGGCGCTGCGTCTAGTAACCGTGTATGAGAATATGGTAGGGTTGATGTACCCCTGCGTCGACCTTGATAGTGTCCGTGGGTATATCGCGGATTTCTTCCGTCATAAGGACCAGCCTGGGCCCAGTCCGCTGGCGACGACGGATCAGGACTGGTTCTTTGCGAGGGATGTCGAGGTCTTGAAGATCCTCCTTGCGACAGCGTTGCTGGTGGAGTCGCATGGGCGTAGTGAGAGGGCGGCGCTGCTAGCGGATAGCGTGGAGGGTCAGTTTGCGACGAGAGTGAACATCCCCGAGGTGGATATGAAGGAGCTGCTCATTTTGACTCTGCTGGTATGATCCGATCTTGTTCTCTGTGCCACTCTTCTGACTTGGGCAGTCCATTTTCCATTCCTACCGCGACGACGAGGTCATCTCCTGGCGTCTGATCGGCATGGCTGTACGAGGATCCATGCAGTTAGGCCTGCACTGCCAGGAGACCTGGCAGAAAACCGGCGGTGTCTTCCCCGGCGAACTCCAATGTGAATGGGCCAGCCGGCTCTTCTGGTGTATCTACGTCCTGGACCGGAAGTGGTCCTTCGGCACAGGACTCCCCTTTGCCATCCAGGACTCGGACATGGACACTAACCTGCCTGAGCCCGGCACGGCCACACCATACCTCACCTGCATGATCAACTACGCGCGCCTCAGCACCAAGATCTGGGGGCTTGTTGTGGGCTGGCGCAGCCGGCCGCGCGCCGCAACTGCAGACTACTGCTCCTACCTCGACTTCCAGGTCCAGCAATGGATCCAGTCCATCCCGCCGGAGCTGCGCTTCGATCTGCCTCAGCACCCCAGCGACCCGGCGCACTCCCAGCCCGACAGCATGATGATGCTACAGGTCCTGCTCGCCCTCCAGGCAAATCAACTTCGCATCCTCGTATACCGCCAGAACCTGCTCAGCAGCGAGAGCATCGAAGCAAACGTCCCGGGGGCCTCGACCGCCGTAGAAACCGCAAAGAGCACCGTGCACATGCTCGACTACTTCTCCCGCGTCTCGGATCTGTACTTCCAGCGCCCGGAGCCGTTTAATTACTTTCTAATCTCGGCACTCGCCGCACTATTCCTCGCTGTTCTGCATGCCCCCGGACGGTTTAGCCAGGTCGTTCGGCCGGAATTCTACGCCGCCGTGGATATGGTGCGGCGGTCGTCGACACGCGCGCGTACCTCCCGCCGCCTGCAGAAAATCATCCGAAGCTTGAAGATGATTTGGATGAATCTGGGTGCGAGATCGCCCCGCCCGTGCCGTCAGGGGCAGCACGGCCAGCGTCCTCTGCACGAGCAGCAGCAGAAGAGCGGTGGGTCTCGCCATGCGGGAACCGCGGGGCTGTCTGTGGCTGGCTCTTCGAGATCTCCGTACGCTCAGCGAGGGGTGTCAGGGATACCCACACCGCAGCTTTCAGCGTCGGCGTCGGCGTCAGCGCCTGCATCCGCGCATTTCCGTATAGCAACCACCGCGGCCGCCGGCCCGATAGATGACACCAGCTGCGAGGATTTGACTAGCTTTTTCGAGATGGCGGGCGGGTTCTATTTCGATTCGCGGATGGGGAACGGGGTTACTACACATAATGAAGGGCTCGTACCCGAGGCAGGGGTTGAAGGGTTCGATGCTTTCCAGGCAGAGGATGAAGCGCTCACAAGAGTGATGGCCGGGTTGCTATAACCCGACGACTGGCCGAAACTTCATAGAACGGTGATTATCATATACTAATTTCCGTCCTCAAACTGGATCTATATCGGATACAATCTACACGAAGCCAAAAAAGCAAACCCTCCTTGCCAATCATACGTCACGCAGCTGCAACACGCTCATCGATCGCCTGAGGAGGATCCGAACGCGAAATGCGGACCATGACATCCGCCGAGCCCCACAAAAAGCCAGACGGCACATCGCGTTGCCAGTCGAAATCAGGATTGACAAACTCCATATCAAACGAGAAGGCGAACTTGGACAGGGTGAGGCGGACCTTCTGCAGCGCCATTTGGCGTCCCGGGCATGAGCGCGGGCCCACTGAAAACGGCCGGAAGGCGCGCAGTTCATCCTTGTTCTGGCCGTCGAACCAGCGCTCGGGCTTGAAGGAGTCGGGCTCATGCCAGTATTTCGGGTTGCGCTGGATACTATATAGATCCGCCGAGACGATATACTATGGGCGGATGATTAGTGGGGTTCTGAGACTGAAGGAGCTGGAAAGACTCACGCCGGCAGGCACATAAACACCGTCTATCACACCGCCGGTGGATAACCGACTGGTGAATTTCCCATTCAAGCCAGGCCAGAGTCGCAGACCCTCATTGACACAGCCGTTCAGGAACCGAAGTCCCACGAGCTGGCTGTCGGTGATCGATTCGAGGGTCGAGAAGGTCGACCGAATCTCGTGTTGCAAAGCTTTGTAATAAGCAGGGTTGCTCAGTAGTGCGCAAAGAGTTGCGCGTAGAGTCGATTCTGACGTTTCGTATGATGCGACCCTACGCTAAATCAGTTCTGCTCGCTCACTAGTTCGTACGGAACGCGTTAGACTCACATAATGCCAATGACGTTGCCAGGCATCTCTGTGCCCATCAGAGGGAACTTCTCGCTCTTGTACGGCAAAGCCTGTGAAACGAACGTGTTCTTTCCCTCTGTTCGCCTGCAGTGATACCATGTTAGCCACGACACAGGAAGAAAGACTCGTTAGACATACTGTTTGATAGCGAGGTTGGAGAGAAACCCCTCTTCCAGCAGAATCTGCGGCCATATCTTGCCAACGATGTCAAGGATCTTTGGGAAACCGCGCCGGGTCAGGAGGAACGAGCCCAGCTCGTATGCCGCCCCAATCATATGCTGGTGATTCTTGTATCCGGTCCAGCCGCCTAGATGGTGGTTCAGTTAGCCCATCAAAAACCTCATGCTGACATTCTTCCATGTAATGCGCTTCTCAGGAGAGTATACCTCTGAGGCTGTCCGGGACGGGCTGTCCCAATCCCAAATCGCCAATGAGATTCCACTCCAATTGCTCCAGGCAATGGGTAAGGTTCATGCACTTTGACATTCCCGGCCTGATGTCCAGAGCGGCCAGGAGCTCATTGAACCGGTTCGTGATGTTGGTTTCAATGCCCCCCGTGAGTGCGAGACGGAATGCGGGCGCGAAGATCTTCCGCAGCTCTTTCTGTTCGGCAACACTGCGCTGGACGACGAATGTGAGGCCGGGGTGGATGAGGTTCCGTCCACAGCATTGGATGGATCCGGGCGTTGTGAAAGTAGCGGCATCAGTGTTGTAGATCGTATCGTGGGCGCTGATGGTGGAGAAGGAGAGTTCGGTTGGCCCGAGACGCACGACGTCGCCTGTTCCCGTCAATATGGCTGCTCTGAAAGGGAGGGGGAGGAAAGCACACTGAGGGATATCTAAAATCATACCATGCTTGCGATGTTGCTCGTCTATACTATAGTTGACCTTGTTGGTCCACAGGATACTAATGATCCACGACTGTCCCCGTCAATATCAACCTTGCTTGACCGTGCGGATAGGGCTCTCACCGGGCATAACTTCGCAAACCGGGGTCCCGGGACGTTGGCCAACGGATCGAAATATGTGCGGTAAATAACATATGCAACGAAGAAGAAGAGCGACTGCACGACGGGCCTCGCCGGTCAGCACGCACTCAATGCAATCCCCGGAGGACGGGCCCTTACCAGAATGATGGCCTGCATAATGGCAGGTCCGACGGCGGTAGTCCGGCGCGTGTTAATCGGATAATACCGAGGTCGAGAGAGTTGGCCGAGCAGAGAGTATAACAGACAGCATCCAGTACGCAGTGTATCCGCCCATCGATGGAGAAATTCGGCCAGTTCAAAACGGAGACTGAGAGATTGAGCGAGGGATATTGAGCAAATTGTAGGCGCTGAGGCCATCCAGTTTTATTCCTTGCGGTAAACAAGGAGGAAAAAGGGATGTGGCGAAGGAGCCCTGGAAAAGGCTCGCTGATGCGCCGTCCTTCCACGGGGCTGCAGATGGGTTCGAGTCGCGCGGCATAGCAGGCGTGTATTCAAGTCGGGACGAGCTGATTGAGGCGTGAACACGAATACGAAATGGCATGCCCGTCGAAGCAAGGGTGAAGCTACCTTATTGCCAGTGTTGTGCGCGGCATTCGATGCATCATATCTCTCTGCCAATGACGACTGTCTCTAGTTCCGAGACCTTTCTCGAGACACTAGCTGCGGAATTTATGATCTGTCCAAGCTTTCAAGGCAAAGCGATCATGTTCCTCACTTGGGGACATGCCTATTGGTACGAAAACGATGGACAGACCCAGCTGGGAATAAAGAAGGTCAGCAAGGGGACTCGTGATCGCCGCCAAAGGGAAGGTTGTACCTGAGCTGGGACATTGTTCATGTGGAAAGGGATGGAGCAAATCGCCGATCAGACATCAAGGGATAAGCGGATCGAACGACAGCAAGCCTTCGACATGGAAGAGTTAAAAATACAACTGGCGTTCGTGGATGCCAGGCCCGAGTGGAGAGCTGATAGTCAGTCTGAAACATGAACAATTGTTTCTCCACTGCTTTAGCTCTTCGGTCCAACTGTCCATGTCATCCTGGCCGATACTTCACATGGAGAGAGCTGTTTCCTGTTGACCAGGCAGGCCCTAGTTCTGAGGCTGGCGACTCATTCTGGTGGCGATATTTACTCGCTTGGGGCTGACCCCCTCGAGCCTCGGCAATTTGGACATTCTCAATTGTTGTTCGATCGAGGAACTCGTTGATCTCTGCTTCAGTGGCAACTAGCATGGCTAAATACTAATCACTTGCTCGGATCTCTCTGCCGAACGCCCTCCCACGTCATGCAGGTGTTCAGGCATGATCGACAATTCGATTTGAGATTGTGGGTATTCTATGGCAGTGACGGTGGACCTGTCAGCTCCACGCATTCGCTGCAGAGTGCAGAGTGCACAGCATGAGAACTAACTAACTTTGTGCGATGGGGGATAAACGGGGCCTTCCATTGTTGAAAATGCATTGGAGGACGACATGCAGGAAGTGTCGGGTGTCCCGACGCCTGGATGACTGCTATATTGCACGCTTCGCTGCACATCAATCAACTACCGGGGTGATATTGATGTCGAGAGTGCAACTGGTGAATGTTCCTGCCAGTCGTTGCTTGAAACACCCGCACCTGTTGTGAAACGAGTCAAGATGGAACGTCAGGCGGAGTGATTTCACCAATCGGTTATTAGGGAACCCGAAGCGAGTCATATGGACCGACGTGAAGGCTTCAAGTTGCAGAAGAGAGTCTGGAGTGCTTCTGAAGAAGCCCTATTCATCATCTCGCACTTTTTCACAACCTCGGGTTCTGCAGGATGGGGCTGGACGTATGCAGCTGATAAGACAAGAACCGGCGAATATTGTTACCGTGGTCTATTACGATTGCTGCTTGGGAGTATAGTAGTGGCACCGATCAAGGATGTCATACGCTACTGATACTGACTAACTAGAGTCTGGACACCTTTTGAGTGTAGCGGTAGAACCCCTACAGCAAAGGACATTGCCGGACTCCCTCCCCGGTGCTCAGCTATTTCTGACACGGACCGGAATTTAGATGAAACCAGTCGACAGCTTCGTTAGAGCCACTCTGAAACGGCCCTCCCACCGGAGTTCTGCACGGACAAATGCTTCGCACAAATAGCGTGCGACAGACGATGGGTTAGCTGATTGCTTCGATCGCAGAGCAGACAGATATAAATAGCACCGCCGTCTGCCTCGTTATGCCTCGCGCCCTTCTCTCATCCAAGATATGAAAAGAATCTCACAACGCCAATGCATCCATCAACATTCGTGACCACTATTGCCTGTCTCGCAGGCCTGGCCCATGGCTATGCAAACCCCGGATCCTGTTCGGGGGCTTGCAATATCCATGATCCCGCCCTCATTCGCAGGCAGTCGGATGGAAAATACTTTCGCTTTTCGACCGGAAACAAGATCTCCTATGCATCTTCGTCTTCCATCAAGGGTCCGTGGACCGTGCTAGGCTCTGTGCTACCAAGGGGATCGTCCATTAACCTACCCGGAAAGACCGATCTCTGGGTGAGTGATGCGTCCAATCCAACTGGCAATGGACTTGGAACTCGAGGGTTGACTGGCGTATAGGCACCTGATATCTCGCTCGTCAACGGGGCGTACCACTTGTATTATTCGGTGTCCGCGTTCGGTTCGCAAGACTCTGCGATTGGCCTCGCGACGTCGGCGACGATGGATCCGAACTCGTGGACCGATCACGGTTCCACGGGCATCCGATCCAGCTCGTCCAAGCCATACAATGCAATCGATGCCAACCTCTTCCACGATGGAGGAAACTATTACATGACCTTTGGTTCCTTCTGGCATGACATCTACCAGGCCCCGATGAACTCGGCCGCAACTGCTGTTTCCTCCGGACCGTACAACATCGCCTATAACCCTTCCGGTACCCATGCGGTTGAGGGCGCGTTCATGTACAAGTTCGGGAAGTATTATTATCTCTTCTTCTCCAGTGGGATTTGCTGTGGTTATGACACCTCGCGTCCAGCGGCCGGGAAAGAGTATAAGATCCGGGTCTGTAGATCTACATCGGCGACTGGACACTTTGTAAGGACATTGACCAGGGTTGGAAGGTTGCACACGTTGACTGGAGTCTAGGTCGATAAGCACGGCGTGTCTTGCACGAACGGAGGTGGCACAGTTGTCCTTGAAAGCCATGGACATGTCTATGGACCTGGTGGGCAGTAAGTCGTCCTGCTCCAGAACCACAACGCTCTAGGATGGTTCTGCAGCCGTTGCTAACTAATTACCCTCAGGGGGGTCTTCACGGATCCGGCGCTTGGCCCGGTGCTATACTACCACTATGTCGATACCAGGATTGGCTATGCCGATGGCCAGAAGCGCTTTGGGTGGAACAAGATCGACTTCTCCAGTGGATGGCCTGTGGTGTGAGGCGAAGAAGAAGATCGGGCTTATGTGGTGTGCCTGTTAGGACCGTCTTTCGCATTGCCAACATGTCCTAGCACACTTGTCGCCCATGTGGGCTGCGTGTATCACTTTGCCGATTGAAGAAATCTTTTCCTCTTGATGAGCGAAGAATCGATTTGCGTAGAAGGATGAAGACTACAGTAAAAAAAAAAAAAAAAAAGAAGATAGCCTGTGTTGCAATCAGCAACGATGCTGCTTGAATCACCATCAACGACGATTTAGAAGACTTGATACTGGAGAAAATGATGAATGCCAGTTTCCCCCCTTCCAATCGATCCCGTGAGCTACATCTCCATACCTACATATATCGCTACCAGCTAGATCTCGCCATTGACGACTTTGTGGGCGATATGGGCCGCTTTGACACCGGCATAATGGTCAGTTGAATCTCCGGTGGCCCTTCCACATTCGAAGACCTGTGCTTTTACAGTAAGATGGCAGTGCTGTCTGGCAGGAGTAATGGATGTTCTCCAGGCAGAGGGAATCAAATATCGCATACCATTGCCATGCCCATTCACTGGTCAGGATGTAGGGGGTCGTAAGTGAATAGGGGGACAGTAAGACACCTATTCAAGGGTGTCTCTCGTTGATATGACCGTAGGTCCGTCTCCATTGGATGAATGAGGGAATGGACAAATGCTTCAATCCAACAAGAAGCCATTTAATCGACTACCAAAAGGCTATCTATCTCAAAGAAGCGTCGGGGAATCGCCGCAGCGGGAGGGCGATGTCGCTCTCGGCCGAGGTCAATAATAATAATATAAATGTTGAGCGACAGAAAGAAACATCAACTTAACTCAACTCATCTCATCTACCTCATTGTCATTGTCATTGTCACAACCCTCATCGAAACCATGCAGAAGAGAAACAAGAAAAATTCTCCCAAATACCACGCAGGCTGGCGCCGTGTCGTCAGCAATTTCAGTCCCTCGTCAGTTCCCTCGCTTCTCTTCTTCAGCAGACAGAGTACTGACACAGGCACAGATGGTTCTCCACGACTATGGGCACCGGAATTGTCGCCATACTCTTCCATATCATTCCGTTTGGCCATGAGTACCTGCGCTACGTCTCCCTCGTCTTCTTCATTCTAAATTTCGTCCTCTTCGCTACCGTGTTGGCCATGTCGCTGCTGCGGTACACCCTCTACCCCGAGATCTGGAGCGTGATGATCCAGGATCCCACCAACTCGCTCTTCCTCGCGACCTGTCCGATGGGCTTTGCCACGCTCATCGAGCTGTGGGTGTTGATCTGTGTACCGATCTGGGGGGAGTGGACGCGTACCCTCGCCTGGGCTCTCTGGATCCTCGACGCCGTGGCGGCGGCCTCGGTGACGGTGTCGCTTTCATTCATCTTGTACGCCTTGTTGTCTTTTTCTTTGCGCATTGGAAATGCAGACAGGAATTGCACTGAACAGATATCTAGAATCTCCCAAACTTACATCACCTCGCTCGAGCGCATCACCGCGCTGCAGCTCCTCCCCATCGCGGCCACGATCGTCGCTGCAGGCACCGGCGCCGAAGTCGCGGAGATCCTGCCGGACCCGCAGCGTGCGTTAGCGACCGTGCTGGTCTCGTATGTCCTGTGGGGGATGGGCGCGCCGCTTGCGATGACCATCCTGGTGATCTACTACCAGCGGCTGGCGGTGCACAAACTGCCCTCTCGCGAAACAATCGTGAGCTGTTTTCTGCCACTGGGGCCGCTAGGATTCGGTGGATTCGGGTATTTCTATTCCATTGCTTCAGTCTCAGTGACCTTCTAATCGTCAAATTGGTGAAACTGACAAGTGGCATAGAATCCTGTATCTCGGAAAAGTCACGCGCAACCTCCTGGCTTCGCATCCCGCCATCGACCCGGTCGCCGGCTCGATCGCCTACACGCTGGGCTTCTTCATCTCCCTGCTCATGTGGAGCTTCGGCCTGATCTGGCTCGTCTTTGCGATGGCGACCATCTACCACGCCTCGCCGTTCCCCTTTAACATGGGCTGGTGGGGGTTCACCTTTCCGCTGGGCGTGTATGCGGCCAACACCATCCTGCTGGGCCAGCAGATGGACCTGATCTTCTTCCAGGTCTTCGGGACCGTAGGCTTCCCACTTCCCTGGAACGAGTGTCTTGATGATCGCGAGCTGACCAAGTACGGATACGTAGATTCTTGCGGCAGCAGTGGTCCTGCTGTGGCTGGTGGTAGGCGCTCGGACGGTGCATGGCGCGTGGCACGGGAGTCTGTTCTATGCGCCTTGTTTGCAGAACCTGAAGGACAAGGCGGATTCCCCAGAGGCCATCATTCGCCAGGCCTAGTGATTAAGAAAGGGCACTATCGGCCCGATCGTCGCGCTCTCACCCAATCGTAAATGTCCATGGAGGAGTGGTCCGTCTGCACTCTTTCCCCCCCCCTCAATGCTCATAAGACCAAACCTGTAGCTGTAAGCCGCCAAGCACAGACACAGCCTGCTTGGATTTCCTTTTTCTACGCCTTGACCAATCCATCCCCCGGTCCTGTAATATCGCCGAAGGTACAATGGTCCTAAGTCATGACCTACTGGACGCCGGGCAATTCCAGCCGACGGAGGCGTCTCGTATCTGCGTGCACCATCACATGGATGCCGTCGTGACTTGCGGCTGAGGCAAGGCCGTATTTGAATCCAAACCCCCTCCGCCTGCTGCGACTTCATCATCCTCAGCAGCAACATCATGGTGAGTGTTCATCTATTCATCTATCAAACGGGAGGTTGATTGAGCGTTGATTCTAAGATCTGGTGGACTAGGACACTGAGCACGAATATCCCTTCCTCGAGGAGGTCTTTACACCTCCCTCGCCCCCCAAGATCGAGTAAGCCAGCCTCCACTGCCCCTCTCCCCCCCTCATTTCTCACGCTGGACTGCGGGTCGATCGAGACTAGCTAGAATCTTAAGTTTGAAAATGTCTTGAGTCTGAACATTGACACGCTCGACAGCCTCATCTTCGTCCACGGCCTCAACCCCCGCGGTCGAAATGACCACCCCTTCGACACTTGGCGCCATCAGAACGGCACCTTCTGGCCGCGGGATCTCCTGCCCGAGGATATCCCGCACTCGCGCGTCTTCGTGTACGGCTACAACTCGAATGTGACCAACGCGCAGGTCATGTCGACGGCGAGCGTCAAAGATCATGCGAACACGCTGCTGAATCTGTTGGACATGGAGCGGGACCCGCAAATCGTGAGTACCCACCGAAGGAAGGAGGGGGGGACTCGTGTGTGCTAACAGGGTAGAATACGCGCCCTCCAAAGATCATCTTCATCGGACACAGTCTGGGCGGATTGGTGATCAAACAGGTAGGTTTTCCTTTGCCACTAAGCTCCATGACCAACGCAGCAAGACTGATGGAACAGGCGCTGTTGAACGCACACGAAGACCCCAAGTACACGGCCATCCGGCTGGCGACGTGTGGGCTGGTCTTCTTCGGGACACCGCACCGCGGCGCCAAGGGCGTCGAGGTGGGCAAGATCGCGGCCAAGGTGGCGCGGTTCGTGTCGAGCGGACACGCGAGCAACGAGCTGCTGAACAGCCTGGAGTACGACTCGCTGTTCACGCGGCAGATGTCCAATCGGTTCAGCCACCAGCTGGAGGACTACCGGGTGGTGAGTTTCGTGGAGGGCAAGGAGGTGCTGTTGGCCGGTGCGGGGCCCGCGTCCGTCAGCCACGTACGTTCATCACACCCATTTTCATCCGTCCGAACGGCGTGTGGAACCGGTGGAGCTAACACAAGCCCAGTTGGTGGTAGAGGAGGAATCGGCCGTCCTAGGCCTGCCTGGTAACCGCGAGACGCGGCTGAAGCTCGACGCCGACCACTCGCAGATGTGCAAGGTCGGGTCGCGCGGCCCCATGTACAAGCTCATCCAGGGCAACATCAAGCAGATCGCCAACCAGGTCCTCGTCGCGGAGCAAGGGTACATCCCGCAGCCGTCGCCGTCGCCGCACCCGGGCGGAGCGCCGCCGCCGCTGCCGCCACGCATGCACACGAACAGCAGCTCCCCGTACCCGCCGACGCCGCAGCCGACCAACGGGCCGCGGATCGTGGGCACGCTCTACGCGGCGGGGGACAGCGACCCGCGCTCGAAGCAGGCGGCCGAGTACAAGAATCAGGGCCGATGGGACCAGGCGCGCAACGTGGAATACGCGATCTTCCAGGAACATCTGCGCACGCTGGGGCCGGACCACCTCACCACGCTGGTGATCGGGTACCACCTGGCGGAGATCGACGTGGAGGACGCGCAGCTGGCCAAGGCGACGGAGTGGTGCCGGTGGGTATCGGAGCAGAGCCAGCGCACGCTCGGGGCGCGGCACGCGCTGACGATGCGAGCGGAGTCGCTGATGGGCGAGATCCTGTGCGCGCGCGGACGGTTCCAGGAGGCCGAATCGGTGGAGGCCAACGTGCTGGCGCGGCAGCAGATGGCCCTGGGCGAGGACGACCTGGACACGCTGGACACGCGGCGGCGGCTGAGCGGGGCATACAGCAACCTGGGCCAGGAGAGCAGCGCGATGAGCCAGGCGGACCGGCGCACGGCGGCGCTGCAGCGCGTGCTGGGCGCCAACCACATCCGCGTGCTGTGCTCGGTGCTGGACGGCATCGAGGTGCTGATCACGGCGCGCACGCAGGACGGCGAGAAGCTGCTGACCATGCGGTTCAGCGGCGAGGCGCAGCAGACGACCGCGCAGGCGACGCAGCTGGCGCACGAGCTGCTGGAGCTGCTGGGCCCCCGGCATCCGGTCAGCATCCGGGCGCTGCGGCTGCAGGGCACGCTGCAGATGCTGGAGCAGAACTCGACCGAGGCATCGGAGACGCTGCGGCGGGCGCTGGCGGTGGCCGAGGAGGCGCTGGGGCCGGAGCACCCGGAGTCAATGAGCCTGGTGGCGACGATCGGCATCCTGTACGCGCTGCACCACGGCTCCGGGTATCTGCCGTTTGTGTCGGCCAACAGCAACGACAACAAGCTGGAGCTGTCGTCGCCGTGGCTGAAGCGGTACCTGCAGTGGGCGGAGGGGCGCAAGGGCAAGGACAGCGCGGACGTGCAGGCGATGCTGAGCACGCTGGCGCAATTGCATATGGCGCGGCAGCAGTTCACCGAGGCACAAGGGTACTACAAGCGACTGGTGGAGTCGTACCAGGCGGCGGGCATGCCGGTGCCGGAGCTGGTGCAGATCAACCTGCAGACGTGCGGGACCCGCACGATGCTGATGCAGCAGTATTCGCCGCGGGGGGCGGGGACGACGCTGGAGGGGGTGCTGGAGGCTTTTGTACGGAAGAGATTCTAGCTTTTCCCTCCCCCCTTTTATTCCTTTTGGTTTGTTCTGTGGTATCGCATTATATCCTCGTCTTGCAGTTTACGTACATCTCCATGGAATCTCATTCTCTTTATCTAGTTGGAAAACTTCTCCGGCACCTTATATCTGTAGATCGTTAGGAAAGGGACATTCAGACGGAGGAGAAGAAAAAAAGAAAAAAAAAAAAAACAAACCCCGTCGCCTTCTCGAACTGCGCCCTCACGCCGTCGGTGATCTTCTCGTTGGTGGCCCGCATCTTGACGGGGTCGACCTTGCCGCCGCCGAACTTGCGCTCCAGAGCATCGAGGCCTGTAGAAGACTTAGCAGAGCTGTCCCTTGAAACGGAGTCGGGGGAAACCTACCACGGTCGAGGTAATCCTCCTCGGCCACCGCCTGGTTCTGGTTCTGGTTCTGGTTCTGACCCTGAGGCTGGTTCTGGGCCTGGTTCTGGACAGGGGCGGAGTCCTGGTTGGACTCGCTGCCGGCGAACTTGGAGGCGAAGCTGGTGAGTTTATCCATGTTGATAGTGTCGATTGCGAGAGAGAGAGAGAGAGAGAGAGAGAGAGAGAGAGAAGAGACGAAGAGAAGGAGGAAAGAGGAAAAGGGAAAGAGGAAAAGGGAAAGAGGAAAAGGGAGGGGTTTATAAGTACCTCAAGGTAGCATCGGAGAATATGTCCAAATCGGGGTGAGCTCGTATCTGATTGGTGGACAGCAAGATAAGGTTTACCTGTCACGTGACCTACTGCGATCTATTTCAGCCAATCAAATACGGTCTATTGTAATGCCTGAGGCATACTATCTCGTCCCAATCAGGCAACAATGGAATTATACACTGGATAAAATTGTTCATGCATTAATCATCATCCTCATCCTCATGCTCATGCTAATAATACAGGGTCATATCTCTTCGGTCATCCCATCTAGTTGGAGATCTTCGAGGGAACGTGGTGTCTATCCTGGTCAGAACCCATCTGTCGCTCTTTCGCGCAGGGAGAAGTAGCTGGAGAACATACCCCGTGGACTTCTCGAAGTGGTTGCGCGCACCGTCGGTGATCTTCTCGTTGGTCCCGCGCATCTTGTTGGTGTCGATCTTGCCGCCGCTGGCACGCTGCTCAACGGCATCGAGGCCTGTCTCTGTTAGGACGGGTTCGTTGGATCTGAAGGAAGGAAGACATCGGACATACCGCGGTCGACGTAGTCCTCCTGACCTTGAGCGCCGCCAGCGTGGCTGCCGCCGCCGAGTTTGGAACCGAGGTGAGAGAGCTTGTCCATTTTGGTTGAGTGTAGTGAAGGAGTGAAGGAGGTGTAGTGGTAGAGTGGATTGAATTGAGATGGTGGACTGGACTGACGAGGATTTATATAGGGCTGGAGGATGGCCGACTCTCTATCTGATATCCCCGCAATGACCGAATGGGCGTCATGGCTGATTGACGGTCCAAACCAGTGAATTGGAAGCTGGAAAGTACAGAGTAATGCTCCAAGCGACTATGAAGAACGCACTCTGATTGGCTGGTACAAATTAAGCGACGTCAGGCGTGATGTCATCTTGTAGATCCTCTTGTTGACTCTCTTGACTCTCTCGCCGTCTCTCTTACACCACTGTGGGTAATGATACTATTATTGCTCGATTCTTGTTCCTGCACAGCCCTATAGGGCCATACAGCATACCATAAATGCTGCTGCCTGCGCTACAGGCACATCACTTGGTCCAGAATGCTGCAAGACCTCAGGCATTCTGACATCGACTACCCCAGAACAGTGCCTTCAACGTCATATCCTTATTCTAAAGGTCAATTGCCTGTGATACATAGTACTATGTTGAATACTGACCATCGGTACTACTGATTTCATGGCCTGCCTAATATCTGCGGGCTACAGGGGTATCTGGCGAGCACGGGAATCATGCTATGGGTTCCTACGAGGAAGATATGAGATCCCTGTTTGACAACGCAATTCTCATAGTAAATTGGATTCGACGCCGAGCACAGGATACCAGCATATACAAGTGAGGGAACAGCACTCGGGCATTATTAAACTGATAGTCGAATATGGCAGACTTTAGGAAACTTCCAGTATGATTCAATATATCGACACTACGCCATGCTGTCGAACAACTCTAGACATCACCTTTCTCCATCCGATGAGCTCAAAGATTCTACTCTTGCACGCTTCTGCATGTTGACCTTTTAGACTACTCTTATTTATATGAGGTCCTCAAACCAGACATGTCGCGTGGATAGCTGCAGCGAGGAGAGCCCGCGTCCAGACAGTCCAGCGTTGTGGTGACTGATCTCAGCGCAAAGCCGGCTGGCAGCGTTTGCATTTCTGGGCCTGGAATCGACAGTGGAAAGCCCGGAGTCGCAAACCGTGCATTCAGCTGATGGTTTCTTTCGCCAGGGGTCCTGTGGGGTGCATGGCATTGAATCATGCTCACCCGAGACGGGCTACTATGCGCACCATTATACGGGGATTGTACAATGCACGACGCGGATGGATATGGGACTACCACTAAGAACACCACGCTTCAGGAATCGTCATTTTTCACATTCTGCAGAGCTCTGCAGAAGACGGAGCAAGGCTACATCGTACGTTGAGCAGGATTAGGGCGCCAATGTAGGGCTGTGGCTTGCCTTCCATTCAACAGACCTTTCACGACTGTTTCTACCTCTACACTTCTCGAAAGCGTGTTCAAACCGCCCACCTCAGGCTCTGATACAACACAGAAAGATGACCTAGTCCCTCGAGAATCATGCGGATTAATTTAGCTTATCTCTTTCGTGCAGCGTGAAGTCTGACGAGACTAACACGGACGGTTGCTGCGGTGGATCGGAGTTGGTCCGCTGCCATCTGATCATCCTATGTAGAGATCTGGGGTACATATGATCGATTGAGTCGGGGCGCTCGTAGATCGAGAGAACGACCGGAAACACTACAAACAAACACCAGCATCATGTCCAAGTCCGACTACACTGCAACGAAGCCGGAGGATGGCCAGGACGCCCTCTACAAGGCAGACGCCTCCAGGAGCGCCAAGTGAGGTAGGTGACAGATCTCCTGGAATTCAAACCCAGCTGATTGGAACACAGGTCGAGGTGGTACTACCACCGCCAGGAATTGAGCGACCGCATCGCCTGGTTCTACGCCGGTAGCTCGCTCGCCAACGCCTTTGGCGGCCTCATTGGCGCTCTGTTCATCATCGAGGGCGTCATCACCGTCGGCGTGTCCCTCTTTTCGACCCTCTTCCTCCCCAACTACCCGGACGACACCGCCTGGCTCGACGAGACCGAGCGCGCCTACACCCAGTGGGGTCTGATCAACGACGCCGGGGAGGTAACGACACCGGTTCTGCGAGCATCAAGGAGGCCCTGGTGATGGATTTCAAGGACAGCCGCATCTACCTGTTCATCCTGCTGCAGCATCTGTCGCTGCTGTCGCAGACCTTCCAGTACTTCTTCCCCACCATCGTAAAGGCCCTGGGCTACGGCAACATCGAGACCCTACTCAGCACCGCCCCCGTCTGGATTGCAACCTGGTCCTCGGGCCGCACCAATGACCGCGGATTCATATCATCGGTCTGATATGTGTCAGTGTCGTGGGCTGTGTCATCTGCACGGCGTCCACCAACATCGGAGCCAAGTTCGCCATGTTCCTGTGGGTTCTCCTTTCCCCCTTTGCTCTTTTTTTTGAAGACCAGTGGGATAGCTCACGTAATACAAAATAGGATGCCCATGGGGGCTATTTTCGCCTACCCCTGGGTGGCCAACTCCTTTTCCCGCCCCCTGGTCAAGCGCTCTGCCACGATCTACGGCAGCTACATATGGCCCGCATCCTTTGGTCCTCGCTACATCCCCGGCGGCGCGACTATGGCCAGCGTGGCCGTGCTGGTGGCCGTGCTGGCCTAGGTGATCCGGACAGTGCATGTACGGATCAACCGAAGGCTGCACGAGGACGACTCGGCCAACCCTGGACTCCGCTATATTCTGTAAGATTCAGCCGCAGAGTGGAAACATGTAATTATATCGAGAGAGATATATGTGGATTAATGTATATATATGGCTTAGCTTCTGCTTGGGTTGCGGGAAAACGGTGCTGCCTGGGCGACATCCGCACACCGCATGGTCAGAGTGGGAAATGTGACTGCCTAACGACTGCTCAGCTCAGCCCTGAACGGTGCTTAGCGTTGCTTGGATGGGAAATACATTTTGATACATTTTAATTGGGCTGCTCGGGACCATCTCCACCGTTTGCCTCTCTGCAACTCATCCGATTCGTCCTTGCGCCGTTCGTCGTCGATGATGCTGCCGGCTGACCCGGAAGTCTATCCATAGATCAGCTCGAATATATCTACCATGATCGACGTCAGGACTAACTGAACACTGTCAATCACAACACAACCTCCCCATTCTGGCTAGAATGAAGGTATTCACGCTCGCAGGAGCCGCAGCCCTGCTGGCGACTGCGACGGCCAGCCCCCTGGACGTCTCCATCCGCGCCCTCCCCAATGCCCCTGATGGCTATACGCCCACCGAGGTCTCGTGTCCCGCGACGCGGCCCAGCATCCGCGGTGCAGGGTCACTCTCGCCGAACGAGACCTCCTGGCTCGACATCCGGCGGGCCAACACCATCCAGCCGATGAAGGACCTCCTCGGCCGCCTCAACCTCACCTCCTTCGATGCCGCCGCCTACATCGACCGCGTCGCGAAGAATGTCTCGAACCTGCCCAACATCGCCATCGCCGTGTCGGGAGGAGGATACCGGGCTCTGACCAACGGTGCCGGAGCGCTGAAGGCGTTCGATAACCGCACCGACGGCGCCACGGGCCGGGGCCAGCTCGGCGGCCTGCTGCAGTCGGCCACGTACGTGTCCGGGCTGAGCGGCGGCAGCTGGCTCGTGGGCTCGGTGTACATCAACAACTTCACGACCATCCAGCAGCTGCAGGCCGGCGGCGACACCGGCGACTTGTGGCAGTTCTCCACGAACATCCTCGAGGGCCCCAAGGCCAAGCACCTGCAGCTCCTGTCGACGGCCGACTACTGGAAGCATCTGGCGGACGCCGTCGACGGCAAACGCCAGGCCGGCTTCAATATCTCGCTGACGGACTATTGGGGCCGCGCATTGTCGTACCAGTTCATCAACGATCCCGCCGACCGCGGCGGGCCGGACTACACCTGGTCGTCCATCGCGCTGACGGACAGCTTCCAGCGCGGCGAGATCCCGATGCCCATCGTGGTCGCGGACGGCCGCAACCCCGGCGAGGTGCTGGTGGGCAGCAACTCGACCGTCTACGAGTTCAACCCGTGGGAGTTCGGCTCGTTCGACCCGAACATCTTCGGTTTCGCGCCGCTCGAGTTTCTGGGCTCGCGCTTCGACAACGGCCGGCTGCCGCGCGACGCCTCGTGCGTGCGCGGCTTCGACAGCGCCGGCTTCGTCATGGGCACCTCGTCCACGCTCTTCAATCAGTTCATCCTGCACCTCAACAAAACCGACCTGCCGGACGTCGTCCGCGACGCCTTCGCCCATATCCTCACCTCGCTCGGCCGCGACGGCGATGACATCGCCGTCTACGCGCCCAACCCGTTCTACGGCTACCGCAACTCCACGGCCGCCTACTCGCAGAGCCGCGAGCTCGACGTCGTCGACGGCGGCGAGGACGGCCAGAACATCCCGCTGCACCCGCTCATCCAGCCCACGCGCCACGTGGACGTCATCTTCGCGGTCGACTCGTCCGCCAACACCCACTACAGCTGGCCCAACGGCAGCTCGCTGGTCGCCACGTACGAGCGCTCGCTCAACACCACCGGCATCGGTAACGGCACGGTCTTCCCCCCCGTCCCCGACGTGAACACCTTCATCAACCTCGGGCTCAACACCCGCCCGACCTTCTTCGGTTGCGACGCCGCCAACCTCTCCGCCCCGGCGCCGCTCGTCGTCTACCTGCCCAACGCCCCCTACTCGGCCGCCAGCAACACCTCCACTTTCCAGCTGGCGTACTCGGACGCGGAACGCGACGAGATCATCACGAACGGCTATAACGTGGTGACGCGCGGCAACGGCACCGTCGACCATGCCTGGCCGAGCTGTGTGGGCTGTGCGATCCTGTCGCGCTCGATGCATCGGACCAACACGGCGCTGCCGGAGGTCTGCAACAGCTGCTTCAAGGAGTACTGCTGGAACGGCACGCTCGACTCGTCGACGCCGAAACCGTATGAGCCGACGGCGGTGTTGGGGAAGGGTCAGGATAAGTCTGCGGCGTCGAGGGTGGGGGTGAACTCGTTGCTAGCACTGGTTGTGAGCGTGGGCGTTTTCACCTTGATCTAGGCGGATATGCGGTGTGCATTGATATCTTGTGTATAGTTGGACAGTGTTGGATCTTGGGAAAAGTGTCTCAGTCATAGTAATTATTTCAAATACAGCTTGGATGCTATCAACATGATCGTTACTCGTAACTCTGTGCCCTGCCCGCACTCCGGTCCCATCCCCGTTTCAATTATCCTTCACATCGACAATTCTCCTGTCAGACGCGCACGATAAGACTAAATGAAGACAGCATACTATTTCTTCCGACCGCGGGACCGGGCACAGCGGTCGCAGTAGTACTCGTCCATGTAGACGTAGGTTCCGTTCACCAGCTTGGAGACGTAGTACTTGGTGCCTTGTTCGTCGAAGCAACCTTCGCAGATGGCCATTTTGGGGAGATTCAGGCTTAGGATAGAGTTTGGAGGGTTTCGGTGTGTCAAATTACTGAGATATATGGTGATATTTATCCTTCGACCTGTCAAGGCTGGATATGATTCTACGGACAAGACTGTACGAGGCTGCCAGGAAGTATACTTCAGCCTCGCCTTCTCGCATTCAAGCAATCAATATTGGCATGAATAGATCAATTAAGCCGGATTGCAAGCGAGATGTCCGTCACCATAACAACCATCCCTTACTTCGTCCAACCCGACAGCTCCACGAGTCCACATCCCAGCCATCACCACCATTCATCCTCGAAGCATGGCCCTCTCAGCACTGCCCTACCAGCAATTCCTCCGTGCCAAAGAGTCGGAATTCTTCTCGCTGATCGAACAAGGCTCGATCTCGCCATGGCTGTTCCCGCACGACTTTCTCGTCGTGGCGATCCCCATCCTCGCCTTGTGGATTCCGGCCGGCCGGCCAGGGAGCCTCGCGGTGAGATACGCGGCCTTTGGCGTGGTCTGCGCTCTTTCGATCCGTAGTATTCTGTACACGCGATGCTTGATAGGAGGCGGCACGATCGTCGGTTTCTACTACGCGTTTGTGATCATCTGGAGTGCCGTTTTCCTCGTGTTCAAGGATGTCCGCACGGAATGTTACCGGATTGAGAGGAGGGATGGGTCGTTCTACTGGCAGGGCTATCCGGACACCCTATACCACCGGTTGACCTGGCTGCTGGATCTGTTCAGCAGTCTGCGTGGTGTAGGATGGAACTGGCGGATTCCCGGCCTCCCGCGTCTTCCAGAGGTCGATCAACCATGCGTGACGGAGTACCGCGCAACCAGCCTTCTGAAGACCTCGCTCTGCAGGACCGCAGTCTACTATGTCCTCATGGACATCCTCAGGATGCTCGTCATGCTGGATCCGTACTTCTGGGGCCTCATCGACACGCCTCCGCTCCCACCGTTGGACCGAATCTACCGGTTCTCCCCCGCACTGATGCGTCTCGCGCGCACCGTCATCTCCGTCCTCTGGATCCGCACCGTCATGGCCTATCTCTTCTCCATGGTCCCTCTCTTCGCCAGCATCATCGCCCTCCTCCCAGGCGTCAGCGCCCACAGCCACACCCCCCCGGACGCACCCTGGCTATACCCGCCTCTCTTCGCCAACTTCTTCAACTTCCGCACCGTCCTCGACCACGGCCTGCCGGGCTGGTGGGGACGGCGGTGGCACCAGACGTATCGCTACGCATTTGCCGAGACGGCGCGACACTGTGTCCCAGTGCAGTCTAGTCAAGAGCGCGATCGATTCCTGCGGCAGTGTGTCGCTTTCCTGCTGAGTGGGATCATGCATACCTGCGCCGTGCATGCGCATTTTGCTCCACGGGCGCGGGTTGGCGGTGGGAGTCTGCTGTTTTTCGCTGTGCAGCCGGTGGGAATGCTCCTGCAGCAGAGGCTCAGGCGGGGTTTTGCCGAGGGGAGTCGCTGGGAGCGGGCGTTTACCCTGGTGTCTACGTATGCGTGGCTGTATCTGTCCATCGGCCCATTCTGTGACGAGCTGGCTGCGGCTGGGACCTGGGGGTATGATGAACCCGTGCCGGTCAGTTTGGCTCGGGGACTGGGGGTGATTGAAGGGGAGGGATGGTGGGTGTGGGAGAGGAGCTATGTGAGGTGGTGGCGAGGGCAGAAATGGTGGCAGAACGGGATTCAGATCATCTGAGTGTCTTGAAGTATATTAGAAGGCATCTTGAGAGAGAGATATCATGGATAATGCCACTGTTTTAGGGCTATCTAGTGTGCGTGGATACCGTGCGAAGACTGGCCCGAAAGATACTACTACAGTTGGATAGCCAACTCAACAGCATCCGTATAGAATATAAATAGACCAGAGGACAGATAGTATGAGTGCCTGCATAGAAGCCGATATCACCGTGGACAGGGCGTGGTCTCCAGGTCTCCAGGTCTTCAACTCCCCAATTCTCAGCCGAGGAAGACATCAAGACGAAGCACGCCATCGCGGGGCAATATCTCCCGCCGATCAAGCGGCGCAGCTTCGTGTCTTTCTTCTTCACCGTCGAGATCCGTAGGAACACCCACAATGGGCTCGATCACTCCCACTTTCACAGCCATTCCCATCCTCGACTACGCTCGGTCGACATCCCCCGACACCAAACCGCGCTTCCTTGCCGAACTGCGCCATGCGCTGGTCCATGTGGGCTTCTTCTATCTCGTCAACGCGCCTATCGCCCCGCATGTGCGCCAGACCTTTGTCGACCAGTCGCTGGCCCTGTTCGACCTTCCCCTCGAGAAGAAGCTCGAGATTGAGATGGTTCACAGTAAACATTTCCTAGGATACTCGCGCCTGGGCGCTGAAACCACCGCGTCCAAGGCGGACTACCGCGAGCAATTCGATGTTGGTCCACCTCTCTCTCCCATGTCTACAGGATACAGGATACAAGATACAAGATCGATACTAAATGGAGTTACAGTTCGCTACGGAGCTACCGCCTCCAGGCCCCGAGGAGCCGCTCTACCGCAACATCCGCGGCCCAAACCAATGGCCCGACGAGTCCTCCATCCCGGGCTTCCGCCGCGCCATCGAGGCCTACCTGGCGGAAATCGGCCCTCTCGCCGACGCATTCCGGACCCTCATCGCCGAGGCGCTGGACCTGCCGCCCACCGCGCTGCACCCGTTCTTCGACGTCCCGCAGCAGCACAAGCTCAAGCTCATCAAGTATCCGGCGCCGCGCACCGCGGCCGACGCGCAGGGCGTCGGCGCCCACAAGGACTCCGAGTTCCTCACGTTCCTGCTGCAGGCGACGCCCCACGCCGGCCTAGAGGTGCAGAATAAAGCCGGCGACTGGATCGCGGCGCCGCCGGTGCCCGGGTCGCTGGTCGTGAATATCGGGCGCGCGCTGGAGGCCGTAACCCGCGGCGTGTGCACGGCGACCACGCACCGGGTGAGTCTGCGGCCGGAGAATTTTGTCGACGCGCTGGGGAGGGCCCGGGGCCCGCGCTTCTCGTTCCCCGTCTTCCAGGGGATGAGTCTGGAGCTGTGCGCGGAGGATATCCGGCTGGATATCCCGCGGCATATCCGGGACCTGGTGCGGGATGAGCAGGTGCGCTCGGATGCGGAGCCGACGTTTAATAAAGTGTTCAATGGGAAGACGGGGGAGGGCACGCTGCTGCACCGCATCACGAGCCACCAGGACGTGGGCCGGCGGTGGTATCCGGAGCTGCTGGACTGGGCACTGAAGGAGAGGGGAGGACGACAAGGAGGGGCAGCAGCGTAGTCTATCTAGTTGTGACGGCGCCGACAATCGTAGCTAAATGGAGACTGTGCCGAGTCCTTGATTCGTGTGGTAACGGACTGAATTGATGTGTCCGCGCCGACTGTTTGCAACAATGGAGTGCTCCCGCGCGTGTATAAAGATGATAACCAGCACTATCGCTTCCACCGTAAGATCCTCAAGGACTTCTTCTCCAAGCGCTCCGTCGCCGAGCGCGCCCTGAAGCTCATGCAGCGCTTCGAGGATGCCTACCACGATAACCGCATCGTGGGCGGAGTTGGAGAAGTTGCCGTATCTGGTGTGTATGCTCTGAGCTGGTCTTGAGCATACAGCTCGAAGCTAACGGAATAGAAGGCCGTGAATAATGAGGCACTCTGGATGTCGTCGGGGTTGATCATTCGCCTGCCGCGAGTCTCTGCAGTATGGCAACTATGCCATTCCTCGAGGGGTAAGTCATCCTGGTTTGGTGTTGGTCTCGCGAACTGGGTAGACGCCTGTGAGCATATCATCCTATTTTGTCCACCAAGATCCATCTTCCCGGAGCTATAAGCCTCTAAGCCCGAGCGCTGGCTGCAGTCTACAGGGGCGACGAACCGCTCACTCGCCTCCTGGTCGCGTTCAACAAGGGCAGTTGGTCATGTCTCGAGATAAAGTGAGTGTCGTTATTATTATAATATTTGTATTAATTGCTAACGAACAGCCTGCCGTATATGAACTCTACATGACCATTCGCCTACTGTGCGCGCCGCTTCGACATGGAGCTATACCCGAGGGGCAACAACAACATCCAGGTGGTGCGAGAGATGGGCATGGATATGTATGTAACGGTGTACGGGCAATGGCCTGTCGAGCGACTCGAATAGCATCGTATTTGTAGGAAATGCAGCGAAAACCGTCCGTTCAGCCAAAGTGGTGATGGATGATGTCATTGATCCACTCGATATCGCGCCTCAAATCGTACAATCCCAAACTCATCCTCGCACACAAATCTCTCCAACAACGTACACCTCCAATATGGCCAACATTGTCTACCAGTACTCCGTCCTCAGTGCCCTCATGCAGGGCATCGCCGACGGCGGCATCACCGCTGCCCAGCTGCTCACCCACGGCGACCACGGGCTGGGTACCGTCTCCCACATGGACGGCGAGATTGTCATCGTCGACGGGGAAGCCTACCACTTCACCTCGGACCACCGGCTGCGGCCCGTGCAGCCGACCGACACGCTGCCGTTCGCCATGGCGACGCGTTTCCAGCCCACATGGAGCAACCCAGTGCACGACCTCACCATGGACTCGCTGTCAGCGGCACTGGCGCCGCTTCTGCCGTCCCGCCAGAACAGTTTCCTCTCCATCCGCATGGACGGCAGCTTCCGCAAGATTCTGTTCCGCGTGGTCCCTGCGCAGTCCGTGCCGGGAGAGCCCCTCGGCGCCTTGGCGAAGAGGCAGGATCTCACCACCCATGTCGCCGTGTGTGGGACGTTGTTTGGCTTCTACTCGCCGCCGTTTACCACTGGGTTCAGCGTTGCCGGTTTTCATTTGCATTTTCTCTCGCATGACCGTCGGATGGGCGGGCATGTGTTGTCCTTTGACGCAGAGGAGGGCGAGCTCAAGGCGGCCGTCGCCAATCAGTACCAAGTAGAGTTTCCGCAGTCGGAGAGCTTCCACCAGGAGCCGATCAGGGCCTTTGTGGAGACGGAGATTCATCAAGCGGAGGGAACGTCTGGGAGTGATTGAAACGAAGGTGACAGCCTGCTAGCGGCATTCGAGGATAGCGAGCCTGCCTCGTGCTCATAACGCGGCGAGTACATAAAGCAGTGAACTTCCATGTAAATATTGAAGAATCTCGACATCAATTGATCAAACTCAGCGGCCTGTTGGCCCTGCTCTACTAAGCCCTCTACCGCTGAAGCCCCTCCACGATGACACCGTCCCACAGGGCTTCACCTTTGACAACGTCAACTATCAGATTAAGGGGGGCGAGGTGCGGTTGTTTCTGGGCTTTGCGTCGGGGAATGCGGGGGATCGGCAATCTAATCTGTTTTTTTCCTGTCTTGTAAGTCGTAGGGATCAATAGAACTGGCGCGCATTCCGGGGCTCTGGTATGCACGGCCGCATCCGGCACCACAACAGCAGCCAGGAACGGGTTGAAATGACGTACAAGTAAACAAAATTGTGGTTGACTGTCGCATTGAGCATTGCTGCGTCATTTGTGACACCTGTAGACATGTCACTATAGAGATCTAGCTGAAGATGACGTGGTGCTGCATGTCTACGAGCATATTGACTACTGCGAATGTTAAACAGCGTCAAGCCATGTCCAAATTCGTCGGCGCGAAACCATTCTCGCATGCGGAAATCTCCCCCTGTCACTACAAACCGGATATAATCCCTTGTGTCCCTCGCAATCTGCACTCCATCAAGCACAATCAAACCATCACCATGACCGTAACAGCCCCCTCTATCCCAGAAACCATCCCCGAGAACGCGGAACTGCCCAAGGGCAAGACGCCCATCCGCGGCGTGCCACATACCCCGACTCACACTTCCTCGTGGGACCTGACCTCGACCTGGCTGGTCGGCGCCAACGAACACGTCCGCGCCTGGTGGGACGCCCTCGGACCCCAGATAGCCTCCCTCGCCGACGAAGCGGGATACAAGATGCTCGCGCAGACCGAGATCCTGCTCCTCCTCCACTCCGTCCTCCTGCCGCACCTGGGCCGCTATCCGCCCATTCAGGAAAAGGCCCCCGTAGAGTACCGCTGGACCTGCACGGGCGACGAACACGACCACGAACATGACCACCCCACGCTCACGCTGGCCATCGAAGCCGCCGGCGACGCAAAGAGCACCAGCCATCTCACCCGCCACCATCTCCAGGCCACACAGCAGATCCTCGAGCTCCTCGCCTCGCAGCTGCCGTCGGTCAGTCTGCGCTGGTACCGCCACTTCGTCCAAGCCTTCCACATCGACCACCACATGGACCACTCGAGTCATCACCGCTCGTCGCGACACACCGACGCGGACCGCCCGCGCACGCCGCTGGCCTTCGAGTTCGCCGACACCGGGGTCGTCCCGCGCGTGTACTTCTCGCCGCCGGCGCAGGCGCAGGAGGAAAAACCCTCGCTGGCGATCTTCACCGACGCCATCCGGCCGCTGTCCGAGAGTGTCTCGCTGCTGGCGTTTGAGGAGTTTGTTGCCTTCGTGGATAACCATCCCGTGGGCGTGACGCTGACGCCAGAGGTGCTCGGGGTGGACTGTGCGGCCGCGTCGGCGTCGCTGTATCTGCATGCGCATACGCCGCTGACGAACTTCGAGAGCGTGATTGCCATCCTCACGCTGGGTGGGCGCGTGCATGGCCGGGACCTGGCGATTATGGAACTGTGGGAGCTGCTTTGTGCGATGCTGCGGTTGAAGCATGTGAATCGGACGTTCTCGTGGGGGGATGAGCTGCCTGGTCGCGAGCGAGAGGATTGGCATCAGGGGCTGAGATACTGCTTTGAGATCATGCCCGAGAGGGAGGTGCCGGAGGTGAGTGTCGACATCCCGGTGGCGGGTTACGGACGGGACGAGGATGTGCTGGTTGGTCTTGAGAAGTTCCTGAAGAACAGAGGGCAGAAGCCGTGTGCAGAGGGGCTGGCGAGAGTGGTGCATATGCTACGGCGGGGCAAGACTGAACATCAGCCGGTTTTGACGCATATCGTCTGCTCCCTTCAAGGGGGGGTCTTGAAGGTAACTTCATGCATGGAACCAGGGCTGAAGCAGCAGTACGGTGAGGAGTAGAAATGTATTTATTGATAGCCTAATCCTTAGGGTGGTCAGCCAGGGTGGAATGAAGTCCGGCGAGAGCTAGAAGGAAAGGAAGACAGAGCTTCATTGTGTAGACTGTATGCTCCAGAGAAGATGTACCACCATCCGACGGGTAATGGGCTGGTTTATATGCCCCGACGATAGGATAGAGGGCCCGAGAGAACAACAATTGCTTGTCCTTGGCGCAGTGGAGGATCCCTGGCTTCATATATACGCGGACTCTTGGTGCATACAGCCTCGTATTCAATCAGGATATATCGAAAGGAATATGAATGCGAGACTTAGGAATGTGATCAGACGTTTAACCAGGGTGTGCCAGGAGGAAATGTGCTGCTGTCGGGATCATTGACTGCATGGCTTTGCACAGGATGTTCCCTCCAGTAAGGAAAGTTATACACACCCACTACGGATCTGGCTCAGGAACGAGATCATCCGTCCCCAGGTAAATGGCAAACATGACTCGCAATGGGTTGATTGGACACCAGCTAAGCAGAGCTACTATCATTCACACAAGCAACACCCCCCAGTCTTCCGTCAGGGATGACACGTTTGGTCGATTCGTCTATGCGAGATCCATAATATACCAAAAAGCCAGCATTAGTACCCCCCTCCCTTTCGGAACGGCCGAGAGGACGCATCCGACCTCCGATCATCCTGATAGGACACCTCGACATCCATCACCCGCAGGATCTCGTGGCTGGTCTTCGTCTCCTCGATGTCGTTCAGCTCGTACCCCCGGGTCGACACATTGTTCGAGTAACTGCCCCCGCTACCATGCAATTTGCGCCAAGACATATCCTTGGGATCCTGCAGCGAGCCGTTACTCCGGTCCCTCTGGGTTTTAGGGCGCGAGCGAGTTCGCCCGGACGGGGGGTTCGAGCGCGGCGAGCCGAAAAGCCACGGCAGGCAGAATTGTAGCGGCTGGTGGAACACGGGGAGACAGGCGCAGATGATGCCGACGTTGGCTTCGATGACACTCCAGATTGTTGCCGGGATTGGGCCGCCTGATAATCAGCATGATGCAGTTTGGCTAGGCGAGGATGGAACTTACTGGTAGGGTCTTTGTTGTCGGCGGACCCGGCCAGGGTAGTGGTGCGTACGATACTGGTGATGCAGACGCTGAGGGATGGTTATTGATGGTTAGCTATGGGCATGGTGAACCTGAAGGAGAAAAAAAAAACATACAATAGTCCCATGCCAAAGATTGCCACGACCGCCATCTTCTTTGCTCGTGGAAGATGCAACGTGGTGACCGGGTGGATTGGCAGCGTCAGGATTGCCACGTCGCTGAGTATATTGATGACCGCGTACGACAGCCACTGCGCCTTGCTGTTGACACAGGTCTTGTGGACGATACTCTTATCCCAGAACGAAGCTATTGGCGTGCACTGGAAGATGGTGACGAGGATATATGCCAGACCCCAGGCGACCAGGAAGACGATTCCGCCATAGCAAATGCGGCGAAAGACCGGCTGGATGAAGATGCGCAGATACAGGCAGAGGAAAGAGATCTTGTTGATGGTAATGACGACTTTGTACATGACCTGGGCCGCAAAAAACCACTATTCGGTCAGTATGTATGCATGTCCCTGCAGCTGGGAGAGCGACGACGGGCGTACCTTCAGCGCGATGATCCGGTCATGCGGTTCGATGTCCCTGGAATGTTTGCCATAGCCATAATGCACGGCTAGACCGTCAGTGAATACTCGATCGGTTGATGAGATACCATCCTTACCAGAACATTCGGTTAGAGAGAGCAGCACAGACGAGATCTACCCGCGATCAGCACCCACGATCAAACCCCCCCCATCACCAACTCGAGTGCCATACCAGCGACGCCAGAATCGTCCAGTCGTCCGTTCCCACACGGCGATTATAGTAACGGATGGCCAACCGACCGCCCACAAAGAGGCCGGACAGGATGACCATCACCACCGACCAGATCCATAGCGTGAAGCCGCGATTGGGCACCGTTGGCGTGCTTAAACCAATCTCATAGGACATGCTGGCCGCATCTTCACAGCTGCATGACAACTGTGGACTGCGTTGAAGAAGGAAGATCAATGCCCACGGAGGGGGGTGATTGAATCTCAGCTGATCTAGGATTCTTGAGCCAGTGCTAATCGGACGCTCGTGTGGAAACAAGCTACTACAACACCAAATTCGAGAGGGATTGGCCCTCCGTGGTGGAAGCAGCTGCGACACGGGTGGATATCATGGCGTGGAGCAGATCGAGATGAGCCATGGGAACGGGAAAGTTGTCCGGCATTCGAGCCTATTCCGGCGGTCAATCCGTATTGTTTCATCATGGCGGTGGAGAACTTGAGGCTATTCGCAGGCTCTCGTAAAATATGCATGATATTAATCCTTCAGCGTTTCAATTTAATGCAGAACGATATTCTCTACCCCTGAACAATGGCCAAGGATGGTCTCACTCCTCGTCCCTGTAACCCAACTATCTATTCGTCTAGAGAGATATCGAAACTGAACCCGAGCTAAAGGAGGAAGTTCTACGAGACACTAAAAGAATTCCTCCGACCAAGTGGACCATGTCTGAGTCTTTAGCGAAGCGCAATTCTCCTTCGGGTGTGGATCGACACCGTTCGACTCGAGAAACAGCCAACTATATTAGTATCGGCGCATCCTGCAGCCCCGTATACAGACAGTACTCTTGGAGAGAAGAAGGAAAAATAGTAAAAAAAGAAAACACACTTCTCGCGTTGCCTCGGGAGGGAACAATTGCACCATGAACCATTTCCGTCTCGGTTTCTGGCAGACCCTGCTGGTCCTCGTTACTGTAGTCAATGCCCAGTTGCTGTCCGATTCACACTCCAGGCCATACAATCCCGTTGGGCAGTCGGTGCAGACCAGCAGCGGTCTTGTCCGAGGCCATGCTGCATCGGAGCCTACGGTGTCTGAATATCTGGGGATCCCCTATGCCGTCTCACCAACAGGAATCGGTCGATTCGCACCCCCTGTCCCATATAACGGCACCGGCACCATCCTTGCCAACGGTTATGTAGGTCTCGGGTCTCCTGTGTCATATCATCATATGTGGAGCTGGGCTGACTTGGAATGATAGAGCCCGTATGTTATAGGTAGCCCCCAGGTCTCAGGATCCTGTCTAATTTGTGCAGGGATTGTCCCGCCAATATCGCCAGTCTCCCAGCTTACCCGGGACTGACGCGGCAGGGCGCGACGATCTTCAAGACCTTTGCGCAGCAGTTGGGCACGCCCCAGAGCGAGGATTGTCTGTATCTGAATGTGTGGACTAAGCCGACGCAGAAGTTGAAGCCGGTCTTGGTCTTCATCCATGGTGGCCGTATGTTCCATGGGAATCCTGCCGCTTCTATCTACTGAGTACTGAACAAACCCAGGTTTCAGCGTCGGAGGTGCTCACAGTCCCATGTACACGGGCGAGCACCTCGCGGCCAAGAATGATGTCGTCGTTGTCACCTTCAAGTTGGGCCTCTCCCTCTCTCTCTTTTCCATAGCACCCCGCTGACCAGATAGCTACCGGTTGAACATCTTCGGATTCTCCGGTGCCCCCGGGCTCCCCCAGAATGTCGGTCTGCTGGACCAGCGCATGGCCATCGAATGGGTGCACAGCAACATCGCGGCGTTTGGCGGAGACCCAGGGCGCATCACCATCTTCGGGCAGTCCGCCGGCGGCGCCTCGGTCGACTACTACTCATATATCTGGACGGACAAGCCGCTGGTCCGCGGCTTGATCTCCCACTCAGGCACGGCCTTGAGCTTCCGACCCAACACCGCCGAGGAATCAGCCAGCTACTTCTACTACGTCGCCGGCACCCTCGGCTGCGGCAACTCCACGGACCCCGTCGACCAGGTGGTCGCGTGCCTCCGTCAGCAGCCCGTCGCCGCGGTGCTATCGGCCGTGAAGAAAGTGCCGTTTGCCCCGTCGCCTGCTCTGCCCCAGCCACAGTTCCACCCCACCGTGGACGGGGTGACGGTGTTCGATAACTACGCCGAGCGCTCGGCACAGGGCAAGTTCATCAAGACTGTACGGTCCCCCCCGCCCCTCTCTCTCCTGGGTAGAAAAAAAAATCATAGCTGACCCCAGCCAGCCCTACCTCATCACAAGCAACAACAACGAAGCGGGATACTACCGCATCAACGCCTTCGCCGGCGGGATCGACCTCACCGACGAGGCCTGGAACCGGTTCAACCAGGCTGCGTTTACCTGTCCTTCCTCTCGCGCTGCGGCCGACCGCGCCGCGCACGGCGTTTCCACCTGGCAGGCACGGTACTTTGGCGATTTCTGGAACCTGAGGCTCTACCCGACTAGCGGGGCGTATCACGGGACGGATCTGCACATGGTCTTTGGCACGGCGGAGGAGATCACGGGGATCCCGGATAGTGAGGTGGAAAGAAAGACGAATGCGTATATCTCCTCTGCGTGGGTGGAGTTTGCGAAGGATCCGGAACGCGGGTTGGAGAAGCTGGGGTGGCCGAAGTATAAGCCTACTGGTGAGGGTCTGGTCGCTTTTGTCGTCGATGAGGGCATGCTAACGAGGATAGGGAAAACGCTCGTCGGACTGGGATACAAGAATGAGTCCAAGGCGCGTATTCTGGACCAGAAGGTGTATGATGCCGGCTGCGCCGCACTGAATGGAGATACTACACCCGGCAAGGGGGCATTTTAAGTACATCTGGGGCTGGGGTATCCGTTGCGTATGGGCTAATGTTTGCGACCTGCCCGTCCCGTTCATTGGGGTTGTTGTCAATCATCTCGGGGGTCACAATAGCTGTAGAGATGGAATTGTCACCGTGCATTGGGGACTTGGTCTAGCTCAGCTGTATCAGCTATGTCGCTACATCAGGTTACATTGCGCACTCTATCTAGATTACCAGATGAGGTAGAATCAAAACTTCATCTTGTTCTCGTCTGACACAGTTATCGACTATTCAACAGTGATCGCCCTCCTTATTGAGCCGAAAGCATACTCCGGAGTATAACCAGTGGACACTAACACTGAGATGCGTAAAGCTAGTGCAAGAGACGGCCAGTTAGGTATACAGGGTCAGCCTTGAATAGTAGGAACTCCCCACCTGACAATGTCTTCATTCGCCCCTGTCTTTTTAGCTCTAAATGTAGCTATTCCTAGTCCAACTGGGTCAGTCAGCATTTAGTATAGTAGCTCAGATATGCCCGATATCTCCGATCCTGTATGTTCGAGACAACTACAGCACTCGACGGTATACCGATATAAATCACAAATGTAACCTCTTCTCGCTCATTTTCTAATAGCAACTTCGAAGCTACCAGCCTATCACCAGCTCTGCGTGCTAATCGTCGCGTCGACCAATGTCCCTCGTCTCTCGCGACCCCTTCCAGCTATCCGGCCGTTACGCCAACCGGAACCGATGGGAAGTGCTGAACGGTCCTGGGGATGCTCGCGTCACGGGGGAGCAGATCATTCATGACGAAGCGCTAGTCAATGCTTGGGAAGACAAAGTGGTCTTGATCACGGGTGTCTCGTCTGGCATTGGAGTCGAGACTGTACGAGCCATGGCCGTCACCGGGGCCACTGTCTACGGGACCGCGCGCAATATCGAAAAGGCAAAGGAGGCTTTAGGGTCGGTGCTGGAGACGGGGCGGGTGCGTCTGCTGCACATGGATCAAACCGATCTAGCCAGCGTACAGGCCTGCGCCACCACCTTCCGCAACCAAAGCAGCAGGCTCAATGTGATCATCAACAATGCTGCCGTGATGAACACCCCCGAGGACCGCACCAAGGATGGCTTCGAACTACAGTTCGGGACCAACCATCTGTCGCATTTTGCGCTCTTCTGGCATCTGCAGGATCTCCTGCTGCAGAGCTCCACGCCGAGCTTCCATTCCCGGGTTGTGAGTGTCGCCTCGGCAGCCCATCGCTATGGGCCAGTCCAACTGGATAACATCAACTTCGAGGGTAACTATAATGGCTGGTTGGCATATGGGTCCAGCAAGACCGCCAACATCTACATGACCACCCAGATTGAGCGACTCTATGGATCTCGGGGTCTCCGTGGATATAGCGTGCATCCTGGGGCATTTGTCAGTCCCAACCTCCAGAAGCATTCAACAGCGGAGATGGATGCCATCCAGAAGGACGAGAAGGTGTGCAAGTATCTGACCAGTCTGGCCCAGGCGTGTGCGACGTCTGTTTATGGTGCCACTTCTAGTGAACTAGAGGGCCGGGGCGGGTTCGATCTGGAAGGCGCATCAGTGGCGGTTCATCCTTGTCCTCCGGATGGGGATGCGGTGGAGTAACGGCAGTTGGGCATTTGACAAGGACAAGGAGGAGAGGCTGTGGGAGCTGAGCAAGCAATGGGCCAAAGTGGAATCGAACACTTGACGGTAGTATCATTAGTATGGAGGTAATCGTTGCCTTTATATGGGGGTCAGTAGAGTAGAGTAGTAACTAGTAGTAGGCGTATCTCTTACCCTAAATGGTACACATCGTGCTACCGGTCTACGGGGTCTAAGACCACAGCCATGGCAAAACTTATAAGAATCTAGATAGCTTCACTAGTTAGATAACTAACTAACTATACGTAACTAGGATCTTCCTACCTTTAAAGCAGCAGGAACTTCTCTTACGAAACGTACCAGCGGCGAATTGATCCGTTTCAGCCTCGCCATCATTATCGTTTCTCCCCCTGCGTCAAGCCAACTCTTTGCTCACCTCTTCTTCCGGACCCAAGTATTGAACAGACTTTTCTACCACCCAAGGTATTCCATTTCAGGAATCCAAGCCCTCGTTGCGATGCCAAGACAAAGTGCAATATTTACCAGGTGGAAGCAATTGATTACCCGACAGCCAACCATCAAACACCGTCGCTCCATGGCTACTCAAACTCGTCAGATCAACGCCTCGAGCCGTATTGAAGAGGAGACCCTTCCATTCTACAGACCCGAACAATTCTATCCGGTCCGCATGGGCGAGCTTCTTCATTCGAGATATAAAGTGTTGGGAAAACTGGGGTATGGAGCTTACTCGACCGTATGGCTATGCCGAGATAGGTGGTAGGACTCCTTCCATTACCGCTGGGTACCTGATGGTTAACACTAACTCGTTCTCTTTTAGCACCCGGACTTATGTTGCGGTCAAAGTTCTTACGGCCACCCATTCCGAGCAAAGATTCTCTAGAGAGGTGGAAGTTTACAAACACTTGAGCAAGCTGGGTCGATCTCATGTGGGAAGCGCCTATATTCGGGGCCTTTATGATACTTTCGACATCTCTGTCCCATACGGCATCCACCGATGTTTGGTGCATCCCCCGATGCACCTGTCAATCAATGCGCTCCGAATGCAAGCGAGGTCGGGCAAATTCAGTGAGCCTCTACTCAAGCAGACATTAATCTGTCTATTGCAAGCCCTCGATTTTCTTCACAGCGAGGCAAATGTCGTTCATTCCGGTACTGATCTGTTCTGGATCGCTTACGAATGTGCCATGGTCCGTTAACGGGGCTATAGATATCAAGGCATCGAATATTATGCTGAGCATCGACGACGAGTCAATCCTGACGGAATTTGAAAAAGAAGAAGAGCAACACCCCAGCCCACGAAAGACGCTGGATAGCACTCGTACAATCTATATGTCTCGCAAGCTTTCCCTACCGAAGCACGATTTATGGGGTCAACCCGTACTGTGTGATCTGGGAGAGGCTAGGATAGGGGAATTCCACCGAGGAAATATTCAACCGAATGTTTATAAAGCTCCCGAGGTCCTTTTTGACATGCAATGGAGCTTTAGTGCTGATATATGGAACCTCGGTGCCGTGGTGGGTTGAGCCCTTTAATAACGTCGAGGAACCTTCTTTGACGATCATTGCAGATCTGGGACATCTTCGAAGACAAGCATTTGTTTAACGCACTGGACGAAGACAAGGAATACTCACCCTCTCATCATGTTGCTGAGATGGTGGCATACCTGGGGCTGCCCCCTCTACATTTTCTCCAGCGCAGCGAAGAAACGCGCAACGTTTTTGACGCGAAGGGTTAGACTCACTGTTGCTACGAGATTAATGAAGCTAATCTTCATATACTCCGTAGGGAATTGGTTAGGTGCCGGTGGTGTCTCCGTACCTTCACGATCATTGGAAGAAGCGGAAGAAAACCTCGAAGGACAGAATCAACAACTCTTTCTCCGATTTGTACGGTCAATGCTGCAATGGGTCCCGGAGGAAAGAAAAACTGCGAGGGAATTATTGAACGACCCGTGGCTGAGTTCGGCATAGGAGGAGTCGCATTTCAATAATGTTTCGAATCTTGCTCCAAACCGTGTTTTTAGGGACAGGAATTCTCTGTTTACTCGAAGGATACAGGCCAGCCTCTTCACTTATAATTCGTCTTTTGATTAATGCTTAGATCTTTATTTTATTACAGTCTAGCCTAGAGGGAGTAGCTATATAGTCTTTAGTAGGTTGTATAGATAGATAACAAATATACGCAGCCAGGGATCTTCCTACGAATATCCTTGCTATTCGATATCTTGATATGCCTACTATTTGATATAGTGTATTTAATATTATGAATATTTATTATACCTGCTATTCAACTCTTCACTAGATTAATACTCTGTAGTATGGGTACATTTCATGATATGCTAATAATATCTACTCTGAGACAGTGGCAGTAGGCAAATATTACTCTACTACTCCGTGGTACTCCGGAGTAGGCAACAGTAAAAAATCTATCGTGGCAGCTTTGTAGCTATAGTCTGCCGTATTATGCTCTCCTGTGCAGGTGTCTTGCTATATACATAAAGGACCATAAAGGACCCTTCGCGATCCTTACAACTTTCCATCAGGGAACTCCACCGCAATGGCAGACTACTCGAAATACACCGGTCCCAGCGACGAATGGATTGCTTTGGAGAAGACATTGCCGCCAGCCCCCAATGACCTCGATATCCATACTCTCAAGGAGCTGGTCAACCGAGGAAGAGAGGCGGCGGCCGCCAAAGACATGATTGACGAGGGTATGTCCGCCATGCAGTGTGGATTGTATCCGTCTGACCCGAGTAGGGCTGCAATCCCAGGTTGTTCGACAGGACTACACCATCCCAACACGAGACGGATCCCAGTTGGAAGCTCGCAGCTATCGTCCGGCCAATGTACCCGCTTCGCAGCCACTCCCCATCTACCTGTATTTTCACGGAGGGGGGTTTGTCTTTGGCACGGTGGCGTCGGAGGATGCAATCTGCTCCCGAATTGTGCTTGCGCTGCGCCAGCAGGACACCCCGGTGATGGTGGTCAATGTCAACTACCGCCACACGCCCGAGCACAAGTACCCCGTCGCATGGAATGACAGTGAGGACGCCTTCCACTGGATCCATGAGCATCAGGCTGAACTTGCCGGCGACGGCGCGAACGTGGTGGTCGGCGGGATCTCGGCCGGTGCCTGGCTGACTGCATCGCTGAGTCTCAAGCAGAACCTCGGCAAGGACCGCGGATTGTCCCAGCGACCGAAGATCAAAGGCCAAGTCCTGGGAATCCCTCCTTTGGTTACAGAAGCCTGCTACGCCCCGCAGCTGAGCAGGCTCAAAGACCCTGAGCTGTCGAGCCGTGTGGACAATGCAACCGCCCCCATCCTCCCCGTCAGCCGCATGAAACTGCTCATAGAAATGTTGGGGCCCCCGGAAGATGAGACGGATGTGCGATTGAATCCGGGGAATGCCGTCGCTGCGCAGGTCAAGGGATTGCCCCCGGCGACGTTTGCCATCGCCGGACATGATCCGCTTCGGGATGAGGGGTTGTTTTACGCAGAGCTGTTGGCCGAGAATGGGTAAGTTCAACCGCCCCGGGACGGAGTGTGAAAGGTGATGCTGACTGGGTAGTGTTCCTACGAATGTCCACGTCTTCCCTGGTCTCCCTCATGACTTCCGGCGGTATGATGCGCTGTCCGAGTGCCAGAGATGGGATGCCGTCATGGCGAATGGAGTGAAGTGGGCATTGAGCAATCCGGCGCCTACAGTGTTTCAAATCCAGAGTAGCTGAGCAGTGGTTACTCGAGTATTAGCGTGCACAGTGACTTGCTATTAGCATAGAATGAAATCCTGGCGGAGTATAGGAATCCGACTGGTCATCTGCAGCTGGCATGTACTGTGCATATTTGGACGCTATCAATAGGGAATATAGTATTCTGATCCATTCCTATTTTTAGATCGCATCTAAAGTAATCAACAATTCAATATGGCTGTTGAGTTATCCTTCCGTATAGGCCTAACGTGTATAAATATACATATATGTACATATATAATCACCTATGAGCTGTTGGACAACAAATCCAGCATCATAGCGGTATTTCTAGATCTGGAGCACTCCGACATAGCATCTCTCAGCATGGGCATAGCTGGAATCAATTGGTGAATCGTACAAGCGAACCAATACGGACCTGTGTTCTTTCATCATTCATCGATATCACATCCAACGCTGGCTGCCTGACTGCCTTACTGCCTCACTGCCTTACTGCCTCACTGCCTTACTGCCTCACTGCCTTACTGCCTCACTGCCTTACTGCCTCACTGCCTTACTGCCTCACTGCCTTACTGCCTCACTGCCTTACTGCCGGCATACCACGCTAAGCCTCTTCGGGACAGCCGAGATCCGACGCGGCTTCCCACGTGCTCACCCACTCACGTGGCTTCAGCTCTCTATACTCGATGACTCGAAGACTCAAAGACTGAAAGACTTGAACTCAAGCTGAGTTCAAATCCATCTTCCCTGAACGGATCAGGATCATCCTCCATCATGACGGACATTCAAACCACCGAGGCCCAGTTCAAGCTCCCCGACGGAGTCCTCGTCTACCAGAAGACATGGACGGTAAGTCGGATCCACATCCCATCCCCTAGCACACACAGCGAGCTGACCATCCAGCCTCCCGCCCCGGTCGCAAAACTGCTGCATTTCCACGGCTTCAGTGACCACATCAACAACACGTACGACCTGTTCCCTTCGTTGGCCCGCCGCGGTATCCTCTGCACCGGGATCGACCAGCGCGGCTGGGGACGGTCGGCCCAGACTAAGGCGGACCGTGGACACACCGGCCCGACCGCAACCATCCTGGCCGACATGGCCGCGTTTATCGAGGCGCAGCTCGACACCGAGCCCAAACTGCCCGTCTTCGTGCAGGGCCACTCCATGGGCGGGGGGCTGGTCGCGACCCTCGCCTCGACCCCCAAGTATCAGTCGCTGGTGTCGCGCCTGGCCGGCATCATGCTCGAGGCGCCCTTCATCGGCCTCGACCCCAAACAGCAGCCGAGTGTCGTGACCGTGTTCTTGGGTCGCTTGGCGGGCCGCATCCTGCCACGGTTCCAGCTCGTGCAGCCCATGAGCGTTGAGACCGTTGTGCGCGACCCGGCCGTGCAGAAGGCCCTCAAGGAGGATCCGTTCAACCACACCACGGGCACCCTGGAGATGTACGCCAACATGCTCGACCGCGCCGCCGCTCTGTCATCGGGCAAGTTGGTGCTCAATACCGGCGTGAAATCGGTGTATGTGGCCCACGGTGACGGAGACCAGGTCACCAGCTACCACGCCACCAAGAGCTGGTTTGACCGGCAGACAGGCAAGGTTGCCGATCGCAAGTTCCAGACCTACGAGGGATGGAGTCATCTGTTGCATGCGGACCTGCCGGACAACCGGCAGGAATTCGCCGACGACCTGGCGGAGTGGATTTTGGCGAGGGCGTAGCTTGATACCATTGATGTTTGTTTTTTTGTTGATTGTTATATAGCACTCGGTCTACTATTATATCCGCAGCATTTGGTCAAATCACTCTTCTCCCCCCCTGTTCTCCAGCTGGCGCGCTTCTCTCTCCACCTTCTTGTCGCCCAACGACACGCCGATCTCCTTGACAACCAGCCACGCCGGCAGCAGTGCGATAGCCCACAATCCAAAATTCAGATAGCTGCTGCCCACCGAACCCATGATGTGGACGCTGTCCAGGCCGTACTGCCAGATATCAGTACACTCCATTCCTCGCGAAGCCAGGGGACTAGAAGGGATACGTACTGATACCGCCTGCGCGGCAGACTCGGTGCCTCGAAGCAGACTGGCCAGCCGGATCACTTCCTCCTCATTAGAAGCCAGATTGCTCACGACAAAGTACCTTGCATCATATCAGCGAAATAGTGCACGCGGCCGCGGGAAAGCAACACATACAGATACATGTAGTTCAACTGGAACCCAGCCACCCAGAATAGATACAGAGCGAACCCGCGTCCAAACCCGGAATCGACCCAGTCGTACGTCGGCCGCGTGCGGTGGTACTCGGTCACGATCACCGTGGCCCACACCCACCACGCGCCCTGCAGTCCCAGGATCACGATGAAGGCGCCGCGGCTGCGCGCCCGCAGCGACAGCCGCCTCGTATCCAGAAACGCCCCGAGCAGATTCCCGACCAGCAGCGCGATGATGCCCGACAGGAACGAGCCGAGCGCGCGCGCCCGCACCGAGAACCACAGCGACAGGAACGTGAACATGATCGCCTCGGTGAAGACGGCCTGCACGATCAGCGGCACGATGAGCAGGAAGTCGCGCCGGAGAAACTGCTTCGTCATCGCGCGCAGCTCGTACAGCGGGCGGTGCGAGATGTGCAGCCGCACGGGGATCCCGTCCGTCCGCTGCACCTGCGCCGGCTGGCTGAGGAGGAGCCCCGCGAAGGGGCCCAGCGCTTGCAGCGCGATGAACACCAGATACACCGTGTAGGACACGCTGCCGGCCTGGGCGCGACTGGAGTTGATGCCCAGATTGATCGCGCCGCCCAGGATCTGGCCGCCGACGCGGAAGCTCAGCCAGAACCCAAGGAAGCGGCCCTGGTTGTGTGGCTCCGGGTACGAGAGCGCGATCGCCGCCTCCGCCATCCAGAAGATCCCCGCCGAGAGCCCGCAGAGCGCGGCGCCGAGCAGGACGAACCACTCCGTACCGTATCGGTTGTTGGTGTACAGTCCCGCGGCATAGGGAGCGTATCCCATTGTCCCGACGATCAGCGTCCATTTGATGCCGATGAGCCGGACGATCGCGCTCCCGAAGAAGCAGGTGACAACCATCAGGCAGAAAGTCAGCGCGTTGGCCGTGTTGACCAGGTATGGTTTCTCTGCTCCACCGGCGCCGAGGGAGTTCATCGCTCCCCAGATACCCGGGGCGAGGAGGTTACAGATTCCAAGGATGAGGGCATTGTAGAAGGTCGAACGGTACCATTTGACTGATCTGTTAGGCACTGTATTGTGCGGTTGGAGGGTGCGCCTACCTGGGTACTTCTTTGGCTCCGGGGACGGGCTGTGCGCAATTTCCTCGTCTATCGGACGAATATCCTTCTCGGTACTGGTCATGACTATGGCCGATTGAGTTGAATACGAGGCGATCCTACAGCGATATCGATTGCTCTTTTATATGCCTCGGGCGAGAGAATTGCTGCCGACTTCCCATAGAAGATGCTACTGCTCACTCTTTCCCACGATAACCTTAAATCGGGGCCAGAGCCAAGGCTATCATTACACTGTAAGACCGGGGGATAGATAGTGCCAGCAGTGATTGGAGTCAATGTTGGGATGTTGCAGTTTGCCAGGTCGATTACGTGCTCGCACGGAATATTAGCCAGGATGATCAATTGCCGGGTGACAGGCGAACATCCGCACGCCGTCAAATGAAAAATACACGACTCATTCAACGATGATCTTGATATTATGCTAACTACTGAGACAGTGAAATGCCAGCGCTGTCGTTAAATAAGATGGACCCTTCAATTAGGCGCAGACATTTCTGTTCACAAATCAACCGCTCCAGCCATCTCAGCTGAGCGACATAAGGAATAATAACCCTACTGGTAGTCTACTACTGGATCCTCCCCCCACAGACCTATGTCTATGTTCTACTCACGATCCTCCGGATGGAACACCAGCGCCCGAGTCTCAATACTCTCCCTCACCTTCTCGCCCTCCGTCGCCGGATCCACAAACGAAGAATGCGGCACCCGTCGTGCCCGCCCATCCGTCTTGGAATCATAACACTTGAACAGCGTCACCAGCTCCGGCGGCTGTGCGTACCGGAAGTACCACTTGATCCCCGGGTTCGGCTTGACCGAGTATGTCTCCCCGACGCGGTGCAGGTACACAAGCTTGGTCGGGACGAGGTCGTCGTCCGGGAAGGAGAGCGAGTCGGCGACGGCGAGGGGATCCTTGAGGATGGTCTTGATGGGCCGCCAGACGTTGATGATCTGGTATCGGCCCTTGAGAAGCTCGGGGGCATCCTCGGGGAAGTAGTGGCTGACGCGCCCTTTGATCACGGCGTACGACTGGTCGATGTGCACGCTCCGGACGGGGGCGTTCTGGTATCCTGCCGGCGTAACAGCGTCTTGTGCATGGCGGCGGATGATGTGGCCGATGATGACGATGCGGGACGCACCAGTGCTGGTGATGTTATTGTAGGAGTTTGGATGTAGGTGTGGTGTCAGACTTACGCGTCTTTGAGCAGCTGCTCGGTCTCGAGGTAGTAATCCCGCTGATGATATCGTCATCGATGAAGTCCTTCTCCTTGCTCTCGTGATAGTAGAACTGGAGGCCGTTCTTGTCCAACGTATACTCCGACTCATGGCCGCTTACGTCGTGGACGGTCACGGGCAGTGTTACCGAGGGTCGATAGTAGGTGTCTGGTCTGCCCGCGTAGCTTGGCACCGGAGGAGAGCCATCCTCGTTCTCCTTGAGGAAGTTAAGGGTCGTTTGGACATGGTGGGGTGCGTTGGTAGCGGGGAGTGTAGTCGTGGTCTGGACCAGAGGCTCGTGGGTGGTTGGAGGTTGGACGGCTGCGGATGCCATGTTTTAGATCTGATATGCTCTTGAGTTGGAATGATTCTAGAAGGAAAGGTGTGTCATTATCATGTTTATATAGGTTTCTATGCAGGTTATTGAAAGACTTAGTAGCAGGCCCATTTGTCCGATAACACGTAATTCCTGTGGGTTCATACACCGAAGAAGCAATAAACCTGCTGATAAATTCTTCACTCACTGGATTGAACATCATGCCACTGAAAAGGTTGCACAGAGAAAACAGGATCCTAGAATGCATTTCTAATGTAAGTTGTTAAGCAGATGCTGGGCTGTAAGCCGTCAGATACCGAGCTCATGGGACAGACTCGTTCACGGGGTCGTTTGATTGTGATTCTAGAGAAAACTGTTTATTGTGTAGCCTAGCATATATCTCAAGTAGATGATTGATTGTGTTATATTCAGATTCTCTTGGGATACAGTGCGAAACGAGTCAGCATAGAAGGGAAAGCAAAGTCTAGAGTACGCGAGACGCCGGATCGTATACACCAGATCAACTCAAGATATCCAATACTCCGACATCCCATAGATCTAGAAAATGTACGAACGAACCAGCTTCGTGATACTGGTGCCATCGTCCAGCACATCCACCTCCTCTTCTAGCGTATATTTTCCCCATCGTGGCAGAAGAACCGTCCAGATATACCAATAGACCACACCAAACAAGAGACTAGAGGGCATTTAGCACTTGCAGGCATGCAAAGGAAAAGGAAAAAAAAGATACATACACTCCAACCCCGACGATGGCATAGGTCGCGTAGAAAAAGTCCACGTCGCCCTTTTGATCCGGAGGAGGAATAAACGGGGCCGCCAGGAGGGCAACACACACGACAATCCGCAGCCACACAGCAGGAAGCCACGCTTTGAACGGACGCGGTAGATTTGGCTGTCGCCTTCGCAGGAGAAGAAGGCCAATCGCGATTGCGAGAGCAAAGATCTGGCCAGGGTATCCCTCCACGTCAAGGATGAAATTATACACGTCATTCTGCGGAGGAAGGGCTATCACCAGGAGAGACGGGACATAGTGCACGATGAGTCCTCCAAGGGGGGAGTTGAATGGGCGAGAAGATGAGAGAACAGATGAGAATGGGAGGAACCCCTGCCGCGCAATTTCCTGGTTGATTCGACCCTAGAGAGTCATTATGCAAGCTTCTGCAGACAGCCAGTGGATCGACCTACCCAGGCAAAGCAGACCACCATGACGTTCCCAGCTGCCGATATGGCAATTGCCAGAGGGAACAGAGTCCTGCCGACATGCGCTCCAAAGACTCGCTCGAATAGGAGGGCCCCTACCAGCTCGCCGCTGTTTTTAATCTCGTCGATGGGAACAACGAGGAAGTAGGAGATGTTTGCAAGGAGATACAATCCACAAGCTGTGAGTAATCCAGACGGACAGACGGACTTGATCGTCCGAATCGGATCCTGGACCTCATTGAGGACATTATTGACGTTGTTCAGCCCAGCGTAGGAATAGAAGACCTTGAAGAGCGACGTCGACAGTAGACTCCAGCTCCAATTCGACCCTTCCCAGAGATTATCCCATTCGAAGACTTCGTACCCTATCCGACTGCCAGCCGTCGATGCCAAATTCGAGTACTCATAATCATTGGAACGGAAGAGAATCACCCACAGCCCGGTGAGCGCCATGGCCCCAATCATGAAGATCTTAACCCACCCCAACATGTTCTGGATCCAGATACCAGACTTAAGAAAACACCCATGGACAATTGTAATGGCGGTCAGAAGCCCGACAGCCAACGCCTTGTGCTGATACTCGGTCGGGTCGATGCTGAGCGCGAACAACGTGTACTTGGCGAAGATGATGCAGTTGCTCGCGGTGAACCCGAGCAAAACCGCTTGAACCGCAATCAGAGTCGACGCTAGGAATCGCGGACGAGGATACGTATATTCGAGATACACTTTGTCGCCGCCAGACCGTGGGAACATGCACCCAAACTCCATCGACACGGCGAGTCCGCAGGCAGCCAGAATGGTCCCGACCAGCCATACCAACAGCGATAACCCCACGCTTCCAACCGACTTTACTATTGAACCCGGTGTTGCAAAGATGCCGCTGCCAATCACGCGGGAAATCACCAGGATATACGCGCTGGACCAGTTGAGGTTGCGGCCATAGGTAGCTGTCTCGGGAACGGTGTCGCGCGTCGATATTGGGCGTCCATTCTGCCTGATCTGCGGGATGGACTCATAGAAGAGTGCCTCATCAGGACCTGTTCTGGAATCTAACAGCGGTTGACTGTCTGTGTCATTCATGGTGTGGACTTTTGACGCATTATTGACGGTCTACATTGCACCCTCGAGTTAGATATACGAGTTGTCGCCTGTCGGTATGATCAATCCTCGCGCGCCATTGCGCCAGGCAGGTGCAGGTGAACAGCATTATTAATGGTGAGAATCCTGTGAGACGTGACAGGATCCCTGCAAGTATGGAGACCGACATTCCGACGTGGACCGAAAGAATGTGCCTCTAACAGCGTGTGTATATTGATTGCTGCGACTGATGCAACTCTGCTTCTGGCGTCTGTCGACACCCCCAACTGCTGTGGACCTGGTCTATATCCATATCTATTTATTTTCAAAACCAACACCACGGCCTCTCATATTTGCAAATTGAAATTTCAAAAGTGGTCGTGCTGGAAAGATCGACGTCTGTTATCACTCCGCCATCGCCAGCCCTAATGACACCATCCCGCATTCTCCCCACGAGTCAAGTCAACCCGCATCTCAAGCAAATTATGAGACGCCAGTCTGGCGATTAAAGTATCCTGATGGCGAATGCTGCTGTACTCCGCACGAAGACATTCGCTTTGTATCTGTTTTTCTCGTCCGAGAGATGTACTGGCTTGTCCAGCACGCAATCATCACCCCGCTGAGCGCCATTATGCACGCATGCGAGAGTAGATAAGCTCATTCTGGGAATACATGTCTGGATAGTTGGAATGTTTAGATAAGAGTCACCTGGTGTATTTCGTTCAGTAGCAGGCGCATGTTATATGGACCATCCCCCTGTTCAACCACTCTCGATACCCACACACACTACCATTCGCGGGATATCAACATGACTACGGTATCAACCTACATCACGACTAGCCATGTGGACGAACGATCCTTCCATCGGCATCTCTACGTGAACAAGGCATTGGAGTCGACTGTCATCGAACGTGTAGAGGTTGCTGCAGAAATACAGCACAAGCCCATCCAGAACGCCTTGTTACTCAGAGGAATCGGGGAACAATACACGCTTGTCGATAATCATGCCATACCTACGCTCACACACAAAGACGAGATCTTGATCAAGGTATGCTCTCATCCAGCTAACGTAGCGCCCAGGGTTGACGATGCATAGGTCAAAGCCATCGGGTTGAACCCCATCGACTGGAAAGGGCCGTGAGTATTCCCGTCACCCTACTGCGGAGCATTGCTAAGTGGTAGTCTTTACAACTTTGGCATCCCCAGCCTCCCGTGGGTGAACGGACGTGATCTCGCCGGCGAAGTAGTCCAAGTCTCGGACGGATGCACTCGTCTACGAACCGGGGATATCGTCCTGGTTCCCTCGACGGATTACCGCGACATCCGCAAGGCTGCGTTCCAGGAGTATGCTGTGGCGACACACTTCAACGCGGCCCGCATCCCGTCAAGAAAGAGCGTGCATGCGTCGGCATCGCTCGGGGTGGCGTTTGTGGCTGCGGCTCTCGCGTTAGGGGTTTCGCTGGGATTGGATTTTGGTCATGTCTCGCGGTCACAAGGGCCTGACCTGACACATACAGTGGCCCAGGTTGACCAGAGTGAGATCCCAGCGGATATAGAAGAAGAATGCTTCTCGTCAGCACCAGAACAGGAGAGGCTCAAGCCAGGAGAATGGCTTGCGATATGGGGAGGTGAGATGAGATCTTGCACCCTTATACGCCATGTGGAGCACAGCTAAAAGATGATAGCCTCGACCACCACCGGATACATTGTTCTTCAGATTGCCAAGAGGGCAGGATTAAGAGTCATCTGTGTGGCAGACGTAGCTCGACACGGAGCTCGACTTCACGCCGCCGGTGCAGATTTCCTCATCGACCGCCACGATACCGAGCGAGCAGTGGAAATTATTCGTGGCGTGACGGGGGGTAAACTTCGATATGCTATCGACATCGTCGGCAGAGAGACGTCAACTCTCCTACAGCGGACATTGGACGCATCGGTCCATGGGGACGGCTCGCATGCGCATCTACTAGGATTGACTGGTCTTCCCAAGGAAAAGGACAGCAACATCATCTACCACACAGTGCCAATCAAACTGTTCCATACGTCCCCGGCGGTGGGCGAGGCAATAGTAACCTGGTTGGAGGAACTGTTGCGGTCTGAGACACTCCAACTCCCCGATATCATACTGGCAGAGGGAGGGCTAGGAGGGATCAATGCCTCGTTGAAGTTGTTACAAAAGGGAGAGGCATCTGGGAAACGAATTGTCATGGATATAGAGAAATGATTGCACGCATAGACCCAAATTTAGACAGGATTTGTACATATTATCACTATAACCATACCTTTTTATCACTTTAAGTTGACTACAGCTGTCTGACGCCTTTACTACTGAATTAGAACCAAGTAACTCATGGTGATAGATCTGCTATAGTCCAGGGCGGTTCGTACCCTTCAACCCTCAACCCTCAACCCTCGAGGTTTCTTCGAGTATCTAAACGCCAATTTTAAACATACCGTATCAAGCTATGCAAGTATCCGAGCATTCTCTCTCCTAACCTGCCGCCGTTTGTCTCCCTCTCCATTGGGGAAGATTTCCTCATCAATGCCAAGTGTGGCGCAATTTGGCATCTTGCGCACGTCTCTTCTGCCCATTGAGACATCACACTCAGTCGCACATGTTTCTCTAACCTGTCCATATTGAGTCAATCAATAGAGATACCAGTTCAGAAGATACCCCTCACGCCCCTCTCTGCTCCATCCTACTTTGTTGTGGTGGGGTAGATCGCATTCACAGATATGTCGTGATTGTTGATATGAAGCCGAAGACGGAGGTCCATCTATATCTACTCATCCAAGGGCACTTCTTTTTCGCAATCCCTCCTCTTCACTGCACATCCATACCTTCACTATGCCTAAACGACTGATCATCAACGCGTTTGCGATGCAATCGCCCTCCCACCTCAACCCCGGCCTCCACCGATACCCCACCGACCAAGGCCCCAACTACAAATCCATCAAGCACTGGATCGCGCTGGCCCAGAAGCTCGAAGCCGCCAAGTTCCACGCCATCTTCTTTGCCGATGTCCTCGGTGGCTACGATGTATACAAGGGCCCCGCCAACCTCGAGCCCACCATCCCCGCCGGCGCCCAGTTCCCCATCAATGACCCCCTCTACAGCGTCTCGGCCATGGCCGCCGCGACCGAAAGCATCGGATTCGGCATCACCGCAAGTACCACCTACGACGCGCCGTACGCGCTCGCCCGCCGCTTCTCCACGGTGGATCATCTCAGCGAGGGCCGCGTGGGCTGGAACATCGTGACCTCGTACCTGGATTCGGCGGCGCGGAACTTCGGGCTGGACACGCAGGTCGAGCATGACGAGCGGTACCGCATCGCGGACGAGTACCTGAACGTCACGTACCAGCTGTGGGAGGGCTCGTGGCGCGACGGCGCAGTCAACGCCCGGGATGGCGTGGCCGGATACGCGGATCCCCAGGCTGTGCGTCAAATCAACCACAAGGGGAAGTACTTCAATGTCCCCGGTCCGCATCTGTGCGAGCCGAGCCCCCAGCGCACGCCCTTCTTACTGCAGGCGGGGACGTCCACGGCGGGCAAGGCGTTTGCGGCGAACCATGCCGAGGCTATCTTCCTGCATGCGCAGAAGCCGGAGCTGGTGCGTCCGTCGGTCGACAGTATCCGAGCGCAGGCGAAGGAGTTGGGCCGTGATCCGTCCGCGATCAAGATCATTGCCGGGTTGTTGGTCATCGTGGCGGAGACGGATGAGGCCGCGCAGGCCAAGTTCGAGGAGCTGGCCCAGTATGGCGATACGGAAGGCGCACTGGCGCTGTTTGGCGGATGGTCCGGTTACGATCTGTTCAAGTATGCCGATGACCAGGATTTCCGATTTGTTGAGCTGCCTGCCGTCCGAAGCATGGTCAACCACTGGGCCAGCACGGTGCCTGGGACCGAAGGGAAGAAGTGGGACAAGAAGACCATTGCTGAATATCTGAGACTGGGAGGCAATGGAGCCAAGGTGATTGGAAGTGCAAAGACCGTGGCGGATGAATTGGAGAGATGGGTCGAAGTAGGAGACGTGGATGGCTTCAACCTCAGCTATGCCACCATTCCAGACACGTTTGACGATATCATCAAGTATCTGCTGCCGGAACTGCGCAGACGAGGTCTGTTCTGGGACGATTATGCGGTGCCTGGAGGGACCCTACGGGAGAACATGTACGGCGAAAAGGGACAAAACAGGCTGCCAGAGACACATCCTGGCGCGAAGTACTTTTGGCGCGAGGGAGAGGAGGTCCCTGCGTATGCGAAAGAATAGATAGTACAATAATACTATACTCCAACGTTACATGTCAATGGATTGGCGCTGAATACCCCCTGAAACATCTGGAGCTTGTTGAACTGTAAACCCGACCTAGGCACGAGTAGGCTATATGAGTTCCAGCTGGGCTTCTTTATGAACATATCACTAAAGTCACTGGTTCTTGATCACCGGTGCTAGATTGACTACGCAGCAATCGGTATCCAGGATCGTTGTGGATATTCTATCTATCAAACCCGGGAGATGCTAGCCAATTCGCTATCTGGCGTATGATTTGAGGATGATACATTATTGAAACCTACCCTCTATCTAACTACTACACATCCCACCATCCCTCCAGATACGACCGTAGATCAATCGTCTCCGGCTTCTTCAGATGTGGCGTCAGATCCGCCTCCTCGTCTCTCTCTCTCTTGGTCCATCCGTCGCCAAAGTAGGCGAACCGATTCCCACTGGGGTTGGTGTAGATATACTCCCAGTCCTCCCACCGCGGATCGCGACGGATATAGTTGAGATGCGCCGCACTTCCGGGGAACAGGCCGTGAATTCGTCCTCCGGGGCGACCGCCGTTGTACCACGAGCTGCAGTTCTCGCTCCATACCGTCCGGGGATAGAACCGGTCGCAGTACTCGACAAAGTCATCGGCGGCCTGCCTCGACGGCGCCATGGCCTTGATGCCCTGGCTGCGGATCTTCCTCAGGATCTTGGCAATATATGTGACGAGGTTCTCGATGCTGTTGGGCACACTTCCGCCATGCCCAGTGGAATGGGGTCCTCCGATCCAGAAGAGGTTGGGGAAGCCGGGCGTGGCCACGCCTAGGTAGTTATAGGGATGGCCGTAGAGGCCGTCGTGCTTCCAAGCCGACTGAAGGTCGATCTCTCCGGAGATTATGTGGAAGGGGGGTGAGTGATCAATGTTGGCTCCGGTAGCGCAGATAACCACATCCACCTGTCGTTCGGTTCCATCCTCGGTGATGATCGCATTCGAGGTGAATTTCTGGATTCGAGCTTGGATGTAGCTGACGTTTCCCTTGGTCAGAGCTTCCAGATATCCTGGACCAGGTGTCGGACGACGGCAGTTGGGAGGGAAGTCTGGAATGATCTTCTCTCCGAGTTCGGGTTTGTCGACGACCCGTTGGAGCATCAGCTGGGTCCATTTCTCACGCTGTTCCTTGTTCTCGGAAGATCCCTTGAAGACAGCCCCGAAGCGAGAGAAGTAGCCCTGCTCGACACTCTTGCGGTACTTGATGTAGGCGTCTGGGTCTTTGAAGCTCTCTAGCTGTTCCGGAGAGAAGAGATTTGGCTCAAGCCGACGGACTCCCGTCGTGCCAAAAGAATCGGCAATCCAGGTGCGATTCCGCGCATAGTGGTCGACGTGCGCTGCGATCGGCTGGATGGAAGGGAGAACCTGTAGACCCGATGCTCCGTTACCAATAAGCGCAACCCGCTTGCCTGTGAGATCGACATTGTGGTTCCAGTTGGAGGAGTGGAAGAGCGGTCCCTGATAGTCCTGGATGCCTTCGTAGTCTGGGAGCTTCCATGCATTGAAATGCCCGATGGCGTTGATCACCACGTCGAGCTTCTCCTCGTAGACCTGCACAATTAGCCTTGGTCCTCCTGATCTGATCCGCCGGGGGGGTATAGTACCTTTTGTGTGTTCAGATCTTGAAGAGTAACCCGCCATTTTCCCTCTGCTGGAACCCATTCCACGCTCTGGACCCTCTGGCGCGGCCGAAGATACTTGTAGACATCGTATTTGCGCGCTACGCCCTGCCAGTACGCCCGGATTTCATGGCCTTGGGCAAACTCCTCGGTCCACTGCGTGTTGGGCTCGAACCCAGATTGGTAAACATGCGCGGGGATATCGCATCTTACGCCAGGATAAGTGTTTTCGAACCTACTCAGTCAGAACGGAACTCAGATTGGAGTATATGCCATACCATGTTCCTCCCACATCCGCGTTCTTGTCGTAGATCCTCAGATCTAAGCCAGGCAGCTTGGCTGGCAACAACACTCCCGCCGTGATTCCCGACAGTCCCGCGCCAATTATACCGACGGAAATCGGTCGTACTTGGTCAATTGGGTGCTCCTCCAGTTCGAAGGCCGGTCTGGATGGAACATCGCTGGCATCATCCACAGCTTTGACCTGTGTAATAGTGGCATGTTTTTCATTCGCCAGGCTCGCTGAGATGGCGGGGTTACCATTCAGCAGAGTGGTCTCTGCGACGATCGGTTCTTGGAGGACTGCCATTGCTTGTTTTATTCTTCTATACAACATCCAAGAGCGTCCCGTCTGTTTGTTGGGGGCATTTGTGACGCTCATTTATACAGCCTCCTCCACTCCGCAGCCATTTGGACACTCCGAGGCGCATGATACGGATCGTTGCACGCCATCGATCATGGCTGTGAGTTCATCTGCCCCCAGCGGCTTTTCTCGAGCTGTTCTTCTCCATAACTTTCTGATTTGGCCGTGGCAGTGAGGGGCAATTGGAATCTGGTCCAGCGAGAGTCACCTCATTGCGGGACGTGATGGTGTCACTGCCAAGTGATTTGTACTTCTTGCTGGTATTTTTCACTTGTCAGTGCAATTTCTCAAATCCTACAAGAAATGATTTATTTAGTATTTAAGTAATTTGACTCGAGAAGAGAGTTCCTGTTCACTTCAATGATCTATGCTTGAAGTGGGTTGGTAATCAAGAAGCCGCAAGATATATTATCTTTGTATTGACAGACACTTGTAAACGGCATGAACTCAATGAACAATAAACCATAAGATAAATAGAATCGTGAATATCAATCATGCAAGCTGTCCGCCCTCGTCGAATCGCTTCCACATCCCATCAAGCAACTCATGTCGCCGAAGAGCCCAGGCAAACGAAGGATACCACTCATCCCTGCGGTAGGCTTCGTACAGTCGAGCGATATTCTGAGCCGGAATCGGCAGACTGTCCCATTCATCCGCTTCCACAGAGATCTCCTCTACGCTTCCATCAAGTTTCACTAGCTCCAGCTTGGTCTCTGGACTGCCGACGTTCTGAAACAGGATGGCCGATGTCAATCGGAGCCAGCCTTTGTCGCCCTGGATGCGCCAGTCCAACCGGGGAAGACCTGGGATCTCTTTGCCGGCATGCAGGCTTATAGTCACAAAGGCATCGGACTTTTCCACAGTGCCGTGCATCAAAATCTGATCAGGGACTGTATTCCGAACTGCCTTTTCGACGACCTGGCCGTTGCTGTAGTCCACAATGTCGAGCGCCGGACGACTAATCGCACAGCTGCTCGAAAACTTCTTGAACTCACCCAAAACTGTCATGCATTAGCTTGGTTCCTTAACTGGAAAGGTTGAACCTACCCGTAGCTACGGCTTCGAGAGTATGGCCTGTATGGATGCTCATCGGACTTCCTCCCACTGTTCTGTCCAAGAAGTATCGCACATTCTTGCTCTCAGAGGTGAGCTCATTACCACAAGACCCGAGCAATGTACTCGATAAGACTCGTCCAATGGTGCCTTGGTCGACAAGTTCACGCATCTTGCGGATGACAGGCGAAAAAGACGCCTGAATACCGACGAGTGTCTTTACTTGGTGCGCCGCTGCCAGGTCGACCATTTCTCTGGCCACTTCCAGATTCTTGTCGAGCGGCCATTCCACAAAGACCGTCTTTCCCGCCTCGAGGCTGGCCCGCACGGTCTGCAGGTGTCTATCTACACGGACGACGCATACCACCAGGTCAATGTCGGGATCATTGGCGAGATCTGTAGGCGATCAGTACCGGGGGTCAATCCCAGCGGAACTCGGGAGCTACCTTGTGAATTGCCGTATGTTTTGATATCCGCCGGCAATCCATATTTTTTGATCGCAGCCTTGCCTGAATCAACCGAAGTATTGAGCAAGGCCGCGAGGGTAAAGTGTTCGGAGCGCTGAAGGAATGGAAGATGGGCACTGGAGGCCCAGGAAGTGCCCTCGTAGTCGGTCGCGCCTGAAAGGCCAATGAGACCTACACGAATAGGTGACATGTTTGAGTCTGGGGATGATATGAGATATGTGAGGATAACATCTCGATGAAAGAAGGCTTATATGTTCTTCTTATTATACCCCGTTTCGCTGCTTAGAAATCCAACTCCTAAAACTCTCCGCTGGAACAGACCACACTTTATTAACAAAGTCGGGCTTGCGTGGATCAGATGGCCCGATAGTCTTGGTATGCATGATTAGATGCTTGCATTATTCCATTCTCCCAATACCAGCACGGCCGAGGTCAACGAGATGACATGAACGTATCCGTCCTGCATACACCGACCGGTTTTGGGTCCGTTTTTGGGTCCTATATCCTCGATATCTCTGGGCATCCAGTGGTGATGATCCCGCTGCCTGTTGAGAGGACGTGGTCTCTTTTCGAGGATCCTATAGAAGTCTTTTCGTTTGCAAAGAGATCATCAGAGTCTCATTTGAGGCCTCTACTGGTTAGCTGGAACTGATAGAAGGTTGGTGCAGCTCCTAAGCCTTCTGTTCCAGAATCAGACAGCTGTAGCCCGAGGTGATGCTATTCAGGCTTTGTAAAACAGATTGGCATATTCTGGTCGAATACTTGCGTTATAAACGAGTTTATCGAAAGCGAATTCATCAACCCGGCCATTGAGAGTTGCTGATGTTGAAACTAGATTGAGGGTAAGTGCACCGACGGGCAGATAGTGTGCTTCAAGTCTCATTGAACTGAAATAGGAATGTCATTCACGAACACATTACACCAAGATAATATTGAATGTCCTCTAGACTTTCAAATCGGTTCATACCGCTTTCCTACCGCCCATACACTGCATTCTCTGCCTCTCCCCGGGTACATGCGGGTACATGAACAGACATTTCCCTGGATCTGCCATCGCCCTAGAAGCTCAAGCCAAAGCAGAAGAAGCAATCTCACCGCAGTTACCAGAGGTATACACATGAGTGCTCTGAAGCTGGAGGGCGAAAGGCTCCTGAGTCATGGACAGATGACTCTCTCGTTAGCGATGACCAAGAGCGCAGGCGACGAAAAGCCAAGAATACCTCCTTCATATCAGGAAAAGAATCGCGTGGCGCGGAATTTTCACCAGTTTGAGATCTACTGCAATATGCCCCGCCCTTGTGAGAGGTACGCTCACGGTACATGGGATCAGGCATCCTCCTGGTACCGTTGCCAACTTGTGCCGTGGGAAAATACACAGCTTGCCTGCGTTCAAGGTTACCTGCTAAGAATCATGGCACCAGGTAGGATGGTCTCTGTTCAATCATACTGCTGTGTGACTGGCCCAAGTTCAAGCAGCCCTCGAAGACATGGCAGAGAATGATGTAGAATGGGCCACGTTTTTTGCCTCCATGGGGGGATAGAATCATCCACTATCACCCACAAAAGAAGGTTTCCGACGGGACTCGGATTTCGGTTGATTGACTGGGTCATCGGCCTTTCTCCGAGCCATATAAGATCCGTCGTTCCCCCCGCAGTAAGCCATTTGTTATCAACCCGACAGACCGCATATCCCAATGATCACAGCCATCTCCCACGTCAACCTCCTTGTCCCACCGGGGACATTGAAGGAAGCAACCGAGTTCTATGCAGAGACCTTAGGACTGACTGCTACCCCAGTCCCGCAGCTCCAGAGGGAGACTCTTGCTTGGTATGGACTCACTCCCCAGGCTGATCATGCCAGGCGCTAATAGAGGACAGGTTCAACATCACGCCTGATGGTAGTCAACAAATCCATATTGCCTTTGGGCCGAACGAACCTAACTCGAGACGGCATCCCTGTCTGCGTGTAGGGTCGTTGGATGATCTGCAGAGATTGCAGCAGCGGATCTGGGATCACCATCTGCGCGGGGGTCCTGCTGCTCCTCTCCATGCTGATCAACCAGGCGAGTCTTCCGGTATGGCTCGATAAACCCCTTACAAGTGACGATACTAACGGCTCGGAATAGGCTCGAAAGGAGTAGAATATCCGACTCGGTTCTTCGCCAGGGACTACGCAGGCAATCGGATTGAGTTCAGTCTATAATCGTTGAGGGTACTCATATGTATAGAACTAGAACAAGGGTGACTGATTGGGTAGATCAGAGATTTCTATTCGTACGCTTGTCGGATCTCCTCGGGACTGAACTTCCCTGTAAACAGGCGAATCATATAGCACCACTGGTAGAGAATGAAGATCTTACCATGGCCAGATTATATGGCGCAGGGGACTCTGCGTTTTGGAGATGATTCCTGCCAAACGGCCCAAGACAATGATAGCTGAGATCATTAATCTCAATTCACCCGTGAGGTTTGATGCGTAGAGATTCCCTACAGGTCCATGATCCTCTTTTTTGCTGCTGAAGGCACTGAAGCCGTATGAGAGCCTCTCCGGAAGGCAGCAGTCCAGAGAAGAGAAAGATGGAGAGAGGGGGATAGATAAAGACTTCAAATGCAGGCAATGTGCTTGGCATCCTCGTATCTCATTAATATCCAGACGAGGGTCGTGGTTCATATGTTGCCAAAGCTAGTCAATAAAGGCAATCTGTCTGATGGATCAAAGATGTGAACAAGCCAGAGTGATCGCCTGCGGGGTCAACGAGTGCGTGATCTGAACTGATCGATTGCGTTTCTCCATCCTGGTCTCGGTGCAACATCGCTCGGAGAGACATATAAGTAGGCCATTCCTCGATCGTCTCTTCTTTGCTCGACCCAGTATATACGCTATCGTAGCCACCATGACGAAGCTCTATGAGAAGCAATCCTTCAAAGCACCGGCTGCTGGATTCACGTTTGAATCGTTTGATCTGCCCTCAACCAACCAGCGTATTCTCGGTCCACCACATCCTCCAGACACCGTCAGCCCATTGGCCCTGCGTCCATCCACTGGCATTGAGACGGATATTACTCTCGACGACGTCGTCGAGACAGTCAACTCACTACAAGCACAGAACGGCACATTGACCGCAGCACTCGCCCGTCATGGCACCCTCCTCTTCCGCGGTCTGCCCATCCACAACGCCACGGACTTCAGCCGCTTCGCACACGCATTTGGCTACAGGCCCCATGAGATCATTGGAATCGTAGTCGATCGTCCCGTACTGGCGCCGAACGTGGCGCCGGCGAGTGAAGCTCCCAAGGACGTGCTGATCTACAATCATAACGAATCCCCCCAGGTGCCGCACGCACCAGAATACATCTTCTTCTACGGCCACCGGGTGCCAGCTCGCGGCGGGGAATCGCCCATCTCGTCGTCGCTGGAGTTGTTCCATCGGGCGCAGCTGGAGATACCGGAGTTGATCCAGCAGCTCGCCGACAAGGGGATCCTCAGTCGCGTGGTGTACAAAAAGGAGCCCGCGTATGTCGGGGGATCTTCGCTGCGACAGGCATTTGGGAAGGAAGTCCAAGAGGGGGATGATGAAGCAACCCAGCGACGGAAGATGGAAGCGCAGATCGCCCGCTATGGCCGAGGGAAATTCACCACCTGGGAATGGACGGAGGACGGGCTGGTCGTGACGCATCGTCTACCGGCCATTCGGACGCAGCCACGCACCAATCTCCCCAGCCTCTTCACAGGCCTCGCAGCGTACTACAAGAATATGACCGTCAACAACCACGGAGGGAGGAGGAATCTCACGCAGCAATTGTATGGAGACGGCACCCCCATCCCGGAGGAACACTTGGCGCAACTAGTTCAAATCACCGACGACATCCGCGTGCTGCACAAATGGGAGCAAGGAGATATTCTTGTTTTTGATAATGTCATCGCACAGCACGGACGAGAGCCCTGGGAGGGAGACCAGAAGGATCGCGTGGTGATGGCCAGTCTGTGGGATGGAGAGTCGGTACCGGGGGCGTATGGCTATGGCGAGTGGGCGCAGGTGGTGCAGGCATTGGATCCTGTAGAAAGCAGCGTTTAGTTGTGATATGCGATGGGTAATTCTCAGAGACAAACTGCCCTATGTTGCCTGATTCTGGTTCCATCTCTGTCTTTGGCCTTCCACCTGCGAGGCTGAATTGTGCTTGGCAACAACGCTTATCACGGTTGTTTCAGTTGTGAGTCAGTGACTCAACCTGCATGCTTTCTTCAATCGAGCGATGATAAAATGGCAGTCTATATCCCCAAGTTAATGTCATCTCATTAACATTAACATCAACATCAACATCAACATGGCATCCGCAACAGTAATCACATCCCAGCCCATTTCTCTAAACCAGCCTCACCTCGCGGCTGATGGCTCGGAAGAAGAGGCTGCCAAATGGGCCTCCATCATCAAAGATAATCTGACTCGACTGGAAAGCCCCGAAAACATCGACAGGGTTATCCTATTGGCGCCTTCCGATGCCAACAATACCAGTCTCATCCAGAAGACCGCAGCTCGCATCTATCCCGCTGGTGCTGGTAACGATGCCCCGGAGGTCCGTTACCAGAAAGATCTGGCCAAGCTACGAGAAGCCGTGCGACGAGCCGGGCATACAAGCGCGGGCGCCAGTACGGCAGCAAAGAAAGAAGTATCCCAAGAGCCGCAACCGCGTTGGTCCGATCGGATTCTGGCGCAAGGGCCGTGGGATCAGACAGTCGCTCCCGACATGCTCAAAGGGGCCCCCAGTCTGCCCATGCCAGTTGAGATCAGCGATGCCGACTCGCTAAGCCCCTTTTTCGACCATCTCCAGCTCGGCGGTAATCATGAAACTGCGACAGATCCCACCAGCCAGGGTCAGAGAGCATCCGAGCCCTACTACGATCTCCCCACCCTTGAGTTCGACAAGGGTGTTCTATACGAGGACGGCCGGATGGACCTGTGCAAAATGGCTCTGGGTCCACCCAATATCACCCGACTGATGCAGAGTCTGCGGTCCAACACCTTTGTGCGCCATTTCCTGCTCGGCAATAACATCATCGGGCCTGTTGGGGCACGATCGATCGCACAGTTCGTGCGAGACTATCCCGACCGCATCGACACGTGGTACCTAGCCGGGAATTGCATCGACGGAGACTCATTCTCGCCCTTGGCCGATGCATTGGTCAACTCGCCAGCCGTCACGAATCTCTGGCTCAAGCGGAATCCGCTGGGACCGCAGTCGGTCGATGCGCTCTTCCGTCTGATTACACAAACGCCCAATCTGCGAACCCTCGATCTTGACCAGACCGAGCTCGGAGACGCGGCAATTGCAGAGCTATTCACCAGGCTGGCCGAAAATGTTTCTACAGCTCCATCTCCTCTGCGGATTCTGTATATGTCTGCGACTGGGGTATCGACGGCAGCCTGCGAGGCCATCGCTCGCTACCTAGCATCGCCGAAGTGTCAGCTCTCTTCCCTGTACTTGTCCAACAATCCGATCGGTGACCTTGGTGCCAAGGCCTTGACACATGGACTGCAAAAGAACAAGACTTTGCATCGTCTGTCGCTGCAATCGATTGGGCTCACAGATGAGGGTGCAGCGCCACTGATCACCTCGTTGCATGCGCACCCTGCTCTCGAGACCCTGGATCTCGGCCAGAGCTATGCCACACAGGACTTGAATGCCAGGTGAGTTTGTTTCCTGCCTAATACGGATGCAGGATCCTAACGAGACAGGTTCAATTACCTCTCTGGTGAATCCACGATCAACGCCTTGTCTACCTTGGTAACTGCCTCATCATCTCTCTCCTACCTCGCCCTTGGTCCACAACCCTTCTGCACCACCACCGCTCTACCTTTCTTGACAGCCGCGCTGGAATCGAAATCGATCATGTATCTCTTCCTGAAACCGCTCATTCCTTCGCGCGCAACTCCACGCGACAATGCAAAGTACGCCAGTCTCTCCAAGACTCTGCACACACACTGCCTGGCCAATATCCGCACGCATTACAACAATCCTTCCCTGACATACAAGGAGTGGGAGGATGAGCTGAAACGCTGGTGCGTGAGTGACGAGGAGAGCGTGCGCAAGATTGACAGCGTGTATCGCAATCGCGCGGCGCAGAAAGCCCGGCGCGGCGAGGAGATTCTGCGCAAATGGTGGGGGGAGGAGGAGAAATCAGTGATGGAGGAAGTGATGCAGGCTGGGCAGTAATGATTTCCAATGGTCCTTGTCAGATATCTGCAGATGAAACATTCATGTTCCTTTCTCTTAACCATATGTCCTTCTGAGTTGTCTCCCCCAAGAGACTTGGAATCATAAAGCCAGGGGTAGATGCTTCACTGGTGAACATCTCCAACGATGCCGAGGCAACTTGTTCTCGATGTAGGCATGCCGTAATTCCAGAGACTGATACTACCAACACATCGAGGCCATCCGCCGTGAGACATGTAGATTTGACGGTCGCATTCCACATCAAGCTGACCCAGCTGACTGGCAGTGATAGTATGTATCACCCATGACTCGTCGGGCTAATCTGAAATGCAGACTGAACCGGTCAGAACCAGGATCTTACGGACATCACCGTCGAGGACGACCACACCAATGGATCCGGTACATTTCGGGTCACTGAGGCACCGTAGCCAGCCGTCTATCTATCCCAGGGTTTTCCAAAAATTGCGGCTGCAGCCTCAAGCCACATAATCCAAGCTCAAAAGCAAGCATAGCGTAGTGGGGACTTAGAGCATAGTGGCGCTCAGAAATCTCCGATTTGACGCCATCTGCCTCTATCTCGTCCAACTTTGTTAGTCACAAGCACAACCCCCAAGGTTAATTGTGATCCCATCTCCCGGCTTGACATCTGTCATGAGCGAGGCATCTGTCGTGCCAGAAAATGGTACAGGCGTGACTCGGCACGGGCTCGCCTCCTCTTCATCAACTGTTTATCAACATTGCCAAGGAAGGATGAGAGACATGCCGTAGCTGAGGCACCGCGTAACACAATCGAATTCGAGATATGAGACTGAGACCCAATAGATTGACTCAGAGGGTATCGAAGATGGCGATATGGATATTCTCCGTCCTCAGGAGCCATGGCAATTGGATCAAGGCCCAAGGCACTGCAGGGGAAACCACCACAGCCGAAGCCCGTCCGCAAGGGACAGCAGGGGTCATTTCAATAGTGTCGGATAGCGCTGTGCTAGAATGGAACATGCAGCGCTGATCATGCCAGAGAATGTGGATCAAGCCTGCCCGATCGGGAATTCGGGACGGTCAAAACATTCAGCGATACTGCTTTTCGGTGTTGGCCAACACGCGTGGAATAGCCATATATTAGGTCAGTTGGGCCGTTCACGACGCAGAGGTAGAGTATTGTTGGCGCCTTTCCCCTCACCTCTCCCAGTAGGCCTCAGGGAAGCAGTCATCCGACATGAAGCTGCGATGTCTCGTGGGCTTTGCCCTTTCGCTGGCGGTCGCGACTGCAACCATCATTCCCGACGATGTGCCCGATCCCAATGATAGCGCGGTCAAGCGACATCTTGTGGCACGGTCGGCCATGATCACCCTGGAGAAAAGGCAGCGACAAGGTAAGTCCCTGCAATACCAACGTTGAGCTGTCCTTGGCTGATCTCTTCACAGACCATGAGTTCCGTCAGAATCTCTCGGTCGTGGTCCGCCAGGCTGATGTGATCGTCCAGGCCATCCGTCAGGAAGAGATTGAGGACTACTGGAGGCAAGCTGGGACGCCGGAGCGTCCAGAAGATGAGAGATTCGCCGGAGAGATGTTCCCGCTCGCCAGGCCCTACATCAATGCCACCAAGCTCTGGCAGATTGTGAAGCGCATGCCCAAGGGGGCTTTGCTCCACGCTCATCTCTCAGCCATGTTGCCGTACGACACGATTCTCGAGACAATCATCGAGACAGAAGGCATGGTGATCTCCACATCACAGCCCATCCTCGATGAGCGGAGCGCTGAAAATGCGACCGTAACTTTTGCGCATGTCAATACAACCATTAACACCTCTGCGGAGACGATCTCCTCCGCGGACTATGTCCCCAATACTAAGGTTTCCGTCAAGATCACGGCCGACCAATTTCCCCGCGGCCGTTCCGGCTTCATTGATTTCATGAAGTCAAAGCTCACGATCCTGCCAGAGGACTCCATCCGCCATGAGCTCGGTGTCGACGAGATCTGGAGACGGTTCCAGGCGTGTTTCGGACCAACAGATAGTATGCTCAGCTATGAACCGGTCGTCAGGACGTTCTACCAGAAGTTGTTCGAAAGCCTCGTGGACGATGGTATCAACTGGGTTGAGATCCGCAGCGGCGGATCGAGCGGCAAGTTGGTCCACACCGGCCAGGAAGACGTTGATCCGGACCTGGATGTCTGGTGGGAGGTGATGCTGGACGAGCTGGACAAGTTCCAGGCCACTGACAAGGGAAAGCACTTCTGGGGAGCGCGAGTGATCTGGTCTGACACTAGAAGCAAGGACCGCGAAAAGATCACCAAGAGTATGTCGACCTTTTTTCTCCATTTTTGGCTAATTACTAACATTACCGTCAGGCATGAAAATTGCCCTTGGGCGCAAGCAAAAGTTCCCCGAGCTGTTCAGTGGCTATGATCTGGTGGCGCAAGAGGACCTCGGCCGTCCTCTCTCAGACCTGGCTCCGGAATTGATCTGGTTTCAGGAGCAGACGCAGTATCTCAACCTGACCATCCCTTTCTTCTTCCATGCCGGCGAGACCCTTGGGGATGGCAATTCGACGGACTACAACCTGGTGGACGCGATTCTTTTCAAGTCCCGCCGCGTTGGACACGGATTCTCCTTGTACAAGCACCCCAAGCTGATCGAAGAAGTGATCGACAACGCTGTCATGGTGGAAGTGTGTCCCATTTCGAACGAAGTGTTGCGCCTGGCGACCGATATTCTGCATCATCCCCTGCCTGCCATGATCGCGCACGGTGTTCCCACCGCCATCAGCAACGATGATCCAGCCATTCTAGGACAGGACATTGCTGGCTTGAGCTATGATTTCTATCAGACCATCCAAGGATTTGACAATATCGGTCTGGCTGGATTGGTAGGGAACCTTTTCCGAATCATCCCGTACTGATGCTAACACAACAGTAGGGAGCTCTAGCACAGAACAGTCTTCGCTGGTCCAACTTTGAGGACCAAAGCGATGCCGACTGGCTCCGAGATATTGATCTGGCAGCGCGCGGTGATGGGCTCAAGGCTCAGCGCATGCAACACTGGAACCAGCAGTGGGAGGAATTCTGTCAGTGGATCGTGTCAGAATACGGCAAAGAGTATCCGGTCTCTGCAGTCGCCTTGTGAATTTTCTCATAGCAACCCTTTGCCAGTGTTTGACCATTTGATACGAGAGATGGAGGATGCAGACTGGTTTAGTCCCGTCCAGCCATGATGTACACCTGTCAAAGCGCGGTCGAGCATCGGCACTTTAGTTACTTGAGAGATAATGATACCATATTCTTGAATGAAACCATTTTTAATGCCAGGGGTATGATATCCCACTGGTTTCTCTCTTGTGCCTGTCTGTTGTGTTATTTCAAAAGGGTGAAGCATGAACATCACGTGGACGAAATAGAGACGGACAAATGCCTCAGGCATAAATCCGCAAGTTGGGAATGATGACGTCACTCTTCGTTGTGACGGCCTTGCTGCCTGAGATGGCCTTGGTTTCCAGGCAGAAGGTCAATATGTACAGGATTGACCCAGGTACTGTTCAGATTTTTTGTTGAAAATCCCTGTGAAATTACTGACAATTGGGGGAGCCAATTTGATGTACTCTCGAAGTGAATCCGGTGTCGTCCCCAGAAATAGAATTCCTAGCACCCGGGGATATATATTAGGTTGATGACTGTGTCCACGGTGCATGACAGCGATGCATCGGGTAGGTACGAGGCACTCGCCGCACTACAATCCCTCGGCCTATTTCTAACCTACATCGAAGGGCATCTTGCAGCCTTGTCCCCAGCGAGCTAAGCACTCGGGGATTGCGAGTTCACCGACGCGGTGAAGTATGCCCAGCAAGGGATCCAAAAACAGAAGGCTTGGGTCAGTCAGCATATCAAAGTGGAAAGTCCACAAACCCTGTTCATTCCGTCGGCTGCCATCGAGGAACTGACGGGCGCATATTCGCGCATGGCAGCTCATATCCGTTCCTTACCAAGCTCTTGTAACTACATACTCGCATGAAGGAGGTAGTGTGAAGGGATGAAAAGATGATACCAATGCTACATTATGTGGGCACACCCACGATAAAGGGATATTATAAACCGAGTTTTCATTGAACAATATCAGCTTGCGTCCACACAAGTATCTTCATAATTCTACATCATGATTCGTGACGGTTTTCACCATAAAGAGATACCTCCGCCTCTGAGCCTATCAGCCACATGGATGCGAAATTAGATCATACAGGGTGGAAAGCTTACCTCTTAGCTCATTGGCTTGCGAAGCCAGCTTCATCGAGCAAGAAGATCATCCTGTAACCGGGACAAAACACTCCCATTGTGTGCGTCTCACGGGAGAATAGTCTTGTGGCAAATTTGTCTTTGACCGTCGTGCCTCAGTCATGTGCAGCCAGGCTCGCAACAATCTGCTTGGCTTCGTCGATGTCATCAAAATCCCATGGCTTCAGGCCAAAAGAATGCATGAACTGCGTCCAACCGCCATAGCTCTGGACAATGGCTCGCTCTGCAGGGGTAAGTGGGGGCTCTATGCAATAAAGAATGGGGTAAATCATTAGTCACTCTCAGTCAATACGGTTGGCCATAGAGAAAGCAAAGCATACGGAGAGCATCAGTAGAAGGCATTATTAACGCCAGGAATGTGCGGAGATAAACGGTTGATTCGAGTGAGCTAACAAGCCAACAGTTACAGAACCTGGAACAAGTCGGCTTGAAGACAGACGCCAAGAACGGTTATTTGGCGTTTCAGGCTCGATCTGATATGGACAGACACAAGGAGCAAAGGCGAGAGTCTGGATGACTTGATGAACTTGGTGAAGAGCGACTGCTGAGAGAAGAAGCAGCGACGCGTTGAGACGCCTGAGCACGTGATAAAGTCGAGTGGCAGCCTGGCAGCCTGAAGTGTCTGTCGGAGGTTTCTCTCAAGATGATCACGAGAATAGCTTCATGACGATCAGTGTGCACGAGTGCAGCTGCGATCAGCTTGGGATCTTTGATGCCTTCAGGGTATCAAGTCTCTCACGCTCATGCTATTATCTGCCCGGTATTCGATCATTGTCGATTCGTTTTTCTTGACGTATGTCGCGTATCATTGCGTGTCTTTAGACGGGTATAACTAGCTCAACAGCAGCTACTCGCTACAATATATCTCAGATAAAGCCCGCCGGCTGAATCCGCGCTAGTGAATCAATTTGTTAGTTAAATACCCGCTCTCAAGGCTGCTCTATACAAGGATTTCTGAGCGACATACCAGGAGAATGACAAGCGCATTGAAGCCAAGCACACCTTGAGCTATCCGCCGGTCTTTTGACTTGGACCCCATCATTAGTTCCATTAGTCGAGGACTGGGGTATAGCCTCAAGTCATTGGCTATATACGATACACTATAGGCTACATTTCCCCCAAACTTCCCCAGACGGAAGGTTCCAAGGCTGGAGATCAAGTCTGTGTCGGTGTCATCGTCTGGGACTTCGATAATGCTTACTCGTGGATCCCTGGAGTGTTCGAGGGCGGTGCTTGCCTGTACAACGAGACTCTCGAGGTCAAGCCTGCCTTCTATCCTGTCGCTGATGCTCTGCAGTGTCTGCTGAATGTATTCGGACTGTCTATTGAGATAACATCCGGAAATCGATGGTCATCGGGGCATATATCTTGAACTAACGACGGGGTTAGGAGGTTGATAGGAACTTAATCGATTCTTTCTTCAACACTAGATGATGTATGATAATGTATGACCGGTATGTTCACCCTGCCGGTATCAGCGAAGAGCAGAACACAGAACCATAACAGGACCTTTATTTATATCCTTTGGAAGAAGGGACTATCATCATTTTGCCTAATATTGACCTTGCATAGCTGCCAAACCGATGATCTTTTGTCGGCGTTGAACGAACTATTTGACAATGTTGCATCTGCGTATCCTACCGGTTAAACAGGTGCATGAAGGATCTCTCATATTTCATCACAAAGACCAGTCAACCCCATCTTTCGCTCTACCCCAGAAACGCCTCCTTCTAATCATCCCGCATCGCCTAAACGTAGGATGGCCCGTGAGGATGTGTCTTTGGATATGATTGCTGATTGTCATTCGCTCCGGTACGTAGGGCAATCCCGCAGGTGCGCATTTCAATCCACCTGTGTCTCACGTGAGACCGTAGCCTTTGAACTGGACGACAGAATATGGCTGGCGGGCTAACATAGGAGATGTGAAGTTTCATGGAGAGCATACTCCGGAAGAGAGATGCTGGAGCTTTCACCGAATAGGCCTTTCTTGAATGGTGCTTGTGGGATAATGTGCTCCCTTCGGTGGGTCCGAAGCAGGCTTATCATACGCAAAGCACAGCTTCGGCATACCATATTCGCCAGGTGGCAAAGAGAATGCTTGATAGGGTGTCTTCAAGATCAACCTCGCTTGTCTTGCTGCGCGGATGTCACCTTGCATCTAGCACAGTACAGACGGCCCGCCGGTCCGGGGGGGGGGGGGTCAAGGAGAAGCAGAACAATGCTGAGAGGGATGACAATGCGCTGAACGGGACCCAATCTTATATCCTACCGGGTAAATGAAGATGTCACGATGGAGGGTGTCTAGTAGAATCGAGCTGAATGCAGCGGGGGACGAGGATATAAATACCAGTAAATGTCGATTGTTAATTCGGTCCTCATCAATAACATCACATCAAGAGAAGACAAAGCAATTGACACTCTGAAGACTCTAATCAAGCACTGAAACCAGGTATGCCCTGCGAGTGGCCTCTCCGGCCATCCTTTCACTCGCTCACCATAGCACCAGTCCGTGAATATGCAATTCAAAATCCTCCTTGGTGCTGCCCTCGGGGCGCTCATCTCGACCGCCGTCGCTGCACCCGCCCCAGCTCCAGCCCCAGCTCCAGCCCCTGAAGCAATCCAAGCTGTCGCCCCCCGTGCTACTTGCAGTGGATGGTGCGGTGGTGGTACCTGCTGGTGGCAGTGCCCTAACAAGTGCGGCACTGCCGCTGGTTCTTGTGCCTAGATGCGAGGGAGGGGAGTGGCAATTTGAAGGAAGGGAATGTGATTCATGTGGAACCTGTATCAAATTCGTGGAACAAATGGCCAAATCCAGGGCCACCTTTGGTAAAACCGTTCTTTGGAGATGGAGAACAGGATTGTCAGCCTCTTTTGGTGGTGCTTGGTTGAAATCGATTAACCAGAGATGCTGGGATCAGCAGCGGTATTCGTTTGACTCAGCAACAGTATCCCCGGCTGTTTTTAAAGATTGTAGTTTACTTCAAGGACAAGCAGTGATGGATACTGTCGATCATATGGAGTGTGTAGCGTCTGCAGAATGTGTGTCTGTGACCAAAGTAGAATTCATATTGGTTACAGTTTATCTAGCTCATGCCTATGATCATAACCTTTTTGTCGCCGCAGTTTGCTACTCATCCTCTTTGCCTCATCTTCGGCTATCTCATACTGCGCAGGTTCGTCACTATGTATGTCCTCATGGCGACCACGATCAGAACTCCTCCGGGCTTATATACCGACCAACCGAATGTCAAGGAATTAAAAGTGTGCTAACCGAACGTCCAAGGTAAAAATTCATTACGGAATACGCAAGTGATATTATTGATCATCATATGTCACACGCTTCTTACTGCGAATTGCTCGCAGGAAATCAAGCAGAAGTCCGGAGAGCTCTTCGGGCTGATCTTCCAGGGAGAGGTGCCCGATGTCCTCATATCAGCGCGTTTCGATAGCAAGAGGCTGTATCGTCGTGCTCCGGGTTGTAGCAAGGGCTCTCAAGATAGAGAGGAAATGAATGAAGAAAGATATAGAAAAAAAACAGAGGGTCTGCTCCAACTGGGAAGACAAAGAACTAGCATGATGTCCTGTGGGATCCCATGACTCGACAGGAGTAGCAGTATCTACCTTAATACCCTCCAGTGGGCATCACCATTGCCTCTTTCGTCCTTCAAGATGGATTTATCTGGATTTCTGTTGCATGGATCAGGCGATGGTATGGCCTTTTGCGGCCGTTGCTCTACGGACGACGGAATACAACTGTTCAAATGACAGGAGAGTGATGTTTGAAATGACTACCAAGGTACTGATCATACTGATCAACAGCAGAGTCCCCTCTCAGCTTTTCGACCATGGATAAAATGCGCGTAAACAAAGAGCTGCTTCCTGTCCTTGAATTCCTGCCGCACCTTCGCGATGAGAATGCGACATTCCGTCTCAGACCAGCCCAGAACGCGGGTGAAGAGCGCCAGAGTCAGAGGCTCCACGGAATCAATGGCATGGATCTGCATGAATTGCCCGATCTGCTTGAGTTTCGGGTCACGGGGCCAAGCGCCAATGGGGATCTTGAGGATATCCTCATGCACGTCGCTAAAGCCCGCACTGGCCAGCTTCTTCGGGAGCTTTTCTACAATATTCAACGGTTTCCCGAACCGAGCCGTGCCTTCGGTCAGGAGGCGTTGCCAAAGCGCAATACTTGAATCCTCGGGCAGGGGGCCGTCTTGCGAATGAAACCAGGCCCGAAATTCTTGGATTTCATAGTAGCCTCCAGGCTGGAGGTGTTGGTATGCTTGCTGGAACAGCCGGTCCCAGTCGGATATCGATCCGACCATATTCCGCTGATGGATATAGTCGAAGGGCTTTTCTTGGGAATACGGCCATTCAGTCTCGACATCATCCACAAAGAATTCGCAATTGGGAGCGACCCTAAGCCGAGTTCAGACATGAAGGCCGACAGCGTGAAGATAGCAAGTACGACGACCTACCACTGCGGTTGAATGGGGCTCAGGTCAATCCCAAGGATTCTGGCGCCGGGCACTTCATCCGCAACATCGAGTACCCAGATTCCCGTTCCGGTACCAATGTCCAGGATGCGCTTGGGGGAGTCAGGAATCGGAGCCTGGTACAGCTTGCCACCGAGCATCATTCGGAAGATATGGTGAACCATGTCCAATCGATCCTGCTCCGTCTCATCGTTGGGGAATAAGTATTCCCCTTCACGAAATTTGTGGTATCGGCGGCCATTTTCGTACACATAATCCACGATGCTCGAGGAGATTGAAGTCGTGATGGAGTGTAGATCACTATCTGTTAGCGACGAATCCGTGTCGTTCGAGTCGGTGTCGACTTCGATGCTGGATCCTTGCAGAGGAACAGATATTGTAGGAGTCAAGCCGATATGATCATCCGCTGCCATCGCTTTCATTGTTAGCTGTTGTGGAGACAGAGTGTCAATCGACGTCTATGACACGGGCTTGAAATGGGCTGATCGTGGATCCTGGCAACGCGGACGGATATTGGCTTTATATGAGCAAGGAAGCGGTCGTGGCTTAATTTAGCACCGGTAGGACTGTAAAAGACCCAGTTGGCCAGGGATCAGGAATCACAGACTAATGAGAGGTCCAATCTGGATTCTTTCCTCCCCAACACTCCCCCACTTAGTCGTTGTGCCCATGAATCAAGTGGCATGGAGGTGCATATACGAGACCCGAGGTCGGAAGGCAAATCCATAGAAAGATCGGGTGTTGAGAAACAAGAGAAATCGATAGGACTGTATTGCGTATGCAATGCTAATCCTTTTGACCCACTCGTGTCTCTCGATAAAGCCACATTGAAACGGTTTCTTAAGATCTGACTCGCCCTTAGGGTCTAGGTGGACGTTGGGGTCCAGTGGGCTCCAGAGCATCAGTTCTCGTGAACATGCAGTCGTATCCGTCTGTCTGCTTACTCAATAAAGAGGATGTCCATAGATTAGATGTCTATCTCACCGTCAATCCGTGTCCACTGAATAATAGAATCCTAGGGCAGACTGCTAGAGACTCCGTATGTGATGTCCACGCTGTCAGGCGATGCACACGATGTCATTGCTATAGAGATACCTGGCCACATCCCTCAAAACATAAGCCTACACTCCCGAAGCCTTTTTCTCTCGCTTTCCAGTAACGTAGCGCTAACTTCCACTTAACTCCTCCAGATGAAGGATCGATCCGCGTGGCAGCAAAACGGGCGCCCCCCATCGGTCCACGGATCTAGAAGCTCCAAGGTGACCAAGGGCGGGTTTAGGGTGGCTTAGACCTATTGTGGTGAGATCTAGGACTTTCTATTTTTCTATTAGCCAGGCCTAACAATATTACTGCGCCACAGGTTGTGAGATCGTCGATGGCATACATTCTGTGCAGGTTCATCTTCTCTCTCATACTCGACCAGCAACTCACGAGAATAAGAGATCAAGGTCGCATCGGTTAGGATTATGGAGTATCGAGAGTACTCTTAAGTCTCTGACTCACTAATGAACCCAGAGGGAAATGTACTGCTCAAACAATTTCTGCAGATTTTCGAACGGCGAATGTACCCGTCGTTGAATGTCTCCGGCACTGGGGTCACGTCCCCAAAATCGGTATCTTCTAAGATCTCCAAACAGATACGCTGACATGGTTCATTCATCGCGATGCAGGGCGGGAAGAACTGGCCCACAGAAAAGGAAACTTTTAAAGGGTTGACTGGGGATGAGAAGGGTGTAGAGTGTTGACTATGGCCGAATGAGGCGCAGCATTACATGAGAGCCTCCTTTACCTTGCTGCATGCGACCCAAGGGTGCTTATATTCGATATGAGTATTGGTGGATGACAATGGCTCTTGACGCCTGAACTGAGTCTCTATATGATGGCTTGTCTTCCGAGGAGCGCAGATGCAAATATATTCCATCAGCATTGTTGCTACGCAGGGTGGAATGTAATGGGAAACGAGAGCAGGATGTGACACTCGTATCTTTGAGAGCCTCGATGATCATGTATAATATCAACTACGAATAACATAGAGACAGCACCATCAGACTGCTGGGACAGATAGACGCAGAAGGGAGATCAGGTCGTCCCGCTGGCGGTCCAGCCGGGAAAGCTTGACGCGATGGGGCTTTCCGATCCCAGTCCGGGGTATTTCATCCACAAAGATCACTCCGCCATCCAGGGCTTTGTAACTGGCCAAATGGCATTGGACCAGTGCCGCGACTTCATCTCCCGTCGGTTCGGAGGACGGGTTGGCGCGCACCACATAGGCTCGGGGAACCTCGCTGCTACCATCCGCGAGCATCACTCCGATTACAGCAGCATCCTTGATGCGGCTATCTTTCAAGAGAATGCCTTCGATCTCGGCGGGTGCAACCGACCACCTACGATTTGAACACAGATGTTAGCTCAGAAAGAGTGGAATCTGGAGGCAGAGAATCGGCCACCCACCCTCGCACTTTGATGAGATCCTTCGTACGCCCCATGATGTGGTAGTATCCGTCCCGGGAATAGACCATATCCCCGGTCTGGAACCATCCTTGGTCATCTTTGGCATCGGTCCGCCCTTTGTAGCCTAAGAAAAGCCCTGGTCCGCGGACATACAGTTCTCCAGGAGACTCCGGCTGTCCACCGACATCCTCTCCCGTGCTGGGATCCACGAAGCGCAGCTCGTACCCAGACAACAGGCGGCCGACGCTGCCAAATTGTGGTGTCTCCCCGTACCGATTCTGGAATACGACGCCTACCTCTGTCATACCCCATAAATTTCCAGCCACAGCATCTGGTGAAAGCAGGCGCTGGAACCGCTGCATGGAATCCCCGTCGATAGGAGCGCCGGACACGCCGACATAGCGCAAAGACGACAGGCTCTCTCTCACGGGAAACGACGATTGGTTCAAAATGTGGACCATAGCGGGCACCATGTACGTCTCCGTAATGCCATGTTGAGCAACAGTGTCTAGAAAGCTTGAAATCTCGAAGCGTGGAAGAACGTACAACGGCTCGCCATACCGGACGGGAAAGATATTGGTCCAGAAGTCACCAAAGGAGTGGTACATGGGTAGTGCCATCAAGCGGACAACAGGATAGGGAACGTCGTAATGGACACTCAGGTGGTGTGAGATGATGGCGTGATGGGTGCGGATCGCAGCTTTGGGCAGTCCGCTAGTGCCACTGGTCAGAAACATGGCGGCGGGAGTAGACTTGCTCTCCTCAACATCTGTGAAACGAACCCAGTCGGACTCGCCGTACTGAAGAAGGCTTTCCAGCCGGATGGATGAATTGGGTGCAGTCAACCGGGACCCATCTTGCTCTAGCGGAACTTGGGCAAATTGAACGATGATGTCAATAGAGCCCTCATCCACCAAGCACACTCGATCCGCGGAAAGCCCCTTCAGGCTGCCAATCTCCAATATTTTCGCGAGAGCTTCGGGGGAGGTGACGATAAGCCGAGGCTCGGCCAGCTCGAGCAGATAGTTGAGTTCATGGGCAGGAATACCCATGTCGCAGCCCATATACACACCCCCAGCACCGACGATGCCGAAGAACATGGCAGAGTGGATAACCTATGGCAATGGTGAGGGTGGTCGAGCATGAGAGATCGATACGGTGGACTTACACTGTTCTCCAACGCCACCAAGACACAGTCACCTCGTTGGACATGATGAGCCTGGAGCCCAGCGATCAGCGATCGCACCAACAGCCGAAACTGTGTTGCATTGAACGCGCGTGAGGGATTCTGGCCGTCGATGAATATTGGTTTATGGGAATCAAATGGCGCAGGGCTACTGAACGCAAAGCTAACGAGGTCCGTGTCGTTGGATGATTCCATGATATTGTCTTGGATGGGCGAGCATGAATTGAAAGAGGTTGAAGATACAGAAAGAGATGTCCTGTCAGAAGCGGACTATGTCTTTGGAACGAGATCATTTCTTGCTAGACCGCCACATGAAGGATCAGGATATCCCTTGCATATTCGTCATGCTCCCATCGATGCAACATGTAACACAACAAAGCTAGAGGACGAGAAGACTGCATGCTAGCACATTGGTGCCGATCTACCCTAGGCTAGATAGACATACTACGGTCACGAGCTACTATCCTTGCATCGCTTCGAAGCTGCCAAAGCTGCCAACTGCCCTATAGATGCACCACTGAGAAGAGATATGACTGGTATGTCGACGCCGACCTCTTTGGAGAACCATCGACGCAGTTCAACAGCCACCAGCGAATCAACCCCAAGTTCCGGCAGCAGCGTGTCGGGCGTAAGCGGTGCATCTTGCGAGAGATTCAGCTTGGTCCGGATCTTTTCCACTAGTCCGATTGCAATCGCCTGTGCCTTGTCCTCGGGGCTAGTTGCTGCAGCGACGCGTTCCTTGCTGGATTGGAGTTTATGCTCCCCCGACGATGTATTCCCAGTAGGTGCAGCAGTGGATGAGAAAAGCGGCCACATCCTGGGCAGAGAACAACTTGGGTATTGCTTCGCCGATCTCTGATACCTGAGACCCGCGACAAATTCGGGATTCTGGGTGGAATCTGCTCGCCCATGTAGGATAGCTTGAGCGAGTATCTCGTCAACATCGCGACGGGAAACAACTGTTGAGCCCCACCACCCGTCTACTTCCTTTGATAGTTTCCCGACAGTCATGACCTCCCCTAGATGGACGAGGCTGGCGGGTCTACCTCGCGACCGACGCTGGCGGACTAGCGTGGCCATGATATCAGCCATTGCCACCGTCATTGATTGGTTTGGGTCGCATAGTGTTCCTGGAATGGATCCAGTGAGCACCCAGAAGTCTATGTCTGGCGTTTCGTGAAGCGTATCCAGCATCTCGATCGTCCGGACACATGGAGAGAGATGCTCTTGCAGGAGCCTATTCGTGAGTTGGGAAAAGACGCAATCAACCGGTAGTTCTGGTTTGATCAGGACACCCCCGACTGTTCGAGGAAAGAATCGAGGGATTGTATGATCAAGATTTTGGAGGGCGGTATATTCCGTTAGACGTCTAGCAGCCATTAATGGACAATTCGGTATCAAAGAAGTGACACTTACATCGTGGAGTGGGCAATCCGCACCCCTCGCCGGCAAATCTCTTCAAACCACGTTGGAGTGGACTCTGGTTTGTCTGCACTGGCCCAAAAGATCCATTTTGCGCCATGCTGTACCAGCGAGTGACACACAACTTGCGCCATGTCGCCAGTGATTCCAAGAACAAGGTAGGTTTTCGTACCCGAAAGCTGTAGCATTGAGCTGGCGGAGGATATCTGAGCGCGAAGTGGAGTGGCGCAGGCCCAGTCGAGTATACCATGCTCTAGTTCCGCGACTTTCTCTTCTGCTAGGTGATTTATAGGGACCGAACTCATGGACGATGACGAGCTCTTTTCTAGGCAATTCTGCGCGAGCAATGATGCTGTCATAAGCCCCATGGCCACGCGCTGGATATTCTCGCCGCTGACAGGGACTATAGACGGAGAGACAGGATACAAATCATCCAGACGAGTCTGCTTCGTACCAGCAGGGAGCAGGGATATCATGCGCTCGACGATCGGGTCCTGGTGCCGGTTTAGGGCCGCAACAGCAGCTATACCAGGGGGCAGGACTTGAGCCAATTGGCGCGCAGTGCTACGCCTGTGGAGGAACAGGGTAGACTTGTCGCTGGCGGATGTATTCTCACTGGTACTGAAGACGACGTTGATATTGCGTCGGACCGCTAGCGTTGTGAGAATGTCCCTGGTAAATGGATCAGGATCGTGCACCAGAAGTGTCTCAGTTGAATGGACTTGGTCAATCAGATATCCTGCACTCAGCACAGCCGCCGTGGTGTGCAGTAGAGATGGCTCTTCAGCCTCAGCCACTGTGGGTGCCACGGGCCAGACCCACGACTTGGGTACATTGAGCTGGGACGCATTGTGGGGGGATAAAGCCATGATCCTCTGATCACTGGGGTCCTCTTGCCCTATAGCAAGATATAGGAATATCCCGTCGGCAACTCTCACTGCACTGAGAGTGGAATATCGGACGCTGACTTGCACAGTTGGTCCATAGCCCGCAATCACTGGAGGCTGACCCGTCGACAGGACGCGAAACTGAGGATTTGGCATGTTTGTGGCTCCTGGTACGACCTTTATAACAGCTTGACCCAGATGAACCAACTCCGTGACTCGTTGCCGACTGGCCAGATGGGCCTTGTTTTGCCAGTGATCCTGGATTTGGCGCGGAATGTACAACCGGGAGCCATCGTATTGAATTTCAGGCTCCACGCAGTTCAGCCCCGAGGAACCAGAGATTTGCCGGACATGGGTGTCTTTAATGAAGCGTTCCAGAGCAGCCGCTAGCACACTCGCTGACAGTGATGCTTCTTCCGTGATGGTGAGCAGCTGAACCAGGCAAGACGAGTTCTTCAAAGCTGTGAGACTACGAAGAAGACCCCGAATCAACCCAGCATCATGCTGGTTGTCCCGCTCCAGCGTGACGCATAAAACCCGCGTACTGGTCTGCACCAGCCGCTGCAGATCTTGCACATCAATACTGGAGAAGCTCCAATCATCCAGAAGGCCTACAACCGTGAGATCGGTATTGTCGCTGGATTCAATTGACTTCAGGCCCTGTACTCGGGATACTCGCCCAAACTGGCCGTCAACTAATGCAGTTAGCTCTGACAATAGGGACTGTTGCCCCTCATCGCTACCCCCAAGTAGCATCAGCTCGCCATAGCGTGGTGATGTCGTCTTTTGCGTGTCCGGTCCTCGACAGAGAATGAGTGCAAACCCCAGTGGGATATTATTCTCTCCCTGCCCAACTTCAAGACCCTCCACGTCACCAAATCCGCAAGCCGACAGCACATCATACCAGTCCGCAAAGTTGTCAATGGTATGGCAATGGCATTGGCCATGGTCAATTCCTTCGCAAGGCGGAGGCGCTTCAGAATCCAGTGCATGGCGCGGGCTTACCCGTACCAAGACCAACAGATACCCTCCTGGTTTTAGTAGCCGTTTGAGATGGACAACGATATTTTTTTCCGGAAGGTCGACTGCAGTATAAAGCAGTATTTCGTAAGAGTGGTCCAAGAAGCCCTGCCCGGCGAGATTCTGATCAAAGTCTAGGCGTTTATCCTGGACGTCAGGTGCGGCCTCCGCCTGATTTTCAAGGCCTGTGTCATCTCGTACGGTAGACGGAGCGCCATAGGTGAATGAGCGGTAGCTCAAACCCATCTTCTTCAACATACAGTGGGTTGATATTCCAAGTGTACCAATTTGCAGAATGTCCATGTGTGGGAAGCGGAAGCACGCGTGCCCAGCGAGTGAGAGAATACTGCCTACCAAGTGACAGAAAAGGGGATCGTTTTTCAGGTGACAGTCGCCATGGTCTGTCCGCGGCAACTCTCCTGTCTCTGCAGCATCGCATACAGCATCATTGTCGCTCAGACCGACATATTCTTCGATATGTGTGCGAATACGGGCAGTCAAACGCTCTCCATTCATATCAAGCCAGTCACGAGAGGACATGGCTTGGTATCCTTTGCGGGCCCTAAGAGTGGAATTGTTCATCCACCCAACTAGATTGATCAGAAGATAGTCCCGATGCTGCTGCTCTGGAACCATGGCAACCAGTTCACTGCGTTGGAGATGTAGTACTGGAAGCCTCTCCCGGAAGGGATTTGAAGGGGATATATTTGGCGGGAGTGGGTCAATTAACACCTCCAGAGTAGGCTCTAGAGGGCCCCATTCTGTAGTTGAGAAGATTCCTAGGTTTCGGTCGACATCTTCTGATACGGCACGCATGAGACGAACGCCTTCCAATTGGGCAATCTTTTCTCCATCTGGCGTGAAGATATCAATGTCACCGTGGATCCCCTCTTCATCAACCTGTGTTATGAAGCCCACCAATTCGATCTGCTGTTCCTCGCCGCGAGGAAGACATAACACAGGATTGACCCAGACACTATGGATGCTGCGCACAAGGAGAGGGCACGACATCATGTCATCATCAAATTCACCCAGTGCGGCAATCAACGTCTGGACAGAAGTCTCTAAGACCGTTGGATGGAGGTTGATGTGCCCGTTTGGGTCCCTTGGTGGCGTGCTGACTGTTCCCAGAGCAAGGTCGTAGTGTCGAAGCAACTTGGTCAACCCAGCAAATGATCCAGTACAGTGATAGTCACGCCGGCGCAGAATATCATAGAACCCGGTCGTTTCTACAGGCCTCATTGCCGGGTCGAGCGCACCTCGGGGTGGAAGGAGGGATTGCTTGGTGGCACCTGAGTGCATGCATATGTTTGCGGTTGCACACTCGACGAGCTCTCCCGCTACAACACTCTGGACGCTGCACCGAGCTTCAATTATCCCATCTCTCGAGGCTATTCCGGTAACTATGGTAAGCACTTCTGTTCCGATAGGATCATCCACAACCGGCAGTGAAGTGTGAATCGCCATGTCCGTGACTTCAAGCAAGCGTACTCCATCTGTTTTCGCTACCGACAACCCTGCCTCTAATGCCATTGAGACATAGCCCATTTCTGGGAACATTACTTCTGACTTGATGCGACGCTCTGCCAACCATGGAAGCTCCTGCAGCCTGAAATAATTTCTCCATCGACTCTCCCCTAGCCCGGTCTCGGCGCTAAGGGTGCCGAGTAGGGCGTTTGGAGGTATCGGGCAGTTCACATAGTCCCTGGACAAACGAGACTGGGCCCAATATGTCTGAGAATGGTCAAATGGATAGAGAGGGAGTAGTTTTGTCAAGGAGGTGGATTGTTCGGGCTCGAATACAGAGAGATAGTCTGCGAGATGAACCGTTGTGGGCCCCAGGTGCATCCAAGCTGTCCCCAGGGCAGCGGCCCAGCTGTCAAAACCGCCTTTCCCCCTCTCCGCGAGAGCCAGATAAGGGACTGTTGACTGAGCTGGAAATACATGGGAGAGGGTCTGTAGCACAGGGCCTTTAAGGGTGGGGTGTGGTCCTATCTCGACGATGAGGTCCGGTGGTCCAGTTTCTTGCAAAGCGGTCTCCACGGCCTGGTAGAACTGCACAGGAAGCAGCATGTTTTGCACCCAGTATTCATTCGTCAGATCATGCTGGTCATAGACCATCATATTTATGCCGGGGTACACACTGGAGAACCACGGTGTTCTGCCTTTCAAAGTGGTAGCAGGATAGGCATGCATCGCTTGACGATAGGGGTCCGCGCATGGTTTCATATGGGGAGAATGATACGCAGTATCCACCCGCAGCATTCGCGGAGTGAGTCCTAAGCTCTTCAATAGCCACTCCAGTTCTCGCAGGCATTCAGCTTCCCCAGAAAGCGTGACGCTGGACGGAGAATTGGCGGCAGCAACGGCAATCCGTCCAGAATACGGCTCGGCGGCGCATATGGCCTGCGCTTGTTCCCAGGTGAGGCTAACAGCCATCATCCGGCCGGTAGCATCCCGTGCCTCGCTGATAGCCTTTCCCCGAAGGTACGCGATACGGATGGCATCGGGGGCCGTGAGCATACCCGCAGCATACGCAGCTACAATTTCCCCGGACGAGTGGCCGACTGCCACGCTAATGTCGATTCCTACCCTCCGGAGGAGATTGGCTTGGATTATCTGGACCGCAGTACGCAGTGGAAGCGACATCAGACCTTCGTGCACCCGAGAAGAACAGGGCGGTCGTGATAAATGTTCGACCAGGGAGAAACCCGGCGCATAAGTAGAGGGGAGTTGATCAAGGGCTCCCTGTAGCTCGTCCATCCAACGGCGAATCTCCGGACTGCTATCAATAAGATCAAAGCCCATTTGCGGCCATTGAACACCTTGCCCCGTGAAAATACCGAGAACGCGCTTGCGCCGGGAGCCAGGTCTGGATATCAGCGAAGATGGTGTACCAGCTGTCCTTCGATGGAGCTGAGTCGCAAGAAGGTCCTGTAGTTCGGCCACCGATTGCGCCATCAGCGTTAATCGATGATTATGAGCAGAACGCTTGGTCCATAATGATAATGCAAGATCAACTAGATTTATCTCTGCATGATCCTGGAGGAATTGGACATAGCTGCCCAACACCGCCGTAAGTGTTCGCTCCGAGGCGGCTGAGAAGACCAGAGGTACGGCGAATCCTCTATTTCGTGACAGCAACGCATCCCCATGGTTGTAACTCTCCAGGATAACATGCACATTGGCGCCGCCAAAGCCAAAAGAGTTCACCGAGGCTCGTCTGGGACAACCAGCTGGTAAAGCTGGCCACGGGATACACTCCGTAGGGACAGATAACTGGCCAGCGAACGGGACTATCTTTGGATTGAGTTCGTTCATGAGGAGATTTGGAACGATAAGTCCGTGCTGCAGCGATAGGGATGCCTTAATGAGACCCGCGAGTCCTGCAGTCGCCTCCGTGTGCCCGATTATTGTCTTTATTGAGCCCACGTACAGAGGACCAGCTATATCGGCGACGGAATCTAACCCAAAGAAGCTTCCGTGGATTGCAGTTGCCTCCTGGGGATCCCCAGCCTGGGTCCCTGTTCCATGGGCTTCGAAGTACTGGCATCGATCCTCGGGGCGTTCCTGAGGCGAGAGTCCAGCCCGAGCGTATGTCGCGCGGATCAGCATCTGTTGGGCGTGAGCACTGGGCATCGTGATTCCCATTGTTCGTCCATCCGAGTTAGCTCCAGTCGCCCTGATCACGCATTCAATGGGATCTCCATCGTTTATCGCATCACGCAGCCGTTTCAGGACAACCGACGCAATCCCTTCACCACGAGCATAGCCGTCGGCACTTTTGTCCCACATGCGACTCCTACCGGTTGGGGACAACATGTGTGTTTTTGAGTCCGCTATGTAGGGGCCTGGGGATAAGATCAGGTTGCTTCCCACTGCCACTGCCATCGAACAGTCGTCCTGGGCCAGGGCTTCGACTGCCAGGTGGACGGCCAACAGGCTTGAAGAACACCCTGTATCCACAGCCATGGATGGCCCACGCCAGTCAAAGTAGTAGGACACTCGATTGGCCATAATCGACAGTGAATTTCCCGTAACCACATACGCAGGGAATGCTTGAGGATCCATGGCCTGGAGTTGGCTGTAGTCGTTGCGAAGCGTGCCACAGAAAACGCCGGTCATGGAACCATGCAGCGCATCCATCCGAAGTCCGGCGGCATCCAGCGATTCGTACACGGTCTCTAGAAGCAGTCGCTGTTGTGGATCCATTGCGGCCGCTTCGGCCGGGGAGATGTTGAAGAAGGCGGCATCGAAAGCCCGGACATCCTCGTCGAGGAAGTAGGATTGCTGGACATTGGTCCGGCCATGATATTCCCCATCAGGGTGATAGAATGCGTCAATGTTGAATCGGTCGGATGGGATTTTGCGAGCCAGATCCCTGGGATTACGGAGAAGTTCCCACAATTTAGCAGGCGAAGAGGCGCTGCCAGGAAAACGGCATCCTGTGCCAATAATCGCAACTGGTTCTGTTGGTTTCATTGTTTGATATGAGAAGGGAAGAATGAGGTCATACAGGAGATCCAGGTTCAGTGATATACACACTGTTCCGGAGCCATGATGATGGTCAATCTATAAGCACCTACGGACGGGGCATTCGCCATGACAGCTCAAGACTCGACGTGGAAAGGGAGACCAATGTTTCGGTCATCCCGTCAGCCGTTATGGAGCGGTGAGACCCCGAATCCAGCAAGTCTGCTGGGTTATATGCAGGGTGCTCCTTGCATGAGATGAGTGGCACCCTTATCCCAAGATCAGCCTGTGGTGGTTTTCAATAGCTGCCTACAACCTGCTCATTGTGCTGATGCACCGTTGTAGTATTGAAGTGCAAGAATCGTACAATGTCTTTGCATTGGCACTGGGCCTGAAGACGAGGTACTGCCTCGTGTCTGGCCATTTCTATACTGTCCAGCCGTGACTGTTCTCAACGAGAGAGGCGTATGGGATTTCTTTTCAACAACAAGCAAAAGCGATTTCGGCTGGAGGCGGAAAAGCTGCTACAGGGAGGCTTTGAGAAGGCACGTAGTGATCGGCATCTGAAGCAGTATGTGATCATTTTTAGGCACCGAAGATGCTGCACCAGGTCCCTGGCTTTGTGGGATGTCGAATATACCGCGTATCATGTAGAGGAGCTTTTCGTGTGTTATCCTGAGTGTTCACGTCTGCTCCTGCCTGCATCAGAGCTAAGGCCATTGTGTCACTCGTCAAGATGCTCGCAAAGTGCAAGGGGGGCTTCCCCTTCACAGTCAATACAATTGATAGTACAGCCTTGTTGAATGAGAGCAGCGACCAGTTTGGCGGCCTGAGACCTTCCTCCCAATGATCTCACTATTCCTGAGCAGCAGGTGGAGGCTGTCCCTGTCATGATCTTTTGAGAAGCTGTACAACGGACCACCTTTCGTTTTTCCAGGACCCATATCGCTGGGGTTTTGTGGAATTCTCCAGAACCGCTCGTACTGGGACCACGGGGACGATCATGTCGTAGAATTGCGCGACCTTCTCCGTCTGGAAGATTTGGATTTGCACCGCAATGCATCGGCGCCATCACCATCTCAGAATCCCCATTCTCGTCTGCGTACGAAAGCAGGGCACGACCATCTTCATCCCTGGTGTCGATGTCATCCAGCAACTCGATCAAGCTGCACGTGTCGTAACCCTCCCCGGGTTCATGACTGCGTTCTGACAAAGCAGTTCGTCCCTCATGGTCTTGCCGGTCCGCTTTGATATCCTAGACTCTCAACAGCTTATCTACAGTACGGTAGCGTCCTTCACTGGCTGCGCGTATGAGTAGCGTTTTTCCAGACTTGTCTGTGTGGTTGACATTCGCCTACGATTGAAGAAGCAGTTGGATACAACTAACGAACCCACGCTCTGCTGGATGTGATAATGGAGTCTGGCCGGTATGATCGGGAGTGTCGATATTAATGCCGTCCCCCGAGAGTAAAAACTCGAATGTGTCTGTGGAATCTTCTGTTACTGCCCACGAAAGAGGAGTGTGGCCTTCCATATCGTGTGAATTCACATCGGCTCCCGCTTCCACCAAGCAGTGGATGGTCATACGCATCTGATCGATGGAATGTGCGAATATGCCTCTTTTGGTGTTGCTGCCCAAGATAGCAGGATGGAACCACCATCATTCCTTGATGTATGCTGTGCTTCTTTACCTAAAGAGGCCGTTACGGACCATGATTGCTAGAGTTCAGCAGCCTACAAAGGGGCTGACCAGCCATTCCTATTATGTATGTCTACTTTGACATAGTTGAGTGCCAGCAGTGTCTAGTAATTCTGGTCCTTCTGGTATCGCCGCCGCTATTAATAGTATAGTAGTGAGCCTTCATATTGGAAGAATTTTAGATTGAATGCACCATCCTTTGGATAGTTCTCACGATACTCCTGAATTTGAGAACTTCCTCAAAGCACTGTTACTGAGGTTGTTTGCTACAGCATCGAGCAAATCAATATGATATACAATCGCTAGTATTACCGGATTCAACAAAAAAAAGAATTGCACCAAAGACATGAATTACACACGACCAGAAGACCTCGGGTATTTTGTGAAGGAAAGAGTGATCTATCTATTAAATGAGGATCGGCAGCGGGCGGTTATGCTCGTCTACAGACCAACGAGGCTATACCATTCAAAGCGCTGGCTGCATGCCACTATTGGCCGAATATGAAGCTAGACTAGTCGCAGCATCATCACTTGCGAAGATGATTTAAGAGTCATATCCTGTAGCATCATGCGGCTTACTCTGCGGCAAATTCTCCACCGTTCATAATACTGCCTGGATAACCAACCATACCCAGAGGGTAGAAAGTCTTAGTCACTTGTCTGAGGTCTTGTGCGAATATTTCCCACAAGATGGCGCAGAGCAAGCTATCCACCATACTGAGGGATGGGGCCCTGGATCTGGCGCCGTATGAGGATCTCTATAAGCATTTCCACGCCCATCCTGAACTCTCACTCCAAGAGGAATCAACGTCACAAACGGTCGCCGCCCATCTGGCTCAACTCAAAGCTTACGAACTACACACGAATATTGGTGGATACGGACTCGTCGGGATTCTCCGAAATGGCCCGGGAAAGACTGTTCTTCTGCGCGCAGACATGGACGCCCTGCCAGTCAAGGAGCTCACCGGGCTCCCATACGCAAGCACAGTTACTATGCGCGACGGCGATGGGATCGAGAAGCCCGTAATGCACGCGTGTGGACATGACATGCATATTACTTGTCTACTCGCGGCAGCTGAGACGATGGCAACCATCCAGCACGCATGGAGCGGGACGTTAATCGTGCTGTTCCAGCCCAACGAGGAACGGGGCGGTGGCGCACAAGCAATGGTAGACGATGGCCTTTATGAGAAGATCCCCAAGCCCGATTATATCTTTGGCCAGCACGTCATGCGAATGCGCGCCGGAAGCGTCGGCTCCCGTCCTGGGACTATCATGGCGGCTGCCGACAGTCTCAAAATTACCGTCTACGGGCGCGGTGGCCACGGATCACTGCCGCATCAGACCGTAGATCCCGCATTGCTTGCCGCGCATATCGTCGTCAGACTGCAGAGTATTGTAAGCCGTGAAATCGACCCAAGCGACCTGGGTGTCGTAACGGTCGGAAGTCTGCAAGCAGGGCAGACCGAGAATATCATCGCGGATCGGGCGGAGATCGGGCTTGATTTCAGAACCGTCAGGCTGGAGACTCGCCAGAAGATCATATCCGCTATCCAGCGTATTGTTGAGGCTGAATGTATGGCAAGTGGCTCGCCTCAACCGCCAGTCTTCACTCCAACACGGCGGTTTCCACCCACCCTAAATGACGGCGATGTGGCGGCTGAACTAGCCGCATCATTCGGCGAGCATTTTGAGGACTTTGACGGCGATACACCGAGAACCAATGTCAGCGAAGATTTCTCCACGCTCGGCACTTCCCAAGGCATTCCCTGTTGCTTTTGGTTCATAGGGGGGATCGATGCCGAACTGTGGGATAAAGTCCACCAAGACAATCACACAGAGCAGATCGCCGGAAACCACTCTGCCCTGTTTGCGCCTTGCATACAGCCGACAATGAAGGTGGGAGTCGACGCGCTTTGTCTTGCTGCCTTGACTTTCTTAACGAAATAGGCGCAGTATTAGCTATAGCATAGATGCGGACCACATCGATTGAGTTATATAGATAACCCGCGTATGCAGTGTGCTCCCCCAGGCATTGACATTGGTCGTTCGTCTGGAGGCCACAAGAAGATATGTCCAATAACTCAGTAGCTTTCTTACAATAAGAATACTGAGGAGTGATACCAGAAGACTTAGGATTACGAGTAGAATGCCGATGCGTGGAAGACAACGAAGCCTCTCTTATGCTAACTGAAGATACATGGCTAATGCAAAATCTATATATAACAGATGAACTCTCTGCGGACAACACAATACATTATTCATTCCACCACAGACCATGGAGAAAGGACTGTTTTTTTCAATATCGAGTCATGTCAGTAAGACATTCCTGGTGTTGCACAACTCGTCGTGGTTGATGCAGTGCGGAAAATGACCATGACCCGCAGCATGGGCCTCATAAAGGCAGACGACAACTTGATGTCATCTTAAAGCAATCCCCGAAAGACGTGGATTATAAGAACATGTCTTCGTCCTTCTAAAAAACTTATGACTCTCACTGTGAGTCACATTGTGACCTCTTGCTCCTCCTGGGGGGAGTATGAGCAATGCCCCGTCATTGATCGAATTAGACTCTGGCAGCGGAGAGACACTCTGCGATGAGGTGCAATCAGACGCTAGAAAATTAGATCGATCATGAAATTCCGACGGTTCTCGGTAATTTCCAAAAGCACCGAGGTAGCCACAAACAAAGGCCCGAATATCTGGGATGAACGCCCGATACGCCGTTCCACCATACGCCAGCTTCGATCGCGGGTTTGGGGCCCTAATGAGTGGCCCCGATCACGGCCTATTCAACTGTTCTTTGCGGTAAAAGAGGAGAAAGCCGAAACTATATAAGCGATTAGTTGATAGGATCAGAACTGGGGATCGAATGACCATACCTAGCCAGGAGCTGGAAAAACAACGAAATCCAGAACCATGCATTGCCGACCTTGTCCACCGACGTGCCAACATTCGGCGAGACGCCGTCTGGACCCAGTCTGTTGGGCGCGAATCCACGGGCGCAGATGGTCGCAATTGATCCCACGGCCTGTGCCGCCAGGAGGACAAAGCAGACATGGACTCTGGTCAGGGTCTGGAGAAGAATCATGCCCAGACCAACCTGCTGGACCTCATCCAGAACGCCGAGCCAGAGCCACAGAGACCGGGATACAACGGCTCCCGACGTTAAGCTACCAGCCCAGGGGAGATAGTAGCCAATGTTGGATGTCCCCCACCATGTCTGCGCCCAGCGCGGAGCGCCCAGACTAAGACCGAACACAGGCAGAATCCAACTATGCTCTTTGGACAGGATGCGAAAGGCGGAGAGGATAATGACCCAGAGGACGAGGAAGAAGCATATGATAAGGACGACAATCTGCCAGGTTTTGGCGTGATTCGAGGACCAGAGGAATGACCAGTTGCGCCCAAAGGCAGCGGCGAGGAACCAGTTCTGCACAATCACCATGAAGAAGAACCAGAGAACAATGCGCCGGCGGAAAAGCGACGTGTAGAAGAAGAGAATCCGGCTAGGCGCTTGGCGATAGTAATTGGGTAGACCCAAGGCGAGCAATACACCGATAACGAAGCATACCGCGGCAATCGGCATCACCACAGCCGTGAGCCTCCATGTGCCCAGCGTGAGACTGGAAACGCCGCCGATCTCGACGGTGGTCACCCTGGAGCTCCAGTACCAGAGCGCAACAGTGTACAGCTGGGAGATTCCCTGGATGAGGCCGGCGCGGAACATCCAATCCTTCACAGGGACGGAGCCCTGGTCACCGAAGTTGAGGGCAAAGAACAGGGAACCGCTAGACGAGGCCACAGCGTAGACGGCCGCGGCCACATTCTGCGCCCATCCTCGGGAAGCGACTGAGGCTCCATAAGGGGAAACGCCGATGATGATGAAAGCAAAGCCATATATGAACCAGGGAACACTCAGAACAATCACCGCAGGAAGGCGCGAGTACATGAGCCACCAAACGATCGATGCGACGCAGTAGATTGCTGCAATCACATATAACTTGGTGGCTGATTCACCGACCTGGCCGACAAGCAGGGTAATTTGAGCGGAGTTGGTCGCGATGATTTGTCCGAGACCCAGGAAAAGAGCGTACACCGGCCAGTTGCCGACCCGCCGTCGCATAAAACGTTGGATGGCCATCGGCCGCATGTACCCCAGCCGTGAAAGCCATCGATCGATCTCATCGGAATCACTGATGTCTGTGCCTGCTCCCGGATCCGAGAGACGGTTGTACGACGTCTCATCTTCCACGTAGTCCGCAGCGCCGGAGGGGTATACTGCGTTTTTTGCACGGTGCTTCTTGAGTTGCGCGTCGTTGTACATGTTAAAGAACTTTCGCTCACTCTTCATCAAAAATGTCTCGATGCAGCAGTCTGTCATGGAATTCTTCTTGTCTAGGCCTTCCAGGATTTCCTCGAACCGGCGCGTGAAGTGTCCCATACTATCGGTGAAGGTTGGATCGACCTTGTTCAACTCAAAGACTTGCTGGTTGTGATCGCCCTTGACGGACGGCAGAGAGAGCACGGAGACATTGCGCGAATGAATAGAAGGCGTACTTGCCCCGGAATGCAAGGCTAATTGGAACGGATGCTGGAAAAGCTCGGACGGCGCCCTCGGCGCTGGCGATGGAGCACGAGAAACGTAGTACGGCGATGTTGACATTGACTGAGACGGTGTACCCAGATTCTCGCTTCTGTATGAGTCACGAATGTCTGGCGAGCCGAGATCATGGCCCACCGCCCGCATAGCCTCTTCAGAGGATATGTAATTTACCAGGCGCGCATCCAGATCATCCTCGTCTAGGTCGGCGTCAGTGGTCTCGTCGTCTGTTTGACCTTCGGCAACCTGACTGCTGCGAAGGGACTTCTTCATGAGGCGACTTCTGCCCTGGCCAGGTCCAGCTCGTCGACCGAGAGAAAGCTTCCTACCCAGACGGCCACTGTTTTGATCGTCCGCTTGCAACTCCCGAAGCCGAGATTGGGCATTCAACGACAGTCTTGCCGGCGGTGAGTCTGTACCATCCCGTAAAGATGGAGGCAATCCGGGGAGGCTGACAGTAGAATCACGCATGTTCTGTGTCTCCCAGTATATCTGGGAGTCCGGCATGGGGCCACTGGCGGTGTCCTTGTTCTTCTCGTGGTGAATCTTGATCGCGGTTCGTTGCAGGGTTTCAAGCTTTTGGATCCATTCCAGGACCGGGAAACGCTGTTGTGCAGAATTCGTGCGCATCTCTTCCCGTGTTTCTAGGTCGGAATCCAGGGCGGATTTGATAGCAGTTCTCAACTGGTGTAGAAGATGACGGGTGGCGTCCGATTCTACAGTGTACCACCAACCGGGCATTTGCCCTAGACCTCCAATGCGAGAGCCTATACCCAGCGCACCTTTTCGTCCAAACTCCACGGCAATCAAGCCAAAGGGCTCGTCACGAGATGGAATCAAAGCAAAGTCGGCACCCGAGAAGACATATGGCGGTAGAATAGTAAACTCTGGCTTCGAGAAAACACGACCAGGGAACATGGCCATGATCTTCTCGAGCTTGACCGCAGCCAGCTTGCCATACAGGTCAATGATGGGTCCAACACAGATCAGCTGAACTTCTGGCCTGCTGGACAATATCGCTGGTATGACGTCGGCGATTAGATCAACACCCTTCTGTTTTGACCACCGGCCGACAAATACCAGAAGATTGGCATCGGCATCCTCTTTCAGACCGGCCCATTTTTGAGCCTTCAGCTTATCGTTGATCCTTTCCTGAGGCGACGGAATGGGCACAGTGGCATCGGTGCCATGGCCGACAGCGCCGGTATCCGACGGGTCTGGGTTGGGAAGACTACCGATTTTGTCCAGGCTCCAAAAGATCGGGTATCGTGCCCAAGAACGCTTGCCGTACTTTTTGGACACACCCACAGCGCCGAAGCTATGCTGGTGAAACCGAAGGTAGCTCGCGCCAGTGTGTAGAAGATTGAAAACGTTTCCAAATTGACAGTATTTTGTCGCTGTTTCGACGGGGAGGTTGAAAACCGAGCAGACCTCTTTCTTCTCTTGCTGCGTCCTCAACGGCCAGAGACCTTGGAACTCGGCGTTGTGAAGTGACAAGCAGACTGGAATGGTTCGGGTGGGCAACAGATACAGCGGAGCAAGGCACCCGTGGAAATCGTTGATGTGATACAGGTCAATCGAGGGAAATCGCTTGATCGTTTCTGCTATACATTGGTTCCATGCTGAATAATAGATGGCACTGTCAAGATCATCCATCCGAGGAGGGTAGGGCTCGGCTTTTGTCTGCTGCCGGAAGACGGGAGCGTCAAGGATGACATAGGTGATGTTGTCGACAACGTGATATTGAACGTTTACCAGATAGGGCTTGTCAAGGATGGTGACTACCATTGGCTCAGCGGGTGTATCCTCGGGATACTCAATGTCCCCAACACAGGGGACAGCCCAGATGAGGTTCTGGTGCTTCAGGTTCTGTGCCATCAGCTGTGCCATGACTCCCAAGCCACCGATTTTGACTTTGACGTTCCAATCCTCAATGTTATACTCCATTGTGGCAATCAGGACCGTACGCCGCTGCTCAGGAGCGCCCGCGATCGTAGCGTTTGCTATGATGCCTTTGTCTGGTAAATCGATCTCTGCCTCGTCCTTGTTCGCAAAGTGTCCTCTGATCTTGCGCCAGATCATTGGCAGCTTGACCTCCTTGGCCGCGGCACCATCCCTGTTCAGCTTGACACGGTAGAACTTCCGCATGAAAATGAAAGCGCCAAAGAGGCCCATCAAGATGGGGACAACCCAAAGGAGTACGAAGAGGACGAGTTGGGCCCATCCAGATCCCACTGGCGTCATCACGTACCGAAGATTGGCGTCGTTGAGGGAGATGGTCCATCCAAGGTGCGGAAATGGGGGTAGCGTCGTGATATTGATCACATTCGACGAGAGATAGGACGGAGGCAGCTTCTGAACCACTGATGAGTTCGCAACATCGCCATAGACTTCGGTGGGATCTGGTATGCCATCCGGGCCAACTCCCCAGACACTGATCTGTCCCACGGAGGGCCACTCGTATACGAAATCATACTTCCAGACACGCTCCTTGGAGTCATATCTCATGCTGCTTTCCAAACCGGCATCATAGCCATACTGATTGTAGGGGCCGTTCCACCACAACTGAGGGAATCTTCGCGGCACGTCATCCTCCCACCCCTCGTCGCCTTCCTGAATGTAGTCGCTACTTCCAGTAAGTCTCGAGAAATATTGGACCCGCACATGTGTCCCCTTCCAGTGCTGAGCGTCCGTGCCAGACCAAGGCGCAACGTCGATTGTCGTATTGCCACCCTCATAAGCGGTCCAATCTGACCAGGTTCGGCCAAACGTCGTCGAATAGCGGAACTGGTCAGCGCCGGCGGCATCGTGCTGGATGTAGATACTGCCATCCTGGGATTTGTGCACAAGACTGGACGAATAATTGGCGAGTGGGGTCATCAGCGGGTTCGTAAGAGATCCCATGCGCAACAGAAATCGATCAACAGCATTGGTGCTCAACCCGGACGTTGTCGTCACGTTTTTAACGATGATCTCATGGACGCCATGATGGACGTTCTTCAGCTTTGCTGACCAGGTCCAGACCGTGGGTATTTCTCCGGCGTAGCCATTCCCGCTCGTTCGTGGAGTGATCTTTGTACAATTAACACTGGATGTATCCAAAGTGGGCGTGATGCCTTTCTGCGACGTCGAGTTCAGGGAGATCGCGCGGGTGACACCGTCGCAGCTCATCTCCTTGGAGTATCCAAGTCGGATGTCCACGGTCTCGCCCGTATCCTCGGAGGACAACAAGCGTGCGTCGTGACCGGGGGCAAACTCGGTAACGGTAGGGCCGGGCTCCACGAATTCCTCCGTCCTGACGTACGCACGGTACTCCCATGCCTGAAGGGTCAAGTTAGATGTACAGCCGTAGGACTCGCTTCCCGGTCCTCCGATTGGTCCCGGACCCTCTTGCAGTGTGAGCTCATCATAAGGATAGAAGAGATTCGTGAGCTTCGTTCCCGCCTTGTAAGGAGCTAACAATGCGGTATCCTTTTTCTTACAGTCACCGCCGTAGCTCACGGTCCTGTTGTCATTATGGTAGACCAGCCAAAAAGTACTATTGTCCTTGGAATCGGCTTCTTTCTGGATGCCTGGGAAGTAGCTCCGCAATACTGACCACAAACCGGTCACGGTGGGAGTCGTGGATGATCCAGGGAGGTAGATATCTTTCGTCAGCTGCGAGAGCGTTTGAAGATAGATGCCGTCGTTGGCGACTGGGTATTGCTCCCGAATCTCGAACATGCGCTTCATGATGTTGCGAAGGGGGTGAGCGGGATTCCGCTGGTCATAAGTAACCGTGATATCATGGCACCCGTACAAGCCCCTTTCGTTTGGGAAATCGTAGAATTTGGTCGTGTTCAGATTGAAGCAGCCATGCGTCCACCATGCTGTCTGGTATGTCATCGGCTGACGTCCGAAAAGATAGTTAGTCGCCGTGGCGTCAAAAACATACATATCCTGCTCTTCACCCCACAGGATAAGAGGAATGCCGGGGAGCTCCAAGGTCACAATGAACAGGCCCAGGAGGTACTTTGCGGTGCCGTTCTTGATCGCCGGCCATCGGAAGTTATCCTGGTTTGACACCCCATACATGTGCCTCGGGTCGACTTCATTGGTGAAGTGGTTGAGGAAATCATTATTGACCAACATCTCGTTCCACGCCTGGATGAAATCTGTGTTCAGATCAAACCCAGCAACCAAATTACCGTCCATCCCAAGGAAGCGGGTCATCGACCGGTAGATGGTATAGTGAAAGGCGGCTGAATCCAACGCCTGGTGACCGTCTTCTCGGAGAAAGTATTGAGGCGCCGAATTATTGTTCAGCTTCAGAGCGTCAATTGTAGAGTTCAGGCGCTGATTCGGCTGGCGACCGCGGCCGAGGTAGAGACTGCCGAAGGTGTCACCAGAGGTAATCTCGCCAGATATGAAGAAATTATCCTTGCCGAGTTTCGTTGCGCATTCGCGGAAAGCAGCTGAGATCTCCCCCAGCGGCTCAAGTGTTGCTTGGGCGGCTTTGTCATAACGAAACCCATCAATATCCAAGCTCGCAATTTGAATGCAGTAATGCTTCGTGATGATATCGCGCACAGGCTTATGCCATTCACGGAGTCGGTCTTGCACCGAGGCGAATTTGGTCAGCTGGCGCTGCCAGTCGGGAAAGTTACCAAAGGCTTCCAGTTCGCCATATTGATCGAAATCACTGTTGTAGCAGCCGTGCAATTTCTCCACGCCGCCGGAGCCCAGGGGAAACCCGGTCTCGTACCAGAATTTCGGATACGCACAGCTCTCATTGTATTCATTGCTGAAGTGAAAGTCCGCATACCGGCGGTCCGATATCCACTCGACGTGATACTCGTCCGGTCGAAAGTCCGCCGAGTCATTCAGATGGCCTTGGAAACCGATCAGGTTGCTCAGACTGTAGATCACAGTCAGCTTGCGGCGAGAACATGCTAGCTATGTCATGTGCACTTACGTTGCCAGTGTATTGTCCAAAATCACATACATGTCGCGGTCGTGGATCTCGCTGATGGTCCGTCTCCAATCCTGCAGCGTGCCATGGTGCATATCCAGCAGAGTTGTGTCCACCGGCGAGTAGCCATCGTAGGCCCAAGGCAGATTCATCAAACCCGTTCCCGCAAAGTATATGCCCTAGCATTCGTAAGCAAACCGCCGTTGGCCACCTCGACAGGGCTGTCACGCACCTTGAAACCCATGCCCCGGATATAGTCCAGCGAATCAATCAACCCAACCAGATCCCCTCCATGGCGCATCTGATTCGAGTTGACCACATGCTCGAAGGCGGTTCCGTTGATATCATCGTTGGTCGGGTCGCCGTTGGCGATGCGATCGAGGAAGATGGTGTATACGGGGAAGCGCCAGTTCTTTGGCGACGGGTGGTACTTATGATCCGGCCATTCTCCCCAGTAGTCAATCGGCGACTCGGCCGATTTGTTTTCATTCAGATTGTAATCAACGAGAGACTCTGTGTACGGCCAACACAGTACTTGATGAACACTCAATAATAGCGACAGGAGGAGAGTTGCCAAGCGCTGCATCTTCGTCAACATACCTGCAGTGCCTCAACCTCTGGAAAATCGTGGACGGAGAGATGCAATCATGCTATAATCTCGGGAGGGGTTTTAACGAGCGACAGTCACAGCAGAGGTTGACTCAAGGCGAAAGTAGCATCCAAATGCTGAGTTGACAGCAGATCACGAAGTTACTGGAGGTTGAAACACCCGTCGGCCACGCTGAGAGAGATGGTTGACCGGAAATGCTTCTGGAGAATTGAATCCATGGTTGGATGAAGCCTCATCATACGGAGTACGGAGTAGACTGATTTTGCCGTCTCCATAATGACGACAGCTCTGTGTCTCGAGTCTACTAATAATATGAGACATCTGGACTGTCTGTCACCAGTGGGGAGAGTCAGCCGTGGGCCGCCAGCCATAAGCCACGTCTTGTGGCTATTTTGGGCAGATCTTCGTATTACATTATCATTAGGATATCATTGGAGGATTTATCCGAGAATCCTCTCTTTCTACCTGGTGTGTGGGCTTATCAGGGCTTGCCTGCCGAGAGCTGGCGCATCTGTTTGAACCGCCATATATAGATACTTCCTCCCCGCCGTCGCCTGATTTTGCGGGCAAAGTGCATCGGACCCTTTGGTGTCTTCCTCGCCTCCCCGATCAGATCATTTCAATCCGATCAATAGATACTGAGGGTTTGGAATCACCAGGGGCATTGATTCCACACTACACAAAACGGGAGCCAGCAGATCCAAGTGTCCCCACCCGCCTTACTGAACCGGCGCTCAAGATTCTGCGAGGGGTGGGCGGGGAAGGGGGAAAGGAAAAAAAAAAAAAGAAAAAAAGGAAAATTCTAGCAGAGCCTAGTAATCGATAATCGAATGAATAATATGCTTGGAATAGCTGGGTCTTCGAAATAAGAAACGACCCAAGTCCGCAACACTTGCCACTCTTTGCTTGTACTGGCTGTGCTGTGCTAAATTGATCCATATCTAGTCCCTTCATCCCTGCTGGAGAGAGCAGCATAGAGTGGAGGATCCATTAGGAGTCCCACTGGTGGCGTTTCCAGCCGATACCTGACCAACGAGCCGTCGTCAGCGCTATCAGTGACCTGCAAAACCCTGGTTACGACTGACGGGACAGCTGTGGGCTGTGGTTCATCTTTAGTTTCGGCCATTGAGACTGGAGAGCCTGGGGAATGATTACTCCGTACAATGCCCATTTTACCGACACCCGCCTGGACCCAGGATATTCATTGTCTTTCGAAACCAGAGGAGCCGATGAAGGGAAAGGAAATCAGGGACACACTCGTACCATGTTCCAGGGCACCCTCGGCCAGGGACAACCTCAGTAGAATTCATGTTTTTAACAGTGGATTGACAATTTGACTGAATAATGGACACTGGGCAGTGGGCACTCAGAAATTTCATGATCCATCAAAATCAGGGCCTACCACTGTCCGGGACTCAACTCACCAACAGCCGACTGTGATTGTGTGACCATTTGGGTGCACCACACTATCCCTGATGGAGCCGAGTGAAAACTCATTAGTGAGACCATTACTTGACCGACATCTGATTACTCAGTACTTACTACTGACTACTTTGAGGATACATTGACGAGGCGAGCAAGTATGTCGAGGATCTTCCTGTCCGGACTACTCACGGAGTATTAATCGTATTTAGTCGGCTGAGAGAGATCATCCTCGGTGGATTCCATATCTATCGACGGAAGACCGAGCATCCAGATCTCGATTTCTTCCCCGATGGCGTGTGTGTGCATCAGAATTGTGTACCGATTCTTCTGGATCGGTTTCTGCGGTGATAAATGGCCACTGGGAGCCTATTCCGAGTTAGTGCTGCTGATTCAGCACCCTCGCCCTCTTGGCCTTTTTCTTTTTGGGATTTTTTGGATCAAAAACTCTGCCAGGATCCGAGTCGGTGTTGTGGTGGTTGGGGAGTGGTGACAACAATGCCCCCCCCCCCAGGATCAATCTAGTATCACTACGGAGTAATCATAATGGTTAGCAATCAGCATCTGTCGACTGTCGTACATACAGAGTAGTTTGGTGGTGCAAGGAACCCTGACCGTTTATTGTGTGACATCTATTGGTTCTTCTGTACGCGCCGAGGCGTCAAGCTTCATCTTGCACAAGATGGATGTCGGCTACTCTTCCCCTGCTCGCTCCTACGAATTCTTCTCGATACGCGCCCGTACTATTCATAGAGCGGATATCGCCATACCCAACGTGGAGCCGAATCTCTTAACAGTCCTCTTGTGCAACGCTGGTCTACAGGTGGAAGAGCCTGTTATAGTCTTATAGAAGGCTGGGATGCAGCAGGGATACATCGGTTGTCCTAAACAAGAACAAAGTCATTCAAATCAGTCGAGTTTTCAACTCTTGTCACTGTCAACAGTGCATTTATAGAGAGCTCATCTCTTTCTGATTGGGTCCCACATGTGCTACATCTCTTGAATGCACACACAGACGTGCATTGCATTGCTGATGGTGAGGAACTGGGCAGCGAGTAGACATAAGAGATCACTGCCACAACTATCTAGTTTTCTGTGGCTCATTCTGATAAGATTCGAATTCTATAGAGATGAGATACAGAGCCAGGATGAGGTAAAAAAAACATTGTGCCGTTTAAGACATCAAGTGGGCCCTTCTGAAGGTTGTGTCATTCTAAATATATATATCACTAGATCACATAATAATACGCGGACTGGAGTATGATAGTATCAAATGCTGCGGAGATCTGCGGTTTTCTGACGATCTAGATTAGCTCTGTAGTTTTGCAAGGTTTCCGATGTCCAGGAGGCACAAGGGATGAAACAAGGACCACACATGATAGACATGGAGAGAGAACTTTTCAATTCATCCCAGCTGTAAGTGCACGTCTGGCATTAGAGAAAGACGGAATCCGTCCGTGGGATATGAGACATAGCACAGCCCCCGGCGGATGGAGCCTTGAAGCAAGATTTGAACCCATAGCTTCGGAAACCAGTGCCCGTCTGGGGCCCCGACTCCAAATCTTACCACTCTGATTCTTTCGTCCATGGCCAGTGCCTCACCGTTGTTGATGTAGATGGCTGTCCCGGCGCTGCGGTTGGGAAGCAGAGACCCCCGCATACTTCCGTCTGCGTACAAATTTGGCCAGCAGGACAATCCTGGGATGCACCCACAACACAAGGAATGCTCGGCAAAGCCGTCGGGGTTGCGATACAGACGCCACCACAGGCTGCAGAGGGAGCTTGACAGGCCATTGTTGGGGTACAGGTCGACCCGACGGGACAGGCACCGCCCATCATGCATGGGATTTGTGGCGGTGGAGTTGGAATTGCAATACAGGCGCCGCCACAAGACCCTCCGCCGGTTGAAGGGCAGATCATGGTCGGAGTGCAGCTTGAACCGGTTGGGCAGCCAGTCGATGCGCCGCCGACTACACAGGATACTTGCGGAGGAGGCGTGGTCACCGATATACACAGTCCATGGCAAACCATCGTCTGCGTGCAGATTGAACCGGTTGGACACGGTGAACCACCCAGTGTGCAAGGGACGGTGTATATCGGAGTTGGAGTTGGGGTCGGAGTTGTGCTCATTCCTGGACATCGATCGTTGTGATTCTGCTGTGCAATGGTGATCCCAAGAGTAAGGTAAACGGCAGAGAGAAATGCCACTGGATGCATTTTGATCATTCTGGCTGAATACTGTAGTGGATAACGAAGAACAGGGCGCATCGAATAACCTCTTTACCTTGATCTAAGAGGCCTCCCGAGCTTGTCTATATATGTGGCCCACGAAAAATCCGTGAAGGATGTAAAAAATCAGACACGATTTGTGGGGAGCATGTCAGCAGATCAACTGTACATGGATATTTCTAATGCCAACCCTCTGAGTCTTGTTCTTCCAATACAGAGCATGAGAGCTCCTGGATAGATTGCGGTACAACGCAATAAACTCATCGCAGGAAGCAAATTCGAGACAGAAGTTCCGTATGACTGGAGTTTGTTTCGACGCCACTTCGTATAGAGTAAGAGCTGATCTTGTGGCACCAATGAAGATCGGATAGCAATTACAGGCCAAACCGAAACAACAATTCTTGGTAATGACATTGTGCCCTTAATTTCCAGCGATGGGAATGAAGGAATCGCCTGATCCGGTTCTGATTGCCTCCTGCCGTGTCGACCTTGGGGGGAGGATTCTGATCTGCACGTTGAATGCCTATGGCCAGAGCAGCACGATCCTACAGCGGATCCTAGAGGTTTCCTCACTTACACAAAATTTTAGGGTGGAAAGACTAGCCCCTGGGGAACCTTCAAGCAAGCATGATGTTGCACTATGCTCGGGGTCACCAACGAGTGGAACGAACCTAATCGCATTGAGCACAGTCGAGGTCTTGGGTGTTCGACGGACATGATCGGTGCTGCACAAATTACCTGGGATGAGGTATACCTGTGCACCCTGTGTGCAAGCTGACATTATCGCATGCGTTCCTGTTAGGGCATTGCTAAGTAACATTCATTATGCTCATCTGCCGGTTCAAAGCAACAGGGGGACCAGGGCAAAGCCTTTCCTCGAGCAGTAAATCCCGTAAAGAATATTGAGATCTTGAATAGCGACATCATCGGAGTCCAGTGGCTCATTTTGCCAATTCTATCATGGTCCATTCCCTAGCAATACGACACCAGGGATTGTATTGAGACCGAGTCAGGTTGATGCTTGAGTTTTGTGATAAAGGCCAGGTGTCCGAGGTTGAGAGTACCTCTGCGCATAGCTGAGAATCTCGACGAGAAAATCTGAAATTTCTATCAACCCTTACCAATACAAACAGCTGGCAACTCATTGAAGCTGTCTGGTCGCCTGTTATAGCGGCTGAACGTGGTCGGTGCTCAGGAGAGGGCGTGGATGATGTCCGAATCATGTAGCAGTTTTGACAACAAGCAGCTGCACCAGTACCTGACAAGTTAAAACCACCAGAACGTCCGTTGAGAAAATATGATTCCAGATGTAATGCCTGGCGTGGCGTGCTTGAAAGTGACATGGTGAACAGTAGAGGATACCAGTATGACGTGGAATCAACATACTGCGCGGCATTTCGAGGGAATGATTAATTGATGAACAAGATAGGGTATTCGATGTGTTTGCAAGTAGATTGTTCATGTCAGAAGGCACCGTGATGAGGCACGGTAAGCTACGAGGTGTGTCCTGGGGGGTTATGTGTAGAATGAAAGCTTAACCATAATATTGACGCAGAGTTTATGAGCAATACTTAGATTTGGAAGAGATCGTCACTGATTAATAGGTATACGGGTTTACTCCACACTTGAGAACAGTAATTCAATCTGCATGAAATCATTTGTGGTTGAGTCTATGTCCGTGAGCCCTAACAAGCAGGTCTGCCGTATCTTTGATGAACTCGCGACTCTTGGCCAGCCCCCGCTCCGGATGGTTATAGTGCGCAAATGCATGCGGCACGCCCGCGTACCGCTTGGTAGAGACGGTGTTGCCGGCCTGTCGTAACAACTCCCCGTAGAACTCCCCCTCGTCGCGCTCGACGTCAAATTCCGCCGTTACTATGTGTGCGGGTGCCAAACCAGTGAGGTTGGGCGACAAGACAGGCGTCATACGCCAGTCACTTAGCGTTTGCGCGCGTGAACTCTCATCTGTCCCGATGTAATAGTTCAGAAACCAGGATTCGCGCGCGAGGGGAGACCAAGGGAGATCCGAGAAGACGATTGCGCTTGGATACACGCAGGTGCTCGCAGTGATCGGCTCCGCATTGAGATCAACCGGGACGTATCGCATATCTGTCGCTGGGACGATCATGAGTTGTAGTCGAAGGTCGATAGCCGGGGAGCGATCGCGGGCGAAATGTGCCAAAACAGCGGTGATGAGGCCGCCCGAGGACAATCCGCTGATGGAGATGGAGGTAGAGTCTGCGTTTAGGGTGTCTGCATGAGCAAGTGTCCACTCCACGGCTGCCCAGCAGTCATAGATAGCTGTAGGAAACGGAAATTGCGGAGCAAGGCGGTAGTCGACATCAATGACAATGATGCAGGCTTCGTTGCAGATGCTGCGACACCAGGCGGCTTCGCTTTGTAGCCCACCAAGCACCCAGCCGCCGCCATGGAAGTTGAGGTGAACCGGAAAGGGTCCGGTTCCGGGTGGCGTATAGACTCGACAGACAATGGTGCCAGTAGGTTTTGTAACGGGGACTGTGTAGTCTTGAACGTGATGCACATCGGGGCCTGCAGAGTCAGTCTCCATACACTCAATGGCGCAGGATGGGAGGGATCCTACCTGTCCAGGTCGGATATGTGAAGCTGTACTTGGCGGGAGATCTTCTGACTTCGTCCACGGAAACCAAATGAGCTCCAATCACGTCTTTGCCGTGCGTCGACCACATTTGCCGCCATTCAGGATCCAATCTAGGCAAATATCTTGCCGGGATAGAGTTTGCGCAGGTCTCGATAGGAGAAACCTTCGTCTGCTCCAACATTGTTGCCAATGTCATCAGTGAATTCTTGGACGAGGCAATTGCAATCGAAAAGAACAGCAGACTTCTGAAGTATGAATTAGTATCTTTCAACCATCACCTATCTTATCCTACTACGTGGGCCATCGGCATCGTGTATGATTGGCGGCATCCACGGGGTTGCGATAGGCACGCGAGAACGGCACCCGTTCGTATCTCCCCCGCACATTCTTATCTTGGCCTGGGTGATAGTGTGGAGATCGAAATGGCCGTCTATAAACTAGAGCATACCCCTGCATCGATGGCAGACCGTCTGACGTTGGACACTTCGAAAATACCATACCCACAATGCCTGGATACATTGACAGCTATCATGACCAGCAGGACCGGGAGGCGGATCCCCAAGACAAACCTTTACCAGCCGAAGACGTGCAGGCCCTCGGCCTGCGTCGAGTTCCAGACCGTATGCCGTGGGTTGCTCTGCTCATCATCGTCGTCGAACTAGGAGAACGATTCACCTACTTTGGGCTGAGTGGGCCTCTGCAAAACTATATCAAGTAGGTCATGTTGTTACCCTCCTTGCTCGCCGTCTTTAACACTGAGAGGGAAGAAATCCACATATACCAGGGGCAGCACTTCCCGGTGCTCTAGGCAAGGGCCAAGCTATCGCTACAGCGCTCGGAAACTTCTTCAAGTTCTGGGCTTATGCATCGACCGTTCTCGGCGCGGTGGTCGCAGACCAGTATGTCGGCAAATTCAAGGCCATTGTCATCGCATCTGGTATCTATATTGTGGGGTTGACGGTCCTTGTGGCGACGGCTACACCTGCAGCCATCAATGGCGGATCCGCATATGGTGGCCTGATTGCAGCAATGGTGATCATCGGGCTCGGCACCGGAGGGATCAAGGCGAACGTGACCCCGTTCTGCGCAGAGCAGTACCAGAGCGCACGAGCGTATGTGAAGACCTTGAAGTCGGGAGAGCGCGTTGTGGTTTGCCCGCAGCTCACTGTGGAGCGAATGTTTTTATGGTGTGTTCCTTTCCCTTTTGATACTTCACTAGACTGGACTGACGTGTGGGAGGTTCTACTGGGCGGTCAATGTCGGCGCCCTTTCGCCGTTGATCACGGTCAACGTTGAAGCGCATGCTTCGTTCTGGCTTGCTTTTCTCATCCCGTTAATGTAATACATCTTATCCCTCAGCTCAGTCTGGATGTGGTCTAACATGAACAGAGTGATTGTTCTCGCCGCCTTCGTCTTCATCAGCGCCAACAGGCTGTTCGTCAAGACCCAGCCGCAGGGCTCCCCAATTGTTGATGCAGCCCGAACGGTATATGTCGCCATTGCTGAGAGGGGTTTCAACAATGCGAAGCCTAGCGTCCTGCGAGAACATGGCCGGATTGACAAGTATTCCGTCGCATCTGATGCCAAATACACAGATCGCAGCGTCCAGGAAGTTAAGACGGGGATTACGGCCTGCAAGGTATGTCCATTATCCTATTGCGGGTTGAAGGATGTTCCACAACTAAACGATTTCAAGTTGTTCCTCCTCTTTCCTTTTTACTTCGTCTGCTGGATCCAGATCTGGAACAATCTCATCTCCCAGGCCGGTCAGATGGCCCTGCATGGGACTCCCAACGATCTTCTGCAAAACCTGGACCCCATCGCTTTGATCATTTTTATTCCTCTGCTTGACTGTAAGTGATTCATATCACCGCTCTTTGTCCGGAAACTAACAGGCAGGTTTTAGTGGTGGTTTATCCCCTTCTACGCCGGTACAAGATCAACTTCCGCCCAGAGTTGAAGATCACCGCAGGGTTTTTGATGGCCTCCCTATCTATGGTGTATGCAAGCGTCCTGCAGCATTATATCTATATCTCTCCAGCCGAGAGTATCCACGTCTGGATTCAGGCCCCGGCATATGTGCTCGTTGCGTTTTCGGAGGCATTTGTGATCGTGACGGGGCTCGAGATTGCCTTTACCAAGGCACCAGAAAGGTATGTCCTGTTATCTACTCAACTCTGCTGATTACTAACAGGAGTAGTCTTCGATCACTGGTCTCGGCTCTGTTCTGGCTGACGATTGGCGTGGCGGCGGCTATCTGTATCGGACTGGCGCCAGTGTCGCAGGATCCGTACTTGGTCTGGATGTACGGATCGCTGGCCATTGTCGGATTTGTAGCGGGGATTGTGTTTTATGTATTGTTTGGGAGGGCACTGGACGAGCCGGTGACAGTCCTGGAGTCGGTGGAAGCAGGCGTACCGGCCAGTGACGAAGAAGCTGTCAATAGCAAGAGCATGGTCGTGACAGCCAACAGCAAGGAATTGTAGATAGTAGTTAATATCAGATGTTATTTTATGCACCACTCTCATACACTTTGCTCAGCTGATGTTGAAGAACTCAACCAAGAGGATAAACCCCTGTTCCGATATAGGTTGAGGATTGAGAAATGCGTTGGGTAATGGATAGAGATAAACGAAATATATATTTCATAATCCAGCTCCAACTTCCCTCTGGATGACTAAGCCGAACTCTGATAGAACGTCACGTGTGTCTACATGACTCAGCGTATCGAGCGCATAGGAGAGTCATATCAAGCGTCAATGCTGCGAACTCTCGGGAAATCAGTTCCTCAACTGAACCTCCCACGCTGGGATGACCCTTCAACCGAAGGAACCGCCTCGGATTGCTCCAAAACCTCGTTCTGTTGTCTCGGCTGGCCGGCGGTACATGAGTAAAGCCCAGCGAGCATGCGATTTCTGTCGATCCCGCAAATCGGCCTGTCAGATCGATACAGCGCCTCCATGCCGCCAATGCAAGGCGCATGCACAGCTCTGCGAGTTTACGGACCGCATAGTTCGGAAGAAACGGCCAATTCCACAAGCCAAGCCGTCCACGTCGCCAACCCACACTCATGATGGCCGTGATGAGCAGAGACGACCGCAAGAGTCGCCTTCGAGGGAGGTGCAGCAGTGCCTGTCGTTTGTGCCATTGACGGGGAGCTCGTTTTCATTAGGATCACCAGGATTTGATGCTCACATGCTGGATTTTGACTTGGATCGTGGGCTGGAGGAGGCTTTGCGCAGTTCTGTAGATGATGGTCAGGCAGTAATGGATGAGCTCATGCTGAGCTTACATGACAGCAGTGTTGCTAATCACGCTTCGCTCGAAAGTCATCAGCCTCTGGTGGGGGAGTTATGCGGTCTGACCGGCGATATGGACCCGTACCTCCTGCGACATTATCAATTTGATGAGAAGTCACGGTTTGCGTTTTCCAAGTTGACTATCTGCAGCATGCAAGACACAGAGGTCCCAGTGCAGCTTTTGCTATCGAAGACGGATATAAATGCAGATGTAAAAGCACAAACTCGACTGACCAGCCCGGGAGATGACTCCATCGATCTCTCCGATCTTGTGCCTCCCGAGATCGGACAGCGGTTAATTCAGCTGTACGTGGGAGTTTCGTCTGCAATTTGCGATCAAGTATTAACTGAGCCTTAGCTTCTTCCGATTCATTAATCCACTGTTCCCGATCTTACGTCGGAGTGATGTCCCCAATCCATCGACCGCATCGACACATCTTCTCGCAGCGATCTATTTAATCACCCAACCGTTTACTACTTTTGACGACTACCTCTGTATCGAGCTGGTATACAATCGTCCATCGCCACATAGTTTATTTGGCATCGCCTGGAGAGCATTGAACAACGCCCTCTCCGAACCAAACTTCGCGTCTCTTCAGGCTGGTCTTATCCTGCTGCTGCAGCCGCCGGCAAATCCGCTGCTTCTCGACAGCGCTTTCAAGTGGACACTTCTCGGTATGATTGTATCTATGGCTCAAACGCTGGGAATTCATCTCGATCCCAGTCTCTGGAATTTGCCAGACCACGAAATCCGCATGCGTCGGGTCTTATCGTGGATGGTCTATGCTGTGGATAAATGGCTGGCTGCGAGCTTGGGCCGGCCAAGCCATATCTCTCGGGATGAGTGGTTGATTACGGAATTGGATCCTGCTGATATAAGCTTCGATATCAAGAATGACTCTTATGCTTGTCAATTCTCCAATCTCACGGTCATCTTGGACAAGGTCTTGGGGAATCTCTAGTAACCCTCCCCCAACTGCATACCAAATCTGTGCACTAATGATAGGCAGCTCCTTGCGTTCAGTGTCCACCTTATCGAAAGACTATCAGCGAACCATGTCTGTTGCGCGTCCCATCATGCAGGACCTGACTACATGGCAGGCAAATCTACCACCCTCCCTTGTGATTGAACACCGAGCCACCACCGAGCCACCGACGTCCGACGCCTCGGCTTCGCTACACATTGCCTATCAATCCGTTAAAATCCTTGTACTTCGCGCACTACTGCGCCCTTTCAGAATACCTGGCCATGGAGAGCAAACTCCCGAATGGCAAGCCGCAAAGGCACATGTTCTCAAGGCCGCATCCGCCGAAACAGAAGCTGCGCTGAGCGTAGTTTCTTCCTTTAGTCCTGTACACTACCAAGCTTTCTGGGCACCTTGTCAGTATTATTGGCCGACTTGAGAAAAACTTCACTAACAATATCAGGGTCGAAAACCGGATTTGCATTGATAACGAATCTCCTTTTCTCCCTCGCCATCATGGTGCACCAGGAGCGTAAATCGCAGGATGGCTCGTCCAATGAATATATGAAAGCTAGAGAAGCGCTGGATCGTGCAAGGATAATTTTCCGGTTACATGCTAAGAGTTTAGACATGATTCAATTTGCTCTTCTCCGTATCGATGCAGTTTTTTGGATTGGCTGGGAGAAGGTCTTGGGCTTCCAATAACACCAGCTACAGATTTATTATGCAGCCGCAGATCATGCTGTAACATGGAATTGATAGTATAATGATACAATGATGAATTGGGCAGAGACTCGATGATTTGCATCCTTTAGCAGTAGTGACAGCCATAGCCATACCAGACTCGTGCCCCATTGCCACGAGGACATGGCCATTTTGTTATTCTATTATGGTATTACCTTGGTTGGGTTTCGCATCTGATATTCCAGTCTATCATGGCATTGAAGCTTTACTATAGAGCCTGAGTAGGCAGCCTGCATTATGAGTTCAATCGATTCTATGCTTTCTTAATCACCCTAAAACACAGGCAACAAGCAGCAGACCACTAATGCTAGAATGCTCACAGATCAAGTCCATGAAAATCCAGTTATTATCATACATGTGTGCTGCAGGGCTCCACATTATCTGGATATCACTGTTAAGACCATCCGTTACTGTTTGCTTGCTGCTAGTATCTAGTCAATACAGCCACAGTGAGCTGAGCAACATTAATTATAAGATGATCTTACCTCCCTCAAACTTGGTTCATAAGCCATTGTCTCAACATGTCTGCGTCCATCCAGCGCGTTGCGGCAGCTGCTGTCCACGCCGTAGGTGAAGCAAATGTAGCATTAGCACATTTGAATTTTGACTTCTCTTTGGTCAAAGTGGAAGTTCCTGTAAAATTGCAACTAATCAGCCAACAGCTATCTAGATCCCGAAAACAGTCTGCCGAGGAAGGCTCGTTCCATATCCTTGCTCAAAGGCTTGGTGCACTGTTTTACGACGTCCTTCCAGACGTGCCAAAGCTGCTGGAAGTATACGGCCTCCGTGTGACTGAGATTCTGCAGGAAACAATGGCCACAATTGAGCAGCCCAAAGGCCTCGCTGAGACATTTTTCGGCTCCCACCTCGGGATCGATTACACGACCATCGGGGCAAGCGCCACGAGCGGTAGACCTGTACTTCGGATGCATCTTCTAGCCTGTATGCTGGCTCGAATTTGGTTCCACAGGAAGCGACAGCCACCTGGGAAGAGCTTGTCAGTCACCGGCAGCTTGTCATCAAGCAGCAAGCAGTGTCCAATGAGGCGGCATGTTACAATGCAACGTAGGCGGCGGCGATACATGAGATATGCCGCTCACACATCACTCTGACACCGAATGGTGCGTATAAAGTCCCGCAGCCCTGCCAACTCAACCAGCAAATTTGCGATGGCTGCAAATTCCAGGCTAAGTTTGAGGATGTAGTAGCGCTCTCCTCATGGCGACGTATAGCGTCTCCGAATAGAATGGCCGACTAAACCACATAGCCCTCAAGCTCAATCGTCTTTCATGGTTGAAGCTCGCCCCCCGATGAGCTGGGCGACAATCCCTCCTTTCACACTACCAGTGGTATAGGGAGTCGGACACTTCATCATCATCACTTTCTCCAATACAGGAGCCATCAAGGAAAGCCTTGCAAGGAATCAAGCAAAAGAATTGAGATCAGCCACGATTACTATGGCCTTGAATGGTTCTAGCAAGTTTGCCCAAAACGCGAACTATTCCTCCCACAGCTGTTTGGCTAATTCTTGTACCTCATCCTCTACCATCTCGGGGAGATTCAGCAGCTCGTTGTCTGTCTGGGCACATTGGCCCCCATAGCCTCTTCCAGAAGACGCTGTAACAATGACTCTGGCATCGTTGATTGGTCATAGTTTCCCTGCCGAAGTTCGACCCATCCGTGCCGATTTTGACGATTGAGCGAGCCGCCTACCGAGGTCTGTATTGAGGTACCTTAGTTATAGACCATACCTACCCCGTGAGAAGCACGTAGTAATACCCAGGCACTGGAAGTCAATCCTGGCAAGAGCACTTCGGATTGGCTGATGATGCCTGTCGCGGGGTTTCACTGAACCGCCGAACAGCCGAATGCCCAACATCACATTTCTTCCTCTCTCCTTGACCCGGGTTTCCACCGCCACGATCAAAGTCCAAAGGTCCTGCGAGTATAGTCAATTGGTCTGTCCAGAATGGATAACTCAACGGAGCAAGCTGAGCCACCAGCCGTTTCAAGGCGTTATACCGTGGAGCGCTCTTGTCTTCGGTGTCATAAGCGCAAGGTACGTTGCAATCGGGCCATGCCCTGTTCGACATGTCTCCAAGCCAAGACCCTGTGTCGATACCCTGGCCCCGAGCGGACAAAGCGCCGGTCACACAGACCAAAGGTCATTCCTCGTCTGGAGGAATTGGAGCGTGTTGTAGCGGCAATCAGCCAGGGAGAACTTGCTGGACCATCTACCCAGTCACTGTCCACTTCAGCATTGCCACTTGAAGAAGTCCCTGACAAAGAAAAATCCAACCAGGCCGGCTGCACCAACTGAAGGTGTTCTGGTGAAAGAAGGAGCTTCCACTCGGTATATCAATGAAGTGCTGCTCTCGCGCGTCTTGGTGGAGGTCTGTATGGCTCTATGATATTCCAATGCCTTGGTGCTGTTTAAGCAGATGAACTCACTCTAGTCTGGTTCAGGAACGCGACCTTCAACTCGCCATGAGCAATCCCACGACTACGAACCGGAGCCAACGGAGTAGATGCTCATCTTTAAGTGGATTTAATGGTCTTATTTCAAACCCCCTTTTGTCAGTCGACATTACCTCTCTGTACCCGCCTCGAGGGCAGGCAGGCCAACTATGGCAGGTCTACCTGAATAATGTAGATGTGCTTCTGAAGTTGCTTCACATCCCGACCACGCAACCCGCTGTATTTGCTGCCATCAACAATCCAAGCCAGGTCCCTCCCGACCTGAGCGCCCTGCTCTTCTCTATCTACTTCGCGGCCTTGACCAGCCTTCGCCTAGGTGACACTCACATCATGTCAGATGAAGAACGGCAACGTGCACTCCAGGGATTCCAACGCGGTTTAGAGGTCTCGCTGCACATGGCATCATTCTTAGATTCGCCAACTATCACTTATTTACAAGCCATGTCAATATACCTGGTAAGAAGACACCCCTGCCTTCAGCGTATTGCGTGCCGCAGCTGACTCCCAATGCATGAAACAGCTGTGCTATCGAAATCACAATGGTAGTCGATCCGGCTGGACCTTGAACGGCATGCTCATCCGAACGGCCCAGTGGATGGGTCTGCATCGCGATGGTGAGACTTTCGGTCTCTCTCCGTTGGATTGCGAGGTCCGTCGCCGATTATGGTACCAGGTTATCGGTTCGGATGCCCGAGTAGCTGAGGACCATGGCCTTTCTACCAGTGGGTTTGGAGGTTTTTGTGACACCAAGCTGCCCCTCAATGTAGATGACCGCGACCTTTCTCCTGAAATGGAGACAGCTCCAGCTTCAAAACTGCGATGGACTGAAATGACCATATTTTTGGTAACTGCCGAGATGAATCAAGCCCTGCAACAAGTATCTCGACTTTCTGTTACCGTTAGAAATGGGAACGAAAAAATGTTAAGCTTGGAGCAGCTCCTGGAGAGTATCAAATCGCGCATAAACGACAAGTACCTGAGGCATTGCGATCCGAATATCCCCATCCAGAAATCAGCCCTGCTCTTGGGACGCGTGCTGATGGGCAAACTTGAAGTCTTAGTTCGCCAGCAATACCTCAGAGGGCTCAGCGCAGAAGAGTCCGCTGCCCGCGCCACAGAAAACACGTTGTCGTTGGCGTGTGACACCATTGAGATCGGGAACGAGCTGAAAACCAATGAGCTTCTGAGCAACTTTCACTGGCTCTTCTCGACCTACACGCAGTATCACCTCTTGAAATATGCTCTTTGGCATCTATGTGTCCGACCCGGCGATCATGGCGCTGATCGTGCCTGGGAAGTGGTTGATACGTCGTTCAGTTTAGTTGAAAACCCCAGCTGGCCAAGTCCGGGACTTAAATGGAATGTTTTAAGAAAGCTTCGAGAAAAAGCATTGGATATTTGGTATGCTTTTGCGCAACCCCCAAATGTTCGCTCTGATTCAACTGCCCCCGATACTACGGGAGTGTTGCTCGATGACAGCAGTATTCTAACACTCGGAGATGGAATGGCTTGGGATCTGGATTCGACCTGTTTTCCGAATTTAGGCCCATCAGACTTTTGGTATACAGGATAAGTGCAGAATCACAATATCAGGTGTTTATATGTGTTTATATTGTGCATAGTACCACTCTTTGTAATCTCTCTGCCTTCAAACAAACGAGTTGGGCAGTTTGAATTAAAGTTGATTGACGGCCGAAGTTTCGTATCTTCCCATCATCACAACGTTGTTCTAATTTTGCCTTATACAACAAGACAGGGCACAGCTTCCATTTAGATGTTACAAACAACAGCGGTGCCTAGGTAGCAACATTCACTACCTTCCTAACGTCATGCCTCTTGTCATCTGCCAGCCAATGACCGCTGCGTCAAGACTAGAATCTTGCAATCAATCTGAACCCGGTAAGCTTCAGTCGAGCTGCAAAGACCAACGTTGTCCCCACCAGCAGGAGTACACCAGCAAAGATTTTCATGCCAATATATGAACCATTATTGTCGGCCAGGATGGCCCCAGCAATAGGGTTGGTGGTCAAACCGCTGACGGAAGCAAAGAGGAAGATAAGACCGATACGGTATCCTATTTGCTGGAACGGAGAAATTTTGACAACGAGGGCAGCAGCAAGCGCTACGTATGCGCCGGAAGCGAAGCCAAACAGGACTGCAAATGCGATGATGGCTGCATTTCCAGCAGCTGGAATCCAGAGCGCAAGGATCAAGATCCCAGCCAGGTAACAGACCGAAACGAAGATGTTATAGGCGCCCAAGTGGTCGGCCAGCACACCCGCACCGACACAGCCAAATAGGCTATCAGAATGTTAGCTGTAGCACACTGCGAAGTCCTGTCATTCACTCTTACCTTCCAGCGTTGAGAATAGCAAGCAAATACTGAGCCAGATCATACCCCATACCCTGAGAGAGAGCTTCAACGACCAAGTAGTTGATGATAATAAACACCCCGAATGTCAACAACATGAATCCTACAATCACCAGGACCATTTTGGAATCGCGGAATGGCTGGCTGAGCGCGGCCCGCGTTAGAGACTGAGGCGAGGGTGGCAGGCGAGACCGGATAGTCAGGTTTGCGATGATGAGCAAAAGCAGAATCAGGAACCCCCCTATCCGCATTGCCCACCCGAATCCCACTTCTGGGATGAATCGCTCTATCATGATGGGAAAAATCACTCCCCCCACACTGGATCCGCTCGACACGATGCCGTAGGCTGCACCGCGTCTCTTGTCAAACCAGTCTGGAACGACACTGATTGCTAGAACATAGGGCTGTCTTAGTTTCTTCTAGGTTCACAACGCCCACAGAGAGATGCGACTTACCTGGTTGGAAAATAATCGACACCCCGATGGCGCTACATACGCCTTGCGAAAGGAGCACCTGATAGTATTCCTTTGATATGGAACACATCATCAGACCAAAGACGTGAAGCAGTGAGCCGACCAGTATTAAGTAACGGGCACCATATGTATCATACAAGCGACCGACGACGGGTCCCTATTCAGTACCCAGAAGGATTAAAGGTCAGAGAGACGAGCAATGAGATGGAGAATGAAGGGGAAGCAAGCAACTGAGACGGAAACTGGGAAATCCTACCATCGCGTACATGAAGAAGATTTGCAACGAGGGGATCCACGCAATCGTGCTGGCTGAGTACTGGCGTAGCAAAGTCTTCTCATAATAATTTTGAAAAATTCCAACGCCTGCAGTAGTTTAGTAAATAGTCTTCCCTTCAAAGGAAGCTTCTCACGCCGTACTATTGATCCACCCAAAACTGCAGAACAGCACACTCCACGCTCCTAGAATAACCAGCCATGCAGTGATTCCACCGTCAGGGGGGTTGGTTTTGTTCCATCCCGGGGGTGCTTGCGGTGAGATATCCTTCTCAGCGTCCACGTCGTTTGGGTAATCGGACTCTGAATGAGGATCGACTTCCTCGGGTACGCGAGCATGATCGGTTGACATTTTCCAGGAAGCACAATAGGTGGCCACTGAATAGTTATATGGATTATGATCAGTCAAGTCAAAGAAGTCTTTGATCCAGTGTCCCTCATTGTGTAAAGAGACTTGACTTTTGAACGAGATTTGAGCCCTCAACTTATACATTGGTGGCCCTGTATCTATGGGTGGTCAACGCGGTCGTTCAGCGAAAGGCCGATCCTCTGCCTGCGCCACCTCGGACTCTTCCAACTCGGCAATTGGCATTAGCACCGGATCTTCAATCTGAATCCGGTCGAGCACGCCTGTGTTGGAGACTGGAGGGAGCTCCCAGCCAAGATGAGATTCTTGTGGAGCCGAAATGGCCGATCACGAAGGCTGATTGATTGGCTACATCATCACCCTCCTTAGCATCGACCTGATGCTTCCTCCCTTCTTTCATCAGTGTCGCAGCAGAACAAATTTGGTCCCATGCCTACACCCGCATCTTCCAGAATACCATGTTTAAAAGGAACATTGTCAAAATGGCGTCCGCGACTAACGAATGCATTGGGGCATCTGGATCATGTTACCGTTTCAAAGAACTACTCCAAGAAAAACCACATATGGGTCGCGTCTGGTTGGCAAAGTCCGACGTTCTTCACGCGTATTATTTGGCAGGCCAGCTAATTATTGTAGATCCGGACAAGATCAATTTATTTTAAAAGACATACCAAAGGATATTTTCAAAAACTTTCATGAGAAAATATGGCCCCAGTTACAGCAGTGTTCATTCATCCGATTGCCATGCGACACCATACCGGGCCAACAAATATTTGTGTACAAATATTTGACCGATGACTTCCTCAACCTAGTCAAGAAGGGCTTACCTCCACGAGCGCAGAAGCAGATTCTTAAGGCTAGTCTGCGAGGTATTGCTGAATTACATGATCGAGATGTCGTCCATTTAGGTACTCCCCATTGCACTACAGTTCGGTCCCTTAGGTTACTAAGTCTAGATATCAAGCCAGACAATATTATGGTTGAATGCCAGCACAATGGTCAAAATACTATGGTTGAACAGGTTCAGATCATCGACCTTGAAAATGCTGCGTACCTTCCTAAGGGCAGATGTATCAAAGGTATGCTTGCGGGTAATGACAATTGGCGAAGCCCTGAGGCGCACTTCAAGGGTGAGCTTAATAAACCAACTGATGTTCTTTCATTTGGGGTCGTCGTGAGTTTCTTAGATCCAATTGAAAGGAGTTTTACTAAAATGGCCTTGTTAGTGCATCTACGCTATGCTCGGGCGTGTCATCTTCGGTCCTGACGAGGATTTCAGAAAACATCAGACGCAGGGTGCACTGCCTGCTTTCATCCGCCTGCAACGCCAAGTGTCGTATTTTGGAGACTCAGACGGGATTAAAGGTCTTCTGAAACACATTGCCGATGATGAGATTAGTTGCCAGGTCCTAAGGATGCTATGGGATGAAAGGTCTGAGGAACACATCCCATACAAACTATTTTCCGAGTGGCCCGAAGTCGTCGATCCAACATTCAAAGATCTTATTCAGCGACTCACAAACCTGGACCCGACCAAACGAGCCACAGCGTGTCAGGCATTGGAGCATCCATGGTTTTATGATTAGGTAGACCGTTAAAGTACTCAGGCTACGGTGACTATTGGGTGATCTTCGACAGAAAGCAGATTGTGGATTCATACCCCAGCCAGTTTAGTTGCAGGAAATCTCCGGAAATGAACCGTTATTGTCCAAGAATAACAGCCACAAAGACGTATCAAGAGGTGGATGCATCTATGCCGTGTAGAACAAGAGGCAAGGCTGAGCTTAGAGGTAGGACAGAAAGTTATTCACCCCTGGTATGACTTTATGCCACCAACAAACCGTTGTTTCAGCTTTGCTCCGCTCCTATTTGAAAGACAAGCTGCAACAGTCAGGCTTGTGGTCTTGTTAAGTATGATTTGGCTAAATGTACCATGCATAACGCTGATGCTAGTAATACAAAAACCGTCACTGGCTGAATTGAGCCAATCGTCTACCTGCAAGTCTCGCATCTCTACTAGGTGAAATACATTGCGTCAAAACAGAAATAAGACATTTCTAAGTATTATTGTCCTATAGATATCTGATAAGGAAGGTGACTAGTACAGGTAGTAGTGATGGCTGCTAGAGGATCTTAAAGCAGGTCTAAATAACTTCCATTAGTCTCCTACGTGTGCAGTGCGTCTTCATAATCATTATATAAAACCCAACTATCCTTGCTAATGATATCTGCATTGGTGGCCCTGTATATATGGGTGTTCAACACAGTCGTTCGGCGAAAGGCCGATCTTCTGCCTGCGCCACCTCAGACTCTTCCAACTCGGCAATGGGCATTAGCACCCGATCTTCCCATTGAGTACGTAGAAAGCAGGCCGTGCAAGCTCACTATTCATGCACCATATCATACCCCACACCTTTATCGAGAACCAGACGTGGACAGCATTCTAAGGCTAGAGCTACAAGCCGGTTTCTGCTCTTATAGATGTCGCTCCGGCGTCTTATCGAGTGTCAATGGGGAAGCAATCAACGCAAGCACTTTTGGTGAGTTGTTGCAGTAATCAATCAATGAACTATTGAGAGAGCCTCTTCGCCTGGACCAGATAACATCTTCACTGGCTCAGAGTCTGGAAAAGCGTAACTCCTTGCTGAGAGGTGATATTGATACCACCATGTTGCTCCTCCGCCAGAATTCACTACTATGTCTTTGTACGCATAACTGTGGTCTTTCTACTTATCACTGACAGTTACTCCATAATCGGGCTACTCCAAGGAAGGCATTAGCAGCCTTTCACCTTCATCTTCATGGCCTTATCAACAATTTCACCACCAGCATGTCCCACTCTCATATCTTCCCCGGCAAAAAACAAAACTACCATCTCCGCCGCAACTTCTGAATCATCCTCCCCATGCTTCACCTCAATCTCCCTCAAATATCCTTCTACTAACTCCCCATCCCAGCCCCACCTCCTCCCAAACTTTAGACACGTTTCCCGGTTCACAGTCGGATCAAACTCAAAGTGTCCCTGGAAGGTTAGTACCCGTCCAGGGCGGTATAATCCCTGCACGGGACACCGCGTCGTCGAACCGACATTGATCCAGTCATCCGGCAGCTCGCGCTCAGCAACAACCCAATCCCCATGAATAAGCTGTAGCCTCATCACCCTTTTCTCCTCTACCTCTGCCTCCGACATCAGGGAAGCTAGCAAAGGAGCCCGAAACCTCGCCATAAACTCGCGCGAGAGCGCAACAGCACCAACCCCCACCTCATACCCCGCAGGACAAGCCTCCACAACACACCTGGGAACCAATGCCTGCGCGAGGACCTGATGCCCGAAACACGAGCCGAAGAGCTTAATGTGCGAGCAGTTTGTATACACATCGGTCACGAAAGACAGCAGGGGCGAGATCCATGGGTATTGATCTGGACGGTAGACTGAGGCGGAGGAGCCGGTTAGGAGGATGGCGTCTATACTTCTGCGCTCTCCTGGGCTTTCTCTATTGCGAGCTAGGGGTGGTGATGGACGAAGGAGATGTAATGGGGGAAAGATACCACCGACGACATCGTAGGAGGAGGTGCTGATTGTTATTTCTCTACCTTTGCCGAGGGTCTGAGACAGGCGTGCTGCGGCGGCGCCAAGGAGATTGGTGAATTGGGAGCTGTAGAGACCACGGGCAGCGTAGACGGTTGAGACGGGGATGTCAAGGTCGAGGATGGCGATATGGATGTGCATCTTTCCTCTGTTTCTTTTCCCTTGTTCTTGAGTGTGAATTTCGTATGAAGGGAGTTTGGTGTATGGAGTTGAAGAGTGTGTTGGTGGGGACTGTTCGTCGGATTCGATTACCGGATGGGGCGAGATTTTCCTGGTGTGCAGTAAGTAGCAAGCTGATCATGTAGAATGGTTGATTAGATTTCGGATACGGGTGCATATGTAATAGAGCAGGTACTGTAGCTCGCTCATGAACTTTACAGTGCATCCATGCCGAACAGTGGTAGTAGTGGGAGTACTCCTATTGTTGCCACTTTGAGAGCTACGACCTAATTGGGACTACAGTCACAGGTAGCACCGCTAGGCATAGTTGTCTTGCTGCCATTCAAGGAGATATCTAGTACTTTATATGCTAGATCATTAGCGCATTCTCGAAAATTTTGCAAGTGAGAACTGGTTATGGTATTTGAAATAAGTCATAATATCGTACTTCATCCCATTCCCTAGTATCAGGGGACTTGTTTCGCAAGCTTATCATTATACTTTCTAACAACGGTTGCATCCATCACTACCCAGCAGCATACTTGGAAATGGAACGGAGGTTAGGCCCAAAGTATCAAAACGCAAAAGGTGCAACCCAGCCAATACCCATGGTGATGAATGCGAGCATGCTGGTCCCCCATCCATAGCCCAGAGCTTCGTACATGTACGGAGCAAAGAGCGGAAACCCAAAGCCAGTCAAGCTATGCAGAATCGCGCAGGCCGCCATGGCACTCGCACCGTAGGTTTGGTAGCTATCAACGATGTATGTCTGCATGCCCTGTAGGCAGGAGATGGTACCCATGGTAAAGATCAGCGCACCAATGTTAGGCATAACCCAGTGCGTGTTCCCAATGCTCCAGCCATACCAGAAGAGGCCAATAGTGCTGATCACAGAGCCGACAGCTAGCGACGGCATACGGAACTCAGGCTTGCCGACGTTGTTATTCTGCGCTTTGAGAGTCTTGTAAATGCGGTCCACAAGCTTGAGGTTGAAAACGAGGCCAATAAACGACCCGATGGCGATGGAGAGGTAGTTGAGTCCGCCGATGCCGGAGCTCTCACGGTAGACCACAGTCCAGATTTCGGGGAACGTCGCGAACATGAGATACGTGATGCCGAAGAGGTATGCCATGTAGGTGGCCATACAGAAGACGATAGGCTGAGTCAGGAACAGGAGTACTGGTTGCTCAAAGGCATGGAGCAGCTTATAGACGAGCGTTTATATCATTTCTTCAGTGTGCAGGTTTTGGTTGCCTGTCGCCTCAATAAGACGTCCACAGCGCTTATGCAGGAGCGTCGCCGGATGACACTCACGCAGCCAGATGAATCCAACGATTTGAACAGCGACGGCGGCGGCAGAGGTTGACCAGGAGACCCAGCGCCATGTCGAGTACTGAGCAATGAAGCCACCCGCAATAGGTCCAACGACGGGCCCAAGGAGCGGTCCAAGAGTGTAAACGCCCATGGCCTTCCCGCGTTCTTCGGCGCTCCACATGTCGCTGTAAGACAAGTATTAGCAAAAGGAAATCGTATCTCGATGCGCTAACCGTTCCATTATTTTCTTACCTCACAGCGACTCCTCCAATTGCCAGTGGTGCACTGCCCCCAATGCCAGCCAGGAAGCGAAAAGCAAACAGCTGAGCCTTGGTCTGGGCGAACCCACATCCAAGATTCCAGGCTAGATACCACACGTTGCTCACCTGAAGGATGCGCACACGACCATAGAGCTCTGAAGCAGGACCGAAGAAGGTAGGACCGATCGCGTAGGCGAGGATGAAGATGGCCATGGAGAGGTACACCTCAATCTGGGTGTGCATTCCCAAGGTCTCAGCGAGGTCTTGCATGGCCGGGGCAATCATAGCAGATGATACCGGCGAGATGAAGACAAAAAGGGAAACGGCCCAGGTATTCTTCCACTTCTCGCCTTTGGGCCAGTTTTTGGGATTCTCCGGGTCATGTGGTCCGTTCCAAGTGACGAGATCCGGGTCTTTGTTGGCTTTAGTGTCGAACGGGGGGTCAGCTTCGCTCGTCGCTCTGGTTGCTTCGATGTCTTCCTTTTCAGGGAAGGGTGCTCCCACCTTTTCAGATGTGGTCGGATTGTTATCGCTCATCTTAGGAAATCAGATCGGATCAGATTAACGGAGACGAAGATTCTGATTTCCGAAGCAAGAGCTGAACTGCCAAGGCTTGTCTGGTTCTTTATATACTACCTTAGGCTCTTGAGATATCCAGCAGCCAATCACCGGCTGTATTTCTTCGGCCCCGAACAGCCCATGAGAGCCCGACTCGATGTCCAGTGGGGAGGCGCCATTTTTCGGACACCCGGCTATCAGGAAAAGAATATAAAGCTGCTAGAACAGTCTTAGGCGATTTAAAAACGTATTAACCGGGGTGTAGACGCCAATAAGTGTACAGCACTATGGCAGGTTGCTGACTCTACTCTCAATCGACGTGGCTGGGATATATATTGGTAGAGCTACTGTACCACTATACTAAATGGTCTTGCGATGACACGTTTCTTTCCTTGTATAGTGAGTATAATAGCATGTTCTTTCTGATAGTTGAATACTTGCGTGTGTGATAATCATGGGATTACTATGAATCTATAGGACTTCAAGTGGTGGGGAGGACGAATAAACAGTACTTAAAGATGGACTCTAGGTCATATCTAGGGATAACAGGAGAAGAAAGCTCGCCTTGTACGTGGGCCATGCGGAATAGGGATTGATGTATGAAGAGACGCTCATACGATGCCGACACGAGTATAGAACACCTATGTGCTCCTGAGCCAAGGCTCCCTGAAAATCTTGCCCTCTCCCCATTTCAGCGTCATGTCCATGCCCGACTGCCTGAAGATAAAAAGCTGTCGCAATTGCCAGGGTTCCTCGGGACGCACAAATCGTGACATTTGAGTGTTCACGCTGTTAGCCCTTACCTAGGATAAAGCAAATGAAAAAGAGGAATGGATCATGGGGACTTCTGACAAAGCAGTCGAGATCTTCTCGTGAGGTGTGGAACTCGCCGCGGTATACTACGACAGGAACCGCTTCCGGAACGATGCATGGAGCGACCTGGAATGCACTACGTGCAGGTTTTAGTATTTTGAACTTCACATGGCTTGCCAATGGGCTATCTAGGCCTACATAGCCGCCGAGGTTACTCCGCCAGCAGCGACCACCAACGAGCCCTTATATTCGGCCCCATTATCAAACACCGCCCTGACGTTGCCGATCGACCCCGAAATGCTCCTCAGCTTATGAGACCTATCTCACATCAAGTTTTTCGTCCCCACAGTCAGCCATCCAGGCTCGCAGGGCATTGCGATTAGCTCGTATGACAGCTGGACGGGCATCAGCTTCCGGGGCAATCAGCACTCTTCCGTCCGTGTTATCCCGTATCGCGAGATCATCCCAGCCAGTGCCGCTGATGAAGCAGTCCGGCGGAATGGCTTTAGTCATGCTCCGCAGAGATAGTCCGCCGAGGGCCTCTAGCAATGGGGAATAGCCCCAGTCGTGTAAGGAAATGGCAAATCCTTGGCTTCGTTCCGGCTGAGAGGCTTCGAAGACGATGTTATCATGCCACCATTCGTTTAAAGTCGCCCAGTCCTGATAGCCCCGCGCCTATAATAAGCACGGGGTTGGTACTACTGGCCATCATATCACCTGTCGAGGCCAACGAGTGCGATTGTCGGATGCCGGGCGGTAGACAGACTGTGCTGTCAACTCTGCCCTTATGAAATGGTAATGTTAAATATTTCTGTATCACTGCACCTCGTTATTCAATTTCACGCAGGCACTGGGTAGACCGCAGGCCCCGCTCAAAGTCTCTCAAAATATGAGGCCACCAACCAAGCCAAACCAGATCCCGATGGGCTTACACTATGACCGGGGCCGTCAAAGACGCCTACTTCAGCTCAGACTGTTGTTCCCTGTCCACAGCTGATCCCAAAACCCCCAATCCGAAGAGTCGAGGGTAAGGCCGCCATCAAGATCAATGTTTGTCCCATCGACATTATCGACAACGTCATCAAAAACAAAGACGCCATCTGCATCCCTATTGGTTGCCTCCATCTCATTAATGCTCTCCTGCTTCCCGTTGACTTTCAGTTCATGTTGAGCGCGCAGAGCCGTCACGAAACCCGGCTCTGGGGATGAATCCTTCGGGGGATTTGCAAGCCACGCCTTCAGGGTTGCTTTGCCGATGGTAATGTGCAGAGTTCTTTTTTGTTTTACAAGTTCCGTGTGATTCGAATAGACTTCTGCAACCTTGTTCCAGATAGTGCTTAGCTCCGACGTGGAGTAGAATCCAGCTTCTGCAAGGCTAAGCAGAATACAGAGAAGGGCGTCCCATATAAAAAAAGCTTGCATTTGCCATTGGAACTTCTTCATGCTTGGGTTGCCGTATATAGTGCTATTTGTATCGAGGATTCTTTCTGCAAGACCGCAGAGGTCTCTTCCTTGCGTATCAGTAATTGTTCGCTTGATCAGTGGTGGCATTCGAGCACGCAGTCGGACGGCGTTAGTTGCAGATCGCACGATTCCAATCGTCAAAAAGTGCAAGGGGTTCAAGATATCGCAGTACCGAAGAAATTTTATCTCGATGAGATCTTCAACCCCATCAATGAGCCGCTCAATGTCCTCTGCATCCCTGAATTGAATTGTGCCACCAATCTCCTTTGTTTTAACGCCCGTTCGGGTATAAAAATTGGACAGTTCAATCCGAGACAAACAGAAGATCATTTCCGTAGCGCACTTCTGCTCTTGAGGTTGCTGCGTCATACCGGGGAAGATCTGATCATCGTTAATGTTGAGCGGTTGCTTGGTATCCCAGGTATTAGGCAACAAGGAAATACCGGTCCCGGAAACTTGGCCCGCGTAACTGTCGAGGGGAAGCAGTTGCCAAAAGAGACGCCGTCGCATCTGAATCTCAAACGGCGGCAACCCAAGGTTTTCACCGTCATGGTGTAGCCCCATACGTTGGGCAAGGCGAATAGCGATTCCCGTCAGAACCCAAAGTGTGTGAGAGTCAATCTGAGTGCGCATGGCAATGAGGAAGAGTGTGCAAGCCTGTAGTACCGGCATTGATGTAGTCTTCAGCCACGGCGCATTGACGAGTGCCTGGTAAACAGCAGTCTGATATCTCGACATTAAAAGGGCCCTCGATTCGTTGAACGTTTGCAGACAGTCGCCGTTTGACATGGAAAACACAGCAAAATAGTAGATAACAAAGACCAGGCATTCGTCACTCTTCGAGGCGGCAGCAGGTTGTCTTGCGACCATGTCAACCATTTTTGCCACAGTTGGAACGTGAAGAACCTTGCAGAGAGGATCAACATTTTGCACGTACACATTCCAGAGCATGACAGCCGCCTCATAGCTGGGATGCTGCTCGGTGACGCTCTGGATGCCTCCATATATTGCCCCAGAGGCTGTGCGTGCCACAAGGGCGTCAAGAAGACCAGTTGGGGTGGTCTGCTCGGCTCCGGGGTCGTTGTTGTGATATTCATATGAGTCAGAATCAGATAATTCGTACAGGTCGCCTTCCCCAGCATTCAGAAGCACACTGTCAATATAGCGAGACTTGCCATGGGCGGAAAGCAGTTTACCAGCCCTAGCGGGTTGCGTGTCTTGTACTGGGGTTGGATCTCATGTGCTGAGGGTTGATGACTCCGTCTCCTTGTTGCTTTGGGTTGATGCAGAGGCCGCTGGGAGCAGATTGTTGTCCTGCAAGATGCGCTCGTACCGCGCGAGACGCTCATACACGTCTTTGAGCTCGCTTCGCGTCCTCTTCGGCGGCAGGTGAGCCTCGTAGACGCACTGGAGCTTGGCTTTGCGGCAGCTCAAGCATGCTGGCACAGCCCTGTTGCATTTAACCTTTTTGCGAACACAGGCTCGGCAATTAAAGTGCATTGTGGGCAAGTCTGTTTTGTAGGCATTCGTCACATCGGCAGACGATGCTCTAGCTGGTGCAGGAGCAATTTTGATGAGTCCTAATGTGATGGCGGTGTTAGCTTCCATGATTATTCTCCAATGACTTAGGTGTGTCGTGCTTTCAGGATTTATGAGTTAATACTAAATTAGGACAAGGGTAGTTGCCACAAGAGATCCCACACTATACCAAAATTGATAAGAGGCATAGTACACAGTAGTGCTGTAGTGAAAAGTACAGAGTAGCAAGCACCTATACTAGTAAATTAATAATTAACAACCACTTCTAGTCTTCACGTGATAATCCTATATAAATATAATCCACACGCAATACCAATAAAGTAAGCACTACATCCAACGCCATTACGACCACAACTGTGTGCATTAGGTTTCATGAAATTCTCTCAGTAGAGTAGAGTCCACAGGGGTCCAAGGGAGGCTGTTAGGGAGAGTAAAATAGATTGGATATGGTTCCTCAGCTTATAGATTATCTCAGTATGCTTAGCAGCAGGCTATACAAAATAGGAGGTAGAATATATGTGCACAGACCTCCCCAAGACAGTGTATCATTTACCTTTCATCAGCTTATATTGATTGGCTGCAGATGATGAAGCCCCCCACAGTACTCCGCGGGCCCACATTTGTCCGCAATCATAACCACAATGCGTAAGCTTAAAGCTCAAAACACACCCTGATTATGATTCCCATAGTCCAAATTCGATTCAGAATCATTCTAGGTGTGACCATCACCATGTCACTTCGCAAAACAGCTTGTCAATCATGTGTGACTGCTAAGAGACGATGTGACCTTGGGAGACCAAGTTGCTCTCGCTGTTGCAACAAATCCATTCCCTGTCACTATCCATATCCGCCTGCGCAGGCTGAAGACGATCAGACTCTAGCCACTGATCCCCTTTTAGGATCCAGTGTGATGGGTATTGCTACTAGCTCGGGCAGCTGCGGACTCGCCCCGTTGGAGAATTGGATAGAACAGCCCATGATCGCCGATCAAGGAGAAGATGTCCCCAATCCAATGTGGCTGTCAGAGGGTCCTCTGACTTCGGGTCAAGCCTGGGATTTTTCCCAGCCGGGTTCTGGCCGACTTCCCCAACGCAGAGCAGCAGATGGTTTTGATGTATCATTGCCCCGACTTGAATACAGGATCTTGGAGTTTTGGCCCCGCGTTCAAGACATGGAAACCTGGGGGTTCTGCATCAGGACATTCGTCAATTACGTTGATTATTTCCTGAACACGGGCTCATTGCCACTCGTCAAGCCCTTGGTTGATCGCACTCGGGATATTGATATTCCGCCTCATTTGCGTGAAGCCTACGGGGTTTGCGCTGCATATCGAGCATGCAAACACGCAGAAAAGCCTTTTTACCGCCAACTCCTGACCGCAGGTGTCAATAACGCCAGTCTAAGTGACTTAACGTCCTCAAATTTGCAAGATCAACTGGACCGTATTCAAGCCTTGGTTCTCTACTATATCATATTTTTGGCTAGTGGCATCAGCGATAAGCCGCTCCTTGAACAACTAGACCGTACATTGGCGCAGGATACTGCCGATTTAGAACTAGCAGAACTAGCACGTCGCCAGACAGCCCGAGACAAGGCACACCGTGACCCTCTCTTTTCTGAAAGCCATATGAACGACTGGCTGCTCTGTGAAAGTGCTCGTCAGCTCATCGTGGTTTCTTATCTAGTGCGCGCTGTTTACTCGGTGGTCCACTCTCAGAGATGCGACTTTATCAAATACTTGGCTGGGCTGCCAGTATCCACTAAATCATACATGGCGCTTTGCTGGGAAGATACCATCTATGAAAGGGAACAAAGCTCAGCACGGTCAGTTTCTGGGGTCATTTCATATGATGAATTTGTGAGTGACTGGGAACAAGGAGGAGCTGTTCTTATGGATGACTTTAGGCACCTTTTACTGGTTGCATGCAAAGGGTTAGGCTCTGTGCAGCAACGAACATTACAGGAGCCGATTCTAACCTAAGAATTATAAGTATGACACTTGAAAGCCTTGTGATGCTAGACATAAATTTCATGGCACACCTTATCTTTCAAACTAAAATAGTAATTGGGCCTAAGTGTAATATCTGGCTAAAGGGATGCCCTAGCAAGCTTGGCATAAGCAATGCGGCAAATAGTGGAGTCTGTGGAGGATTATGGATTATGGGTCAAAGTTTAACTCTGTTTATCAGATGTTTTAAGCCACTGCGGGAAAGGGTGGGTCTAGGCGTCTGCTATTGTGGAACACTGTGTCAGGGTTATGTTTACTAAAGCAAAGAGAAGACAATAGACCGTAATCGACAGTGACTCTGCAAAAGATGGCACACATGGAATGCATATAAAGGCGCGTGATAGACGCCCTGAGTTGCATAGCCATCAGATTTAGAGACCTATCTGTTCATTAGAATACTTCTAACCATGCAGTCGTCCCAGGCAGCCGTCATCACCCGATCATTGGGTCATGCTGAATTCATTGCCAACCACCCGATTCCATCCCTCCGCGATGATGACATTCTCATTCGCACCGCCGCTGTGGCCTTGAACCCGATCGATTGGATGCTTTGTGAGAGTACCCCGTCCGTCAATGCGGTCATGGGACATGATTATGCTGGGACCGTCATAGCAGCGGGAAAATCGGTCCGGGAGATGTACAAAAATGGAGATCGCGTGTGTGGACTTGTTAAAGGTGCAGACAACACCCGGCCAGAAAGCGGTACCTACGCGGAATACATCGTGGCAAAAGCGGCGATTCAAATGAGGATCCCAGACGATGTGGCTTTTGAGGATGCAGCCACAGTGGGAGTCGGAGCAACTACAGCTGGGCAGTGTCTGTTTGGACCATCTTGTCTCAAACTGCAATGGCCAGGAAATCAGAGTCATAGCCAGAGTCGAGAGACAATCCTAATATACGGAGGAAGCACAGCCTCAGGAAGTTGGATGATTCAGTTTGCGAAATTGTGAGTCCTTTTCCTTTGCGTTTCGGATGGTATGTTGCTAAGTGTTCAATAGGGCTGGGTACACTGTTCTCACAACATGTTCCGCAAAAAACTTTGACCTAGTCCGCCACTATGGAGCAGATGCAGTCTTTGATTATCATAGCCCTAGGTGTGCCCAAATGATCCGTGAGCACACCAACAGTACCCTGAGGATTGTCTGTGATACTGTGGCAACTCAGGACTCCACATGTATTTGCGAAGAGGTAATCAGTGATGAAGGAGGCCTGTATCATTCCTTACTCCCAGCCCAAATGAGGCGTACCGATGTGAAGATGACTTTTATGAATTGTTGTACCGCAATTGGTGAAGAATTTGAGTACGGGCCAGAATGCATGAAGATCCCTAGCATGCCCTCTGAGTTTGAATTTGCCAAGAGATGGACAGGGATTGTGAGTATACTGTGGTCTCAGGGAAAGCTCAAAACACCAGTTGTTGAAAAGCGTGATGGGGGGCTGAGGAATGTTCTGGACGGCCTGAAAGATTTGAAGAATGGCTCTGTTAGTGGCAGAAAGCTTGTGTATCCTGTTTTGGGTAATTAGGTCATTGATTCATATATCTATCCATCTACTTAGTCTCTCATACAGGGAAGAAGAATATTCCTTCACGATTTGGTAGATGGCATGCATATTAAAGAAGAGAACCATGAGCTGTACTATAGGTTTAAATTAAGAGAAATTCCAAGGAGATATTAACAAGAGCTTAGCACAACAAGATATCTTAAACTGTGTTAATATTAATACGAGGGGGTTAGAGTGAAAAGATAGATAACATAAACAGAGCGCTCGGCGGCGCCTAAAGCATATCTTCTTGCCTCTGGAATCCACTTAAGAATTCCCATGGACCTCAACGCAAAGGACTGAGAGACCGTTCGCGCAGTCAAGAATCTCGACCATATGCGCGACCTTTTGTCCCAAGGGCAAAAGCCAGATGCTTTTGATTTTTGCAAAGCAGCGCATCACGGGGCTCAATGCACAGGAGCAGCAGAAACAGTTGAGATTCTGCCGGATACTGATGCCATTGATCCAAATATTATAGGACTCATTCTCTCTCCCATTCATCGTCCCCTTCCTCGCTATTCTTGTTTCAATATCTCTTGGCTACTCAAACTAATCACTCAAGATGCATCCTATCCCCCGAAATGTTCTCCTTGCGTTAGGAGTCTTACATTTTGTCCTCGGTCAGTTGGAGACAATTGGCGTAGTAACCTCCGGTGTTACCCCAATTGGCTCAACCTCGTCGACGGTCTTGACCCCGTCTTCATTGTCAAGCTCGACGTCGTCGGCATCATTCCCACTTACCACACCCTTACCTGGTACCCAAGCCGATGGGAATCCATTGGTGCTCACCACTGTCTTTACCCAGCCATCAGGATGCAGTGGTGGAATGACCCAAGTGGCATCATGGTCTACCGAACTTTGGCAAAATATTGTCAATCCAGTACCCACTATGACTTTGTCATCCTGCTATCCCAGCCAATTCTACTATAGTGCGGTGGGCACTACTACATTGCCTCCGTACGTTCAGCTGGTCTGTCCCCAGGATTGGGAGACGTATAATGTCACCGACACGTACATCATTTGTTGCCCAGGGTATGCTATGTGTTCCTCGACCCCCAGCTGTCCGCCAGATAGTGCTAACCGAACGGTCACCCATTTCAAAGAGGCTATGGTGTCTATGCGCCCAACTACCAGGACACGGCGCGTCCTGGGCTGGGTGCTGTCTGCACGTCCAGCATCTGGCCAAATGTGTTGATGGACACTACCAGCTACGATTCAACAGGTTCGGCAACCGTCATTCCCACGGTCGCTGGGGATGATGGAGTCCTGGTGTTCGCGACGGCGTTTGATGGAACGAAGGCTACGTCTGTGGGCTCTTCCACTTCTAGTTCCAGTCCCATTTCCCTGTCCTCTCACACTACTAGTACGATTCCTGCGACTACTTCCACCATCCCCGTTACCCCTGTTGTTACGACCACCCCGATTCCTTCGACCACTGGCACCGCTACCCTGACCGCTATCTCCCAACTCCCTACCTGCGGGGTGAGTCCCATCCCTCCTCCCCCTGCATTCTGCTTGCTAAACCCCCCGTCTTCAGCAAACATGCTTCAGCAATATGTTAGCCAAGTACGACGACCTAGGCTGTGAAACTTCCGATCCGTCTTGCCTCTGCCGGACATCAATTTCTACTATGGCATCCGCGACTGTGCCAATGCTGCCTACGGAACTGATGTTGCTAGCACAATCATTTCCTTTGAGAGCGGCTACTGCACGTCAGCCATTGCCGCCAAAACAACATATCCGATTACTACAACTGCATCAGTCCCTGCTAGTGCTTCTGCTAGTCCGACCACAATCTCCGATCTTCCCACTTGCGGCCAAACCTGTTTCAACAACATGCTGGCTCAATACTCATTCCTCGGCTGTAGCAATGAGGATGCCTCGTGTCTGTGTGAGAACATAAACTTTTACTATGGCATCCGGGACTGCTCTAATGCGGCCTGTGGCACTGATGTTGCGACCACCGTCCTTGCCTTTGAAAGCTCCTACTGTGCTTCTGCCACGGCTACTGCCACCCACAAATACGGTGGGTGACACAGTCCCTGGAATCTCAAATTGATCGTTTGTATCTCGTGTTCAAAGTTTGGGGTTGTTGGGGGGGGGGTAGAAAGCGTGTTTTGCACTGGCTTCCTCTTTTCAGCGAGCCTGAGCCCCCTGGTCATGCGCTGCGAAGCTCCGTCGTTATTATAAAGCTATCTGTTCTTTACGCTAGTACTTACGAGCTGCGTGTAATTGTAAATTGGACATAGTACAGTCTGAGAATGAACGTAAGCATGATCAGTGTCTGTCGTATCTCCAACCTTAGCGCACGGCACTATTTCCACCTGTTGGGGAACCGTTCATGGCTTGTCCATGTACCTTCAGGAGACCCATGCACTTCATACCCAACTAATCCTGGTTCCGAATCTAGTGTTGATGTCGAGGTATTTTCTATCGAAGCCCGGCGCCAATCGGCCCTCCCCTTCTCGCTCAGAGCGGGATCTTTTTTTCGAAGACGTTCCTGTACACTAAAGGGATCGCAGGCTAATTTGTGTAGGTGTGGCAGAGGTGTCAAGTACTAAATGCTGACCCTGCGGAACTCCAATTCTGGTAAGAGACCGACGATCAAGTAGTCAAATCAATTCAGGGTCCGAGCCAAGCACTAGCCAAGCACTAACTAGCCAACGTTACTGTCACTCCTTAGTACATGCTCCTAAATCGACTACTCCTGCATGCAATCTCGTGTACCATGTCTTCCACCCGCGTAGCCACTGGCTGTCTTTGATTGCGAGGGAGAATTTCTCGAATCTCCGAATAGCGCCATGGGATTCTCGCTGAAACAAAGATTGGGAGTATACCCGGATTCGTCCTATCTCACCGGAAGAGAATCTGATATTCTAGTGCAAATGACACATGCCGGACAATCGGGATGCAGATTCATTTCTCCTTTTCCTTCCTCTAAGGCATTTGTTATGGTTGAGGGCTGCGAGAACAACCTGATTCGCGCCAGCTCTCGACGTAGCCTGCCTCTGCTTTGTCTTTCTTTCCTTCTTCCGTTTTGTTTATCTGTGCCCTATGGAGATCTCTCTTTTGCCCGCTCTGTCTGCTCCATTCCTTGAATTTTTGCTCTGTATCTATGTTCTCTAGCTGTTATTCTCAATTGTCGCTCTCCATTCTACGCTCCTTATCTTCTCATCAGTCTCGAGTACTCTCCATTTGCCATTTTCTAGCTTTCTAGCCGTTGCTTAGACGTACACCACAGCCATCATGAGATTATTCAATTTCCTTCTCTTATGGTCCTCGATGCTATTCACCCACGTTCTGGCAAATAACGAGGCTGTCCCATATGAACTCCTGCACTTTTACTATGTATACAAGATTGAATGGGACTCTGGAGTCGACAAAACGATCGCCGTGGGATGCGCAGCTGAATACGGCCACATGTGTTATTTTGACGAATTCGCTAAGTTTCTCATTGCGGACAAATGGCGAAACGCGTACCGGCCAAGTGCCGCTGATCATACTCTAACCCCGGACACGTCTGCTGTGACTAGGTTGTTGAGTGGCATCCCCAAGTCTGCCCGGTACAAGCTAGGAATGCTGCTTCCCTATATCACCGTCGAAGACAAGTCATACCCCCGGGTTTTCGAAGAGGTCCTTCGTGCCGCGAATCATGCTCTGGACAAAGGGGACGTAGACAAGGACGATCTACAACAGGCGCTGGCAATGGCCCAGAAAGCCATAGCTGCCCGATCCCAAGACGTCTTTCGGATCCAACAGGACTCCCTCCTGAACCGGATCGGGGCAGCCACCAACAAGTTTGTCCATGTAACCGCGTCGGGGTTTCTTTGGTATGACACCCTCCGCGCGATCGACCAGGCGGTTCGAGATCGTAAACTCACTTCTGTGGAAGGAAACAGAGCCAAAGAGACGATCCGACAGTTCTCTTTGACTTATCAACATGACATCCTCCACGGCGACCCATCCAATATCGTGAGGTCGCTCGCAACTTCGATTACCAGCATGACCCGGGCAATTGAAGAGAGATTCCCCTCGAGTGACGCCTCCTCGCCCCGCGCGCCATCTCCCGAGTGTGCCGACGAGTTCTTTTTCTCTAGCTCGCCCTCGTCCTCGGAATCCGACTAAAAGATTCGTTAACGCAGGGAAAAGTATTTAGATTTCAAAGAATGGGCCCCCGCCCGAACTATATATAGGCAATTTGACCAGGATAGCCCTAGCCCTTGGTGGCGTAATACTCTAGAGTGATTTATTCAATTATTCCGTACACCGATCTCTGTATTACTTCCTTGGGTGCTCCTGCTTCGATTAGTTCCTCATCCCCCCGGCCCGATTATCTCTAGGTGCCTCAGTTGATTCAGTTCAATGAAACTCGGGATAACGTATCGTACCGATCCGTACCATCTCATTCCAACGGTGCTCTTTGAGGAAATCCCTGCGGTGCCGTCTGGCTTCTGGCAACCCCATGGGCCAGCTGTCAGAGCCTTGCATGATCTCATCGACCATCTCTTGGGGCAATCCTGCGGCGGTAAGGTCAGCGCCCACTGCTTCTGCCCACCAATGATGTTGTTGGGGCGGCACGTTGCGTGTGGAGCACACGCGATAGTGAGGGTCGACGAGGTACAGCGTGATGGAACGATAATGCCCAGGGCGGCTCAGATCGGCCAGAGTGAAGGATTCGGCGCGGTGCTCCAGGACGTTAGGAAATGTGATCAATCGCCCCTGCGAGACAGTGACCACACCTTTATCCTGCCAGTTCTTTGTTCCCCAGATATCAATATGAAGGTGACCTGGTGGATAGCCCAGAACCTCCTCCAGTGCTGAAATGCACACCGACGGGCGTTTAGCAAATCGATGGTCCGGACCCCACTGAATTTGCCTCCTTCGCCCTTGCTCGCGATCTTCATTATAGCGATAGAAGCTTTCGTCTAGCTTGGTGTTCTGGCGAAAGGCGACCCGGGGCTCAGTGATGTTGTCGACATCATATGCAAACATGGCCACGGCTACAATGTGCTCGTTGAGTTGGCCTTCCATCTGCCAGTCCGTTCCAGAGTAGATCTGACTGTTGGGGGTGAGCTCGATGTTCTCCATCTTCACGATCACCTGCAGCCCTTGCGTGCGGAAAGTCTCTTGGAGAGTGATCGTATAGGGTTTGTGGGGGGGAGTGACGGGCTCAAAGGGGTGGGAGCCCCAGTCCTTTCTTTCGTGGACCATATCGACTATGGCTTTCTCCTGGTGTTGGCCGCTCTTCCAGTCGTCGTACGAAAACGCGATTCCCGGCTCCGGATGTTTGAAGAACAGTAACCGCTTATACTTATCCGTAATCCACCACCACGGTGACCGCTGTTCGTGCCAGTCGTCCGGGACAGAAACTGGAGTAGCAGATCCATCCTCTGGGAGCTCAAGATACTTCTTTGCGCGTTCCCATAGGTCTGAGTCTTGGGGCGGCAACTCCATGTCTTCTCTCCCCACCACGTCACTAAGCCCCTCCATCCGTCTTTGCGCCCGGAGGTGCTTTGCGCGGCCCTTATCCGTGTTGTCTCCTATGCTGCTCTGGAAGTCTTCTCGGGCTTTGCGGTACAACCTCTTCCGCACTTCGTCTGGGACTTCAAAGGCGAAGAGCCATTCCTGCAGTTCATTCTCCCATTCCACACCGTAGGTGATGATGCGCAGAGGTACAGGCCCCAGCTGGCCCTGATTGAGCACATCATCCCAGCCGCGCTGCCCTTGTACAAGACAATCATTCCATAAAGGGATCACCCGGCCTATGAGCGTCTCAATCGCATGGTAGAGGTCTTGATGCACCGGATGCAGATTATTAATATACGAGGTAATCCGCACCTGCGTCCCTATATCACCTACAAACTCAACCTCACATGGCAGACACTGGTAATTCGGGCTCCATCGGTACGCCTCTTTCTCCCCGTTAGGAGACACCCCGAGCTGCAGCCTGCGCTGCCTCTCAGAAGTCTCCTGCACATAAGCTGTATCTTTCCATCGATCGACATGCGCGGGTGCGACCGTCGCCCCTCGATACGCCGCCAGCACGTTCTCCAGCTTTACTCGGCCTCCCTCCACCAGCACCAGGCTCCGCCCATAAATCAGTGGGAACAAATATGGGTCTACGATACTCAAGACGCGCTTAGACCGCCAATATAGCAAGCCCTGCTCCATCTGTATCCGGAGAACCGGGCGAACCGCCTGTCGGAATGTAGTCCCCAGGGCGCGGAGACTCGGGGTGTCGGACTTGCAGACACAAGATCCCGTGTCAAGCACCCTGATGTGGTCATTCTGGCGGAAATACTTAGCTTTGTCACGCAACTCCTGCACGCACCAGCCCCAGGCCTTTTCACTCATCAGGGAGCTTGTGGCAAAGGCTTCCTCTCGCCAGTGCGAGATGACCGTGTCGTTAAAGACGTCGAGATGCCAGTTTGCGTGATCAGTGAGACGGTTTATTGCTGCTACCATGGCTAGTTCGCGAGCTGTGACTGCGGGAGCCTGTCGCCACTCATTAATGCCATGCGCGAAGCGGGCGTCAGATGGGATCTCATATTCAATTGGGATTCCACTGAAGCCAGGCACACGGAGCAGGCCATTGCCGCGGTTGTCTAACGGGATGGGGACGTGCTTGGATTCGAGATTGTCCGTGCTCTCAGATATATCATCCATGGTAGTGATAAGGTATTGATGTTTGAATGATGGGGTGTTACTTCTGGACTGTTGGGGAAAATGGAAAGTCTGACTCAGAGGAGGGGTACAGTGCCTTAATATATTTTTGAATTACAGCTAAACACACAAGTGGAAAGGACAGTAGGCCTAGATAAGTATGGCTATGTGAATGCCATAGTAACAGCTAAGCCATATTAGTATTCACGAATGAGGCCTAGAGTTATTCAAGTCACATAATTAATTAGTTTATTAGCCAGTCGAGTATCCAAAAGCATATATCATAATCTAGTAGGGACTTATACTAAGCAGTAGGCAATTAGAGTTATATTGGAGTTTTGAAGGTTATTATATATATGGAAACTGAGCCAGGTTTGACCATGGGGACAAATCATATTAGGTCTTTTGCCTCAGTGGTAATAAGATAGCCCAGTATCTAGTTTTGACAGTTTATTTGGCTGGAGTGGATTCATATTATTATTATTAGTGATAGCAACATAAACATACTAGACTTATACCACCAAATATATTATATAGCTTTCCTCTCGTCCCGTAATCTTAAGATGGGAGAACTCGATAAGACTCCTTACTCTAGTTCTAATTATAAGCTGGCTCATTGCAACCTTTTCAAGCTATACTAGGATATTTGAGCTATTATAGCCACTTTATACTATTCTATACTAGATATCCCGATTATTAAGGTGAGCAAGTAGCAAGAGCAACGACACTGCGTTCAAGTCCCGCTTCTGGATGGGATTATCTATATTTGTAGTATGTTACCTTGTTGGTAGTGGCATTCAGGATATGATTGTAGCTATAAGTCAGACTATAATTCCCAGTAATACTATAAGTACTCAGTAATGCTAGTTCTAGTTTCACGCATAAAGACCCCAGCGATGATGATTGCTAATAGAAGTCTATCTAGACAACTAGCAAGAGTAAGGGTATCTATTTATGATAGTATCATTATAAGATCTAGGTGTTGAAAGTTTAGTATATAGATTGCTCTTAAACTCCTTGATAGCCCTTTTCACTGACAGATAGCTACTTTGCAAGAGCAGTTGAATTGTATCCTTAGAGTTAAGTCTGGATCTGAAAAGACTTCCCTAGATTAATCAATTTTTAGAGCTGAGATGTAATAAGAATAGAGCTACGATCAGTGGCAGGGAAGACTAACCTGATATTATATATATCACTAACAGCGCTATCGATGGGAGAGTACTAATTAATGTTGTTAAGGTCTTAAGGATGATTAGCTAGCATGAGTTTCCCTCTAATGCTAGCTGTTATAGTACACTCATAGCCTGTTACTCAACCCCCTTGTTATTAATCACCTCAGTATTCTGTGGCTACTCCGGTAACTAGAGAAAGATAGAACTCAAAGATCATAAGTGCGTGTTTCGATCCTTGCTACTCAGGTAAAATATAGCAGTAAAATCATCTTTGTCATCCTGTATAAAGTGAATCACTAGCTGTCTTTCCTATCCCCCTAAGCCTATGAAGAATCACAACCTTTTATGACTGGGAACTTGTCAGCTTTGAATACTTCTATAGCTTGTCTAGTTCATCTTGCTGTTCTAAGAAAGTTTTAATTATAAGTACAGAAGTCAGGTCTAATGGTACATCAAAGTGGTGAACTATATATACAGAGACTATTTAGTGATCAACTTGAACTAGATATGGTGGATGATGGGTTTAGATTTAGAGTCTCTTGCTATAGCCATCTAGAGTATCTTCTGCTGTTGGAGTACTATTAACTTAATTAATGGAAACGGCCAAGAGAAGCTCCTTCATATAGGCTGCTGCCACAGCTGCCACATATCCCTGCCATTCCTTATTCTTATGTGAGTCAGCATAATCACAAATTCCCTGAATGGCTAGACATGGAAAGTCATTTATGAGTCCTGCTACTTCCATCTCCACACAGTATACCCCCAAGTCCTGAGCTACCTAATCTCGCCGCCTGCCATCTTTCACTACTTGATTGGCAGATCTAATGAGTCTGTAATGGATGACTGGTTCTTGTTACTTTTGTGGGGGTCATGGAAACAGTTTAGATTAATAGAAATTTATACATGTATTGGATGCAACATCATCATATTCCGCTTGGAATAGACAATCCTCTTATGTTGGTCCCGCAAAATATCTAGCCAGAACTCCCAATCCAGTTAGGCTTCCGAGCGGCTAAAAACAGTCATCAGGACGTTGTTCTCCATGAGGTCCCAAAGCCTGTTATAGAGCATTGCATCGCCTTGTTCCTGCGTCATAAGCTTGCTGAGATTTAGCAGGAGCGCTCACTCCCTCTGGAATGGCCTTGGGAGGCTCACTTCCAGGCCCTTGTTACTACATAAGTCAGAGCCTTTACCAATCTGGTTATTAAATTAGGCGCAGAGCTCACCTTAGGGTTTAGACTCCGAGGCTCACCGAAGGGTCATAACACCCAACCATGTTTCATCACTAGGCCGATCATTTTTCCCCATGTTGATTTTGAAAAGCTTAACTTTCCTCTCTTTCCAAATTAATAATTACCTATTCAGCATTCTTCAACTATACTCCTAACCCTTCTCACACATAGCATAAAATGAGTCTTGCTCCCAGGAGTATACCCAGGCTGCTATTCCGAAACTTCACGCACATCTCACCCACTTTTTTCGACGCGTCGCGCGCGTTCAGCGCCAGGTAAGGAGACTGGTATTAGAACAGCTCTCGTCAAACTCTCTCCTCCTCTACTCCACCAGTAAATACCACTTCCAACTTCCTAAGTCAAATGGACAAATACACTCGCCCACCTGCTCAATACACTGCCTTTGCAGCTAGTGACCTGATCCACTAGATTCTCGTCAGAGCCACAAGGCCCATGAGCCGACCCTTGGGGCTGTTAAGTTTGGCACTTGTCGCCAAAAGGGGCTCGGGATAGCCTCTGGATCTGAAGGCCTGCATGACTTGGCTATTGGAAGTGTTGGGGGTGGGCCCGTTCCTACTTCTGATGGCGGGGCGTGCCCCGAGAGCAGCATTGCTAACTATCCACACGCCTTTCCAAAAGGAGTCTGGGATGGGAGTGAGGCTGGAAAGTGCTCCTGATCTGAGAACGCCACTAGCGGTCGCCCCGACGGAATATACCACGACTTGTCACTGTAAGGAATGGAGATTAGTAAAGCCCGACCAGGATGCTCGGAAGATAGAAAAGCCCGGGTCCGACTGGAGGCCTGGGCGAAACGATGCGACCCCGTAGCTTCGACGGCCAAACACACAGTGATGCATGTAATGACCTCCTTCACCTAGAGGGCCCAGTAATCCGTATCACCCCTTTCATCCATTTGGGAACCGTCGAGAAAGAGAAAGAGCCATGTCGGCGCAGAAGTCTCCCGCTATATCCCCCGTCGAGCCCATCCCCGCACGACCCTCGACGAAGCAGACAAAAGTCATGGCGTGCATATTTTGCCAGCAGCGTAAGATCCGGTGTGACCGGGAATTTCCCTGTGTCAACTGTATGAGGGCTTGGGTTCCTTGTGTTCCCGCTGCTGGTCCCCGCCCGCGACGACGTCGGTTCCCTGAACGTGAGCTGCTAGAGCGTGTACGGCGGTATGAAGCTCTCCTTCGGGAGCATCACATCCCGTTCGATCCACTACATCCATCAAGCGTGGAGGTTCCATCCCCGGGCACCAATGAGAAAGATTCCGATGTGGTGGCCGAGACAACCTCAGGTTCCCCTGGGACGGCACCCCATCGATCTCCCAGTGAGAGATCCAGTGTCAAGGGGGAGACGACATCGTATGAGGCGAAGTAAGTGCCCTGGAACACCACTTCTCTATAAAGCTGTGAGGTCGATATAACTAACTGCATGAAGGAACTTCTGGCACTTGATGAATCATATGGTACACTTTTATTCCCCAAGGTCATTCGTTCTTTTTCCCCAGTAAAGCTAAATGTTCATCCAGACACTTGAAAACGAGGGCGAGGATAACAACGGGGAAGGATATAAAAGCAGTTTCTCGCATGATGATGTCCGTGAAACAGCTGTCAAGAAAGCATGGGACGCAGTCTATCCGGGCAGCAACCACAATATCCTCTTTGGGTCTGCCAAGGCCAATCTCAATATTTCAGCTCTGCACCCGAGCCAACTTCACATTGTGAAGGTCTGGCAAATCTACTTGGACAATGTCAATCCACTCTTAAAGGTGACACACACCCCTACACTACAGCCATCCTTGATTGATGCGGCCGGGGATGTCACAAACATCAGTCCCACGTTGGAGGCCCTGATGTTCAGTATCTATTCAGTCTCTATCCTCAGTCTAAGTGACAAGGAGTGCTTCACGACGTTCAAGGCACGGAAGGAAGATCTTTTAAGAGGATATCAATTTGGATGCGAACAGGCTCTATTGAACTGTAGAGTGTTGCAGACCGGGAGTCGGGAGTGTCTCACAGCCTTATTCCTCTATCTGGTAGGGATATCTGAAGCTATTCTCATCAATCTTTTACTTTTTTTTTCCCCATCCTAACACGAGCGAGTGCAGGTTTCTGTCCGACCAGTTATGGACCCTCGGTCTCTTTATTCCATGCTTGGCTCTGCTATCCGCATTGCACAACGTATGGGGCTTGATAACAAGGCGATGTATGCTCAATGCTCTGCTCTGGAAGGGGAGATGCGTCGAAGGCTCTGGTGGTCAATAGTCATTTTCGATAATCGCATCTGTGAAATGTCCCATCACAAAACTACTATGTTAATTCCGACGTGGGATTGTCTTCTTCCTTTGAATGTCAATGACTTTGACATACAGCCAGGGATGAAGGATCTACCTCCAAGTCATGATAAACCCACAGAGGCAGTCTTTGCCGCTGTACGCAGTGAGATGGCGCAGTTCATTCGCTATAGTGCCTTCCATCTGGATTTTACAAGCCCGTCTCTCAAAAGGCTTACGCAGTCCAGCACCGGCGCGGATATTCACCAACTGGAACGATTCGAAAATGACCTTGAGGATAAATACCTCGCGTTCTGCAATCCTGACAACCCCTTGCATTTCATGACACTTTGGACAGCAAGAGGCCAGCTGACCAAGAACCGCCTGATGGAGCACTATTCACGATATGCTTCGGTCCAGCAGACAGACGCCCAGCGGAACAGCGCCCTTGGCTTCGCGTTGCAGATCTTGGAATGTGACACCAAGATCATGACCTCCCCGCTTACCCAGAGGTACCTCTGGCTAGCTCAATTCCACCTCCCCTTCCCCGCCTACCTCCATATCCTCACGGACCTGAAAAAGCGCCCGATAACCAGTCTCGCAGAAAAGGTGTGGACAATCATGAGTGATAACTATGAGGCTCGGTTTGCTAATAAACTGAGCAACCCCGATCCGTTCTTCGACTTCCTTTGCACCCTCGCCCTGCAGGCCTGGGAAGCATGCGAGGCAGTAGCAATGCCTGTGCCAGGGTCCCGACCCCTTCATGGACCACCAATGACGATCCCGCGGATAGTCGCAGATATCAAGCAGACGATGCCGCAATTTGCGCCATCCGATGCCCTCCAGCGTGACTATCCCTTGAATCTGGCCATTGATGACTTTTTCATGTCCATGCCCATGGACTCCGTCGGTCCGGAACTTGGCTACGGACTGGAAGGGCAGGGTCTGCCAGAGGGCGACTTTTTTCAGCCAACAGTAGACGCGAGGATCAATCAGGCCGATTGGACGATGAGTTGGTATCCGAGAGACGGTCGGAACTTGTGAAATCTTAATTGAGAGATGCTGTGCTGAATATACAATCATCTGATTTGGTCTTACGTGAATTTTAAGTTTATGGGTCGTTTCCTTAAACCCTTAATTTGATACCATTAGAGGTTCATGAAAAGAAAAATTACTGGCCATTTACTAAAAATGTCTTCGATCAGTCGCGCATTCTACCTTAAGAAAAAGAGTCACAGGGTCCAACAGTTCCTCAAATCGACCTCTTCTAGCGAGACCCATCGGTCAAGACAGTTATCTCTGAAGCGACTTTCTCCCAGTCTGTTGGCCTGACATCGATGGACCTGATACATTCTATCAGCCACCCCGACAAGTTTCAAACGTTCATGGCCCATTATACTAATCCCGATTGCCCCGTTCGTGACCTTATGGCTATTAGAAAACTCCCACTTTTCCATCTTCATGGCGACGGACATGGGTCACGTCCATAACCTGCCCATCCGCTCCATGAACAGCATGTACCAGCAATCCCCCGACGTAACAAAGGAAACCGACGTCGCCGATCTCCTCTTCTATACGAAAAGTCTGATCGAGTGCATAAACGCCCACCATGACGACGAGGAGGAATACCTCTTTCTGGGGTTCATTGAATACACCGACAGTCCACAGCTCATGGCCTCCAACCAGGTCCAACATGCCGCTTTCCATGGAGGAGTCCAAACTCTGCTAAAATATTGTGCGGATACACCAAAAACTGGTTACGAACATGCTACCTTTGGGGAATCATTGATTCCTTTGCGACGCCGTTCTTCCAACATCTCCACGATGAGATCGGGATCATCCTCGGATTTAAAGAAGTAATCCCGAGTAGAGAAGGTGAGGAATGCCATGTGGTCTTAGAGAATAGAAAGCAGAAACGTTTCCAATAGATCCATATCGACCACTGCGATGGATATGTTTTTCACCTTTTTCCATCCTTTATTTTCTTGGCTGTAATGAGAAGAAGCACAAAAAAAAAAAAAAACCAAGTCTAGTGTACATATTTCTGACTATCTACTGGCAAAATCATCTCCTTCACTCCAGGTTCAAGACGAGAAAGAGAAAAGCAGGGGGAGAAAAATTAATAAAAGAAACAGATTCATGTTCATACGGCCTCACCACCAGCGTTCTTCACCTCATCATTGACAACAGACTTGTCTTGCGTATCCGGTATTGGTTGTTTATCCTTAAGTACACTGGCCCACTCCAGTGTAGCATTTCCCAGGACTGATAATGCAGAAAGAATTAATCCAATCTGAAAAACCGTTCGCAAAGATTCATTATATGCAACCAGAACCGTATTCCTCAGATTCGCAGGGACTGAATCCAGCAATGATGTCGCACCGGATAAGGTAATAAGATCGGGGGAAATGCCTGGGATACCAGATAGCTTGTTCAGCAGCTGATTGGACAGCACGTTCTCGCCAACAGGGACCAGGACTGCGGCACCCAGAAGCTGGCTGAAGAAAATCACAGCTAGGCCAATGGGTACGTCATTCGTGGGGAGAACAGTCTGGGCAGCTAAATTGGACTGCTGGAAGCATAGCCCCATGCCAAATCCGTAAATAATCTGGTAGCCAATCCATTTCGCCTCACTTGTATCCACTTGAAGCATTGTCAGAAGGCCTGATCCAATTGTCATGATACAGGATCCGACAATAGCAAATGGGGTGTAAAAGCCAATTTTAGGGGTGGTGAACCCGCTGGCGAGCGAGCCGACAACTAACGAAAGCATTGTAGGCAGCAGTCGGATGCCGGAGTCAACTGGGGGCGCGCCTTTAATTGATTGGAACCAGATGGGTAAGAAATATACTGTTTTTTTTTTTTTGATTTTGGTCTAGAATTAGTCTGACATGATACTAGCACAGGTACAGTTCTGGCTTACCGATGATATATTGGGAAGATCCGATACATAGGGTTGCCCAGAAACCAAATATGATGCTCCGCTGCTTGAAGATACGCGGGGGAATTGTGGCGGTCCTGCTCAGGAATATTTGGATAGCGACAAAC